CTTTTCTTTCATAAGATTACCTAAACTATCTTGCTAATAAAACATATTTTGTCACAAAAGACTCGATCTCTTTCTGATAGATACTTTTATAAATATTTTAACTGTAACTAATAATCCAAACCACCCATCTTTAAATACTTGGCAAAGCAAATAAATATACATAAAATGATTCTATACTATTTTTTCTCTGTTATTTCTAAATACGACAGTTATTAATATTTCTATTGGTATAACTTGTGCCGCAAATTGTATTCATAATGTTATTAATTAGCTGCATTTCTAGAAATCTGCTTTCTAGTAATTAACAATCCTAATCAAGTCATAGTCTTATTATTAGTCTAGTTGATAATCTATCCTTTCTTATATATTCTGACTTTTCTAAATCATTTTGTTGTTGTGAATAAGCATATTAATTTATTTTATCTTTTACTATTCACTGGCTTTCACTTTGCTCATTAGAGTTCATGTAAATAGTTGGAACAATGCACTAAATCCTTTATAATAAAAAAGTTCCATAAAACTAGATCCAAGATTAAGAACGCAAGGAATTTCAAATTGTACCAAGAAATATAAAACACTGACTTTATGAACATTCTAAAAAAAATGGTAATCTTAAAAAAAAAACAAATGTCCTTTTACAATCAGGAATAATGATCCCAAACATTCTTCCAATTCTACAAAAGCTTGTACAAGAAAAAAAAAAAAAGACATACCCTGTATCTCACATGCACAAACTACCTACTAAAATATAAACAGTCTATTATATTAGTTAGGTAATAACGGGTTTAACGTTGGTCGTTTAGGAAAAGAGACCAGAAAAAAAAAAGGTCGCGTTATTTATCATACAATTTTTATTATTAAACTTTCAACACCCTTCATCAAATATATTGTACCAATAGTTTGCTCATTAATTTAAAATGCACCTCAAACAAGTTAAATATAACATAAGTTTGAACTTTTTATATTAAATGCGGCATTTTTTTTAGTATGGGAGGTAACGAGAGTATATGAATATCTCCTCTGATAGTTTTCTGTTAAAATTAAAATAGATGTATACATGTGTTAGGCATTTGAATATAATTCATGTCTGCTCTATCTGTACATGCTTAGGTACTAGAACTGAAGCCTGGCATATAAATATTTTATTTTGCGTGCATGTAATTCTCAAATATACATTATGATTATTATACCAGAAGCATAGTAGATGCTTGTAGGCCTGATTACTGTTATTGTATATAGGCTAAATAGTTTTTTGACAGTTTATTTTTATTAAAAAGATTGGTTTAGAAGATATCATATATCTTTCCATAATAATACTATTTATAATGTCTATTGTATTCATCATATATACACATTAAAATAATAATAATAAAAAAAAACTTTATATTGAATAGGATTTAAATAGAATGATATTAAAAATATTATACTTGTATTTATAGATATAACTACATAAATTAAATAAGATGTTTTATCTTATGAGCTTATATTTTATAAGCATTCATACTTTAATAACAATAAAGGAAAAAAAAACGTGTATTCAAGTCATTAGTTAATCATTAAGCATATTTAATGAATAATTCACCATAGATTTATGACTTGCTTCTATTAACTGTTTATAAACACTAATAACAAATTTTTATAAAAGAGCAGTTATACTCTATTCTTTGACATTATTTAAAATTCAAAATGATACATCTCACTCAAACTTTAATGAAACATTGACGTTTGATTACAAATCTATATCAAATTAAAATTTAACCTAAAAGTAGTACTAGTTTTATTATTTTGTATGATTTAGAATAATAAAAATGCTTTATTTCTTATTTAATTGCTCAAATATGTAAAAAATAGAATAAAAAATAATAGTAAATATTATTACATTTTCATTGAATTACTCTTTCGAAATGGAGCTATTCTTGCCTATTTGTAAACAGAGGATTCATTTTTTTTTTTGAGCTGTTTGTATATTAGGCAAAAGAATATCAAATATATTGTTTATATACAAAATGGAAGGATTATTAATTCCCTCCACTCATCTATCTTATGTCTTCTTTATTATAAGCATAGAAATATTATAAATAATCATATACAAAATAGAAATTAAAAGTAATGCGCATGAGACAATGGCTAAATAGAAAGGACTAAGCCATGGTCTTGCTTTCAATGCTATAAATCGACATTGGTTATTAATGGTATCTTGTCTATTTGGAATATTGTTTTTCTCGTTCGTTGGAATTGATATAGATATTTGCTCCCTTAATATTGAGGGCGAACTACTATATGAATGCATCCTTCTGGTATGATTATGTATTGTTGAGGGAATAACTACTTGTTCTGGAAGAGATGATGAAATATTATACAATGATGAACGATCACTAGGTGGACATAAAGTCTCTGTTTCAAAAGAGTCTCTGCTTAAAGTGTCATGAATGGAAAACGAATGATGAGACACTAATTCTGGTGAACTTTCACTTGAAGGATAACATAATGTATTATTTTTAACATTGTAAGTTGAGTTTACGCTATCAATTGAATGTGCATAATTAATAGGGCTTGTCACTCTGTCTATATCATTATCTGTCGAATTTGTCATTGTAGAACGTGAAAGAGAACTTTTTGGAGATACAGGGGCTGATTTATTATGAAGGGTTAAATCTGAAAGTGCTATTTCTTCTGAACAAACCAAAGAATATTTTATATTTTCATTCTTGAAAGAATCTGCGTATTTTCTAGAGACAAAATACAAGACAAACGGTAAAACAAAATTGATAGTCTTTTAAAATATTAGTTATATGTATTTTTTGATTTTTTTTAATAAAAATACGTACTGATTGAAAGAAGAGACTTGTCCAATTTTGAAGAGATCCAATCTAATCCTTTGTTTGAATAATCCTAAAATAAAAGCTATGTAATGCCTTTTTTTTTCTTTTAAATATGTATACCACTTGAAGAAATTTAAAGATTTATATGATAATTAAACATTTCGCAAATATGATAAAGGTGAAAAAACCAATAGTAAGAATGAATAATGCTACTGCTATCTTAATTAGCTCCAGCTAAAGTATATAAATCCATTTATGTTACAAATATCTCCTAGAAGAGTGGCTCAAGTTTAAGTTATAGGAGGGAAAATAAAATCATCAAGTATAAATTCTGATAGCTGTAATAAAAGAGGCTTCTACTATAAGGATAAGCTTATCTTGTGTTTTACAAGTTATACATTTGATACTGTATCCTAACTTTAATAAAATATCAGTTATTTTGAAATATTATTTGAAGTCATTAAGATTATTAATAAAAACAGAGACTATACTAACTTTGACTTGTAAAGTAGTTGCATTTAATTTACATATAATGCTGCATCATATAGAAAAGTGTATCAATAGACTAGAATTTTGAACGATTTCAGATCTTAAGAGTTACTAGCATAATCATTAAAAAAAAAAGAAAATCTGTAGTTTTCTTTTCACTTTCTATCCTATTTGATTATATAACTTGCAGCTTTTTTTTGTTATTTATTTAGAGTAAATATGACTCAGTAGTGTGAATATGTATGCATATCTGTATATAAATGATAAGTTTATAAAAATAAATGATAATAATAAGGAATAAGGGTATACACATGTATTTTTTAAGAATAATTTAAATATACAAATATTACTATTTTGATGTTACTATAGCGTATTTAATTATACTAAGCATTATCTAAAGGTCATTATATGATACTAACTACACTGCTAATACCTATAGCTTATTAAAGCCTTTTCTGCTATTTTATTTTATTTTTATATGAGAATAGTATTATAATGTATCAATCTTTTGAAAGTATGACTATATCTAATAATAGGACTTTGGGTAAATGAAATTACTTTATTTACACACTGTTCTTACCAAAGCTTATGTTACATAGCCACTATAATTATATCTATACTTTGCTTTGGAAACTTGTTTTATAATTAGTTATAAATTCTATATTCAAGTACATGATCATCTAGATGATACTCTATTATATCTATTGTATATTAAATGTAGAAAACGATTCAAGTTGTCTATGTTTAATGTGGATATATTATTAGACATAGAGCAGTGACTGTATAATTGTAAGCTAAAATATACATGTGTAAATAGACGTTAACGTTATTATAACCAGTTTTATGTCAAGTTATTCCTGCTATTTCACAACAGCTTATAAAACGTGATTTATCAATTAGCTAAAAGAAAGTCAAATAGAATGCTTAGAAAATAAAACAAGCTAATAAATAAAAGAACCTATGTAACGTCTTATTATTGTATCAAGTAATACTAAATTATTAACCGACATAACAAATAATATAGATTATTTAACTTACTATTGAATCACTCTTACAATTAACTCATTATGAATATTACTAATAAAAAGTTCTCTTATCTTACTATGATCGACCTTCACTTATGGATATTATCCAAAGTCATAGCCAATATTCATCATTTCGTCTAAACTAAAGAAAGACGTCTTTTGTTATCCTTTGTTTACTTATTATTTTTCTGTAACTTTATTCTCAAAGAAATTTTTATATACAAATTTCTTTGATTCATAGAACAAAATTTCTGAAGATGTGCTGTTTATTATTTTTAAATGTCAGCCTGACAAAATTAGGACGGATACAACTTTCTTTTTACATCAAATTTTTCTTTCTTACACATAATATGCCATATAACGATTCTAATTATCATATCGATGACAAAGAGGAAGATTCAATCAAGCCAGAAGTATATATGTATATTGACTGATACAACACGAGATAATTAATTAATATATTGTAAATATAGGAAGAGTTTAATCTTAAACAATGCACCATTTATGCTATTGATTGTAGATCGTCCATGATACAACTCAATGAACATGGTGAAATTCCCTTATTAATGATTTTAAAAAGTATTCGCTTAAAATGTCTAGACAAAATAAACTCAAGGTCGACTGATCAGATGGGACTTATTTTATTTGGAACAGTAAAAAAAAATAAAAAATAAAATAGAGATGGATAAAGATGATAACTGCTTCTAATATATATACATATATATATGCTTATAAACATAGAGAGAAAAGAATAATTCAGCTAATAAAGACAACATTTATGTTTTACAACCGTTAGATATACTAGACGCACCACGTATGAAAGAGATTGACATGTTGATTCAAAGTAAGAAAAAAAAAAAAAAACTAATATATTATCAATCCTTTTGACACATTATTTTATTAGATATTTCATTCATAAAAGAGAAATATGGATCAACAGATGAGTTATTTCCTATTAGTGATTTATTTTGGGTTTGTTCAGATATTATGTTAAGGTATATTTAAAGTACAAACGATGATAGATATGACTATAGACACATACATGTATGTATGTATGTATATACGTGTTTAATATAGTGCGCCCAAGTTATCGATAAAACGAGTTATTTTGATTACAGACAACGATGATCCAACAAGCCATAATCCAGTCTATAGAAAAACAGCGATACAAAGAGTCAAGGTAAAAAGTGATGACTTGTATTTTATTGATATTTAATGTATGACATGATAGGATTTAAATCATGTTGGAGTTGAATGTATTGTATTTGGTTTAGATAGAGTTGGACATACATTTGATAAAGACATTTTTTACAAGGTAAATATATACATGTATATATAAAAGAAAGAAAGAAAGAAAGAAAGAAAGAAAGAAATAAAGAAAATATGTATATCCTTTATCAATAGGATATCAGCTATTTTAATGATTATCAATTAAAAGAAGAAAAAGACGACTTTAAAGACAAAGTATTATCATATACAGGCAAACTAAGTGATTTATTTGAAAAAATCAAAACATTTCAAACAACTACAAGATCAGGATTCCGTTTACCACTTCAAATAGCACCTAATTTAATCATTGGTATTAGAGGGTAAAATAAACATACACATGCATGCATGCATGCATACATAAAGAAGAAGAAAAGACTTAGATTTATATTAAATAGATACAATATGATTATTGAACAGAAAATTGATAATCCAAGGTATTTTTATACAAGTGGAGAACAATTAAAAGAAGTCAAATCTATTACAAGATGGAAATGTGCGGTAAGAAAAAGACAGACGGAGAGAGAGAGAGAGAGAGAGAGAGAGAGAGAGAGACAGAGAGACAGAAAGAAAGATGTATAATATTCATACTTTATTTAAGGATACAAATGAAATCCTCACTTCAATCGATATTAAAACAAGTTATAATTATGGAGGAGAAAAGGTTATACTTTCTAAACAAGATATTGAAAAGATTCAAACTGTAAACGAGCCAGGTAAAGGATAAGTTGTGTATCATATTTTATTTAACATGTTATTATTTAGGCATTCTTGTCTTGGGCTTTAGGGAATTAAAAGCTTTAAAAGCATATCATCAGATATCGCATCCATACTTTATTTATCCAGATGAAATGGTAAATCTATCTGTCATGTCTTAAATAATACTAACACACACATTTTAGCAATATAAAGAAAGTAAAAATGTATTCTTTTTATTATTGAATACATTATTAAATAAAGGACAAATGGCAATATGTTCTTTTGTTAAAAGACTGAATACAATCCCGAAAATAGTCGCTCTTTTACCTCAAGTAAATATCAATCTTGTTTCAAGGAATATTATTATTCATTTTTTTTTTCTCCTTAGGCTGAAAAAATAGACAAAAATGGAAATCAAATTGATCCTCCTGGATTTCAATTAATTATTTTACCTTTTGCGGATGAAATCCGTAATATACCGCCTTATACTATACCTGAAGACTTTGAATATTCATCTACATTAGCAAAACGCTTAATCGAGAAATTTACAATAAAAGAAGGATATAATCCAACCAAATATCATAATCCATGTAAGTCCTTATTTTATTCCCCTTTAAAAACATATCTATTTTATTGACTGTTATATTAGTTCTTCAAAATCATAAAAATTTGGTTCAAAAAATTGCTCTTGATAACGATCATGATTTGATTCATGATGCCGTTACACCAAACTATCATTTTATAGAATCTGTAAAATATTTTTTTTTGTATGTACATCTCACATTTTAATATTATTATTTGTAGAATCTTTCAAATGACATTGAAGCCTTTAAGAAATCTGTTGGTCTAGATACAATTTGCCTAGAAGATATAAATAACAATATTAAGCGAAAGGTAAAAAAAAAAAAAAAAAAAAAAAAAAAAAAAAAATAGATTTAATAATAATTCTCTATCTTTATCTTTAGACATCATCTATTGATAATGAATTGTTATTGTCTTACAAAAAATCAAAAACGGAAGAATTAACTGTTCCACAACATTGGGAAGCAAATACATTAAATAACGTAAAAAAAAAATTTCTCCTTATTGAATGAATGAATGAATATTCACATATTAGTTATTAGGTGACAAATAATTCACTCAAGGAATTTCTATTATCAGTTGGTATTCATCCAAAAAAGTTAAAAGCAGACTTAGTTTGTCAAGTAGATGCTTATTTAAAGACAAAGGTTGAAGAATTATAATTATCTTTTATATATGTTTTTATATATAAATAAGCGGTCATTAAACTGTAAAAAAAAAAAAAAAAATAAAAAAATCGATTTCTTAACAATCCGAAACAGAAAATATAATAAATATATTTTGTTAATAAAAATTTTTTATATTTACTTTTTTATATATTTATTTTTTATATATTTATTTTTTTTATATATTTATTTTTTTATATATTTATTTTTTTATATATTTATTTTTATCTTATATATTATATACATATTATAAATAGGGTATGCCTCATTTAAAAGCATCAAATAAAGAAGATGCAACCATTATTATAGGACTAGATCCTTCATTTACAGGAGTATTAAGAGGTGTTGCTCATGATGAATCAGAAGGTTGTACTGTAAAAGGCAATTGTATTGTTAAAGTAAATAAACCTATCAAAGTGAGAAGATTCTGGGTTTGGCTTGAAGGTCGAAGTAAAGTAACACTCAAATCGAATACTTATACTGTGGCTAGTTCAGAATCAACAGAGAGTAGAACATTGTATTCAAGAAATATTCATTTCTTGGGCGATGATGGTTTAACTCAGATCTTAACACCTGGTCAGTATATTTATCCATTTAGTTTTGATTTACCACCTAGTCTTCCTGCAAGTTTTCGTGGCAAGAGAGGTTATATTAGATATCGTTTACAAGCAGTCATTTATCGTCCTATGTTTGCTAGTGATATTCAAGTATCTCGTGATATTCCTATAAAACGTTGTTTGTTAAATGAGGAAACACCCATAGCTGAATTACGTGAAACATATGAAGGTAGACATCATACAAATAAACTTCATTATACTGCTACAGCTCCTAGTATTACTTATCGTGAAGGTGGGCTGGTTCGTCTAAATTTGACTATGCAACTTACTCGTCCTGAAACTCAGTCTATAAGAGTCGTCACTTGTGCTTTAAGAGAACGTATTCAATATCGTACTACAGATGGTCAAGCAAATACCGTCCTTAGCAAAACAGATAACCTTTTCCCTCTTGGCTATAGTACCTTCTATCCAAATCAATCACCTGATTATGATCCAAAAGAAAAAGCCGATTACAATGCTTTATTTCGTTTATGTCCAAGAGTGAATGCTGATTTGAATAGTAGACTAATGAAAGTAACTCATGCCTTGGTAGTGAATATTATGGTAGAGGATAGTTGTAAAGAGGATAATGATGATGATTATTGCGAATCAATGTATGATACAGAGGCAACAGAGTCTGAATGGGCTTCAGAGGATGATCGTATTGGTGATGTGAAATACCATCCTGTCGAAAGCCCAGCATCTACTCCACCTAATTCTGCTCCTAGTTCACCTGTCCTTAGTCGTTCATCTTCTACATCCTCGTTGGCATCTATATTTTCATTAGGTAGAAATCATAGTAATGAGGATGCAATGACTTCTATTCCAACTATCAAGAATACTCGTCGTAAACATAAACACGGTAGTCATCATAAGGATAATAATGAGCCACGCTTAATTCTATGTACTTTAGAAATACCTTTAGTGGTAACATCAAGAGAACATATCTGGAATGAAAAGCCTAATTTACCCCCTTCTTATGATGCTGTGGAGGAGCCTCCTAGTTATAATTCCTCTTTAGAAACTTTACCTCGAGCACCAACTTATAATGAATCCCCTTCTTCCTCATCTATTAATAAACCCAGTACACCGCTATCTGAAGGACAGTTATCAGCATCAGCATCAGCATCAGCATCGTCAGCATCATTATTATCATCATCAACGACATCAGAATCAAATCATCATCATAGCAATTCTTTTACAAATAATTTATCTTCTATTGCAAGTCATACTTCTACTAAACCAGATCCTTACCACTCTTAGAGCATATATATTACCCTATTTGTACATATTATAATATAGCATATACTTTTTTTTTTTTTTTTTTTTTTTTTTTTTTATATTTATATAGATTCAAATTTTAGACTTGACTTTTATTTTATTTCTCTCACTCTTTCCTTTTCAATAAAGCCCATACACATAGTGTATACATATTACATATATATGCGTGTGTGCATGATAAATATAGATGTATAAATATACATTTTTTTTATGCATTTCAAAGCCGTCACTTGTAATTGTAACTTAATTTAGTATGCATAACCTAATTTTGATCTGTGTACCTTATTTTGTTAAATGTTATGTAATCTTATGCAGTCTTGAATTTTTTCAAATTGATCTCTTTTCATAAAACAATGTTATAGCTTGTACTAATTTTATTTTATTTTTATTTATTTTTTATTTATTTTTTTTTAAAAAAAAGTACTTGCTCTATTGTCCTGTATCTCATTTGATGTTGCTTTAAATATGAGGTACAGTTTCCTAAAGTATATACATATTACATTTAAGCAGCTCATATAAGATGGAGAAAAGAAAAAAAAAAAAAACTCATAAAACTACAGTATAAATATTCATTGCTCTACAAACTCAAGTCACTTTATATCTTGAAACACCAATAAAACCTTTATTACTTTTTTCTTCAACTTACAACAAGTCAATGATGTGAAACTATAAGAGTAAACTTCCATAAAGATAAAAAAAAAACAATTTTACTAAAGCCTGATTCTTAACTAAATTGTGTATTTAATAAGATTCTTTAAGAAAAGTGAAATTCAGTTTGTGTAATTTCTTTTAGTATTAACACTACTTATAAACAATCCAAATCTTCTTTTTACTAATAGAAAAGCATTATATAGTAGACTTGTAAACTCAAATAAATCAATATCAAAGACATGCATTTTTAACTCCAAGTTTTCATTTATGATACAAGTTGGCAAGCAACTTGTTAAATTATAGCCTAAAATGAGAAAAATACGCCAATAGATTCTATTAATAATTAGAAAAAAGTCTTACTATAAGCTTACTCATCAGAGGAAAATAAAAGCGTATCCAAATTTTAACTTTATTGAATTATATAAATGAATATACTTGTGTGTCTCATTATCAAGGTTAAATATAAGGTGTTTAGCATTGTAAGGATGTCCCATCTTTTATTCTTCATCATCAGGATCAGGTCCGAATTGCTTAAAATCAATTTTCTTTCCACGAGTTCTTCTCCCGCCCGGTATAATTAAATTTTTGTCCAAAACTTCCAATTCATTTTCTTTTCAAAGATATTAATATTTGCATAATATTTAAATATTCCTTTACTATTACCTGAAACATCGTCATCATCATCATCATCATTATCTTTATCAACATCAGAACCTTCTTCATCACTACTCATCTTTCTTTTAGGTGATTTTTTATTTTTTGCTTTTGAAACTGAAGACCTTTTTATAACATTACTATCTCGTTTATTTTTTGGTTTAACTTCATCTTCAGACTCATTAGATTCTTCAGATTCCTCCGATTCTTCTTCATCACTACTTTTATTATGTTTTTTTATTTGTTTCGTTCTAATGGAAATAGTGTTATATTTATATATACATATATGTATAAAAAGAAAAGGAGCGATATGTGTTTAATATCTTACTTATTATTTTCTTTTGAAACCTTTTTTCTAAGTTTTTCTTCATCACTGTTGGTTTCTTCAGCAAGCTTACGTTTTTGAGCTAAAGCTAAAAGTTTTGATCGTCGATCAGACATTTATTTTATGATAAAAAAAAAGAGAGAGAGAGAGAAAATAAAAATGTAGGGATAGGAATATTGATATAAAAAATGAAGCTTTGCGTAAGCTACTCCTTATACAAGGTAAAAAAAAAAAAAAAGTTTAAATTTTAACCATTATTATTATTATTATTATTATCATTATCATTATTTTTTTTTTTTTTTTTTAAAAAAAAAAGAGTCATAAAAAGCTTATATAATTTGCTACTTGTATTGTTAATTTGTTGCTACAACTACCGTTCTAAAGATGAATTTTGTGGCTTCTATTCGCTCTAAATGATTTATGAATATACTTTAATAGTAAATTGTGTATTTGTTGCATATACCTGATGTCCAATAAAACGATTTTCCTCCTTCTGTATTAGTATCTTTACTACTAGCAGTAGAGGTCATAAAATTAGTATGTATATACATCTATTTTATGATATGAGAATAGAATACCTTTCTTTAATAGAAAGCCCTTTCTTCTTTATCTTTTTATTCCCCTTTTTTATGACTTTATTATATCGCTGACTTTTCTTCCTCCTCTTGTCAGTAGTAGTAATTGTATTTAATTTTAATCTGATTTGAAGAGTAGGTAGTTTGTTATTAGTACTTTGATGCATTTAATATGCATATAAAGAGAAAATATATAAAAGAAAAAAAAAAGAAAGAATTTTATATAACAATGATTTATTAGAATCTGTATATTTAATTTATATTATATTACTCCTTCTTTAAGTTGTACATGTATATATCTATTATTGTACTAATAATGACGGCATTTTATAATCAGCTCCAGGAGCATTACCATATACTCCAAAAAGAATCAAAAGATGACAAGCAATAAGTGTCCAAGAGCTTTTCACTGTTGAAGGAAATGTTAACCAGCACCCTTCAATAGTAACAAAAATCAAAATTCTTGCAGTTGATGTTAATCTTCCTGTCGTTTGCCAGGATGATTGCCATAAAAGATAAGGAAGTGTTTGAAAATACCATGAATAGAACTGGTAATGTAAAGACCTCGAAAAGATAATACCAATAAAATTACTAGTAAACATCATTGATATGATTTCTATATATAAATAGATAATACTTAGTATATTAATAGATCACTATGCATGCATGTATGTATATACCATCATTTGATAATGATACCAAATTTCTATAGTGACCAGAGAATCCTTGTTTAAATACATATATTAACCCTCCTTTACTATATAATAAAAATAAACAAAACAACAAAGGTTATTAGCATCCTATTAGATCGTCCCTTTTTATATCCCTTACGGCTCACACCAAATAAATATAATAAACATCAATAATGTTAAAGCATGTCCATATAATAGTTGCTTGGAAAACCATTCTGAAACAAATGTTTCTTCAGACATCATTCTCCAGTTCACTGTCCATTGATAGTCAAATATACGACTAAATTCAAATGCTTTAGAGAAATAGGATACTGGATACTCAGCTATAAAAGGGTAAGCTAACATGCCTTGTATCAATACAATCAACCCCAATTGACCCATTGTCTTGTAAGCCCCTAATGCTTGCCATAGAATGATACCAAAAGCTGGAAAGAATAGTAATACATTCATCTTAATAGAGAGTGCTATACTAAACAATAGGGTACTTAATGTCCAGCGTCGATATGTCATAGCTAAAATGCATCCAAACATAAATAGCATAGCCACTGGATCATTGAAACATCTTAGTAAAAAGATGGAATGGAATCTCTTTGAGCATCCTAGTAATAATATAACATAAGGTGGTACTTTCTTTGATTGTCGATAAATTGCACATACAACGAACTGGCTAGCCAAGTAAATGCCTTCAAAAATATATTGTGCTAGTCGGATCTTCTGACCTTTGTTTGTTACATAGTATAATAACGAATAGACATAAACAAACCCGGCAGGGTATCTAAATACACACTTCAGTATTAATTTGTCTGTCTTGTTCTTTATCATAGACTCCCTACTTACACAAGTGGTCCTGTATCGCCTTTTAGATTTATATAATTACGTTCACCATTTAAAAACCCTTCTACCTCTTGCATATATGCCTTCCAATCAATTTCAGTGTCTATATTCAATTTCATTTAGTCATTGATCCTTTATAGTTCTTTTGTAGTTTAAATTTACATCTAACTTGATGAATTATCAATGTACTCAATACAAATTCTCCCAATAAGAAAATCGTGGTCAAATGCCAAAAGTATTTTTGATTGCATAATAATCCAAGTGGTATTCGAATAATATCCTCTAATTTGTATGTCTTTCGTTCATCTTTATTGATTTCTCGTGTCTTTAGTTGTTTCTTCTTTTTTTTTTGTTGATTTATTCTAATCATTGATGCTTTGTCAACATGAAAAAAAGAAAAAAAATTAAACAAAATAAAATAAATAAAATATTCCAAGAGTAAAATAAAATACAATCATTTTATTTATTTATTAAAAAAAGAAAAAATTAATCATAATGTCTATACTATATTAAATGGCTCTAATCAAATCATGAGATTATAAATGGCTAGTAAGAGCCATTTTAACGGATGAAAGGAAAAAAAAAAATAAAAAACAGGTTAAAAAAAAAAGAGTTATACTAACAAATTATTAAGGAGGAAGGGGTTTATCATATGCTTAATAATCCATCTCCCAAAAGTTGGTACAGATAGTAAGTTAACCAGCTGAGCCATGTAGAAGCGATACAATAGCATGTTGAGAAGAAAGGATAGAAGATTATCAACAATAGAGGGAAGATATAACCGAATAGACGTATGTAAGCGCTCAATAACATGATCATGAGCAAGTTGAATAAGCAGATAAAAGAGTATTTTTTTTTTATGTGTGTCATCAAGCAACTAGACAAGTTAACCCAGGAGAGCATGGCTTCTCCTATCAATAAAAACAATGAAAAATATATAGTTTATTACAGTGCAAAAATTATAACATGGAATCGCAATGATATGGCTGCCAAAAAGTAATTTCAAATTCTTTATCTATGATGTCTACCTAAATAAGCACCCCTTAATATTCTAGCATCTCAAAAATAGAAGTTTGACTGGTTAGAGCAATTTTCACATGTAAATATGCATGAATAGATAATTCATGAATAAGTTTGCTAGTCTTTATTTAATTATTTCATAAATGAATAAGTATTAAAAATAATAGGGTATTTCTTTTTTTTTTTCCTTTTTTTTTTTAATTACATAAATAAATAATCAATAAATAACGATTTTTCTTTTTTAAATAACCCACAATCCACCAATATTCAATTCCACTAAACTATAACAGTTAATAGATACGAAAGGTCCTTCTGATCGCTCGCTTGCATTTTCATAGCAAATATATTGTGTAGGTCTGCATGTCTCTAAGGGCTTTTGTTCATAATCAAATGAAAGATAAGTCGTGTATTTTTCGTATTCAGATAATTCATAGATCTGTCTCCAATAGCCATCCGTATTTTGCTTCTTCTTATTGAAGATAGACACATCAAATGAGCGAATATCACTTGCTGGTTTTGCATGATGATAAAAAGTAGGTGGGCGTATATGATTGATACTGATCATTTCGAATTGATGATGAGGCATATCAATTTTAACTTCCATTTTATTACAGTCACCAATAAGCGCGCATGAATCAATTTCTAGCCTCTTTAGACTTGGGCAGCGAAGGTCAAGATAATTAAATATCTGATTACGAAAGGACCCATTTTCAAATACAAGATGCTCTAGATTTGGACGCAGGAATGATTTAGGATAGGCAATAGCAGCCTCTGACACTAATTCAAAAGGTAATACAAGAGTTGCTTGAATGTTATCAAGCTTTAGATATTTCAAGTGAGCACAACGATTCAACAAGATATCAAGTGGAATGGGTGCATTTTTAATGCCTGAAAAGCGCATAGAGAAAGTGAGAGAGTGAAGACGATGACTACATTGACCAATGATAGCAATTGCTTCTTCCATTGTTTCTTGAATACATAATGAGGGCCATCCCCAAAGCGTCAAATTTGAAACATTTTGTCGTGATTGACCTAGGTATTGTAAAAGATCAATCGTATTATCTGTCATATCACCCAGCGCAATACTTTCCAACTGAATACCAGCATAATCCATTGCCTCAAATAACCAATAATTCATTTCAATATTTAAAAGCTTCAATGATTTCAACGAATGACAAGACATGACTAATTTTGCTAAAGCATTATACCTTTCCTCTCTTTCATGCAAATTCTGTGAATAACGAGAAGGATGATCAACTGAGTATTCACACCAAAGCTCCAAGTTTTCTATTGATGCATATTTAACTGCAAAATAATATAACCATTCATAGTTTTCATAGAGATCTCTGCTATTTTCAAATTCAAAGGTCTTCATTCTTTTGGCAGGAGTGAATGAATATCTAGACCCGACAGTTCTTTTTTCTTCAAAAGTAGTGTCAATCGGTCTAAGGACTGTATTGATAAGTCGAAGTTTCTGAAGATGAGGACAAGAAGTATGAATAGTTTCAATTTCATTTAAAGAAAGTGTTACTGAGTCAAGAGATAAATGAATAAGATCCTTTGCTTTATATAAACTAGCAAGAAAATCGTCCTTTATCATTTCATGATCTCCATTAAATCGAACAGAAAGGTGTGTTAATGATGAAAGAGAAGATGAGGGCGCTTGAAGCAGGTGATTTGTAACAGTTAAATCTAAGAGTTCTGTAAGACGTCGGAGATTTTTCCATTGAAAAAAAGGAATTTCTTTCTGGCTCGTGATAGCGTTGTTATAATAGTCTGCATCATGTATTAATTTACCGTTAAAAGATAATGCAACCAAGTTTGGACATAATTCAGGTAATAATTCAAGTTCTTTAGTAGTCATATAAACATCATCCACAGACAGACGTCGAACATAATGTCCAGCCATACCATATTGAAGAGAATCATAAAAGTAACTAAATTGTCTTTTGCCTTTTATATATATATGCCGATACTGAGAAGGTGTAAATAATTTTCTCCAGGAACGACATACTGATTTGCATACGCCTCTCTGTTTATTTGTTAAATAAAAAGATATTTTATCAAATATTTCAAGAGGAAATTTTTCATATGATAATTGATATTCTGTCATATTAAATTATATTGATATATAAAAAGAAAAAGAAAAAAAAAAAGAGAAAGAATGCATAAATACTTTAGAAAATAAATTCCTTATTATTTATTACTGAGTCATCAGTCAATGGACCAGTCTATGCTTTGTAAATTATAAACTTTAACATTGAAGCTATTTTATAGGTTCTTCTAATTTTCGCACAACTTTCAACAAAAAAAAAAAAAAAAAAAAAAATAGGACTTTAAAAATGTATGCATTTTCTTTTCATACCCATCAAACAAGCGATTAGCATAAAATCTTGTCTGCTTAGATCCAATCAAAAATTATTGGAAATAGAAAAAAAAAAAAACTCATAGAGAAAGAGAAAAGAAATATCGAACTTTAAAGAGCTGAAAAGAGATTCATTCAGGGGATTTGAAAGTGGGGTATTGTAGCTAAGTTCACACTTAAATTCTGCGTAACATAGTCTTTTTTTTTTATTTTGTTTAACACAAATCAAATAGAAAAAAAAAAAAAGAGCAGAGTTATTAGAGAAATATATTATACGACAAAAGCTTACTAAAAGTCATACGTTTTAATATTTGTGTATGCATATTTGTTTACCATATATTACTCTTATTTTTATCGACTCACTCTGTTTTCTATATTAATAGTACTTTTTTTAGAAACTACCTTGATTATATTGACGGTAAAACATATATAAATAATTACTCTATAAATTAAACCCAAATCTTTTAATGTAAAAAATTTACTTCTATTACTGTACATTATACAGTTCCTATTCTATTGAAATACTACAAAGTTAGTTATAACTTTTCTTTTTTTACTTTAATTCCTATTTAAAAGCATAGTGTATCTCCTTTTTTTTTTTTTTTTTTTTTTTTTTTTTTTTTTTTTACCTTATCACACTCATATCTTTTCAATGCCTTTACACATTGCTATTAGAATAGTTCTAATTTGTATGACTAATTACACGTCAAACGACCTTTTAGTAACCCTTTTTTTTTATCAAAAAGAAATAATTTTTTATCCAGATAAAAATGCCAGAGTAAAGAATTATAACAAATATGTAGTTTTATTGAGGATGTAGGGTAAGGAGAGAGAGGCTAATATATTATGATCATTTTTGTATTAGTTTTTTATTCTTAAAGGATGATGTAGAAGTTATTTTAAATTAAAAAAATTAACATTTAGTTACGGTCTTGTTAGTAATTTCTTGAATCATATAAAGTCGTTTTTTTTTTTTTTTTTTTTTTTTTTTTTTTTTTTTGACTTGATAAATCTGAACAAGTAAAATAAGTCTAAACGCTTATATCAGTTTTGTTTATAAATGAAATATCTAATCTTTCTTTGCTTCTCCTTGTACAAGTCATTTAATAATTTTTAAAGTTAAGCATAGTTCTTGATTATTGGAGGGGTTATAATGCAGCATTTCTAATGTATTTAGCTCTTATTTTTACCAATACAAGCTGAAATCAAATACAGTTATTTATAATTATGTAGAAAAATGGAAATAAATTTATTATGCAACAGTTTATTGTATAAAAGTTAAATCTTTGAATGTATATCATTTCTATTATTATGTCATAGTCAACTTGGGGAACAAGACACTGTCAGTTTCACCTAATGGCCTTTTTGTTAAATCAAATTGAGTAGCATCTTTAAAGTATCTTTTATCCGAAGATACACCTAAACGAGTTAATACACATGCCATCTTGGAAGGCATTACAGGCTGCAATAAAATACCAGCAACTCTACAAGCTTCTAATGAATAAAATAAGATTGTATCAAGTCGTTCCTTATCTTCTGGATTTTTAGCTAGTCTCCATGGTTCATTGTCTGAAAAATATTTATTTGCCTATTTTTTTTTTTTTTAATCATAATTATTAAATTATATTATGTAATTGTTTTTATTTTTATTTTATTTTTTTACCTGAGAAATCATATCGAATACATATGAATATGCTTTACTAAATTCACGATCTTCAAACGCATTATTAAAATTGTCTATAGAAAAGTAATATATTTTATCATGTAAATAATAATATATATTTATGCTTCTTTTCTTTCTTTCTTTCTTTCTTTACTGGCAGTTTCCAATATTTGATTGTGTATCATTGTATCTCTTGCATCAATTAAGGTGTTATTTTTACAGGTATCATATTGTCTGGTAATAAGGATTTTGCTGTGGCTCTATTTAATAAATTACCAAATTGTCCTATCAAGTCTTTTTTATATCTTGTCTGAATCATTTCCTCAGAATAATCTATTGAATCAAATATTTAAAAATGACGGTCATAAATAGGTTATATACATTTACCTCCATCATCTGCAAGACCTCCATCTCGAACAAGATAGTAGCGAACAGCGTCAGCTCCATACTTTTTAATTATCTGAAAGGGATTTACTACATTTCCACGACTTTTGGACATTTTCTGTTTACCCATCGTCCAATGAGCATGTGCTAAAATTTGCTTAGGTAATGGCAATTCTGCAGCCATAAGGAATGCCGGCCAATAAATAGCATGAAATCTAGTTTTGAAATGAATTTTAACATCCCTACAGCTTACTATCTTTTATACTTGTAATAATACCTTATAATGTCTTTACCAATTACTTGAACATCAGGCGGAAATGCATCCTTATTTTTTATATCTTTAAGCCATGGATAACCAGTAGCAGTAAGATAATTTGTTAATGCATCCAGCCAAACATAAATGGTATGTTCGGATTCGTTTGGTACTTTAATACCCCATTGAAGACGAGATCTCAACCTTGATACCGATAAATCAGATAGACCTAATTTTAACAATGATATGACTTCATTCCTTCTATTGCTAGGTACAATAACTGTAGGGTTTTTCTCTATCCATTCTAATAAACGATCTCTGAAGGCAGATAATCTAAACTTGAAGTTTTCCTCTGATGTCCACTCTACTGGTTGACCTGTCTCTATTGATACCATTATTTTTTGTCCTGTCTTTTCATCGATTACTTCTTGAACTTGACTATTTGTATAAAATGCTTCATCAGATATTGAATACCATCCCTCATGTTTTCCTTTGTAAAAATATCCATTTAACAATAATTTATTCTAAGATTATATATATTCTTATTTAATTTACACATTATAGCATCCATTGTCTTTATCTATTTACCCATAATGCTTTGACTGCCTCTTTATGGTGCTTATTCGTGGTACGTTCAAAACTAGTATATTCAACATTAGCTGCTTTACATAATGTCTATTTAAAAATAGTTTAATTCATCCTTTCATTTTCATAGGCATATTATATGGGAATAACTACTTTAAAACTCTCAGAAACTTGATTACAAAATTCGATTGGTTCCATATTTCTTTTATTAGCTGCTTGTTGAATCTATTCTAATGTATTTTATAGCTGCACTTTTTTTTTTTTTTTTTTTAAAAAAAAAAAAAAAAAAAAAACTTTCATAACTTACCTTTAAGCCATGTTCATCAGTACCGGTTGACATGATTACATCCTTTCCATGCAATATATAATTTCGTCGAATTGTATCGGCCAAAACAGTCGAATAAAGATGTCCTATGTGAGGAGCTATTTCCAAAAAAAACCAAATAAATAATTATATATGTAAATACATGTATACATAAGAATAATTAATCAAATGATTGAGATGAGTCTTTACCTGCATTAACATAGTATATTGGGGTTGTTACAAATGCTTTTGTAGAACTAGCACATTTAGCTATCAGCCTGTAATCTGGCTTGTATAACTTTTGCTTTGACGTATTCCAAAATTTTAAAACTTGCATATTGTATGAATAATTGACAAGTAATAAATAATAATAATATAAAAGGACCCCTGACAGCTATATAAATGCATATCATCTATGTTTTTCTTTTCTGGGTTTTCTTCTGAGATTTTAAACAGTCATTCAGCAAAGAAACAGTTAAAATTCTTTATTTGGGATATAGGGTTTTCAATATAACATTTTGACAGTTATTTTCAATTATCTCTCCTTTCAAGTGTTGTATAAATTTATTACCTGGGTTTTACAGGAGTTAATATACCTTGTATAATAACTAAAGAAGAAGGGTATGAAGGACGTAAATATGATAAAGACGGATCTTTCTTATGTTGTGATTAGTCTAGACCCATATCATACAACAATATAGGCTATTGACTAAGGTAATGGATACCCAAGTTAAAGCGAGAAGATTGATTTGATAAGTGATTAGGAGGAGAATAGTAAATATACCATATATTTTTAATTTATATTACATACTTTAATACAAAATTAGGCTTACTACTTTGATAAAGTAACCGAGACACTTCCATATTTATTAATTGTATTGAATTTGTGTCATTAGTAACCAAAGAATAGGCTACCGGGTATCACGGTGTATATTAAATAAGCTTGCGATATTTCTTCTTGGACATACATCGACTTTAGTAATACAACTAGGCAAGAGTGTTTCAACCATTAAGTTTATTGAAGCCAACTCAAAATATATATGTGAAAACAAAAGCATTTAATTTGTGTGACCAATTTATAAGTCTATTTACTTGAATTGATATTATAGGACTGGCAAAATTCGTTATAAATGCAACAAGGTAAATATTCATTAACTAGTGCAGTTTACACAAGCAAAATTAGTGTGTTTAACCAGACAGATATCCTAGACACGATTGGAGTAGCTTGTAAGATATGAATAACTAATGACTATGATATCACGTCAAATTTTATTTAACTTCTCCATTGTGAAGCTTTGGTGGTTTTAACTAAGCTTCATCATCAAGAATTATTATCAAAGAATAGCTTGAATTATTTATTACTAAAACACGGATAGCCAAATATAAACAATTTGTCCTCAGCATGCTTTCCTACAAACAAAATTCTCACTTTTTTTTTTTTTTTTTTTTTTTTTTTTTTTTTTTTTTTTTTTTTTTTTTACGACTATTCAAGTTTTTAATTGACTGGTAGACTGACTTAGTCTTCTCTTAATAATCCTACACTAGTTTTTTAATAGAGCCCACTTCAAAGTTTTAATATTTTTACTAAAGATTGATTTCTTTTTAGAGGTCTGCTATCTACACTTGATTTGATTATGATTTCCTGTGCTTTAAGTTATTGAGCACTTTAATCTCTGAATACTGTTATGTAACTTTATAAAGATATTTTAGACAAAAAGAAGGTATCTAGTTTAAGACTAATTATTCACAATGAAAAAAAAAATACGATATAAACTAAAAATATTTCATAAATATTATTGATGTGAGGCCTACTGCAAGTTAAATATTATACATATAATAATAATATTCGAGCATCTTTCAACTCTTTCTTTCTTTTTTTTATAATAAAATGCGTTAAATAAAAGCTATAATACCCAAAAGGATATAACTAAAACTATGTATTTTAGAACAGATGATACGGGTTAATACACATAGTACAAAAGATATATATTCTTTTTAAACATTCACACAACATGGACGAAAGAATATCCTCCCCCTTTTTTTCCCAGATCGTTTTATCATTCTTTCTTCAAGATAGAATTTTGTTATATTGAGTATACTTTTTCGAATACTTTGATATTATCTTGCATAGGAATGGAGCACAAGATTTTTGTATACTATGGATAGAAGATCTATTGTTTATAGGCCTATTTGATATTTGTGACTATAGTTATCAATTTAAAATATAAAATAAATCAAAACAATAGATGATCTAATATTGCATTTCGTACATTTAGAAGTCTTCATAACTTGAATACAATTAGGATTTTGGTGTAATTGTGTGTGTATGTGAAGTTAGACAAAGCTTATCATTAACTTTATGTTTTAATAAATAAACAGAAAAAAAAAAACCCCCAAAACAAAACAAAAAAAAAACAAAAAGAAAAAAATACTTTGTTTAAAACAAATATAGTCTTTTCTTTCATTCTATTCTCCTTAATGAATCATAATAGGAGAAATAAAGCAGAAATAATTGATAGAATACCACTTGTACCTCTATCGCCGTTAATAAAAATGTCATGGGAATATGCTGAAATACTTGCACAAACAAAAAAGAAATTATCTGTAGATAACAATACCCCTGAGGTCAGGGCTTCATTAAATCAAATCTACATCGACAAAACCGAAAAATTGGATCAACTTACAAGGGATATACAATCAGTCCAAGCTTCGTCATTCTTTGATTTTAATATATATGAGATTGCAAAAGAAATAGCGTATATTGATTGTCGTTTGTTTCAAATGATAGTACTTGATAATAAATCACTTTATGGGCTTAATGTTAAACCATTATTAGACTTTCATCAATATCTTTCACATTCATTTGCACATCAGGTTATTTACCATAATAGCAAACCAACTATAATTATTCAATTAATTCAAGTAGCTTATATCTTGCTTCATATCTATCGTGATTTTTCTGGTTGCACAGCCATCTTGATTTCTTTACAAATGCCAGAGGTTCAACGACTTCATATCTGGTCTGAATGCCCTTTACATTTTCTCGATATTTATAAAGCACTTACTACTTTATTATCACCTGATAGACATTTCGAAGCATATCACCACCAACTTGGGTTGCAAATAGCCCATTTTCAAAATAGAATCCCTAATAAATCACAAATGATTGCTATTCCTTTCATACATGCTCACTTTTCTATCATAAAAGAATTACTTCAACCACTACCACGTCCAACCATGAATACTACTACTACTACTACTACTACTACTACTACTACTAGTAGTAGTAGTTCAGACTCGTTGGATTCTTTCATCTCAATTACTATTCTCCTACTTCAATTTTGCCAACAGTGCCTTATCAATCATATTGATACATCATCATCATCATCATCATTGTTGTCGTCGTCGGATCTAATGGAAACATTTTTTTCTCAAACGAAAAACAAACAAACTATGAATACTATTAAATTATCGATTCCACCTTGCCTTGAACTTGATCGTTTACAAAGTAATTCACATATATTCCACTGGCTTGTATCACAACCTTACTTGACTCGACATCAATTATATCATGAAAGTTTATACGTTGAGCCCTTGGTGATTGTTACTAGAGATGGAATAGAATCAGAGCCATCGAAGGATGAATATGATGATTTATATGAGTCCTTTGTTGTACATTATAAACTGAATCATGAAAGTAATCTCACATTGTCAGAAGAAGTTTTGCATATTGATAAAAAACCCGATCAGCCATCAAGTTGTTTCATACCGACAGAAGAGGGAATCATCATGGAAGATACTCGGCTGGCTAATAAAATGAGAGAGGATAATACAACGATATTGAATTCAGTGCTTGAAGATAACATATTAAATAATCCAGAGGCTTCGCATCAAAAGGAGATGCATGTTACTCGGTTTCTATATAATGAAAGCCAATTCGGTTTATATAACAGTCAAATAAAAGACGAAAGTTATACTTGTATAACTAAAGTAAAGAGCTCAGATATAACAATTTACAATGACGAGAAAGAAGAGATAGAGGCTTTCGAAGAAAAACATGTTTATGAAAATAATCAGCAAATATCATTGAATGCTTCGATATCAAGTCAAAAGGAGATAGAAGAAGAAATGTCATATGTTAATCAAGAAAGTCTTAGTCTAACTAAAGTAATACCAACTTCAACCCTCCAACTAATTAAACTTGAATCAAATGGCTACAAAATGAAATCGAACCTGCCATTAGCTCTAGATAAAACAAAAACTACTAATCTTATGATAGTGACAGAGGAAAGTAATGACGACGGCGACGACGACGACGAAGTATGGACAGGTTACCCAATTAGGGACTCACACTATCAACCAATTGAAAATATGTTCAGAGATGAAGAGGAATGGACAGGATACCCTGTTCATAGCGATGAAGAAGATGAAGATGAAATCTGGAAGGGATATCCTATATCAAAAGAAGAATTAGAACAGAGCTATTGGCAAATAGAGGTTTTACAATTTCGTAAATCAACAAAAGATATAATAACCACTATAAATACTACAGTTCAATAAAGTATAAACATACTTAATCGACAGTTTATATATACATTTATACATGTATAAATTATGATTATGTACATATTTTAATTTAAATATATTATACGTATATTTTATTTATAATACTAATGATAACAATGATTATATACACATCTAGGTATCCTTCAACAAAAAAGTTATTATTACTCTTCTCAGTGACTTTATGAGCACGAAGCTTAAATTAAGAAGATCTATTATATTGTCTAAAAGTACTTAAGCTTTCCTATCTGTTCTTTTTTTTTTCTTTTTTTTTTTGTTCACCAACATGAAGTGATAATTTGTTGTTGACATGACAAGAATCGGGAAAAAAAAAAAACTACTAAGGATTTTCCATGACATCCATATTCATCTTATCCACATCTTCTTGTTTTGTAGGTTCTTCTTCAGACGCCATATACTGATTAGTCAGAAAATCAAATTCTTCTCGCTGTTGTAATGCTTGGTAAATATGATATGGGACCATCATTTTCGTTGATTTATTTGCTGATCCTTCATCTTCTTTACGACATGCATTTAGCGTTTGATTTATTAATTTTTTCAAGAATACTCGGGTTGCCTTCACAAAAAAAAAAAAAATAAAATAAAATAAATAAATAAGAAAATTGACCTTTTTTTTTTTTTTTTTTTTTTTTTTTTTTCATTCATTTATATGTATCGCCTCTTACCTGTGTTAAGATGTTTCCTACTACCAATCTTTGATTCATTGCAGCTGATAAATCAAAACCAGGCATAGGACCTTGTAAATTACCATTTTTTGCTAACAGCATATCATTTGCGATTACACTTTTCAGTCGCAGTTGACCTACTACAGACCATATCCAGTCTAAAGTCCTTTCATTTACGACATCCATAGTGTCCGTATCAGCAATCCAACCTTCAACTTCTTTTGTTATACCGCTTTGACGACTGACTTGTTCCTTTTTAGGAGTTGGACCATGATTCATATCTACATCAATATCCATTTCATCATCTAAAAAAAAAAATAATAGTATTAGTGATCTATATTAGCAATGATTTATGTTATAATTTACCTGCATCCCATCCCATTTCTAATGAGCTCAATAATTTTGTCACACTAGTCATGCTATTAATACTACCACCATTTCGTTTTCTACTGTTCCATCCTTTTGGTCTTCTGGGACAATTATCATCCATACTCTCGTCATGACCATCTCTTAAACTACCACAGAATTTGCAATAACCGACAGGCGTCTCTTGTTCGTGAGTATCATCATTTGCATCCGATTTTACAGGTGTATATTTTTTAGTACGGCACCATAAGACGACATCTTTCGTTGTAAGTGCTTCAGCAGCTATTCTTAACACATTATCGTTGACTTCAAAAGCTCTTTTTTGTGTCTCTAAACGTAACAATCGTGCTCGATGCCATTCAAGTGCCTTTCGTTTACCCACTGACCATTTAAAAAACATTTTTGAACTCAATGCGCAACTGTAAGGAAGAACTTTACCATGAGAGCCTTTAGTAAAGTAAATAAAGTAAATTAGAATTTTGTATATTTATAGATATGTATAACTATATGATATACCAGCTCTGACAATTGGTAACTTTCTGACACATTCTTTCAAAATGCCACCTAAAAGACTCATTTTTTGTTTTACAGCCATTGATTCTGATGTTTCAGTATTTTCTTGGTTTTGTTGTTTCATTACTGGTATATTATTTGTTGGTGTAGAAGTGGTGGTATCATTAAAATCTGTATTCCTATCTAATTCAATTTCAATACTTCGCTCACTACCCAATAGTTGCTTTCCTGATTGTGTATTATCTAATTTCAAATGATGAATCAAGTCAACGGATTTATTGCGACGTTTATCTACAAAGAATAACTGAATGCGAACTGGAAATTCACCCCAACCAAGTCGTGTAAGTTTAAATGGTGCATCAGTAACATCCACGACATCATGAGGCTTATAGCTTGGATGTAAATAAAATCGAGCACAAGTAATAAATGCTGAAATTTTTTCTTTTGATTGTGGAGGCTCGACAATATATATCATCCACTTGTGTGTAAATTGTTTTAAAGAAGGATCACGACGTTCTATATAAATATATGTATATGGTAAATTGAAGTTTATCTTTTTTTTTCTTTTAAGTTTACTTCATATTACCTGGTGCCAAGTATTTACTAACATTTCCTACAAGTATTCGACGTTTTATATAAAAGCGAGATCCAATATCTGCAGTACTAATGGAGGACATGGCTGCTGCAAGAGATTCTATCTTTGGTATATTATTAGTTGAAGTATTAGTATCTATTTGTGTATCAGCAGCTTGAACAGACTTGCTTTGCTCTTCATTGTTTGCTGTAGTTGTAGTTGTATTTGTAGTTATAGCTACTGTAGATGGCTCTGGCTTTTTTGAATTTTCTTTTCCCAGTGATTTTTGTGAAATGGTTTGTTCAACAGTATTCGATAAACTACTTTCAATTGGTTTTTCATTCACATTATTTACAGAAGTGGGTATGACTGAACTTTTTGCTTTTTCAACTGCAGATGTATGATTTAAGGTTGTTAAAGTATCTACTGTTTTTGTTTTCGCAGGCGTTTCATATGATTTTACTTCTGATATTGCTGTTGGTACATTCGATTTTCGTTCATTTTCTAGTTCCATATCAACATCTTCTTCAAATACTTTGATCGAAGGCTAGTTTTATGAAAGCATCAATACATGAACATTCCAATATTTATTATATCTTACTCTTTCAAGTTTCTTTTGAGTTTGTCTAAGTAATAGATAATCAGTTAGTATTGTTCATTTTTAAACACTTTTCTTTTTTTTTTAATCTTATATATAGCATCATACCTTATTGCAGGAATTAAATTCATGACTGGTCTTGTTCGAGCAGGACTATCAAGAGGTACTTCTGATTCATCAACTGGTGTACCACATTTTAACATGATTTGTTCATACGGTCCAAATTCTAAATTATGTGATATACGACAATGGTTTAAAAATCCCTGTTGATTTGCGAAATCATCACGATGACATGCAGGACAAGCCAAACTAAAATTATAAAATCTGTTAGAGGGAGTTTTTTTTTCCTTTTTTTTTAATGGAAAAAATATTACCTAACATAAACACCATCTTGTCGTCTACCATACAATTTACTCTTTTCTGAGGTCCTATATACTTTTCGTTTTGGTGTATTTCCTTGATTTAATAATGCTTTTGAGCCGCCGTGATAATACATTGCAGATCGTCGGGTATAATGTGCTGCTTCTGGCATATTTGCAGCCATGGTTTCTAATCATATTAACATTAGCATAAAAGAAAAAGTCGATAATAATAATAAAGAACATGTACCATTTTCTACGGCTTGTTTTAAATCATTAAGTATATTTTCTGCTTTAGCAATCTCTTGTCGAATTGTTGATAACTCTCTTTGTTTAAGATATATTTCTAAATCAAATTGATGGTTTATAATATCTATTATTTTCTTCTTTGTTGATTCATCTATCATTTAAATGAGATCAATAAAAGCTTTTTCGTAACAACTAAAGAATTTCACCTCTAGATATAGTGACTAAAGAGTTTTTAGGAGATGGATCTACATTCGGTAGCTCCATGGCTCTTTAAACTATCAAATGTGTAAGTATTAGGAAAAAAAAAAAAAAAAATACAATGTTTACTTCTTTTTTTCAATTTTTTTGAAATACGCATTGTCGACAGTCACATGTTTCCAAAGGTTTTTTTTTTTCTTATTTGAAATATATTGCCCACCAGTTCAATAAACAATATAACCAAAAAAAATGCTACAAGTTGATATAATGTTTCTTCAAATAAATTAGAAAAACCCCAATGGGCAGCTTATTTTTTTTCTAAGAAATATATACGCATTTAATTATATCATGTATAACATAATTTCTAAAGTATTAAAAATTCTATTATTCGTAAGATCTGAATACTCTTGATAATAGTACCAGCAGCAATAATAATGATGATGATGGATGTAGTAACTCCTCTTCTTTTCCATATAGCCTTATACATAGAGTGTGTTATACAGAAATAGAATTAAAACATGATAGTCTTAGAATAAGCAGTTGAAGTGTGTATCAACCAAACAGTAACAAAAGTGAGTGAGTATTTTAAAGTAGACAAAAGGATTGAACGGCAATCTAACAATATGTTCATAATAAAAGAGCGAGAAAGGGAGAGAGGGGTTTCAAAGGCTGCTCTCAAAGACTGTTAGAGGATACACATCACTCGGCTCCTTTTCTTTTCTTTACAAGTGCTGCATCTACACTTATTAAGACCTTTTTTTTTTTTTGCATAACGTAGTCTCTAATAATAAATTCTATAAAATTCCTTTTTCTAGGAATTTCAAATTCTCTTTTTATTGAAAATGTTTCTCATTTGTTTGAAAAAAGATCATTGTATATTTCAAATTGTTCTCTTACATCTTCCAACATGTTCAGTGTCAGCAAATATCGTTCACTTCCTTCTTTATTATACATAAGTGAGTTGGTCAGCATCAATACGATATCTCTTTCGAATTCACGCGTTGTTTTGATAACCTATTATATTATATTATATATCAGTGTTAAACTTTAGAAATATCCTTTGTCTATACTACTTTACACCTTCTCTAATCCTCTTTTTAATTGTTTTTAAAAATAAGGGTCGTTTTACTACTTTGTTGTAGAATGGCTCTTTTCTATTATTAACAGGATTTAAAAACATAGTTCCAGTTTTGCTATTAGCAATCTGTTGCCATAAAATATAAATAGTTTTCCGCCAATTTTTCAGCTGCTGTTCATCGTCTTCTAGAGAATTGTTGGGATTTGATAATGGCTTGGTATGCATATTTTCTTTTATATACAAAAAAAAAAAAGAACACTAATATGATTAAAGAAAGAAAAAAAAATAATACCTTCTGTTATTTACCTTGTCGTTGTTTATCGTCAGAAATAGACTTTGATTCGTTCTTTTGGTGTTCAATTTGATGCATCTGTATCTCTTTCTCTATAACAGTGTTTTCTTCTTTATTTGGCTCTGACATTTCTTCATCTTCACATATATTCTTCTCTTGTATTTGTATTGCTTGCTCTATTGTCTTTTTAATAGACTTGTTTGTTTCTATTGGATCTATTACATTTGTATCTAAACTATTCTTCTTTGACTTGTTGCTAGCTGATGGTTTGAAGATATCATTTACAATAAGATGATTTACTTTAGAAATTGCGGTAGAAATAACTTGTGCTTCAACACATTGCTGAATAGGTTTATCAAGCTGTGTTTTTTTAAGAGCGTGTGATATAGATGTGATTGATTCCTTTGGCGCACGTTTCATACAATATACTTCTTTTTCATTCATCGTTGTTGACTCGTTAGTATCATTATCCATAATATTAGTATTGTATGTATTCACATTATTTGCCAAAGATATCATGTTATCGTTTAATTTATCGTTAATAGTTGATTGCTCGGTTAATCTCTGATCCCATTGACCTGATTTAATAGAACAAATTTCAGTAGCAAGTTGGTTAAATTCTTCTTGATCTCTTTCAAGTCGTTTTTTTATTTCCTCTACACGTTGTAAATATAATTGTCTAGCAAGCCGGACAACCACAGGCATGTCATTATTGAGTTCATGTCTAGATGTTTGTTGTCTATACATGTATAAAAAAAAAAGGACAAGCATTAAAACAAAAATAAAAAAAGAAAAAAGTAATGATGAAGAGATTTACTTTTCTGAACCCATATTCTCGACAAGTAAATAATATTGCAAAGAACAATTCTAACTAAATATTTAGACTTTTATAGATTATATAAAACCAAGTTATTTAATGACAAGTGTACCTTTTCATTATAAAAATCAGATGAACGTTGAATTCCTTGTTGCTGAATTAAACTATGTTGTTTTAATACACGTGCCACTTGAAACCACATATTTTCCCCATATTTATAAACTGCTTGTGTTAATAATAGTTTCTCGAGAATTGTCCATTCATCATTAGTTTGTTGTGTCATTTAAACTCGTAAAAAAAAAAAAAAAAAGAAAAAAATAAATAAAAAAATAAATAAATAGGCTTATAACAAATAAAATAGAATAATTTTTTTTTCTTTTTTTTATATGTATAAAAATTATTCTTTTATTGAAAGTGGTTGTGTAGGATCTGTTGAAATAGAATCCCATAGACCTTCCAAGTCATATGTTTTTCTCATTTCAGGTGTAAATAAATGAATAATGATGCGTCCTAAATCAATTAAAAGCCAACCAGAACTTCCATCCCTGCCTTCAATACGGGATTGTATTCTTAACTTTTCAGGATTTGTTGAAACTGCTTTCTTTACCTAGATTATATATTAATTTTCTTTTTCTTCATCTCCTTTTATAATAATACATACCACACTATTAACATGCTCGGCTACACTACTCAAATATTTATCTCCTTTTGAACTAGAGGCAATGATCATGTAATCTGCCCAATCACACTTTTCACTCACATTAATTATTTTAATATCATCCATTTTACTTTCTTCTAATAAGTCACCCAATTTTTCTACAGTCAATTTTCCTGACTCCATTAATTCTTTTGAAGTCTTTTGAAGAGCTAAACGTTCTTCCATATGCTCTCCTATAGTACGACGTTGCCACAGAGGTATGAAATCTTTTTCTGTAAGCGTCTCACATTCTGGGTCTACAAACCATTCATTATCAATTTCTTCATTTTCAAGTTCGTCATTAGGTAAAAGTTCTTTAAGAGTTTGAGGATCAATAACTTCAAGATCATCTTCTATTTCCATTTTAAGCTGATCTTTATTTTCATTGTCTTTTGTGGGATTAAATATTGTACAAGAAAAATTTCGTTTCCAAATCAAAGTATGGATGGGAGATACAGGTATTTTTTTTGAATTAAAAATGGGCCGATAAGCAAGTCTTGTCTTAAAGCCTTGAGTAGCTAATCTTGAAATACGAAACATATGTGTAAAGTAAGGGTACCCTCCCCCCCCTCTTCCAATCAATGCAGCTAACATGTTTAACAAAAAAAAAAAAAACTTGTACCCATTTGTGTGACTTCATTTGAGCAGATCATTTTAAATTACTATTTTGGGAAAAGTTCGGTAACTAGTTACTTTTGACATATATTCTTCACTACTTAGTGTTAACGATTTAAATAATAATAAATATGACAACATACATTAAGCATATAACAGATAGAACTTAATTACATTTGAAAGAATAAATACGTTCATGTCCTTACTAAAAAAACTAAATATATAAGATGGGTAAACATCATTACAAAAGACTAATAATCATTAACAAAACTAAAAGTTGCTTATTAAGAAGGACACATTCTCTAGTATTTCTCTTTACTCAATACTCTTTCTTCCTAAGCTGTTACCGTTTTGCAAGAATATTCCAGCTACAATAACAATGTATAATATTACTACTATGAGATCTTATTACATAATACAGTGTATATAATAACCATGATTAAAGCTGAGTATAGAATGAACATTATACTACTATAAAGTACAATAAACTTGCCTTTATTTGAACAATCTCTTTAATTATGTAATGAAGGATAGTTTATCTCTATTCACTTTGTTATAAAGATAACTACAAACATCTTTTGTTTCTAGTTACGAGAGAAAGCTTTATTAAAGAAACCTCTATCACGTCTTCACTAGAAATAGCTTCAAACATATACAATGAGTATTCCTGCTGATAGAGATATCCAAATCCATTTATTTATTTATTATATCTTCTTTCATCTAGTTAAAGTAATTGCAAATAAATCTAATAAAGATTTATTCTTCTGATTTAAACGTCCGCGCGCTATTTCGGATAGAGTCTGTTCTATAATGATTTTCTGTTGTTTAGTTAAAATGAAAGGTGCGCAACTTCGGTCAGAAATGATGAAGTTTGTTTCGCTTTATAACCGCAGTAATATCTTGGCAAGTTTTATTTTTTTTTGTTTAAAAATATATAAATATTCGTATATAAAAGGAGGATATTGTGTATAAACAGATTTATTTTCATACAATACTTTTTTTTTTTATTTGAAAAAAAATATAAATGTCTTTTGTTACAGTTGTTGTGTCTTTTGATATTGAAAAAGAACCTATTCAATTTAAATTTCTTTCAGATAAATTGACTTGGGATAACCTTGTTCATGTAGTTCAATCTTCTACAAATTCATTGACAGATCCTTTAGTTCTTTATTACAAGGCTTCGTATGATTCTGAGGTAATCGAATCTTTAGAAAATCAGGAACAATTAAACCAACTTTTGACTCATCGTCCTAGTCAAAGTAGTGCTAGTTTACATCTTTATGGCTCTAGAGAACAGGTCAAATTACCTGTCTTTGTCTCTTCTGTTGCAGCATTTAAACGTCTTGGTGAGCTGGTCGAAGAACATAAGGAGTTGATTCAATCTAGTCATCGTATTGCTCGCTGGGTAAGCCACTTAGCCTGGTTCATTTCAATGAATGACAGTAGTAAAGAGTTTGATTCAGCATTCAAATTATTGGAAGAATTAATTGAAAGAAAAAAGAAGCTAGGTCTACATTCCAATCAAAATCATGATATACTTTCTGCTGCTGAAGATGGTAAAGAGTCTCATAACTATTGCTCTGATTTAAAGGATTCTGACTCTCGTCTTGAGCGTTTATGGCGAGGTCCCTTTGGCCATGGTCGCAAACATTATAAAGACTCTTTGAATGACGATGAATTCTCTAGATTTGGCAAAGATTTTTGGAAGCATAGACGCCATCACCATCATCACTCACCTGCCTTTGATGAAGAAGACTTCTTTTTCAGACCACGAAGTTTCATGTTTGGCGGTCATCATGGTGGTCCTTTTGGTGGTCCCTTTGGTGGTCCCTTTGGTGGTCCTTTTGATGGTCCTTTTGATGGCCCTCGCGGCGGCCCCTTTAGTGGTCATCATGGTAGTCCCTTAGGTCATCCTCATGGTGGTCCTCATGGTGGTCCTCATGGTGGTCCTCATGGTGGTCCTCATGGTGGTCCTCATGGTGGTCCTTTTGATAGTCCTTTTGATGGCCCACGCGGCGGCCCCTTTGGTGGTCCTCATGGTAGTCCCTTTGGTCATCCTCATGGTGGTCCTTTCGGTCATCCTCATGGTGGTCCTTTCTTTAATGGCCATTTCGGTAAATGTAAAGACCATTTTAGTAGAGGTAGACATCACGGCAAACATTATTCTGAGAAATCCGACATTTTGAATTGTGAAGATGAAAAGTTAAAGGAAAGTTCATCTTCCTCTAGTTCTGAAAGTGAAGCATCTTTTCATATTCCTTTATCTAAAAAGCATTTGAAGAAACTTCGTCGTCGTCGTTGTCATAGTCGTTGTCATCGCAAGAATTGTATGTAACGTATGACTTTAACCTACTTTATAAAACAAAAAAAAATCATAAATTTATTTCATTAAATACATAGAAAAATAAAAATAAAACAATAAAAACTAAAAATATATTTAATATGACTAAGCAAATTGTGTACACTTTTTTTTTTATTATTATTATTATTGAGGGTTTAGGATTAGGTTTATTGATAAATAGAAATGTATTGTGATGAGCTGAGCTGAGCTTAATATTTGACATTTTATAATTTGTGTGGAGTGATATGACCAATAGAAATACAGGAATTTATTTTTTCTTTTCAGTATTTGTATAATTCGTTATTTTCAGGATAAAAGAAAAGGAAGTAATCTAGATTACCCCAAGATATTATATTATGTATCAAAGAAGAACCTATGCTAGTTATATCATGATTTATGCTCATGTACAAATCCAAGTAAAAATAAACCAACAAATTTCATTGTTAAACCGCTAATAGCTTAATTCGAGAATAATGATCAGATAATTAAAAGAATAATATTTATTTTATGTATCCCTTAATAAATTTTATATCATGTAAAATAAAGAATTATTGACAAAAAGTTTAAATCTATATACTAACAACAGACACTTTTAGATGCAAAAAGTTACTACCAAAGTAACTGAGTTAAGCGGAAGGAACGGAAATAATCGGTAGAAAAAAAAATTTTGATACGTTGATTCAGTAAGTCTCAAGGAAATAAATACATATATAATAAGAGAGAGAGAGAGAATTTTTTTTTTTTTTTTTTAAATAATTATTCCCCCTTCTCCTCTCCTTTCCTTTCTTCTCATTGTCCCTTAAATTATGGCTTCATCTTCTACAAAATCAGCTATCAATCCATTTAATCAACATTGGGCCTTTTTTAAGGACAATTATTTACCAAGTTACTATGAACAAGATATAGTTTATCAACAAGAACAAATTACTTTTAGATCTCTTTCCCCAAAAATAGACCAGGAAGAGAAAAAAGACGGTTATTTTGATGACGATAATGACGATTCTGATGCTTTATATGAAGCTACTTTATTAAACTCAAATTTTTTATCGTCTATTGAAGAACAAAAACCAATTGGAGTAGTAAATTCATCATCGTTAGATCGTCTTCGTCAAATATTAGATCATATAAAACCAACTCCCTCTTGTTATTCGTCAGCACATACTAATATGACATTGCCTGATATAAATGACTTACCATCTATTCGTTCTCAATTCTCTTCTTCTTCTTCTTCTAGTCATCATCTTTCTGCATATCAACACTCGACTACTACTACTACTACTACTACAATGAGAGATTTTCCTTTCTCTTCTGATCCTAAAGGTAAAGGCAAGTTTAAGCCTACTTTATGATAACAGATATTTGATTGATACCCTTTTTTTTCTTAAAAAAAAAAAATAAAATAAAAAATAAATAAATATTTTGTTGTGTATATTTGACATTTCGTGTAACATTGGTCTTTGAAAAAATTTTAATGAAAAAAAAAAAAAAACGATCCGACTATTCCGATTATCAATGCGTTTTTGTAATTGCTATGGAAGCTATTCAAATGCATTCTCGACCCTAGCAACCAAAACTAAGTTCCAAAGTCATGGTTTCTGTAAAAAAAAAAAAAAAAAAAAAAAAAAAAAAAAATAGATAAATAAATAAATTAATAAATAATAGAGAAGCAGAAATCATGTGACAAGCTGTTACTAGTAATAGATGTATTCATATTATACTATGAAATTTCCTATTATATAAATTCTTTCATCCAATCAATATTTTTCTTTTTTTTTTTTAAAAAAAAAAAAAGAAAAAATAACCCCACATTAAAATATCATTAGCATAAAGCATTTAAGAAATTCCAAGATTATAACGTATTGCTCAAATATATTCCTTTCAATATTAAAACTTATGAAAAGAATAGAATGGTATCATGAATAAGAGATTTACTTTGTGAAATATCTATGATTTAGAAACACATTATCACAAATAGCTTTTATTCTAATAGATAAAGTATAAAAGCTACTCATATATCCGAATACTCGCCATCTTATGACAATAGTCAAAATTTATTTATTCTATTTTATAAAACCGAATTTAAACTTTTTTTTTAAACAAAAGATAAAAAAAAAAAAAAAAAAAAAAAAAGTGCTTTCGAAATAATGATGAGAAAGCATTAAATATAAACATATATTTATATACATGTGTGTGTGTGTATGTGTGTGTATACGTATGTGTATATGTGTGTATATATACACATATATATAAATATTTATATATTCATATATATATTATTCTTTTGAATTATAAATAGATTGACAGTAATAATATAATAAATGATGGTTTTACACGTCTATATATCATTCTCAGGTACTACTAGTTGCAACAACGAAAATCATGTTTCGGATAATTTAATAAAGGAATTGACAAAGTCCCACATAGAATAATATCCTTATTTGTCATGTAGAAGCATGTTAACATCAATCAAAATAATAATTTAAATAATATTCTTTTTTTTAAAAAAAAAAATACAGATTTGTATATAAATACATGTATAAATTTATGTATATTTATTCTACATGTTTACATTGTAGAATGATGTCTTGTTCTGTATGTGTGACGGTCTGAATAAAATTTAATTCACAAATAAAGGGATGCTGATCTCGTTTTATTTTATTTTATTTTATTTATTTATTTTTTTTTCCCTTTTATTTTTTTTTTCTTTCCTTTCCTTTCTTTCCTTTATATACAATTATTATTTTTTTTTTACTTCATCTTCTTCTTCTTTCACGCATTATGTTACCTCAATTTGGATTTATTGTAGCTCAAGCAGGAGCAGATTATTTACCTCAACAACAACAACAGACTAATAATAATTCTTCAGCTTTAGCCCCTTTATTAAATAATAAACCTTTTAATTTTTATTCACAACAAGTCTCTCCCTCATCTAATGTCATTCAACCCATCTTACCTCCACCTTCATTTCTTTACCAACAAAAAGAAATATTACCTAAAAAAACAGGTGAATCTAGTTTATTACCTATTTTAGATAATAAAGATACATGGTTGCCTCAACCCACAAAAAATTTATCTTCCTATCATCACCAAGAAGACATAAAAACTTCAACTGTCATTCATAAAGAAGCAGAAATTCACAAAGAAGCAGAAATTCATAAAGAAGCAGAAGCAGAAGCAAAAGTAGAAGCAGAAAATGTAACAGTGTTGAAAAAGCAAGAAGAACAAAACAATCATTCATGGCAAGGTAAACAACACAAGCAACTATTTGTCATATAGTGATTTATAAAATTTTCTTTTCTTTTTTTTTTAAAAAAAAAAAAATCAAAAAAAAAGCGAAATCAAATACAAAAGAAAAAGACTATAATGATTTAATGACTTGGATGGATAATGAATTTTGGGAACATGCTGAAGAGTAAGTGTGTGTGTGTATATGTGTGGGTGTGTGTGGATGTGTGTGGATGGGCGTGTGGGTGTGCATTTTGTCATTTTTCTCTCTGTTTCTGTCTCTCTCTACCTCTCTCTTTTTTTTTTTTTTTTTTTTTTTTTTTTTTTTTTTTTTTTTTCTAAATAATTCGAAAATTTTATATCTTGTAGCATTTATCAGCAAAAATTACTAGAACTTCAAAATGAATTAATTCTAATTCAAAATGGTAACGTACATGTTTGCTGAATTTAAAACTGAATTTAGAATTAAAAATCTTTATTTTATTTGGGTTTAGGTTCTCATTCTGTATTCAGGGAAATTATAGCTGATTTTGAATTAAAAAGAGAAAAATCAATTCATGATGCTGAATGTTTTATGAAACATCAAATTGCATACATTCAAAATGATTTTGATAAGGATGTTAACATTGTACAAGTAGAATATGAAGTAAGGAAATGTTATACATAAAGATGTATTAAGAAATTTCAGTATTAAAAATTATTTATACAAAAGAATGAAAAGAAACAAATACAGGAAAATTTAATTCATTCAATCGAAAATAAAAGAAAACGCGTTAGAGAAGATGACGATGAAGGTAAATAAAGTAGAATAAAATAAAACGAAATAGACGCGTATAAATTCATGACTTTTTATTATTATTATTATTACAGAGAATGATACGAATAATACACATACAAATACAAATTCAAATTATTCGTCCAAGAGAATAAAGCGTAATTTAAGAAAGAGAAATACAGAAACAGGACATTCATTAAAACCAGAACCCTTAGCAAAGAGAAGATCAGGTAATTTGGTATTTCAATTATTATACGTATAAATATATAAAACTCTTATTATTTTTACATATGATAGCTCGACCAAGCACATTACATAATTTACATACTATTTCATCTACAGAAGAAGAGGAATTAGAAAATGAATTCTCCAGTATGAAGGTAAAATAAAAAGAATGATATTCCTTCTTTTTTTATTAATACTATAACCCATATAAATAGAAATCAATTCATACTACATTATTAACTTCACGATAACGCACGCACGCACACACACACGCACACACACACACACATACACACGCACACGCACACGCACACGCACACACACACACACACACACACATTAGACGTGACATAATTATCATTTGTATATATTTATAAATATATATCTTTCTTTCTTTCTTTCTTTGTTTGTTTAAATTAATAAAAAATAAAAATTATTATTATTATTATTATTATTATTATTATGCATTTAAAAGAGGCGTACGTTCATTTGATTCAATCTTTTGGCAAATATCAAATTTACATATTGGACACTAGTATTGAATGATAAATAATCATGTTTATATATAAGAATAACACTTACAAATTTCTTGTGTGACGTTAACCATGCATCCACACACTTAGCATGAAATTCATGTTTACAAGGTAATATTCTTAATTGTTCACCTTCTATATAATCTTCAAGACAAATAGCACATTCAATATGTACTGTATCTATCATCTTTTCCCGTCGAAATTGATAAGTAGGTAATTTAGATACAAAATGAATAGGTGCAATATCGTTTCTTTTCTTTTGTCTTTGTCTAAATTGCCAGGTAAGATATATAAATAGCATCATTACAGCAGGTGATAATACTATAATCAATAACATATCTAACAATGGCCTAATGAAAGAAAATTGTTTATTTATTTACATTATGTAATCATATTAGACTATATACCATGTTAATAAATCATCTCCTGATAACTTTACTAGTATAGGTTTTGTAGTATTAAACAAGTGTAATAATGTTTTATATTGATGCTGTGCTACAAATACACTTGGAATATGTACATCAGAAGTATCACCTGCTTAGTTTAGGTAAATATTATAGATTTCAAGACTGTTATTTCTCTATTTTATACCTGGTGCATACATAGTCACCCATCCATTAAAATGCTTATCACCTACAATAACTGCTATAGATCCACTCGCTTGCATAGCTCTCACTTTTTGTAAGAAGGAGCATTGTCCTCTTTCGACAAGTGCAATCCAATTTTTTAATTTATTTGCTATAGGAATACATCCAAATGAATCATTCGTACCCATTGGTATCTGTAACTGGCCTATAATCTGTCCTTCTATTCGAGGCCCAAAGGCTGCTGTACGATCTACGAGTGTATCATTGGTTTCCTATCCATATTTATTTAGTCTATAATTAAATAGATAAATAAATAAAAATGAGGGGCTCACAAGTATTGTAATCGTTGCTTGACATTGAAGTACATGATAGATTACCAAGATGAATAAAGAAAAATAAAATAGAATCTTGACCATTTATAAATGTGTAATAATAATAATAATAATAAAAAAGAGAGGAAAAATTAAAATAAAATAAAAAATGGGGGAAATATACAATAAATCACAACATGTTTATGCGCGCATAATTTTTTTTTATAAATAGTTTATTTACTGTATTCCTACTAAACAACATACATACATAAAATAAAATAGGAAAAAAAAAAGATTCTTTTATGTGTATCGCTTACTTAAAAGCGTATTCTCACTCTCTCCTTCGCTTTCTCTCTTTCTTTTTCTTTTACATTCAGGTCAAACATCATCTATAGCATCTTTCTTTATTTGTATACTTGTTTCAATCTTTGAAATGAACCTTCAATCATTTATAAATTCATCTTTTAATTAACATTTATTAACTCTAATGACTTTTGCTAATGACTTTTGCATTAGTTTTATGCAGCTTTCTTTTCTTTTTTTCAATTGCTAGTATCCAAACTAGAGTTTTTCTTTGTAATTAAGAAATTATGCATTTATACGAATATTATCATATATTTAAAAAGCTGACTCTCGATATATCTATCATAATTGCAATAGAACGGCGATTAAATGCAGTAACATTAACCTTAACAAAAAAAAAAAAACTTACAGTTAATGGTTTTTATTCATCTCGCTTTGATTTTGTAATGGAGGAAATAATAAATAAATAACAAAAGTTATCAAAGTTTAACGGGATTTAAAATCTACTAGTAAATGGATAAAAAACCTCCTTCTTCTTTATATACAATATATGCTTATAAGTTTTTTTTTTCTTTCTTTTTTTTAAAGAAAAAAAAATCTAATTTACATAAGTCCAGCATACATGATGGTAAAATTAGAGTGTAATTTCATCATGATAATGCAGCAAGTGCCTTTTTTGATCTTTCAAGCTTATCTACTAAACTATAATTTTCACCTAAAATACATTCATTTTTAGTCAATAATGGGCGATCTACCTTTATTATCGTTATACCTTTCTTTTCTGCTTCCTTTTGTTCTTTTAAATAGAATCGTCTGTCCCAATCAATAGCTTCTTGTTGAATAAAGATGATGGTACCAGAGACATGTAAAATGCTGAAACTACAAGGTATAGATCCAATTTGTTTTATATAAAACAATGTTGATAAATACATATCTGTGTAATCTCGTGGAATACGTAATATACCAATATGAGTTATTGAATTGTACCATTTCACTAAAATGCATTTCAATTAATGTGAATCTAACTTTATTTCTATTACCATATTGACTAATTTACGTGTAATGTTTCCTTGTCCTTTACCAAAGGAACCATAATTTAATTCAATTGCCTGAAATATGGCTTTAGTAATCATACTATCTGTTAATTCTAATTGCGTTTTAGGGTAAATAACTTGGTCATTTTCTATTATTGGATCTTGTACAATTTGAAATAGGACCCATCGATTCTTAAAGCGAACCATTTTGTCAAAATATATGAAAACAAAAAAAGTTTTTTTTTTGAGTGCTATCACGGAGTTGTAAAAAAAAAAAAATGGTGAAGAAGAGAAAAAATGATGTTATTTCGGAATAAAGTAATTCTTCCGGCGGAGAATTTTAACTGTCCGAATTTAATGCAATTTGTTTATATAAGAAACTCGAGATTTTATTGTATTTTATTTTATTTCCTCTTAATTTACACGACAAAAAAAAAAAAAAAATGGTTTGCCAAAAGACTTTTAAACTGTAAGTCTTTTTCTTTTTTATTTGCTATTTTTTTTAAAAATTAACTCTTTCATATTAGGAATAATGGCCATGAAATCCCTGCTGTAGGTTTGGGTACTTGGTAAATATTTTTTTCTTTTTCTTCTTCTTCTTTCCGTTTATTTGCTTTAATAGTGAATTTTAATATCTTTTTTTTTCTTCTTCTTCTTCTTCTTTCCTTCCCCTAATTATTATAGGCAAGCTAGTGAACAAGATGATACTGTCTACAAGTCTATTAAAGCAGCTATTGCTGCAGGCTATCGTCATATTGATACTGCCATGATGGTAAATTGAATAAATAAATAAATGTGTATATATATATATTTATTTATTTATTTAAACATCCCTCTCCCTTATTACCTTTTATTTTTAATATTGGATCATACAATAGTATGGAAATGAAGCTGAAGTAGGTAGAGGTATTCGTGATGGTCTCAAAGAAAATGGATTGGAACGTAAAGATATATTTGTGACTACAAAATTAGCAACCATTGATGCTCGTCCCTCTTATGTACCTAAGGCTCTTGATGATTCTCTTGCTAGACTAGGTCTTGATTATATCGATCTTTATTTAATGCATTGGCCTATTGCCATGAATCCAACAACACGTCAATTGATCCCTCTTCGTCCTGATGGTACTCGTGATATTGATGAAGAATTACAAGGTAAATTTGAGTTGACCTATGAAGCCATGGAAAAGCTGTTAGATACTGGGAAAGTGAAAAGTATTGGGGTTGCCAACTTTTCTATTCCTAATCTTGAACGTCTCTTGAAGACTGCAAAGGTTGTTCCTGCTGTGAATCAAATTGAACTTCACCGTAAGTAGTTACTATTATTATTATTATTATTATTATTATTATTATTATTATTATATTATTATTATTATTATTATTATTATTATTATTATTATTATTATTATTATTATTATTTGCCTTACACTTTATTCTATTTAAGCTTATTTACCTCAATTCAAGTTGGTTGATTATTGTACCTCAAAAGGTATTCATTGTTCTGCTTATTCTCCTTTGGGTTCAAGCCAATCCACTTTGTTTCAAAATGAAACATTGGTCAAGATTGCAAAGGCTCATCATGCATCAGTTGCTCAAATTTTGATCTCTTGGGGTATTACCAGAACAAGTGTTTTACCAAAAAGTGTCAATCCTGAGGTAAGATATATACATATATATATTTGGAAGAGAGAGAGAGAGAGATAGGTAATGACCAGTAGATTTCTTATATTCATATCTTATTCTTTATAAATAAGCGTATTGCTTCTAACATTGAAACCGTCACATTGTCTGAAGATGAAATGAATGATATCAATAATATCTCCAAAACAACAACAAAACGTTTTATTAGACCTGCATGGGGTGTTCCCGTTTTTGATGAAGATTTTGAATAATAGTTCATATAATAATAATAATAATAATAATAATAATAATAAAGCCTCTATCTATAAATTACGTGTAGTGGGGAAAGAGAGAGAGAGAGAGGAAAAACGTTATTTTTTTTTTTGATTTTATCTTTTTTTTTGTCAAGAAAGTATCGGAAGAATTGAATTAAATATAACAAGGTATCTCAGGATCAAGCATAGGGATAGTATCGTTTTTAAGGACAAAGGCTCTCCAAAAGTTAGGAATATAAAGATTACGGAATTGAGCAGGTATTTGATTATTTAAATCATTATCTGTATATTGAGCAGTATCCTAATAAACAACCAAAAAAAATATAAATAAATACATAAATAAATGAAATATCATTTTCTAATTTTACTTGGGGAATTCTAGCACCATATCTGGTATATTGATCCTGTTGAAAGCTTTGACGCCATAATAAAGGAACAACAGCACTTGATGTATTCCCGTTAAAAGGTTCTGTTACATAACAATTCTTTCGATCAACATAAGCTTCTGCAAGATCGAGGTTACCAAGACTGATGATATTTGGATCTAACCCTTCACTTGCACCAAATCGATTATCAGAGATCACAATATGCCATCCCCAGGGTGAAATAGGAACAGAGCTATTCCAGATAGGAGGAAGAATCGTATTGTTTACACGTGCTGTATAAAAGTCAAAGAAGGTGATACCCTCATAGAGCCAACCATTCAATTCCTCAGACACAGGTGCCACATCATGTCCAAAGAATTTATAAAGCATGTTTTTGTGTACTACAATATTACTGACTTGTTCAAAGTCAGCATGTGTAGCTACATACATCATGACACCTGTATTTGCAAGATAATTGGAAATAACATAACCATCAACCTATAAATTAGGAATCAAGATGATAAAGTAAGAAAGGAGGGGTTCATTTTTTTTTCTTTTAATATGTATATACAACTTACAGCGGAAGTAAATCGAATAGCACCTCCAAAATCATATATTTGCCAGCCTGCAATAAAGTTTTGATATACATATGTTTGATTACTACCTACAACACTAACAGCATGGTCTTGTGCAATAAACTTGGTATCAGGAAATGTAGCATTCTATCAGAGGAAAAAAAAAAAAAAAAAAAAAGGAGGATGAGAAAGGGAGAAAGAGTTGAGTCAGTATATGTATATAAAAAATAAAAATAAAAATAAAAATAAAAAAAGCCCTATTTACCATAATATTTTCTTTAATTGTAATATCAACCGTACTATAGAGTTGAACTCCAGAGGCAAGATAGCCTTGTTCATCAGAAATATTTCTTCCAAGACATTGGTGCATAAATCGAAGATTACGGAAAGGCCTTTCTAATTGTGGTCTGATAACTTGCTCCAAGTTATCCATCTTTCGTAAATCCATTCTATTTAAGATTGAGTTATTTTTATAGTTACAAAAATGAATGATGCTAATAAAAAAAAATACCCAAAAATGTTATTGGAAACAATACTATTCTTTTGTGCCTGAAACATAATACCCGCGTCTATATACCATGGTTTGTTTAGTATCATTTACGTACATATACATATATATATATATATATATATATATATATATATATATTACTTGTGCCATTAAATGTTGGTAAGCGCTCTTGACCAGCATGTAACTCATCACGTAGGAAAATATTTCCATCTAAAGAAGTTCATCTTATTAACCTTTTACATATGATATATATAAAAGAGACAAACTATTCATACCAATGAATAATCTTTCACCATTTTGTGCTAGTATAGAACCACGTCCACCATTAAAAAACAAGTTACTAAAAATTGCAGTTTCGTTTTCATTTGTATTCTCTTTTACTTGAATGTTTACATTTTCAAATACAATATCTTGAATACTCCATCCTTGATTATCATTATAGACTTTTATAATGATATAGATATATAAAACTTAATATGTCTGTGTGTGTTCTATTTATAAATATTTATATATGTATATCACTTTACCTAAAATGGCTCCTGTATTATTTCTATCATTTACTGAAATAATAGTGGGTAAATCTAAGCTACCTCTTAATGAAACACCAGGTCGTAATATAATAGGATTTTCAGGATCAATTATAAAAATACCAGCATCAAGATAAACGACAGGATTTCTAAATAAATATAGAAAGATGTAGCTTACTACCAATGCTAATAATATATATATATATATATACAAATATATTTACTGTAAACGACTGGCTTCATCAATCATTTCTTGAAGTATAACAGAGTAATCTGAATTGTTTCTATAGTTTTGAACATGATCTAACGAACATTCAATTGTTTCCTGCGCTTTAGAAGAAGACAATACAGCCAGAATAGCAGAGCAAATAATACCAATGAATCTCATTGTATATAATAAATAAAAAAGAAAAAAAGAAAAAGTAATTGTAGGAATGATAATGTTTGCTTATATTCAATTTCATTTTGATCCATACGACGCGAAAACCTTATTAAAAGTTTAATTTCTAATAAAAGAAATGATTCTAATTATGTAAGCTTTTTATGATTATGAAAAGGCCTGTTATGCAAAATTACTATTGTCATACAACAGCCAATCATTTTATTTTATTTTTCCGACTGTTGAAAAATATAATTTTTTTTTTAAATAAAGAAGAGGAAAAAAAAAATACATATAATCTTCATTCAACGACATTCATGTCATCAACGCAATACTTGATACCTAAAGATCCTCCCTCCTATGAATCACTATATCAAACAATTCCTTCCCAATCATCACATGAACAACAACAAAGTCAATTAGCCAAGATAACATGTGCTCTTCAGAGATACATTCGTCGACATTCACCTTTTTTACAAACAATGACAGCAGCTATTTTTGTTGCAGCTACCGTTTCGACTACAGTCATGCTTTTATTATGGCAGCTTCAAAATTTAGCTTCACCGCAATATCCTGAGGATGATTCTTGGTTTGATCTTGGAGAATATGCAATTTTTTAATTAACTCATTCCATTTATTTTATATATATATATATATATTGTATATTAATACCCTCTTTCTTGTAATAAACACACACGCACATACACATATATATTATTTCGAATAATTGTAGTAGCAAAAAAAAATGTGAAATAGACTCATATTCATACTTATTTTATTGGTTTAATATCAAAATTAATATTCTCCTTTGGACATAACATGTAATTGGTATACTAAAGGTAGAAACTGGCCCCATCATATATTGAATATATTACCTAGATTGCATTTCGCTTAAAAGAAACACTGTCCTTTATAATGGATTAAGCACTTTAATTGGACTTTTTTTTTTCTTTCTGTTATCAATGTATACAATGTACTAGATAAGAAATGGTGAATATTTTAGTGAATAGTGGGGAAAAAAAATACAGAAAAGAAATAAAAAAAAAAGAAGAACAAACTTCTCAAGTTATAAAAGAGATCAGGTAAGTTAAATACAAGTATTTTGTAAACGATAGTATACTTGTTGTGTAGTAGATAAAGGGGTATGTATTGGACACCAAAAAAAAAAAAAATCCTTTATCAAGATAATATAACAATTCCAGTTATAGCCTTTAATAAGAGTACTGTCAAGTTTAAAGGTGTCCAAACAGGAGTCACCACCCTATTTGTGGAAAGAAGTGTTAAACAGACAAAAGGCGTGGTGATTTGATTGTAACGATTATAGATATTTAGTTTAATGTAAAACAAATTTATTATTCATGCTTTAAAAGAGATTTTACACCTACAATAATAGACTCTTATGGTCTCTTCTTGGCCTGCTAAAGCTGTAGAATACTAAGACAACGTAATTACAATACCGCAAAAAAAAAAATTCATCAAATCTCTATTAAAATATTAACTGCTTGAGGTTGCCCGCCTCTGCATTCTCTCGTCAGAAACAATGATAGTGTCGTCTCAAACATGAGGGGGTTCTTTTTTTCCTAATGGGAAAATTTAGGTAAATATGTCAAGTCTATTTTTACTTTTTGAATTTTATTATTGCTATTCGTTTGATCTAACCAGTCTCAGTTTCATCCCAAAATATTGCAATAGTAACACTCCTTCATCCTCACTAAGCATTATGATCATTACAGTCAGTAGAATATACGGTGGTCAGCTTTTGTTATAATAATTAGATCACGGTCAACATGAAAAAAAAACTACCACTACTACTCTTAACAACCTTAGATTGATAGCTCCTTAATTGAATGTATGCACCTTCAAAAATAAACAACTGATAATTTCATTTTGCTATCTATATCCCCCCCTTTTTTTTTTCTCCCTTGGGCCTATTAAGGTTTTTTAATTCCTTCACTTGCTCTTTTTTTTTTGGGGCAATTGCTGATAAGATGAAGATAAAAAAAAAAAAAAAAAAAAAAAAAAAAAAAAGACAGGATAAGTCTGTGAAAAGTTTGTATAAAACTTTTATTATAAATTGAATAAAATAAAATTAAAAATTGAATTATAAAAGTGAGTGCAAAATGGATCCTTATTTTATATCATATCTTGTGGAGAACGGGGTTATTTCGCGACAGGAACAGAATGAAGATATCTTGAAAGAAGGATATTTCCTATAAAATGATTAAAGTTATTGTGTTTGAGCCCTGATTGAGAATTAATCACTCTAATAAACATTAAATTATTCGTGCTCGATCTAGTCAGTTATTTTTCTTGAAACTAAATAACGAGATTTCGTTTGTTCATACTTGTGAATGATATAGGGGAGATGCTTTTGATGTATATATTCATTCCTCAATGTACTACTTGAATGAATTTCATTATATTGTATAGTGTATAGATAGCAAATGATTATAATTATAAATTAGTACATTAGGTAATATTATAATAATGTAAATATATAATTAATAGGTACAATCTATAATTCATATGTCTTTATCAATAATAACTCTTTACACTATGTTTAGCGTATCATTATCTCATAATGCCAGTATTAATTATGATACTATTTTTCTCATCACAAGAGTGTCTTATAAACTGAAATCAACTAATATTGTCTGCATAAAGTGTACTATCAATAACTATAATATCATTCGGACCTTCATGACTCTGATATGTATATCATAAGCTATTATCTGATACATCATTATATACACAACAAGTAGAAATGGCAAGTGGAAATGTGGTGCCATGGTTGTAAGATAATAGTCATAATAGAACATATAGTTCACTGTTATGATAATTCTGTCTATAGACATATTTAGCATATTTACCCTTGTATAGAAAAATAATTAATGGAAGTCCTACATCTAAAGATATATCTTCTTGTATTATTGTTCTGCTGAATATTTTAACATTTCTTGTAAAATATCAAATAAAAAGTATTATAAAACAAAACTAATACAAAGACAAAAAAACGTCAACGAGACCGAACAATGGTTCTAAAGTTAATAATTTTATTTATGAATTTAAATTGATAGGGGGGTATTTATAAGAATTGTTAAAGAAGTCTGAGATAAGATGTGAATCACAAAAATTTTAGTTAATGACTGAATAAAATATGCTAAAGATAATGAAGTGTTAGAAGTTTTAATATTGTTTGATAAAGTAGATCAAGAGAGTTTCAGGAGATTCCTTGCATAAATTTATAATCCACAGGTTTAATCATGAAACGTGACATTATAAGTCAGCTCATGACAGTCACTTTAAAACACTTAAAAACACCGATTTTTTTCAGGTGGTGAATTTATTTCTTACTTTTTCGTTTAAAATGGGTATGACGACAGAGTAAGCAGCGTGTTCAATATATGGTCTTGAAGTCTCCTTTGACCACTGTACATTAGCAACTACTTTATTACGTACTGTTGGCCTGGAACCAGTTACAATTGTCAATGGCGATCCAACATTTGCTGTTGTCATTTCAACCAAGAAAATAAATATGGAGCCTTGGAAGTTTAAACGTTTGGTATCTGTCCATCGTATAATAACAGATGCTGAAACAACAGCTCACAACATATCACAAACTTCACCTGTCGCTACAGATGAATATAATTAATCCAGTGAAAGCAGTAGTGATATCAGTGAACATTGCATTTCCATTGCACCATCACGATCCGGCATTATCGATCTTTGTAAACAAATAATGCCCCTGAATCCTATTCCAACTTTAACAGAACAGCTGTTCTTAACGGAAGAGGAAGTCTTCACCATCGTCAGATCATATCTGCCTGACGGTGACTTGATTTCTAGTCATTTATGTGAATGGATGGCCAAAGACGGCGCATGGGGTTTGATGAAACGAAAGCAAATAAACAAACAACGGAAGAGTGGCCGTTGGTATAATCTCATTCGTGAAGAATTTCGGGATTTTACATGGAAGCATATCATCAATATGCAGCAGTTCCGCTCAAATGTAAAATCAACAATGTCAAGCATTTGTACTATTGGATATGCTCGAAAAAGCAATACAAAAGACTCAAAGGCCGCCAAAATAAATTCTGTTAATCTTCAGATCTACAAACTAAAAAAAGAAGCTTCTTTGTGAAGAAGTCTTTGTGTCGATCAACTCATCTGCCAATGAGCCAATTTTGTCGTGTGATCACGACACATTTCATCACTTGTCTCAGCATTTTGTGGGATGTAGCAGTGATATGCAGACTATGATTAACTTCATCACAGAAACAAATCGAAAAGTACGATTGGTTGTCATCGATTTTGCTGGTCCTTCTACCAATGTGGATGATTTGCGACGTTTCATCAAAAGCAACAAGTCCATTATCGAAGTCTCGGTGGATGAAGGCCACAAGGTAAATGTATATACCCGTCATGAACTGCTTCACAAAGATGATATAATTAGCAGATTCAACTGTCGTCAAGGCCCCGTAAAGAGATCCAGAAATACCTAAATACATACCATTGGCACTATATTCCCCGTTTTCATATCACTGCAATATCTTTTCCACATGCAGATAATTATTTTCGTTATTGCAAAAGAAATAAGCAAAAAAAAAAAAATACTTAACCACTTGGCCATTTTCACGGAGCATAAAAAAAAGGCTACCCACCTGTCATGGTTGTAAGATGTATCTTAATTCAATAAGATAAATAGTCATAATAGAATACATAGTGCATTTGTATAATAATTCTCTCTATAAACATATTTAGTATATTTACCCTTATATAGAAAAATAATTAATTAATAAAAGTCCTACATCTAAAATATACCTTCTTCTATTATTGTTCTGCTGAATACAAATTTATAAAAATAACTTTATACAAGTTAAACTGGGGTAAACTAAGAATAATACAAATACGCGTAATAATTGATGTTTTGAGTACAAAAGATAAGGAAAGAGAAAACAGAAAAGACAAGTCTGTAAAAACTTGGTATAGTTTATTGAAGAAAAAATAATACAAAAATTGTACAAGAAGAAAATAATATGGAAAAATGACAAGGACTATTTATATGTTTTGCAAGGTAAGTGATCTTAATAGAAGTGTGATTTAGATAAGTGAATACTGTTATAACAAAGCCTTTAAGCACAAATATTGTCTCCGAATAATTCTGCTTGCAATAAGATCTATTTCTATCTTCATTCTCCCTGAGCTGTCACTGTTACTAATTATTATTTCTGGAGTAAGCAACGCGTTAATATTAATTTACAGTGAATACTCCAGTCATAGCAATACCCATTATTTATAAGCTACTATTACTATCATTTTCTAAGATATTATTACATAATAATATTTAATATTATAGATGTATATATAATATGTATGACTTATGTAAATGATTATGTAATTGAATATAACAATCATAATCCCGTTAAATTCTTATTATTACATAACACAATGTATATAATCCCTTCTTTAATGTTCGAATACTCTAACAATGACTATTATTAAAACTGAATGTAGAATGAATATCATGCTGTGAAGTACAATACACTAGTTTTATTTGAATAACCTCTTTATTATGTAATAAATGATGGTTTATTTCTATTAACTTAGTTGTAAGGACGACTATGACCATAACAGATACGACAATTATCCATGACTGTAAAGTAGCCCTTATCTGTCTAGCCTATCCAAAATGTACATGGCAGCTTCTACAAATTTAACAATATGATAGGCGGTGGTTCCTTTCTTGGGCTTTGGTTTAACCTCCTTCTGACTGCTTGATTTTCGTTTCTTGCCCTTATTCTCCTCCTTTGAATGAAATTCTCTTTCGATTATCTCGGCATCAATTTTCTTGATGTGATCTACTTTCGAAAAATTGACTATGCCGAAAGATGCAATGCAGCCGATTATACTGATGTTAACGCCTTTTTGTGTAGGCACTTTGACCGTAGCAGATACTCCTTTTCTTGACCACGCCTTACTTCTCATCATTTGCGAATGAAAACTGACCTCATCAATAAAAATGCAAGTTTCCTTGAAAGTTCACACCTACGTGCTTCCATTCACTAACAATCTTATTACGCAATTCAATTATTCGAGGAGAATCTCTTTCACGTGTATACTTTGTCGCGTTCTTCAAGGTCAGCTAACATTTCTCAGTTATATGTTTGTGAAGACCACGTATAGAAATCTCCAGTCCTTCGAAATTTCTACATAGCTCCTCTTTAGCAATTTCTAAAGTAACTGTTGGTCTTTTGTCGAACAAGTCAATAAGGAATCTCGAGTGCTCTCTAAAAAGCTTTTTAGGACGTGGTCCCCCCCTTTTTTTTAGGAAGACTAGTTGGTATAATCGATGCTTTTGATGTATTATATTCCTTAATAAGCTTATAGGCAGAACTACGAGGGATACCACATGCTTCTGCTGCTTTGGGTATCGATAAGCCTTCCTCCTGAATCAAGTCAATCATTCGCTTTATTTGATCGTGACCGTATTTTTTATATCACTGCTTATTCTCCTCTAATAATACCTCTTCCATCTGAACAGTTATAGTTTCGACGGCTTCTTCCATCTCAGCTACTTTTGTTTCGGCAGCCCTTTCGAAATCAATGATCATTTCCAAATCTCCATGTTAAATTGCGATGTCTTCAAGGTCCATCTTGTCAGATGAGACTTCGTTAGCTAAAAGTGGCTCATTGGCTGAATTGTAATGAATGAAGTCTATAATCTTAAAAAAAAACTGGTTTTAACAATATCTTAAATAGTATGTTTATTTCGTCTGAAAAAGGTATTCAAGTAGTCTGAAAATAATATTCTTACTGTCTAAACTAAAGTGTTAAAATCATCTGAAAATTATTTTATTTCGTCCAGCAAATTTCTTTTTTCTGTTCGAGAAATTTTCAGAATTAAAGTTCAAATACTGTGTCTTGAATAATTGTACCAGGTCGGGATTGTAAAATACTCTTTTTTTTTTTTTTTTTTTTTTAATAAAAGAGTATTAAGAGTAATAACAATAATCAGTTTTTGGAAATACGTGTAGCATATAAACATATATGATTTTATCATTATTACGCAACTAGGAACGTTAGTTGGTGTAGCAGAGATATTTATTGATCTGTTACTAGCTTCTAATACAGTACTTACAGTATCAAACATAAATGTGTCAATATAATCTTGCCCTTTGATAGCGTGAACAAAATATAAAGAGTGAAAATTTCCGATTGGTATTTACAACAGCAAGATTAAATTTTGTGGTCGTTATATAATGATCATACACTGCTGATAATTTTAATATAAAAGAGCAACAACAATAACAACACTATTTTCTTTCTTTCTTCTTTAATAATAACCAAAATGAAATCTATTTTATTATTTTCTCTTTTTATTACCTTATGTTTTACATCAGCGTCTGCTGCAGTCTTAAGAGGTTACCAAATCAAAGTGAAGTCTGATAGCGACTTTTGTTCATTTATGCCACCACATCCAGGAGATGATGTAGCAGCTACAGAAAATGATGGTGTCCCATTTTGTACAAGACCTGGACTTGGTGGAAAGGCCATCTTCCCTTCTGGATTTATTAAATCTGCTCATTTTAAGAGTACTTCACTCTATGTTCAAGTGACAGGCACAACAGATCGTGGAAAATATTCTCTCAAGCAAACTGACGGTGGAGGACAATACGATAATAAAAATATCAAGTCCACTACTTGTAATGGTTATCCCTATTTTGTGAACTTGATTGAGCCTGATAGTAATCACTTTTGTATTCGTTGCTGTAAGAGACCATCTGACTGCAATGTAGGTATTTCTAGTTATGGCTGTGAAAGGGTTGTACCCGGTGATTACAGTTAATCATCCTATCCCAAAGTCTATTATAAAGCTCAGCTCCAATATTCTCGTTATATTATAATAATAAAACAAAGTTTGATAGTCTATTTTATTCTAGTCAAGAGTTCTTTTATACACAAGTTTGTGTTTCGTTATTACTACAACAATATTTAAACGTACGTGTGTGTATATATAAACAAGCAAATGTTTAGTAAAAGAAGGGGACATTGATATTATAATCCTTTTGTTTATATAAAGTATGACATTAAAAAAAATTAAAAAAAGGCCATTGTTATTAAAGTATATTCTTTAACAAGAAATTCATAAAAACAGAACTTATACAGTTCTTCTGCCCTTTATTCATATTTATTCTTTTCATAGAAGCTCCTATACACCAACTTATTGAACGTGTACCATTCTAAAATCTAGGTACAGATCCTATCCTTTGTTGGCTATTTATCTATGTTATCCCTTTAGCGTCTAGGATGGGTGGGTCGGGCTACGAGGCAGTGAGCTTCAATCATACATTTATCATCTTACCAAAAAAAAAAAAAAAAAAAAAAAAAAAATTGTTTACCAAGATCATATTTTAATTCTTTGTCTACACATATATCTTCCCTCTCTCAGTCGCTGAATCTAGTCTCCTTTCTATCATTCTAGTTACCTCGTCTATTACATTATGGCACTATTCTCTGGTCAGAATTCACTCTCCATAAATTAAAATTATCCCCTCCCTAGTGAAAATCTTGGTTCTAAGTTGCTGCAATGGTTATTTAATTAACCAACGCTAGTGTTTCATTTTTTTTCTTCTTCTTATAACATTATCATAGCTTTCCCTTCACCTTCTTTTTCTTTTTTATTTTTTTCTGTCTGCCTTGCCCATTCTTGCATACTTACTTACTACCCCTTTCATTTTATGTTATATAAAACAAAATCTTTTTATTTATGAAATTAGCATTTTGAGTCACGTTATTTTTTTAGACTTGTTGAACTAGGGGGTTGCTGTTATTTATTATACAAATATAGAAAATGGTTATAAAAATAAATAATAAATGAAAAGTAATAGAAAGGAAAAGGGGGGGAATAGGTATTATACAATATGTATTTAGAGTGAATCAACACACCAAATTTCCAATTTTTCTAAATCATTCATACCATGACGAGATTTACTCACTTGTCTTGCCATATATAAATCATCATTATCAATCATTAAAACCATTTCATTATCTTCATCTTTATATTGTAATCGTATTGAAGTGGGTGCACCAAATTTTTCTCGAATTTTCGATTTTAATTCATCAAAATGAATTGAATTGGAAACTAGTAAAATCCTTGTATCTGTATAATGAGCTTTGATCTTAATTTTATTAGTTGAGCTGCTATTATTGGATCCAATAGTTGAAGTTGAAGTTGAAGATTGAATATGAATATCATCTTTATTAGCGACTAATCGACTTCGTATACGGTCTTTTTCTTTATCTTGTACGGATACCGTATGCAAAGATCCATATACTTCATCTAGATCTTGATCAAAATCACCATAATAATAATGATCTAAATCTTCATGTAATTTGGGTATACGTGAAATAGGGGAAGAAGAATAATGAAGTTGACCTTTAGTTTGATGTTTATAATAGGTTGAATTTCTACCCAACAATGAAGAAGAAGAATATCGATCCTCAAGTGCTGATTCAAATCCACTATCTACATGTCGACCATTTTCTTGACGATGATATCGATAAGAACCATAAGAAAGAGTAGATGCAGAATCATCAGAGTAATACATTCCGAGATTAGAGTCCTTTCTTTTTTGCGTAGAGGTTGATTGAATGGGAATAGGTTGCTTATAACAACGAAGCTTTTCATTTAATAAAATAGAATTATTACGTTTTATTTGACTTGGCTTCTTTTGATTAAATTCATTTACGACTGCAAATATGTCTACACCATTAAATTGTTTTAATTTACTTTCAGGGGGCCTAAATATCACAAAGGGTGGAATAGAAAAAACTGAATAACCTTTCCCTCTATCTTTCACTGCTTGATCAATTACATCATGTTCTTCTGTCATTTTTGCCTTTTGTGCATGATATAAATCCGTAAGACCTGCATCTATTTTACCCAAATAGAGTTGACAGACGCCTCTATTAAATAACACTTCACAAGAATAAAGTCGAAAACTTAATCCCAATTGCTGATAATTGATAATTTGATTTCCACGAAGTTTCTATTAATAATAAGGAGTTAAATAAAAGGAGGGGAGAGAAATAAGTCAAAGAATGTGATAGACTTACTTGATAAGCTTCATCAAAATCTTTTCTTGCGGATTCCATATCATTTTTTATAAAATTAGATACGCCTCTTTGAAAATAAGCTACTGCAAAATAAGGATCCATTGAAATTGCCTTTGAATAAGCCCCTAGCTTTTTTTTTATATCGTATTTAATAATGAATTATATGGGATAATAGAAGGTTATTAAATGTTACATTATATTACCGCATGATCATGATCTTCTACTGTCGCAAAGATAAGTCCAATATTGAAATACATTTTCGCGTTGTCTGCTATACCCTTTATACATACATCAAACAATTAAAAACTCAGTAAACCACCCCCCTTAAATGTTCTTTTATTTTATTTTGAAACTCAATAGATTACTTACGATGAAGGTCTTTAGTGACAAATCATAATCTTTATTATCAAATGCAGTACAGGCTGCTTGCCATTGATCTATTTCAAACTATGATGAACAGTAATTAGCTTTATTTAGAATTAAACATTGACATTGAATAATAAAAAAAAAAATAGTTGATTACCTTTGATGACATTCAAGTTGTATAATAGTCTTTTTTTTTTTCTTCTTCTTCTTCCTCTAATGGCTGATCCTTCCTTCTTTATAGAAAACAATAATAAAAATAAAATAAAAAAAAAAAAAGAAATAATACACACGTACACACAAATGAATAAAAAAAAAAAAAAAAAAAATAGAAGCAAAAGGAGAAAAAAAAAAAAATAAATGAATTTTAGACAAGCGCTAATTGAATTTTATGGGAGATCTTGTAACACGTTTTTAATTTATTCTGTACATACATAAATAAGGGGAGAAGAGAAAGGAGAAGAAAAAAAAAAGTGTGTGTACTTTTTTTATTTTTTATTATTTGATTGTTAAAGAAACAATAAGGAGAAATACAGCTTTTAACTACAATTAAATGCATAAAATATAGACATTTTTATAATACAATGGCTTATGTTTAAAAAATTCAATTTTTGACTGTTTTATTGTTCAATAAAATAATTTTATATTACCGGTGCAAGAAATATGCATTTAAGGATTTATTTAATACTGTAAAATTTGACTCTATAAATTACAATATGAATATTTTTGAACCCAATCATTTAACTAATACCTGCTGTGTTATACTGGTAATTACTGCATTATATATATCGATGCTTATACTGTTCTCATCTGATAAATGATTTTTTTTTTTTTTTTTTACACCGAAATGCATAATTCGCTCTTAGTTGACTTTATTTGCTACATCTCGCTCTGATAAAATATTCTACCCTGTCTTCACTTTATTTACCATAGTAATGATAAAATACTCTTTTACATTCTTATTCAATAAACATGACTATAAAGCATCTCTATCATAGTCATTCTTACCCTAATAATAAGTACTTTTGTGTTATTCCTATTTTGTTCGTCATATTATATTCTTGAGACGATCATCTCTCAAAATGTCCCCACCTCTGCTTAATTATGATATAGCTTCTCTTGAGTTCAAAATAACTTCTGGTGTGCCTGAAGTTAACCATGTTAATAAGGGCTAGAATGTTTTATATCCTATTTTTGAGAAATATTAAAAAAAAAATATAAGCATACAAAGTCAACTTATTATCAGCTAAACACTTTTATGGGTTTTGACTGCATATTTGTATTAGTATGTTAAATCTAATGAAAAAAAAATAAAAAAATAAACTCAACAATTAAGGCATCTTAAAATTACATCTTTCAAATTTTTTGAATGATTTTAACTAGCCCTTCCATAATAAATCCTTCAATATTATTCATTTACCATAGGCTTGAAAATAGTCAACAGGTCAACTTACAATTTTTTTTTCTTTTTTTAGGCAGGGCTTTTTGGGTGGGTTTATTATTAAGCAGCTCATTAAATAATTTATAAAGTGTATATTAATCAGCAGGTATTAAGCTGCATTTCCAGATATAACTGACACATTCTTATAAATGTGGAGATTGTTAACACAACATAGCTCTGAAGTAATTTATTATTAAAAAAAAACAAAATATTGACATTATAGCTTGTTGGTATAAAGGTAATTAATGAAGAGCGTGTTATTAAAGCTTTTAATAGTAATTAAATAAGGATTCAATTAAATACAAATATTACTGCATAAAATTGTTTCAAAATTCTATTGGCTATTTAGATATACGTTATAGTATTTTTTTTTCCTCTCTAATAATATTACTTTTGTTATGTTAGATATATTTGATATGAATCAATTATTTTCTGGTTTAAATAATCCAACAACTAGACCTTTGGCTATTGTTCGTAATTGGGTCTTCAGACTATGGCCCTAATAAACTTGTAGTTAGTGATCTGGTGGACTCATGTTTGGCACTACAAAAGTAGTGTAATTATTACAACATATCCTCTCTTTGCTTACTGTAAATAAGGTAAATAATTCTAAGACCATTTATTATTGACAAAAAATTATTACTGACTAAATTACGCGTTATACAATATATAATCATATATGTATATGTATATGTATACATTCAACAAGAATTAACTATTTTCTGGTTTATATGTCTCCTCTTTTAGCTATGGTTAATCACAAGTCTTAGGGAATAACGTCAGTGTTATCTTTTAAGTTTTCTATATATTAGTGGAATCCCCGCTTAAAGATTACAAGTTCTTCTTACAACCTAATTTTTTTTTTTTTATACACAGATATTTTTTGTATAAATTATAGACTATGCTTTTTTCTAAGCTTAATTTTATCTTGTTAAGTCTCAAATCCACTATTTACCCCCTATTTATATATTCATCTATCACATTGATGTTTGAAACAAATACAGTTCTAGTCTATTTGTTAATTGATTTAACCAAACACGGGTGCAAGTTCTTTAGGTTAACGTAGTTATTATCATCATCATCATTATTATTATTATTAGAATTAGAATTGATGTTTACGTCCACAAATACCTGCTTAAAAAACGTTTAACGAAGCCAACTGAAAATTATTTACTGCATCCCTCCATTATAATGTTAAAACATAAGTCCATTAAATATAAATAATATTTACTCGCTCCCTGACAATTTCAAATACATATAAATATTTATATATATATATATTTGCAAGTGTTGCTGACAGTGGTAGGTCTGAACGACATAAAATAAAAATAAGTAAGAACTAGGAAAGAGAGAGAGAAAAAAAAAGAATGATTTCAATAGATTAACACACGTCTTTTTCTCAGGTCTTTCAACCTGAATAACTTGGGTTGTGAACTTCTTTGTAACTTCAATGCAGCATTATTTTCTATATTTATATAGAAATCGACTTTGTTGGCATTTTTCTTGTATGATTACCAAGCCTTTAAGAGTACGCTTGGATATATATATATATATACAATAGAAAAAAAATATTGCATTGCTTCAATAGATCAGATTTGGGATTCATAGCAGAGGACTGATAAAAAATATATAAAGTTCTTTCTCAAGTTACACGAACAACAAGATGTGAAATGCACAGTATTGCATTTACAAGCATATAAACAAAGCGTACTATTTATGGATTTATTTGCAGAACGAGCAATGACTTATTAGGCTTTTGTAAAAAAAAAAAAAAAAAAAAAAAAAAAAAAAAAAAAAAAAAAGTGATACTGAATGTGTAAAATTTCAATTAGAAAGGGATACAAGTATATATTTTTGTGCATTGTACTATATAAAGCAAAACTTTACAGTTAAAAAGTTAAAATCTTCAAATGCGAAATACTATATCAAAGTGATGGAAAATAATTATGCTGTAGAATATGAAGTAATTCTTCATTATTGTTGACTGTTGTGAAATAGGAGCAAATTTGAATTATTTATAGTATTGGATGGATTTGAATGTGGCAAGTAATTGTGAATAGTAGATATTGATGTAGATTTTTGCTCAATTGTTACGATTGATAATAAGAATATGATTCCTATTTGTTTGTGCTTTAACTATAGTTGAATTTGAACTTTCAAAAGTCGTGTCTATAATAGTGGACGTCCTAATTTGTGGTGAGTATGGTTGCTTTATTGAAGAAAATGTATTCATAGTTTGTCTTTTTTTAATAGCTCGACTTTCTTCCGCTAATTTATTGTTGTTATCTATAGTATTATCTCTTTTACGTGTTTTAATATTTGTTTGTTGATGAGAGGTTGAAGTGCCTGCAATGCATGTGTATGCACGCTTATTATTATTGATTGTTACCAGTTTATTTCTCAAAGGGTCAGTAAAATCAAATGAAAAGCCCTTAAACGGGTCTTCTTCGAAATCGTCCTCTTCTATTGCAGATAATTGACTAATACATACTGGCATACTTGTAAATAAATCATCAAAGTTTGAAATATCTGTTTCAGATTTAATAGTTGGAATAGAAGGTGGCTTCAATTGACGTTCTTCAACTTGTTTCCAATCAATTGATTTAAAATAAGGATGCTCTTCAATAGTTTGTATTCCACCCCACCCTAGTCTTTCATGTGCTTCCTTTTCTAAAAGCTATTTCAATCAATGTTACTTTCATTACACAAATGGAGGTTTTTTTTTTTTTTTTTTTTTTTTTTTGGAGGGTAGAAAGGTTTCATATACTGTTAGGCTTACTTACTCCCGCTAAAAAGTTTTTAATTGTCTTATCAAAACGATGTGGTGGGAATTGTAAAGGATCCTCTAATACTCTCTTATACATATCCATATGTGTTTCAGCCCAAAATGGTGTCTAAAAATCATGTTAATAACAAGATATGTGTATGTGTGTGTGTGTTTGCAGTCTAATCTTCATAGATTATTCTATTATTTCCCTTCCTCTCTTCCTTTTGATGTAGTTATTATTTAAATTCAATACTTACTATTCCCGCTAACATTTCATATATTAAAGTGCCTAAACTCCAAAAGTCTACCGCAAACGTATATGGCTCACCAAGAAGTATTTCTGGTGCTAGATATTCAGCTGTTCCACAAAATGTCTGTGTATAAGGGACATTTTCTTCATTATTTATTATATCATTTTCCGTGAATATTTTAGATAAACCAAAATCAGTTAGAATTATATGTCCATCAAGACCAATAAGTACATTTTCTGGTTTCAAGTCTCTAAATCAAACCACACTATGAGATTCATAGTAACAGACAAAATAAACTTTTTTTTTTTTTTTTTTTTTTTTTTTTTTTTTTTTACCGATAAACAATATTATTTTGATGTAATATTTTAAGTCCCTGTACAATTTCAGCAGCATAAAATCTTGTTTTTTCTTCACTAAAACGTGATAAAAGGGATAACTGAGTTGCGATATCCCCTCCAGCACAATAATCCAACACAAGAAATAGTTCAGAAGAGGACTGAAATAGGTAATTTAAATTGATGAGGAATGGTTGATTTCTTAAACGAACTAAAATATCTCTTTCAGTTCTCGTATGAACCAATTCTTTTTGCTGAAGGATCCATTTTTTTTTAATTGATTTTAAAGCATATAACCGATTATCCCGCTTTGATCTTACAAGTAGAACCTATATTATGTAAAAGATAAATAAATAAATAAAGGGGGGGGAAAGGAAGGAAGGGGAAGGACAGAAAAGGAGGGGTTTTATTAATTCTGAACTATTTATATACACATATTTTTTTTCCTTCCTTCCTTACTTCCTTTTCTTACTTACTTTGCCCATACATCCTTTACCCAAAATTTTCATTAAATGAAAATCATCCAGCGTAATCTTTGAATTAGAATGGTTGGGAGTTATTATTTCATTTGATGTTGAGTTACTTTTCACTAAAGTAGGTGTTTGTGGTAAAGGTAAAGAAGATGTATTACTCATGGCCATATTATCTATCACAATAGGTGGTGCAGGCATGGATGGTGATATATGTTGAAAATTTAAATATCTATCTTCTTCACGCTGGACACTTGTAAAATCACGAAGAATAGATGAAATACTGATAATCGGATGTTGAAAACATCGTTCGAGATACTTTTCAATCTTACTAGCATTTGACTTTTTACGAGAAAAGGTGAATAAGTCTCGAAGAGACCTACGTTTCAAGTAACGCGATGATGAAGGATGATGATGATGATCTAAAGTAGGGGAAGGAATTTTACATTTAGGATAATAAAGTCGAATCTGGTTTAAAAAAAAAATGAAATAAAAATGAAATAAAAATAAAACTAGTAATAATACACATATAAATGTTAATAATGTTTAGCTTACCTTTTGGTGAAACTCCAATAAATCAAATGGGTAACGAATTAAAGACACAGTTGAATGAGGTCCTTGAATAATGACATGGAATACCTATATTTGCAATAGATTTTCTTTTAATAGATCATATTCATACTTTGTTTCTTTAAAACTTACCGATAATACATTCTGTTGAATACATAATGTCGTTTCATATACATGTATCTGTTTCTGGTTATTAAAAAAGCCTAACATTTATACATTAAGCAAAGGAGAAAAAAAAAAGAGTAAAAAGTAAAATAATATAGATATATAGAAGAAGAGCAGAAAATAATAATAATAATAATAATAAAGACCCCAAGAATATCATCTTAATTGATCTACATTAATTAAACTTTTTTGACTTTTGAGACATATTTCTCCTATTGTATACCGCCTCCCTTCTTTCCTTGTTTATAGACCCTTTTTGCCCCTCTTTTGTTCCTTTTCGTTATATTTGATATTATTCACCTCCTGTCATCCTTCTCCTCTTATATGAATAAAAGCGAGTAGATAAATGTCTTTAGTAGAGAATAATTAAAGGTAACTAATTTTTATATTTCTCAATATAACCTTCGTTAAATAAAGGGAGAAGAAGATTTAAAAAAAGAATATAAAATAAAATAAAAAGCATATTGCCTTTAGTGCCACTATTTATATGAGACATACTTTCTAGTTTTTTTTTTTTTTCATAGATATCTTCCTCTCTCTTTTGTATGAATCTCCTCTTCCTCCTATATTTTTTTTCTTTTTTATTTATTATTCAAGTCTGATTGAATAGATAACATTTTAACTTGTATATCTATGATATCTGGCTTAAAATAAAATCCTTTATTCTTATAGTTTATACACGCAAATAATATTAATGCTTATCATCTTCTTTAAGAAGAGGTATTGGTTTCAAGTGTCCTTATAAATGCATTCATCAATTCCTTTCTGTATTGACTAAAATCCAAATCGGGCTGCTCCATTTTCTTTGCTAACCAATTGTTCTATATGAAAAATAAAATAAATAAATAAATAAATTTACAAGTATCGATGATATAAACTTACCAATTCTTTACGTAAAAACTTTAATAAAACCGCAGTCCTTGCATAACAGTTAAAATAAATCCAGTTGTCAAGAATAATCTTTTTTTGTTTATACTGATAAAATAGGGTATATATCTTAGATACACATATATACTTATTATATACAAAATAGGCTACTTACCTTGATATCAAGATGAGTTGAAAATAAAATAACTGCAACAGCATCGATTAATGATGCTTCCCACATGTAAATCCTGTTTTTAATTTGACCGCTTGTATTATTCATAACTACAGTATTATAAACTAAAAAGTCTGTTGTAAATGTGTGCTCTTGATGGAATAATATGGAAGATGGATGAATATGCAGGTCCATATTTTTTGTTATAATCTGTTTTGATTCCTTTAAATATTCTGCAATTTTAGGATAGAGACCAGCTGTCAAGGCTGCATTCACAACAGCGATAGACCCTGAATGAGAATTATATGCCTCAGGAACTCTACATAATTGAACTCCTAATTGTCTTGTATTATATGGATTCGTATCTTCTCTACTTATTTTAACAAATCCAATACTCATCAAGAGTCCCAAATACTGTCTTTTCATGTCTTCGATCATCTCTAGGTTTTGCTCACTTAAGAAGTTATTCTTACAAAATTGACGAATTCTTCGCATAATACTAGAGGTGGACAGAGTAGTGTCCTTACGGAGCTCACTTAGTTGATCACGCCAAGTTTGGTAAGCTTTATAAATGGTTAAAAAATCGGAATTTTCAACTCTGAAGCGATTTCGAGCTGCATCTGCTTCATCCTCTTTACCAAATGGACGAGTAAAAGGGCTTTTAAAGCTAAGCGCAGCTGCAATTGTTAAAATAGGGTCAAGACAACGGAAAATAGCACCAAATAATATCATTTTGCCTATATGTACATCTACTGGAAGGTTTGAAAGATGTGCTCCTAAAGGAGTAAGTATTTCTTGACCATCAGTAGATAATGCTTGTACCTATAAAGATAATCAATATATATATATATATATATATATATATATATATATATATATATATATATATGTATATTCATGTATATATTATGTATGGTTTACCTCTTGTAAAGTTGAAATGGCATTGTTAATCATTTCTTCTGTAGGTGCATCTAATGCTGCACTTAAAACATCACGGATATTGCCAAGATGGCACACTTTAATCCTTAAACATAACTCTTCGAGTGGTAAGCGAAGAATCTCTGGAGTTTCATAGTCTGCCATCTTTACAAATATATGTATATATGTATATTAATTTAAAGTATACACGTATTTTGTTTGATTTACCTCGTTATATTTTTGTTGTGTAAATAAATGGAAGCAAACACCTTCTTGTACACGACCAGCACGTCCACGTCTTTGGCGAGCATTTGCTTTGGCAATATACTTTTGGAGTAATCGAGAAACTCTCTTTTTATCATCATAACTTTTTATTTTTATTTTTATTTTTAATTATTACTATCATGATTAGTCATTCTTATATTTTGATTTATTCCTAATGACAACATACCTTACTACTTTAGCCATACCGGTATCTATAACAACTGTAACATCACTAATAGTTACACCAGTTTCTGCAATATTGGTAGAAAACACAATCTTTCGAATACCTTCAGGAGGTATGTCAAATGCTTTCTCTTGGTTTTCAGAAGATAAAGTAGAATGAAGTGCAATGAGTAAAAACTTGTTTGGATCACCAAATACATGATGACTTGAGGCAAGCTCATATATTTTACGAATTTCATTCATTCCCGGTAGGAATATAAGAATGGCACCTGTCTCTGGTATAATTAATTTTGTTTTATCATCTTCAGTAGGCTCCTTCTTTTTACGAATACAGACATAATCTAATAAGTCTAAAATTAAATCATAATTAATCTTTTTTTCGTCCATACGCTTGATTGTTTTCCTTGTTTGTCGGCTATATTTTTGATTCGTATCATTATCATTATTATCATCATCATCCTGTTGATTAAGAACAGAAGAAACAGTCAATTTAGATTCAATACGTGTAAAATCGTATGGATCTTCATCATCTGAATCCTCTTGAAACATTTCATAGTAAACACGTTTAGTCGAACCATTATGACCTGATACATGAACATTTCCTTGAGCTTATTATTTGAAATGGATATTAGGTTTTTTTTTTTTTAAAATCAAAATAAAATAAAGTATTCTTACCTGTTCTAATTCTAGAGCGTTTAACAGCAAAAGGTGAATCCTCTTCGAGAACATAGCCTGAAATGAATATAATTAGTAATGAATGCTGAGGTTATTCTATGTTTTCTTTACCCGTATTTTCTATCACATCCTCTAGATATTGAACATGCACAGGATATGTTCTACCAGGAACAGAAATAACTGGACAATTTCCAAAATACTGGGAGAATCTATTTGCTTCTACTGTAGCACTCATCAAAATTATTCTTGTATCATTCTATTAGTCATCTTTGTTATTATTATTATTCTTATTTTGTAATAAACTCACTTGATATCAGTTCGAACTTGACATAGTTTTTTCAATATAATCAATAAAAAGTCACTTTCAATTGTACGTTCGTGAACTTCATCTACAACAACATGAGTAACACCATGAAGATATTTATCACTTTCTAATCTACGTAAGAGTATACCCTATTATAGTTCATTACAATCTTTAGTGTACAATATGATTTAATATGTGTATATACATATTTACAGTTGTACAGAAAAGTAGCACATTTTCTTCAGACATTTTACTTTCAAGTCTTATTTGATAACCGACCATTGCATCATGAGTGCCAGTTGATTTGGGACGATCAGCCATTTCACTTGATACTCGATTTGCAATGGACATGGCGGATATACGACGAGGCTATTAGAATATATAATGTTACATACATCCTTTTTTTTTATCTTGTATTTAACATATACCTGTGTACAAACAACAGAACCACTCTCTTTGCTATTTATCAAAAGATCCTCGGCTAAAAACTGTGGCACTTGTGTACTCTTACCACTAAGAATAAAAAAGATAAGTTATGCGTAAGAATATATAAATATGTATATATAATTTTACCAGCCAGTTTCACCCGAGATTATTAAAACTTGATTATTTTTTAATAATTGAAGAATTTCATCTCTATAAGCAGCAATGGGCAAATCCTTTCTCTTATCCTATAACATGATTATTTTAATACTGACATTTTTCTTAAAAAAAAATTGTTTTTTTTTTTTTTTTTTTTTTTTTTTTTTTTTTTTTTTTTTTTTTTTTTTTTTTTTTTTTTTACTTTCATCGAGAGATATTCTTTCGTATTTAATCGTCGCTTAAAAATACTCTGCATCTTGGAAAATACTTGTTGACGTTTTATTTTTTTTCCCTCTGGTTCGATTATAGTTTTTTCATTATCATCTATATCAACATTGTCCTTGGAATGTGCCTATAATGAAGGTTAATTTAGTTTTTAGTTTGTTTTTTGTTTTTTTTTTCATTTCTATTGTAACATGATTTTGTTTTTATTATGATTATTTACATTGTCTTTGGTGTTGACTTTGCTTAATGATTCATCAACTAGCTCAGCAAGGAAAGAGAATCGTTCTTTTTCAGACTCAATAAAAAGAGATTCCTCCTTTGCTATCTAACAAGTAAAATATGATGTTAATCAGATTTTTACATGGAAAATATATTCACAAACCTTTTCTTTTTTCCAACTATCCCACAATTCTTTGTAAGAGGTATGCAACACTTTATAAACAGATGAAGTGTAATCTAAAGTAAATAAACCATAAAGCTATGAAAGTATTATTATGATGGTATTTTTATTTTTATTTTTTTAACTCATATACTTACTGCTATCAATTGTACAGCATCTTGACGATTTGATGTAGCCATTGTATCAGGTAATTCAAAACTTGAGAGCTCACTATTGTTTTCGATTTTTAAAGTTGACCTCCAAATGCCATAAGCAATATTGGTTGAATTATATGATTGCTTTCCCCATTTTCGTTTATTACAGTATTCAAGCAGTAAATCTTTGGGAAGCTTGCCTTTGTATGATTCAGGAATATTAAATTCAATGATATTCCAATGTGTAGGTATTGTGGTTGTTGTAGAAGTAGCTAGTATAGCATTCTCCTCCTCCTCATCCATCATGAGACCTCCAAAGAGTCCATCTTCATCATCCATATCATTGATATCTACATTTAAATCCATGTCATGTTCTTCTTTAGATTTTTCTTTTTGTTCTTTTTCCTTTTGTTCTTTTTCCTTTAATCGCTCTTTCCTCACTCTTAACTCCTGCTGACGTTTTTCTTCAGTTATTTGTTGAAGAAGACGATTATGACAATCTTTTGCTTTTTGCTTATCAAAATCCCAATCCACTTCTAAACTAGCCAATTTATCTTTTAATGCCCTAATCTTCTTTAAAGTTTTTTGTAACTCTTCGCCTGAAACTACAGTTGTCTCATCTTTTACTTTTTTCTTTTTCTTGTTTTCAGAAGGCAATAGTTTTTCAAGTTCCATAATTTTAATCTTGAGCTCGGCATGTTGTTCATTTACATCCTTTGTTTCTTCTTCATCCTATAAATAAAATATAAAATAAAGCAATTTAATACCACGTTTTTGTCTAATTTTTTTTTTTTTTTTTGGTACTAACCATAGCATCATATGCAGCTTGTAAAATGCGAGACTTTATATCATCTATATTGACTTCCTCTTTTTGCTTGGATGGTTTGGTAGGTAATTTATCAATAATAGGTATAGTATCATGTAAGTTAGTGTCAGTATTTCCTCGATCAGAATACGGGTCAACTTGAGTTTCTTCCACATCCATGTTATCATTAAAATATTTATCAAAGAAACCAATGGGCATTCTATCGTAAGGAACATTGATACAAAGCTATCCAAATTGTTTAGTTTGTATGATATATATAAGAGAGAAAGTTGAAGTTATTATTTAATCATACCCAATCTAGATGCTCTTCAATTGAACACGATAAAGTTGCTGTAAAAGAAGCTTTAATATCTTGATTCTGAAAACCTAATCTGACTAAAGTCCTATAAATCAGATCCAATTGGCCAATCGCTTTTTCTCGAGTCCATCCATTTAATTTATGCTTAACTTGAGAAGAAAAAAAAAGCGAAAGAAAGGATATGTGTTAGATCAAAATAGAGATATAGATATATACATCTCAGGGAATAGTTTGCATTTATTACCAAAACTGACATCTTGAATGACATGCAGTAATTCTTTTTCTAAATCAGCACTTAAATTAAATGATCGGAAACGATTATCAGGAATTTGTCGTAACTGAGGCTCAACCGTTGTTAACCGCTCAAAATTAGTCTGTGCTTTGTGTTCATTTAAAGATCTATATTTTTTAACAAGTTTCAGGATTGGATCTTGCTGAATGTCGTTCTGAGGAACAGATAAGATCTCTGTTTGATAGTCTGCAGGGGACTGTTGTTCTTTTTCGGGTTTATCCTCCTTTACTTTTGAAGCAGGTGGTGCTTCTATTTTTTTTGAAGCTACCGATACGGTTGCATATCCGCGATTGGATGTTATTTTAGATTTCTTTTTTGCCATAATGTAAATAAATAAAGTTAAAAAAAAATAGAATAGAATAGAACACGCCCACTCTACTGCGAAAATTAATTACACTCCGTCATTTAATTTTACTGATCTATAGTATGCAGTAGCTTTCTTTTTTTTTTTCATGAAAGTAGCATAAAAATTGATAAAATAGAATAATAAAAAAGACTAATATTAGTTTCATATATGACGACATAAATAGATATATGTTTTGAAAAATGTATAAAGATTTAACTACAAAAGTAATTATTATTTTGGTTAAATAGAGAATTGCAACAAACATTCAAATGTATGACGCATTTTTAATATGTATTATTTGGAACACACACAATAATTTTATATTCTGACCATCTTTTTTTTTTTATTATTACTTTTTGAAGAAAAAAAATATAAGGATTAAATCATATTATTTACAATAAACCTACATATAATATTATATACATGGATATAACACGATGTGTAGTGTATATATATATATGCATACATATTAAACTATTTACAAAATAAGCTGGTTATAATAGATACACACACACTTAATGCTGACTTTGGAAATCAGCAATTAAAGCCTTAATAGCTGATATGGTACCAAATACACAACCAACGACACCCAAGAAAAGAGTAAATAAACAGAATAAAAGTTCATACCATGGCTTATTACGCAAACCGGTTAATTTAAGATAACAAAGGATGGGTAAAAGGAAAACCAGACCACAGTTAGCTAAAGCACCAATAAGACCCATAAAGTCATCAAAGAAGGGAATGAAGGCAGCCAAGATAACAAGGATAACCATAGTTGCAGTACGAATGATAGCACGACCTATCCAAGAACCTAGTTTACCTAATTTTTCATCTGTACAATTTATAAATTGTTCAAATTCAAGTGAAAATGAAGTAGAATAAATAGGAATAGCGAAAATAACGTGAATGGTCATGACGATCATAGAAATCAATTGAGGGGCACCAGAAAAGTTATTGTAGATAGGAGAAGTTGTGTTTCTACCAAAGGAATAATAACCAGGAATAGCAGTTAAGAAATAAAGAATAGTACAGGTAGAGAGACCAGCAGTTACGGCGTACTTCCATTGATGTGGTTTCTTTAAAGCATGTTCAACATGAGGATACGTATTATTACCACCAAAGGAGAAAGCAATTGTAGAGAGAGCTATTGGGAAACCAGTCCAAATAACTGAATCATGAATAACAGGTTCTGTAGCATGATGAAACTGAATAGGACCTTGAATCAAGACAATAAAGACAGCAACCATCGTACATACAGCACCTATAGCAGCGATAGCAGTAACTTCTTTCAAGGTCTTTAAGATTAAAGAAGGAATCAAGAGAAATGCACCCCAGATGATAGCCCAGATTTTATAATTTAATTCACCTGGAGTACCCTTTAGCATAGCTGTCATATTACCGCTAGCCAAGACAAGATAAAGAGCAGGACAACCAAACAAATTCAATAAATGAAGTGATGAAGCAATTATATAACCAACCCATCCAAATGAAGCCGTACCGATTTGTTTATAGTCAGAAAGACGATGTCCAGGCTTATAATATAAACAACGAATAAGAATAATACCAGAATAAACAGCCATCAAATAAGCCAAAATTAAAATTAAAATGCCAAGCCAACCACCATCGGCAAATGCCTTTGGAAGACCCAATGTACCAGTACCAGCGACAACGCAAACAATATTAAAATAAGCAGTTAAGAAACTACCTTTTCCATGTCCGAATTCATTTGTAATACTAGCAGAACGATCTTCTTCAACATAATCGTCAATAACAGTTGAATCAACTTTAAATTTTTCTGATTTAATAGAAGCCTCGTAAATTTCAGTTGCCATTAGTGAAGAATTTAATATGTGTGATATAAATGTAAGTTTATATGTAAATTATACAAGTCTATACTATATCTAATGTGTATGTGTGTATGTCTATTTATATGTAAAATATTAAGTATTATTATTTTATTATTTTTATTATTATTATTATTATTATTATAATTCAAGAAATTTAAAGAGAAAAAAAAAAGTAAAATGAAATGTACAAATAAACAAATAATGGATCTGTATTTATATGATTTCAAAATGAAGAATATTGTTTGAAACTTTTAGATAAAAAAAAAGGAATTTATTCTCCGATTGAATTACCGCATAAGAAGGAAGAATTTAAATGGTTCTTATAATGGAGAAGTAAAATTGATTACTAAATACGCACTTAAATTCGATTTTAAACCTATGACCTCGAGATGCCCTTTTTACCAAATAAATAATGAATGTTTCACTTGCTGGGTTTTATATCTCTTCCACGCATACAATAATAATAATAAAAGCATCGTACTTATTATATGTTAGAAACACCTTTATTATCCATTTTACGTTATATGTGAAAAGTCCCTTATCTTGTTGTTGCTAGGCTTCAAATTAATTGGTCATAACTTACTATTACACAGATATAATTAAAGCCTTCAATTTTAAAGATAATGTGGGAAAAAAGGTATGGCAAACAGGTTATTTCACACGAAGATTAAAATTTCCTTATTAATAATAAAACTATTCATTTCATTTCTTCTAGTAAATTGTGTATATTTTATTTTATTTTATTTTATTTTGACCTTTTAAATATATAAATTATCTTCTTATAGCATCTATAAATCTATTATCACAGGTTTTTTTTTTTTTTTTGATAATAGTAAATCAAAGTCATTTCTTAAACCGGAAAGACCCGTGTTTAAAGGGTGGATCTATTCAATGTTTTCACCCAATCATAGTGTAACTAAACTATCAATATAAAAAAAAAAAGTAGACCATTATGATGAGTATAACTTATGATGCTACATACTTTCATTTTAGCCTCTTTTAGTAGAAAGATGCATTAGAAGAATATAGATTAGAAAGAAAATAAAAAGAATAAAGCAAGTTGTTACCTTTTTTATCAATTAAAGTTGAATACCCCATAATTAACTAAAATAAATAAGTTTTTCTTTCCTCCCTCCCCCTTTTTTTATTTTTAGAGAGAAAGAGAGAGAGAGTTTATTTTTTCGGTAATAATGTTCCATAAAGCGTTGCCAAACTATTATTATCATATGTTCATTACTATGTTCTTATCACCATGATTACGCTGGGATTTAATCTGAATTGAAATAAACCTTATCTAAGAAAAATGATAGGGCAGTGGCACGTATTTGGGTGTTACGCGAATGAAAACAATATTAAACAATTATTTCATTTTCCAAAAAAAAAAATGAATGACCGGTACGTGTACATAAATGTCTTCATTATTATTACATTGAAGTGCCCTGGTCAGTTTATAATAAGTATTATTATACACTATTTTCACAAATTATTCGTGCACCTTCAGGAAAAAAATTTGTGTAGTTTAAAAATAAAAATTGATTTAGGCTCAGAAAAAAAATTCATTCAAATTAATTTTAAAAATTCATGATTTATTATTGCATGAAGTGCACGAAAAAAAAACAAGAAAACTGCATTGGCTTACAGTTCAAACAGTCTTCGAATTTAGCAGCTGAGTATCTGCAGAATCCTTGAAGATCACTCAAAAGGATTCTGTTGCATGCATCCCCAATTCTAGACGACAATGTCTCTTCCTGCAAAAGCTCTTCTCTTTTAAGCTTGCTTTTACATACTGACCAAAATTGTTCAATTGGGTTGAGCTCAGGGGAGTAAGCTGGAAGATAAACACAGCCGTAGCCGCGTTGCTCAATGTATTTTCTGATATCAGCATGCTTGTGAATAGGAGCATTGTCCATAACAATGTAATTGTCCTTAAATTGCTCATGCTGATCCAAAATATCAAGGGTACTTGTAATGAAATTGAAGTAGTGCCCAGTGACAGTTCCGCCTTTGGTATTTCCAGTAGCCTGAGTACTACCTGCTGTCTTTCTCTTCTTCAAAGGGACAGGTGCTCTTGGTCTTCTTACTTTGATGTTTACTACACCATAAGGAGAGATAGCACCCAAAATAGTTGTTGTTTTGGCTTTTGTCTTGGGTACAACTACAACAGCACGGCTTCCTTTTTTTGACCATGCTACAGAGCGCTTCATGTTGATATGGAAAGCTGCCTCGTCAATAAAGACGCAGTTACTCGTGAAATCAAGGTCTGTTTCATTCCATCTTACTACCCAATCATGTCTCTCCTGAATTTTTTCAGGGCTGTTTCGCTCTACTGAGTGGAAGTGTGCTTTCTTCAAACTAATTCTGCACTTTTTGGTCACAAAGTTGTAAAGAGCAGTTTTTGAAATAGATAGGTCCTCAAACTTGCTTGTCAAATTGTCCATCATCTCCTCCAAAACTAAACTTGACTTATCATCAATAAGCTCTTTCAAGAATTGTTCATGCTCTTCTTTCAAGATAGGTGGTCTTCCCACAGGTCTGCCACTACCCTTTTTTCTTTCAATCACTTCCTCTGGATTCTGGCTTTCTTTTTTGTACCAACTTTGAGCAGTGGTCTCTGGCATTTTAAGGGCTCTAGCTGCTTCTCTTATGCCCATGTTTTTCTCATAAATAAGAAAAAAAAATCGCTCCTTATCTTCAGGTTTGTAGCGTCTGTAGGTTCTCTTGCCCTTTTCAGATGTTTGGTCATTAGTATTGGACTCCTCAGACAGCTTCTCTTCTTTTTCATGTTCCATTCTCTCAGGTGGCTTTACGTCGAAGTACTGGTTCAAATCCGTTACATTTTCAAGCGGATAAGTTTCATCATCCACTTCCATATCAATCGTAAAAACTTCATTTCCCTGGTCATCTAACATGTTTCCTTTTCCGTCTTCGTGAATAAAAGAGTCCATACTGAATTGAATATAAAGTGAGAAAGAAAGGCTCCTGATACTGCGCGAAATTTTTTTCTTTAATTGCACGAAACTATTTCCTTTTAATGGCCGAAGTTTATTCCTGAGCCTAAATCAATTTTTATTTTTAAACTGCACAGATTTTTTTCCTGAAGGTGCACGAATAATTTGTGAAAATAGTGTAATAATATATTATTTTCGGGTAAATTTAAGTCGATTTAGGCAAATAATAGAATTTATTTTTCCGTAAACAAAAAAAAAATGTTCTTTTAATCTTTCAAGTCAAAATTAAAATATGCAAATAATGAAACTATCTTAAACCAACTCTTTTTTTTTTAATGCGCTTCCTCTTATACATTTTTTTTTAATTTTAAACCGGCACTCCTCTGAAGGCAAAAGCAATAGTTAACATTCATAAGCCATATACCAATATGACTATAATAAATTTTATAATGGAAATATCCTATCATTTCATTTTTATTAAGCATCTTTATAGTTGATCTCATAACTTTGACGATATAGAAACCAACTGGGTTTTCTTCTTAATAGCTTTAGCTTATCATGTTGAGCTGCAGTATCCCTTTTTAGTTTCTGACATGTGTTGTTCTTAATTTGCTATTCTTCAACGGTTCGACTTTCGAAAAAAAAAAAAAAAAAAAAAAAAAAAAAAAAAAAAAGAAAGAAAGAAAGAAAAAGAAAAGAAAGACGAATATGTCTAGGACTAAATACAGCTTTTTAACATTTGGGATCGAAATTCTGCTTATCGACGAGAAAAGAATTATTTAAAAAAATTATTATCATCTATTTCTTTCCATTGACCCATAATGTAATACTAAAATTCAAATGTCTTGGGTGCATCTCTTTCTAAAGTATATTTGCTTACCTGTTTCAATATTATGATACATATTTTCTCGATTACTAACTTAAACTATTTTCAAGTTAGGTTAACGTATCATTGTATTTTATCGTAAAGACAAATTGATGGGTTTTTATCAAACAAGTTAAAAATAAAATCAGTATTGTTATTTTTTTTTTCATTATTATGTTAGTTTTGATTACAATAAAATACATGATTAATACATTGACTTACTTACGGCTTTGAAGTATATCTTCAGCTCTTTTTTTTTTACTGAATAATAGTCGTAGGATAAAGAAGTAATATTTGTGAGGAAAAAATATCAAAAAAGAATAGAACAACAAAAAAAAAACTATTAATTTATCATTGCATGTCAAATATGTTCTATTTTATACTTTTTTTTAAAAAAAAAATGATGTCCTTTAACAGATCAAACGCTGCAATTGTGCCTTTTTTTATGACTGTCAGGACGTTTAATATACTAGATAAGTAAATGAAGGGAAAAAAATACAACCTATAAAAAATAGATAACACAATTATTTTGGGAGTGATAATATATTCATTCTATAATGGGCAAAGATATTAATATCGGACATTACAAGATAAAATAAAAAATCCAGCTGTAGTCTTTGGAGATAAAGTATTCAAAAAAAAAAAAAAAAAAAAAAAAAAAAAAAAAAAAAAAATACTGTCAGGAATATAGGAGTTTTCAATATATTGTGGAAGGCATTACTGGCTAAACAAAGATGCGGCGGTAATTTGATTATAGCTACTATAGATAATAAATATAAAACTTAAAAAATAAGAAAGCATTACTTTTTTATTAATACTAATTTAACTTGTTTTCTTTATCTATGAAACAGAAAATTTACGCCTGAAATTATGACAGATTGTTATGGTGTTTTGACCTGCAAAAGTTATGGGATGCCGCGACAACGTGATTACAATGCTGTCAAAAAAAAAAAAAAAAAAAAAAAAAAAAAAAAAAAGTCCCCAAATCAGTTACAAGGTATTAGTTGATCATGGATTCTCTTGTCAAGAATATTAGTGTCACCATCTCAAATAAGTTTTTTTTTTTTTTCCTAACATGAAATATGTTATTTAATTTTTTTTTATCAATGATGATGAGTGTATTTAGTAAAATTTTTAATAAGCTACAGCTTCATTCAAAAATACCGCAGGGAAGTCCTTCTTCTTTTGTTGCTGTTGTATGATTAAAAAAAAAAAAAAAAAAAAAAAAAGTTTTTTATTAGCAAAAATAAACATACAAATAATATTAATAAGTTTGAAGACTATTTACAAAAGATTCTTTTTTTAGCAGTAAAATGAAAATCCTTCTTTTTCTTTCTCTCTTTATATATAAAGGGCCTCATTTATTTTACCGTATAATTTTAATTCTACCTATTCTATTGATGATATATAATCTGCAAATTTTTATTAGAAAAACTAATTAGATTTAGCTCCAAATAACCATGTGTAAATAATAATTAAAATAATAAAGTCGTACGTTATTGTTGAATAGAAGCTATGTCATTTTATAAAATAATAATATGGCTATATGATTTGCCTACTATCTTTATTTTAATAAACTTCAGGTGGCATAAACAAGTCTTTATATAAAAGTTAAACTTAACTGATAACATTTTTTTTTTCCTTTTTTATACAATCTTTCTTAATGCTTGGTTAAAATTACGGTTAATTCTTTTAACATGAATTATTGTAAATCCAAATTGTTCATAATTTTTTTAGACACTTATGTGGCCTTTATTTATTTATTTACTTGTATATTCTAAAAGGAATGCAGTAATTGATAAAAAAAAAAAGAGGCTTAGGCAATGGAGTAGTATATATAATTGGAATTTTATTGATTTTTTTTTCTAATACTTTTCCTATATGCTTGCATAGACTTGAATGAAATCTAAGCATTATCCATTAATATATTTGCTTTTAAGGAATATTAACTATGATACTCGGATTTCATAAATTGGATGTGTATAGATTTTTCGCTACATCTATTCTTCCATTTCTTTATTTATGTATTCTATTATGCATATACCATCCCGGTTTAATATAATCTCAAATTATAATGTTAAAGTAAAACAGTCTACAATAATACAATATATAAACAACTATCATTATTACCCATAAAAATCTATTAAAATAATAGTTTTTATTCTCTTAAAAATAGATGTAATCTAATCCAATATAGTGTAAAAGTAAGTAAGGCTAAGTATGATAGTTAGACCAAAATTTGTGTTGAAAATGCTTGGTCAATAATTTTATATAGATATACACATGAGGTAAATTTTACTTGAAAATAATGTACAATCCTGTATTATGCCAGTCTTTGCTTGCCAATATTATATGTTTCATTAATATTACTTGCTTTACAGAAATATATAAATATTACACTACACTTCATACTACTTTGAACCATAAAATTCTAATTTTTTTTTTTTTTTTTTTTTTTTTTTTTTTTTTTTTTTTTTTTTTTTTTTGCTACTCAAGATATGATTAAATGAAGATTGAAAAGTTACAATGTTTAAATATGTATCCTGGATCAACTTTATTATTCATCTATTTCTAATGATTTAAAAGACTTACATTTATTAAATATGGAGAGCACACTAATTCTCTAAAGTTCATCTGAAAAATGGTCTTATTATTATCAATATGTAATTTACAATTCTCCAAGAAATATTTCGCAAAAAGCAATTTTGTTGCATATTGCTAATTCAAGAATTAAACTTTTGCAATAGTAACAATTTCTTAAAATATGACTATTACTCAAGCTACCGATGCTTCTACTATACCCATACTGATTTCATACCTAGCTAGTGGTGATTAAATATTGACTATTAATCGTGCAAATAAATGAAATTGATAAGAAAAAAAAAAGAAAAAAAAAAAAGAAAAGCCTTCTAACTTGCAAGTCTATAATCGTAATGAATTTATTATTTGGATTATTTAAGGTAACTAGTTATCAATAATTGCCACTTCAATGAAATTGGTTTAAATCGAGTATAATTTGACTAAAATTATATTTATGATATCTATTGCATCAGTTATATTATCACATTTAATATATCAATATCGTTCACTTTTTCTTGAGGAAATATGAATTTAGTCAGTTCTACAAACATTTTGTTAATAAATAAAGATAAATTATAAAAGAACTTTTTTTTTATGCAGAATTTTTCTCGATGTCTTTATTATTTACTTTTCTTTATGTCCCTGATTTTTTTTAATGTATTTCACACCCCTAATGATTGTGAACAATTGTATCTATCTACTTACTTCAGTGGCTGTCATTTTATTAATGATATAGGACTTTTTCTATATTATAAGTCTTATATTGGTCCTTTCTGTTTTTGGTTTGTTAACTATCATTCACTGTCATTGATTGAAGTTTGAATATTAAGGCTTCAGGACTCAACAAGTTTAACCAATTTTTGTATATACTTCTAAGATATATATAAGTCAAGTTGATATACATATATATATGTATATATGTATGTATAAAATAAGATTAATTTACAGTTGTTTGAATGGTAATATTACAAGTATATAGAGAAAAAAAAAGACTCTCCTTAATGACTTACCTCAACATGTCGTCCTTGTTGATATCTGAGGCTGTGTTAAGAACTGGTATCACCCAGGTGTAATAATAGGAGACAACAAAGGAAGTTAAAACTATGCAGCTATTGTGAACATAATCTAATTCTTTTGCATAATACATAACTTAAAATACAGGTTTCTGTCTCGTCTTTATTCAATTTACAACTATCGTTTTCAATCAAAATTATATTATAATAAATCGTCAAATATTTCATTTTATTTTTTCTCTTTTCATTAGTACAATTTTCAAACTGATTTGAATTTTTTTCTAATTAAGAAAAAAAAAATGAAAAAAGTTCAACTAAGTAATGGTAACAAAATACATTTACTTTACATAATATACATATATATGTATGTATGTGTCTTCCTAACAATCTATCATTATTAGTTATCATTCTAGTAACAGTAGCCAGTTTTTTTATCTATACAGTATTAGCCATAGATATCAATTTAAGGTTTAATGTAATTCACCATCACGCGTTTGATTTTAAAAATGATACCCTTAAGAATGATAACATATTGGCTGTTTATTTCGAAGGCGATGGTCGCAATATGTTTTACTTGGATAACCACCAGATGATAGATCCTCTTGTCTATACTGGTTATGTTCCATTAAGCAAAGGTCTTCAACGTTACAAGTATCTTATTGTTGATAAAGATAAACAACATATCATTGATGAAGAACCCTTCTTTAGAGGCCCTATCAACAACAACAACAACACTCATAAGACAGTTTCTCCTTATGAATTTTATGGCAGATTAGTAACAAAGCAACAATTACCATTATCATTCACTCGATTTTCATCACACAGCCTATCATCAGGAGCTCATGTTAAAGAACTCAAGAGCCGTGAATTCGTTCATCCTTCAGATGAGATTCCTACATTTCATATTCGAACCAAATATCCTGAGGACATGGCTCAGTTACATAATCACATATTAGAAGAAGTTCGTATCTTTGCTAATCTGACACGTATCACATCCAACACGATTGAAACCTATGATAAAGTCGAACTTGAACTAAGTGGTCAAACATCCCGTTTGTTTAAAAAGTTAAGCTACAGTATTTATATTAACTCGGATAATGATACTACCTCCTTGAATGGCTATCGTCGCTTTAAGCTTCGTTCATGTGTTACAGACCCCAGTTTCCTTCGTGAGAAGCTTTATTATGATCTTTTGGATGCCACACATGTTCCAACTGCAAAGGCTTCTTTTGTTAGGTAATATATACATATATATATATATATATATATATATGTTTGAATAATTAATTTATATATTTATATATATTTGTAAAGGTTATTCATTAACAGTGAGCCTCAAGGCCTCTATTTACTAGTTGATCATTACAAAGCTCCCTTTTTGCAAAATGTATTTGGAAATGATCAACAAGGTACTTTAATTCAAGGTAGCATGCAGGAGAACCCACTTGCTACCAGTAAAATTTTACAACGAGGTGCTAATCTGGGCTATTTTGGTCCCTCCAAGAAAAATTACTTTGATTTAAAAACACAATCAGGTCCTTATAAAATACAACAAAAGGCCTCTGATAATGAATTAGATGGTTTCATATCTTTTATCAAATTTATTAATAGTAAGAAAAACAGGACAAATGATTACCTATTAGCTCAAGAATGGAATAAGCGATTTGATGTCTCTTTATTCCTGAAACAGTAAGTTCTAAAATATGTATATATACATATATGTATACACATACATATATAATAACTGTATACATATACACATATATACATGTATATTTTAATATATTATATACTTTATTCATAGCATGGTCTTTGAAATTATCTTGGGTCATAGTGATGGTTATTTGGGCGCAGCACATAATTATATGCTTTACGAAGATCCTGCTCAAGAGGGTCGATTTATCTGGTTTTCATCTGATTTAGATCAGACCATAGGGAATACCCTAAAGTCAAATCGTCAAGGAAGAAAAAACTTGACAGCATTTGAAAGACTAGATCGTTATGGGATCTTTAAGCCATCTAATCATCGTCCCTTAATAACCGAGATTTTTAAAATTAGAGTCTTTAAAGACGAATTTTTCAAATATCTTTCTGATATTTATCATGCCTTTTTCAAGACAAATGCTATTATAGATCATATCCATTACCTAAAGACATTGATTAAAGTAGATGCAAATTGGGATAAACAGCTTGACAGGCATCGTGCTAATTATTTCGAAACAAATCAAGCTACCTATAATGCTATGTTATTTGAGAAAGTACTTCAGTTACCCCTTGGACAAGACTTTATGGATAGGATCGAAAATCATTCTATTGATTTTAATGCTGCTATTGAAGGACCCATTGAAGGACACCCATCTATTATACCTCTTTTACAATGGTTTAAAGAAGTAGATACTTTATTAAATCTTGTTATCCTTGATGGAATTTAAAATAAAATTTCCTTCCCGAAAGAAAGAAAGAAAAAAAAAAAGTCATTGAGCGACGTCTGCATTATTAGAAATAAAAAAAAAAAAAAAAAAAAAAAAATACAATCACGTTGTTTTCCCTTTTTTTTTTTTTTTTTGTTTTTGTTTTCTTTGCAATTCAAGTTTTATTATAGTTAATTTCAAATTTTTTAGTATCTACCATGTCTCTTATTTATGGTTTAATTGCTCGTGGTTCAACCATTTTAGCCGAACATACAAATAGTAGTGGCAATTTCGCAACAAGTAAACTGAATGAATAATGTTATACATTTATATGTATGAAGGCTTAATTTTCTTTCTGTAGTTACTCAAGCTATTCTTGAAAAGATTCCACCTAATAATTCTAAACTTACTTACGCCTATGATAGGTAATAATAAAATAAAAAAAAATGTTGTATTTATATACATAATTTATCAACAATTTCTATTTATGTGTCATATAGATATTTGTTTCATTATATTTGTGAAGACGGTATCACATATATGTGTATGGCAGATGATTCGTTTGGTCGTCGTATCCCTTTTATCTTTCTTCAAGACTTGAAAAATAAATTTTTGTCAACTTATGGACGAAAGAGAGCACTCGACTCACCTCCTTTTGGCCTGAATGAATTCTCTCGTGTGATTGAAAAACAAATGGTAATACTTCTTCTTACTATCCATGTAGACGTTACTTGTATTAATCATCATATATATATTCATAAAGGATTACTTTTCTACAAATCCTAACGCTGATCGTTTAAAACAAGTTCATGGTGAAATTGAACAAGTAAAGGATGTTATGGTTCATAATATTGGTAATGACATCATAATAAATATAAGCACAAAAAAAAATTAATAGTACTATGTTTAGAGAGAGTATTAGAAAGAGGTGAACGTATTGAATTATTAGTAGATAAAACTGATAATTTAAATCAACAAGCATTTGCTTTTAAAAAAAGAAGTACACATTTAAAGGTAAATGCTTATATAAACATTTATATAATATAAATAACAAGCTGACACATGTCAACAATAGCGTGCTATGTGGTGGAAAAATACAAAAATTATAACTATGATTTGCTTAGTTTGCTTTGTAAAGTAAACAAACGTTTATTAGTAAACACTTTTTTTTTTCTAATTCCATTTATATCTCTTAGTTAATCGCTTATTTCATTGCTGGCTCTGTATGTGGATTCCCTGGTAAGTAAAAATAACATACAATATAAATATCCTTCTTCTTTCTTAACAATGATTACATAGCTTTTGGATCTTGTAGAGCATAATAAATGACTTTTTTTTTTCCTTTGCTTTTATTTAAAAATACACATACTTATAAATCTAAATATTCTATATTAAATCTAAGAAGAAGGTGGTGGTGGTGGATGAGTTGTATTTTCAGCTGCTTTGGTTGCCGCTGCCGCCGCTTCTTCGGTTGCTTTTGCCTTTAATTCCATATCAATTCTCTCTTTAGCTCTTACTACTTTTGATTGAATATAAAATGAACCTCCTTTTGCTGGATCATTAGCAGAAAATAAATGGTCATAATTCTAATTACAAACATTAGATTATATCTATACACACATTTCATATATATATATATATATATATACCTTTGTTAGTTTTTGAATATCTGCATCTTTTGTCACATTTAATATTTGACAAGCCTCCTCTATTGACATTCCTGTTTTACGAGTTAAGGCATCCAAGACAGCTTCTTTAGTACCGGTCCTTCCACTAGAACCTGCTGCTGCTGCTGCTGCTCCTCCATTCTTTGCAGCATCTACATTCATGTATAAATTTTATGATTCAAATTATATAATCCGTTATAACTTACTTGCTGCGGCTTGTTTATAGGCTGCAACGAATGCTCTGGTCACAACAGAACCTAATGAGACAACAATTTGTGCAATAATTCTAGCAGACTATTTTTAAAAAATAAATAAGTCAACCATCTTGATCATAGTATATCCAATTTACCATTTATGTGCTTGTATGTGTATATATAGATTTAAAATAATGAATATGTGTATATGTATAAGATTAGTATAGTTAGGACAAAAAAAGAAAAAAGAAAAGAGTAGCTTTTAATGATAGGAAAAAAAAAAGATTAAACCAGGCGGGGCCTGTTTATCGTTTACAAAAAAGGATTAAGACAAAAAAAAATGAGGGCCAATAAATTTCATTGATTTCGTGAATAAAAAATATGTTCGATCTATTCATATTTTATTGTAAGCAATGAACACATCATCATTATTTAGAAAAAGACAGATTTAGAATTTAATACTTGATTAGTAAATTTCAAATGAATCTTGTCTACTTCTTCATTTTGGGTATCACAATCTTGTTGAGTTAAATCTATAAACCATTTCATATCTTTGGTAAATGCCTGATCTTCTGGTCTCTCTTCAAAGGATCCATTTGAATTCGTCACATTACTTATAAACTCTTTCATTTCATCTATGATACAGTATAAATAAATAGATGAATAAATAATCATTAAAGAAATAACTTACGTTCAATTTTAGAGAGTGTTAGATCAGTATTCCCATGAGTCTGCATTAAAGTGTCAATTACTTTGTATACACGTTAGTAATTTCATTTCATTTTTATATTTATACTACCTGGTGTGGTTCTCCCTGTAACAGAAATCATATGCCTTTTTACTCGCTCTATAACACTATTGATTTATGAGTCATTATATTATATACACATACATATACATATTTACACTGTAGGTAGTTTTGCTAGAGCTAGATGGGTTAACATAAATTCCCAATCTATTGCACCTTTATGTTTCTTTGAGCCATTATTTTCTGCAGTATTCTTACTTTCAGGATCTTTTTCATTTTCTGAATATTCTTCCTCATCTGAATCATTCTCATATTCATCTTCATTTTCTAAATTACCCTCCTCAACTGAATCATTCTCATAATCATCTTCATTTTCTAAATAGTCTTCCTCATCTGAATCACTCTCATGTTCATCTTCATTTTCTGAAGCATTCTCCTCAGTTTCAGATTCATCTTCATTTTTCGAATTATCCTTCTCAACTGAATCCTTCTCAGAACTATCATCATTTTCTGCAACATTCTTATTCTCGGAATCATCTTCATTTTCTAAATTCTCCTCATTTGAATCATTCTCAGAATCATCAGTGGATGAATTAATATTTAAATCAAGTATCGTTTCGCAACCTTCTTCAAGCTCTGATTGAATTGGTTTGTATGCATTGGTCATATTACATAATATACGATCTATAAAACATAAACAAGAATTTTTTGTAAAATCAATTCGATTTTCTAGCTCCTCATCATCTGTTTCGTCTTTTATTTGTTCTTTTTCCTTTGTCGATTCATCATCATCAGTGGCTTCTTGATCCGTCTTTTCATCATCTCTTGTTTCTTCTTTTTCTACATTCTTTTGAATAGTTGTTCTTTTTATTTTTGAAGTTAAAAAATTGTGTATAAATGTTTCTAATACATTCTCAAGAGAATCCTTCTCGAGTTGTGAGTTGTGAAAATGGTCCTCAATATCATCTTTCATATTGACTTTTCGTGCATCCGATCTTGAAATCGTCTTGCCATCCCATTCATTTTTTCGATAATATCTAGTCCCCGTGCCTCTTACTTTGGCTGCATAGTCTTTGGATAATTTTATATATTTTCCTCCTCTATAAATAACATGATGAGTTTAATGTAGTCTATATGTATATATATATAAATATATATTCATGCATGAAGATTACAATGATGTATTTAGTAATTGATTAGTAACTTCTTCAGAATCGTTTAATGAATTTTTTAATAATGTCAATTTTCGTTTATACGGTATAATCGACATTGTTATATATAATGAAACAAAGAAAATAAAAACAATTTTATGATTTTTTTTTTTTAAAAAAAAAAAGAAAAAATTCTATTCTATTTTATGAACTAATAAAAAAAAAATCTATCTATTTAGTAGCCATCAAGGCTTCAATTTCTTCAATCTCCTTTGGAACAGTTGTCAAATTGTGATAACCATCTTGAGTGATGACAATATTGTCTTCAATACGAACACCACCAACAGGTTTGTATTTGTTTAATACATCCTTATTGATGTATTTACCTGTTTTAGGATCATTCAAGACAGGATCAATCAAGAAATCACAGAAATAAACACCAGGTTCGACAGTGACAACAAAGCCAGATTGAAGGTTACGACGCATACGCAAATTACGAATACCAGGAGCATCAATACGTTCAGTACCTTCTGGATAGCCACCAAGATCATGAACGTCAAGACCAAGCATATGACCAACTAAGAATATAAATTAAGAAAAAAAGAAAAGATGGGTGCATATTAGTTACTTACTGCCATGAGGGAAAAAGGCGGCAACTACATGATTAGCCAAGATTTCTTCTTTATCACCAACAAGAATACCGCACTCCAAAAGTCCATCACAAGCAACTTTAGTAGCAATGTTATGAATTTCTTCCCAAGCAACACCTGCTTTACAAGCATTGAGACAAGCCTATTTATAATCAAGTTAAAAAAAAAAGGAAAAAAAAAAAGGAAAAAAAAAAAGGAAAAAAAAAAGGAAAAAAAAAGGGCTTGACAAAATTTACCTTTTGCATGTCAAGGACAATAGTATAAATAGTACGAGCTTCAGGAGTAAATTTACCACCTACAGGGAAACATCGAGTAATATCAGAAGCATAGCAGCTTACTTCACAACCAGCATCAACAAGAACAATATCAGATGCTTGCTTGAATGGAGCATTATTTTTGTTATAATGAAGTGTAGCAGCATTTTTACCGACACCCACAATAGGATAATAGGCTTGGAAAAGAGCACCATAACGATGACATTCATACAAGAACAAAGCATGTAATTGAGTTTCACTAGCGCCTTCTTGAGATGCTTTCATCAACTATTATAATAAGAAGAAAGAAGAGGAGTAAATAAAGGTGTGTTAGATGATCATACATACATACTTACTTTCACGTGAGCATTAGAAGAGATTTCATTAGCTTTACGAATAATCTCAATCTCCCAATCAGATTTGATAGCACGAGCTTCAGCAAAAGCAGTATGTAATTTTTTACTTTCTTCAGAACTACAAAGCTTAATTTCAGAATCAAGTTTATCTGTCTTTGTAATAGGTAATGTATAAACAATAGAAGCAGAAAGTAAATGTTGAGCTAATTGATCAACATAAACAACTTCATCAACATCGTATTTTGCCTTGAGTTCTTCAAGTGAATCGGGCATGCCCATCCACATTACAAGTTCAGGATTGACATTGGGAGCAAATAAACGGACATGTTTTGTTTCAATGTCAATAGTAACATGGAAATCGGGCTCAGCAACACCTACAACATAATTTGTTAAAAAAAAAAAATAAAATAAAATAAATATATATGAATATGTATATATATCGTATATACCAGTGACATAAAAGAAGTTGGATTCTTGACGAAAAGGCAATTCAACATCTGTATCATCTCTTTCAACAAGTACTTGGCCATTCAAATAAATAAGACCCTTTTGAGCATCAAAATTTTTCAACACTTTTTGAACATTTTGAAGCGTAGGGAGGCGGTGTGTGACAGACATTTTGGTAGAGGGAAAAAAAAAAGAAAAAAAAAACAAAAGTTAACCAGGTAAATGTTTGTATGGCAGCAGCTTTGTCAAGTTCAAATCCCGAGTAAAAAAAAAAATAAATAAATGAAACATTTATAAACAGATAATTTCATCTTTTTTTTTTTTTTTTTTTATTTCACTCTTTCACCTTTTCTTATTGTTGTTATTATGCAGTTCTCTAACATCTTTAAGCACCATCATAAAGATACAAAGACTGAATCTACTCCAAAAGAAGAAAAAAAGCATCATCATCATCATCATACCGATACTTCGAATCTTCCTAAAGGATTTGCTAACGATGTTATGAGATCTTCTAATAAGCCTGATACTCTTTATGGTTTTGATGACCCTACTGCTAGACGTTTAGGTCCCGTTCCTAGTGAAGATCCTACTAATACAGGTGCTTAAATAGTATTTTATGATATAATAATAATCTTTATTATAATAATAAACATGAATGGATGTTGTACTTTTATAATACCGCGGAACGAATGCATCATGTATAAATATAGGCTATTCATATAAAAATCTTGCCTTGTCTCAAACTTTATAATTATCGAAAATGAGGCTTGTGTATTTATTTTCAGGTAACATGACAGCTATTATCACTCAAAAAAAAAAAAGACCTGCTTAGCCTTATTCTTTTATACGTACTTTATTTTATTTATATATTTTTATCTTTTTGGTTTAATAAAAATAAATAAATAAATAACAGTTCTATCTTTTAACCACTATGACTATTAAATAAATAAATAATCATTATATCTTCTAACAACTTATGGCTATTATGTGATCTATTCTATGTTAGAAATATACAATGCATTTTTAGTTATCTATTATTTGTTTATATAATTAAACTCCGGCGTGACTTGTATGGTAACAGCATTTATTTTTATTTTATTTTTTTTATTTTATTTTTTTTTTTATTTGTTTAAAAAAAAAATACACAACTGTGAACAATAAGTTCATTAGCATACTTTCTTACTTATAAACATATACCTCATTTATAATGGATTACGAAGACGACGAGCCTCAAGAATATAATGAGTAAATAGTTATAATTGTTTACTAATTTAATATTTAATTATTTTTCTAAAAATAAATAAATAAATAAATAGTTATGATGATCATTATGAAGAGGTAAAAAAAAATAAATAAATAAATAAACATTCATACAAGTAATGATTAAATTAAATAATCATTAGCTGATTGAAGAAGATCCTTACGAAGAACAACAACCAACAGAATCAATTCAAATTCTTGATGATGTGATGGCAGGAACTATGACAACTGAATCAAATAATAACAATAATCCTGTTGAACGCACAGAACGATTGACAACACCCTATTTAACAAAATACGAACGAGCGAGAATTTTGGGAACAAGGGCATTACAAATTAGGTAAAAAAAAAAAAAGGCTATCAATTATATGAAGGGTAATGTTTTAATGATTATTTAGTTTAAATGCACCTGTTATGGTGGATATTGATGGTGAAACTGATGCACTTGCTATTGCAAATAAAGAATTAAGAGAAAAAAAGATTCCTTTGATTATTCGTCGATTTATGCCAGATGGAACATATGAAGATTGGAAAATTAAAGATTTGATTATTGATTAAATAAACACTGTATATTGTCATTGACTAAATAATATAAAACTAGTTTTCTTAATGTGTGTTATTATTGATGATACAAAATTTGATATAACATTAGATTAGTATCGTTCATTGGCTATATTATATCTTAACTGCATCTTTTGTTATACTAATTTTTGATTGGGAATACAATTTAGGAGTCTTCTTCATGAATCACTTACGCGTAACTTTGTTTCAAAAAATCAAATTGAATTAAAATTAAAACTCAATTTTTTTCTTTTATACACGGGACCGCCATGTTGTTTCTTCTATTTTTTTTTTTTTTTTTAATTTCGGTTAAAGGAAAACTAGACAAAAAGTTTTTATTTTATTTTTTATTTTATTCAATTTAAATATATAAATTCCATCTTTTAAAGAGAAAAAAAAAAAAAGCAAAACAAATTCAATACTTCTTTTTTTTTATATACATATATTTGAATTGAAAAGAAAATAAACATCAAAAAGGAAAAGAGGTAAACTAGTGTCGCGTTTTCATGATTATAATTACACATAAATACATATATATAAAAAAAAGATGGCTCAAATTTAAATAATCTTTCTTTTTTTTTTCTTTTGTATATAAATGTATATATTATTTAATATAAATTAACTCCTATTTATTATTTCTTTCTTGTTCTCCTTTATTTTGTATAGAAAAGATGGCAGCAACTGTACCACAACAACAAGTTACTGCTGCACAAAAGTTAGCTCAAGTCAATGAACAAACTTGGTTAACAATGGGTATAAATGATACCAAAAATAAAGTTGGACATTTTTTTTTTAAACTTGCATTTATTTAATAGGTAACTTAGCAGAAATGATGACTGATTATGATAAAGCCATGAATTGTTATGAATCAGCTTTGAGACATAATCCATATTCTGTAGTTGCCTTATCCCAGATCGCGTCTTTATGTAGAGGTCGTGAACAATTTGGAAGAGCAGTTGAATATTTTAAAAGAATTTTGGCTATTCAAGAAAATAATGGTGAAACTTGGGCTGCTCTTGGTCACTGTTATTTAATGATGGATAATCTTCAGGAAGCCTATCAAGCATATCAGCAAGCTTTATACCATCTTCCAAACCCAAAGGTAGAGAGATATACTATGCTTAATTTTGACAACTTTTTATTATTAGTAGTAGCAGTAGTATTAATTTAATTATTAGGATCCTAAACTTTGGTATGGTATTGGTATCCTTTATGATCGTTATGGATCTTTGGAACATGCAGAAGAAGCCTTTTCAGCTGTAATGAAGATGGATCCAAAATTTGAAAAGGCAAATGAAATCTATTTTAGACTTGGTATTATATACAAGCAACAACAAAAATTTGATCTTTCCCTTCAGGTATATAGAATAACGTGATATAGAAAGTATACATATAATAATCTAGTTTTTTTTTTCCTTAGTGTTTCCGTTATATTCTTCATAATCCTCCAAGACCTTTAACTGAATCTGATATTTGGTTTCAAACAGGTCATGTCTATGAACAACAGAAAGAGGTATGTATAATATGGATTTTATTTTATTTTAGGCACAAAGTAGAATTAAAACTATTTTATATAGTATGAACTTGCAAAAGAAGCTTATGAACGTGTATTGGCTGAAAATCCTGATCATGCTAAAGTACTTCAACAATTAGGTTGGTTGTATCATCAACAAAATACATCTTTCTGTAATCAAGCTTTGGCTATTCAATATCTTACTCGTTCACTCAAGTCAGATAGTAATGATGCTCAATCGTGGTATCTTTTAGGTCGTTGTTATATGGCTGAACAAAATTATAATAAAGCTTATGAAGCTTATCAACAAGCAGTATATCGAGATGCTCGTAATCCTACTTTTTGGTGCTCTATTGGTGTACTTTATTACCAAATTAATCAATATCGTGATGCTTTGGATGCATATAGTCGTGCTATTCGATTAAATCCTTATATTAGTGAAGTATGGTATGATTTAGGTACACTTTATGAATCATGTAATAATCAAGTACAGGATGCTTTGGATGCCTATCAGAGAGCAGCAGAATTAGATCCTTCTAATCCTCATATTAAACAAAGACTTGATTTATTAAGAAAATCACAGAATATTCAATCATCACAAGTAACTGCGCCTGTTCCTCAAGATGTCAGTAATCCAAGTCAATATCAAACAGGTCAGCAATCATCTTATAATCAATCCTCTGCACCATCAGGTCCTCCATCCAGTATGTCTGCTTATCATACTGCTATGGGCGGTGGAAATCCACCTCGTCTTAATGAAGATCGAGTTCCAACTCCTCAATTACCTGTTAATCATAATATGAATGTGCATGAGTCTAATAGTACTGGACCTGCTAGAGATCTTCCTATGCCTGGTCCTCCACTCATGAACTCCAGTCGTCGTTCTCCTGGTCCTTATTCTCAATATCCTTCTCATTCTTCAAATAATAATCGTGAAGATGTTCGTATTCCTGATATTGGAGGTGGAGGTCGTGCACCTACTCCCTCTGAACGTTCTCAAATGAATCCAATTATTCATGATGAAAGACATCATCATCCTTCACAACAACAGCAGCAACCACAACCACAACAACAACAACAACCATTACATAATAATTTACCTCCAATGTCAATGCGTCAACCTTATAAACCAACCGAAGAAGCACGTTCACCTAATCCACGCCCATCACCACGTACTTCACATCCATTGGTTGCTCCTCCTGTTCAACAACAACCACAACCTTATGATCATCGTTTATCTCCTCGTACAGGTCATATGGAAGGCTATCGTTATGAGCAACAACAACAACAACAACAACAACAACAGCAGCAGCAGCAACGTTCACCTGCTCAAAGATCAATGGAAATTGATTCATCTTCACCACGCTCTCGTACAGATTATCGTATGAAACATGAAGAAGTGACAAACAATTATCATCCTATGTCATCACCTGTGAATAGATCCAATACCAATAGTCTACCTCCTACAACAGACCATTTTAAACAAGAAGATTCTTCATCACCTATGATTGAAAAAAAGCAAATTCAAGAAAAGATGATAGTGACACCTAAACCAGCTACTACAACTAGACAGACTCATGTAGATGAGAATTATGATGAAAGTGCTGCAGATGCTCTTTTAAGTATGGGTAATCCTCATTTAGGTCAGAAGCGTGCATTACAATACGAGCAAGATGAAAATAAAAAGGCAAGACCTGATAATAATGTAGAAAAAATGGATATGGAAGACGAACATGAAACAGCACCGAAAGAAGTTATTCAAAAGGAAGAAGGTAAAAATGATGAGGATAAAAAAGAAATTTTGATCGAAGAAAAACAAAAAGAAGATTCAAAGGAAGAACCTGAGGAAGGAGAGGTCGAAGAACATGAAGAAGGAGAAGTTAAAGAAGATGAAGAAGTAAAGAATATTGCCCCAACTGCTGCAGTAGCTGCCACAAATGCTGCTACGGCTGCTGTATCACAAACAATAACAAAACAAGACTCTTCAGCCTAATCTTTTTTTTTCTCTCTCTTTTCTTTTTTTTTTTTTCGCACAATAAAACAAAATTATTATAACATTTTTGCTTAACAAACAACATTCCTTCCCTTTTTTTTTTTGTGCAGTATTTAATCAAAACAATCTACACTTTCCTTCCTTCCTACACACACATACATACATTTATATTATCATGATACAATGCAATAGAACTTATATATACTATAGTTCTTTCTCTCTCTCCTTTCCTTTTCTTTATATTATATGTATATAAATAAAATGACTGCCATCATGCGCCATTAAATTAAGCATTTGCAGTGACTCCGCCATAGTATCCATCAGCATGTGGATAAATAAGTGCTTCAGAAGACGAATGACGTCTTGAAATTTCCCTTTCATTCGATTCATATTTATCTCCAACCCATAAGGCAGCACCCACCACGTTTGTCCACATAAACAATAAATTAAAAATAGGAATTAGTTCTAGTGCAACGGCAACTGTACCAAAACGACAATATTCAGTTTTATGTTTCCAAGCGAATCTTCTTGAATCACTCACTGAAAAGCCTCTAAATTCAAGGTCATAATGAATATGATGACCCCAACTGAGGAAACCCCCAATAAATATTAAAGCAATTTAAGGAGCCATATATAATATAATATATGTATACTATGTGAGAAAAGTGATCGAGTTTTTTTTTTTTTTTTTTGTTATAAATACTTTACCATGCTACCCAACCATTGATATAACAAGCTATAAAGGTGCCTATGAAGGGTATCAGATGTAAAGGAGCTGTAATGACTAATACAAATACTTGAGCCACTACTAGAATCCATAATAAGGCCAAACCAGAACTAATACCTCGACAAAACAGTCTGAGACCAGATACGGGGACTCTATTTAAAAACATCCTATCTAGACCTCTTGCCTTTAATGTCGCATCAAACAAAATATCCTGATAAAAGGCAAGCACGATAGCAAAGAAAATTAAATCTAGTATGGCTGATTCTAATATGACAAATAGAATAGAAACTATCCAAGCAAGCCAAGCTGGACAATTAGCAACTATTAAGGCATTAGCTTGTAAGGGTAAAAGGTAAACAAATGAGAGAATAAGAGATGCTAAACCGAATATGAATGTTAATAGAAATGGACAAAGTGCTTTAGCCCATAACTAATGGATTAAGAATCAGTCATTAAACAGTTAAAAAGAAGAAGAAGAAGAAGAAGAAGAAAAAAATGGTTATTACTTCTGGATGAGTTGCAAAATAAATAATGCCGGCAATTGGGTATGTATAAGGTGGTGCCATATTATTAGAAAAGAAAAGAAGGTGGGGTGAGTAAAGAAAAAAAAAAGAAATAAATAAATAAATAAAAAGAGGAATAATACGTTTCAAGAAATGGTGGTGACTTTTTCTTTATCATTTATATTCATTGTGTCCAACAATAATTTTTTTTTTATTTGATATAAACATATACACGTGTAACTAGTAATAGTTTGTTCAGTCTTTGACTATTTCTTTTGTATAAGCTGCCATTATTTTAAAGTGAACCTAGAGGTCCTAAACAGCTTTAAGCTTTCCTTGATCTGACTATGTTTAAACGCTGCACAGTCTGCTTTAATTTTTTAGTCTCCGTATTATGTAATTAAGAATTCGCTATATGCTCATGATGATAATCAAATGAACAGTTGTGTTGATCAATTGAAGGAATCAAGTAATAAAAATGACACCGTTCGATTTAGAATATTCAATTTAATGGGATTTATGTAATTTATTTGAAACTTAAAAATTCACATGAATTTCGTGAATGGTCTAAGGTTCATCATCAAATTAATTTCTTTCAACTCATTTCACACTTTCTGTACATTCATCTGAATCAAGCAAATTTAATAATTGATTCACATTCTCTTCTGTTTAAATAATGTTTTTTTTTTGTAATCCATTGTATAAATAACTGTAATCAAATAGTTTTACAAAAGTAACTAGATTCCATGTCTCATTTAAAAATGAGATCAAAAAAAAATAACTGTACAAATTTAAAGCAAAAATAATAACAATAATATAATTTAATACACTAACAACGACTGTTAATGTTTATATTTTAATTTCCAAATCAGATTATCAACTTGGAGCATCCATAAACTTTATAGTTTAATGAATTTTATAACATCTACATTAATGTCATAACAGTTCAAAGATCTAAGTCTATGCGGAACTTGAAAATATTAACTTTTGTTTTGTTGTTGGTTTTTTTTTTCTCTTTTTTTTTTTTATTATAATTAACATCAAGATGACATCAAGTCAAGAAGGTCATGGGCTTGCTTCTATATCTTTAACACATGTTTATTTCAATCCTTCAGATAAAATATCATATGCCTTTGCTTATATTACATTATCTCCTATTGCGATACTTGTCTTTTATGCTTCTGTTATTGTCTCACGACGTGAAATGGCAGGTATATTGATGTTAGTAGGTCAATTAACAAATGAAGTTGTCAATTATATCTTAAAAGAAACTATTGAACAAGAAAGACCTTATGGTAAGAGTATTATATATAAACCAAAAATGAACCGAATCAATCTTATATATATATATACATATATAGCTCATCTTGGTGATGGATATGGTATGCCTTCAAGTCATTCACAATTTATTTGGTATTTTTCCATTTATGGGACGCTTTATATGTATCGATATATTCATTTAGATCATACTATTTGGAAGTTATTGGCTAGTATAGGCATGATATGTCTTGCTATACTTGTTTCTCTATCTCGGTAAGTAGCCTACAAGTCTTTACTAGACACTGTATTAATATGTATGATTAGTATTTATCTTGGTTATCATACGTTAAATCAAGTTTTGATTGGATCATTCGTTGGTGCTTTATTTGGTATCGTTTGGTATAAGTTTGTGAATCTACTTCGTACAATGAATGTTATTCAATTTATATTAGACACAGCAATTGCAAAAAAGTTATATTTAAAAGATATGATTTACATTGATAATGTTGCACGTTGGGAGTATAATGAATGGTTAAAGGAAAGGAAGAAAAAAGAGAATAAACAATTAGATTAAATTTGATGGTTTCATTCATTCTTTTTAACATGTGTGACTTGCTTTTATTAAAAAAAATGCGCATTGAGTTTTTTTTTTTTTTTGATTTTTGGTTTTCTTTCATTTCTTTCTTTTTTGATTTTTTTTTTTTTTTGTTTTTCATCTAAAGATAATTTTATACTGGCAAAAATAAAAAAAAGGTAGGCTTTTTCTTTTTTTTTCTTTTATTAGTTTAGAATATAGCATGTTAACAAGTTTTTTTTTTCATTCTTTTTTGCCAGTGAAAAAAATGGACAATGATAATAATCTTAAAGAAGCAATAAAACGGTCAATATTTGATGATCCAGTTGACTTGTTTAATTTTAATCAAATCCAACCTACTAAATCACCTTCTTTATCTTATTCAACTATGTTTCAATCATCAAGGTCAATGCCAGGCTCACGGAGAAACTCAAATGATGATCACGGCTTAGACCTTTTATTGGGTACTAAACTGTCATTGAATGATAGAGAATTCAAGTAAAAAATGATATACATTTATATGAATGTGTATTACAAGAAACTCATATTTTTGTTTATATAGTTTCAGTAGAAAGTTTCCATTTGCTATGACTCCTGTAGAGCCTGTGAGCACATTTCAACAGAAACAGCAACAAAGAGCTTCAAATGAACCAGAAAGTAAGTTTGTGTGTAACAAAATTGTCATTCTTTTCTTCTTCTTCTAATTGTTTGTATAGTGCCTTTATTCAATCCACTCTTATCTCATTCAAAAGAATCACCTAGAATCATGAATAATTCAACTACAGTCCCTTCTTCTTCTTCTCCTTCAGTATCATCAATAACATCAACGCCTGCAGTGCCAGTATCAATCTCTAGTTCTGGTTCAATATTACCAAATAATAATAATAATAACAGTAATAATAACAACAGTAATAGCAACAACAATAGTAATATCAGTAATAATGACGATTATGTAGAATTAGTAGGTTTCTTTATAGTATGAAAGAATAATCGATATGTAATCTAATATTCCTTTTTTTTATTTATATAGTTTACTATGACTAATATTGATAATAGACCTAATCCTACAGAATCATCCTCTAGAATGTTTACTCCAGAAGGAAGTATGTCAACATGGACAACAAGTAATAATGATAAGCAACATCAAACAATGTCAGATTATGGAAGACGTTATTCTTATGGTTGGCATAGCGAATATAAACCACAAGAATCTCGTTTAATGTCATCTCAATCATTCACGGATCTTGCTAGTATGCAATATAATCGAAATATAATATGTCCTCAAGTTCAACAATTTGGATTCTGTTCTCGTCATGACATGTGTCCATTCATTCATCAATTTCCACCTACTCAACACCTCATGGCCATGCCTCCACCTCCACCTCCAAATCCTGCTCCTATGCTTCCTTTAAATTGTTCTTTATATCAACAATATACAATGAAACCTTTAACATCACAAAAAAATATGTATTCAATGAACGGTAATCATCAAAAGAAGAATTTGATGCAACAGCGTCGTTCAGGTTCAGATCAACAACAAGATCGATTTGCTGATGCTAAAGTGGAAGATTTTATTGGTAAATTTTATGAATTATGTAAAGATCAAAATGGATGTCGTTTCTTGCAAAAAAAGATGGAAGAAAAAGAAGATGGAATGAAGAATCTTGAGATGATCTTTAATGAAATTCATCCTCATTTTACAGAATTAATGACTGGTAAAATAAGCAAAGCTATTTCGAAGAGTATTTGTACAAATTGCTTTTTTTTTAACTTTTTTTTTTTGTGAAATTAGATCCATTTGGCAATTACCTTTGTCAAAAAATGCTTGAAAAATGTAACCATGATCAACGTACAATAATTGTAGAAACAGTAGCACCTGAATTAGTTAAGATTGCATTAAATATGCATGGAACAAGAGCAGTTCAAAAATTAATTGAATATCTCTCAACAACTGAACAGGTAAAAAAAAAAGAATAGAATAGCAGAGAATACATAGATTAACATACATTATAGATTAAAACTGTCACTGCTGCTTTAAAATCAAATGTGGTGACGTTAATTAAGGACTTGAATGGAAATCACGTCATTCAAAAATGTCTTCATAGATTATCATCAAAAAACAACCAATTCATTTATGATGCAGTTTGTGATAATTGTATTGAAGTTGCTTCACATAAACATGGGTGCTGCGTATTACAAAGATGTTTTGATCATGCTACTGTTTCACAAAAGGTAAAGGAATACATGCATGTATTATATGTATTTATTTATATTCATTTCTATTACAGGATCAATTGGTAGATGAAATAGCTAAGCATGCACTTCCTCTTGTACAAAATCCTTTTGGAAATTATGTTGTGCAATATGTACTTGAATTGGGAGTCACTCGTTACTCTGAAAGTATTATTCATCGCTTTGTGAATCATGTTTGTATTTTATCTGTACAAAAGTTTAGTTCAAATGTTATAGAAAATGTAAGATTAAAATCAGCACATGTGTATATATATAATTTGTTAATTAAATTGTGTTTATATAATAGTGTATTCGTACTGCTCAGCCTGCTACACGTCGTTTACTAATTGCTGAGCTTATTGATCAAAACGTGATGGAGAAGTTATTACATGATTCATTTGCTAATTATGTTGTTCAAACATCTCTGGATTTTGCAGATGAAGATCAACGTGCCGAGGTATATATTTATATATACATACATGTTATTTTGTTTTATTTTATCTTTTATTTATTGAATTTATTGATTTTCTTTTTCCTAATAGCTTGTTGAATGTATTCGCCCTTTGTTACCTACAATTCGCACCACGCCTTATGGAAAACGTATTCATAGTAAAATATTTCGAGATCCAAAATCAGCAAACAAATCTCAACCTATTCAACAACGCCGTCAACAACAACAACAACAACAGCCAAACGAACAACAAATAGAGGCCGGTGAATTGCATGATGAGATTACTGCATCTTTAGTGTATCAATAATTGTATTGTAAATTTTTTTTTTCCTTCTCTCGTTATAAATTTTTGTAACTTTATTTGTAATAATATCATGTGCTTCTATGTATGTTTTTTTTTAAAAAAAAAAAGAAAAGAAAAACCTCTCCCTCATTAATAAATATAAACGTCAGTATTTATATAATTGTATTTGTTATATATAAATAGATATGTGTGTGTAGATGTGCTACATTTCAATTACTAAATTATAGATAAAGTAAAATTATAATTTAGAATTAAATGTTTATCTCTTGGTATAGGGATTAAATCGATCTATTGACCTGTATTTTGTGTATTGGCATGAAAAAAAAAAAAAAAAAAAAAAAAAAAAAAAAAAGCTTATTCGAAGCATAACATATCAAACATAGATGACTTCATCTACGATATTATAAAAAATACAATTCTCCTGTTGACTTACTCTTATAATATCAGTAAATGTGTTTAAGCATAAACCATTATTATTATTACAAAGAAGTTTTTTTATTTTTTATTTTTTTTTTTCAATATAATAAAATAGATTCCCAAATAACTTTAAAAATACGCTTTAAAAAACAATGGGAAAACAACAACGTCACAAATTTGAAGCATTCTGATTGGCTGAAATTTTTTGATGTTAGCTATAATTTATTTACCGGCTACCTATAACAACAAAGAGGAATTAGCTCAGCGGTAGAGCGGAAGATTGCAAATCTTTAGGTCCCGTGTTCAATCCACGGATTTCTCTCATTTTTTCTTTTTTTTACACATATTTCTGTAGTGTGTATAGATAATAATTAGTCTTCAACATAAAATGAATGCATACGTTTTTTTTTTTGTTGTCCTAAATATATGTCAATTATCCTTTTTTTTATCAAACAAAATAATAGAATAAATAGAATTGCTTACTGTTTTGGTAGTCATATAAAGAGCATAAGGCGTTTAGTATTGTATAACGGTATTTATTATATATAAATATGTATACATATATGTATATATATCGATATATATAAAAGGTTGAAATGATGATATAAATATAATGTTTATATTAGCTGTTTGTTGATAAGAGACGGAGGAGGAATTGATATTTCAAGTATAACTATAGACTTGAAAATAATTAAAGAAAGGGAAAGAAAAAAAAAACAAGTGTATATGGTTAATATTGTTTATATAACATTTAAAAAAGAGAGAGAAAAATAGATGAATATGTCTTTCATTATAAATGTAAAAAAAGCGTATTGCCTATTTGTAACTATGCATAAATAAGTAAGTCAGAAAGAATAAGTGCTTATTATGGATACTATTCATATTAGTAGCTAGTCTATCATATTTTTTTTTTTTGAAGCACTTTAAAGATAATGCTCACATTCATACTATATTAAAGACCTAGAGACCTGTTCTGATTTATTATCAACGCTTGTTAGCTTTAGTATCTTGTACAAATTCGTCGTCTTGAACTTTCTTTTAAAATAAATTTCTCGTACATAAAAATATACATGTATACATATACATGTACAGTGTTATTATTCTTTATTCTTGAAAAGTTCAATTCATTGATTTATCTTGTCACTTGTTAATGATGATGCAAATACCTTAATTAAGTAGAAATTTCTTATTTTGGAAATGAACATAGTGAATAATAAGTGTACAATCATGGTGTTGAATTATTTTGTACAAAAAAAAAAAAAAAAAAAAAAAAAAAAAAAAAAAATAAAAGGTCTCTAGAATTATTTCTTCTCAGCGATAAGGTGTAACAAGTAATTTATATTTACACTACCTACTACGCTTTATTATTCTTCTTGACATTTTTTTTTTTTTTTTTTTTTTTTTTTTTTTTTTTTTTTTTTTTTTCCTCTGGTCAATATTACTAATGACAAAAAATAAAAATAAAACAGGGACAAATAATACTAAAGTAGAAACAACAGATGCAAAGCCAAAGGTTGTATTAAGAACTTATAGAGATACAGATTATGAACAAGTAGAATATCTTTTTCGATCAACTCAAGTACCTTTAGTTTATGAAAGCATTCGTAGTAAATTATGGGCTCTGCCAACATGGGGTATTTGGTTTATCGTTTATTCGGGACTTTTGATCAGTATCCCTAAGGCCATCACATTCTGTATTGGTAATTTACCTGAATGGGCCATGGTGATTATCAAGATTTTTATTTCCTTCTGTTGGGCAGTGGTCGGATTTGCCATCATCTTTATTTCATCGGATCGCATTGAAATTCAAAATCGTGTTGATGAAGCCATGGCTAATGATCTTTATGATCCAGATCTTTATTATTTAAATTATACAATCAACAAGGATGGGAAAAAGGTACGTAAAAGTGAGAGTGAGCAAGTTCCTTCTCATTTCTGGGTATTATCGATTGATGATGAAATCTGTGGTATGATTGGCTTATTATGCAATAATCAAGACCTGGAAGATCGACGAGAGACTGTGCCTGTCGGATGGAAACAGTTTATTATCGCTGTCTTGGAACTCTTTCGTTTATCATCCATGCCTCCCTTTCTCGAGAAGCAAAGGGCAAACATAGATCCTGGCAATAAAAATAACTCTAGACGTATCTTTGCCCGAAAACAAATTCCTAAAACGGCAACCATCACTCGTTGGGCGATTCGGTCAGATCTTCAAGCCTGTGGACTCTCTAGTTTATTGATAAACAGAGCCATCACTTGGGCTCATGAACACGATATAAATCGTATCTATGCCATGACAAATGAATGTTGTATGGCAGCTGAACAAATCTTGACAGGACGTCATGGATTTGTGATTATGAAGAGATATAATCTTAACTTTTTTGGAGAATATAACAAATTATTTGCTTGTCGTGTTAAAGAATGGATGGAAAAGAATGGAGAAAAGACAAGAGCAGCATTTAAAAAATCCCAATAATATTTAATAATAATAATAATGATGATGATTAAGATAACCAAAAGAACCATAATGATATGGCTAATGCAATTAAAGGATACATAGTAGTTATTGATTCTTCTTGTAAATCATATGTAGTCGTATATCGAATATTCGTTTTAGTATCTGTTATTTGTGGTACAATTTCCTTTAAATGATAACGACGACTTTGTCTTTGTCGTTGTTTATTGTTCTTGAATTGAGTAGTTATTTCAAGTGATGGAGCTCCCTGATCTTTCCTAGTATAAGAAGGCCGAGTATCAACGATAGAAAAGTCACCATCCCACCATTCATTAAACATAAACTCGAGTGATGCTTTCTCTGTTTGTTGAAGATGATTCTTTTGTTCAACATGTACATATTCTGTATCCTCTTTTTGTCTTGTAACATGTCGTCTTCGTCGTCGTTTTTTAATCTTGTTGCAATGATGAAATCTTTTTTTATTATTATTCATCATTTTCCTATTTTGAATATTAGCTATAATACAGAATGAATTATTATCTTTCTCTGTTTAATAGAGTGCATATATATATTTATTAACTTACCAAGTGGCTGCCTTTTTCGTGGTTGATTTAATACAGTTCGTTGGCAAAGCTTCATTATGTAAAGAACAAGTGGTAGGTAAGCAAAGTTCTTTTGTGGAAAACAAAAAAAAAAAAAAAAACAAAAAGATAAAAAAAAAATAAATAAAATAAAATAATAGTTTGCTTTTATAATAATAATAATAATGATAATGAATAAATGGTACAATCAAATTTTATTTGAATTTTATTATTTATAAAAATAAATATATTCTCTATAGACATTATTCTCTTTGAATTACAATAGCAGAAGCAGCACCTCCACCATTACAAACAGCAGCAGCACCAAATTCACCCGATTTCAAAAGATGAGTCAAAGTAACCAGGATACGTGAACCTGATGAACCGATAGGGTGACCAAGTGCAACTGCACCACCATTAACATTCACCTTGTTAGAATCAAGTTTCATAAGCTAATTACATATGATATACATATATAAAAAAAAAAAATTAATAATGATCTATTATCTATTACCTATTGTATATGCATGTATGTATGTATGTATATGTACCTGATTATTAATAAGAGAAACAACACTAAAGGCTTCGTTTATTTCAAATTTACTAATATCATTTATAGTTAAACCAGCTTTTTCAAGAGCAATGGGAAGAGATAAAGAAGGAGCGATAGTAAAATCAATTGGTGCAGTAGCAGCATCTGCATAAGAGATAATACATGCTAAAGGTTGAATACCAAGTGACTCTGCCTTTGAACGAGACATCAAGACTAAAGCAGAGGCACCATCATTTAAAGTACTCGCATTAGCAGCTGTTACAGTACCATTTTTCTTGAAGACAGTTTTTAAAGTCTTTACTTTTTCAAAATTGACATTTTTAAATTCTTCATCCACCTTGACTGTCACTTGACCTTTTCTTCTAGTGTTAATCGTAACGGGTACAATTTCTGCATCAAAGGCACCCATTTCCCATGCCTTTGCAGCACGTTTATAAGACTCAATAGCGTACTCATCTTGTTGTTCTCTAGTAATATTATATTTAGCTGCTGTATTTTCAGCACATCCTCCCTAAAAAAAAAAAAAAGGAAAGGTAAATTACATGGTATACACAAGGAATTGTACTATATATATATATATATTTACCATATGAATATCATTATAAGCATCCCAAAGTCCATCTTTAATAATAGCATCTGTTAATTGTTGATGACCATAGGCTATATTACGAGTTGTATAATAACTATTTTATCAATATATATATATATATATATATAGGTTAAAGTTTATCTCTCCTCCTTTAAAAGAAAAAAAAATAAAATAAAATAAAAAAAAACTTACGGTGCATTCGACATGCTTTCCATACCACCTGCAACCATAATATGACGATCCCCATTTTTAATGGCTTGAGCAGCCAACATAACAGATTTCATACCTGAAGCACAGACCTTATTAATGGTAGTAGCTTCAGTGGATTCAGGGCAACCAGCACCTAAAATAGCTTGACGGGCAGGTGATTGACCCAAATTAGCTTGAATAACATTACCAAAATAAGCTTCTTCGACATCTTCAGGTTTAATGCCTATATTTTGTAATAGTGTATATTAATAATGATACTAAATAAAATAAAATAAGATAAAATAAAAAATGACCTGCTTTTTCAATAGCCGATTTAGCTGCAAGACTACCAAGTTCCGTAGCTCGGAGTGATTTTAAGGAACCATTAAAGCAGCCAACAGGGGTTCTCATAGCACTAACGATAACTACATCCTATATTTATTGTTAAACATTATATAGACATGTATATATTTAATTATTAACAGAGTAGATAGATTACATTAGGCTTTTTCGTGATAGAGGCAAAGGTACGAGTAGTGATCTAATTGTCAAAATAATATTCTCATTGTTAAAATTTGCATGCAATTCATAACTTTTTTTTTTTTTTTTTTTTCAACTAGTTGACTTACAACTCGAGCTGTAGGTCGAATGAAATGACGAGCTGTAAAAGTAAGCATATTATTAATAAAAAAAGGGAGAGGAAAAAAAGAGAAGCAAAAAAAAAAAAACCCAAAAAAACCAAAAATATAAGTGTTATGCTATATGTTAATTTCCCACGATGAACCTTTATTATATTACAGATTAAAATACAGTCTTTTTTTTTGCGGGGAAACTTTTAATTATGACAAAGGTAATCCTTCCGGTTCAAATAATAACTTTTCAATCCAATAAAGAATAATTTCGAGAAATTTACTTTTAGGCACTTGACCAGAAGAAGCAGCAGCAGCGGCTAAAGCTTGTTCCCAACTTGTTGTATTTCCATCCAATAAAAACGTAGATGTAATAATACCAAAGAAATAGACTAAAAGCGTATAAAGTGCAAATGTGACGGTGTTTGTTACAATTCTATCCTCTTTTCTTGTTAAGCCTTTATGATTACGATCTTTTATTGTTGATATATCTTTTGAAGTTGTAGTATGAAGACGAATAGACTAAATATATGTATGCGGTTAATAATACAAGGTAGATAAAATAAAGGGTTATAATTACTTGATGAAGGTCTTGTACTGTTCTCTTTCTTTTATCCTTTTGATTTCCAACAGGTCTTACTCGTGAAGGAGTCCAGATATCTAATGTATTTGGCTTTGATATAATGGTATTTAATAGATCTTCTGGTATGTGGTTTGTTATATCTGCAGTAGTAGTCGTATTGGCCTTTGTTTTTAATTCATTTAATTCATTTATAAGTGAATCATTTTCTGACTTTAGTGCTTTCTGAAGATAATTAAATTCATTTTTAACTCTATCCAAATCCTTATTTGTTTCATCTGCTCTATGCTTGTAGTATTCAACTGATGCCTCATTCTTTTATAACAAACAAGTTAAAATAGACTTCGATTTTTGTATATATTTATATAAATAGATTACCTCATCTTTATCCAATAGTAACTCGTTATCTAAAGTCTATTGTAAAGAATGCCGAGATAAGTTATACATACATTTATTCTATAGTGTAGATGTGTACCTTGAATGATGCATGTGATTCTAACGATAGTTGTCTTTTAAGTGTCTTTTGTTCTTCAAATGATACATCATGACTTGTATCATGTTGATGAAGAAGAGCTACATTTAAATCTGTCTTTAAGCTATCGATAATCTCTTTCAACTTTTCATTTTCTGATTTTTGTTCAGCCAACTCTTTATGTGCCTTTGCAGAGGTTTCTAATTCTAATTCAAGTGTATTTTGAAGATCAACAAGTCTATGTCGTTCATTCTTTAGTAACTGCACTTCATTTTGTAAGTTGTTTAATAAATCTTCCGACTTTTCCAAACACACTTCTTTCTGCTTTAATGAATCTTGAAGCTTTTGTGCTTCCTCTAAAAGAGACAGAGTATAATTAATTGCTTTCTTTTCTTTTTTTTCTTGTATACATATACTTTACGACATTTTTCATCAAATAAGGTTTTAATAGATAAATAGACTTGTTTTTTATCAGTTTCAGACCGTTGAATGTTTGCAATATGTGATTCCAACTAAATATGTATCAATATTATACAAGTAAATAAATCCTATTATATATCTAACTATTTATACTTTACAGCACTAATTTGCTCTAAACTATTTCTTTCTTTTCCTTTATATTCTAAAATTTCTTTTCTTTGTTTCACAACTTCCAAGTTCATATCATCTACTTTATTTTGTAATTCTATAATACGATCTTCGTTATCGCGTGCTATACTTGCCAGACTACGTTCAGAACATTTTAATCTTTGAGTCAGTTTAAGTGATCTACGATAATACTGAGCTAAATCTTGACTAGAATACTTGAGAATAGGTGAATTAGAATTAACAAGTGTATTTTATTTTTTATTTCATTTCATTTCATTTTATTACTTGTTCTTCTTTAGTTTGAGAATGATCTTCAATTGAGTTGTTCAAGGGTGAAAGTATCTAATGATATCATACACATATAAAAGGTGACTCTACTTTCCTCTATGAATCAATCATTAACAACTTACATGTTCTTCCTCTTCATGAATTGTCGTAACAATAGCAGAAAGTCTTCTTTTCCAAGGAGTTGATTTATTGGATTTTAAAGGAATCGATGTTCTTGGTCTGCTATCTATGGTCTTGATGGTTTCTTCAAATTTCCTTTGGTAGGTAGCAGTAGTTGGCTCAGATAGGGAGGAGATGGGTAATGGAGGACAAACGATTTTTAAAAGGTTTAAAATATCATCTGGTGTCATTTCTAGGTCGGGGTCTTTTAAAGTATAAGGCAAAATGGCCCTTTTCTGTTGTTTAGTTAACAGAACAACATCTTTAGATAATTCGTATTTATCAATGAGTGATAATAAATCTTTTGTGTATATGACTCCTCGATTATTATGCTGATCAATAAGTCTTGTTAATTGAACTTTTAATAATGCAATGGAAATTGGTTTATGAGCATGTTCCTAAACATCATTCATGTAAGACATTAATAAGAAAGAAAGAAAGAAAGAAAGAAAGAAAGAAAAAAAGAAAAAGGGAGGGTGAGGGAAATATAATATATTCATATATCACTTACTTTTTCTGAAGAAACTTCCATACTATACACACTTGTTTTAATAATTAAAAAGAAATAGAATGATTGGGAAAATCAAAGCATATAATGTGAATTATAAAATCAGCAGTGTATTTTCCAGGTTCCTCAAAAAAAAAAAAAAAGTCGGAGTTTTTTTATAGTAGATCAGAAAGACTTACTTTATTGAAGGATATGCTTTATTCAAATTCAAAAAATATCAGGATTTTATGAAATGAATATTTAAATAATAGAATGTCTTTTTATTACTATATTTAAGAGTATCCATTATTTACAAAGATAAATACTTTTAGTAGTAGATTGTTATTTTCTGAATATATACACAAGTTACTTGATTAGTATTCATATCTTCTTTATATGACATGGTAGTAGTTCAGCTATTTTAAAAGGCGAAAAGGAGAGGGAGAAAAAAAAAAGGATCTACATCTTGTATATAGTTTATTCATTTTACGAATCCTGTGTATTTATAGTGTGAATATTTCATAATATAGACTAGTAGTAATGAATAGACCATACAGATTTGACGGACTAAACACAATTAGGTGTTTATGCTAATAAGCTGCATATCAAAGTCAAGCTGTAAACTATGGATACATAAATAAATATTGTTATTAATAAAAGGAAAAAAAAAGAACTACAGTTTGCAAGTATACACTTTTTAAACTATTATTTCTCGGAGGGGAGGATATTTTTTTTTTATCTTTATCTTTATCTCTATCTTTTTCCTTTCACTATTGATATAATGAACTTTATTCTTTCCTTTTAAGTAACAAATGAGGTTCTCAAGAATAATTCTGACTTAATATCCAAAAGAAACTCTCCTATAAAATCAGATATGACATTAATGTTTTACAGAGACTTGCCTGCCAATCGTCAGTAAAGAAAGTATACTGAGATGCTACATTGGGATAAATGACCTACAATATGCATATGTCCAGAGAATAACAAAAAAAGAAAAAGTCGTATTTGTTTCAATTCAAGTGAGTATTACTTGTACTTTGGTTCCCTTAGAAATCAGTTTGTACTATGGGTTAAAGATACGTTATTGCATAAATTGTTACCTAATTTACCAATCTCCGCTGATAATCTCTCACACAGGTATATTCGTCTTTTTTTCTTTTTGAAAAAATAGTGTCGTGTCTTTTGTTCGCATTAGTATTCATTACATAGTAGTCTTTTCTACTATGCTCATTATCTGTGTATTCATTGTTAGGCTTTATTCATTTGTATTCTATCCATCATTTGTATATACATCATTGCTTACATTATTACTATGAAAACATCTCTCTAACCTATCATTCCTCATAGAAAAAAAAAATGCCTAAATATCACTTCTTAAGGATATCGTTCTCTGAGATAGTTTATATCATCTATTTCATGAAATGGTCCAGATTCTTCCCTAATCACTCGGTTATCCCGTTTTATGCTAATACACTCTTATTCTTTTTTTTTCCCTTTACGTCTCTTAAAAAACGATTTTTAGCAGATACACGTTTTTTTTTTTCTTTTTGGGACACTTTAATCTTCCTTCCCTTTCCTTTTCTCCTCCTCCTCCTTCCCCCCAACAATCAATATTATAGCGGAGACTAAATTTAGACAAGAAAAAATTAAGGCTGTGGATTAGATTTTGAGGCTGAAGTATGAAACTTTAAAAAAAAAAAAAAAAAGTATAATTTACAGTATAAATAAATCTAATTTTTTCCCTTCCTCCCCCCTCCCCTTTATTGTGTTCTTCTTTTTTGAATAATCCTTTATTGAAATACAAATACACATATATATATAAAATGACAAGTGATAATAATTATTGGCAAACGTTTCAAACAAATATGGTAGAAAATCCTAATTTATTAATATCTCAGTCACATAATCAGATCCCTCAACAACAACAACAACAGCAGCCTTCTTGGAGTGATGACACTGATAAAAGAAAATGGAATCATGATTTTAGTGATTTTGATATAACTTCATCTGCTACAAATAAATTATTTCGTAAGTTATTATTTTGTATATAAATTGGAGGGGCTTTTTTTTTAACTCTTTTTTTATATAACAGATATAACAGATATGGAAGATTGCAATCATAATGGTAACCATAGTAATGAACATAGTGAAGCTGATAGTCCAGGTTAGTTTATATTATTTATTTAAAGAAGAGAGAGAGAGAGAGAAAGGAGGTTTTTTTTTGTTGTGCTTACTTTGCTGCAATAGATAGTACAGGAAGACCACAGTTACGAAAAACTGATATATTATCTGAATCTAATATGTATCAGGTAAACAAAAAAAAAAAAAAAAAAAAAAAAACTTTAATCATATCGATTTCAACCTTCATTTAATGACCATGCTAGTTTTATAGGGTGATCAAAAGCAAAGACGTAAGGAACAGAATCGAGCAGCACAGAGAGCATTCAGAGAACGTAAGGAACGATATGTGAAAGAACTTCAATCAAAGATTAAGGAAATGGAAAAGAAACATAATGAGGAAATGACAAAGATGACTCAAGAGAACGAATCTCTTAAATCACTCGTGAAAAAAATGGAAGCTGAAATATATACTTTAAAGGGTGCAGCTATGGCTTTTAATCTCTCTATTAGTAAATTACGTGAAGCGGGTCTTGATGTACCATCACCGACAGGTTCTACCTCTTCATCACCTCAATCCGATCGACCTTCTCCACCTGCTGCTAATATGCTGGATAATTCATTAAACAGAAATGCTATCATGACTACCATTCGTGATAAAGATGGATTTTCGACTAACGAAAAAAAGCATTCCTTTGGTAACATGAATACTATCCATAATTCTGTTCATCATTATAATCAACATCATTCTTCCGTCGTCTTTCAACATGCAAGCAATGAAAATACAGACGATGACTTGACACTCGGTGATGATGAAGAAGCAAGTTTTGCAGAACGGGAAACTAAACGGTTTGAACATCATGTTGATCCTATCATGCATACTGGTATCACCATGATACCTTGTTCTCAAATATGGGAACGTTTATCGCGACATCCCAATTTTGATGAATTTGATTTGGATCAATTATGTGAAGAATTAAAGAAAAAGGCTAAATGTTCAGGTCATGGACCTGTTATTCCAGAATCTGAATTATTAGAAGTATTACACAGAATGGACAATCGAATTATTTAAATATTTATTATATCCAATAACTCTTTTCTTTTCTTTTTTTTTCTTTTTTTTCATTTTTTTTTTTTTATTTTTATTTTTTTTTTTCATTTTTTTTTTATTTTCATTTTTTTTTTTTTTTTCATTATCATCAATCACATGATATTATCTTTCTTTCTTCCCCTCCTTTTTTTTCTGTGTATGTGTGTTAAAGTTTGTTCACATGATTAAAAAAAAAATCCCTCCTTCTTTGCACTTGTCTTATATTTTTCTATCCAATCACAACCTATCTAATAATATATACGACAAAAGCTTCTTGACACAATTTATTCTATGGAATGAAATAGAATAAAATAAAATAAAATAAAATAAAATAAACAGAGAATAACTTAATAATAAAAAGCATGCAATTATCTTTTTATAATATAAATATTTAATATTTTTGGTATCTTTAAATGTCTTTTAAATCTTCAATGTCTTGACTTTCTTGTTGAGCTAGAAGATGGGCTCTTTGCCTTGATTCTGATAACATGTAAAATTCTTCACATTTCTCAAATAGACGTCCAGTTCCCTAATAGTAAAAATAGGTTAGTTATTATATGCTTCTCTATACTGCATAATTTACAATTTACCCTTGGTGGTATTGGTATAGGACAAAAGAGTGTATACCAAGGACTATAATAATAAAAAATTTGAGTTAATCAATTCACTAGGATTGATCCCATTTTATACATTGTATGTATTTACTATTCTTCACAGATATTAAAGAATCGTTTAAAGTTCTCCAAAGGACCAAAGTTATACATATTAACAAAGATTTCACCTTGTTGTTTACACACACTTTTATCGTAATAATTATTATAAAATTCAACTGTTGTTTGAGCTGTCAAGACCTATAATCCACACATAATAAAATAAACTATAAGTGTAAGGAGGGATACCCTCTTTTTTTTTTTCTTTCTTTATTACCCACCAAATAAAAATGCCAAGCACATAATGCTCCTATAGCTAATCCCATACAAATTGCAAGTATAATTGAAAAAGCAAATAAAGGTCTAGGAAAATAATAAGGCCACTTTTTTTTTTATCAGTCAACTTGTCATTATATAAAGTAGGGAATGCACTTATCTACCTCTATATGTGTAAAATCCAAGCAAACCATGAATGGTCTCCAACCAAATAATACAAAATATCCTGCTGCAAAAACTAAATTTGACATGAACAATACAAAATAACGATGGTTAAAATGGCCAACACAATTATGAATCCAGGGACCTATAAAAAAAAAAAGACACATGTATTCAATATAGATAATGACAAAAAGGTAAATATAAACTTACAGTGATGATCAAATTTTAATATGCATGTATTACATACACTGCAATGATGTGCTCTTTCGGGTTTAGGTAATTTGCCTAATATTATTTATTTATTTATTTATTTATTTTTTTTTCACATTTTCAATTCCTAATGATGATAATAAATGATAGATTCTTACATTTTTTACATGAATTAGGAAACTGTTGATATTCTTCCATTTCTAATAGCATTGTCCTCGTAGAAGGTTCCTATGTATTCAATATATTAATTATTATTTTTTTTTTCTTTTTTTCATCAAGTATACTTGCAGCGTCTGTTGATTGATGTAACCTATAATCCTTCATATCACCAGGAGGAGTGGCAATAGCCATATAATAATGGAAATGAATACAATACACTATATAGAGTGTGAAAAGTAATGTACAAATCGTATATAGTTTATTAAAAAGAAAAGTATCTGTCCAAGTATGATTATATGGGAAAATGACTAAATAAAAAGCTAATGTACACATTTCAAGTAAAATGATAGCAATGCCTATGAATATAGGGCCAATATTCCATATAGCCCTATCTACTATTTTTGCCATTTTTTATGTACAAAAAAAAAATAAATAAATAAATAAATAAATAAAAAAAATAAAAATAAATAAATAAAAATAAATAAAAAAACAAACAAACACCAATGAGTGTGATTTAATTATTTAATCTATTCTATTACGTAATCAGTCTATGCTTATTTATGTTACTACGGAAAATAAAGGTTGATTACATAATAACTAGTTATTTTATTTTTATTTATTTACAAAGATAGTATCATTAAATAAATTAATAAATATACATGTGTGTGTGTTTGTCAGTAATTGCATATTAGAGTTGTAGTAGTAGTAGTAGTAGTAATAATAATAATAAAACCAGCAATGATAATATATACATGAGATAAAACGACTAGGAAAGAAAGAAAGGTATGTGAGTTTAAATGACTGTTAAACTTGTTACATTCTTCATTGATTCTCTTTCATCTTCATTTAATAAAAAGCTCTTCTTTGAATCCCACACCATATTACCGTCTTGATAGTTTACTTGACCTAACACTAATATCTGATATTGTTTATGTTTTCCAATTGTTTTATCATCTACTCTAAAAGGTCTTAATAAGCCTGAAGGTAAATGATTCATGTTCTGTACTGCTATCACTCTTTTCTTTAAGGATTTAGCATCATTATCATCATCATCATTACTTAAAATATCAACTTCTTCTTCTTCTTCTTCTTGTTCGTTTGTTTGTTTTATTTCTACTACTTCTTCTTCTTCTTCTTGTTTATTGGATGATCGATAAGAACGTAGTACTCTTCTTCCAGGATCAAACATAATTAAATTCCTTTTTCCAGATTTTAATATTTCTATACCAACCACTGTTCTACTATGTCCTTGATGTTGTAAATAGAGTGGTGGTTTATTGGTTATACAAACTATTTCTTTATTATCTTCTTCCATAAAATAAGATTGAATCCAATCCATTAAATCATGATGTAAATGATTAGGTCCTGGTCGATGAAAGTCTATAATAGTAGAGCGTATACCAAGATAAGCAAATAAAGTATAAACTTCAGTTGTACCAATCCATTTATGTGTTTTAAAGACTTGATAACCTAATTGTGCAGCTCCCAAAGTATCAAATCCTAGACATCATACAATACGTGTTAACAACAACAAAAGATAATTAGTCTTGCTTACCTTCTTCCCATGCCTTTTCAATAAGTAATTGAATACTTGCAATATCCAATACACATTTTAAAATAGGTTCACCATCTTCTGTTTGTCTTTCAAGAAAGGACATTAGCATTTGACAATTACGATAACCACATCCCCATCCAAGATCCATGTAGTCAGTAGAAAGATAATCTGTAAAGGGACTACATAAATAGGCTGCTAAAGTATCTGCTTTTTTAAAATTGGGTTCTAAGCGAGATATAATACCTAAACAGATATTAGTTTCTTTCTTTTATTGGATAAGTTTTTTTTTTTTTTTTTTTTTTTTTTTTTTTTTTTAAAGATTACCTGATGTTCTACAATCTTCATTTAAAATAGTCACTTTGTCCCATATTTCTTTATCAGCATTTATACGAGAACGAACGATGGATGGCTTGTGTGGTTTTTGTTTTTTTAAATCATTATTCAAATCTAGTTCTTGATCGCTTACTTCTTTTCTCTATTATAAAGTAAAATAAAATAAAAAAAAAAAATTAAAATCGGGGGGGGGGGGAAGGGAGGAGGAAAATTTTTTTTTATGGGGGGAGGAGGAAAAAAAAAAGAAGAGAACGGATAAATAGTCATTATAAAAATTATTGCTGCGCTATTGTACCTTCAAAGTGACTTTGACATCTTTCATTGAGCTTGTTGCTTAGTTAAAAAAAATAAAAAAAAGTCATTAAGACTCAAATTTCAAAGTTGGAACTTTCCAGTGGAAAAAAAAAAGAAAAGAAAAAGAGTATTGAAGATTATACTTACTTTGAGTAATTGTCTTTGTCATTGAATTATTAATCTATAAAATTAGATTAAAAAATAAGAAAAATATTTTTTTTTTCTAAAAAAGAAATAATAATAATAATAAAAAAATAAAAAAAAAACGACGACGACGACGACAACGACGACGACCATGGACGGAACATAAAAAAAAAAAATTGCAAGTCGTTTTTGTTGGTTAAAACATGTTTATATAAATTAGGAAAGATACCTTTTGTATTGTTTCTTCAGGTTAAAAGGGGAGAGGGGCAAGTTTTAATTTATGTATAATAAAGAAAACAACAAATATGTATGCATGTTGACCCTTTTTTTATTTTATTTTTTATTTCAAAAGCACATTATACATAGCTACAAAGATATAAAACTTTAGCTTATCTGAAAATCCTATTCCTTTAATATGTTGAAACAGACGAATGAAGGGTTTTATCATTATGAATAAAATCAGAATTATATTGTAGCTACTTGCTATAAATCGAGAATTGTAGTCATTCATATAGCTACTGTTACTTTCAAGAGTCTAAAAAGTATTCTTGTTAACAAGATCTCTTAAACTCTGTTGTTATAAACACATGTAGACTCAATTTCAGCCGACAATAAGTCCATTCAACTTACTTTATGTTATTTAGTGTAAAATTTGGATGGCTGATTAGAATCTTATAGAAGAATAGAATGTTACACAATAGATAAACTTGTTTAGAATGAAGTTAAGCAGTAATACTTTAAAGAACTTTTGCAAAACTACATATGACTATTGAGTTAATGTATTACGCAGATAAACTCTTTCCTTATAGTATTTCCTTATCACTTCAGGATATAAATTGTCATGATCAAAGTTTCTTTCATTTTAGCAGCATTCATATTACCAGGTACAATCTTATAAAAATAAAAATAGAGTCTTTTTTTTTTTTTTTTTTTTTTTTCATTTGTATTTATTTTTTTCTAGAATGGACGTTATCTGAATGACCGCCCGTATTCCCCATCCCACCTCCGAGGGAGGGTATACGGTTCCAAGAGTTGCTCCCAGACCCTTGGAAGCCCTGTCCACCTCACGACTGTAGAATAACCGGTTGATGATCATAAAGAAAAAAAAAAGAAAGGAAGAAAGGGATCCTTTTTTTTTTATTTCAATTTTTTGATTCTTCCCTTTCTTATATCCCTTTTTTTATTTTGCGGAGTTTTTTTATTTTTTTAAGGAGTAAAGTTGTAAGAGACTCTTCTACATGCAATGATTAGCGTAGTGACTTTTAAAAATAAATTATTTATCTACTTGTAACAATAGTCAAATAAAGCTAAATACATCAATTGAATTTAATAAACAACAGTTAGATAACTAAAGATTCAGAACCCTTCATAGAAATGACTTGTATCAGGAGAAGTATTCCCGAAGTTTGTTAGTTTTGATAATTTGTGAAAAAGAAGAAAAAAAAAAAAAAAAAAGAAAGAAAGAAAGAAAAAGGTAGTTACCCTTTTGTACATAATACTGTTGTTGGAAGTCTGTACGAGTACTTGAGCCTCTTTGGTTTTGCTTCAGTCTATATCTTTGATGAAATATACCTGGCAAACTTATATTTATTTATTAGTTTGTTCATAAAATGACTTTAGATAAACGGCCTAGTGGTTGCTTATATCTCTACTATTACATACATGACCAAAAAAAAAAATTGAAATCTATAAAATTTTGGCGGCCATTATGATTCACTATTGAAATTTAAAATATTATATATGCTGATTATATCATTTTTACAAGTAATCTTTACATGAATGAATTTTCTTTTATTCCTTCTAATAAAAATAATATTCTCTCTTTTATTATTATTTTTATTATTATTATTACATGTATAATACAAGAAAGAAAAGTCTATAAACCTTTCTATATAAAGTGAAAAAAAAAGTGGAGGGGAAAGGGGGAGAGAGAGAGAGAGAGAATTATATATAATAATATCACTTTATAAACACATTGAAAACCATTTTTTTTTCTTTCTTTCTTTTTTTTTACCATGAATCAATCTTCATGGTACCATTTTCTAACAGGTTGGTATGCAACTTGAAGACTTTATCAAGTAATTGAGGTTCATGACCTCTACCTTCAGCAAGACATTTCTTAGTAGCCATATCAAAGTAATCTTGAATTAGATCCTTATACTCGGGATGGACACAATTGTCAATGATGACTTGAGCACGATCACGAGGACAAAGACCACGAAGATCGGCCAAACCTTGTTCAGTGACAAAGACATCCAAGTCGTGTTCAGTTTGATCTACATGAGAACACATAGGGACAACACAAGAGACACCATGAGGATCTTTCTTTGAAGGACGCGTAGAAGGTGAATGCATGACACTCAATTTCGCATTACGTAAGAAATCACCTGAACCACCTAAACCATTCAACATACCTGAACCACATACTAAAGTGGAATTAGCATGTCCATATATATCAAATTCAACAGGTGTATTCATGGCAATACATCCTAAACGACGAATGATTTCAGGGGAATTGGAAACTTGTTGTGATCTTAATAATAATCTATCTTTATATTTCTCCCAGTTATCATAAAAGCGATCAAAGCCCTCAGGAGAGAAACGAATAGAGGTTGCACTAGCAAATTTGAGTTTGTCAGAATCAAAATATTCAAGGAAGGTATCTTGTAATACTTCAGTAAATCTATTTTTAACAATTGAAAAAAATGCATTTGTTAAATAAATAAAATCCGCAAAATTTTCCCGCTTTTTTCCTCCCCTCCCCTTCCTCTTCACTTACACTGTAACATTCTTAAATGGTGACTTTGCTAAACCACCAATGACAGCATTAGCAATATTACCAATACCAGATTGGAGGGGTAACAAATTAGCGGGGAGACGACCATATTTGACTTCTTGTTCAAAGAATTCAATAAGATGGTTTGCAATAGCTTCTGATTTTTCATCAGCAGGTGTGTTTCCACCTGTCTTATCAGGTCGGTTACTTTCAACGACAGCAATTACCTTGTCAGTATCAATAGGAATAGCAGTCTATTTTTTTTTTTTTTTTTTTTTTTTTTTGAAAAAAAGAAAAGAAAAGAAAAGTCGGATGTTAATAATGCATATATCTGTATATGTATACCCACACCCCCTTTTCTTTAATAATTATGTAATACTTTACTGTTCCGATTCTATCTTCTGTGTTCATAATTAAATAAGGTTTACGATTAGGTGGAAGTGTACTCATGTTAATGTCATGAAGACCTTCAAACGAAGGAATACGGGTATTTACTTCAATAATAATCTTATCTGCCATTTGAATTAATTCAGGAGTAGCACCTACAGAGGCACCAGGAACAATCCAACCATCTTCAGTAATAGCAGTAGCTTCAATAATGACAATATCAAGCTTATTTCCAGGCTTATCCTTTGTATAGTAGCCTATATATATATATGTATATGTTGAATAGAATAAAAAAAATAAAAAAGAGGTGAGTAGGTCAAATTCACTCTTTTCTTTCTTTCTTTCTTTCTTTTTTTAAAATTTACCATAAACAAGATCTTGAGGGAACATGGAAAGATGTTTATCGGCAAAACGAATACGACCTTCATTAATACCCTTCTTGATATTCTTACCAACTTGATGAGGATAACGACGATCAATCATATCAAGTTCAGCCCAGCGATCTTCACATTCAGCACCAGAAGAGGCACCCACAAAGAGGTTAAATTTCATTTTACCTTGAAGATTATTTTTTTCAACGTGTTCAGCTAAAGCAATAGGAATCATCTTTGGATATCCAACACCTGTAAAACCAGACCAACCAAGATATCTAAATAAATAATATATATCACGCTTAGGATAGGCAGGCAAGAGAGAATGAATCAATAATTACTTACTGTCCAGGTTTAAAGAATTTAAGAGTTTCTTCAGCCTTCATCACCTTATTCAAAAGTTGAGGACGACGAACACGAGTTTTTAAAGCAGCACTGATACTAGCCATTCTGTATAAAATAAAATAGACCTTGAGGGAGGGGGGGTTTTTTTTCTTGCTTAAAAAAAAAAAAAAGAAAAAAAAAAGAAAAAAAAAACAAAAACGAAATAGAATTGATGTAATTCTTTATATATAAATATCTATGTGTCAAAAATAATAATAATAATAAATAACAGTCGGAAATACAAATAGCGGGTTTTATATTAAACCCAAAAAAAAGACAAGGTGGGGTCAATTTACTATTAAAAAAAAAAAGAAGGAAAATTATGTAATAATAAACATGGGGGCGATTTAAGGTTCTTTATTTATCAGCAGTGAATAGTAGCGAAGAATAGTTCATATTCTGGTTTTTATAAAGTGTTAATATGATATAAATACATTTTTTATTTCCCTTACATATATGTAAAAATATTCATTTTATTAGTTGCTACTGCTATCCATTCATCATTACTTACTTACTTTCATTATTTCAAAGTCAGGTAAACGTGGGGTAAAGATAGAAGTCTACACTTTCCAATGATCAAGTTGTCGTATTTGATGGAGTTGATTGGTTATTAAAGTCTATTATAAAAATATCTGTTATAGTGAAACCTATATTATTATAATAAGGAACATCATCAAGTAATACTAATAATAAGAAGAGAAAATAACGGATAAACAATAAGGAATTAAAAAAAAAATGACATTTATGTTGAATAAACCTTGCCAAAAGGTAAAGCCGGTAAGTGTAACATGGATCTACTAAAATGTAAAATAAAATGTGGGGAAGAAATGAATATACCATTTAATAAATAGTAATTGTTTTTATTATGAAATAAAACGTATATTTATTTATTTATAATAATAGACAACTACTTGCTGGTGTAATAGTAGTTGAATATTTGCAGCACACACGCACACGCACACATACACTTACACACATATATATACATAAATATATACATACAATATGAATATATTCTTTCATCATTATGCTTCTTGTAGAACATACAAATTCCTTATTTAAAAGATGAATAATACTAGGTTGCGTACATATTAAATGTAACTATAAATAAAATTTCTTTCCTTTTTATTTTTATTTAACACGCGTAATCTTACATTGTATTTATATAATAATAGTAACAATAATAATATATATTCATAATATCAAGTTATTCTTGTATTATTTGCTCATTTCCTTTTTTTGTTTTATTTAAAGTCACATCATGTTGACTGCTGTCATCGTCTTCAGAAAGTAAAATGACACGACGCGTTTCATGTATTATTTGTCCATCTTCTTTTCGAATAGTAATTGTATCAATATCACGTACAGGGCCTGTAAACCACTTTCTACCTGAAATTAAATATACAAAAGAAGCTAATCCAATTACAACTACAAATGGTATAATTGCAAAGTTCATATTGCTTACTGTCACTGGCCATTGCTATATAGATAGATAGATAGATAGATAGATGTGAGATGAACAAAAAGAAAAAAAGAAAAAAAAAGGAATGGCTTACAGTAGGTAACATAAACAATACAGAGGTAAATAAAATCCAAGCACTGGCAATGACACCACAAGGAATAGACCATTTACCTAAATGGAAGGGCCCTTTTTGAAATCTATTTCTAGCCATCGTGATTCGTAACCAAATAGGTACAAAATAAGAAAGATTAGCAGAGATAGTATTGATAGAAACGATCGTTTCAAATGCTACTTCGCTGAAAAGATAAGGGATACCTAAAATAGCTGCAAAAATGATATTAAACCAAACTGCATTTGCTGGGACTTTGGTTGTCGTTAATTTGCTTAACCATTTAGAAAATGGCATAGCTCCATCTCGTGCAAATGCATATGTTTGACGAGATGATCCAACAATGACTGCAGCTCCACTTTTTTTTTTTTTTTAAAAAAAAAAAGAATGGTTTAGTGTGCGTATTACCTTTATATATATGTACATATTTATATATATATTTACGCAAAATACATGGCAACTAAAATAATAACAAGAAACCACATGGTCCATGCAACACCTAATCCATCTATAAAGACTTGAGTAATAGCCATTGAGAAATGAGAGTTTACAATTTGAGTGTCAAAATCTTGTATCATAAAGGCACACGCAATCATGAGTATAGTACCTGCAATAGCAGAGATACCAATAGCCATTACGATTCCTATGGGTGAACTACGTTGAGCAGATCGAGTCTCTTCACTTACATGAGCTGCTGTATCATATCCATTCAAAGTAAACTGAGCCTGCAACAATCCAATTAACCATGCATAGCCATTACTACTAAATCCAGATCCATTATAGGATTGTCCAAGAGCAAATGCGACAGATGGTTTATTAGGTGTCAAAACTAATCCAACAATAACAATAAATGAAATACCCATTATATGCCACCAAACAGAGATATTATTGATTATTCCAGTATATTTGACTGGCCATGTATTCATCCAACCATGAATAACTAAGATAGCAATGAAGATACCATAATCTATAGCAGGTGTTGTTACAAAATTAGGATGCATGACGGATATAGCAGATGCCAAAAAACCTGCCATTCCTAAATCCCCAGCACATATAGCAACTATAAAAACATAAAGAGTAATATATAAAAGTGTTCTTTATATCCATATACGTATATCTATATATGTATGTATGTATGTATATATGGCTTGAAATAATCTTTTACCTGATAAACTAAGCCTAAATACATTTAATAAAATTATTAAAAGAATACTAATACTTTTCTATATTTGTTTACCAATTGAAATATCCTAATGTCAAGTAAAATGAGTATTCAACTTACTGTATACATTTATATCTAATTTACCAACAATCCAACACATAAAAGGGACCCAGTCAGAATTTGATAATTGAGCTGTCCAAAAATATAAACCACCTGTAGTAGGAAATGCACTACAGACTATAGAGAATGATACCATTTGTTAGTGTACATATAGATTATAGAATATATATATATATATATATGCATGTATGTATGTATTGTATGTACTTTCTGCTAAGCTAGAACCAATTGTCAAAGTTAATAAGGCAACAATGAGATAGCCCCAAATAGATGCAGATGTTCCACCTGTTAATATAGTTGTACCCCATAACTGTTAACAAAAAGAATAAAATGATGATTAGCATGTTGGTACACTTTATTATTATTCATTTTATTTTATCTTATATTTAATGTTACAGGCAATAATCCACTCAAGACAGAACAGCATCCGAATGAAATAGCAAAATTTGAAAATGTTGATAATTGTCGATTTAAACTTTGTTTATATCCAAGTTTTGCAAGTAATAATTCATCATTCATCATTATTTCTTCTCTTCCTTTCTTTCTTTCTTCGTGTATTTTAGTTGCTTTTCTATAAATAAATGCTCGGTCAGGTAATTTAATAGGTCCCCAAGTCATAATGAAAACTAAGTGAAAGAAGGGAAAAGGAAATAAGGATAAGAAGAAGAAGAAGAAAAAAGAAAAGAAAAAAAACAATCATTCTTAATAGAACAATATAAGGAGGGCCATAACATTGAATAATTTTGTTATGATTTTCTTCTCCTGTGATTCGGAATCGCAAAGTTTTTATTCCCCCCCTTCCCCTGAAAGCTAAAGAGTCAAATAAAATAAGTGTCACGCATGAAACTCTTTAAATATCATGATGCTGTTTTCTAATACGTGTTTCAATCTTATAACATGGTATGTTTTATAAACAAAAAAAAAAAAAAAAAAAAAAAAAAAAACTTCTTCAATTTTCTTTTTTTATTCTTCTGTCTTTAAAACATGTTCAATGCCTTCATTCACAGGCTTAATTTCTTTTTCGGCTTCTTTTGCTTCTTTACTACTATTTGTTATATTTGATTTGGAAGCAGATGACATGAGTTGTTTATGGCGTAATTGATAAGATAATCGTACTAAATCAACTGCCTTTTTAAATGTACGACGTGCATTGAAGTTTTGACGTACATTAGGTAACAAATCTTGTTGTGTAAAGTCATTTTTAGTACTTAACCATGGATGATTTAATGCTTCATGAGCAGTAATACGTTCTTCAGGGTTTACCGTCAGACAACGCTGAATAAAATGTTTTGCTAAATACAAATATATATCATCTATTTAATTTTTTTTTATCTATAATTATCTGTAGAAATGACTCACCTTTATCACTAATATCCTTCCAATATTCTTCATGGAACTGATAATCAGCTCTTATAATCGTATTCATATCTTCAACTGTATTACCACCATCAAAGGGTGTATAACCACATAATAAAAAGTATGTAATAACTCCAATAGCCCACATGTCACTTTTTTTTTTTTTTTTTTTTTTTTTTTTTTTTTTTTAAAAAAAAAAGAAAAGGATGTGTAAGCATGATACACAATTCTATTCTATTTTATTACTTACACAGGTTTACCATGCCCCACTCGTTTAAATATCTCAGGTGCCTACATATACAAACATAAGATATCCTGATATTGATTTCATTTTCTTATTATTTATTACCATATAACCAGGTGTACCACATGTTGTTCTTAAAACATCAAACTTCTCACTATCAATAATACGAGATAAGCCAAAATCTGCAACTAAAAGATCAGAGTCTTCATCGGCTGTACGGAAAATAAGATTTTCAGGCTATATTATATGAGTTCCTTTTCTCTGTACACCCTAAAAATATATAAATATTACCTTTAAATCTATATATAAATATATAAAGTGAATTAGCCAATACGCTTTCTTCTCTCTCTCTCTCTTTTATTTATATACATATGAATATATATATTTAGGAATGTATGATTATTACCTCTATGTACTACTCCATTATCATGAAGATAAGCGACAGCATCACAAACAGTTCGAATAATATTGGCAGCATCTTGTTCAGTATAACTGCCTTTTTGACAAATTCGATCAAATAATTCACCTCCCATAGCTAAATCAGTAACCAAATACACTTTTTCCAAAGGATATTTAATCATAATTCAAATGTAGATATAAAAATCAACTTACAATTATTCATAGTTTCGAAATAATCTACTAAACTCAAAATATTCTTATGTCCTTCAGATACTTTACGTAAAATATTGATTTCATTACGAACCATATGTTCACGTCCTTCCATCAATTTTTTACTAATTACTTTAACAGCATAAAATTTTTTGGTTTCAATCTAAAAAAAAAGAATGTTACACACAATGACAGTTTTTTTTTTTTTTTTTTTTTTTTTTTTTTTTTTTTTATTATTATTATTATTATTATTATTATTATTATTTTTCATTTGGCTTACATGCATTGCCTCTAAGAATGAATGAATTCAAAATTAATAACATTGAACAATGAACCTTTTTTGTTTTGTTTTGTTTTCGAAACTTACCTTTCACAGTAGCATAAGTACCATTTCCAAGCACTTTTCCAGTCTTATATTTACATGGAACAGTAATCGGTTGTTTTCTTATTGTAGCAGACATTTTTTTTAATTTTTAATAAATAAAATACCTGAAAAAAAAAAGGGCAAAAACAATACAACAAGATAGTTTCATTCTAATGATTATTTAATAATTATCAATGCCGAGAAATGAAACCTCATTTTTTTTTATGGCAGGTTTCTCTTTTTTTTTTTTTTATTTTTATTTTATTTTAAAGAATAAATGCCTCTTTATGTCTTTTTGTCAAAAAAAAAAAAAAAAAAAAAAGAATTATCTACATGCGCACTGTATAAATGCTCCCTTTTCTTTTTTTTTTTTTTTTTTTTAAAAAAAACTTTCCTTATTGTCAGATAGATAGGATTTAGTACGGCTTTTGTATAAAAAGCGTATTTATGTTTCATATTGTATTCTCCCATTAACAAATAAGGGCTTATTTTCAAACTCATGTAGTATTTATGGTGTTTAGCGTATAATAAAGAATCAAAAATCAAGACTACCCTTTTTTTTTCTTCTTCTTCTTCCTTGAGAACTAGTTACATATTCCTCATGTGTAAAACCAAAGAAAGAGATGAAAAGAAAAAGGGGGTTTCAGAATCATACTATTTATATACTTTGAAAAAAAAAAAAGTAACGCAAAGTTGCTCAATTTTTACGTGTAACGTGTCCATTATAAGGCTAAAGTCATAGCAAATAAATTTTCAGATAAATCATCTTTGTGTACCTTAAAATGACCTTTTTTCTTTCTTTCTCTCTCTGTTGTTATTGTTTTGGTTTTTTTTTTTTTTTTTTTTTTTTTTTTTTTTTTTTTTTTCAAAACAAACAAAAAAAAAATGGCACATTCTATATTAAATAATATGGAATATATAAAAAAAGTAATAGATACATCACATAATAATATAGAAGAATGTGAAGAAAATGAACAACCAGCAGATACAAATCGATGGCATTCGATATTCCGTAGAATGTCAATGAATATTCAACGAGACGAAGGCACTCCTGATAAAGAGATCGTTCATGGTACTCCACTCGATCCATCAGAGCATGAACGTGCTTTAATGCTTAATATTCCTCATAGCAACGGGAGTCCAATGGATACAGCAGCCTTCTCATTTGAAGATGATACTTTACCTACGGTTGAAGAAGTTGTAAGGACAGATCGTGTAAAGGAACAAACAAATACAAGTTATTTTGAAAAGCCCTTTCATTTCGATTCGACTTCTACCACAGCAAGTTATGATGATACCACCCATCGTCCCTTATTGACTCCTAGTAGTAGCCATCACAATACTAGCATAGAGGACCATCACCCTAAAGAAAAGAAGAAGAATCATCATCATGGGATATTATATGAAAGCCCTGAAAATTGGATACAAACTGATACACATGGTAATAATATGACACTATTCCTCTCTTTCTCTATCTATCTATTCTTTTTTTTTTTTTTTTTTTTTTTTTTTTTTTTTTTGTTTTGCTTTGTTTTTCTTCTCTTTAATGAAATAGATACTATTTGATATTTATAAAAAATCATGTTTGAAAGACTTGAATAATAGAGCAAAAGTGCATTGGGCAAAAGGCTTTGAGAAAATAAAAGTAGTGAATGCTATTGCTTCACATTCTAGAAGAACAAGCACCTCAGCACAACATCTCATGACAACAAAATATCCATTAGCACCCTACTATCCTTCTCTCTTTATGCCAGGATATTTATCACTTATGTGTCGGGATGAGTATGGTAGAAAAGCTGTAAGTAAAATAAAATAAAATAGAATACGTGAATATGTATTTTAAACTATTTTATCTCCTATATTATATACAAATACATATATAGCCTCCTATATTGTTTGATGTACTCAATGTAAGCTAATCATAAATGTGAGTCTATCATTGATCGATGTGTTTCATATTCTCTTCCCTCCTCCCCTCTTTTTTTTTTTTTTTTTTTTTTCGTACTATAGGCATCTATAACAGACTCAGTGATCGACCAAAACGCTAGTCATCGACTTTGGACATTTCGTATAGAATTACAATACGGGGAAATTAAATGGATCATTCATCGAACGATTATTGAATTTTACAACCTTCACTTGACACTTAAATTTAAATATATGTCTGGGTTTATTTCTGATCCACCCCCTTCCTTTCCAAGTCAACTAGCTCATCTTACCAATGCTGCCTTAACCTCTATGCGTATCACACGCGAGCAAGAGGATGGTGTATGGCGAGAGGTGGCACTGAAACGACGGGATGCCTTAGAGATCTATTTGAGGTCCCTTATTCAGGGCGCTACTCTCCTTGTCAATTATGAACTATGCGAGTTCTTAGAACTAAGTGCCATCTCTATCGTTAGAGATATGGGTTGGAAAGGTAAAGAAGGGTATCTTGAATATAACATGAATCCAAACTTGATGAGTTCTGTTTTAAAATGGCATCGATGGCATAAGGCTTGGTTCATCTTGCGTGATTCCTTTCTTGCCATTTGTAAAGATATCGGATCTACGACTCCTTATGATGTCATCTTGTTTGATAAGTACTTGAAGGTCGTGAAATCTCATAGCTCCTTTGTGGGCTCTATTCATCAAACTCATTTTGTCTTGTCCAATACAACGAGAATGATCGAAATTAAGGCACCTACTTCAAGGCATATAGAGGAATGGATTGAGAATTTAGAAAAGATTCAAAAGGAGTCACCATGGCTTATGAACCATCGTTTTGGATCCTATGCTCCTATCAGAGAAAATGCAAAGGCCAAATGGTTTATTGATGGAAATAGTAAGTTAACTATATATATATATATATCTTCCTCTAGCTCTCTTTTTATTATTATATTGCGCTCTATCAATAACAGATATATATAGGTTATTATGAGGCTGTCATTGAAGCTATTTTATCTGCAAAATCCGAAATTTATATAGAAGATTGGTGGCTGGTATATAATATACATATATATAGACATGTATATGTTTTACACAAAACAAGTAGATTATTCATTTCTCTTTCCCACCACTTTTTTTTTTTTCATAAATAGAGCCCACAATTGGTATGTAGTTTATAATACTCTCCAAGTATTTTTCCTTTTTTTTTTTTTTTTTTTTTTTTTTTTTTTTTGAACATGACATCTTAAGGCTATCCTAAAAAAAAAAAAAAAAAAAAAAAGTATTTACGTAGACCTCCAAAAGGCAATGAAGAATATAGATTGGATCGTTTATTGAAACGAAAGGCATATGAAGGAGTCATGATCTATATCGTTATTTATAAAAATGTCTCTGTTGCATTACCACTCGATTCTCAACACACTCGCGATTGGATGCAAAGTGTACATCCCAATATTATTGTACAAAGACATGCAAATTTGACTTCATCACCTTTTTGGGCACATCATGAGGTTTATACATATATACAAATACATATAAAGGGAAGGGGCATGAGAGAAGAAGGAAAGAAGAAAAAAAAATAGAAATATATTAAAAGATAACATGATTCTCTGTAGAAAATTTTAGTTATTGATAATAAACTGGCATTTGTTGGAGGACTCGATTTATGCTTTGGGTAAAAAAAAAAAAGGGAAATTGTTTAATATAAATCGATTTTATATAGTCGTTATGATACACAAGATCATAAATTAACTGATTATTATCCTAACAATATTGAAAATGAAATCTTTCCTGGACAAGATTATTCTAATCCGAGAATAAAAGACTTTATTAAAGGTAAAAAAAAAAAAAAAAAAAATAAAAAAATAAATAAATATAAAAAAATTACCCCTTAATTCTATTTCTTTATTTGTTCACCAATTAGTAAGTCAATATGATATGGAATTAATTGATAAAAGATGTACACCTCGAATGCCGTGGCATGATATACATACGGCTATGGTAACATTTATATAATAATTATTGGGTAATCATGCTTATTGACTTTCTCCCTCCCCCTCCTCCCTACTCTATGTTTTTTTTTCTATTCTTTTCTAATAGATAGGACAACCTGCAAGAGATGTAGCGCGTCATTTCATTCAAAGATGGAATTTTATTAAATCAAATCGATCCAAAGAAAGAAATGAAGTCCCATTCTTATTACCTAAAGGAGAATATGTTTCCGTTCGAGATGAATTAAAATTTAAAGGTACTTGCCGTATACAAGTTTTAAGAAGTAGTGCTGAATGGAGTCAAGGAATTATAAGAGAAGTAAAGTTTAAAAGGAGAAGGTGATGGAGTTGCATTAATTAATAGTACAATGTAGTATTCTATTTATAGTGCATATATGGAATGTATCTTTAAGGCAAAGCATTTTATTTACATTGAAAATCAGTTCTTTAGTATGTTTTGTTTTCTTAAAATACATACAACAGAAATTTTTTTTAAAACATTTTTATAGTAACCACTACTAGTCCTCATGACAAACTAATAAAAAATAAAATTGGTCAAGCTATTGTTGAAAGAATTAAACGTGCTCATCAAGAAAAAGAAAAGTTTAGAGTTATTGTAGTTATCCCTGTTGCGCCTGGATTTGAAGGAGATTTTACTCAAGTTGATAGGAAATCAATGCCACTTAGGTATTAAATGAAATTATTAAGCAAAAATATATATAGTCATGATATATTTATTTATATACAATAGATCAGTAGCTCAATATCAATATCGTTCAATTTCACGTGGCAAATATTCCGTCTTCGAGCAATTAAGAAAAGCAAATATACCGATTAAAGACTATATTGGCTTTTATAGTTTAAGAAATTGGAGTAAAATTAAAAGACCTGCTTCGGTTGTAAGAAGGGATGAATTCAATCATATCATTCCAGTTCCTCCACCTTTGCCTCCTTTACCAGCAAGCATTACTAATAAACGCAATCTATTAAACAAAAAACTTATGAAATCAAGGTCAGGTCAAAGTAACTCAAACGAGGACTTGATACCTTCTCAACAAAGACAAAAGGCTGCCTTATTAATGCAACAAGGATACGATGATGGTCGGATGGATTTTATAACGGAGCAAATTTATATTCATTCAAAGTTAATGATTGTGGATGACAAAATTGTTATTTGTGGTTCAGGTTTTATTATCTTATATGTTAGAAAGCTATTACAATCCTTTTTTTTTTTTATTACTAATTTTTTATTTCTTAAAATTGTAGCAAATTTAAATGACAGGTAAGCATTACTTTGCAAAAGAAATAACATATTTATTATCTAAAAAAAAAATAAAATAAAAAAATAAATAAATGTATACTTAGGTCTCAGTTGGGTAATCGAGATTCGGAAATAGCCGTGTTGATAGAAGATACAGACTTAGTTGATTCACAGATGAATGGGAAACCTGTAAAATACGTATATTTATGCTATTTGATAGTTGAACTAACATTTATTTTTTTTAAATAAGTATAAAGCCTCAAGATATGCATTATCTTTACGTATGCAACTATTTAAAGAACATCTTGGTTTACTTAACTGTACCCAACAAGATAATTATGAATATTTTGGTTATCGTAATATGAAACGCGAAGATATTATTGTCATGGATCCTTTACATGATGAATTCTATTATGATATTTGGAACAAAACCGCAGAAAAGAATACGCTTATCTATCGGGATGTCTTTCGATGTGTTCCGGATGATACAGGTAAATATGCCGAAAAAGGGGGGAATTTTTTTTTTATTCATATTATTATTCTTCTTAAACCTTTGATATAGTACATACATTTGAACAGCATCGTCATTTTGTTCCTGATCCAATGAATACATTACCTGGTCATATAGCAGAACCATGGAATAATACGAATGAACAAATACAATCCAAATTAGAAAAAATACAAGGCCATTTAGTAGAATTTCCAACCGAATATATGAAGAATGTTAACATGACAGCTTCTGTCATGCAAGAGGCTGTTCCTCCTATTGTTTTTACTTGAATTCTTTATTCCTTTTCCTCCTAATTTTTTTTTCATTTCATTACATATTGATCCTGTTGCTATTCGTTTTAAAGTTATTACCCCGCTGTATTATTATTATTATTATCTATGGTATATAAAAAGTGATATTGCAAATGTATAATTTCCTTATTCTTTTTTTTTTCTATCTTATTTTGTACATCCATAATGGGAAATCAAAGCAAGATAAATAACATAGTACTCCAAAGATTGAAACACTTAATCAAGCTTTCAATAAATAAGCCTTTTGAAACAATGGCGATTGTCTTATTGCTATGTCTATTCTCTTATATGTATCTTCTTCAAACTATCAATTTTTCTATGACTAGCAAGGACATAAACTCAATACCAGAGCACAATCCAATTCATGTATATGTAAATGATGTCTATGGTAGACAAGAGATTCAAGAAGACATGATAGAAGATAACCCTATTATTATCATTAAACAATTCATCTTACGTAGTCAACAAAATATGATGAAAAGAGATAGTTTAGCCTCTGTACTTGCCTTTCAACGCCACATTGAAAATGATTTTTTGAAAAATTTCTGTTTTCATAATGAAAAAGGGGGCTGCTTTATTAAGAGCCCATTAATTTATTGGGACTATGACATTCATAAATTATACTCTGACAAAGATATCAAAAGGACCATCAAAAGGAAACAAGATTATGAACATTATTTCTTGATGAAGAATAATAATTATGCAAATGGAATCGTATTATCTTATGTATTAAATGATTCCTACAGCAATAATCAATTAAATCGTTGGGAATACGACATTATTCAGTCTGAAAATAATTTCTTTAAAGAGCGAAAACAGTCGCAATTATGCAGTAGTAGTAACTATTTAAAGTTTATTTATAAAAACGCTTATCAGGTATGTTACCTTAGTGAAAGAATACATACAAACATACATACATACATACACACACATATACATACATACACACATACATACATGTATTTAATATCATTTTTTTATTAGACTCTAAATACAATTGAGTCGTGTATTATTTTAACTGGTCATGTCTTTATGATAATTACTTTAATTTCTTTATTTTACAATATGAAGAAAATCGTTATTGAATCACAATTCTTATTGACTTTTGCCATCATTTTGAACGGTATTTTTGCATTGATATTTGGTGTATTTACGACAATTCAAATATTTAAAATTGAAGTTACAATATCTTTGTTAATGTAAAAAAAAAATTTTTTTTTCTAACCGCTTTATAAATGATTTTGTCTCATTCCTTTATAATTATTATAGTGAAGCAATTCCATTTATAGTGATCACGATTGGATTTGACAGACATATCAAATATACAAAAGCCATGTTGTCTAACAGCAGTAGTGATGATAATAATTATTTACCACTACAACTGCGAGTTAACAACTCAGTTATTGGTGTACTTTCTTGGGAATGTTTCACCGAAATAATTATCCTTTGTGCTGGTGCCAAATCAGGTATATCTGGATTACAAGAATTTTGTATTCTAAGTATCGTTTTACTTGTCTTTGATTTTATCCTTCTTATTACTTGGTATACTGCCATATTGACTTTAAAATTAGAAGTAAGATTATTATGACTCTATCATACTTGATAATGTTGTATTACTGACTTTTTTCTTCTTCTTCTTCTTCTTCTTCTTTGTGTAGCTGTTTAAATTTAAGCATTCTTCTAAAACCTTATTATTTGAGGAAGAGAAGAAAGACAGAAACGTATTTTATTGGATAAAATTATCTATGGTAATTGAATAAAAAAAAAAAAAAAATTTTTTTTTTCTTTTTGTTATGATACACTATTTTCTAACTCAGCACCCAATCAATCGTATTTTATTTTAGATGATAGGATTTATAGGATTGCATATTTTTAATATTAGCTCTTCTTTCCAAAAGCAATCATTTTCTTTTACAGAAACTACAGCAGTTGTTGATATCAACGAGCCTATTTTGTCTTCACTTCTAACTGAAGTACTAAAACAACAAAAACAGAAAAATACTGTTTTACGCATATTTCCCCCTCAATCATTCCATGCAGTAATACCTTCATCTATTAATACCATCATGAAACCCTTTGAAAGTATCTTTGACATTTACGCTGTTTATATTCAACATCCTGTTATCTGTAAATGCCTTGTCGTTGCTCTTTGTATTTCCCTCTTCTTGAATACTTATCTTTTTAATATCACAAAACAACAGCCTAAAGTAGTTATTCAAAAGGTAATTGAACGAGTTGAAGTCCCACAAAAGAAGGAAAGGTCTCAATCAATCAAACCATCCACTGTCGCACATGCCAAGCATTCAAGGAAGCAACATGTTTATCCACGCTCTGATATCATTCGTCCTTTAGATGAGGTCATTAGCTTGTTGAGCACACCCGATGTCTTGACTGATGAAGAAATCATCTCGGTTGTTCAAAGTGGTAAAATGGCTCCTTATGCACTTGAAAAAGTCCTTGGTGATTTTGAACGTGCTGTCAACATTCGTAGAGCATTAATTTCTCGTGATTCCCTTACTAAGACTCTTGAAGGTAGTTTACTTCCTTTTAAAAACTATCATTATGATAAGGTAATGGGTGCTTGTTGTGAAAATGTCATCGGTTATATGCCTATTCCAGTTGGTGTTGCAGGTAAAAAAAAAAAAAAGAAAAATAATGAGAGAAAACAAAAAAAAAAAATTTTTTTCTTCTACTATTATTAAATATCTAATATATAACATGTATATACATATATAAATATATTTGCTTACATGTATTTAGGTCCTTTATGTATTGATGGTGATTATATTCATATTCCTATGGCAACTACAGAAGGTTGCTTAGTTGCATCTGCAGCTAGAGGTTGTAAGGCCATTAATGCTGGAGGTGGAGCAACAACGATTATTACAGCGGATGGTATGACGCGTGGACCATGTGTTCAGTTCCCAAATATTACGCTTGCTGCTGATTGTAAACGTTGGATTGAACAAGAAGGATTTGACATTGTGACTGAAGCTTTTAATTCAACTTCTCGTTTTGCTCGTGTCCGTAAACTTAAGGTTGCTCTTGCTGGTCGTTTAATGTATATTCGTTTCTCTACCACCACAGGTGATGCTATGGGCATGAACATGATTTCAAAAGGTTGTGAAAAGGCACTTGGTAAAATTGCTGAATATTATCCTGATATGCAAATTGTATCTCTCTCTGGTAATTATTGTACTGACAAGAAACCTGCTGCTATTAATTGGATTGAAGGCCGTGGTAAATCTGTTGTATCTGAGGCTGTTATTCCTGGTCCTGTTGTTGAAAAAGTCCTCAAGACGACAGTAGATGCTCTTGTTGAATTGAATATTTCTAAAAATTTAGTTGGCTCTGCTATGGCAGGTTCTGTTGGTGGTTTTAATGCACATGCTGCAAATATTTTGACTGCTATTTATATCGCAACAGGTCAAGATCCTGCTCAAAACGTTGAGAGTTCGAATTGTATTACATTAATGAAGGCAGTAAATGATGGTAAAGATCTTCATATTTCATGTACGATGCCCTCTATTGAGGTTGGTACGATTGGCGGTGGTACTATTTTGCCTCCTCAACAAGCAATGTTAGATTTTATTGGTATACGTGGTCCTCATCCTACTGAACCTGGAGCTAATGCTCGTCGTCTTGCTCGTGTCATTTGTGCTTCAGTCATGGCTGGTGAACTTTCTCTCTGTGCTGCTTTGGCTGCTGGTCATTTAGTAAAAGCTCATATGGCTCATAATCGTAATACAACAGCCACTGCTGCTGCTGCTGCTCCTCTTCCTCCTTCAGTTATTGAAGCTTCTACTCCTCCTGCTACTCCAGTTGAAAAAGAAGCTCCTATTCCTGGAAGCTGTATTAAATCATAGATTTTTTTTTTCTTTTCATTTATATTATAATTAATATTTGCATTTAGTATCATAGAAAACAAAACAAACAAACAAAAAAAAAAAAAAATACATTATTATATTCACATTTTATGCACGCAAATATATTACAAGTTTGATTTTCTTTCTTTTTGTCATCAATCTAAAATATAAACATTTGTTCATATTATCAAAATGTCTTTCTGTTTTTTTTTATTTATTTATTTTGTAAACAAAGGTAAAAAAAAAAAAATATACTAGAGAATGATGATATGTAAAAGTTTTATAAATGAAAGAAAATGAAAAAAAAAAAATACTATTTGTTTATTATCATATATACACAATTTTAATTTTCTACAATATCTCTTAATTCTACAACAAATATAAATAGATATTTTTGTGAGTTTAATTAATAAGATGAGTGTCTAATTTATACTTACTATCAATGATGTCTTCATAAGCAGCACATGCAGGTGAATCAGGATGTTCATCTAAAAATGATAATCCCATATCACAACTTTTGGCGACTCGAGGATCCAAAGGAATTTTACCTAACAAAGGGATATTAAATTCCTTTGCTAATGATTCAGCACCACCTGTGGTTGGAGGGAAAATGACAGATTCACCATGACAGTTAGGACATACAAATCCCGACATATTCTCTACCAATCCCAAGACAGGGATTTTTGCTTTACGACAAAAATCAATCTCCTTTCGAACATCCTGAAGGGCGACCTCTTGAGGAGTCGTGATGACAACTGCTCCATCAATACCACTTTGTTTTAAAAAGGATGCCAATGACAAATGTTCATCTGATGTACCAGGTGGTGTATCAACAAGAAGATAGTCTAATTCCCCCCAATCAACATCTCTCAAAAACTGTTTAATTAAGCCATTCTTCTTGGGTCCTCTCCAGATGACTGCATCATCTTTATCAGGTAACATAAATCCAATAGACATCACACTCAGATTATCCTGAACATATACAGGTTGCCATCCACTATTACTATGATGTATTTGTTCGTCTACAACTCCCATAATTGTAGGAATAGAAGGGCCGCAAATATCGACATCCATTACACCTACTTGACAATCTTCATCGCCTGAAAGTGCAAATGCAAGTTGACTTGTAAAGCTTGATTTACCAACTCCTCCTTTACCTGATAAGACTAAAATCTTATGTTTAACTCCAGAAAGTCTTTCAGTGATGACAGGAATATCTGTATAAAAAAAAAAAAAGAAAAAAAAAAACTGATTAGTAATGTTTTAGACGATTATTATATTTTATATATTTTTTAATTTTGTGATTCCTCACCTGGATCAGGTCCTTTAGGTGCAGAGGCACAGATACTTTGATTTGGACAACCAGCACAAGCATCTGCTTTACCAGCTTGCTCACTTTCAGGTCCCTAATACATAAGTATGTAGCAAGTTTGTATTAGTCATCAATCCAAATGAAATGAGTAAAATTAACAAAATAGAATTAAACGTACAGGACAATGTTCATTGGCATTGTCAGGGATCTGTCCTTTATTAATATCTGACATTTGTGTCTAATGAAATGTAATTTAAGAAAAAAAAATGAATGAAAAAAAAAAAAAAAAAAAGAAATAAGAGATATTACAGTTAAAATCATTGTTTACAACATAAAGTCACAACTTTTTCATTTCCAAAAAAGGGGAAAAAATTAGGGCTACTACGTACTACTGGATATGTATGTTTCGTTTTTAATTAGCGAAATAATGCAACCAAAACAAAGAAAATGATGATGAGTGCAATCACTATGCAAACAGATTCTATAAAGAATGTAAATGTAAATTCTATTTTTTTTTCTTTCTTTTTATTTAATTAACTTACTATTATCTTTCATTTTACGGCTTACATAGTCTAATTTCTTTTTAGCCTGTCTTAATCTTTCATCTGTTCTATCTACCATTTCCTCTGTCTCATCAATTAGTTGAGCATGTGTTTCTAATTCATCACCAATAAGTAAACCTAATTCCCTTTGTCTACGAATAGCATTCGATAGCTGATCCAGATCTTGATCATCCATAATGCGTTGTTGAAGTTGAAGTATTTGTCCATTTTCCATATCTTGCGTGCTATCCATATCAATAGATGTAAAACGAACTGTCATATCTTTACCTCGTTTATTGGTACCTAGTAACATTTCCCTAATAAAAACTAAGTATTTTTTTTTATTTAAAAAAGAGGTGTTGTATTTATATTCCAGTTTACCTCGTTGCTTCTTCATCTTGATTGCCTAATAATGCATCTAATTTATCTACTTTTACTTGAAGTTCAATCAACTTATCTTCTTCACTTTTTGTATCTCTATTCAAAAAGAAAAAAAAGAAAAAAAAAAGAATTTAATAACATTTTACTAAATGTTACATGTATATATACATCTATTTACTTTGCTCCAGCTTGTTCCTCTTCTGAAAGCTGATTTTCAAGTACTTTAATACCATCTTTTAATTGTACTAGATTCTTGTTAATATTTGCTTCGTATTTATCTACATTAAGTCTAATGTGAATGTTAGTCAGTCATTTGAGTTAGTTTAGAAATATGAACGAGAATGTTACTTTAAATCTTTTAATCTATTTCTTTCTAATATAATTGATAGTGTGTTATCTGATAATAAATCAAGTCTTGATAAAAGTTTAGTGTCCATATTTATGATCAACAATAAAATAAATAAATAAACAAATAAAAAAAAAAAGGGCCACCTTTTGTATGTGTAATAGTTTTGTTATCTACTGTCTGTGACTGTGCTGTCTACTATGGTTATTTTATTTTATTTTATTTTAACTTTTTTTTTTTTTTTTTTTTTTGAGCTCATCCTTACCGTATAGAATAACTTCTTTCACTAATTAACTTCTTTAGGGTAATAATGTACATATTTAAAAGTTTATATAACATATAAAAGTATATAAATATTGATATCAATTCAAGCAATGACTTCATTTCAAGAAAATCCATATTCAAGTCTTGATGACGAAAATAATGAAGAGGAATTATATACTGAGGAAGAAGAGGATAGCTTATATTCATATGATGCAGAAGCAGAATGGGAAGAAAGTAAGGAGCAACTTTGTACACTATTTTCATTTGTCATTTTCCCTTGTATCGGTAAATGGTTAGGAAAGAAATTTTCTTATTGGAGTAAGTGTATATTAGATATGAATTTCTGCAAATATTAGTTTTTTGTTGTTTTTTTTGTTTTTTAAACAGTTTCTATGTAATGTGTAGTCTGGGCAAAGTGTTTAGGTTCAAGGACACCATTTACAACACGTTATTCTATATTATCAACTGAAATGGTGAATTCAATCAAACGTATTTCTTAATTATCTTATTTAGAGTCTCCTCTTTAAAATCACGGTTGTTTCTATACGCACACCCATTTTTTGCTTTTTTTATATATATTTTCATTCCTTTTCCCTTAATTATATATATACACACATATATTACATACTTTTTTTTTTAATTATTTATATATTATTTAAATAAATACATATAAATATTTATATTTCCTTTTTTTTTTTTTTTTTTTTTTTTTTTTTTTTTTTTTTTTTTTTTTAAAAGAAAACAGTAAGAAAGAAATAAAGTAAATGACCTTATATAAACAGATTAGTGAATATATTGACTTTTAATTTTTTTTTTCTTTTTTCATCTTTTTAGATGAACTCTTGGAAACTCCCGGGTGTAAGAAGTAAAGCTTTTTGGGTTTAATTTTATTGTAATTGCTTTAATTTACCATTTTATAATTTAGAAAACAAGGAACCCTCATCAACCCCTTCTTCCGCTCCTACTCCTTCTCATTCTTCTATACAACAACAACAACAACAACAACATCGTACAGCAACACCTTCACCTTCTAATAGCAATAATAAGAGTGAACCTAAATCAGGCGTTTTATTAATTCGTGTTTGTGAAGCACGAGGTATTACGCCACCTCCTAATATTACTTTACCTGCAACTCAGCAAGTTTCTGTTAATAACAACCGTCATAATCGTGATTCCTTCACTCGTAAGCAACAACATTGGTGGTTACCTTATGTTGTATTAGAATTTGATAAGAATGAAATCTTGATTGATGCACTTGGTGGTGATACAGCTAATCCCATCTATCAATACAGAGCTCATTTGTAAAGAATATATAAACATTATTCATGTAGTTGTACTCACTAGTTATTATTTAGTGATGTCTCTTGTAGTTCAGAAGTATCCATATCTATCTACATGCGTCGTCCTCCTTCTTCACAAGTAGAAACGGGTCGTACAACAAATGACTTTTTCCTTGGTGCTGTTAAGATTCAACCTAACTTTGAATCAACTAAAATAGAAGATCAAGTATTAAATATTATTGGCGGTACAGGTTCTATGCATATTCAATTATGCTATAGACCTCAGCAGGTAAACTAAACTAAACTAAAAAAAAAAAAAAAAAAAATAGTGACAATGAGGAGGAAGTGGGAGGGGTTTTCTTTTCAATGACTATAAAAAGCTTTGACAATGTACAATGTATATAGGCTAGTGGACCTATTACGTTTGATGCGTTTGAACTTCTTCGTGTTATTGGTCGTGGTAGTTTTGGCAAGGTAAGATAGAATGAAGGATAGGACAGTTTTATTGTATTTAGATACATTGCTTATTCTTTTTCTTTTAGGTTTATGTTGTACGTAAAAAGGATACAAATCGTATTTATGCTATGAAAGTTTTACGTAAATCACGTATTATCTCTCGATCAGAAGTAACTCATACAATGGCAGAAAAGACAGTATTAGCCAAGATTAGAAATCCATTTATTGTACCACTTAAATTTGCTTTCCAAAGTCCTGATAAGCTTTATTTAGTATTGGCTTTCATTAATGGTGGAGAACTCTTCCATCACTTACAATTAGAGGGTCGATTTGACGAGAATAGGTCAAAGTTTTATACTGCTGAACTTTTGAGTGCTTTAGAATGTCTTCATGACTTTAATGTTGTTTATCGGTAAGGAAAGAAAGAAGAGAAAGAAAAGAGTTTAAGTTTTAACATACATTTGACTAGTGACCTTAAACCTGAAAATATTCTTATTGACTATAATGGACATATTGCACTTTGCGATTTTGGTTTATGTAAATTAAATATGAAAGAAAACGAGCGTACAAATACATTTTGCGGTACACCTGAATACCTTGCACCTGAATTACTACTTGGACAAGGCTATACAAAGACAGTTGATTGGTGGACCTTGGGTGTTTTACTTTACGAGATGATGACTGGGTTACCACCATTTTATGATGAAAACACAAATGAAATGTATAGAAAGATTTTGCAAGATGAATTAAGATTTCCTGACGACATGAGTCCTGAATCAAAATCACTTTTGAGAGGAGTAAGTTTTTTTTTTTTTTTTTTTTTTTTTTTTTTTTTTTTTTTTTTTTTTTTTTTTTTTTTTTTTTTTTTCCTTAAAAAAATAGTATGATTGTCAGTGAAGTTTTTATTGATATTGACAAATGTATATAGCTTCTTACACGTGATCCTAATAAGAGATTGGGTAATAATGGATCAGAAGAAATTAAGAATCATCCTTTCTTTGCTAGTATTGATTGGAAGAAATTAAATCAAAAGAAACTTCAACCTCCCTTTAAGCCCTCTGTTGACTCTGCTTATGATACAACTAATTTTGATGATGAATTCACTTCAGAAGCACCTCAAGAATCTGTAGTAGATGAATCTCAAATATCAAGCACAATGCAAGAACAATTTGCAGGTTTTACTTATAATCCAGCTAATGATGGTGTCATGGGTGAAAGTTATACAGGCACTTCTAACGTTGGTAGTGCCAGTGCTTCTCATTCTCATGATTGGTAAATGAAAGGAAGGAGAGAGAGAGAGAGAAAAAAAAAAAAATAAAAATAAAAATAAAACATGATAGTTAATAAAAAAAATAATAATAATAATAATTAGTTGATGTGTGTGTGAGTGTGAGTGTAGGGTAAAGGGGAACCTGGAAACCCTTCCGTCCCCCCCCCCCAAATCTATGAATAATAGCCTAGTCTGTCTAAAGGATACAGCCCCATCATGCTAAAAGAAAAAGATGACTTTGTCCACGTGGAATATATAAAAAAAAGTTACACGTTTGAGTTAGCTGCATACTCACTTGTCAGATGATATGTGTGTGTATAGATGGGTCTTATAAAATACGCCAATAAACTTTTTCCTGACACTAAGGTTATAGTGTAGCACTGACCAGCGATTATTTAATTGATGGCTGGCTTATGTTATGCCACGTGAGTAAAACAGGCAGAATAAATGATTTTTCTGTTTATTGTAGTACAACAGTAGGAAAAAAAGATAGCTTATATGAAAACTCCCTCTATTATCTTTCCTTTTTCTTTCTTTCTTTCTTTCTTCCCTTCTTCCAAGAAAAATGAATAATACAGTAGTCATTTTATGTCAAACAAAACTTTTTCAAGAAGATTACCAAAGATTATTCAAATCCTATTTTAAAGAAGGTAAAAATTTTATAGAGGAAAAAAAATAAAAATATTGAATGTAATTTAATACAAATATCATAGTTTATATACAACACGACCTTATCAATGCTATTCATAGAATAAAACAACAATGTCTCGATGCGAAATCAACTTTATTACTCGTGGATTTAGACGCGATTCATTATGATGATATCATTCAATTCTTGGAAAATAGTGTACGCGAATTAAATACTTTATTACCAAATTATCATATTCCACTTGTAGTTTGTTCAAAGATCGATTCTACAAACTTAATGTTAGACTGTATTCATGCTGGTGCAACTGATTATTTATTAAAGCCCTTATTTACGAATGCTATTAAAACTTTATTTCTGGTAAATAATATGACTATTTCCTTAATACCAAGAAAGAAAAAAAAAGTATATAAATATGTATATAAATACACATATGCGTGTGTTCCTTTTTTTTTTGTTAGAGATTACATACATGTAAATTTGATAAGACTAGTGTAAATTCATCTCAAAGTACAACTTTATTATCATCGTCAAACTTGTTATTTCAACCCTTTATGAACGAAACGAATTTAAAGAATACTCAGTAAATATTTATATATATGTGTATTATATATATGGATATATGTGTGTGTATTTCGTTTATAGATGAATTGAATTTTATATATAAAATATATATCATTTAGTCTCTCTAAGATAATGATGAAGATTCTTCTTCCAAAATCATTACGTTATCAAGCAAAGACATTATTCCATGTATCAATGTATGTTAGGAAGGAGACTAAAATAAAATAAAAAAAAGACTAATTTTTTATACATGTTTATAGAAAACGATCATCGGAACTTAAATTAAAGATTTCAAGCTGGGATTTTAGTCCTTTCGATTTAAATCAATCAGAGCTAATTCATTGCGCAAATCTTATATTTGAGCAAGTCTTGACATTAGAAGAATTAAAGGATATCACATTAACAAAAGGTAATAATATATTCAAGATACAGAGGCAAATTCATAGATAATAAGTTTAACAAAAAAAAGTAATTTTTTTTTAAATTTAATATTTAGATCAATTACAAAATTTTATTATTGATTTAGCAAATGTATATCATGATGAAAATCCTTATCATAATTTCAATCATGCTGTAGATGTATTACAATGTCTCTATTTTATACTGTGTAAATTAGGCTTATTATCATTCTCTTATAACTCGAGTAAAAAGCCTAAAAGGCATAGTTTACAAAACATGTTAAAACCAAAGCATCTATTTGCCCTCTTGATTGCCGCTATTGGACATGACGCTGCTCATCCTGGTGTCAATAATATGTTTTTGGTATGTATCGTTATACTATAGATTACATGAAATAGACTTAATTCATATATACATGTATTATAGATTAATTCATCAAACCCTCTTGCCACTCTGTATAATGATCGATCTGTACTCGAAAGTTTACATTCTATGACCTTATTTCAACTATTAAATAAGCATGGAATTATTCAACTTATGGGTAATCCTCATTCAGGAGATTATAAAGGTATATTTAAATATACCTATATGTATATATAACTGTAGTTTAGTAATAACAATCTCAATCTCTCTGTCATTCATTCTTCTCTCCTTCTCCCCCCTTTTATGTGTGTGATAGAGTTTAGAAAGATTATTATTTCTAGTATTTTATCAACAGACATGTCGCTCCATTCAGACTATTTAACAAAAATTCAACAAAAATTACCTCAAGAAGATGTGTTTATACTATGTTCAGCATTGATCAAATGTGCGGATATTAGTAATGTTGCACGTCCCTTTCATTCTGCTGCTCAATGGGCTCATCTACTTGTAGAGGAATTCATTTCTCAAGGTGATCTTGAACGTGAGTTGGGTATACCTGTGATGCCCATGAATGATCGTGATAAAGTAATCCTTGAGGATTCTCAAATTGGATTTATTGAATCCATTGCTCTTGATTTATTTCAGAGTGTACATAGTCTATTTGATGATATTTCATTTGCTATAGATCAGATACAGGCAAATTTAAAACAGTGGAAAACATATAAAAATCAAAGTTTACTCTCTAATTCAGGGGTAATAATGGAAACTGAAGACACAGAAATGATAGGTAAGTTAGAATTTCATTATTATTAATACATGTATACACATACACATATTTATATATATAATAGGCACTAAAAGACGATCAAATACTATTAGTTTGGAGCTTTATTTTAACACACCCCATAAAGATGTCTATAATAAACGAGTTACAATAGAAAAAAACCATACGCCTTGTCTTAACTCATCATCATTACATTATCATCAAATAAAATTAGAAGACGACAGTATGTTAACTGAAGAAAGGCTACAAAAAAACAATAATTACTTCAACATTAGATTATAATTAACAGAGAACAATACAAAGTCATATATATTGCTAATGGTTGCATTCATACAAATAGTATTTCGTTGTACATATATATTCATATAAATCGTATATACATATTAAACAGAAACCAAAAAAAAAAAGAAAAGAAAAAAAAAGCTTTTATTAATAGTTTAACCGGATTATCATATACTTGGTTACGCATAATATTAGCATTGTGTAATAGCAAATGAACAACAACAATAGATAAACTTTTAAATGATGTATATATCATATTAATTTACTGATGAGTATTTGCTTGTACATGTTTGCGTATGTGGAAATATCTACATACAAATATATAAATATAAGAAATGAAATCAATAAAGTCATATACATAATTAAAAGGGAAAGAAGAGAACATATGTGTCATAAGAAAAAAAAATGGATAAAGGAGAGTATGAAGACAAAAGAAAGGAATGATGATTACACTACTAATAATGGATAGAATTTGTTTGTTTTACATAGTGTACCATCCCCTTTTACTAATAAAATAGGTATTTGTCCGTATAAACTTTTTACTGCGAGTAGCTCATGTTTTAATGGTATTTTACAAAGTATGAGTTCTCGACTACGATATTCTATTCCACTTGCTTTTAAATTACCAAACCAGATTTGTAAATCTCTTGAAAAGTTTTCTCCATGCAATGCTAATAATTGCTGTTGATGACTATCTTTTATATAGGCTTTTGTTGAAATAGTAGACAACACAGGAAAAGGAGTATTACTGACGGATACAGCAGCACTACTACCACTACTACCACTACTACTACTGCTATTGTTATTATCTTCTTCATTTGTAGTGGCTGTAGGTAATAGAAATGTATATGCTTCACATTCTAATTATTACAAGTGAATAATCAGGTTTTTTTTTAATTAATTAATTAATTACCTGTACCAACAATGGTCCAAACAGCTGCATCAGATACATCTTCAAACCAATAAGCACCTAAATGATTTGAAGCAGCAGCAGTTGCAGTCGTTTGATTCCCACTATTTGAAGCTCTTCTACCACCTCCAATAGAACCATGACTACTCACACTCAATTTACGTGGTTGTTGTGATTGCGGTTGTCTTACATGAGTCGTGTGATAAAAGTTAAAGTCATCATGAATGACATAAGAAGAGGGCTCAAGCATCCTATTCGTCGCCTTTGCCACCACCAAATCGGTTGAAACTCTTCTTTTACGAACAATCTTACCACCTATTTCATGTGAAGTAACATCAAGATCATCCAGATTATGATGAGGAATGTGATTAGTAGGAGCTGAGATGAAGATACCTGTAGAGGAAGAAGAAGAAGAAGAAGAAGAAGAAGAAGAAGAAGAAGTCATTGCTGTCAAGTTGACAAAGAGTTTTCGAGGTTCGGTTGTTTTATGCATACCTACTACATCATTTAAACAAGCAAGATAAGTGGCCGATTGTTGCTGTTGTTGTTGTTGTTGTTGTTGTACAATTTGAAACGCTACTTTGTGTAATTGAGATACAGGGTCACCTAAAACTTCATCTCCATTCAAGTAAGGATCATCTGTTGCGTTATGGCTACCTTGGGGTGCTCCTCCAACGACAGTAGATGCTTTGTCAACTTTGCGAATGACCATAACTGGGCTCACAAGACCGGTCGTTAGGCATTGTAGCACAATATGTTGATTATAATGAATAGGTATCAGTTGACTTGTTCTGTTCTTTAAGGCAATAGAAGGTGGAGGTGGATAATAAGAAAGTGCTGACGATGTTATATTATTATTATGCTGAGTTGCTGTTCCAATGTTTCCTATAAAGTCCTCTACCGTATTGGTATGAGTTATTTTTTCTTCTGTGACAGAAGTATCAACAATCCAAATTACAAAGGGATCCCAACAAACTGTTCGAGCCACGAAGCAAGTGTTACCATCATTGGGTGTACTTGTCTTGCCATCAAAGGGTTGTCCTGGGAATGAAGTTGTAGAAGATGAAACTCCAAGATATTTAGTAGATACTGTCTGTGAACGGATTCGATTAAACAATGAGATAGTTGTTCCATGATGAATACACACTATAATATTTAAATAATATTTACTTTTTTTTTTCTTTTTTTTTTTTTAAAAAAAAAAAAGTAATTGATCTCCTTACGCTCCATATTTTTCACACTCTGTCTTTTTTTCGATGGTTTACTAATAACTTTAATACCCTTTGAAGCTAATGTACCTAATTGAATACCATCAGCTAACTGAATACGTACTAAAGCCTCCACTCGTTTACGTTTCTCATCTGCATCATTAATATAAAGATGTTTAGAAACGCATTTACCAGCGGTTAACATTTCATGTGATGGGTTATGATACCAGTCAATTTGATTGTTTCTTGATTCAGCTGAACTACGAAATCGACTCGGATGCTGTTGAGATAGCGAACTTGTACTAGATACAGCTTGTTGTTGCTGTTGTTGTTGTTGTTGTTGTTGTTGTTGTTGTCTGCCTGTTTGGCCAACGGTTGCCTTTGAAACAGTGTACCATTCAATTTGACCTGATTGACTTGAGGTCTCACCTGAAATAGAAACAGTCATCTTGGGTGGACTTAATTCTTTCCCATCAGGTAATCTTAACAATTCATTTGTATTCAGTTGTTTTTCTATTGGACATGTCCACCAGTCAGTGCCTATTAAAAGTACTGTTGGAGGAGGGCACAAGAATCTACATATACAAAAAAAAAAAAAAAAAAGCAAAGTTTAAGTATTTTTTTTTTTTTTTTTTACTTTTTAGAAAAAAAAGTAAAGAAGAGGAGAAGTGGAAAGTTGTTGATATATACCTTTTTTCGGTTCCATAACTTTTTTGAGCTACTTTGCTCGTTAAAATAACAACTGTCTTTTCTTTATCATTATATTGATGCGATAAATAGTTTTGTATAAAGGTCTTCATTTTAGCTTCATGGATAGTACACTTTTGCAATGCTCTTTGTCGATTTTCAATGAATCGTTGTTGATTATTTTCCTCTGTTAATAAATAATTAGGAGGCCTTACAGATGTAGTTGTCGTTAACGAAGACACAGGCAATTCATGAGTCATCATTGAATGATTATGTAAATTATCAGATGAGGGTATCATGGACGAATATTCACTTTGTGGAGCAACAGAAAATGGTTGTTGTGTAAAAGGAGAAGGAGTACATTTATCATTTTGAAAGGTTGAATTTTTTCCTGGAAACTTTTTGGTATATAAAGTAAGTTATTTACAAAATAATATATATTTATATATATATCATATATATTACCGTTGTAGTTATTGTATAACAATCTGTAGATGAACCTTCAGCAAAGCCTTTTGAAGGAGATGATCGATTCCAATCAGTTTCTTTACTCATAGGGAATGGAAAGCTTGAAGTACTATAGGACTCATCTTCTTGCAATGCTTCTAAAAACCGAGGTGTAAAGAAAGTAGGGGTATTATTATTATTACTATTATTATTAGAGTGTTCTTTTTGACCTGGATTGCCTATTGTACTCCAAGCTGGTACAAACTGTTGTTGTTTTTCATGATATATACCCTTTGCCTCATGGCTATTTAATTGTAGATTAGCAGAAGACTGTATCATTCCCTTATCCAATTGATCTCGTGATGTAGATGTAGGTAATAATTGAGATTGGAAAGGATCGAAATTTAATATATGTGGAATTTCAGAAAACCCTTTGTTCCCTTCTTCTTCTTCTTCTACTATTGAATCAATAGGTTGAACATTTGGATTTGAAGAAGATCTTTGATCGAATAAAGCATTAAAATAATTAGTCGTAGGTTTCTGTTGCATGACTAAGAGCGAATTATCGAGATTTTCATCACCAAAATGATCCCAATAAGTTGGCGTTTCAATTGTTGTATCAGATGACGCATGAATGCCTGTCTTAGTAAGGCCCATTGTATTGGATGAATGTTGTGGTTGAATACCAAACGGTTGTGATGTAGTTTTCCATGTTTGATTATTACCATAAGGTAAGTCTACAAATATACTTTGCTCAGCAGGATAGATGAAAGACTCTTGTTTCCTTTTACGAGAGGAAGGAGGTTCAACAGAGAAACAATTTGCATTATCAATGAATGAATAACTGCTCGGTGAAGAAGAGGGGCAGGTTGATTGAGATAATATGTTGTCATGCTGAGAGGTCATAATAGGCATATTTTTTTTTTAATTTTAAATGATTAAGAGTAAACAAAAAAAAAAGAAAAGGTTAAAATGAATTAAAATGGGATAAGAAGTGTTGTAAATAAAGCAAATATTATCATGCTAAACCTTTCACAAATGCGGGGTAAATCAGAAATCGGGTCCCAAAATTATTACCTTTGCTCCAATCATCTCAAAAGTGTCGCAAAAGAGAGTTTAATGTGGGGATAAAAAGGAAATGAATTGTTACACTTTGTGTATATCCTTTTGAGGAATAAAATCAATGAAAGAGCAACTCAGCAGATTTAATCCTCAAAAAAATAAAATAGAATAAAAGCAATACCACATAAATTATAATAAATAGTTCAGCATGCTATAATTATGTTAAAAAGATTTATGGAGAGGGGGGAGGAGGAGGTTTTTTTTTAAGCATGTAATATCTATTTGTATTCTTCTTTTTCTGTTGTTGAATTGCCCAAGTTAATTAAAATTGGTCATATGTTGAATTCTTCTTCTAGTAGCCCTTCTTTGACTTCTTTTCTTTACATTAACTGTTAATGTATTATGTAATAATAACATGCATAAATTTTGAATGTTATTCTTTCTTTAATTTAAATGCTTCTTTTTACTTAATACGGAAAATAATATAATATTTCAAAACATTTTGGAAATTAAATATATACATCTATATTTTGACTTCAAAATAAGTATGCATTGGAAAGAATGATATGCATATACTCGTATACATTTTTAAGTAAGACAAAAATAATGATTAAGATGACTTCACTATTTAACAAGTCATACCATTACGTTTAAACAATACGTTTTAAACCCCCTCCTCCACATAATTGGACACAAGGTATTCATTATAACAAAGTTGCCCGGGTTAGTTCATCAATGAAAACAGATACTTTGGATTTAAGGGCAAAAAAAAAAAAAAAAAAAAAAAGGAAAAGAATGAAATGAGTGTTGCTATGACACAATTAATGGAAGAAGGGAGCCAATTGAGAAATTGCTGACCATATTGTGACGGCAGTGAGAGGTGGAAGGGGTATAAATAGTTGATCTACAGACAAGCCCAAATAAGAATATTGAAATACATATACGGTTAATGTGTAGGAAGAAGCTTATTCAAGAGAAAGGAAAGAGTATCCTCTATGATTTTAGGCATTTGAAAAGTAATGATGCATTTGGAGATAGTAAACGACATATTGTTTTGTTAAAAGCTGCGTAGGGTGCCTGAGACAATAAGTTGAGTAACTACTACCAGGTAACCATTCAAAGGCGCCAACGAATACATTAATTACATTCAACAAAGGGTAAGGGTATACAAAACCAAAGCATAGGATCTATGGTTATAAACAGTCGATAGTATGATATTTATTTCGATAGATTAGAAGTATTTCCATGCTGATCCAGGTTGTATTAATAATAGGATCTAATTTGTTGTTTCATTTTTTTTAGCACAGAAACTATAAATTACAGTTTAATTGTGCACCATATACGAGCCTCGGTTTCCTTAACATAGATGACCAGTGCTGCTCTTCTAATGTATGGCTATTATATATGACATATTAATTATATATCCTGTCAAAATGATTTTACCATCATAAATAGAAAACTGCAGAGTGTTTTTTTTCCCCTAACATGAATGAATATACATTGATTATGTTTAAACTTTATACATGGTCTAAATATAGATTTGTATTATGAATGCATTAAATTCAAAAGAGTTATGTGTGTGTGTGTGTGTGTGTGTGTGTGTGCGTGTGTATGTGCGTGGGGGGGCGAAAAGAAAGAGAGTTCTGTGTACTACCCTTCTGATATTATAATTTCTGTGCCCTTATATTGATGAAGAAGAATACAATTGTTTGTGTGTTTTGTAACAAAAACTTTATTTGTTCTTTATATACACAGGGCAGTAAGGAGATTCCTTATCTAATATGAACCTAACAATAGAAATTAGTTAAATCTAGGATTTATATGATTATATAGCATGTATGTTTATAAATAAATTAAATCTACTTTCTGTTCTGTATAGGAGTTATAGTTTAACATGAATTATTACACATTTAAATACCTAAAAGGTCGGACAATACATAAATAATTCAAGACATATTTGTTTACTATTAATTTATATATTATTCTCAAGACATATAAAATAAAAATAACTTGGGGCTCTTTCTTTTGATTTTATCTTTATACATTTAGCATCCAAAAAAAAAAAAAAAAAAAAGTATGCATTAACTAACTGACTATATTGATAATATCGCCTTTGTTTACAACTGGAATAAAAGTAATCGTAAATTCTCTTATTTTTGATTGATAATTTAAAATTACTTTAAAGATTTAAATTGGGAGATAACGTTGTTTAGATTAAATACATATTCTCCTGCTAAGTCTTATTTAACTGGTAGCAATTTTCATCTTGAAGAGAAATAGGCGAGAAACATTCAAATGATAAATTTTTCGGGGCAGAAATTCCTAGTCACTGCCCATAAATTATTTGTTATTTTTAAGATGTTCTTCGTCTATTCATTTCACTCATCTAAAGGCTTTAACAAATAATAATAATAATAATAGTTTAAATATATACCGACTTCAGAATATGAATCCTCCAAGGACTGTGTTAGCAGCCTTCCATTCCAATGACTGAGCATGAAAAATACAAGTAATACAAAAAATAGGTATAAATGTGTATAGAGAATACAAATGCAATTAGTTAAGCTTCAAATACACTTCAATTGTATGATATTTGAGAATAAACATTTTGTTATATACATCGAGCAATCGGAATGTTTAGGATTATGCAGGTAAGATAGATAATCTATCTTTATTGTAGATACTATGTCAGTAATAAGATGAAAAAAACGAATCAAAAACCTTTTCTGGTTGAATTATTATTTGAACGAAAATAAAAATCATTACTAGAGTTTAAAACTGATTTAGCAGACATACTATAAAATATTCAATTTTACAAGATCATTATGGAATATTTAGATGAGGAAATTAGAAGAATAAATGATTTTATGATGAGCATTAATGTGGCAATGAAAATTGAACATGTTAACTTCATAAAGACAACATCGATACCAAGCTATTTTTTGTTGTATTTTGTAGGAGAATATGCTAACTTCTTAGTTAATTCAGAGAAAAATTTATAAGACCTGAAATAGCGTTTATGTTTTTTCATTTTTTTTTCAATAAAGACTATCTAATAATTCTCTCTTAAGATTTGCTAATGCATAGATTAGCATCTACAGATTAATATAAACTTTTAAAATTAAGAATACTTTTATCTATCAAAAAACTCCATCCTTTTATTTAAATATAAGAGAACGAGAAAATAGTTTAATTATTTCGCAGCGTACTATTGCTTCTGAATGTATTTGATGGTAGAGCTTGGCTATTACGCGTAAGGATCTTTTTTTTTTTAGTATAGCTTAGAGATAACAGAGCCTAGTTTTAAAAGGGGAGAAAAAGATTGATTCACTTCTATTAACCAGTGTCAAAAGGATATTATGAAAGAATATTTAGAGTAGCCAGAGTTTAGAAGAGACCATTATGAAGAAAAAAGACAGGATTAAATGTTTGAAGTAGCCAAAGTTGAGAAGACACCATTATGATGAAAAAAGACAGGATTGAATATTTAGAGTGACCAATATCCAGAGAAGCCCACTAGGATTGATTTTATAAGGCGACCAGTATCCTTAGAAGCCCGCCATAAGAAAAAAGACAGGATTGATTATTTAGAGTGGCCAGTATCCAGAGAAGCCCACTATGGTAAAAGACAGGATTGAATATTTAGAGTGACCAATATCCAGAGAAGCCCACTAGGATTGATTTTATAAGGCGACCAGTATCCTTAGAAGCCCGCCATAAGAAAAAAGACAGGATTGATTATTTAGAGTGGCCAGTATCCAGAGAAGCCCACTATGGTAAAAGACAGGATTGATTATTTAGAGTGACCAATATCCAGAGAAGCCCACTAGGATTGATTTTATAAGGCGACCAGTATCCTTAGAAGCCCGCCATAAGAAAAAAAAAGAAAAAAAGACAGGATTGAATATTTAAGGTGGCCAATATCCAGAGAAACCCACCTAAAAGGGTAAATATTAGCTTATGTGTGGTAATTGGTATTTAGAAAAACGTACCATATAAAAGCAAGCAATGTTTGGTTCATTTACATTAATCAAATTTTAGAGAGCCTACTATAATTAAAATTTATATTGACCTGCATCAAAAGACAACTACTATGAAAATAAAAAAGAAAGTATAAAAGCATATATTTTTATTTATATATGCTTCTATTCTATAAAAGATAGACAATGTAAAGTCCATCAAAAAAGAAAAAAATAGTTAGAAAAAAACTTTTTTAAAAATAAGGAGAGAAAAAAGGGAGAAAATTAGACCCTGAGAAAGTTTACTTTTACATAAACAAAGAAAAAATTTTCCAAGATTAATAGTCAATATCTCTTTGTGGCTTATTATTTATCTTTCATATCTTTTATACACAAAAATAATTATGATAATCATTAAAGATATTATGTTGAATTATGTTAAAGAAGCTTAAATGCTTTCTTTACTACTTGATAATGGATCATTAAATGTGTAACTTTTGTTTTGTCAACTATTATTTTATTTAAACGGAGCTGCAGCAAATGTTTCATTTTGCAGGTACATTTTCTTTTTTCTATTGTTGCAATGAATAAAAAAAATTGCTAGTCAAAAAAAAATAAATAAATAAATAAATAAATAAATAAATAAATAAATAAATATATGAATATATACACACATATGAGCACTAATCTATAAATGATGAGCCGTGCTAAAAAGATGATCAAGTTAAAAGCAGCAACATTTCTCAAAAAAAAATAATTGTATACAAATACTAAAAGTAGCTTGTCAAATATAACCTTAAAAACAGAAGTTTCTTTCTTATTACTGAAAATAAACCTTATTTCCCTCTCCCTTCATTTTAAACAAGTAACAAATATAAAGCGGCTCTAGAAATGGGATGAATTAACGAAATTAAATTCTTGACATATAAAAATAAAGGGAAAATCAATATTTAGTTAATGGATACTGTATTAATCAAAGGAAGAAGGGCTTGAACAGTTCAATCTTTATGAAGATAGCAAAGTTCTAAAATAGGCAAATTTAAATGGAAATAGACCTTTATCGTACCATTATTTTTTATTTTTTCTTTATTTTTGACAGTTATAGAATATTAGAAAAGAAAATTTTCTTTTAAAGTAAAACAAGAAAGATTTGCATTAATAAATAAAACAAGTAAATAATAATACCACTCATATATAAAGAAGAAATAGTTTTGCGTCTTATTCTTCTTCTTGCCATTTATAAAACTCATTCTTTTATTATTCATTCTTTTTTTATTTAATTATTCATTATTATAAGATAAATACATATATAATAGTAATCGCAATTAATAACTAATAGTGTCTATTTGTGTATCATAATATGGATTCTCTTGATCTTAAATTACCTAAATATATGGTCTACTGTGTTATAGTAGCCTGTCTTGGTTCATTTAGTAATGGTTGGGTTATTGGTTCTGCTAATGTACCAGGTGAAGTGACTCACTCTTGTGAAAATGGTAGTGCTCGTATCTCTAGCAGTGCCTTCCCTGATTGTCTCCCCATGAATACTAGTCTTTGGGGTTTCGCTGTCTCTTCTTTCTGTGTTGGTGGTCTTCTTGGTGGCTTCTTTGGTGGTAATATTCAAACCAAGTTTGGTCGTAAGAAGACAATTATTTTCAACAATTTGGGTTGGATCCTTGGAGGTATCTTACAAGGTGTTGCAGTAAACCCTGCTATGTTTATTGTAGGTCGTATTCTTTGTGGTCTCTCTTGTGGTCTTGGTTCCTTAGCCACTCCTACCTATGTTGGTGAAATCTCTACTATCAAGGCTCGTGGTACTATGGGTACCTGTAATCAATTTGCTGTTGTCATTGGTATCTTGCTTGCCTCCGTTATCGGTCTTCCTTTGGCTAATGTTCCTCTCTGGCGTATTAACTATGCCCTTGTTGCTGTCCCTGCTATTGCTCAATTCTTCTTGATGTCTGGCTGTGTAGAATCTCCTCGTTATCTTATCTCCATTAATCGTGTTGAAGAAGCCAGAGAATCACTTCAGAGACTTCGTCCTAATACAAACATTGATAAGGAATTTTATGGTATGATTGAAGGTCAATTAGGTACCGCTGCTGCTAGAGCTATTACTGGTATGAATAGTAGTATGGCTAATAAAGATGAAACCAAGTCCTTTGATGATCAAATTGAAGATGGAATTGTTACTGCTGATGAAGGTAACCGTGAACCCATGAACATGATCCAAATCTTTACCAACTCTCTTATTCGTCGTATTGCCCTCACTGTCCTTGCTCTTCATGTCATTCAACAAATGATTGGTATTAATGCTGTCATGTATTACTCCACTACTATCTTTAACATGTCCTTCTCTGCTGAGATGTCCAAGTACATGGCTATTGTCACTACCGTTGTCAACTTTGCCTCTACTATTCTTTCTTTAATCTTGATTGATCGTATGGGTCGTCGCCCCCTTTTGTTGATCGCTGAAGCAGGTGCTTGTATCTTCTGTGTCTTGTTGATCATTGGTTATGTCTATAGCTTGGGACCCCTTTTGGTTGTCGCCGTCTTTGGTTATGTTGTTTCATTTGCTATTGGTGTCGGACCTATTCCTTGGATGATTACCTCTGAAGTCACACCTGTCTATGCCTCCTCTGCTGTTGGTGCTGTTGCTACTGCTGTCAACTGGGCTACTAACTTTGTCATTGGTCAATGTTTCCCTCTTGTCTTTGAAGGCATTAAGGGTTACTCTTTCGCTATCTTTGCCGGTGTTGCTGCACTTGCCTTTGCTTTCACTTATCTTAAAGTCCCTGAAACCAAGGGTCGTTCCCTCGAAGATATTGTCAAGGGCTTTGAAAAGAGTACTTAAAGCTTATATATATGATAATACCCTCTATTTTTAAATATGTATTATTATTATTTTTAATTTTATATACTTGAAAGTCTTATTTTATTTTATTACATATTACTTTATCAAATAAATATTATTATGAATTAATCCTTTGTTTATTATTTTTTTAAAAAAAAAAAAACGGTAGAATAATGGGGGCCACACATAAATAGAATAATTTTGTCTAAAATAAATAACAGATTTAGGGTTTAAAGTAAAAGCATTACTATATACAAGGGGAGAGGTTTTTTTTTCCATGAATATTAGATACAAGATTATAATTCAATTATAGATAGCGCCTTCCTATCTCTTATAAGACTATTCAAGCTAAGAAATTAATTGTATTCAGGAGGCTATAAAGTGCGTTTAGTTGTCCCTTTATTCTACCCTCTTAAAATAAATAGGAAGGCCTTTTAACCAAAACCTGAGACCTAAGCATTTATCATTAAGTAAGATTAGCATACATACACTGGGAATTATAACTTCTATCAAATCCAGACACATCAAATAATGTCTATTGTCTTTTAATATATTGTTTAGAGATAATTTTCTAGATTATTAAAAATCGTATTTTAATGTGAGGTAAAAAAGCAACACTTTGGAATTAAGATATCTAATACTATAAACAACAGTAAAGGCTCAAGTGTCTTTATGATAAATATAGTTTTAATTCCTTAAAAGAAAAAAGAAAACTTCTCTTTTAAACTTAAAAACAAAAAAAAATGAAATGGAACCGTTTTGTGCAAAAATAATTATAGAATACATGAATATGTATTTTTTTCTCTTTTTCCCAGATTATTAAATACTATCATGAGTAGCTCATATATTTCAAAAAGAGCAGCAAATACTATTGCCATTGAATGTTCATTAAATTTAGCTAATAATGAAATTATGGACAAATTGCAACATCCTGAATTCAATCCTAATGGGGCACTTAATTTAGGACTTGCACATAATGACCTTCTATTAGAAAAAATATTTAAAAGGGTATTCATATACATTTATATTTGTATGTTTTCTCAAGATGAAAGAAAAAAGGAATACTTATTTTAGTAAATATATACTTGCAGGTTCAAGAATGTCTCAGAGTTCTCCCTAGTGTAAGTAAACAGATATAGCACACACTGCATAAACAATGAACACATATTTATTATTATTATTATTATTAAGGATATTAATTATGGGAACCCTCAGGGCTCAAAAAGGTTACGGGAATTAATGACTGCCTTTTTCAATCGATATTTTGAGCCATATTATCTGATTGAGCCCGAGCATATCTCGGTTCAAACAGGTGCTGGTGCATCTGTAAACCAATTATATCTAAATATATGTGATGAAGGAGAGTACTGTATGATCCCAGGCCCTTATTATGGTGCATTTGACTTGGATGTCTCGGTTCAGACCGGAGTCAAGATTATTGAAGTCTTTCCTCATACATTGACTGACATGACAGTAGATGGTAATGAACTGGAAAGAGTCTATCAAAAGACTAAAAGTGAAGGCAAGCGTATTACGTCTATCTTGATTACAAATCCAGATAATCCATTAGGAAGGTATGTATTTCTAGTATTCATCCTAACTTCATTAAAATAATAATAAATAAATAAATATATATATATATATATATATATCTTTAGATGCTATTCTCGTAAAGATTTGGAAACGTATCTTATCTTTGCTTCTAACCATAACTTACATATTGTTTTTGATGAGATCTATGCTTTATCTACTTATAGTCATATAGTTGAGAAAACTGATAAGTCCGTTTTTATTTCTGCTTTAAGCTTGGATTACAAAAAGCTTATTCATCCTTCTCTGGTTCATGTCATCTACGGTATGTCTAAAGATTTTGCACTTAATGGATTTCGAGTGGGTTTTATCATTGACCAATTTAATGAAAATTTAAGAAAGGCGCTTTCTCGTAGTTCGTAAGTTTTTTTTCTTTTTAGAGTGTACATAAAAAAAAAAGGCTTACCTAATACACATAAATAGAATATTCAGTTATACATCAACTATTACAGATCGTTTACTTTGTAATTGGTTTAAAGACGAAAGATGGATAGATGAGTAAGTATATATGATTATTAAACAATTACATTTAATTTAATCAATTCCATAGATATATATTAGAAAATAGACAAGCATTAGCTGATAATTACATCAGAACAACACAATATCTAAAAGAGCATCAAATTAACTTTATCCCTGGAGAGGCTGGTCTCTTTTTCTTGATCGATATTCGATCTCTCTTAAAGAAGAATTTCAATGAAATTACTCATGAAGACGAGAAGTATATTTGGCATACTTTAATTGATCATGGTGTCTATATGGCACCTAGTTTTGTATTTCATTCCAAGATTCCTGGATTCTTTCGTTTGACTTTTGCAATTCCATGGGAGATACTTGAAAAGGGTTTAGACAATATTATCGAGACCTTTGCAAATATACAATAATATATATGTTCTTAAATGATATACATATTTAATTTTATTTGATTTGAATTTGTTATAAATATAAGATAAATATAAACGTTTGTATTTATTGACAAGTATTTTAATAACTGCAAAATACTAATATGATTCCTTTATGTTTCGTCTTTCTTCTTCTTATTTTTTTTTCTTTTTTACTGTACTATTGAAAAATACTTTTGAGTAGCTAAAAGAGCATGATATCTAACATCTGAATTTTCATGAGTCATTAATTCCATAACTCTCTGCTTAGCACCCAATGATTGTAAGTGTCTAAAATAAATAAAATATTAAAAGTTTTATTTCATTCATGATATAGACAAATATATACCTTTTCCCCTCTTTTACACTATATTTAGCATATTGGCCAATGTCATAACATGCAACAGATAATATAAGAGGATTTGTTGAAGAGCTTAATAAACGCACTAATTGTCTGAAGGCGTAAAAAAATAAATAAATAAATAAATCATTCTATTGTCAAACAATTACTAAATAGGAGTGTATTCTTACTTTAATAATTTTTGATTATTATCATTTAAACGGTTCGTATTTTCTTTCCAAAAAACTTCAGATAAATGAGAGGGACTCCATTGTAGCATACCGGTTTCCAATTCAGAGGCATAAACCTCAAATGTCCTAAAAATAAATAAATAAATAAATAAATTTATATGATGTATTTTATATACGTTGAATAAGAAAAAATGATAACTTTTTTTTTTCTTTTCTTTCTTTCTTTACGTTCGGCTTTGAAAGCTCTTTTCTAATTCAGATCGAATAAATTGGACATCATCTGCAATATCTTGATCTGTCCATTTTCTTGTAGCAAGATGATCACATAAAGGTAATAATTTGGAGACTAACATAGCAGGCATATTTTCCATAGACGCCTTTTCAATAAAATTCTATAAGAATATATAATTTAGAATGCGATGATTTTGATCATATTACATAATATATATGTATATGTACCCTAAAAGTAGCAATAACAACGCGAATTACTTTATCTTTTACAGCAAATTTAGCAATATCAATTAAAGTTGGGATTATCTGACATTTCCTATATGTAGATATATATTTATATATGTATATACATGTATACATATATATTTAGCATGAATACAATATAGCATCTACGCCACACTATTATTATATACTTTTCTAAATTCCTTGCGATATGACAATCAAATGTCAAAAGCCAAATAGCCATCGTTAATTCATACATCTTTTGTGGTCCAACATCTTTTTGGTTAGAACATGAAATCTTTAGTATATTGACAAGTGAATCAACAGCATGACTTGTATTCCAAAATGCTTTTCTATATTCGGGAAGATGAAAGAGTGTGTCTAGCATTTGAATATTAAGGTCGATCACATGCTGATGATGGCTTTGTAATTGAAATGTCATCCATTTGAATAATTCTTCAATATTAATATTACTCTTTTGAGATGTAGAACTATTAGATAAGTTTTAAATATTAAAATCTGATAATCCTATTTTCAATATTTATAATAATACCAGATTAAAAGCGTTAGTATTTTGCTAGATTGAAGTCCTATGAATTCATCCCCAATACGTAATGCCCTTTATTTAGAAGTTATATACAAATATATATTTGTATATATATATATATATATTATCAGTATGCAATAAATAAAATACAAGTTAAATTTACTTGTAAAAAGGTCCAAATGGAAATCCCTTTACTTTATCACCAGCTTGATGAAATAAAGCTATTCTTTCTTCATGTTCTATACAAATACATGAATAATAATTCTTTAACCAAACAATGAAGATATATATATATATGAATGTATGTATGTATGTATGTATGTATGTATGTATGTATGTATGTATGTATGTATATACCAAATAGCATATCATGGATTAGCACAAGAACCTTTTGAATTGCATCTACTCTTGCTAATTTATGCATCAGCTCTAGGTATAAAACTGCATAATACAAACCATGCTACATGAATACGTTAAAAACAATCAAAGCAAAACTTTGTAAAATCTCTTTTTTTTTTTTTTTTTTTTTTTTTTTAAAAAAAAAAGGGGGAAATATACCTCTGACATAATAGGTATAAGCTCATTTGTAGTTACATTTTCTACATAGTTTATCATTGCTACTTCATTCTCTGTCAGCAACCCCACATTTCTATATTTCTATTATTAAAGTAAGTATAAATCCATTTAATTGTAAAATAGTAATGTTCTATATATCTATATGCACCTCCCAAGGAATATGTGTTAACCTAATTTTATTCAACACATCGTCCAAATACGGATGTGAAATCATAGCAAGTCTAACTTCTTCAAGGTACTGACTATTATTTGTTTCAAAATCCCTTACAATTATTTCTGAATTTGTTTGAACCATTTTAGTTTATAAAGAAGAGAAAGCAAAAAAAAAAAAAAAAAAAAAAAAAAAAAAAAAAAAAAAAAAAAAAAAGGGGGATAGAGAATAAAGTGTCTGAGACTTTATATAATAAAAATAATAATAATAAAAAAAAAAGGGGGAGCAAAAATAAACTGACAGAAAATAAATGGGGAAAAAAATGTAACGTCATTTCCATATTTTTTTTTCTTTAACTGATATCAAGTGTTTATTATTATTATTATAGAATAGATTAAGAATTCAATGTATATTTTTTTTGTGTAGTATATTATTTAAATACATTAATAAAAGACTGGTTATGATGTAGAATGTATATTAGGAAAAGGTAGAGAGATGGTGCTTTATAAATGTGACTACACATCAAGTGAGAAATAATGTAAACTTACAATTTATGCAGTTGCAAGAATAGCTGCAGGGGATGAAGAAGAATTGGTTACAGCATCTGTAGTAATGATAGTATCTTCATTATCACTCTCTTTTTCGATTTTTTCTTCTTCAGCTGTATTAGCTGCAGCCTCTTCTGTGGCTTGTTCTGAGTCATTATTAGTTGCTTTATTAACCTTTTTATGATTCTTCTTGGATGAAAATAACTCTGTCAATCGGCCAAGAGGAGAAGTAGGACGTGAGGCAGCTTTATCTGTATTAGATTCTATAAAGTGAAAAAGAAACAAAAGTGAATAAAAATATTTTATAATATATATATATATGTATATGTTTACCTTCATGTACTTCAGAAGAATCGGCAACGGGATCTTCGTGCATATTATCCTCCTCTGGTTCAGTTTCCCGTGTAGTCTCTTGCTTTTTCTTGCCGAATAATTTACTGATAAAAGATTGACGCTTAATAGCTATAGGATGAACTTGTTCAACTTCTGTCATAGCTTCTGTTTGTACATTTTCTGAGACTTCATTTACAGCTTCTTTATTCGTAGATTCCTTCTTATCAATATTATCAGTTTCTTCAATATTAGTGTCTGCCTCAGTACATTGAAGTTGTTCGTTTTGGAGCAATTCTGTAGAAACGATAGTGTCTTCATTGGTTCCTGTAGCAGCAGCTATATTCTCATCTACCTTATGTGAAGACTATTGAATTACGTTTAAATAACAATAAACTTGATGTATATACATATATATATATATATATATATATTACCTTTGATCTGGTAAAGAAATTACCAAATCCTTTTGATGCCTTTTTAGTAGGAGATTTTTCAGCTTCTTCTGTACTAAGCTCGGTTTCATTTACTTGTTCATCTTTTTTTGATTTGCCAAAAGGGTTAAAGATAGTACGACGTTTAGAAAGAAGCTTAGTTTCAGTTGTTTCTTCAACCTTAGAGGCTTGCTCTTCAGTAGTAGTGACAGGAGTAGCAATAGTATCAGTACCCTTCTCAATAACAGCTGCTTCCCCTTCATCTACTGAAGTGGTATTAACTGGCTCATTTTTGATCTGCTGATTATCTACAACAGATTCGGTGATCATAGCGGAAACAATATTATTGGACATGTTATATGTATTCTTCTTTTCTTTTTTTTTTATAAAAAAAACAAATCTTTTTTTTTCTTAAGAAAAAATATTTATTTATATATGTGTATACAATTTATAAAGGTATATTTATATCTTTTTTTTTTATGTTTAAACGAAACACAGGTAAAAAAGTGCACGAGTGAATTACTAAAGCAGGAAGTAAAGGGGATAGTAGTCGAGGAGGTTATAAAATGAAAAAAAGATCCATGTATGTGTATGTAGAGTATAAGGGATGTAATAAGAATTGGGGGGAGAGAAAGAGAGAGAGAGAGAGAGGAGACTTATTTTATGTTACACTAACCAGTTTATAATTAATATTAGAAGTTGTTTAGAATGAGGAGTATTTCCTATATTAGAGACCTGTCAACCAGATAAATATATAAATATACACATATATTTTAGCTTTATATACTCCTTTATATACACTTGCCACTTTGTGTATTTTAAGCTATTATAGTTATACACAAATAATAGTTTATAAAATAAACAGGCTTTAAGAAAGCTGACAAATATGCATCACATAGCTTCTACATAAAACAAAAAAGCTAGACTTGTTTACATGTAATATTCTAGACGTAAAAAAAAAAAAAAAAAATATTTTGTTGTAGCACATTAATGTTCTGTCAAATTATTTATATTGCAAGCCTAAATCGTATCATTTATTTGAAGTAGTACATAATACAATATAAAGATCAAGAAATACTATAGAAACTAATCTCCTTATTTTACATTCTTATTTATGCTCAAGTTTCATATCTTAAAATAGACTTCAAACGTCATACTGCTTTTTTTTTTTATTTGCGCACTAAGCATCTCCTATTCCGTTTATTCTTTGTATGTTACATAAGTTTTAATATCTCATTTGATCTTTGATTGTATTCCCTATGAGTTTATGCAGTAGTATAGACAAATAAGCGTAGTTAAGTTTGTATTGACATAAGTCTCTAAAAAAGATTAACGATCCTTTCCTTTCTGTAATTAAAATGGCTTATTACAAATATTTATCTTTCTGTTCCTTTTTATTTCAAAGAAATATAAATAGTAGTGATTTATTTAAGAAAAAAAAAAGAGAGTGAGAAAGAGAAATGCCATTCTATAGAGAGCTTGAGAAATCCTATGTCTTTTATACCATGAAACCTATAGAATTAAACGAATGAGTAAAACAAACAAGACTAACTGTTATGAGAATAATTCGACGTTATGTATGATACCAAAAAAAAAAGACCAGCAGGGATTTATAGAGACTTTACTCAGGATTTTTATGACATTATTACATTTATATCTTTATAGACACAATTGACTGTAATATAAGCTCAGTACTTTATTATACTATGTTGAACGGTTTAATATACAGAAGATTAAAATTATAATCAAAAGAACACGTAGGGTGATCAAAACTTTATAATAAATATTTGCTTATGTAAGATCTAATAATGAATCATAATATTTCTTGTCAAAGACAATTCCATTGTATGCAATAATAAGTTAGTGATCATGCTTTCTTTTTGTAATACTCGAATTTAATTGGCTTTTATAAGTCTACGTAATCGACCTGCACCTTGCCAGGGTAAATATAAAGCGGGGAAGAAATTATTTCATAAAATTTATGTAAAGCAAATATAACACCACTTTACTTCTTCTTCATTTCTCCCTCCCCTCCCCGCACTCTCTTAATTAAAATGGCTAAATCACACGTTGAAGCACAAGTAAAGCAGGTTGTCTATCACGATCCCTGGGCTAGACGTGAAGCATGGCGTAAACATCCTATTTTCTCAAAAACTTCAAATCTTAAAACCATGTTTCCTGGTCTCGGTATTGCGACTGTTGCATTTGCCGCTTATTGTACATATGAACATTTCTTTCTTAATAATAAGAAGAGTCATTAAAGTAAGAATGAAGCTCAAATAGCTCTATCAATTTGTAAATAAATTATTTGTCTAATGAATATAAAATAGTAATTTGCTACTTAATCTGCTTTGAGAAATTATATTTATTTGATCTCTTTTTAGGCACTTGTATTTTTTATTATCATTATTATTATTATTATCATTTAATAAAGGATGAATCGACAACAAGGCAAAAATAGAAAACAATCAAATACTTTTTATTAATAATTAAATGTAGTCGATCTTATATAATGTACATTGTCAAGAAGAAAGCCAATAACGTTTCATAGAAATTTAAGGCATAAAAACATTATTGGGTTGATTCTCCATAAAAAAATTATCCCAGCCTATAAACATGGATATTAAATAAGCAAAACTATCAAATTCATTTTTTTTTCCTTTCATCTACCTTGAACATCAAATCCTCTATTAGATGCATTCTCTGTAAATGGAGTACCTGCAGTCGAAAAGAGTTGTTGCCAAGTTGCTTGAGATAAGGATGGCATGCTTCCTCCAGCAACTTGATGTCCATTTAATAACCATGATTGGCTACTATTATCACTTGTCAATTGTTGCATAAATCCATTATTTGATATTGGTGGCTGTTCATTTACTGGAACTAGTGGGACTTGATAAGCAGGTTGTTGGGGCATTGGTTGCTGTTGTTCCTGTTGTTGCGTCTTACTTCCTTCAGGTTGCAATAAACTAAATAATGTTTGAAGGAAAGGAACTAAAGGTGGACCAGCTGGGATTTCCTTAGTTAATGGTGCTAAACATTCATCTTGGCAGATTTTGAAGTATTCCTTTGCTTCTTTTGCTATTTCAGGATCTTTACTTGTGCAATTATATACATGAATTAAAGCAGCTTGAAACACAGAATAAGCTATATACATGTGTGTATGTATGTATATGAGTATAAATGATAATATATACATATTTATATAGCACTTGCCTGCAAAGTTCCAACCAAACTTGGCAATCGCCATATAGGGTATTGCTCGAGCTATATCAATAGATACTTTTGCGGCTCGTCTACATAACTCAGTTGCCCTTGCAAATGAAGGCATAGTCACCTCGTCATTATCTAACAGAATAAAAGGGCGATGTAGAAGTAGCACTACAGCATAATAACATAATGTCAAAGGTCCTCCTTCCATAATTTTTTTAGAATCCATAGGATAAAGTTCAGGGTGAGTCTTCATACTATCTAAATCACTCTCTGTTATTTTATATCCATCAGGTACATTATTAAACCAATCTTGAAGCATCCTTTGAAGACTCCAAACAATTTGCTCCATTGCCTTTGTCTTATATCCATTTGATTTAGCTTTAGGTGAATAAATTCGTCGTAAAACTTCACCTAATATACCTGATAATTTGACAAAATTAACAAACATAACTAAATCTGTATCATTATCATTTGTTATAGGTAAATCAATATCACAATCAGAATCAGCAATAGCTAAAGGTCTTCCCATTAAAGCACAACACCAACGATCAGTAATATACACTTTTTTTTTTTTTAAAAAAAAAAAAAAAAAAAAAAAGGCAGTCAAATTATAAACTATCTCAATGGCTTTATGCACTTATTACCTGAGTACCATAATTTTTTCCTTTTCTCTTTAAATTCAGTGGATACCTCTACAGTTGTCAAGGTACGATGAAGACCTAAATCTTGAGCCATTCTAACTGCCATACCAGCTAAGATCCAATTCCTATAAGAACTTGTTGAACATGTTGGATGAGCACATAATAAGATAAGAGCTTGAATGGTTACAATTCTAGGTTTTAAATACTCTTTTCTTATTAATAATGCTGTTCTATCTAATAAAGTTTGAAAAACAACATCACGCTCAACACCCGCTTCTTTAAAGCTAGGATCATCAATCTTTAATAGAAAGCAAGCATAAGTACAGATAGCATAAGTTAATAGAGGGGCTGGAGGTGGCGATGTTCTCCCTTCAAATGCATCCATATATTCATTTCTATCAAGTACAGGTAAAGTAGTAGTATGTGTATTTTTAAAATAAGTGTTTACAAGATATATTAATAACGATCTTGGTATGATACTATCTACAGTCTCTTGTCCATCATCTGCTAACTGTACTGCCTCCTCATCTGCTGTCGTATCTCGAACAATCATTAAATCATCATCATCTACATTCATTCTCTTAAATCGATATTGCTGTTTACCGTTTAAAGAAGCGACAATATACATCTTTCCTTCTTTATCTCCTCCTTGTGTTTCTTGTGATTCATCATGACTAGTTGATAGAATATTATCCATCAAGTATAATCCTGAAGAGCTTCCATGATATCTAACTATCTTTCCTCTATGTTTATCTGTTGCTATGTTTGATGACTCTTCATCTCCTATCGATGTGGTGCTTGTAAAAGAAGGTGTATACTGTCTCTTTCTTTTCTTTAAAGGTGCTGTTTCATTTATTAAGTTTGTATTACTTCCTATATCTTTTAATATTTGCTCCATTTTCTCCAATCTTGTTTCTAAGCTTTCGATATAGCTATATACACATAACATAATTTAAGCCTTAAATAATATACATCATTTACTATCCTACCCTTTAGGTGGTCCTCTTTTTTTCGCTGTCTATAAATAGATTCAGTGAATTATTCATTCTAAATACATTCTTTATAGTTATCTTACATCATTAAATGTACATTCCCAATCATATTGCTTACATGTAGAACAAGGACGATTTATATCAACATCGCATCTAACATTTACAAGTTAATCGATTACATTTTATTATACTACATTTACAAACATTTTTTTTTTTTTTTTTTTTTTTTTTTTTTTTTTTTTTTTTACTTTATTTTTTTACGTCTGCAAGTATCACCTAAATATAAATGTTAATGTTAAATAGCAGAAGATCAAACAATAAAATTACAAGCTCTTGTTATTCTTGTTCTTTTTGAATTAGTTGGGTTGCTCGCTTGCTGATTAGTACTTGATTCGATAATACTGCTTCTCATTTGTGATAATGAAGGGGTTAATAAAGGTTGTTGTTGATGAGTATATAGAGGATAATTACGATTTAAATTATCATTTTTATTATATAGGTCATTATCGTTATTCTTCATTTATTAGTATTATAAATTAAAAAAAAAAAGGAAAGCACATATTTAAGGGCATTTTATCTTATTTTTTTTTTATTATTTTAGATAAATTATGTTGACTGCAGATGCGGAAAAATAATTTCACCATTTTTATTATTACATATTATTATCGACTGATATTCCAGCCACCGTATCACCCCAATCGTTTGTACCAATAATGGGTACACCAGGCCGAATTGCATTGTTGCTTGCAGAAGATGTTTGTGCACCCGTTGCATAATCTGTTTTTAATCCAAACAGTTTTGGATTTACAACCATAACAACGGCTGCTATGACAATGAATATTGTTAAGCTTAACGTGGCTGCAATACGGCATCGCTTCTTCCATAAAAATATAGCAGGATGATAAAAATGCTGATCACTTACTCGTCTTCCTCTACATGTCGAGCTTCCTAAGAACCATGCTAGTGGACATAGAAATCCAATAAAAAACAAATATTTTTCAAAAATGATTACTTTTTTGACTATGGTTTCTTCTTCTTCACTTTCATCATCACTTTGTTCATCTTTTTTTATCGAAGCTATGACAAAACTGCTATTATCTTTTTCCAAATCTCTGCTTAACTTCATATCAAAATAACAATAACAATAAAAAACGATTCTTCTATCATTATATATTCGCTTATTATATGTTACTTATATCAATATGCTTTTAAAGGAGAGAGTTGATATTCCTTTATTGATTGGTAAAAAGCAAGGCACTAAACGGACTTTTAAAAAATATAAAAGTCACTTTTCCATTCATTGAACCAATCGATAACTGGGAATAAAAGAAGAGGGGAAAAGACCTTGTAAATTAAGTAACCCTTGACAGCTATATATATATAAGATTTTTTTTTCTTTCTTTCTCTCTTTACCTTTCTTTTTTTTTTTACTGACTAACTGTCAAAGGTTGAGCCTTGTCTTCCATTTACCCTTTTTTTTTGACTCTTCCTTCTTATTCATATTGTATATATTCACGTAGCATAAACATTACATAAATAGTATTTAATCGCCAGGATCATCTAGATCATTTTTTTTTTTTTCCTCATTTACATTAGATCTTTATTTCTTCACTAAATATGTCTTTTTTATTTGTTAAACAAGCAATCAAGAAAGGAAGAGCTTCAAACTCTCTTCACCCTTATGAACTTTCCAAGTTCTCAAGACGTTTAATCCTTTCTTCTCGATACAGTTCAGCAGCAACGGCTGTAGCTACTGAACGTCCACAACATATTATTTTACCAAATCCGGGCGTCAGTGCATTCAAAAAGTCAACGCAAGTTCTTCCCTCTAGTATCTCCGAACAATTTGCAATTTTGAAAGCATGTATCATGTCACAAGAAATGACACGTGCTGAACGTGTCATGATTGAACTCTATCGAACAAGGCCTGATGAAATGAAGTTATTTGCCGATATCAATATTTATAATTCCTTTTTGAACGGGTTTGTGGAGGCTAAGAATAGGCCAATGACAAAACAATGTTTGACATGGTTTGATAATATGAAGATGTATGGCATTACTGCTGATCATAACACATATGCTATTATTCTCAAAGGATTTTTAAGGTAAAGAAAAAAAACAAAAGGGTGGGAAGGGGAGAAGTTACAAGGGGAAGTTGTTTTGATATAAATTACGCTTTATACATTAGGGCAAGAGGTTATCATACGGCTAGAGCAATTCTTGCAGAAATGACAAATAAGGAAGGAATATCAGTAGAGGATATGTTAAAATCAAAATTCTTGGAAAAGAAGGATATTGTACTATTTAGAGAGGTATGTACACACATTTTTACCAATTTTTATTGTTTGTCATTATTAATGGCTTTTATTTTTTATTAGATGATTGATGCTAGTCGAGATACCGCAGACATTGATGTTGTTAAATTACTGAGAAATCTAGAAAATGCTACGGATGAGATATTAGGAAAAAATAAAGAGTCGATTATGAAAGAGGCATCCGAAACTTCGGACCATATCCAACATGTTATTGAAAATGTACCTGAAGTGAGGTCTACAAAATCAGTTGGTGTTCACTTTTTACAAGAACAATTAGCTGCTCTTCGTGATCCCAATGCAGTTACCAAGATGGACCCCTTCGAGCTTCAATTAGGTTTAGAACAACAAGGATACGAAATGGCTTTACAACAATTACTTCACACAAAAGAACAAAGTATTGAGCGTGGTGATACCTTGAATGCTATGAACTTGACGCCTCTCAAACGTATTATGTGGGACTGGCATCAAAAAATGGTTCCACTGATTAAAGAAGAAATTGAACGTTGTGATGCTTCCACAATACGTGAAACTGAACGTCAATCATATGGTCCATTTTTAAAGCTTTTACCTCCAGACACTTTATCAATGGTAACTATTCTTGAACTATTACGATTGCATAATAGTTCAGGTATTGGTGATGGTATGAAAACGGCTCGTGCTGTGATCAATGTCGGTAAAGCAGTCGAAATGGAATATAATGCTGTTCAAATTAAGAAACGATCATCCAACCATTCTGAAAATACACATGCCTTATTTGCAAGTGGTAAATTATTTAATTTAGCAGTTCGAAAGGTACAATCAAAACTGGAACAAGAAAAAGTGACGGATATAGGTCATGATGGAAAGACGTTAATGTCAGGAGATTGGAATCCCATTTGGCCAAATACAACTAGAGCCAAATTAGGTAGTGTCTTGACTAGTCTTTTGCTAGAGTCAGCTAAAATCCCTGTGCCTAGTAGGAACCCAGAGACTGGCGAAAAAATAATTGAACATATTCCAGCCTTTTTCCATACTTATCAATACGTTCATGGTAAACGATTGGGTATTATCAAGTTTTCTGATCAGTTAACCCAGATGCTTTCACGAGAACCTGTGCGTGATACGTTACATCCTCGTTTGTTGCCCATGTTAGTTCATCCAAGACCATGGTTGTCCTATAATAGTGGTGGATATCTTTCAACAAAATCAAATTGTATGAGAATTAAGGATTCTACTGAACAGTTAATGTACCTTCAGAGAGCTTCGGAAAAAGACCATTTAACGAGGGTATTGGCTGGTTTGGATGTGTTAGGCTCAACTCGTTGGAGAGTAAATAAAGATGTCTTTAAAGTTGTGTTAGAGGTTTGGAACTCCGGCGAGGCTTTAGCTGGTATTCCACCTGCCATTACTGGAAGTACACCTTTACCTCCTAAACCAGAAAACTATGATACAGATCCAAAGGCCAAGTTTAATTGGGTAACACAAGTAAAGAAAATTCAAACAACTGATAGAAATAATCATAGTTTAAGATGTGATGTAAATTATAAAGTTGAAACTGCTCGTGCTGTAAGTTATACAACTATATTTATATATAACAAACAATATTTATAATATTGAAAAAAAAAATTCTTTTTTCTTAGTTCTTGAATCTTCCTATGTATTTCCCTCACAATATGGATTTCCGTGGTCGCGCATATCCTATGCCTCCTACATTGAATCATTTAGGTAATGATTTATGTCGTGGTTTACTTACCTTTGATAAAGCCAAGCCTCTTGGACCTAATGGTTGGAGATGGCTCAAGATTCACTTGGCTAACTTGTATGGTTATGATAAGCATGCTTTCTCTGAAAGAGAAACATTTACAATGGATAATATAAATGATATTCTAGATTCTGTTGATAAGCCTTTAACTGTAAGTGTTATGTAGACAATGTCAGATTATATGCAGTGGTTAACTTTTTTTTTTATAGGGTAATCGATGGTGGTTAAAAGCTGATTCACCTTGGCAATGTCTTGCTGCTTGTTATGAAGTAGCAGCAGCCTATCGTAGTGGTAAACCTGAAGAGTTTAAATCCCAATTACCCGTTCATCAAGATGGTACTTGTAATGGGCTTCAACATTATGCTGCCTTAGGTGGTGATTTAGCAGGTGCACGTGCTGTTAATTTGTCTGCCGGTGATCGACCAGCCGATGTTTATACAAGTGTTGCAGATATGGTCAATGTACAAATTGATAAGGCAGCAGCTGAAGGTAATGAAATGGCCATGATACTTCAGGGTAATATTAGTCGTAAAGTCGTTAAACAAACAGTTATGACGAACGTCTATGGTGTTACTTTTATTGGTGCTCGTAATCAAATTGAAAATCGTTTGAGAGAAAACCCTAAAATTCCTAAGGAAAAAACTTACATCTTATCTGCCTATCTTGCAAAAGCTGTATTTTCTTCTTTAGGTGAAATGTTTACAGGTGCTCGTAAAATTCAAGATTGGTTAACTGATTCAGCTAAACGAATTGCTCGTAGTGTTCCTTTGGAAACTCTTCAGGAAGCTGGTGCTGTTCCTTTCGATAATCCAGAAGATGAACAGAAACTATCGTCGGAATTAATTGCGAACAAGCCCAATAAAAGAGCCACTAAAAAGGGTAAATCCGCATTTTCGGCTCGTAATCCACAATCCAATCAAATGTCATCTGTTATTTGGACTACACCGCTTGGCTTACCTATCGTTCAACCCTATCGTCGTTCAGGTAAGAGACAAGTTGCAACTCTCTTACAGACAATTTATATTGAGGATCCTGATGCCTCACGTCCTGTAAATGCCACAAAACAAAGTACCGCTTTTCCTCCCAACTTTATTCACTCATTGGATGCTACACATATGTTAATGTCAGCTGTTGCTTGTCACAGGAAGGGTTTGACGTTTGCTTCAGTTCACGACAGTTATTGGACACATGCCTGTGATGTAGATGCCATGAACGAGGTTATTCGTGATCAATTTATCGAGCTTCATTCACAACCTATTATGGAAAATTTACTAAACGAATTCAAAGAACGATATCAAAATTATCGTGTACCTCATAGTTCTGTATTAACCGAAGAACAAGCAGAGGAACTTGATGACGATGACGATGATGATGATATGATAGGACACGCCTTGTTTGGCGATCCAACTAAGTTAGAAAATGGATTGAAACGTGAAAAGAAGAAGGATACATTGAAGGCAATCTTTGGACTTGCATCAGAAGATGAAGATTTAGAAGATGAAGAGGATGATGGAGAAAAGAAACCAGTAGTAAAGAAGAAAAAGAAAAATGTAGGTCAAAGACATAAGCATACCTGGGAACCACTTACATTTGCTCCTTTACCACCAAAAGGTGAATTTGATATTAATGAAGTTAAGAAATCACCTTACTTTTTCCATTAGACATATCTGCATGTATATTATTATTATTATTATATATTATTATTCCCTTTTTTTTTTTTTATTTCCTACTATCTAGAAATAAAGCAAATAAAATATATATATTTATATATATATATATATATATACATATATAAATATATACATATACATATTTGTATATACATAGAAATACATAGATATTAAATATACATAAAATATGTTTATTTATTTACTAATTTACATGTACACGATATGATCGGATTGGACCCTTGTTTCTAAATTTTTAATTTCTATAGCATCACAAATGACAGAGATACCAGAGACTAAAGTATCTTGATGAGTGTATTGAAGATGAATAGGTCGTGGCGCACCTTTCCCTTCAGTGTAAAACTTTGCTAAAAGACGCTGTTGTTGATTATCAGGTTGAGTGGTAGTATATTGATCCAATAAATCACCGAGCTGCCATGTCAATCGATTCTTGACATCCCAAAGACCCTGCGGTGTACTTTGAACGTACTGAATCGCAGGCTGATCACCCATAAGGACTTGAACTGTACCCTTTAATTTGGAAGGATCGGCTACTAATGGATTCTTTGTATGTTTCACTATCAAATAACTAACATCCTCTACGCATTTCCAAGAAGGCGATAACTGTATTGGTAAAGCAAGTGGACTACTATCAAGTTCATAAGTGAAACAAGCAATCTGTTCATTTGTTTGGAAATGTTTCATATCTAGCATATAGATACCATCTTCAACTGTAACATATTCAGGATTAGGAGTCAATTGGCGGATTCCATCAATATGGGGAAGTTGAATAGGTAGCTTTGATGTAAATAATGTTTGAGAATTGCCTTGGTAGGAAATTAAAATTTGACCTGAAACAGAAAGTAAATTGGATGCTGTTAAATTTGTTTTTTCTGTAATAAACACAGATAAGTAGTGTTGTTGTTGTTGTTGTTGTTGTTGTACTTCAGGAATAGGTTGAAGTGACCAAGTACTATGTACCGGAGAGTCATTTAAGAGGGTAGAACCATACATATTATTTATAGAGGATGATGAAGTTGCAGCAAAGATAGTATTATTATTAATTGGAGATATTTGTATAAATGGATTTGATGTGCTGGTTTCATTAGATGAAGTTGAAAGCATTGAATTTGCTCGAGGATTCTCTAAAGAATGGCTAGATGCTGAGGCAGCAAAAAGAGATGAATCTGTTTGAGTTCGATTAATGGAGCTCCTAATCACAATAAAACTATTTAGTATAATTTCTATTTTGTTATTACACTTGATATATTTTACTCTCTCCTTCCTCTTGGTCTTTTTGAAATAGTTGGTGTATGCTAAAAAAATAAAATAAAAATGAAATAAATATATTTATATATTTAATCCTTTTAAACAAAAAGAAAAGGAAATTCATACTTCACGTAACATTGTAGCCATTTTGTTAAAAGTTTCATTTACTTCCTTTTCTTCTTCTTTTACACTACTTTCCTTAATATTGATTTGTAGCTTTTGATTCAATTTCAAACTACATAGAGAATTCAATATAAATTCTATCTTTTTTTTTTGTGCTTACCTGGTAATGTCTGAATCAACATCATCTGAGGTGTGACGGGAAGAAATATCAGATGCCATATTTGGGAAATTATTGTTTGTATATGTTGGAATTGAATATCCTTCTGCATCTACTAAAGGCGGTGAAGAAATTGACTTTTTTTTTTTAAAAAAAAAAAAAAAAAAAAAAAGAAAAGAAAAAGAAAAAAAAAAGTTATATAAATATACTAATTTCTAGTCAAATGTAACTAACATTGTTATTATTATTCGAATCTATGACTGTATGATTTTCTGTAGGTGTCACAATTTCATTTGTCATATTTGAATAACTACCATATCGATTCCTAAATACGTATAATATTAATACAGGTTTAAATTAAGTCTTAGTTTACTTACTCTTCGGTCTCATTACTATCCAATGAATGGCTTTTTTTCTTTTTCAAGAATATTGATTTGACTATAGAAAGTAATGTTTAGACATTTTATGCAACATAAAGGGTAAAACTCTATTTACATTTGTTTGTGGAACGATGTGAGTCTTGTGAGCTTACTGTAGAGGCTCTTTGCTTTAATGTTGAAGGAGGTCTTTCATCTGTAGATTCTAGTGTTAGTAATCCTTTCCCTTTTTCATTACAAAAGTCTTGAATATCATGTTGAACATCAAATAGTTGAGCAGAAGACATTGTTTCATTAGCCATCTTATAAATCATGGTTAAATGATATGTAAAGTTATTCCTCTCTGTTTCTTCTCTTTCATTCTTTACTTACTTCAACTCTTTTCATTAGCTGTTCAGTTTGTATTTTCTCAAATAATTCTACTGTTGATTTTAGTCGTACTAAGCGAGCTTCATCCATATTTTGATGTAACATTAAATAGTCTGCAATTTCGTTTTGTGAATTTAAATTATTTTGACTCTTTGATTTTCGAAATATAGAGCTTTTTACTGTAGATAACTTATTTTTGTTTTCTGACAAATGTAAAAGTGACTCGTACTATGCAAGATAAACTTATGATTATCCACATATATGCACACATGTTTACTACTTACTTGTTGAAGTTTATGATAATCGTCAGAAGGTGGAGTTCTTAAAGGCCTTTCAATTTCTTGTGTAATTCGATATGCCATTTCAGAATGATAAGTTTCAATTTGATTTAATTCTTTTATTAACGATTCCCAAACAGGTGTAAAATAACTTTATAGACAGTTAGCTTTCAAAATACATTAATCCTTTTCTTTTTTCCTTTTTTTATACCCTAATATCTCTGGGTTAGTTGTATATAATCTTGTGGAAGCTTTTTTTAAATTCTTCGCGTATATTTCTTCAATTTGTGCTCTAAAGTGGCGGTATAAGTACAAACAAACTCATTTGTAATCTTTTGCGTCTTACCTTTCTTTGAAATATTCAGCAAGTTCAATATCAAATGCCATAGCATTTCTTAATCTTTCTTCAGCAATGGCTAAACCTTCTTTCGGTTTTTTTGTCTTTTACCAAGTTAATGAGTTAACATGTTGACAATTATTGAAATTGCATTCTTATTTTATTTTATTTTACCATAAAGGCTTCTACATATGTATTTGACATTTTATAGACAAATAAAATTATGCATAAACGTATAATGTATAAGGGAAGAAAAGAAAAAAAAAGAAAAAAAGAAAAAAAACGAACTATTCTTTTATACTTAAGCAGCAGCTTTTTTTTTTTTTTTTTTTTTTTTTTTTTTAGAAGCTGCTAAAAGCGGAAATTATGTAAGCTTCTGAAAGGGAAAAAAAAACAAGCCTATGATAACAAATCATAAACACCAGAGAGGGCATGATTATTATGGTAAAAACAAAAGAGTATAAATTGAATAACAAACTCCATTACTAGAATTAATGCAATTTTCTTCGAAATGAGAATAGGATTTAGAAGACGCTTTTAGTCTTAAGTGATAAAAATAGAAACAATACGTTGTAAAATCTATATGTGAGTGTAATGTCAATAACCAACAGATATCGTCATAACAGTGGCTTCTCCTTTCTTTTTTGTACTGAGATTCTGTTCATTCATAAAAGTAAAGTTATTCTATCTATTTTATTCATTTTTATTTTCTTAAAGTAATTTAAAAACTTTTGATTTAACTTTTTTTTTTTTTTTATTTTCAATTCATAAAGTTAAAGTCTAATTTAGAATCAACCAAGATAGTAGTAGAACACTGAATGGAAGAGTAATTAATGGAATCTATATGCTCTTAGATAATGTTATTTTGGAACGAAATTCATTATACAATAAAATATTTTCTATAGTAAATATAATAATTTAAATAATCGATTTTATCTTTTATGTATATAAATGTATACCTATTAAACTCGATATTACAAGTACAAGATATATCGATAATAATTAAAGAAGAAAAGGATAATGATCAATTAGTATGACTTTATGCTCAAGGTTAAATTAAAGGCGTCCTTACAGACTAAAGACCCTATAACTTTCTTCATTATTTATTCATTTTACTAAGACAAAATTAGAATCAGAAAATCACTTATTAATAGGTTGAAGTGTACAGGCCCATTATTGAACTAACTTATTGCTACATCTTTAATCGTTTGGCCTTCATTTTAAAAGTAGATTTAATGCCCAAAGAATATATTCAATGTGTGTACTTAATAAGTATGATATGAATTTTATCTATCAAGTGATTCCATAGTATTAAAGAACTATTTAATCTTGAATCATCTATTAAAGCCTTCAACTGGAAGACACTATTTATTAGGCACATAATTATGCCGTTAAAATAATTAAAAAATTTATTTATTTTTATTTATTTTATTTATTTTATTTTTATTTATTTTATTTTTATTTATTTTATTTTTATTTATTTTATTTATACCATCCATAAAATGGCAAAAACTACAGTTGATAATCTAGCTTATATAGATGATTACATTGATAGTAAGTACTTGTAAAATATGTTGAGATCCTTAGAATTAATTCATTATTTATATAGTTTTAGAGGCACTTCATACAGAACTTCAAAAAAACTTTACACTTTTAAAAGAAATGGATGGCTATGCACAAGGTTCATATTGAGAGCATTTATTGTAAAATGATAAAAATAAATTAAAGCTTACAATATATATATAGAATCAACTTCTTTAACAGCAAAAGCAGCTATTGACTTGATTGATACAATTGATACATTAGATGCTAACGATAGATTTACTCAATTAAAAAATCTTATCACATTATTAGAAGAGACAGTACAAAGAAGTAGTGAAAAATCTGCTTTGGCAAAAGTGACTTTAGATGCCGTTCGTATATCATCAAGTAATATAACACATTCTATTGTTAATCTATATCCATATCTATCTATATTTAGGTCAATCGTCATTGTAATAGATTAGATGCAGATTTAGTCAAATTTGAAGAAAATCAACCTATTGGCTCGCAACGTATAATAACTTTACCAGGTTTAGCACCTTCCTCAAGAAGTTTACGTGAATATTCAAAGTTATCTATAAAAGAAAAAAATATAAAAAAGGGGAATGATAAAAGGGAGTTACAACAATCTAATACAAAAAGTAAGAAACAAAACTAGTGAATGACTAAATGAATAATAACATTATATTAGAAAGACGAGTAACAAAAGAAGATATACATAACATTCCAAGAACTAAAAGTAATAAGCCTCCATCACCTACAAGAAAGAATAGCAGCAATACCAAATTAATAAAATCGTAAATCTTCATGTTTGTTAATATTCGATAACACTAATGCATATATTAGAGAAATGCATATTGATCCAAATGAGCCACTTTATTGTTATTGTAATCAAGTTTCTTATGGTGAAATGGTAGCTTGTGATAATATGAATGTAAGTGATAAAATAAGTAAAAAAAAACACACACACACATATATATATATATGCATATCTTTTATATATAAAACTTATTATGATACTATACTAGTGCGAAATTGAATGGTTCCATTTAGCTTGCGTAAACTTAAAGACAGTACCAAAAGGAAAATGGTACTGTGACTATTGCACTAAATATAAGGGAAAGCAAAAATGAGCTTAAATAAACTTTATTATTATACATCTTATGTTATACTGAAGTAATATCGTATTTTTAAATTAGTCACAACAGTATTGAAATGATGAGTGGGAAAAGTATGATGTTTTCTCCTTTATTTTACTCAATTGACTATTCTTCTTTGTTTCTTAAGGATTCGTTACTTGAGACTCTAGTCATCTTTTTTGGGCTTACTTGTCCTGCCCTGACAATTTTATTCTTTACAGTAAAATACTTGGTTAGTTTACTATCAGCTATTCAATGACTTTAAACGTATTGTAAATAGAATAACAATAGAGGCTTATCCATTTCGCAAAATACATATTTCTTTGTCTCTTAGCTAACAATAATATATATATACGTATTTACAACACTAAGATGAATATGATGGAGTATCTTAAATAGATGTTTATAGACTGGCCTATATCCTTAATTAATGTCTATATATAATTATTTTCAGGAACGTCAACTTTAAATTTTCTACACTATGCAACTATTCAATTAAAAAAAAAAAATGGATCAAAATATTCTAGGCCGATCTTGGGCTTATTGTTTAGGACTTGTTGTGTATAAAACGGTTAGTGACTTGAGCTTTGAACCTCTTAGGTCTCAAGAAACAGAAATGATTTACAATTGCATAAAAATATTCACTCCTTCAGAAACAAAAATAAATACACAATGGGGGGAAGAACATATTACTAGATTCGGTTTACAACTACTATAAATAAGGCTTTATTAGCCAATTCAGTCTCTAAAGACACAAAGGAATAGCATAGAATGGCCATTGCATTACAATTAGTCCTGGAAATTCAAATTCTACTTGTCATTTGTTCATGAGGACTTTGCAATAGAAGTGTCCACTAAGAAATAGCTACAAGAAATAGCATAAAGATAAGACTCAGAATACGGAAGGAAATTTTGCCAATAGAGTTTGCCTGACACTGAAAGGCCTCTTAAAATTTCACAATTTCTTTTAAACTATTGTATATTTGTAATATAGTTTTTCTTAAGAGAAAGTAGGATATCTCACTTTTTTTTCTCTTTGACTTGAATTAATTTAGATACTTACAAAAATATTCTTCTATTGATAGTCCATCTTAGCTAGTTAATGCAATTGGATCCTCTTTGTCGGATTATACGGTCCGGAATTACTGATTCCGGTAAAAAAAAAACCACAAAATAATTGACTACAAATTTCACTTTTCACACACGCAGATGCATATTCCACCATATCGAATACAGATAATATGATTGAGAAACTCCTCCTGTTCAAAATCTAAACATTTTAATTTTGTTGAAATGGTAAATAAATATGATACAATAATAAATAGATACTATCATATTTGGATGGATGTTATATAAAGAAGACAGATGTTTTATCTTACCAAAAAAAATCATTAACATAATATGATGTTTTTTAGCCTTCTCAAAAGTCATTCATTACCAAGGTTAAGCTTGGAAAGGCTAAGAAACAAAATCGTCCTTTGCCTCATTGGTTCCGTATGAAGTCTGATACCAAGATTCGGTAAGAATTATAATAAACATTAGGCTGACAACTTAAAAATTAATAAATATTTTCTAGTTGGAATGCTAAGAGACGTAACTGGCGTCACACCAAGTTGAACATTTAAAGTAATTACATTATACAAATCCACGTTCAACCAGAATTTGTTTCTTTTTCAAATCACATTCAACTCTTTCTCGAATTACACTTTATGCAAACCTTTAATTTCAGTTATAGTGATCGAATGAATAATTAGATAAAAAAAAAGAATAAAGTTCGAACAATTTACAATTATAACTTCTCTTGTTAACATTTAAATGTAAAATAGACAATTGTTTCTTGATCGACATTAAAAAGAAAAAAGATCAACGGAATTATTACACCTGTTATCCTTTATATTTAGTTTAACAACAGTAATGATCGTTACTTGTAAATTTAAGCATTGTTATTATATATGTACACTAGTTAATTTATAAATATTAGTACTGTAATATTATTGCTCCATTAACTGTTGATGCTCAGTGTAATCGACAACATTTGAATACTATTATAATTTTGTATATTGAGCGAGTTATTTATTTTAATTTCTATATTAACTTGGAAACACGCATCCTATTCAGATTTGACATATGATATATAATTATGATATTACTATTCTACATTGTAATAGGTCCAGTAGTTTTATAATTTTATTCGAATGAAGTATATAAAAAACAATGTTATATCATGTTTAAGTATGTCTGTATATAGTCAAAATCTATTGTTGTCTTATTCGTTACTTTTTGTATATCGCTACTGATCTCCTTTTCTCAAGAGACGTGTTTTCCTTGTTGTAGTTACGTTGTGGCTTATTGAATTCCTCATTAATAACATAACGATAGTCGAGTTATTAATATTTATTTATTTATTATGGAAAGAAGAAAGAACAATGGTTGGTTTATTATGCTGTTTAAACTATTTTGAGGAAAAAGTAAAAGTAGATTTAAATGAAATAAAACTAGTTTTTTTCTTTTTTTTTTCATCTTCTGTCTCTCACAAGGGCTTTTAGTTCCTTTTATTATTATTATTATTATTAGTATTTTATCAAGCTGATCTGGACAATCCAGTATTATTTAGATATACTGTTCTCATAAAGATTAAAAATTTAATTATGTAATAATAATAAAAATATTAATGCACTAACAGAATAATAAAATTCTGGCTTTGTTTTTATTTTTTTATTTTTATTTTTTATTTTTTTATTTTTTTAAAAAAAATTATGTAAATTTTTAGTTATGACTGAAGAAGAGATTGAGCAAATTTTAGCATCAGAGGACTTGACGCCTGAATTACAAAACTTGATTAATGAATATAAAGAATTAAAAGAACAGTCAATAAATGGGACTAATGAACTATATGCCATTGGTGATCATTGCGCAATTCCATTTTCATATAATGATTTACTGTTCTTGTTACCCGCCATCATTCTAAGTTACGATAGTGCAAAAACATTAGCTCAAGTATTAATATTGACACCTGTAACGTCAGAAACAATTCCTTGTACTGATTATTTTGGATCCCAGGAACATTGCACAACTGACGTTTGTCAGGTTAATCGATCTCATGGTTATACAATTGCTACAGAATACATCACTTCTTTTGAGGCACTTGAAGCAGATACCTTTCACTATGAACAACGTGTTTGGTGTCAAGAAGATGAGCTTTGGAAGCTTGGTGAGGTGATTGATGAAGTGGATGATGAAGAATTAAAGCACTGGCGTGTTAGACTATTAGAGAAACGACAACAACAGACAGTAGTCGATGTGGATAGAGAGCATATCATACCTTTTAAGAGCTTATTAGATGAGGATGACCAAACTGAAGCAATAGAAGAAGATTGTATACCAGAAGTCATTTCGAAACCTGTAAGTGAGGCATTTGGCTGTTGGCAAGCACATACCACTGGATTTGCTGCTAAAATGATGCAAAAAATGGGTTATGTTCATGTGAGTATCCAAAGAGGTAAAATTTGTTTGTGTTTTATAACAGAAATTTGATATGGGGTCCTTAACAACTCTCTTTTCTTTTCTTCTTTTAGGGTCAAGGTTTAGGTATTCAAGGACAAGGACGAGTAGAGCCTGTAGAAGCTAATAAAGTCTATTCAAGTCGTTCACAGTATCATGAGAATAGGCCAGGATTAGGATTGGTGTCCAAAAAAGGAATTCAAAAAAGGAAAAAGAAAGAAAAAGTAAAAGAAGGTGCAGAAGAAATAGATATGTTTAGTATGATGAATACTTTATTAGGAAAGCAGAGTCAAGAAGATAATATAAAACAAAAATCGACTATAATCAAATCATTGAACGAAAAACAAGCCAACCAAACAATAGCTAAGCTCCAAAGTAAATTAGACAAAGCAGAATTGAATTATATACATGCAAAAGAAGCTCTTCGTCGAAATAAAGGGAGCCCAATGGAAAGTCAATTTAAAACAAAGTTAAAAAATGCTAATCATACATTTGAAACGCTAAAAAACGAAATGTCAGAGCTTCAAAGACATGTTAAACGTACAAAAGAGCAGAAAGAAATGTATACATTCTGATATATGCAATTTAAAGTTTTATTGATTACATAGGATATATATGAATATATGCATATATGTATATAATATATATAATATATATAATATAAATACGTATATATGTATATATGTATGTATGTATGTATAAATGTGATAAATATATTTATATACATATGTATATATATATATATATATATATATATGATAAAAATAAAATATAGAATACAAATAAAATATATATGTATATGTATATGTGTATATATATATATATATTATGTCTAAAGTTCAACTTCTTCTCCAGCAACGAATACACGCTTCACAATAATTTCACCAGTAGAATCATCCAAGAAGACGAAATCAGCATCTGCTCCTGCATTTAATGTACCCTTTTCTTTATCAATACCTAATAAACGAGCAGGATGAAGTGTAGCAGCTTCAATGGCCTCAACTAGAGGACAGTTTGTAAACCTTTGAAAATTACGCACGCATTGATCAATCGTGATTGTACTACCAGCCAATGTCTTTGTACCTTTTACATATGCACCCCCTTTTTCATCGACTTCTACTTCTTGACCACCCAGGATATAAGTGCCTTTAGGTAAACCCATGGCAGATAATGTATCTGTAACTAAAACAGCACCTGTGGGATGAGAATAGTAAGCAATACGAACTGAATTAGGATGAACATGAACACCATCACAAATAAGGCCATAAAAGGGACGAGGATCAGGCTTGGAGCGATCAGGAGAGGTATTAGAGGGCGTAGGATGACGACTAGCATTTTCGGGAATAGGTAAATCAGCAGCACCGAGAACACCAATCAATCCGGGATCACGATGATGAAACTGTAATAACATATTAGCACGCCAATATATATATGTATGTATGTATGTATATGTATTTATATTTATTAAATATAAACTTACAGCTTGCATGGCATTAAATAAATGAGTAATACTATTAGCGCCTTTCATAACAGCCTTTTCAGCATCAGCAATTCGACAAGCAGAATGACCCATAGCGACCGTAATACCACGTGCCACCAAGTCAGGAATAACATCACAAACACCTTCAATTTCAGGTGCAACTGTAATAATACTCACTGCTTCACAACCTTTTTTAAATTCAGATCCATAAGCTTTATCAAAATCTTCAATACCATTCTTAGCTGTCCTAAATACACTTTGATTATGAGCACCCTTTTTCAAAACTGAAATAAATGGACCTTCAATATGTGCACCCAAGATAGCAGCACCTCCTTTAGCGCTACCTTTACGACGATTTAATAAAGGAAGTACCTAAATAAAATAAACAAATAAATAAATAAATCATGATTTTTTTTTTGGTTTTAAAACTTTTTAATACTTTTTCATAAACTTCTGGAGAAGAGCTAACGACAGTAGGGCAGAAAGCAGTACATCCATATTTTAAAAGACCTTTTGCAACTGTATCAATATTTTTCTTTAACACTTCAACTGGTTCATCTGAATCAGCAAAATCAATACCATAAGCGCCATTGATTTGAGTATCTATAAAACCAGGAACAACTAAGAGTCCTTCAGCATCAATAATTTCATCTGCATCACGACGTTCAGAAAAGAATAGGTTTTGGGGATGAATGATTTTTCCATTTTGATACCAAAGATAAGAGTTTTCTATAATTTCATGATTCATCAAAATCCTGGCATTAATTATCTTGTAAATTTTTTGAGAAGAATCCATATTCACTGAAGGCATTTTTTTTTTCTTTTGTAAACAATGAGAAAATAAAAGGGGGAGAAGAAAAAAAAAATAAGGACCTAAATAAAAATAGAATAGAAAACTAAACTTGTTAGTCTCTTTTTATAATAATCGTTTTGTGACCGGGACGGTAAAAATGAAACCCAACCGAATTTTACCTATTTTTTTTTTTCAAAAAAAAAAAAAAAAAAGGGTCCATTATGCTTATTTTCTATTTTTAATTGGTAGTTTCTATTATGTAATAAGTAAAAAAATATTTGAAACCAAAAGTTTCTCCAATTATGTTTGTAAATGAAATATTCAAGGGTCCTAAGACCTTTAAGGGTTGTCCTTCTAGGGACGGGAAAAGTTTTTTTTTTCTTTCCATAAAACCAAAAAAACCAAAAATTTGAAAAAATAAAATAAGGGTCCTAACCCTGAATTATTATCTATTTCTTTTATGTAAATATTTTATACTATTTGTAACACTTTTAATATATACGAATGTAAAAGTATTTTCTCTAAAGAATGGGACCAATGTATTACGTAGGTTTTTAATCATTATCTAATAATGATAATAATAATAGGAAAGCTCTAATTTATTATGTTTAATACCGAACAATAAGTTCTGTTAATAATTAAACAATTAATAGATTATCTTTGACTAGTGTAGTTGCTTTTTTTTCCTCTTCTTTATCTGTATTTCTTGAATAGTTATTTCATCAATAATAATACATGCATATAGTTATTACATAATACATATTTTATATAATATACGGAAATATTATTTTTACTGGACTCATTAATATCTACATGTTTATGAAGAAAATATATATTTACTACATACATACATTTTAAGTGAAGTACTACCATCTTTAAATTATTTTATATTCTTTGTCTTTTGTCTTTTAGATTTACAATTATTGGTAGTATTTGTCAAATACAGGTTACTTTGTTTCTGATTATTACAGTGCAAAATGGCATAAAGAAGTCTGAGATTTTATTTGTTATAAGCGGATAAGCAAAAAGAGACTTAAATGACTGAGGGTAGTAACAAATAAGAAAGAAATGAGCATCAATGTATAGTATTGTCTTGGATTATACTGAGTTATTGGAAAGACTTTAAAAGATGAATAGGAACAAAAAAATATATACACGTTAAAACAGTTTTCGATAAAAGAAATAAGGTGTTTAATCATTATGTCTTAATATGATTCGTCTAGGTCAGTTTAAAACTATATTTATCAGGTGAGCTTATGGTTTAATATTAGGTAAGCAAAGATGTGCCTTCATAATAATGAGCAAATCTTCTTCTTCTTTTATATTTTCCTTTAACTTCTGGATACATCTTTCTTTTTAAAATTGTGTTCTATTTCTCGGTAATTTTTATAGACAAGATCAAGTACAGACACCATTCAAAAGTGTCTTTATCTAGTCACTTTTGATATATAAATATATTCTTTTTTTTTCTTGAATAACATTAAAAATAAATTCAGTAAAAATGCGCGTAGAAAACTTATACAATTATAAGTTATTATTATATTTAAAATAATGGGAAAACGGGAGAGAGACAGACGAAAAAATAGGGTAGATCAAAAGAAAAAAAATAATATTTCTATGATAAGTATAAATGTCCTATTTTTCTACATAATGAATTACCAGTAGTAAAGTCTAAAAATAAAATGAAAGGGCATTGAGATGTTATTTTCGGACACTTTTTTAGCCGACATGTTTTTTCTATTTTTTTCTTTTTTATTGCTACTCTTTCTTTACACTCAGTCATTTAAGTTTTTTTTTTTTTTGCTTATCCGCTTATAACAAATAAAATCTCAGACTTCTTTATACCATTTTGCACTGTAATAATCAGAAACAAAGTAACCTGTATTTGACAAATACTACCAATAATTGTAAACCTAAAAGACAAAAGACAAAGAATATGAAATAAAATACTAAGTACTTTATGCATGTTATAATTATACATAAACTTATCTACATAGTGTACTTTTTTTTTTTTTTTTTTTTTGGAATAGTAGTAGTAGTTTTAATTTCCTCATAACACAAATAAAAAGTGAAATATAATCTGGTATTTTTTTTTTTAATTATTTTTAATTATTACTTCTTTTTTTTTTTTCCTCTTCGTATAATAGAATGGTTCATAAAGCAGTTGTTAAAAACGTGTTATCTGGAGATACCGTTATTTTAAGAGGAAACCCCAGACCTAATGGTCCTCCTCCTGAAAGATTACTGGCTTTATCTAATGTTCAAGCACCAAGATTAGGAAATACGACTCGACCTGATGAAGTATTTTATATAAAAGGAATACACTTTATGTCCTCATCTAACTTTCTTATATATATTTATATCTATTTATTTATTTAGCCTTTTGGTTTTTATTCTCGTGAATTTCTTAGAAAACTAGTTGTTGGAAAGGAAGTTTCTTTTGTTCCTGAATATACCGTGCCTACTACACAACGTGAATATGGTAGCCTCTTTTTAGCTAATGGCGATAATGTCGCTGAATTAGCTGTCAAATCTGGTTGGCTTAAGGTACGTGAAAGTGGAAAGGCATTATCTGAACAGGAAGAAGAAGTTATGGAAAGATTGTTAGATTTGCAAAGAGAGGCTCAAGATGCCAAGATTGGCATTTGGTCTGATGACCAAGAAAAGGTAATACATACACATGTATTTTAGTATTAAAATATTTATTTTTTCTTTCCTTTTTTTTTGTGGGGGGGAATTTATATAGGGTACTCGTCAAGTCTCTTTTACCTTTGAAAAAGATGGTCATGCTTTTTTGAATAAATATAAGGGAAAGCCCTTAGATGGTAGGCATGGATATGAGATTCATATTATATATTTATTTTACTCACATTAAAATAATAGCGGTTATTGAACAAGTACGTGATGGTTCTACTTTCCGTGTTTTATTAATTTTGCCTGATCAGACACAACAATTTATTACGTTGCATTTATCAGGTATCAAAGCACCTAATTGTAAACGTGATAATGCTGATGATACAGCTGTTTCCGAGCCCTTTGGCGAAGAATGCAAGTTTTTTGTTGAGTCACGACTTTTACAACGCGGCGTCAAAGTTATTCTTGAAGGACTCGCTCAATCAGGTGGTCAAAGCTTTGTAGGTTCTGTTCAGCACCCAGCTGGTAACATTGCTGAGTTATTACTTTCTCAAGGTTTTGCCAAATGCGTTGATTGGAGCATTACGTTGGCTACAAGTGGTCCTACTGTTTTAAGAAATGCAGAAAAAAGTGCAAAAGAAAAGAGACTTCGTGTCTGGCGTGGCTTTGTTCCTACAACTACTTGTAACAAAAATACAAGTGAATTTGATGCTACTGTTGTTCGTATTGTGACAGGTGATACTTTGATAGTTAAGCCAAAGAATGGACCCGAAAGAAAGGTTCAATTAGCAAGTGTCAAACAAGCTCCTCGAGGTGTAGGTACTACAGCTCCTACTTCTAAATCTAGAGATATGAAAGAAGTTGGATATCAATTTGAAGCAAGAGAATTCTTAAGAAAGAAATTAATTGGTAAGAACGTCCATGTGACGATTGATTATCATAAACCTGCTCAAGAGGGTTATGAGGCCAGAGATTGTGCAACTGTCATGGTAGGACATCATAACATTGCTGAACAACTGATTGCTCATGGTTTTGCAACCGTCATTCGTCATCGTAAGGACGACGATAACCGCTCTCATTACTATGACCAACTTTTACTTGCTGAAAAGAAAGCTGAGGAAGGAAAGGTGGGTGTACATAGTACCAAGGAATTACCTGTCGTTAGAATTGTTGATGCCTCCGAGAACCTCACCAAGTCTCGTCAATTTTTAACATTTTTGAAGCGTAGCGGAAAGAAAATTCATGCTGTTGTAGAGCATGTTGCAAATGGCTCGCGTCTCTTTGTCTGGGTTCCTAAAGAAAATTGCCGACTTTCCTTTGTTTTATCAGGTGTACGTGCCCCTCGTGTAGGTCGTACTTCTAACGATAAATCTGAGCCTTATGGTCAAGAAGCTTTAGAATTTGTTTCTCAAAAGTGCCTTCAACATGATGTTGAGATTGAGGTCGAAAATGTAGATAAGGTGGGTAGTTTTGTAGGCTCCATGTTTGTGAATGGTGAGAATTTGGCTGTTGCTTTATTGTCTCAAGGTTTTGGTTACATTCACGAATATTCAGCTAATGATTCACATTATGCAAATCAATTGTATAATGCTGAACTTGAAGCTAGAAACGAAAAGAGAGGACTTTGGGCAGATTACAGTGAAGAAAAAGAGGATGTTGATAAACAGCAAACATCAGGTCCTAATCGAGAATACATTGACATTGTTGTCTCAGATATTGTGTCTGGTTCTCACTTTTATGTTCAAAAGATTACAGATGAAATTCCTCAATTAGAAAAATTAATGACTGATCTTGGCCAATACCAAAACAGTCGTCCTGCTGATCCTGCCTTTAAACCCCGTGTAGGTGAAAACGTAAGTGCGAAATTCACAGAGGATGATTGTTGGTACAGAGCTAGAGTACGTCGTATCTCACATGAAGGTATTGAAGTTTTGTATATCGACTATGGTAATTCAGAGACTTTACCATCTCATCGTATTCGTGCTTTGCCCGAGACCTTTAAGCAGTTGAAGGCACAAGCTCAAGAAGCTGTCTTGTCATTCGTTCAATCACCAACAAGAGATGAAGACTATGGTATTGAGGCTGTTGAGCGATTTAGAGACTTAACCGCCAATAAGCAATTGGTGGCCAATATAGATGCTCGTGAAAATGGTGTTTTATGCTTAACTGTTTATGATTTTAACAAATCAACGAGTGCTGAAGAAAGTATCAACTTAGATATGGTGCGTGATGGTCAAGCATTTGTAACACCAAAGGTGCGTTATGCTCGTGGAAATGAAACTATTGTTAAGGCGCTTCAAAATGCTCAAGAGGAAGCCATCAGACGAAGATGTGGTATGTTTGAATATGGCGACATTACGGGTAATGATGATATTACTGATTCTCGTTATTATTAATTTTATCCCCCGTTCATTTTACCCTTTTCTTTTTCCTTTTTTATTTTTCTTTTTATTTTAATATATAATTACGTAAAAGAGAGAAGAAAAGAAAAGAAAAGAAAAAAAAAAGTATATAAAATTGTGTAATAAAAATATGTTATGTTATTGGAAAGCTACAGTAAATTTTTCGGCTACGGCCTTTGTGCTTGCACTAGCAAAGCCAGTACCTTCTGGACTCATATCAATAATATCCTTAGTTTTTGTTTTCTTTTCACAGACATAACATGTTTTCGATTTAGCAACAAACATTTTGATACAATGATTACAAATAACATGACCACAATTACGTAACACTAATAATCAATTTATTATTTAGTTTATACAAATATGTATTTAATGTATATAAACACTTACCAGATAATTTTGAAGCATTTGTTAACGTCTTTAGACAGGCAGGACATATTTTCTTGTCTTTATTAGTATCTTCTGTTTGAAATTTGACATCTATCAATGATTTAATACTGAGAGGATGCTCCTTTTCGACTGCAGTACAAGTCACTTGTGTCTTGGTCGGTTGTTCTATTGTAAGATTGTTCATAGCATTAGGAGTAACTGAAGGCTATTAAGACATAACATGAGTAAAAAAAAAGAAAAGAAAAGAAAAGAATTGAATTTACCACCCAAAAAGAGCCAAGTTTTGGCTTGGCAGCCTCTTCCTTCTCTTTTCTCAATTCAAGAGCTGTCTTTTCAATGTCCTTTTCCGCTATTGAACGAATTTCATCCTCTGATAATTCAAATTTACGTTTTTGACCCTTCTTTTCATCATCTTTTAGTTCATCTTTAATCGTCACTCGACGATCACCCAAGACACTATGTTGTGTTTTATCGAACTTATCCAAAAGAACTCGTTTTGCTTCCATTTCTTCTTCTTGCCTTTTGTTTTCCATCTCTTGTTGTTTTAGCTCTAAACGTTTTTGCTCTTGTTTGATCGTTTGCTTTTGTTGTAAAATAGATTCATACATGCATTCGCGACAAGCTAAATGACCTTCTCCACAACAGACTGGATCTCTTGCAGTTTGAAGACAAAGAAAACAAGCATCATAATTTCGAAAAGAATCTCGTCCTAAACGTTGCTGGATGTGACAAATGAGTGAGAGTACATATACACACACATATATATATATGTATAAATATATATATATATATTAATAACACAAATACACACACATGTAGTGTTATACACTTACTCTTTTTGTTCCATATTCAAGTCTTTTAGATTCATGGTATGTAAATACACTAGAAGCTGTATTGTTTTTGGAATGTCGAGGCATCTATGTGTATAGAAAATTAAATTGTAAAAAAAAAAAAAAAAAAAAAAAAAAAAAAAAAAAAAATGTATGAGATAAAAAACCAGTCCAAATAAATAAATAAATGGCCTCCGTCTTTTCTTCATGAAATAATATCATATTTTAAAAGCTTAAAACATCTTTATTCATCAAAGATATACTTTGACTATTTACTCAGATTCAATAACCAACAATGAGTCTCTAAATTTACCTTTAAAAAAAAAGTAGTTAGGATAAAATCAGTTACTGAGATGGATCATCATTCAATAAAAAAGGAAATTCTTTTTAAACTTGAGAAACTGATCTTTTACATGGAATATTCCTCTGTAAAGACATAGACGACAAAAAAGAAGAAGGAGGGGGATTTAAATTGAAAATAAACACCAAGGAAGATTAGACTACTGTTCATGTACTTGAAGATGTCACATTATGACAGATTTAACTTAAATAATTCAAATAGGATGTATTAATCTACGATCACCCATTAAATTCTGTCACTAAATCTTTAATTCTTTTTCTTTTTTTTTACATTACTCACAAATAGTAGATGACGGTAAAATTGAACAATAAATGCAAAATAAATGAACCACTCAGGGAAAGTGTTCTTGGACAGTTAAATTAGGACGTTGCTTACAAGAGTTAATCTTGTTTGCGACTATCTAATCCATGCATAAATAATATACAATTTTTACTTAGAATTCTAATAGAAAAAAGAAAAGGAATGTTCATAATCGTGTTATTACCAATAGAATAATTTGCTATAAAGTTTCAAAAAAAAACAATTTTATTTAGTAATGTTAATGTAAATAATTAACAGACAATCATTACTGTATATTTATGAACATGGTAATAAAAAAGGAATGCACATTTTATAAAAGAGTAATACATGTATATAATTTATGGCTTGAAGTTTATTGTTTATCATTAAGTAAGCATGCAATATTTGTATTTTTCTTTATTTTGTTTTAAAAGTACGACTACAATACTACTTCCATTTTTTTTTCTTTTCTTTTCTTTTTTTTTTTATTATTATTCACACATTTATATATTCATATATATTTACAATATGGGTGATCATAAACATAAAAAATCCTCTTCAAAAAGAGAACATCATCGAGATTCTTCTAAAAGCCATCGAGAACATAAAAAACATAAAAGAAGTAGTAGTCATCATAAAAAGGAAGAAGAGATCGATCTTTCTGATCCTTCACTCTGGGTTGAATCGAGTCATGTTCCAGAACTAACACCAGCAGAACAGTTAAGAAACCAACAGAGAGCAACTGAAGTGGAAAATCAACAAGAACCTATAGAAGCAGCTTTACCTGAGGAACAAGAGGCAAGACATGGTTGGATGTTAGATAGGTCATTTGACTTCGCTGACATGGGCACAGCTCGCATTAAGGAAGAAAAACCTAAACGTGATCCTGACCAAGTAAAATATTATATATACATACATACACATATATATATATATATACTCTTTACAATCTACAACGTGTTTAATTTATCTTTATATAGCCTTTTGTAAGTGAAAGAGAACTTAACCAACATTTAGTACAAGGCAAGAAATTTGAAGAATATCCAGCAGAGGAAAAAAGGCAAATTAAATTCGGCGATGCTGGATCTAATTGGAGAATGATGAAATTAAAGCGAACGATGGAACAAGCTGAAGATGAAGGAAGACCATTAAGAGAAGTTGGAATTGAAAGATATGGCGTAAGTGATAATAGCATAGTATGATTGAGTTATTTATATAAATATATACAAATATATTTTTATAGTCTGCAGAAAAATTTGAAGAAGCTTTGGCCGAAAGAGAATATTTGGATAAAAAAAAAAGGGGTGATAAAAGACACAGTCATCGAGAAAGAGGTAGAGATAGAAGAAACGATGCCAAGGAAGATGATGAAAGGGATAGAAGACGAAGAAGAGAGGATAGAGATGAACAACGTCATAGTAGTCGTAAATATGTCTTTCATAATACTGAGGTACAACAAAATGCATTCAAACGACCAGAAGCACCCAAGCCTACAAATACAACCATTGCCTCTGATGAATCTAAAGATATTATTACAAAAGCACCATCCACATCACAACCTCAGCCTCCTCCTCTTGTTATATCTCATAGTACAGCACCGACTATACCAGCACTTACTCGTGATCAACTTAACAAATTAAATGCAAAGCTAGTAAAGGCTAGGTTAATGGGATCAAGTGATTTGGAAGAATTAGAAAAGGAATACCAGATAGAACTAGAACGATTTGAACAGGCAGAAAAAGGAATTAGCAATGGCAATGTAACTGTATTGCCTACATTAGATAGTCAAGGTCGTATCTATGATTATGCATTAAATCAAGGAAATCCAGAACAACAAGTATTAAAGGGAAAGAAACAGTATGAAGGCACTCATGATAAACTTACTGGCGAGCGTCTTCGTTATGGAACAGCTGATGATTATTTATCTTTAGCGGATATGGTCAGACAAGAAAAAGGCGGTAATCAATCATTTAATATGGATATGGAATTTGCTAATCGAATTGCATCTGATGCATCTTTTCAGGTAAGCAAAAGAAGAAGGAAAAAAAAACTATACTACATACTTGCTTTTTTTTTCCGTTATTGAAAAATAAAATATTAATATCATTTCTAGAATGACTTGGACTATATGGACGACAAAGCGGATATTATGGCATCCAAAAAGGGAGTAACAGAACAGCAAAAGATGAGACGTGCGATAACAGGTAATGGAAAAAAAAAAGGCAAATAAAGCATTTAGTAAGAATTAATTTATTTATACAAAAAAAATATATATTTAATTACATAGATTATAAACGTACGCAAGAGATTTTAGAGCGTTGTAGACTATGTTATAAAGATGGGAATCCACCACAAATTGCAATGATTTCTCTTGCAAATACTTGTTATTTAGCTTTACCTAATGTACAAGAATTAACACCTGGTCATTGTTGGATTGTCCCTCTTCAGCACGTATCTTCAAGTTTAGAATGTGATGATGATTTTTGGACAGAGTTTAGAAACTTTCAAAAATGCTTATTGAAAATGTTTCATGAACAAGGAAAGGGAGTGATATTTATGGAAACTGTCGTTAACCTGCGTTCTCAACGACATACAGTGATTGAAGCTATTCCTATTCCTTATGGAATCTATGAAGATGCACCTGCCTATTTTAAAGAGGCCATCATGGCGTCTGAAGAAGAATGGTCGCAACATAAAAAACTGATTGATACCTCTGACCGTGGCTTTAGAAATTCAATGGTTAAGAATTTACCCTATTTCCATGTCTGGTTGAATATCAATAAAGGCTATGGACATGTTATTGAAAACCCAAAGGATTTCCCTTATTGGTTTGGTAAGGAAGTCATTGGTGGCATGTTGGATATTGGACCTGAATTATGGAGAAAGCCAAGATACCATCATTCAGGTGATAATCATCATCGTCAACAAGAATTTTTAAAAAAATGGGAAAAATGGGATTGGACAGCTGCTTTGTAAAATATATAACAGTATTATCAGATACATGTTTTGTTTTGTTTTGTTTTTTTAAAAAAAAAATATGTATTTATATACTTTAAAAGTTTGTTTAATAATGTTATTTTTTTTTTCTTGTTTTTTTTGAAATGAAACCAAAATAAATAAGGGATATCAAGAAAAAAAAAGAGGGAGGGGGAGGGGAAAGGGATTCTTTCTAAATAAAATATTAGCAATATATATATATATATATAAAAGTGGGAATGAGAGAAAGAAAGAAAGAAAGAAAATATCTAAGAAGCAAAGCGAGCAGGGACACCATGCACTCGAACTCGACAAAGTTCAGTCCAAGTTCTATAACCCCAATTGTTGTTTACCTTTACTACAATTGCCTTGATTGGCATCTCAGGATAGAAGTCTAATTCAAAGGTTTGAATTTCAGGATCCTTTCGCTTGTTGATATCGTAATGAACAAGACCAAGCGAAACGGGAACATCAGGAAGATCTGGGTAGCTAGAGAGAGCAAGGACTTCAATCTCCCTAGGAGCGCTTTCGAATTGATCCCATACATACTTTGAAGGATGTTCAATTGTGATCCCTTGAACAAAGATAGGTTCGCTCAAGAGGATACCAACATGACCTTGCGTGCCTAACATCCTCCAGCAAAGCCCTACCTCACGACCATTTTGAATGATTCTTCTTGGAGAATTGGAGGCTGCAAGATAGAAAGGGTTAAAGATAGCGGAGAGCAAGGAACCCTTTGGAATATATGTACTACTCGTCCTACTGAACAAAAGTTTACTACCACGCGATTCTAATGCAAAATCGGCAATTTTAGTAGGCTTATTCTCCATTCGGGCCAAGTCATTCATGATATAGGTGCAAAAGACTTTTTTACTGATGACTATCAACTTATACTTGCTGACGAGAGAGGATTTGGTTTGACGGCCATGCTCCAAGAAGTGTGACAGAGCCAATTCTTGATCATTCCAGTAATTGACCCAGTCTTCACGGTTCTTTAAGAGATCATAGAAATGATTCGGAAGAATTAACTTGCCCTTTTTATCAGTTTGAACCAAAACCAAGTCTGTAACAAAGTCTTGTAAATCTTCAAAGTCTTCCAAGAGATCGACCTGTGCAAGTGGTTCCTTGAGCAAACGACTCGCCATTTCCCTGGTTTCGGATTTAACAAGCGAACGAAGTTCAGCAGCTAGATTTCGACGATATTCATCCCAATTATCAGTGACGGTTTGGGCAGCTCTGGCTTTAGATAATAAGTCCATGACGTTTTTCTCTATTTCAGAAAATTTATGATCAAGATCAGAAATATCCCGTTGTTGCTGTGTTATGCTATAAAGAAATGAGGCTGTCTTATTATAGAAAGAGGAGAGTCTATGAGTAGCTGCCTTTTGCATTGACATATTATCAGGCTTCTTTAGATAAACACCACTCATAAAGAAAAAAAGGAGCATAACAGCAGTAAAGACACGAGAAATTTTACGACGGGATTCAATAGTAGGCATTTGATTGTTATCAAAGGTAGGTAAAAGAGAGAATAGGAATAAAATTGGATCCACAATTACAGTAGAAACAAGAATGGTAATAAAGGTCAAGACACGAATTATAGGTTCCTTGATAATCCAAAAGGTCATAAATAAAAGAAAGACGAACGGCCTCAAAATAAGATGAAGGGATTTAGTTAAAGCATTATCGATAAGAGCACTCACATTCTCACTCTCTGCTTCATGATCAAAACTTGAAGCACCAAAAGAAAACCCAGTAGAATTTCTACGACGAAGTCGAGATGAAATAGGACCTTCCGCAGAATAAGGAACATTTTGAGCAGATAGACGAGACAATTGAGCTTCTAAAGCAGGATTACGCACCATATGTTCGACTTCAGCATATTCACCAAAGCTCCCATCATCCATTGTATCTATACCCAATCCATTAAAAAAAAAAAAAAAAAAAAAAAAAAAAAAAAAAAAAAAAGTTAGTATTTAATTGGCTTACATGCATATTTTTTATTACTATAGAAAAAAAAAAGGGCATTTTACCAGTGATATTAATATGAGTAGGCAATGGAACACTATTAACAGGTTTAGAGTCTAAATGACGGTTATCCATTTGCTGTGATTGTAATTCGGTAAAAGAGTTATTATGAGAATGTTGTACATCAAATTGATCTTTATGATTAGAAAATGTTTGTGGTAATTTAAAAGATGAAGACATTTAAAACAAGTTTTCAATCTAAATGTATAGAGATTATTTGCGAAAACTTATAACAAGTAACTTAAGTAAATATGAATAATGAATAATAATAATAATAATAATAAAAGTTGAAAGGGGAAAAAATTGAATAAGTTTTCGTTTCGTTTAATATGTAGATGTATATTTATATATTTCATTTTTCTTTTGAAATTAATTGTTTGCAGGAACCAATTCGAGTGGGACTGCTTTTTTTCTCGACTAGAGTAGATCAAAAACTCTAAATTTGTCATTGTTGCATGTTTGTGTTCAAACCATTTTATGCATGAATTCAAGTTCTAATATTGCACCTGCTGGTTTATAAGACTAAACATTACACATATTGAATATGTATATGATTTTTTTATTTTATTTTTATTTTTTAATAATAAAATTTAGATTCCTTATTTGTATAAATTAAATTTTTTTTTTTAAAAAAAAAAAAAAAAAAAAAAAAAAAAAAAAAAAGACATATTTCGTATGCTGCTTAATGTATATAAATCTATTAATCATATGTATGTGCTATCACGTAATTCTTTGTAAATAAACAAATAAATCATGTTTATATTATTTGTAAGTGCATACAACGATATTAAAGGAAGAAGAAGCAGCAACTTATAAATACAAATAAAGAGTAGAATATAAACACAAGATACAAAGTAGTAGTGTAATGTTAAATAAAAGAGACTGTTTTATACTCTCTACAAACATGTTAATTTAACCTATTTCATCTTTATTCTTGCTTCATTTGAGCTACTTTTATTAGCAGTCATTATTTAACTATTATATACATACCATCCTTATCTATGTAATAAATAATAGAATGTCAAATTGTACAGTATCATGAAACAAATCTTCTTTGTTTATAGAAGAAGCATTGTACTACATCTATTTTTATTTGTAACAACAACAAGAGCCAAGTGTATTTAATCTTCTTATACCAGAAATAAAATTGTTCATGACATATAGGAAATTATAATCTGTAAATTGAATGTAATCTATTCACTACTAGAACAGAAAAACGGCTTATTGAATTGAAATTGTAAAATAAAAAAGATCAATCAAGTTATTAACATGAAACACTATTGATTAGTAAGTTATTTTAATAACGTTTATTTATAAGCTTAAAAAAAAAAAGGAAAAGATAAGGGACTATGAATATACGTTCTATTATTATAGTCGTCTCGTTATACATACATTTTAAAAAAACATACATGTGGCTGATGTCGTTTATTTTAATACTACTGTGTTTATCCCTTATCATTTATTAAGTTAATTATACAATTGTAATAAACGAAATAGAAGCTATATAAATATATGACTATAATTAAGATAATATATTCCATATATAAATATATATATACTTTAATCGTTCCCTTTGATAAAGAAGTATATTAAGGTGAATAATTGTAATTTCAGTCTATTTTTGCTTATTCATATAAAATAAATAAAGTGTTTCAGTTTGTTTTACATGTACATAATAAGTAATGAAATCAGCCTTACAGTATGCAAATATATACAAATCTATAGGATAATAATCTAACATAAGTTTATTAAATAATATCTATTAAACTAAAGTATATACATATATATATATATATATGATGAGGCTTATTTATAGAGTACTCTTCATTAAAGCCTGTTGTATCTGTTTTATATAAGATTTTACAGTCAATTCTAGACTGATATTGGCATATGTTTTGTATGTACGAAGTACAATTGTTTTGACAGATGAAGTCACGTTAAATTTAGCATTGACACTAATCTTTAGGAAACCGGGAATATTGATTTCCAAGTTTTTAATATGTGCTTTTAATTGACTGTTTAAAGATGTCTTCAATGTCTTTTGTATATCAGGTAATTTGAATTTTATCTCTGACCGAGTCCATGTCTCTGCATCCATAAGAATATTTGTTAATTGTGACTTTGTTAAATTTCTTTGTGGTATTGATTTCTGAGTGATTGTATCATGATTAGAAGATAGTAAAAGCAATTGATCAATTTTAGGATCTACTTTTTCTGAAAGTATTTTATCTATTTTCTTTTCAATTGTTCGAGATATTTGTGCTATTAAGAAGATATGAGATAAAAGAGATATTACATAAAAATAGGTTTCATGAGTTTAATTATTACTTTGAAGACCATTTACAGCAGCAGTTTGAATAGCCTCAATTTGAGCATTCTCCACTTTAATAACACTCCCCATCATTGTTGCGTTCACCTCTAGACTTCCTTTTACTCTTTGAAAAATCTATAGTATAGAAATACAAATATATATCAATAAAGATTATAACTATTATTTTTATTTTTATTACCGAAGCAGATATATTTGATATAATTTGAGTATGAATACGTGCTTTTATTTGAGCTTTTATGATGGTAGATAATTCTGAAGTTACAGGAATGACCATTTGATTATCATTATTTTGTCGTTGAAGAATACTGCTACTACTACGTTTTAGTATAAAGAATTGATTGTCAGATGAAACAATTGAATTCAAATTCTTAGCGTGAATAGTAGTAATCATATTACTCATACAGTAAAGAAGTATGGTAAAGAATGATAATAAACGATTATCAAACAACATCCTTTTCTAAAGATAACATTTTCATTTATTGCAACTCTTTTTCTTTATATATTTATATACTTGTTTGAGTGAAAAAAAAAAGGGAGAGAGAGAGAGAGAGATTAATTTTATGAGTAAAAAGTTAACATATTTTAGAAATTTACCATGTGTTTTTTTATTATTATTAACATTTTGCCACTATATTGACATATAATAATCCTTTTCTCTTCTCCTTTACTATTTCTATTCTTATTTTAGATATTTCATTTTAACCTTATCTTTTTTTCTTCTTCTCCTTATTTTTCTATTTATATAAATTACCTATTTTCTCCTATTCTTTAACTCCTGAATAATGATTATAGTAATAAGTAGATTTGGGGGGGAGGAGGCAGAGAATGTCCGACCATTAAAAAAGTTTCTCGTAGAGAAACATTTCTTTTCATTTTGATCGGGATTTTTTTTTCTGCTCACATGAGATTTATGCAAAAAATCAAGAAACAATGATACTTTATTTTATATGTAAAGTTTTCTCTTTTCTTAAAGCAAGGGATTGTAAATGATGATATGTACAACCCAAATCATCACACTAAGATTAGTCATTTACTTGCTTTTATATCCTTACTCCTTCTTATTATTTATGTTAAAGGCTTTGAATGGTTATAATTCTATAGGATATCATCCTAAAAATAACTTTGAATTTATCTACTTATTTTTATAGCAGTAAAAAAAAAAAAAAAAAAAAAAAATCAGATGAAAATAAAGTATGAGTTCGCGCTTGTGTTACTTTATTATTATTTTTTTTAATGGAAAAAAAATCAATTAACCTTTTTTAGGGGTGGAACTCTGCTGCCTTTTTTTTTTTTTTTTTTTTTTTTAAGAATAAATCAGTTTTATGTGTGCTTTTTTCTTTATTTCTCTTTTATTTTTATATTTTTCATTTTAATATTTAAAGAAATGATGGCACCATCAGCAATAATAACTTCTAATACAGCCTCTAATGTTGATGCAGCCAATAATCAAAGAGAATCATCAAGTGTTACATTATTAAGCAGAAGGTTAACTAAAAGTGCAACAGTCTCTAAATCAGAAGGAACAACAACAACCAACAACAATGATGATAAAGTTCATGTACGTATTGTGCCCAGTATTGAAAATCCAAGTCGAAGCTTGATATTTGATATTGTGGATCGTGAATTGGAAATAGGTTCTGTCATTAAAATAGGTCGTTATTCTGAGAGACATTCAAATGATATTAATTGCATGTCTTTTAAAAGTAAAGTCGTTTCAAGATGTCATTGTGAGCTTTCAATTGAAGCAGATAAAAAGGTAATATTTTCTTCTTTTTTCTTCTTCTATTCCTCACTTACGACCCTCCCCCACCCCTACACATTTAGCTTGAAAATAATATCATATCATAGTATTTTTGGGATGATTGTATTACACTGCATATGTTACACATTTTATATATCTTCATTCATTGACACAATTTTTTTTTTTTTTTTTTTTTTTTTTTTTTTTTTTTTTTTTTTTTTTTTTAGTTGTATATTCGAGATACAAAATCATCCTCTGGCACATTTCTAAATCATGTTCGATTAAGTCCTGCAGGAAATGAAAGTAAACAGATAGAATTACATGACGGTGATATTGTACAATTAGGCGTTGATTTTCAGGGTGGAAAAGAAGAAATATATCGTTCTGTAAAAATGAAATTTGAATTAAATAGACCTAAAAGACTACTTTCCTTTAACTTGACTGCCTTTCAAAGTCTTCGTCATTTAACAAATCAAGAAGAGAAAGAGAGAAAGAATGATGATGATGATAATCAGCTTGAAGAATGTTGTATTTGTCTATATGCATTATCTCCTTTTCAAGCTTTATTTGTCTCTCCATGTTCTCATATTTATCATTATAAATGTATTCGACCACTTTTAAAGAGTCATCCTGGATTTCAATGTCCTATTTGTAGGACTTATTCTGATCTTGATGCCAATGTAGCAATTGAAGAGGACATAGCTCAGCCTACAAAGAACAGTTCATTAGATTCAGAGAGAGCTTTAGTATCATCTTCCTTAATAGAAAATGATAGACATTCATCTAATGTAGAACAGCCTGTTTCTCTTTCTTCTAACATGATTCTTAATACAGAGCCTTCTCTAATGGAACAACCATTCACTTTATCTAATCCTAATAATAGTAGTAAATTTGATATATTTTTATTTTTCTTATGTTTTGATTTTGACTTAAATACATATATATATATATTTAGATCTTGATACAGAAATAGCCAGAGTGGAAACAAACCATTTTCCTTTAATAGAAGAACAAGAACAACATCAGCCATCTAGTCATAAACGAGAAAGAAGATCTAGTCATATTATAGAGAAATTAAAAACTGTCTTTTTTGAAAAACGAAAATCAACTTCCTTATCTCAACAACAACGTCGTCGACATAAAAGTAATAACACTAATACAGATACTCATCAACAAAGACCTCTTTCATTTTCAGAAGGCTTATTCTCCTCAACAACAACATCAAATATCGCTACCTCCACTGCTATCAATAATAATAATAATAATAATAGAAGAAGAGGTAGTCATCCATATCAGGATACATCTTTATCTTCATTTATTCGAACTTTATCAAGACAATCTACAACATCACCTCAATTAGTGACAATAGATGAACAGCAACAGCAACAACAACCACAAAGGCTTGTATCAGAGCCAATGATGGTCGATAGTTAAATAAATATATATTTATATATGTATTTATAATGTTTCTAATTGAATTTGATGAACAAATTGTTGCATAAATCTATGTCTTTCTGTAGCTAATTCTTTCCCTTTAGATGTTCTCATCAATGACTTTAGATTAAATAGTTTTTCTATATAAATGATTTATTAGCCCTCCTATCCCCTTCTCCTCTTTTTTTTTTTTTTTTTTTTTTTTTTTTTTTTTTTTTTTTTTTTTTTTTTTTTTTTTTTTTTTTTTTTTTCAAAGGAATATAAAAATAGGTTACCATGGAAATGAGTAATAGCCGATGAAATACAGTCATTTTCAGGTACATATAAAGGTAAATTTCTAGCACCACTAAAGGCTGCACAACGCAATATACCAATAGCACCAATTGCATCTAATTTATCTGCATCTTGAACCCTATTAAAAAAAATCCCATTCTCTGTAAGGATGATCTAATTTTTATGATGTGTTCATGATAAGAGCACGTACGCGTGTAGTTCAAGACAATGATTTCTCCAATAGACCTCTTCAGGATTATCCAATTCATCATTCCATTTCTTTTCTTTTGTATATCCAATATGATCTATAATTTTCATAACAAGGTCCCCCTTTGGATATTTTAATGTATTGATTAATAACTCCTTCACTACATTCTCATTTCTATCCTTATTCAAATCCTTATATTTATGATCATCTATATCATGACATAATGCTGCTAATTCGACTACCTCCAAGTCGACTGGTGTGGACTGTTCTTTTATCATATCTTTAGCAATACAAAGAGCTAAAACAAATAAATATGACTAAAGAAAATAATAATAATTTTATTATTATTATTATTATTATTACCAAGATGAGAGACACGATCGATATGATACATATCATGGGATGGATCAAATTGAGACATATAGTCTGATACCATTTTTCTTGTTTCCCTTAAAATATCATTATAATTATATGACATGTTTATTATAAAAAAAAAAAAAAAATAAAATAAAGAAGAGGGAGGGAGAAAATTTTTGTTTGGCGGAAATAAAAATAGGATAAATATGAATACATATAAAAAAAAAAGGCAGTAGCTGTTATTCTCCAATCAATAAACATGTTATTATTAGCCTTTAAGAGAAATCTTTTTTTTTTTGTCCAACTATTAAAGCAAGGCCCATGAAAGAATATATAAGATGAACAACAACAACAATAATAAAAGGAGGAATATCTATTAAAAAAACACGTTTCTTCCTCAAACATAAACTTGTATAACTCTTTATGTTCAAATACTTTCTTTATAGACAATAAAAAAAAAAATACATACGTACTTGTTTCTCTTGAAAATATAATATGAAATCACTAGAAAAAAAAAAGTATAAATGATGGAACCAGTGATTTTTGTTAATGATGTATTTGATAATAGTATGAATGGAAAGGAATACAATAAAGTCAATAGGACGCAGAGGAGCTATTGGATAGAAAATGAATCCAACAAAAAGAGAAAGTTAACTATGAGTAGAATAGCTGCTAACCATTTATATTATTATATAGAGCATAAAATAGATGTGTAGTAAAATAGCCTGTCATATAAAGCAGAATTATACAATATAGTAAAATAATACAACATGTTACTTGAAGTAGCAGTTTTCTATACTATGGACATAATCCATAGAATACAATTTTTCATAGGTTTCCTCTTCAGGAACAGCAATAAAACCTTTATAGCTTGTCTTCTAGAATCTTTTTATTATTATTATTCCTTAATCTTTATATACAACTAAAGAAAATAAAGAATTGCTATGCCATACCTACGTTATCAATACTATCATACAGAGTAAAAGGTAGTAGCAGAGTCATGTCATTCTCAATTTAGGCACTTTCTAACCTTTTTTGACTTTAATTCCTCCCCCAAAAAAATAAATAAAGCAATGGTAAACCTGTACTATTGTTTAAAACTTGCAAAAGTAGAAGCAAAAAGAAAAGTAATCATTGCAAGCTTAGAATGTGAAACAACTGGTATAGTTTTTAAGTCAAGCTGGTGTGATTGTCTTTATAACTAAGTTAATAGAAACAAACCATCGTTCGTTACATAATCAAATAACACTAGTACAGTATAATGTTCATTCTGCACTCAGTTTTAATAATACTATTGATTGAAGCATTCGTAACAATAAATACATATACGCTGTATTATGTAATAATATCTCATCTAATGATAATAATGGAAACATAATTAACCTGATTAAATCTAGTTACTGTCTTCTTTTCCTCGAGGTAAATAGGTCTTGATCCTTTTGTTCTCTAACTATACTAGAAAGGTGGTGTAGATATCGTTCTATGGTTTGCCCCTCCACTACCAAAATCTTTTAGTGCACGATACATAAGAGTCCATGATCTTGAAACCTATTAAGTACTCGTCCATTTCCTTTGTCTCTCTTCTCTTCTTTCTTTTTTCCCTCTTTTCTTTTGGATGCTCTTGGATTTTTAGTTCCGCCTTCACGTGTCCTTTTAAATACTTTGAATTCCCTTAGTTAGCAATAACGTTTTTTTTTAACACAAAAAATGAATACATAAATTCTCGCAGCATTGATATTATTAAGAAGCTTTTTGTCATAGTAGGACAAACAATCATTAAAAAGTATTAAATTTCTAATATTCATTATAAATGGTCTGCCATAGAAGTACGATTCTATTCAGTGCCACTGACTCGAGAGAAGAAGAAAGTGACAAAGTTAACTGAATTATTTGCATATATTTTAGTAATTAAAAAAAAAAAAAAAATTAAAAAAAAAGCCCTCCTCCCTCCTTCCCTCCCATATTCCAAGTAAATCATCACTTAACTGTTATCTAACAAATTATGAACTTTACTTATCTTGTAGCTGGCATTAAAAGATTTTGAAAAAAAAAAAAAAAAAAAAAAAAAAAAAAAAAAAAAAAAAAAAAAGTTGTAGTTACTCTAAATGATGAGATACTCCGTAAAAAAGCTATTCCATAAAGGAATAAATAATTTTACTCAAGTCAAGCATTACTATGTCTTTTTAGGTACAAATTGATTCATTATTCGCAATAGGATTTCATTTTGTTCTATTTATAAATAACATTAAAGTCTAATCCAAGACTCTTGGATTGTGACCAATGGTCGTTTCCCTTGACTCCCTCTTTCTCTTTTTTTTTTTTTTTTTTTTTTTTTATTAATTTATTTATTTATTTATTTTTATTTTTTTTTTTTTTTTTTGGATTCAGGTGAGATGGAATATGTAAGCTCATTTTCGGAATAGATACTTTTATTTTCGGAAAATATTAAGAGTAGAACTACCGTAAAACCTCTCCCTAGCTCTTCGTATACTGTTCTAATAACTTTTTCCTTTATTAATAAGGCGGATGATCACGATATGTGGGTTTATAGTTAATAAAAGCTATATATTTATAAAAAAAAAACTCTATATTACATGAGCTGAATTGTTTAGCTTACAACAATCCTATTCCCTCTCCCTCCTCTTTCCCATCCAGGCTGTTCACTTCTAATAGACTAGTTATTCAGAGCCTCTTTTTAATATGTTCTTTTTATAATTTATTCTTTTGTCTTTGTATTTTTTCTTTTTTTAAAAAAAAAAAAAAATAACCTGAAAAAGTAAATTCAGCAATTATAAATGCTACATGCCCATTGGTCAGTTTATTTTTATAAATAAAATCGTATTATTACTACTATTCTTTTTTTTTTTTTCGTGTTGAAATTAAATATACCTTTTTGTTATTTTTAAATTAATATGGATTATACATATACAAATCCACAACAACCATACATTCAACAACAACAACAGCAACAAGCATACCAAGGCTATTCAAATGAATTTAATAATTCTATTCCCCCTTCTTCAACTTTTTTTTATCAACAACAACAACAACAACAACAACCGATAGAAAACAACGGCTATCATCGTTCTACAGAAGGATTTCCAAGAAGTGTTTTAGATAGAGCAACGGCTGCAAAACTTCGTTTGGAAAATTATTATAAAACTGCTCTTGAGCAAGCACATGAAAGAAATCAAAGGTAAATATATTTACATGATTATTATATTGAAACATGAAAAAAAAATAGGACAAGGAGAAAAAAAAAATGAATTTAAACATTTACATTTACCTAGACGAACCGAAACTGAAAATAAATTAGCACAGGAAAATTGTAGTGAAGAAAAGAAAAAGAGACAATTACAATCTTTAGGTAGAAAAGAATCTCGATATTTGAGATTACGTAGAACAAGATTAGGACTTGATGATTTCATTACTGTCAAAGTTATTGGTAAAGGAGCCTTTGGTGAGGTAAGATGAAGAACGTCTCTATTCACATTCTACGTTATATTTATGATTGTCTTGAATTGTAGGTTCGATTAGTACAAGCAGGAGATACGGGAAAAATTTATGCAATGAAGACATTAAAGAAATCGGAAATGTTGAAAAAAGATCAATTAGCACATGTAAAAGCAGAACGAGACGTGCTAGCTGAAGCAGATTCACCTTGGGTTGTTCAACTCTACTTTTCTTTTCAAGATACACAATATTTATATTTGATTATGGAATTTTTACCTGGTGGCGACTTGATGACGATGTTAATTAAATATGATACATTTAGTGAACCAGTTACCCGATTTTATATTGCTGAAATTGTTTTAGCTTTAGAAGCCATTCATAATTTAGGATTTATTCATAGGTAAGCATGATAAGGCAAGTTATATCAGCAGAAAAAAAAATAAAGTGTTTAACTAACTATTATTATTATTCAGAGATATCAAACCAGATAATATCTTAATTGATAAAGATGGTCACATTAAATTATCAGATTTTGGTTTATCAACAGGCTTTCACAAGACACATGATTCCCAATATTATCAACGTCTATTAGAAGGTGCTCAAAATTCGACAGGTCCTGATTTTATTAATCTCAATACTCATAAAGAAAAGATTGCAACATGGAAAAAGAATCGTCGAGCATTAGCTTATTCGACAGTAGGTACACCAGATTATATTGCACCAGAAATCTTCTTACAAAGAGGTTATGGACAAGAATGTGATTGGTGGTCATTAGGAGCGATCATGTTTGAGTGTCTTTGTGGATACCCTCCTTTTTGTTCTGAAAACCCTCATGATACTTATCGTAAAATTATGAACTGGCGTGAGACATTGATCTTTCCAGACGATCAGCCTATTAGTCGAGAGGCGGAAGATTTGATACGTCGATTGATATGTGATCCTGAACACCGTTTAGGAAGAAATGGAGCAGAAGAAATTAAACAACATCCTTTCTTTTATGGTATTAATTGGGAACAAATCAGGAACGAAAGATCTCCTCATATACCTCAACTTAAAAGTATTACTGATACCAGTTATTTCCCTACTGAGGAATTAGAAGCTGTTCCTGATACAGTCGATAATCAAGGTAAGATAAGATAAAAGAAAGAAAAAAAAAGGGTGTATGGGTTATACCAGGTAAGCCTATTTTGACATATAATTATTCTATCTATCTATTAGTCTATCAAACAGATACTGTGAATGCTCAAAAGGATCTTGCCTTTGTTGGTTATACATTTAAGCGTTTTGATTATTTAACTAGAAAGAATGTGTTATAAATTCTGTTTATAGTTTTTGAAAGAATAGAGATATACCTTATTTTTCTTTCTCTGTTTATATAGATAACGTTTTGCTTTATTATTGCATTGTTTTTTTTTGTTAAAATAACATAAAATTATTTCTCTTTTTATATAAATATATAAAAATAAAAATAACGTACAGAGTATCTATTTCAGTCAGGAAGATATGGAGAGAGAGAGAGAGGATTTTTATTGTACAGAATAAGAGTTATGATCTACGATTATACTCATGTCTTTTTATTATTATTTGTTGACAATAGAATAAGAAGCTAAACTAGACCTATCTGGTCAAAGAGGATAAAATAAAATTAATCCCTATCCTTTTGCAACGACGTACTATATGAGTGATTTATGATCCTATTTCAAACGCTCTATGTACTTTATATAAAAATAAATAATCAATTTGTTTTGCTCTACAAAACGACAGTTCATCTTTCCATAAAGGATAGTTACTTTGATCAGTAGTTGCATTTTAGTATATAATATCCATTTAAATCGTGACTCTTCTTGTTATCGTTACTAGTCAATAAACAAATTTTATTATTTCTTCTTTCCTTAAAAGCCACTACGCTAATCATGGCATGTAGAAGAGTCTCTTACAATTTTACTCCTTAAAAAAAAATAAAAATAAAACTCCGCAAAATAAAAAAAAGGGATATAAAAAAAGGGAAGAATCAAAAAAGATCCCTTTCTTCTTTTTTTTTTTTTTTTTTTTTTTTTTCTTTATGATCATCAACCGGCTATTCTATAGTCGTGAGATGAACTGGGCTCCCAAGGGTCTGGGAGCAACTCTTGGGACCGTATACCCTCCCTCGGGGGTGGGATAGGGAATACGGACGGTCGTTCAGATGACGTCCATTTTAGAAAAACTAGAATTATGAATCAACTCTTCCTCTCTCTCTCTCTTTTTTTTTGTGGGGTGAGTGGTGGTGGTAGTGATGATGGAGAGAAGAAAGGAGCTGCTTGTTCATATGTATAGTAACAAATCTATCATTTAGTATCATTTACAATAGAGATATGTATAGAAAGTGGCTTACAAAACCATGAACTACCTCTTCGAAAAGTTATTACAATGATGTATAGATGGTTATATCAGCTATTGCACGACAATATCTGTTATAAACGCATGTAACCTTCATATCCAGGTATATAAATACGAATAAAAAAGAATAATAGAAAAAAAAATGCTTATCAGTATTCGTCGATGGGCGTACACACACACACATATATATATATATACATATATACATATAAATACCCATTTGATTTAATGATGTGAAATACATAAGAAATAGTTTGCTTGTTTTTTTCTTTTCTTTTCTCCCCTATAAAACTATCAGCTCATTTCATTCAAATTCTTCAATTGGTGTTAGGTGAAGAAGGAGGAAGAACCCAAAGAACATACTTTGTCAGTACTTTCATTTGTACACTATAATATGTTTAATTAGAGCTCGATAATGAGTCATGTACAAGTTGTAAGAGGTAGGTACTGATATGAAGTAGGTAGTGTCTATGATTTAGCATACTATATTATGTGACTAGCATTATTTAGTCTGATGTTGTGTAGCATTCTTTGTATAAATATTTATCTTTAAATATAATAAACGATTGTTTGTTTATTTATAAATGAATAGACGGCTATATACCATTCAACGAGTAGAATATTATATTAGTAAGTTCTTTATTATCAGTGTGAATAAATAAAGCAGTAGATGAATCTAAACAATAATAATATATATGTACATAATGATATACGATGAAACTAACTTGATGCATTTATAGCAAAATAATTCTTTTGCGCGTTTTCTTCAAATTACATAAGATGTGTTAAGCACAATGTCTAATATACCAATTGAATATGATCGTTAGTTTCCAAATAACAATTCATTTCAATAGACTTCTCTAATAGACACACATACATACACGTATTATACTTACTTTATTAAGAAGAACACTACGTTTACCTAGAATATTTTAATAGATAATAGTTATAAATACGACTGAGGGTCTATTTTTCTTCTTTTTTGATACATATATCTAAATCTACTACTTACCCGAATAAAGAACTTCATCTTTTATTAAATCTGTATCAATCAAGACCGCATCATCAAATGAAAGGTCTTGGATATCTTCTTCTATTAAACAATACCTCCAGGGCTTTGGTGGAGGAATTCTTCTCACTTTCTTTTGAATCTTTATTTCTTTATTATTTCCGATAGTAAAAATAAATCTATGAATAGCAATTGTAAAAGAAGCAAAAGTCTTTGAAAAAGTTTTAGAAATAGTTGTAACCATTTTATTTGTTTAAGAAAAAGTAAGTAAAAAAAAAAAGGAGGACAATTTTATACCCATTAAAAAATAAAATATATCAGTAGTTTTAATTTAAAGGGGGGAGAATACGGGTTATAGTTTATCTTGTTGCAGTAATCAGTTTAATTTAAACTTAATTGGATCAGTTCTTCTCCTCCTCTTTTTTTTTTTTTTTTTTTTTTGACATACAAATCAAGTTTGATTAAACTGTATATAACACTTTATCATGTGTGTTTCTTTCTTAAGCTTCTTCTTGTTACAAGTATTTGTAAAAGTCAAACAAGATTCTCTATCTTCAGCACAAAGTAAATAAATCTATGTCTGTATAGCTATGACTCTTACTCATAAAGAGAGTTTACATACAACTTATTTCCTTAAAGAAACACAACAAACAATGCTTATTTTATCTTGCATTTAACTTGTTTAATTTCATAATAAATGCCTGTTTACTTGTACTAAATTACCTTTTAACGCTATTATTTAAAACCTTTTTTTTTCATGATGAAACATTCTTTATCAAGTTTTTTTTTTTTTTTTTTCATCAAGTAGAGACTGATTAATTAATTCTTTTGAATCAGTATTGACTGCAGTAAATTTGAATGTTCAATAAAAATAAATAAAACTGAGAAAAAAAAACAAAAAAAAATAGCACCAATAAAAAAGTCTTTACATAATAACTTTTTTTTTCTTCTTCTTCTTTCAATTAATGTCATCACAACCTCATTCTTTAAATTCAAGTTCAATAAATCCAGCCAACTTGCTTGAACTTCAAGTTCTTACCAAAGTAATTGGTCAATTACAAAGTAATGGGGACATTCAAGGATCGATACCCTACTTGGCAAAAGTTGTACAAATCATTGACCATCAACAGTTGGATCGACCTAGTCGAGAGGTAATGCAGACCGATCCAAAACGGAAAGCGGCTTATTATGAACAATTGAATGAATTACGTAAAGTCAAGGCAGAGGCTTATGCACAACTGGCGGATGCTTATTTTAAAGTACATAATTTTATATCATGCGAGACTTATTTACTTTTCTCTGTCAAAATCTGGGAAAACCTGATAGAACATGAGAGGCTACGAATAGATTCAAGTTATGAAGAGCGACTTAAAATAGCTTACAAGCAACTACTCGATGCATATGAAGCAATGGGAAAATCTAATTTAGCGTATCATATAAAAGTTAAATTAAAAAAACTAACTAAAAAAGAAGAAGAAAGTCTATAAAACCACTTGCTTTTTGTGTGTGTGTGTGTGTATTATTTCCTTAACATAATAGACTTTATTTTATTTATTTTTTTTTGTGCGTTATAATATGTGTATATGTAAACATTTATAAAAATATATATATATAAAATGAAAACAAAAGGGTAACTTGTTCTTGTGTTTTTTTTTCTTTAATATATATGCATGTGTATATATATTATATATAAATGTATATAAGTGCATATATACATAATATTTCTGTCTCTCTTTTTTTTTTATGATAAACGGTCATCAGTAGAATGATCCTTGCTCTTACGCTGAAGACGAGAAACCCTTGGCTTACGACCACCATGAATACTTCGATAAAGTTGTTCACCCCAATTGAAACATTCTTCGCAAGCTACCTTTTTATGAGCCATACAGCCAGGCTTACCTTTAGCAACACGAGTCCATTTATGAGCCACGCTAAAAGGTTCACGATCATCACCCTTCCATTTTGTATTATATTCATCTTCAGTCAGTTTTTCATGAAGCATATCCTCCACTAACATATTGTTTGCAGAACGATTGTCTGTTGGACACTTGCTACAAACCTCAAGACCATGACGAGTACAAAAGATAAAACCATTAATAGTTACAGAATAAGAATCAACAGTGTTATTATAATCTTCTTCGTCAATTTCAGCAAATTGAGAGTCCATGATTTAAGTTTTAATTGATAATAAACAAAAAGTAAAGAAAAAGAAGAAACAGAAGCAGAAGAAAAAGTTGTTTAATATTTATATTTTTTTTTTAGTAGCGGTGTTAGTAGTGGTGTTAGTAGTAGTGGTAGTTAGTAGTAGTTGTAGTAGTAGTAGTAGTAGTAGTAATAGTGGCGGTGGTGTGATGATTTTTAAGCTGCATAAAAAAAAAAAAAAAGGGAAGGTGAGGGATAGGTATTCCATTTTTCTATTATTTTCCCATCCTCATGTTTTCCCGTTTTCTATTATTAAAGAACAATAATAGAGCTTGAAAAAAAAAGATGTAGTCATTTAGTGCAAATATCAACTTACTTTTACTAAGATTCCTTTTTTTTTATTTCATTCTATTTCTTTACGTATAAAAAGTTATCAAGAGGAAGATGGTTTATTTTCTTTATGTTAAACAAGCCCATCCTCAGATGACATTTGTTTATTTATTACCTTCTAATAATATAAAAATGTGTGTGTGAATTATATGAATTCATAGTGTTCTGAAAATAAAGAAACTACGTTATTTAAACTTGACATTATGTCTACTTTACCCTTCCCCTTTTTTATTTTGCTGGATAACTTTTATTATCATCACTAGTTATCTCTTTATTTTTGTTTACTTTTACTGTCTATACTATACCTCTTCTTTTTTCTTTTCATGCATAAAAAAGGTTGCTTGTTTCTTCGGACATTCATATTCATTCCCTTTTTATTCAATTTTCATACTCCGCTATTATGCCTTATTACTATTGCTCCCCCTCCCTCCCTTCTCTCTCTCTGTGTGTGTGTCTTACTTGGACTGGACTGGTTTAACAAAAAAAAAAAAAAAGGTTTACTCATATTAGATAATACAAAGAATGTGACCCTTTTTTTTTTCCTATTATATCTTTACCATAAAGGAAACTTTATAGAAAGGTAAAGTTAATTAAGCTTAATGGAAAATAAACTGAAAATAAAACAGGGCTGAACAGGACTTTTCATTTAATTCTCAGATTTTCTTTTCATGAACAATCAGCATAAAATGACTATTACTACTATTACTAAAATAGTTAATAAAATTACATAATAATGGAAGAGTTCTTTTTTTATATATTTGTGTAGTAGATGTATACACATATGTATTTTATGTGTCAGAATTATCGTATTCCACTACTGCCACCCCCCATCTGGTTTTAATACTTGACTATATTCATTAGGTCGTTGATAGATATTTACTCCATCAGGTTGTACTACTGAAGGCGTATTGTTATTATCATTATTATTCTTATACTGGTAGTTGTCGTGACTATGATGGCTTACAACTGTAGTAGATTCATTTTCACTATAAGGCACTGCCGAGATAGGTGTATGATGATTACTATGAATAGATGCCTGGTAATGATTGTTATTTGTTTGAGGTAATGCAGGCATCTCTAAATAATTCTCTTCTATCTTGTCCCAATCCACTTCATCCATTATATTATTATTATTATTATTATCATTATTAATGTCATGGCTATCATTCTCATCGTAGTATTGATTTTTATTATTATTGGTAGTCGTCTTCTTCTTTTTACGTACATAAAATACAATTACTGCAGCAGCGATTATAGCCTATAAAATAAATAAGTGTTGATGAATTATATAGAATTAAGCCTTCATATACATATATATAAATATCCTTACCACAGCAACACAGGCGACAGCTATACCAACTGTTGCTCCTGTACTTAGTGAGTTATCTTTAACACCATCATCATCTGTAGTGATAGTAGTGGTATTATTTTGGTTATTGTCATTGCTGCTACTGCTATTGCTATTGTTATTATCATTTAGCTGAATAAGATTAAATTTATCCATATAGGTGATTGAATGTGGGTTGGAAATATTTAATAACAGAATACTACTAGTACCAGCTTTATTTCCATCTACACCCCACATCACGAAAAGCGTATCATTCTTAACTATAACAGCTATTATTCCAAAGCAAAAAAAAAAAAAAAAAAAAAAAAAAAAAAAGTGGGGATGAAAGAAATCAAAATTAGTCAATATATGATAATAATCTTTTTTTTTTTTCTTCTTTTGAATTAATAAATTCACTTTACAGGAATGTTGTGATCTAGCTAATGTTGTTCCAGCCGGAGCAGCTATTGTTTGTCGTGTCCAATTTTTAGTATCCAGGTTGAGAACATAGCAGTAATCATTAGAAGCTATTTATATAACATTGTATAGGATTAGTCTTATATTGGGACCTTTTTTTTTTGAATATAATAAACATACCAACTCCATCATATTCACCACCATATAGAATAACATCTCTATTAGTAGTAGGTGCTATTATGAATTACATTAAGTACTATAAGTATGAAAGCTTGAAAGGATATATACATATATATATATATAACACTTACTTAGTGTAAGACTAAAGAAAAATCTACCAACTGCTGGTCCATTCCCATTCAGTTGAATTTCAGACCATTCATTCGTCACTGTATTGAATGCAGTTACATTCATAAATGATCCTTTTACACCATTTATGGAAGGTGAAGCCATGTCGTTGCTTCGAGTTTCACCTCCCATATATATAATAAGTTGAGTGACAGGATCAAATATAGCTTCTTGTCGAGCAAAAAATGTAGGAGCATAGGTAGTAGGTACAGGTGTTGGCATGATCCATTTCTTTTTTTTTTTTTTTTAAAAAAAAGTAAATGTAAATATATACAAATTATATATTTTTATACACATATCTGTTGAAATTATTAATACATACTGCGGGATTGGCATCTATGTTAAAGTAGGCAATTTGAGTATATCCGATAGCTCTAGATAGATCACTTCCAAAATTAAAAATAGAGCTATTAAGGCTAGGTGTAGTCCATGACTGATTTATATATCTAAATATGTATATTTGTATATATGTATATTAAATCGAGTTACATTGTATGTTAGAGCAAGATGATAATCTGTATATTCGCTTTTTATTTTATTTTATTTTTTTTCTGTTTCTTACACTTCAAAGCCTCCATAAAATGCTGCACCTTTACCTGGAACATTAACAACTGTGCCATAATATCTATAAAAAAAAAAATTAAAAAAAAATACATAATAAAATACGAATTATATCAAAGTTGTATGATCTATTTATATATGTATATGTATTTACATTTGTCTTTTACCATAAGGTGGCTCATTATAATCTTCATAAGCTAACCACTTGTTATCTTTGGCATCATATACAATATTATGGTTTGCAAGACGAGAAGGTGAGTTTGGTTTGAAACCACCATTAATCAACATTCTATAACCGTCAAGTAAGGCAATGACTTGAGGAATCGTTCTGACATGGATATCAACTCCATTTGTATCTGCACTCACTGGTTTCCACCATGCTTGTAGCTGTTCAGTTGTCATACTAGGCGTATCTTCATTACTTGATGTTGTTGTTGTGGTTAAGTCTAGTACATTAATCACATTATCAGGGGCATTTTCTGTACTTGTCTTATACAAGTTCCCACCAAAGCAATATATTTTATTTAATAATAATCCACATTCTATTTAAACATATACATATATTTTTAATTCCTCAAATAACAAGTTTTAAATATAATTTATATTATTCTTACTAGTATTTGAACGTGGTGTTACAGGTTGTTGCGCATACACTACTATATTGAATATCGTAAAAACCGTTAAAAGTGGCCCTGAAAGACAACTGGCGAGCTTCATTAGAAAAGAAAAGAAAAAAAGGGCTTCTTCTACTGTTACTGTTACTGCTACTGCTACTGCTACTACTACTACTACAGTAAATATTAAAACAGAAAGAAAGTAGTAAAATATAAATATAGAATACATTCATATATACATGTATATATATTAATATGTACCTTTGAACAACAACGAATTTCTTTTCTATTTAGTGTAACCTTTCCATTTATATTAAAGAAGATGTTACAAAATAGAATAGATACTTTTTTTTTTATTTATGGTAATTTAACATGCAAGTTGTAATCAACCTATTTCCTAGTTAATAGAATTGGATGCAATTGGCTTTATCTTTTTTTTTTTTTTTTTGATATTTCTTAAAAAAAAAAAAGGTATTTATCTGAACAATCATTTTTTTTTAAAAAAGTAACTTGTGCTAGAATCACTATATTGCTGTGATATGTTATACAACAATAAAAGCCTCAAATATGATAATACTTTCTCAGAAAATAAAAATAAAAATAAAAATAAAATTAGCAGTAATCATCATCTGATAATTATTATCTGATAATTTCATTACTCTTATTAGCATGTATATATTTATATATTTTACACAGCTATTTTCAAAAAAAAAAAAAAAAAAAAAAAAAAAAACTTTCATAGCAACCAAGTTGTAATATATAAAGCTTGGTTTTCAAATAAACATATTAGTGTTGACTTTAACAACGACGACGTATAGAAAATTATCAGCCCTGATACGATAAATTATTCTTCAGTTGTAATATTATATAAAACTCAGACTCTTTTGTACCTTACCAGCCCATAAAGTCTGTAGGAGGAGCTAATGAGTGGGCTTATATACATGTATGTATATATTTTTCCAATAGTGGGAGTGTAATAATAGTAAGAAACATACACGCTCTTTTTTTTTTTTTTTTTTTTGGAAGGCGGCCAAAACAAAATTATCATAGAAGGTGGTAAAGAAGAGTTTAATCCAATCTAAAAAAAAAAAAAAAAAAAAAAAAAAAAGGCAGAAGAATGGAAGATATCAAAAGTAACAAAAGTTCACTACTAGCTTATGATAAGGATAATCAATATATCAGTTTAACGGGAGGTGGAGGAAGTGTTTGATGAAATAGAGAATCCATTTATTATATAGTAGCATCTTATAGTTACTTTCTCTACGCAATATCGACAACTGTGAAAACCTAAAAAAAAAAGAAAGATGATTTCGTATTGCAATATTATTATTATTTTTTTTTCAAGACATAATAGAGGTAATGCTTTATATTACAGATAAATAATAGAGAAAGAGTCTCTGATGACGCGATGGCGACTATCATAAACGATTTACGATAGAACGGAGTTTGGGCGAATACAAAGAGGATCAAGTGGGATAGCATTCAAAACTCAGGTTGCCAGTGATACCTTGTTGCAACATCAGTAATTTGTATTAACGCCATGATATGGAGTGACACTACAGACAAGTATCCTTACATGGATTGGTAGGTACATGATGATACAACTGTTTAAGCAAAAAATAAACAAAATAAAATAAAATAAAAATTACCCTACTCCTTTCATGCACATCCTAAATTCTTTATTGAAACTTGATGATTCTAGACAGTAGCAGTGCTTTATATATGTATATATATTTTTTTAGAAAGTACTTTAAAGTGAAAGATCACTAAATATCTATTCATTTTATCCCTTAGTAACTTCATTTACTTGCCTGAATGTTCATTCCAATGAAAACTGTTATTTTACGGGACTCGACCATTTTATATGTTTCCTTATTTATATTTATTGAATATAAAAGATTTTATTGGCTTAATTTTTTACGTCACGTTCTTAAGCGGCAGTAATTATCAGAACACGCTGTTGTCGCAAATTTTTTTTTTCTCTTGAAAAGGAAACTACATATATAATAATAATAAAAAAAAAAATGGGTAAAAAGAGAAAGTCAAAAGTTATAAGACCATGGTGTTGGTACTGTGAAAAAGATTTTGAAGATGATAAAGTCCTAGTGACTCACCAAAGGGTATGTAAATATAAATTTTTTATTTTATTTTATTCTTTGTTGGATTTAATGTGTGTCTTTCTTATTATTATTAAAAAAAAACAGGCTAAGCATTTCAAATGTGAAGTATGTAACAAAAAATTAAGTAAGTAAATAATTATAGATAGATAAATAAATAAACTCATACTGTTTCATTAGCTACTGCTGGAGGCATGGTAGTTCATTCTTTTCAAGTGCATAAAATTAACATTAACAAGTAAAATAGATCAAGCATTTTGTCTTCAAAAAAAAAAAAAAAAAAAAAAAAACTAATCCACTATTTGCTCTTCTTTTTTTTTTTTAGAGTCCCAAATGCATTACCTGGAAGAGATAATTTAGAAGTAGAAATTTTTGGCATGGAAGGCATACCCGAAGAAGACATGATTGCACATGAAGCTAGAATATTAGGAAATACAAATAGCCATAAAAAATCAAAATCAAATGGATCTGGACAATACGGTGAACTTACACTTGAAGAGATCCAACAACAAATGGCAGCTCATAAAGCGCTAGGGACACCTACAACACCTAATGTTAGCATCTCACAATCACCCATCATTAGTGCTCCACCTGTTGTGACTCAACAACCTTATTATTCAAATACTGCTTATACTCAATATCAGCAACCTTATGCTAATCAATATTATGGATATGGAGCACCGCCCAATTATGGTTATACGGGAGGGGTTGGGTAAACCCAATTATATATAGTCCAAATGCTTATATACAATAGAATTAACATTATTTATTATAGTCCTTATCCTGGACAATGGGGATATCAAGCTTACCCTCAAGCAGCTATGCCTCCACAAATGCCTGTGTCTACTACGATAACACCTCCGCCTCCTGCTGTAAATGATTTAAAAACACCAGGAGCAGCAGCAGCACCAGCACCAGCAGCAGCACCGGCATCTTCTGACACTGTATTACCACAAAATAACGATGATTACCGCGAGAATAATGTGAGTGATATATCAAAAGGTAACGATTTATCAAATCATACTATAACAGAGAAACAACCAACGCTATCAGAGGCACCTCCAACAACAAATAATAATCCAGTAAAGAAAAAAGCATCTAAAATTGTATTAATTTATAACAATAATGAGCTTTCACCGGTAAAAAAAAAAGAGAGATATTATAAAGAAGAATATTAACTCATCTTTTCTAAATAGGAGGAGCAAAGAGCTCAGTTAGAAAAATATAGAGTGATCTAAGTTCAGTCTTCTATTTCTCCATCTACTTTTTTTTTTATTTTATTTTTAACACATAAAAAAAAAAAAAAAAAAAAAAAAAAAAAAAAAAGAAAGAAATAAAGCCTGTGCACTGTACTCTGGTAAGGAAAAAAAAAAAAAAAAAACAAAAAAAAATCATTTTTTTTTAACAGAAATAAAAAAAAAAAAAAAAATACATAAAATTTCGAAATGTTATATATACATGTAGACTTTGTGAAAGGGGGGTTAAGGATTATTCTGTATATTATACATGTAAGAAGAAAAAGTATATGCTTATAAATATGAAGTTTACTAATCAATATTGCAGCTTAATATGCAAAGCCAAAATACCAAAAGAGAGATTAGATTAGATAAAGAAAATTATGTAGGTCAGATAAAATAAATAAATAAAAATAAAAATCTGCTCACGTTTCTGGTACTTTCTTTTATATCTATTTAAGAGATACTTGCTGGCTGGGAGGGGGAGGGGTTTTATGCATGTATATATCCTTCATAAAATGATTATTGACATCTACAGCAAAGGGTATTGTGATGCTATTTCAAGTTTGTATCAATGATATTGCAGTATGAATTAAAGGTTAGTGTTCTGCAAATACTTCCCATAACTTAATAGAGCCAGTCATTGGCTGATCATTCTTTGTATTCATACACGATACCTTGTTGATAAAACAACCAAGTGTTGTCTTTGATATCTAATAAATATACTGTCCTCAACTTCTTTTGTTTCTGCTCCCATTGTTTGGAGCGTTATTTTCTTTATGATATGCATTTTAAAACTTTGCTGTAAAATTCATCCAGTTGAAGTGAAAGGACTGTCTTGATCCTGCAGTCTGTTGTTAAGACATTCAGCTTCACTTGAGAGTAGATTTTTACTTAATAAAAAAAAAGCAATATCCTCTCTACATAGATGGGAATAAAATTCATATACTTTAGTACAAGAAGGCCTCGTTTTGAAATAAGATATAATATCATTGATACAATTAAGAGGAAAAGAGAGACGATGTCGTTTCAATGTAGCAATATTATTACTTCAAATTTACAAGCATTTATTGCTACCAATTGATAATTCAGAATAAGGACAGTAACAATCATAGAGTACAACAGTAATCTTTTCTACTAGACATGATTTTATTTTTTTTTTTTATCTATCATCAGCATACAACTCCACTTTATGTTCTCTCTAACTATAGCTTAGTACTACTTTAATCAGGCAAGTAAGTAAGAAGGAAGAAAATGATAATAACAATATGATCATCTCTACTTTCTATCTTTCATTTGAATGACTCATATTTATGAGTAGAAGCTCTTAAAGGATACACGTTTGTCCATAACCTTGAGTCACTTGTTTATAAGCTTACCAAGTGAGAGAGGGAAGGGAGGGGTAATAGTGCCCCTCGAAATTGGTCTGTCATTCATACTATTATCATATGGCTCCCTAATTGCTTTATAAACATCGTTATCATCCATATAAGCTATAGTTCTTTCTTTTGTACAAACACGACTTTATCTTATATTTTAATATACGTGACACTCATTTTCATAGACTTGTTGCGATAATTACATTTTAGAAATATCGTAAATGATTATTTGTTACATATTTCTAATAAACTGTTTCATCGTAAATATACATAAAATACGTGTATAACATAAAAAAAAAATGAATTATTACTATTTTAATTCTGTATATATTCCTCTTATTGGATATTCATGTTTATACATATACTCTTTGAGGAATTAATTTATATAAAGTGGATTCTATTCATGACATGGAACGAAATTACTACTATTACTGTACCTTTTTTTTTTTTTTTTTTGAATAAAATAAGGTACTACCTTCCCAAAATAGAAAAGAAAGTACTTTCTTTTTTAATTAAATAATATTATAAACCGTATGACTTTTTTTTTTTTTATCAATATTACTACAAAAGAGAAATAAGCTTCTTTTATATTCCCTTCCCTTTTTATCTATAATTACTACTTTTCTTTTCTTTTCTTTTCTTTTTTTTTTATTTATATGACAGAGTCATGGATATGAAAAAAGAAATAAATCCTCATCAACGCTCTTATTCAGTTATGGCTGTGCCTAGTGAATTAGAACAGCATAGGAAAAATAAGCAAAACAATCCTAGTAATAATCTCGTTATACCATGGCATATAGAAATGTATCAAAAGTATGGCTATGAACCCAAATTAACCAATCCTTCCTATTTTGGACCTTACTTATTATTACAAACATTGGGGGAAGGTGAATTTGCTAAAGTGAAAGCTGCAGTTCATGTTCAAACAAATCAAGAGGTGATATATAGAATAAAATAGTGTATAAATATGTGGATATTTAATAAATACATAAATGTGTATATCTATATATTCCCTTTAGGTGGCAATTAAATTAATGAGAAAAGATCATATTAAACAAGCATCATTAGAAACAAAGCTTGAAAGAGAGATATCGATTTTAAAGGTTTATTCTTCTTATCAACTACGTGACTACTTTATACTTAATATCATTTTTTAGACTGTTTGTCATCCAAATATTGTCAAACTGTTTGAAGTATTGACTATTAAGAATTATATTGGAATTGTATTACAAAGAGCAGCAGGTAACACACACACACACACACACACATACATACTTACTTAATTATTCTTTATTATTTTAGGTGGCGAATTATTTGATTATATTTTAAAGCATCATTATTTACAAGAAAATGAAGCAAAACGATTATTTTCACAACTGATAAGTGGAGTAGATTACATGCATCAAAAGCTAATTGTTCATAGAGACCTTAAACTGGTGAAGAAGAATAAATTTGAGAATAAATGATTTTATATGCAATTTCCAACTTTTTTTTTTCTTTTTTTTTTTAGGAAAATTTACTTTTAAGTAAAGATCGTGATATTATTATCACTGACTTTGGGTTTGCAAATCGTTTTTTAATTGCTAAAGAAGACTATTTAATGACAACTTCGTGTGGTTCACCTTGTTATGCTGCACCAGAGTTAGTGATTAACCAAAATGATGAAAACAATAATAACAACAGCAATAATAATAATACAAATTATGTTGGCACTGCAGCTGATATCTGGTCATGCGGCGTTATCTTATTTGCCATGTTATGTGGTTATTTACCTTTTGATGATGATCCAACAAATCCTCAAGGAGCCAACATCAACGCGTTGTACAAATATATCATTAGTACTCCACTTGAAATACCAAAGACGATTAGTCTTGATGCAACCCATTTATTACGTCGAATGCTTGTACCAGATCCTAAAAAGAGATGTAAAATGGAAGAACTTAAAAACCATCCTTGGTTAAATGATCATAGAGAGATATTAAGTAAATCTTTACATGAGCTTGAAGAAGAAGAAGAAAAAGGAGAATATCATTATTATCCTTATCGGTTAGACTCTTCCGCATATCAAGTAAGACAAGCACTTTATAATAATAATACAACTACTTCTATAATAAATGACACACGGACTATGTTACCTAAATTACCACGGGAATCAGCCATGAATCAGGAGAAACAAACGACTGCTATTTGTACAACCGAAAAGAATGTCTTTCATTCTTTTACTAAAAAACCAAAGAAACCTATAAAAGAAGAAGAGAAGTTCTTTTCGACTTTATATCAACGTTATTTAGCCAATTCACAGACTAATACTACTACTACTAGTGCTACTGCTACTGCTACTACTAATAATAATAAAAATAATAATAATAGTAATCATATTAATAATAATAATAAAAATAATAAAAATGATTCAAATAGAAGATCTATGTTTAATTCTAGTAGTAGTAAGATACCTAATCGTTCACAAAGTGTTAAACAGTCATCAACATTACCACCATCAACTAGACGTCAAAGAATGAAGAGTGAAAATTATACTAGTAGTAGTGGTAGTAGTAGTAGTAGTTGTACAAGACAAGATGCTCATCCTTCTTCACTCTTTCCTATTTTACCTTCTGTTTCTGAGCAAACAACTGTAGCAAGTAATACTAGTAACAAAACAAAATCAAAAGGTCAAAAGATTATAGATTGGTTTAAACGCGTTAATAATAGACCTCCTAATTCACAAAGTAAGTTGAATGATAGTAAAAAAAAAAAAAAAAAAAAAATCTCGCCACCCTTCTTATTCATTTCTCTTCCTCTTTCTTTTAGGTACAAGGTTACCTATCCATTCTTATTATAAAAAGGAACAATCCAGTACAATAAAAGGACGAAAGGACGAGAGACCTTCAAGTCAGGTATCTAATAACCCTATTCGAGTCATGTCAATTGGTAAACCCTTCGGGTCTTATGCTGCCGATTTTAATGATACTAAACTCCGAGTTCACCGAGGAGCGGTAGATCAAGATGCACTTACTTCAAGGGCTCCTAATGAAGTTCTTCAATCTATTAAAGAATCACTCACGATGATGGGAATTGAAATGAAACGATGTCGTGATTATAAAATTAAATGTTTACGTCCTGCACGTTTAGTATTACAACAATCATCAACAAGGATGAGAAAGATGAGTACCGTGATCGTACCTCCCTTTAAATCATTTTTTACTGATAAAACAGCAACAACAACAACAACAACGACGACGACAAATAAAGCATCTGCAACCACGGCTGCTGCCACAACGAGTCATGTTCTTTATGGAGAACAAGGAATCGATACAGGCGAAGAAGTACAATTCAATGTTGAACTCTCCAAAATTGAAAATTTACCAGGACTCTATGTCGTTGACATTAGGAGATCAAGAGGAAATATTTGGGCATTCAAATTTTTATATCATACTTTATTAGATTTATTAGATCTTAGTAAAAAAGGTCAAGGAGGTATGGCTTACATGGCTCATAGACGTATGACAGATGAACCAAATGTAGAAGACAATCGAATTAGTTATATGACAAATAGTAGTAGTGGAAGTAGTATTATGGTCTTTGAGGAAACATAAAAAAAAAAAAAAACTCAACTTGAATTTATGGAGCAAAATTATTCACATTTTATCATATGTAAATAAAATGGATTATGTATTTACTTTTATACATTATTGACTTAATAAAAAAGACATTGGTCACTCAGATTAATAATATGTCAAATTATTGATCTACTTTTAGTAATATTAATTCAGCCAATAAAACATAAAAGTGTGTGGGGAGCGGGGTGGGGATATAATGAGATGATTCATTGATGAGCTTAAATGAGCCAATAAGGATATAAAGATATTGTGTGCTTAAAGACATAATGCTCGTAAATAAATCAAACAATAGTTCTATTGTGGAGAGATTCAACCAGGGGTTAATCAAGTACATTACATTATTATCTTTTTTTTTGTTTTGTTTTGTTTTCTCTTTTCTCTCTCTTTCTCCCTATATATATACATATATATATATATATTTTTTAAAAAAAAATTATTTTTTCTTGGAAAGGTCTTGCTATGACAAACATAACTTATTTTTTAAATGGTAAAGATGCTTCTGTAAAGGTTGCACAAGCTTTGAGTCAACATATTTATACTTATCATACTATAAATGAATGCATTGAAAGTAATGTTTGGGGTAAACCGCCTACTTTGATACAACAACAAGATATGATCTTTCAATATGGTGTTCATACTTCAGCATTTGTGTCTTCTGATGCTTTAATTCCAGCCATTCCACAACTTTACAAGCATATTCATGAAGGTATTGTATTCCATGTCACGGCTGAAACCTCCTCTTCTTCTTCTTCTTCTTCATTTGCAGACTTTTCTCAAGTGATGGCTGTACGTCAGTGTGGATGGACTCTTTTATCTTCCTCAACCGTTCAAGAAGCCCATGATTTGGCCATCATTGCTCATGTTATCGCTATCAAGACACATACACCTGTTTTACATTTCTTTGATTCAAAGCGTATCGCAAATGAATATGCAACTATTCAATCAGTAGATCAGCAGGTACTTTCTCAGCTCGTCACATCTGAGGATATGCAACAATTTCAACATAAATCATCCGTCTACAATTTAAGTAAACAGCAACAGGTAGATATGTATAGTGTAGTTAGAGAGGTGATGAAGCAATTTGAGTCATTAACAGGTCGTTCTTATTCTCCTTTGGAATATACGGGTCATCCTGAAGCTGAATACGGGATCGTTGCTATGGGCGCAGGTGCTACTGTGGTCGAAAGGACGGTGATAGAAAGTTCTCATGACAAGAAGATAGGCGTCTTAAAGGTTAGACTTTATAGACCTTGGTCTGATGCTGACTTTTTGAATCACTTACCTTCCACTATCAAACGACTTGCCATTCTAGAACCATCTCAAGATTTTACTTCTACTTGGAATCCACTCTTCTTAGATATCGTAGCTACTTATCAATCAGTTCAAAATGATGATATTGAAATCATCAGTGGTCAATATGGTCTTGATGCTCAGGACTTCTCCCCTACTCATGTTCATTCTGTCTTTGCCGAATTAATGAAAGAGGACTTTAAACGCAAGTTTATTGTGAACCCAGAAGAAGTGGATACTGTCAATATAATCCCCTCTGATGTTGAGCAGTTGATTATTGTGGGAGATGAAGGATTAGCTTTGAGCTATGCTCAAAAAGCAGTCAATGCCGGTAAGAATGCTCAAGTCTATACAGTGGATGAATGCTCTCATGTACGTATTGCATCTACACCTGGTATATTAATACCCTCATTGATAAATGGTGGTGCTCAGCTTATTCTATTCCAAAAGGCAAATGTGGATGCACCTAATGCAATCAAAACTCTTGATAGCAGCACGGGTGTTGTTGTCCTTGATGAATCCGTTCAAAATCTTGATCAAGTCGTCTTGACACAAGCTACAAAGCAAGCTATTGGTCTAACAAAAGCAAGAGTTATGTCTGTACGAAACATAAAGGATCTTATCAATGATGGTATCTCTCATCTCGTGGCTAAAGCTAATTTTCTTACTACACCTCAAGATTGGGAACACTTACCTCTTCTTCCTTCTATCCCTGCAGAAGAAATATCTCCCATTATCAGTACCCCTATCGAGACACCTTATCTGAAAATGCTAGATCAAATTTTCCAAAATCGTCTTGAAATTGCCAATGCTATCCACAGTGCCTCTATTTGGTCTCCTGAAGGAAATACATCTTCAACGCCCGAATTTGGTTATGGTAAGATCCTTAATAGGATTCAACAACGTGCCCGTTTTATTGACCTGATTGAATCTTTGGTGAAGGAAGATGATAAGGTCCCCAAAGAGCTTTATAAACCTTTAACTCAATGGCTTGTAGCTACTCGATCTTCTGATGCCAAGACAATTAACAGGGCCGCTGAAGCCGTCACCTCTGTCAACACATTAGACATCATTCATGAAAACAAAGATTTATTGTTTGTTAAATCCAATTGGTTGATTGGTTCTGATAGTTGGGCTTACGACCTTGGACAATCGGGTGTTCATCATGTTATTTCACAAGGAGAGAATGTCAATCTGTTGATTATCGATACTTTACCTCATTCAATTCAACATCATGAACAACAACAACAACGAAAGAAGGATATTGGTCTTTATGCAATGAATTTTGGCAAGGTCTATGTTGCTTCAGTAGCTCTGTATGCATCTTATACAGGAGTCTTGAATGCCCTTATGGAAGCAGATGCTTATCCTGGTCCCTCTGTTATCTTGGCTTATTTACCTAAGCAAGATGAAATGAATTTAGATCCTATCTTTACCTTGAAGGAAACTAAAATTTCTGTTGATAATGGTGCTTGGCCACTTTATCGTTGGAATCCTGCTCTAGAGTCGAAAGGGAAAGATCCATTTTCATTAGATTCTCAACGTATCAAAAAGGAACTTGAAAAATTTTTAGAACGTGAAAACCATTTCTCTCAAATCGTCGCTACTCATCCTGATATTTCTGAAGTACTCGTTAGCTCATTAGAAAAGGTAAATAAAAATAGATAAAAGTATATATACATATATATATACATTTACTTATATATGCCTATGTAGGACGTTGGAAAGAGACATAGAGAATTAAAAAATAAGGCTCGTGAAGATTATGCTAACTTGTTATCTGGTATGAGTGTAGCTAATGGCCCTCCCTTAACTATCTTGTTTGGTTCTGATAATGGTAATGCAGAAGCTGTAGCCAAGAGAATAGCTCATCGTGCAAAATCTAGAGGATTGAAGGTCAAATGGATGGCCATGGATGACTATGAGGATGTAAATGAGTTGGGTAATGAAACAAATCTAGTTATTATTTGTTCTACCGCTGGACAAGGTGAACTACCATCAAATGGTCGTGAATTTTGGAAGTCTCTTAATTCGCTCATCATGGGTGATGTTGACTTTTCTCAATTAAATTATGCTGTCTTTGGTTTAGGTGACAGTCACTACTGGCCTCGTGAGGAAGATGCTATGTTTTATAATAAACCTGGTAAACTGTTGGATGCTAAGCTTGAGTCTTTAGGTGCCAATCGTCTAGTTGAGTTGGGTTTAGGTGATGATCAAGATGAAGATGGGTTTGAAACTGGATTCACTGCTTGGCAACCTGAATTTTGGAAGTCATTAGGTATTAAGGATAATCTAGCTGGAGAAGAGGATGAGCCAAAGATGACAGATGATCAAATGAAACTTGATTCCAACTTTCTTCGTGGCACAATTGCTCAAGATCTTTTAGACGAATCTACAGGTGCCATTAGTAGTGAAACGAACGGTAAATTACTCAAGTTTCACGGTTCCTATGGACAAGATGATCGAGATATTAGAGAAGAACGTAAAAAGATGGGACTAGAGAAGGCATATAGCTTTATGATTCGTGTTCGTATGCCTGGTGGTGTTGCTACACCTCAACAATGGCTTATGATGGATAAATTAGCGGATACATATGCAAATGGAGCAATCAAGCTCACCACGCGTCAAGCCTTTCAACTTCATGGTGTCCTTAAAAGGAACCTTCGCACAACCATTCGTAGTATTAATCATAGTCTTCTTTCTACTTTGGCTGCATGTGGTGATGTGAATCGTAATATCATGATTACACCTATCACTGAAATTCCTGAAATTCATGATCAAGTGCAAGACTTTGGTAATCGTATTATGTCATCTTTAGCCCCCAAGACAAATGCTTATCATGAGATTTGGTTAGCTGACGAACAAGTTGCAGGTAATGCTGTTCAAGACTTTGAGCCCATCTATGGTCCTACCTATTTGCCTCGTAAATTTAAGATTGTCATTGCAGTGCCTCCCAACAATGATGTCGATATCTTTGCTCATGATTTAGGTTATATTGCTATTGTAAATGAAAGGAAAGAGGTAGTAGGCTATAACGTCACGATAGGTGGAGGGATGGGCATGACTCATGGTAACAAAAAGACCTATCCTCGTCCTGCAAGCCTGATTGGGTATATTCCTGCTGATTTGGGAGTTATCTGTGCTGAAGCAGTAGTGACGACACAAAGAGATTACGGCGATCGTACAAATCGCAAACATGCTCGTTTCAAATATACAATCGATACATATGGTTTAGATTTTATCAAGAATGAAATAGAAACCCGTATGGGTGCTCAATTTGAAGACCCTAAACCGTTTGAATTCAAGGACAATGCAGACCGATATGGGTGGACAAAAGGTGTAGATGATAAATGGCATTTTTGTATGTTTATTGAAAATGGTAAAGTGAAGGACTGGCCTGATTTCCAACCTAAATCTGGACTTTGTCAGCTTGCTCAATGGCATAAAGGTGAATTTCGACTGACACCTAACCAACATCTTATCATTGCCAATGTTCCTGAAGCTGATCTTGACAAGACAAAGGCTTTACTTGCAAAATACAAGATGGATAATCTAGCCTTTACAGGCCTTCGATTGAATGCGATGGCCTGTGTTGCTTTACCGACATGTGGGCTTGCGATGGCTGAATCAGAACGCTATTTGCCTACTTTGGTCAAACACCTTGAAAACGCAATCGAAGCAGCTGGTCTAAAAGAAGATGCAATTACGATTCGTATGACTGGCTGTCCTAATGGTTGTGCACGTCCTTATCTTGCCGAAATTGCTTTTGTTGGTAAGGCACCAAATACATACAATGTTTATTTGGGTGGTGGTCATGGAGGTGAACGTCTTAACAAGTTATACAAAGAAAGTTTACGTGAAGAAGAGATTTTAAAAGAATTGAATCCTATTATCAAACGCTATGCACTAGAACGTCATGATGGTGAGCCCTTTGGTGATTTTGTGATTCGTGCAGGCTATGTTCATCAGACGATAACAGGTACTGACTTTCATGAAAATTTAAAGCTTTGAAAATATCATAAGAAAAAAAAAAAAAAAAGAAAAGAAAAGAAAAAACTGACTTGCTAGATAATTATTATAAACACATTTGTATAATAAAAATATTATGTTGTAGTACCCCCCATCATTCACAAGAAGTGTTTGTATACAACATATACTAAGTGCAATATTGAATGGTTCATTATATGTTTTACAGGAATTCTATTTATCCATTATGTATGAGTGACAATCATATTATTAAGGAGAGTAAAGTATTGTGTGTTCATTTTGCATCCTTTTAATTACTTTTTGATATATAATACGAAGCTATTTTATTTTTATTTCATTTTATTTTATTTTTTATTACAATTAACAATGTCTGACAATAAGAAATTACCCAACATGAACATTCATCCATTTAATGTCATGCAAGAAAACAACACCATTGATGAATCTAAATTGTCAGAACGACAACCACTCATATATCCACCACCAACTGTATGGACAGAATTCAACGCCAAATACAAATACGGCAAACAGATTTTAGCTACCATAGGTAGTTTGGGTATCTTTTCGATCATGTTTATTGTCTTGGGTGTCTTGGGCGTATACAAAAATCAAAGATATCGAAATGAAATAGGAATTTCATCTATTGGCAAGACAAGATATCAAGGCAAAAGTTCAGGTTCTTGGGAGACAAACACAAAGATGGGTGAAGGTGATGGCACATATTATGGTAAAAAAAAAAATGAATAAATGTAATACAACATAAATTAATTCATTTTAATTTTTTTTTTTTTTAATTAAGATCCTGGTGTAGGATTAACTGCATGTGGAACTATATTTACAGCAGAAGATAATATAGTTGCTATGGTATTTATTTATTTTTTTAAATAACAAATATTCATATATGAATATATTTATATGTGTATATATATTTTTTAATTATAGAATGAATATGATTTTGGTAACTATGCAAACCCTAATAATAGCCCAGTTTGTGGTGTGTGCATTATAGTAACAGGTCCTAAAGGAAGTCAAAAAGCTCAAATTCAGGATATTGTAAAGTTTATTATTATTGTTTTTTTTTTTAAAAAAAAAAGAAAGGAAGAAATAATACCAGTTATTTTAATGATTAATTCTTGATTTACAGTGTCCTGCTACAGGCTGTGGAAGAGGTTCAGTAGATTTAACCCCTGCTGTATTTAATCAAATTGGTGATCTATCAGCAGGAAGAATTCCAATTAGTTGGAAACAATGTTAGAAGGGCCAAATCATTTATATATGAATGGGTTGTAAACGTTTATTTTAATATCTAATAATTAAATACCTATATATCATGTAGCAGAATACTATATATGTATATGTATATAGATTGCTATTATCATATTATATAAGAAAGAATAAAATAAAATATATATTTATAGATAGGTGTATAAAATTAAACATGTATAAATAGATACATATACGCAATAATAGAAGCCATAAATAGACTTAATATTACATGTATGTATTTGATTACCTTGTCAGCTTAAAAGATCAGAAGAAAAAAATCCTCCCCCCAAAGATAGTCTGGTAAAGATTTAAAAGCAAAAATATAGAGTCGAGTTTGGTTTAGATGTGATCATATTACTCGACAATTGAAATACGCATTGTAATAGTTTAGATAATAATACCGATAATTGACTGAGCATACATGGCAATAGAGTAGGCATGTTTCAAATCTAAAAAGTTAAAAAAAAAAATTATCAAATTGCTCTTCAATGCTTACTCTCAACACTGTAAATGTCTCTTATTGTATTCGCATAAATTTATTCTTATTCAAGTATGAGAATACTTAGTTCTATTGGGCAAACATTTCAGTAATATGAAGTAAAACAATTTTTTGATAAACTTCTCCTGTACAAGATAACCTAGTTAACAACTACATAATCTTACCTAAGAGTCAACTTTATTTTTATTTTATTTTTTTTATTTAGTTGTCTCACAGATTAGAGTTACATCAAAAAACCCTCCCCCAACGAAATACTACATTAAGAATACAAGAGAAGATGGTATTTAAAAGCCCAAATCATATAATATTTGTTGGTCACAAGGAAGATGATCTTATGTAGTCGTGTTTAGTTCATGACTGTAGTTTAGATTCCGGCATTAGGAAATTATACAGAATGTTTTTTTTTTTTTTTTTTTTTTTTTTTGTGAGAAATCCCCAACCACCTTAAATACTTCAAATAAAGAACAGGAAGAAAGTATAATATAGATTTATTAATAAATGAGGCTAATTATAAATAATTATAGTCTACTTATTTTTATTTTGTTAAATATAAGTTAAACTTTTTTTTCTTTTTTTTGGGGGGGGCAAGAAGCAATAGACTGAAAAGTAACTTTGTGGCCCTGGAAAAGATATTTGGAGCAATATACGAATCCAGCATTGAGTATTGTGTACACCTAATACTTTATTATTTGTAGACCGGGAATGAAAGACATAAAGAATTTTTAAAGGATTGGATGGAGGGGGGAATGATGAGGAAGACGTATAAAGTAGATAGAGACCTGACAAAGAGTTTTGGGAATGATACTCGTTGACTTTAAAAGAGATGATGATTTCCTAATAATAATGTTTTTTTCCCCTTTTAGGACATTGAATCTTTGATAAGTATAATAGTTAATCATTTTGCGAGATATAGGTTGTAAGTCGATAACAGAATGATATAGACATGTAGAAGGAATTTGAACTAGTAATGTAGTAACAAACTGGTAGATATCTATGCTATTATGATGTAAAACTACAGGTGTATGATGACAATTAAGAAATGGACCATCAAAAATAACTGAATAGTGGAAAGTGTATATGAGAGGGAAGTATATGTATATATTATTCAGAATAATGTATAGGGTGACATATGATTGGAAGCTATTTGATCGCAAATTTCTTGCAACTGCTGTGAATAATAATAATAAAAAAAAACTATTATTTCTGTTAGAGATGCTGATCTCAAATAGTATCTCAAGCTATATTCAACCGTAGAGATCAAGCACCGTCTTATTTGTTAAAATATAACATCAAAGTATCATGATCAATACATGACAACTCTCCTTATTTTGAAGATAAAGAAGAGTCTGAAGAGCAAGAACGGATGTCTTGAGTTCTCTCCAGTTAATATATATCAAAGCTTCCTGATGATCTTAGTGTCTAATAGCTGTTCAGGATTGAATCTTAGAAAGTTACAAGTGACAAAGATTTACAATTCATTTCTCTCGTAATTATTGTAAAAGCTTCATTATATATAAGATGTTTAGCTATATAAATGAATATAACGCAGTACATATATACCAACTACAACTCATATACAATATATCATTAATAAAACCCAATAGCCAGAACCCTATTACAAGTTTAGTTTCACAACGAACAAGAATAAATATTTATATATAATGAATGGACAAAAGCATGTAATATACACTATAATGTTTCCAATAATTCAGTTTGTATACATGAAACACATAATGTGAACAGTGACTCTAATACACTAAAAAAAATAAAAAATTCATCATTTTAAAACTGACCTGACTTCCTTTTAAATTAGTTTATCTATCTAGATCATCTCGAAATAATCCATTTCCCCCAAATTATGGTCCACATCGCTACACTTAAAACATCGACATCTCGTTATACATTTCCAAGCGTGGTAAATGCTGAGATATCAACATTATTTAACAAAGAATTGGTCCAACCTTATTCAATCTAATTTTTTTTTTAAAAAAAAAGGCTGTCAAATTCAAAGTCATGTTTTATATATATATATATACATATCTGATGCTTATGAATTAAAAATACTACTGCTGGAGTCTTGGGAAATAATCGCTATAATATGAGTAGTGTAATGATGATACTACTATATATAAAAGTTTAATTTCTTCTGTATTGGTCACAGATTATTATTTTTATTTGTGTGTTTATACTTGCTCCTTCCTGTTATTACCTGAGATGGCTAAATACAAAGACTCGTTACACAAAAAGTAACTTTTATTGATAAAGCTTGTAACAATTAGAATTTCCATTGATAGTATAATTATTATGCATGTTTTTTTAATATGTTACGCAGATATAAATGGAAATCATTTTATACAAATATGCAAGTAAATAACATGACATATAGAAATAAAGTCTTAATTTATAACTACATTGATATGAAAACTACCAATTGATTCTATAAAAAAAAAGTATATTTATTAGTCGATAAGTAAGAATACGTTCTATTATCTAAGCATGTCTTTTTTTTTTCTCTTTTTTTTTTATCTTTTTTAAAAACCAATAGTAACAAAGCTTCATAATTATACATAAACAATATTTTAGACTATGCTAATTTATTATAAATGCATATCAGGAACTTTATTATTCATGTCTTGTCTTTTATAATCTCGAGGGAGGGGGAGGGAAAGGTAGAAGCAAAGAAAATGAAGTCTTTTATAATATTGAATCATGAACAATAGAGTTAGACTAAGCAAGATAATGCCTTTTTTCTTTCTTTCTTTCTTTCATTCATTCATAAATGACTGATAAACAATAAGAGAAAAAAGAATATTTTTTTTCGAATATTACGAAACAGATATTAATAAAATAAGCTTTTAATGATGATGAAGTGTAATTTCTTTCTTATATTTTAAAAAGTATAGAAATGACATATGTTGTATAAAAGGAGAACAGCATATATTAGGTAATAGTAATATTTTCTATAATTAATAATCACACATTAAATTTTAACTCTACTTGATATTAACATAATCTTAAATACAGAGAAAAAAAGGAATAGCATTTATCTTAAATATTATAGACTTTGATTTTATTTTATTATTCATATTATATTATGCTTTTTTTTTTTATTCTTAAAATAAAATAAAAAATCTGAGTATGCTTGAATTCTATCTTCCTGAATGAACCTTGTTTAATTTCGATAAAAAAGAAAAAATGACGTTCAATTATTTCTATGTAGATGTTTATAATATATTGTACCTTTTTCATTTATATTTACACAGGTGTCATCTTTCATGAGGATATCAAAAAAGAAAAAAAAACAGAGAAAGAGAGTAAAAGATGGTATTTATTCATTATTAACCGCCGTTTGTAAATCCTAATTTTAAATTAATTATAATAGGGATAGAAGCTTATTGTGATAATATAAACTGAAACTAAAAAAAAAAAAAAAATGAAAACTGTACTTATTCAGTGCAATTAATAGTCATGATAATTATTAATAATACAGGAAAAAGAAGAAGAAGAGTTTGATTTCGATATAACAAAGAATATAAAAAAGGAGAAGAAGAAAACAAGTATTTTAATAATAATTATAATAATTCATGTTTTATAATATCAAAAAAAGGCATTTTTCCTAATCTACTGGTTCAAATGCATAAATTATATACACATCTATTTTCTGAAACCAATAATGATTGAAAGGAAATCAGGAGAGATTTTCTTTTCTTTTTTTTTTTTTTTTTTTTTTGTGGAGTAAGATTGCATTTTCGTCTTTTATCTCTTTTTTTGGGGGGAAGAATTGGAAAGGAGAAAAGAAGGCGGCTAAACTTCTTTTCCCTGTGGAATAAATGAGATAAAATAGGACATGATAATTTGAAAGACTTGTTAATATTGATACAAACAAGTTCAATTTATAATAATGTTAGTCCATAAGCCACGTGTGAAATAAAGTATTTGTATTTGTAATAGTTTAAGTATCCTTCTTGTAATGAACAAGCTTATAGAAAAATCCTTTCTAATCGTTTCCACTAATAAACGCAAAGTCCAATTATTTTTTCCTTATAGAGAATGCTGGTGTAATAATATTTATATCTATGATAAGATACAGAATAATAAAATAAAAAGAGTAATAATATATAATGAAAATCTCTTGCTTTTCACTATGATGTAGAAGACGATTTAAATATATAGTTTATATTATATTCATACCGATCTATTCCCGTCAACAAGGAAGAAAAAATAACGGCTTGTATTTTTTGGTAATACTAAACTTTATTTTATATAGAAAATTGTTCCCATCTCCCTGCTTATATGTTTCAATTTTTGTCAAAAAAAAAAAAAAAAAAAAAAAAAAAAAAAAAAAAAAAAGACGTTCCACAGGGTTATAAATATAAAAATATGCATTTCTTTTTCTCTTTTTTTATCTTTCTTTCCTTTCAAGTAATCATGTTTACTACTGCTACTTTAAATAAATTATCTTTTCATCGTTCAGCAGATAATAATAATAATACTACTATAGCATCAATTCAACAAAGAAGAGTGGCATTAAATAAACGACCTCCTCTTTTACGTTCAGCATCACCTACTTTATGTACTGGAAATAATGGTCTTCATCGTACATCATCTAATGCAAGTATAAATAGTAATTCATCAAGTAATCGTATCGTTTTATCATCATCATCATCAACTAGACATCATAAACCAAAAAAATCAGTTCGTTTCTGTGATAATGCATCTCTTGAAAGTGTTCGCTTATTCCTAAAATCACAAATGCCTAAAGCATGTCGTTCAGATCCTATCTGTCCTAAACATTATACTTATCGACTTCGACTTCCTAATTGGTCTTCAAATGGTGGTGGCCGTAGTGGTACAAATAATGGTAGAATCGGTAATGCAGTTCGTATGGAATCCATTCAACTTGATAAGCCATCTCAAAAGTCAACTGTAACTTTAATGGGCACTGTTCAAGTTGCTAACTTGGCGTTTGAGAAACATGTTCTCATACGTTATACTCTAGATGATTGGGCTACATTTCAAGAAGTGGAAGCTAATTATCAAGAACCAATTGCTCATAGTGCTGATACCTGGGATCGTTTTTGTTTCACGATTGAATTATATGCACCACAGCATCATACCCACAAGACATTATATCTAGCTGTACATTATGCAGTGGCAGGTCGTGATTTCTGGGATAATAATGATCATAAAAATTATGAAATTGATATCGTACCTGATGTTCAACTTCAATTACCTTCAAATGAGTTTACTTTTTCTTCCTCAGACGACGACGACGATGATGATGATGATGAAAATACGTTTGAAATTGATGATGAAGAAGAAGAAGCACAGCCTATGATGGTCCAAGATAAACAAGTTGATTTACTTGAAAATCAATTAAAGCCTTTATCACTTAAAGATGATGCATCAAAGACTATTTTATTTCATCCAGAACAAAGGCAACAATCCATTATAAATACAAATGGTTCACCAAATTGGCCATCATCACCTCTTTCACCAACTACTCCAGCAGATACAAGTCCATTATGGATTGGAACACTTTTACCGACCTCCTCCCCTTCTTCTACTTCTTCATCATCATCGTCTTCTTCTATAACTACCGCTGCTGGTCCTACCACTTATTTTATGAATCAAAAAAAAGAAAATACAACAAGTCATCCAGACGTCATGACTTCACCAACTAGTCATCAATTTCATGCCTTAATTTCTAATTATTGTTTCTATAGTGGTGGTCCTAATCGAACATCTGTTTATTCTTATCATTCCAGTCCTCCTCGTTGTCCGTCTTCTCCAACACCAAGAGTTGTTTTAAGCTAACTTTCTTCTTTCACTTTCTCTTTTTTTTTGACATAAACATACCCCTCCCCCACAAAAACTACTGGTTAGTCAGTAATACAATACGCTTCTTTTTAACTAATCCATTTATGTAATTCCTATCACAAGTACTTTCTATTTTGATTGTTGGTAATACAAAGGTTCATTTCACAATAATAATAATAAAAAAGTTATCATTGTTATCAAATGAATGTCGATGATAATCTCCATTCATATCTTGTGTTCCCTCTTTCTCTCTCTTCTTTTTTTTTCCCACTTAGACTATAAATAACAAAAAGGAAATCTTGATATGGAGACTGTTTTAAGATTTCTTTTTTTTTTTCATCATCGGTATTTATCGGCATTATTTGCCCATAATATTAAAATTAACGTTTTTTTTTTTTTTTTTTTTTTTAAAAAAATCACCTCATCATTTCACTCTTCTTTTTTCTTTTATATTTTTATATATTCCATCCCCTAAACTCTATTTTTTTCGGGAAGGAAAGACAACTTTATTTTATTTCTTCGTCCTCTACAGAAGGTGCAGCATTAATATTAGGTCTTGCTTCTTTAGGTAATGAGGCTATTTTCTTGGCCTGTGCTTGTTTACGACGTAATGCAGTAGGTACAAAGCCAAGTAACTCTTTTTGTAGATCACGTAGTTTGGGTTCTGCTGAAATAACAGGTGCTGGTGGTAACTTGGCTTGACTTGTTTCACTATAATGTACTGGAGCTGAATAAGTTACAGGTGGTGGTGGTGGTGGTCTTTGATCTAAAAAAAAATAAAATAAGAAATAAATAAAATTTAGTAACTTTGCTTAAACTTACATGCGGGAACTGTGGGTCTAAAATGATATGGAATAGGTGGTGGAGGTGGTGGGTGTTGTGGTCTTTGTTGTGGGTAAGGATAATACATAAGTGGCGGTGGTGGCGGTGGAATTCTTGCCATAGGAAATGGTGGAGGTCCTGGTGGAGGCGGGGGTGGCGCTCGTTGTTGTTGTTGTTGAGCTGTTTGAATCGGAGTCAATTGATCTTCAAAAGGTCTATGAGGGGGTGGTCCTGGAGGAAGAGGTATTTCATATTCATCATCTGATTCTGTCAGTACCTTTTTTGCTTCAACAGGAGTTGGCATAGGTACGTCTTCTCCTTCCTCTTCCTCCTCCTCTTCCTTCTCTTCCTTTTCCTCTTCTTCATGTTCTTGATCTGAATCGCTCTCATCACTGCTCTCATCACTGCTATCACTTGTATCTGAGTCAGTTTCAGAACTTGATGTTACATCTGATTTTTCTGTCTTTTTGGTTGAAGCTTTCTTTTTGACAGGTACAAATGCTCCACGATTTGGATCATAAACTAACTTTCTTGCTTCTCCTTCTTGTTTTTTTTCTTGTTCTTGCATACGGGCCATAAAGGCTGCTTGTGCACTAATCAATAATATATACTACTCATCAATGGACTGTAGTTTTAATTATTTCAAAATTTGATTTTACCCTGTTAATTCTGTAGCCTGAAAAAAAATAAAATAAAATTATGCATGAATATACAACGTATATCAATTCACAATTGAATATTACCTTTTTGGCTTTTTCGATTTTAATTGCATCTGCTCTTAGTGATTCTAAACGTGTTTGTCCATTTCTATCCAATTGTCCTAGTTTAGCTATCAATCTTATTTAGTAACTTTCTTTCTTCTTCTTCTTTTTCCTCCATTCTATATTGTTTCCAATAATAATAAAAAAAATTTTTTTTTTCCATTACTTACATAGATGTTCTAATCTTGCAATCTCTTGTTTGACTTTGCCTAAATCTTTCTTTGATAAAGCTAGTTCACGTGCACGTTTACGATCTTCTTTATTCTAATAAAATAAATAAGGATTATTAAATAATCCAATCATAAATAATTGATCTTACTTTTTTTAATTCTCGCTTACGCTGTTTTTTACCTGAACAAAAAAAAAAAAAAAGAAAAAAGAAAAAAAATAGGTTAGTCAATAACTCTTTTTAGTTATGAAAAATACTTTACGCAGCGCATCAGCGGGATTCATTGCTCTTTTTGATTTAGCCATTTTGTTAAAGTAATCTAATTTAGAAAAAAGGAAAAAAAAAAAATGAATAAAATAAAAAAAAAAAATAAAAAAGAGATTAGTGGCAGAAAAAAAAAGTTTCAGCCAAACAATTTTGGTTTAGCGTGTTATAAAGTTTACACTTTTTTTTTTTTTTTATTTCTTTTTCTTTTTATAAATCTATACAATTTAAATTCGATAAATAAATATTGCGATGGATATAATTATTCTATTTTATTGTTTTGAGTAGCAAATCGTTTTGTTGCTATTGACTTTAATATTTGCATTCTTGCTCTACTTAGTTCCACTTCTAACCCAGGCATTTCAAGCACCTGCACTAATTCTTTAATTTGCTTGGGACTTAAAACTCCATCAATCTCTTGTTCTAAAGTGATCAAGTCGGGCTTATTAGGTGATGTCTTGAAAGCGTTTTGAACATCGATTGGAAAATCGAGATTCGATTCTGTTTTTAAGGTTGATCCTAAAATAGCCTCCATTCGTGGATCCACAGTGTAATCTAAACTACCATAATCTATGAGCGATTGCAAATGTTCCGCACCTTTTAATGCTTTATAATGACTATAAAGTCTAAATAGGTTATAGGCTAGAGGTATATTAGGAATAAGCGGCACAACAACAAATGTACAAGCAATGGGTACCCAATAAGCTGAATACCACATATACTTTTTATGATAAGGTATCCTTGTTTTCACCAACTCTTCCAATTCCTGCTTTACTTTTATTTCCTCAAGTAGACATGACGGATATTGTACGCACACCTGAATCATTCAAAACGAGGTTCAATAAACTGACATGATTACAAAGACTCTACTTACTTTATTTAATGGTTTCTCAATATCTTCTTTAGAAGGTATACTTTTAAAGAACCACTCTTGATATTCTAGTTGATTTATGAGACTCGTACCACGTACATACAACTTTTTTTTCCAACTGTCGTGATCAGCATTATTGAGTGCTTCCCACTTACGACTCGCCCAATCCACTGCTTGTGTTAATCGTGATGTTGAAGAAGTAGTGGAATGACAATAATAGACCCAACGATTCTTTAAAACTGGAATAACGTAAAGCCTCATTTGTATACAAATAAGAAATAAAAATAAGAAATAAAATAAAAATAAAATAAAAATAAAAAAAGGGTAACAAAATGAAAATACGTAATAAAATGACGTTTAATAAAAATAATCATAATCACTATTTTTTAGTCAAAAATTTGATTGTTATTATTATCATGTCCAATAATAAATTCACACTAAATTCTTCTTATTGATTACATAGTACAGGACTCGTATATTGTTCATTTACAGTTTTTACTCTTCAAATTCAGACGATGTTTTTTTTTTTTTTTTTTTCTGCAGTACTAACTGAGCGGTAAAGAGGAGCATAGACTTTAACAAAAAAAAAAAAAAAAAAACGCCGATATTTAGTAAAAAAAATAAAAATAAAGCAAAAACCAATAAGTATGGTGTTGTACTATGAATTTAAAAGTAGTCACAATTTCTTTATTGAAAAAAAAAAATCCTTATTCGTAGCTTCCCTTTTTAAAAAAATTCACTACTTTAGATCATGTCTGAATTGACCATCAACGTTGAATTCAGGTTAGTTAAACAATATAATAGATAGTAGGGTTATATATATAAAATCCTTAACGGGGTTTTTGTTTAGTGGAGGTATGGAACTTTTGTTCCAAAATGTCAATAAACATACCATCAATTTCCCAACCACCAATAGTTCAGGACAACCCTCTAATCTTCAAGATTTGATTTTTTACATTCGTGACAATATGATGACTGAAAAGAAGGATTTATTTGTTGAAAAAGATACAGTGTAAAGTATTTTAAAAGATACAAAAAAAAAAACTTGGGGATTTAATATTGATTATATTTATATACTTTTTTTTTCTTTCTTTATATTAGTCGACCTGGTATTTTAGTATTAATTAATAACGTTGATTGGGAATTATGTGATGAATTAGAATATGAATTACAAAATAAGGATGAAATCGTCTTTATTTCAACTTTACATGGTGGATAAAATAGAAAAAAAATAAAATATTATATTTGTAATACATATTTTGCTGAAACAATTAGCAATTTTTTACTTAAAAAGTCAATAGCTTAAATTATTAAGTTGCATATTCAATTGTACTGAATTTTTAAATATTTGATGATTTGCGCATCAGCATCCATACAAGTTTTTTTTTTTTTTTTTTTGTATGGAAACAAGCTAACATAAATTGCTTTGTCTTAAAACATGAATTTTGTTATATTGACTTTATTAGTGTTTAAATAATCCAAAAAAAAATAAAATAGGGGAGGGGGAAAGTCTTTGATAATGATTTTCATTAATTAAAGCCTTTGTCTCCGATTTTTTTTTTTTTATACATATTTATTTTTATTTTTTTATTTTTTTCCTCTTCAAAGATACATAACAGCTCCCCTCCTTTTTCTTTTTCTTTTTCTTTATTTTTTTCACTGTTTCATTAACAAAATGTATAACATTAGATGTAAGTTCTACATACGGGTATTTTTTTTTATGCTTTTATTCATACATAGGATATAGCTTATTACAATCATCAGCAGGAGCAACCTCGAGCAGGCATTTTGTGTATCCGTTTATGTGAAGCGAAAGGAATTACTTTACCACAAGGAGCAGTAGTACCGACGAGAACTACAGTTCCTATAAATGAAAATAATCATAAAAAGCAGGTCTACTGGTGGTTACCCTATGTAGTTTTAGAATTTGATAAAAACGAAGTATTTATAGATGCAGTAGGTGGTGATACGAGTTGTCCTGTCTATAATTACAAAGCTAATTTGTAAATGAAATTGATAAGATATATATATAAATAGATATAGATTTTATTTAATTAACTAAATATGATTCTATGTAGTGATGTCTCTTGTTATTCAAATGTCTTTATTTCCATTTATTTACGTCAACCATACCCATCACAACATGATGCGGTAAAAAAAGCACATCATAATGATTATTTCTTGGGAAGAATTACCCTTCAACCCAATTTTAACAATCCACAAGTTATCTTGAATCAAGTCTATTCTATTATTGGTGGTACAGGTGCGATGTGGATTCAATCCTGCTATTATTATTATCCTCATCATCAAACACCACCACTAACACCACTACCACAACAACAACAACAACAACAGCCAACATCTTCCAATATCCATATTCAATCCTTTGACCTTCTTCGAGTCATCGGAAGAGGTAGCTTTGGTAAAGTATATGCAGTTCGAAAAAAGGACACAAATCGAATCTATGCAATGAAAGTTTTAAAGAAATCTCGTATTATCTCAAGATCTGAAGTCACCCATACAATGGCAGAAAAGACAGTTTTAGCTCGTGTGAAGAATCCCTTTATTGTCCCTCTAAAATTTGCTTTTCAAAGCCCTGATAAACTTTATTTAGTGTTGGCCTTTATAAATGGGGGTGAGCTTTTTCGACATCTTCAGGAACAAGGAAAATTTAATGAGGAAAAAGCGAGATTTTACACAGCTGAATTACTTTGTGCATTAGAGTGTTTACATGATTTTAATGTTATTTATCGGTAAGGATAAGAACAAGAAAGTTAGAGAGAGAGAGAGAGAGGCGAGAAAGAATGTAAAGAGTTTAATTGATACATTTTTATAATAGTGATTTAAAACCAGAAAATATTTTATTGGATTATAATGGGCATATAGCATTATGTGATTTTGGCTTATGCAAGTTAAATATGACAGATTCTAAACGAACAAATACATTTTGTGGTACTCCTGAATATCTTGCACCTGAATTACTTTTAGGTCAAGGTTATACAAAGACAGTCGATTGGTGGACATTGGGTATTTTACTTTATGAAATGTTAACAGGTCTACCGCCCTTTTATGATGAAAATACAAATGAAATGTATAGAAAAATATTACAAGAGCCATTAAGATTCCCCGATGATATGTCAGAATCAGCACAAGATCTTTTAATAAAGGTAATACATAGATATACCTATATAGGAATATGCTACATGAAGTGGTGTATACTAAATACATATATATATTTTATAATAATAGCTTTTGGCCAGAGATCCTAATCGAAGATTAGGTAATCGAGGCACAGACGAGATCAGAAATCATTCCTTCTTTAGATCAATTGATTGGGTAAAATTAATGCGAAAGGAAATACAACCCCCTTTTAAACCTACAGTGAAAAGTGCCTACGACACAACAAATTTTGATGAAGAATTTACATCAGAACAGCCTGTAGAGTCTGTTACAACAGAAGAAGATTCACACATATCAAAGACAATGCAAGAACAATTTAAAGGATTTACTTATGATCCAAATGAAGGTGCGGGTATTTCCTTGAATAATAGTTACAATTATAGTAGTGATAATCATAGTTTTATAAACCATTCAAGTTGGATTCAACAACTGCAGCCTATAACTGTATCAACTAATGCCAATAGCAATTATTCAGCGTGCTATTACCAGCAATGATACACTTGCTAGTATAATTGTATATTTTTTTTCTCTTTTTTTTTTTTTTTTTTAATTAACAACGCTGTATATAACTTAGAATTATTAAAAGTAAAAAGTAGAGAAATGAATACATATCATAATTTTCCTTCTTTTTTTTTTTCCATTTTACATAAAAAGTCGGTCATAATTAAGAATTTGATATGCACGCATTTATACTCTTTTTTTTTTTTTTTTTTTTTTTTTTTTTTTTTTTTTTTTTTTTTTTTTTTTTTTTTTTTTTTTTTACCAAGTAGCATTTTTTGACATATTTGCATGTCAACCATTATTTTGTTGTAAACATAAACAATACAGAGATCAAATTCTTCAAGTTAAAAATGCCCTTTTTTTTTCTACTATTGAACAGTCTTTATAAAATTCTTTTCTTCTTTATATATCTTTTTAACATTCTTTATTTATAATAGAATTATTTTCTTTTTTTTTTTTTTTTTTTTTTTTTTTGTTCACTTTTCCGTTCTTAATTCATATATACACTCTCGTTCTTTTTATTTTATTATTCTTTTCTGCCCAATCTTTATATCATTTTAATATCACTAATGACTTCTACAGAAAGTATTACAGAATCCATTATGACCCTCTTTTTCTCAATTACTTGTCTTGGGCTTACCTTGTTTACCTCCTCACTTTGTTTTTTCACTACCTTTCCTCTCATTTTTTTCCAAAATATAGTTTATAAACCAGTTACAAAGTTTTATATGGTCGTATTGACAGTTAAGCAAACAGTCCTTATTTCTAGTCAAGATGACAGTCCAATCCATGATAAGAAGGGACAGATGATGCTAGATTATCTTAATGCTACAAGTCATATGTACACGACATCATTATTTGAAAGCAAATATGGAAATGAGCCTTCCATTTCCTCAATAAATGTAAGCATTAAATAGTTCTCTTCCGTATATACATATTGATTATCAATAAAAAAAAAAAAAAAAACCTCTTCCTTCCTCTTTCCCTCCCTCCCTCCCTCCTCTCCTTATCTTTTTTTTTTCCCCAAAAATACTATTATATATAGTTACGTCAAATCAAAAGAGAATTAAAAGAGAAGGATGATCATTTAAGGTATTGGAAAAGAAGAGCTACTCATTTACAAGAATTGGTAAAGAAAAAGCAAAGACAAAAAACAGAGCTTGCAACTCTTTTAGATGTTCATGGTATTGAATATCCAGAAGAGCTTCATTCCTGGCATTAATAGAAGAAAAATTGTGTTTATTTTTGTTTTGTTTTGTTTTGTATAATTACATGGTTTTATTTATTTATTTATTTTTATTTATATATATATATAGTCATTAAGTGCTCTGTATATAATATAGTATCTACATTTCTCTCTCTCTCTTTCTTTCTCTTTTATTCTTCTCTATACATATGTTGCTAAAAGCACAAAGTTATTACATAAATTATTATTTTCTATATAAAAATTTTTTTTCAAGAATATTTACAGTATTTGTCATCCTATTTGATTCATTATTCCTGTTCTGTAAACCAGCTGGTAAGTATCGTAAATGATATGATTATGTTGCTCTCTAGTAAGAAGAACAAAAGAATGATTAGCTTTAATACAGTATAATAAAAGCCAACAGGACTGAATCAATAGTTCTAAAAATCGGATATTTTTATTTATTCATGTGTATCTTTATAAGGAAATTGTTGAACACGTCTGAGAGAAGATGACTAAATACTATATATTATTAAAAATGATAAAGTATTGTTGGGTATTATTTGTCAAAGTAGACCATAAGAGTTTCAGAAGAATCTAAATAGAAAAAAAAAAAACTATCATGTGTTGTTTTTTATGAACCGCTTATTTAGTCAAGAAACATATCATTCTAAGTCAGCTCATGATACTCATCTTTAGGAATACCACAAGTATCTTTTAGAATAACGTGGCTATTTAAACACACACACATACACACAAAAGTAGAATAGCAGTAATAAGAACATTAACTGAAGCTATGCATAAAATACAAAGGAGTGGTAAATAGATTAAAATATGAATAGAAAAAAAAAAAAAAAGAGAGAGAGAGAGAGATGGAGATAGGAATAAAGATAACATATATCAAGGTCGAGGACGTAAATAATAGAGCTAATAGTCCTGATATAATACATACTCAGTATGATGGACAGACATAGAATGAAAGGCTATTATTTAGTTAAGAATAATGCCATTATTTGTACATATTCTTATTGTTCAGCAGTTAGTTATACCATTCATGAATTCTATTGACTTGTTCAGATCCAAGATTGAAGTTGATAGTTTTAAGCAAAAACGATAATTTGACTAGTCGAATTACAAGTCAGTCAAACATACTAAATCTATTGAAGATTGTAGCAATTGAATTCATCACACGTATCCATTTTTCGATACATGTTTGATTATCTTGAATATTAAAAAAGGGAAAGAAAAGTAAAGAATGTTATTACCAGCATAAAAAAATTTAAAAATAAAACCTTTTTATTTTGTATCAAAGTTTGATCCGCAAAAAAAAAAAAAGGAAAAAAAAAAAGGAGACCTGCTAAAAAGAAAAACCAATAATTCTAGTCTCCTTTTTTTTTTATTGTGAATATAAAATTCCCTCTCTTTTTTTTTTTTTTTTTTTTTTTTTTTTTTTTTTTTTTTCTGTCTTACAAACATTATAAGGTTTTTTTTTCTTTTTTTTTTTTTTCTTTTTTTAATTCAAATCAAACATTTCTCCTCCTTCTGTCCCTTAATAATAAAATATTGCTACTTGCAATAAAAAATATATTTTCTTTCTTTTTCCTTTAATTTTAAATGGACCCACAAGCATGTACAATCATTTTATTAAAGCAACAACAAGAAGAAGAAGAACCTTTTCACATAATAAACGATAATAATGAAGAAGATGATACCATATCTTTACTCCAAAATATATTCAAGCATGGTAAATCAAAAAAAAAAAAAAAAAAAAAAAGATATAAAATGACTATTATTTATTAAAAATATATTTAATAGTTTATAAGGCTACTAATCTCGAATCTTGTCTTAATTATATAAAGTCATCTTCAACAACAACTTTATTATTACTTGTTGAATTAGATGAAACTCAATTACCAAACATTCAACTTGAATTACTTGCTCAGTTAATAGATAAACTATCTTCACTATCAGAACCTATACCGATTATTGGTAAAGAAAATAAATTCACATGCAAACAAACACTATATTAACAAAATATATTCAAGTTTGTTCAACGAATGATAATTCACAGTTTATGCTTAATTGTATACAAGCAGGAGCAACAGATTATATTTTACGTCCATTAAAACCTAACGTGATAAAAACTCTATTTTTGGTATTGATAATACTGTAGACAAAGTTTACCATGTATTTACTAACTTCATGTATGATTAGAACTTATTTAGACAACATAAATCATCATTTTCATATGAACAAAATCATTCTCTAAGAAGAAGGAGTAGTAGTCGTAGTCGTAGTCGTAGTCATAGTCATAGTCATAGCCATAGCCATAGTCATTATACAAATGAAACTACTACTTGTTCAATTATTTATTCTGATATACCTATTATACAACAATATTCATCCTTATCCACTCTATCGTCTTCCACTTCTTTATTAGATAGAATGAAAGCATTTGATTCAAAGAATACAAAGTATATAAATAGATATGATGTATACATGTGTATATTATATTGACATTATATATATATATGTATGTATGTATATTAGCCTTACAAAAGTAATGATAGATAACTGTATTCCATTAACATCTAATACGAATGCATTGTTACCTACATGGAAACAATTAACAAGGTATATAACTCCTCTTTATCTATTACCACCTATAGAATAATTCTTTCTCCTTATTAAATATGCTCCTTATATATGTATACATGTATACATATTGATAGTGAATCTTCTGTTAGAGAAAGCTTAGAATGTAAGATATCTAAATGGGATTTTAGTTCATTAGATCTATCACATCAAGACTTGGTTTATGTTGCTGTGATTATCATTTCTCAAGTATTTAAATTACCACAAGTAACAATTTTATTTACAGAAGGTAAATATCGATTAGTTATGAAATAGATACATTTAACAGCTTATATCTATATACACACATATATATATAAAATTATGATAGAGCAATTATATAATTTCATTATTGACCTTTCAAATATTTATTATAATGAAAATACGTATCATAATTTTGCTCATGCTGTCGATGTATTGCAATGTCTATATTATTTCTTATGTCAAATGGGTTTATTACCTTTTATTAGAGATAATGATTCCTCATCATCATCATTGCCACAAAAATCAGTATTGTCTGCTTATTATCAATCTATTTTAAGACCTCTTGATATCTTTGCTGTCTTAATAGCTGCTATTGGTCATGATACAGCGCATCCTGGTGTCAATAATACATTCCTAGTAACTATCTCAAGTATTAATATATATGTGTATATGTAAATATATTTATGTATTTACAAGTGTTTAATTATTAGATCAATACTTCGGCTCCTTTAGCTTTGTTGTATAATGATCAATCCGTATTAGAAAACTTTCATGCTATGGCTTTATTTCAGTTATTAAAGAAACATAATTTTGTGAATGATCAACAAGTTTTGATATTTGGATCAAATACAAAAGAGGAATACAATGGTATAAAATGGAATCAGATCTATTTCCTTTCTTTTTTTTTTTTTAAAAAAAATCTTTACTATCATAGAATTTAGAAAACTTGTAATTACAAGCATTTTAGCAACGGATATGGCATTACATGGTGACTATGTAAAGAAAATTAAAGAACAGAAAGAAAGATTCATAGATAATAAATGGGAATCTGCTCAATGTTTAGAAGAAAGATTGCTATTTTGCAGTGGTTTAATGAAATGTGCTGATATTAGCAATGTGGTAATTATTGTTATTTTTTTTATATACATATATTATACTTTTAGATGTGATACCATCATATTGATTTATCTCTTTTTCTTCAGGCACGTCCTTTTCAAAGAGCCTTTGAATGGGCGCAGATCTTGGTCAAAGAGTTTGTCTCTCAAGGTGATCTTGAACGTGAATTAGGCATGAATGTATCACCTATAAACGATAGGTCATTAATTGTATTAGAAGATTCACAGATTGGTTTTATTCGATATGTTGCACTTGGATTATTTGAAAGTGTGAGTGATTACATAGAAGGTAAAACTCTCTCTCTCTCTCTATACATATACATATACATGGATACCTATTTCTCATATATTTATACATGTATTAGAATTATCATTTTCTGTAGATTATATAAAGTGTAATTTATCTATTTGGGAAGATAGAAAAAAGAAGTCTCATCAAGAACATACGTCCGCAACTACAACAATAGTCAATAGTAGTAATGGAAATAGTAGTAGCGATGATATCAGTATTATTCATCAGGATACAAAAGATTATCATTCAGAAGCTGTTCATATATTGAACAAAGAATTAATACCAATACCGGAATTACCAAAAATGTCTACAACCGTAGCCATGTCAACCTTAATATCACCCTCCAATGAAGAAATTGATCATAATTGGTCAAGGACTCAAGGAAGTCCAGCTCCTATTTTTTGTCAGTGTACCATTCAATAGGATTTATTTATATTATATAAATAGATAGATAGATAGACAGACTCTCTATTTTGTATATTTGTTAGATTTTATATATTTTATCCTTTTCTCTTTTATAATATAATAATTATTCAGTATATTTATGTATACACTACTTTTTTAGCTTTAAATTCAGCACTAATAATAGTCCATTTTTGGAGTTGTTTTCTTTGTTCTTTTTTTTTTTTTTACCAATCAAGTCGAATTAAATATCAGCTTACAAATCTACCATCAAGATGGAAAAGGCAATGTTGCTGAGGAGACTCGTAACGATGTTACTAATATGGAAGTGGATGAAGCACAATTTTCTTCTTGACGGTATTACCAATTTTGATACCTATTTAGATCTTAAACCTTCTGAACGAGAGCAAAAAAAAAAAAAAAAAAAAAAAAAAAAAAAAAAAAAAAAAAAAAAAAAAAAAAAAATAAAATAAAATAAAATAAAATAAAATAAAAAAAAGCACACTTTTATTCTAAAAGAAACTCTGCCTAAAAGCATAGAAAAGAGGTATGACTAGGATCAACGTTGAAAGGAGACTGACGTAGGTTCTGAAAATAATGATGAGTCTGCAATTTTATATAAACATTAAAAGAAAGATGATGACTTGGTCAAAGAAAGGAACTCGAGTTGAGGTTGTTCAGCCAACAACAATCTTTGATGCTATTTCTTCTTGTGGCGTAATCAATATAAAAGTAAAAAGTACAAATGGATATCTTTTAAGAAATGAAAGGCAACCGGAGTTACAGCAAAAAAAAAAAAAAAAAGAAAAGAACGACGGGCATAGTTACTGGCTATTACTTTGATTTTATTGCAACTACGTTAAATATTTTGGACAAACATGAGGACTTTAAAGGACATGATAAGGGTGATGGATAATGCATCAATCTATAAAGCAAAGAATATTGAAAAAAGTATATCATATGTCGTTTACTATGGTTGCCTGTGTCTTTCACCCTATTCGCTTGAGTTTAATCCGATTGAAAAATTTTGATCCCGTTGTCAAAAGTAGATTAAAGAGATAAAAAAAAAAGACTTCTAAATAATAAAGCTCTTACAACTAGGATATTTAAGGTATGCAATAAGATCTTTTTTTTTTGTGATTTAAAAAGACTTCAATAAACAACCTCATCAAATTTGTCACACTTTGTGCCAAAAAAAAAGGTCGGTGTGTATAATGTAAATGAAGTAGGAAAACAGGGGAAGAAATTATATTTTTCAACATTTAATTTCCGAAAAAAAAAAGTATCTTTTTTGTTGGGGATAGGAAAAAAAAAAGAAGAGGAATTTATTATTATTATTATTATTATTATTTTATTCGTATGTTTATATGTATGTAGCATTAGGTATTATGTAATAAGGTATATATTTACAATCTCAGATCCTGCTGAATTTATATACAAATATGTATATTTTACACGAATGATGTATGAAACGTCCAGTCATGGTATATGAGCGATTAAGTCTATATAACTTCCTTTTTTCTTAAAAAATAAATAAATAACATTATATATTATTGTGCAGACGTAATAGTAGTTCGAGTATCAGCCTGATGAATACTTATTGAATCGAGTGGATACTGTTGATCTGGGGAACTGCAGTCCTCAATAAATAAAGGTAAATTTATGTCAGTATAAATGGAAGAAGCTGTAAAAGATCTTGTCGGTAATTTAATATGATGGTCGTGTTGAGGATTACTTTGTTTTGGTTGCGACCTGTTGCCTTCGTTATTACTTCCAATCGAATTAATAATCACACCACAATTTTCACAAAATGATTGTTCGGGAAGTCGTGTATAATCTACTCTTAAAGCTTCGACCAAAAGAGAAGATTCAATAATTTCAAAATAGGGTGTAAAAGTCTATATGACGACCATGGTTAATATATCACTTTTTTTTTTTTTTTTTTTTTTTTTTTTTTTTTTAATAATATCATATCATAAAGTATACTTTACATCAGATCGATTGCCCATAAAATTGGTCAATTTAAATAGATTCATTGTAAAATTAGTAAAAAGAGTTAGAATCAAGCAAATTAAGGATCTGCGTGCAATATATTCAATCACTTGATTTTGATGACTCATCACTTTACGAGAATTTAGGATATGAACATATAATCTATATTAAACAAAAAAAAAAAAAAGTAAGTTATATTAATTCCTTTTTTTTTGTTTTATTTTATTATATCAAAAATGTATACAAAACCTTCTAACAAACATGCCACTTAGAAATAAATTGGCTAAAATGTCACTTACAAAATTTAATATGATAACACCTTTACCCCTGAATAATAGAGTTATAAGCATAATTCGTTACTATAGCATTATTAAAAAAATGTTACCATTGAGCAAGACAATTAGATCCAAATGCAACTTGTTGTGTCATGATTTCTTGTTGTAATGAATGAAAGGCTAATTCATATGGCCAGTCAGAAAATCGTAAAGTAATTAAAGCTATACCGACTGCTTTGATCCAAACAGAATATTTATCAGATTCTATTACAATAAGTCGTTTAAACATGATTGAATAAATAAGTATATAATCTAAAAAAAAAGTTATATTTTTCTGTGTACTACATGATAATATATATATATATTACTAACTTACTTAAATGCCATAAACTGTAACCATATAAAAAAAAAAGGTTTTTAAAATTAATAAAATGTCAAATTATTATTAGAATTATTTTATTTTATTTTTCTACGTACGACACAAGTAAAGGCCAAAATGCACATGTTGTAATCTCAAATAGTGGTACAATGCCATAAATAAATCGGTGTATAAAGAGAACAATGACTTGAGTCATATTCATTAAGTGACTAACAATAAGAATTGTTATTATTTGATTGCGAAATAATATATATTCAGCTATCTATGCTTACATGAAACCACGAGTACGTTTATAGTGCCGATAACATATAAAAAAGTTATGAATACATATAATAGCGGCTACCCACATTCCAATCATATTAATACGATCTAATACTCGTTCACCATATAATGTTAACTGAACCATGTTCGTTTAAAATTTATAACAAATTATTTCTCGGAATTTAAAAATGGGTAACTATATGTTATTGCTTGCTGGCTGCGGGCTTCTACTATTAATATAATATCTGTTGCTTTTTTCTTATGATTAAGCATATACAACAACACTATTCGTCTTTTTTCTTTTTCTTTTTTTTTTTGTTTAGTGTTTTGTTAGTTTGAACTGTTTATAAATCAGGCTCTATTTATATAGTATATTTTTGGGGAGAAAAAAAAAGGAAAAAGGGAAAAAAAATAAGTGATAGAAAACAAATAGAAAATAATAATAATAAAAAAGAAAAAAAAAATAAAATAAAATACAAATGGAAAAAATAATAAAAAAAAGGGCTGTTTTTTTTTATTCCAGCGGAATATTAATTTATACATTAAAAGTAAGTGGAGAAAAAAAGGTTTTCTTTTTCCTTTTTACCCTAGTCTGTTGGTTATTGACAGGAATAGTTCAATATTTTTTATAAATTTATCCTATTGGATCTTGATAATTAATATCAATGAACGACATACAACTATCACATCTTGTGTACTTATAAAAAGCGAGACGTTAAATTTAGAGAGAATAGGCCAAATCAATGTTAATATAATATCATTCTTCTTCTTCTTCTATTAATGATCAGTAGTAAAGTCTCTATAAATTCAAAGCTTCTATCTAACTCAAGTGATTAGCCAACTGCGATTAAACCTTTTTTTTTATATTATTTTTATAAATTAAAATTTATAAAGCGACCTATGGGCACATAATATCTTTATTATATTGGATTGCCCAGGTCAGTTCAAATTATGTGAAAAAAGGTATCTAAAAACCCTCTTACGGGACAAGAGGTAAAAAGGTAAAGGAAAGGAAGAAGAGAAGGTGAGAAAGAAAGGGGAATATTGCTAACAAGTTTCAAGTTTAAAGAGACAACCAGTTGAGTAATTTCTTGCCTGGATCAAGAAGTGGAGGGGGTAGTTTATCGTGCATTAAGTAATCCATTTCCTGTAGAATGGTACGCATAACTGGCCAGCGATAGAACCAAGCAGAAACATTCTGAGAATTTCGGTGCTTATGCTGAGGGAGATGATTTAAAAGAAAGGAAAGGGGATCTGCAATGGATCGTGGCAAGCATAAACGAGTGTGCATGTGCAAGCATTCAGTAACGTGTGACCAACTAAAGTGTACATGAGGATAAAATAGGCAGGCTTTAGGTATTCCTCTGGGTAACCAACCAAGACGCTATCGAATAGTTCGACTACGCTCACTGTGTGTCATGGGTAACCAGAGTATCGGGTCAATAATCAGATTATGGCGGCAAGAGGAAAGCAAAACAGAATGTGTCTCGTCATGTAGTTGTTGAAAACTCTCTTCAAGAAATTCTTGACGATGTTTTCGAAAGGAGCGTTGGTCTAACGGAATGGAATTGGTGGCACAGAGTCTTCAGCATGGTGTTTGAATGAGTTTATACCATTGAGTGTTGAAGATAGAGGCTTGAAGCTCAGGAAGTAATTTAGCGAGCAAAGTATCATCCGGTAAATCAATAGCACGGAAAACGAATTGGGCCTGCAGACGAAGTTAGTTTTTTTCTGGACGAATCAAAATAAGTTTTTAAATATTTAGTTTACCTTTTTTGGACAGATTCAAAAAGGGAATTTAGACAAAAAAAAATTAGTTTTCAAATGATTTGGAATAAATAACACTTGTCTACCTGTAACAATCTGAATCCTAAAAAAGGAAAACTGTGTTTGATACGACGATTATTTTTTTCTTAGGTGTAAAGACATCTGGTCTTTCTTCTCCTGATCAAATTGACTTTGAAATCGTCATCATGTTGTTGGCTGCATTAGAATCTCTTTGCCATACTTTGGAGCATCGTTCGCAACATACAACGGCTACACCTTTAAACGATTTTGTGCTGATAATTTTCAAATCATCAAAGAAACAGAGGCTGTATGTTTTCGAGGTTTTAAATTCGTCAATTGTAGTAGCAATCAACTGACCTTCAGCCTCACGTTTTTTTAATAATTTATAGAGTTTGCCGACGATACCACATCTAAGTCCTTTTAACTTTACATTATCTTTACCAAACATTCCACTACCGAATACAATCAAAGGAACTTTGGTACTGTCTTGCTGATACTTGATAGGCTTCCATTTATTTTGTCTTTTTTTTTAAAAAAATAATAATAAGAAACATTTACAAACAAGAAAAAGTAAACTACTTACTTGGTGCAAACTTGATTCAAACAAGAAAAAGATATGTCCCCATTCTTCTTCTTCTTCCTCCTCTTTTCTTCTTTCTTTCTCTTCTTTTTCTTTACCCTCTTTGCCTTGTTGTATTTGCTGCCACCGTTTATTATCATGTTAGTCATTATCTCGGGAGCTCTCTGTCTCCCTTGATACAAGAAGAATTTATCTTTCGTAGTAGTGAAACCATAGAGGTTGGTTAAGATACACAGATGTTTAAACAAATATTGGACGTAGCTTTTATAAGAATTTAGGTTTGACGTTTTTGGGGTGGCAATGTCACCTTCGATTTTGTCAAACCCTTGTTCTTTTTTCAGCTTTGTCTGTTTGGAAGTATGTTTCGTAGACCCGGTGTAATGGTAGTACTCTTTTGTGGTGCAGCGCGTCAAAGCGTGCTTCTGAATACTTAAGCCACCAGCAGCAGTAAACACGGACTTTCTACCTGGATCAATGAAAACGGGTTGATATTGCTGTTGAACTTCTTGGTAGTTGAAATCTGACAACTTTATTTGGAGGCCGTTAATTAGGTCCTTTATAGTCATTTTTCTTTTGTAAAAAAGACAATCTAGATCAAAGCCATCGGATCTAATGATATTACCAAAGAGAACATCGTTATTGCCATTTGGTTCAAGATCATTACTAGTTTATGAATAGAATAGTTAGAGCATGTGTCAAAATAATTCAATCATAAGTGACATACTTTGAAAACCTTGACTTATCGAATCTTACAACACGTTGAAATATCTTAAGTTGGTCATTATAATTCCCTGGAAGTGACAGTGAAAGGAATGCACATATAGCGTTGATATTTATGGTTATAGACCGAAAGTGTATTGATGGATTGGGAAATAAACCAAATAGTTGAAACTGATTTTGATTTGTCCAAAAAAAAAAAAAAAAAACTAACTTCGTCCAAATTTAAAGTGTAAAAACTGTAGTTGGCTAACCAACAAAACATCAATAAAGCACTTGGAACGATGAGACAGCTTACTACCCTTGGTGTAAATAAAAATGGCTTTGACCACCTTCTTTCAGCTCGTTTTTACGCCCAAATAGTTCGACCACAATTAGAATATGGATTAGCAATCACAACCTTCAACCTACGAGAAATCCGCTCTCTAGAAAACTGCCAAAATCAATATATGCGTCAAATCTTCGGTGGACGACCTTTCACCTCAACCAAAGTAATGTTACACCTAACAAATTTACCTAACATGAAAGATCATATTTCAATACTCCAAGCACAATTCCTTTTTAGATCCTCCTTTCTACCAAATGATGCATTATTGACGAAATTGCTACCATACATACAGTCTCAAACTAAATCAAAATGGTCCCAATTATCCAAATCTCCTCTATGGATATCAGTTTGCAATGAAAATCTTAACACTACGTCTCATAAGGATTTTAGTAGGAAACGAAGACGATTTCTACTTGACAGCTACCACTCAAAACTACAAGAAAAACATTCGAAACTTCTATCCCATTGCCGTAACAATCCGATTGACGAACCTATTCTCACGATACCAATGACAAGAAGTGAACAGTTTCGTTGCGTGCGATGGTGACTTGGTTGGTTACCTCTTGGTAAACCCCAAGCCTGCCCCTTCCATCCAAACGAACTCTTCACACGCTCACATAGTTTTTCTTGTTTACATATGCACAACCGCCTTCAGATGCCCAAATCTATTGAAGATCCACTCTCTTATCTCTTGAATCTATTACCATCAACATTCCATACGAAGAAAGTGAAAAAATCAATTGATGCCTGGCTCATACGCTGGCCTTCCATATGTGCAATTCTGCTTGGAGATGGACTATCTAGCTTCACTCCCAAATCCCTGAACCCTCTGACCATCATCCTCTTTCAATACAACAATGATTTTCTGATAGTTAATTATCATCACTCATACATACACTTTAACATTTTCCTTTTTATATCTCAAAAGGGTTTTTCTTTCCTTTTTTTTTCATAGCGATCCGACCAGGGCAAAATAGCATATAAAAGCTATGTGCTTATTGATCATTATTTAATTTTTTTAAATAAAATTTCTTTAATCGTATTTCAACTTTATTTATACTCTACTAAACCTTCACAAATTTAAATTTAAATGCCGATCTTTTCATATTCAAGTCCAAAAAAAAAGTAATAGATTATATATGCATATATTTTCCTTTTTTTCCTTTTTTTTCCCTTGAGGATCAAAGGCTGAATCAAAATTAAACTATGTTTAGAGATTCTCGACCAATTGCACTTCGCAAATTAATGCCTTTTTCCAGTAGACATGATATAAGAAAGCAACGCACTTCAGACTCCATACATAGTGATGAAGATCCTTTATTAGATGAAGAAGCGGCTGTAAGAGAACAAAAAAAAAAAAAAATTACATATTTGTATATATATAAACGAACTCATTTAAGCTTCAATGTTGTTAGATTAACCTTATTGATTCATCTATTTCTTCACGAACTTCCATTTCTCTTACAAATTCAACCAGACGTTCACCGACATTAATCTCAAAACAGGATAAGAAACAACGACCTAGCTTTTTTTCTAGATTTAGAAAGAAGAAAGTTTATTCTCCTCGAACTATTCCACTTCAAGCAAATGGTAATTATTATTCTTTTTTTAAAAAAATATATATAATACAATAACTTTTTTTTTTTTTAATTAGACAAGGAAAAAAAGAAATATACAGCTAATGTTATTATAAATCAAAAATATAACGTTATTACGTTTTTACCTGTGGTGTTATATGAACAGGTAAAAAAAAAAAGTTAAAATCATCTAATTAGAATCATCAACTAATTTTTTTTTTTTTTTAAAAAAAAGTTTGTCATCTTCTTTAATCTCTATTTCTTATTAGTAGCTTTATCTCAGTTTGTTCCTGCCTTAAAAATAGGTTATATTCTTACTTATTTTGGTCCTTTATGCTTTGTATTATTCATTACGATTAGTAAAGAGGCGCTTGATGATTATCAACGCTATAAACGTGATAAAGAAGCAAATTCTCAGCTTTATCGTAGACTAACTCCTTCTGGCATTCAAAATATACCAAGTTCAAAAATTAGAGTAGGCGATTTGATTCATATCATGAAAGATCAAAGAGTAAATGAAAAAAAAAAGATCTATTTTTATATATAAAAGAGTTCTAATTTTTTTTAATATGCTAGGTTCCTGCAGATATGATTTTATTACGCACAACAGAGGAAAGTGGTGCAAGTTTTATTCGAACAGATCAATTGGATGGTGAAACAGATTGGAAATTACGTTTAGCTGTATCTTCTTTACAAAGATTACCTTCAGATCAAGACTTATTAAATATAAAGGGACATATCTATGCAGATGCACCTCATAAAGATATTCATAATTTTGTGGGCACCATCTCTATCAATGATGAAGTAACAGGTGCTGAGCAGATTGAACCCTTGGGTGTAGAGAATACTATGTGGACTAATACAGTTCTTGCATCTGGATCAGTCATTGGATTTGTTATTTATACAGGAAAGGATACAAGAGCTGTTATGAATACAAATCATCCAAAAACAAAAGTAGGCTTATTAGATCAAGAAATTAATCGACTTGCAAAGGTAAAAAAAAAAAAAAAAAAAAAATGATAAAGGGAGATAAATGGTTTTGTTTGTTTATTTGTTTATTTATATTATATTATATTTATCTATTAGATATTGTTTATCGTCACGCTTGGATTGTCTGTAATGATGGTCGGATTAAATGGTTTTAGAGGCGTGTGGTACATTTATGTTTTTAGATTTTTAATTTTATTTTCGTCTATTATTCCAATTGGTTTACGTGTTAATTTGGATATGGGAAAGACAGTCTATTCACATCAAATTGAACATGATAATGAAATTAATGGTACTATTGTCAGAACTAGTACTCTCCCTGAAGAGTTAGGCAGAGTGGAATATTTGCTGACGGATAAAACAGGCACCTTAACTCAAAATGACATGGAATTAAAAAAATTACATATGGGTACAATGTCTTATAGTCTTGATACAATGGATGAAATTCAGACTCATATTGTAAGTATCTTTGGATCGGCCTCTAACACACAACTACAAGATGCTGTAACAACCAATTCTGCAAATATAACGAACAAAAGTCGACGAAATATTTCTGTACGAGTGAGTGATATTGTACAAGCACTTGCTCTTTGTCACAATGTAACCCCAGTCATAAACATAGATGGAGAGATTAGCTATCAAGCCTCTAGTCCTGATGAAGTTGCTATCGTAAAGTGGACAGAACATATGGGTTTAACGTTATTTCATCGAGATGTCAATGCAATTCAATTACGCGTAGATGCGACAGAAGAACTGCTTCATTTTGATGTTTTAAATATTTTCCCATTTACAAGTGAGACAAAGCGTATGGGAATTATTGTCAAGAATCAAAAGACTCAAGAAATTACTTTTTATGAAAAGGGTGCTGATACTGTGATGTCAAAAATTGTTCAATATAATGATTGGTTGAATGAAGAATGTGATAATATGGCAAGAGAAGGTTTGCGTACGCTTGTAGTAGCCAAGAAACATCTATCAGAGGAAGCCTACCAACAGTTCACTGCTAAATACCATGAGGCAGAAGTTTCATTACATGATCGTAGTACTCTAAAACAAGCTGTGATAGAGGATGTGTTGGAATCTAATTTAGAATTACTTGGATTAACAGGAGTAGAAGATAAATTACAGGAAGGTGTTAAGAATACATTAGAGCAAATGAGAAATGCTGGCTTAAAGGTATGGATGCTAACTGGAGATAAGATTGAAACAGCTACTTGTATTGCTATATCGTCAAAATTGGTTTCACGTAATCAGAGTATTCATACTATATCAAAATGTAATATATACAAATATGTAATTTTTTTAGAAAAAAAAAGAAAGAGAGAGAGAGATAGAATGGAATCACTTTTGAAGAATACATATGTGTATTTATATGTATATGTAAAACTAACTTTTATAATGGATAGTAAAAACTGCTATGGAAGCAGCAGATGAAATCGATAGTCTAAGAACAAAAACAGATCATTGTTTAGTAATTGATGGTGGGTCTTTACAAGTCTGTCTAGATAACTTTGTAGAAGAATTTATTGAAATAGTGACTCTAATGCCTGTTGTTGTTTGCTGTCGTTGTTCTCCTACTCAAAAGGTAATACATTTTTTAATAATAATAATAAACTAACTGGGTTTATAGGCTGATATAACTCGATTAATCAAAGAATATACCAAGAAAAGAGTTCTTTGTATTGGTGATGGTGGTAATGATGTTAGTATGATTCAGGCAGCTGATGTTGGTAAATTCTATTATCCTCTCCTATTTTTTATGATACAAAAAAAAATAATAATAATTAATTTCGTTGTTTTGTATAGGTGTAGGCATTGTAGGAAAAGAAGGAAAGCAAGCTTCGTTGGCCGCCGATTTCTCAGTTACCCAGTTTAGTTATTTAACAAAACTTTTATGTAAGTATTATAGTTTTATATATATATATACAAGAGTGTAGAATATTCATGTATATTTAATATAGTATGGCATGGAAGAAATAGCTATAAGAGATCTGCCAAGTTGTCACAATTTGTTATTCATCGTGGTTTAATTATTTCTGTTATGCAGGCCGTGTTTTCTGCATTATTCTATTTTGCTCCTATTGCTTTATATCAGGGCATGTTAATTGTAGGCTATGCTACCGTTTATACAAATGCTCCAGTATTTTCATTAGTCTTGGATCAAGATGTGAGTGAAGAAATTGCATTGATGTATCCTGAACTTTATAAGGATCTAACAAAGGTAACGTGTTGTATGATGTATGTATTAAGGGATTAAAATAATAATATATCTTTCTTAGGGACGATCATTATCTTATAGAACTTTTTTTACTTGGTTATTAATCAGTGTGTATCAAGGTGGTGCAATTATGATTTTATCTATCATTTTATTTGAAGATGAATTTATTCATATTGTTGCCATCTCTTTCACTGCTTTAATTTGCAATGAATTGTTAATGGTTGCCCTAGAAATTAATACATGGTAATACGCTTAATATATATAAATATGTATATGTAGATAACTTTATTTGATTTACTTTTTGTCTTACGATTAGGCATCGTTATATGGTTTTAGCAGAGATTATTACTGTCTTAATTTATTTCGGATCCATGTGGCTATTACCCACTTATTTCGGTATGTTTCGATGTGGAAGTTCTTTTCTTTTTCTTTTTTTTTTTCTTTTTTAAAAAAAGGGTTAATGAGAAGCTTATTAATTTTAAATTATTAGATATGAAGTTCATTTTAACGGCTCGATTTGTATGGAAAGTGGCTGTTATTACAGCAGTGAGTAGTTGTCCTTTATATTTTGTAAAAATGATCAGACGAAGAATTGCACCACCAAGTTATACGAAATTAACTTGAAATATGCATTTTCAAAAAAAAAAAAAATAATAATAATAATAATAATAATAAAAATAATAATAAAATAATAAAGAAATTCATTTTATGTAAAATTAAGTCTATTTTTATTATATTTATATTTATCTATTATTCTAGTGTCGTATTATTTTCTTTTACCAAGGTAAAGTCTGTCCTTCAAAGTCATAGTATTTGCCATTATCTTTTTCAGTTAATCTATCAATAATAGCAAGCTGGCCACGAATGGAATCTTCAGTAGTAGTGGGAGCAGCATGTCCACCCATGTCGGTTTGACACCAACCAGGATGGGAAGCATAGACAACGAAGTTTTCTTTACCTAATTTATTAGCCATCATTTTGGTAAGCATATTAGAGGCAGCCTTAGAGATACAATAAGCAGGACTGAAACCCCAACCATCAGCATCTTGCATACTAGCAACAGAACCAAGAATAGAAGACATATTAAGAATCTTCTTAACTTTATCTTGACCACGCTTACGCATAATAGGAACAAATGCTTTTGTGACTTCATTCATACCAACAACATTTGTTTCAAAGACCTTGGTAAGCTCTTCTTTAGAACTATATAAAAGAGAATTAATGGATTATTATATTTATATATATATATATATATAAGGGAGAGGAGGGGAGGAACTTACGAGGTTTCAAAATCAAGCTTCATGGTACCACAGATACCAGCATTATTGATCAAGACATCAACACCTTCTGGCGCCTTGGATTCGATTTCTTCAGCAGCAGCCTACAACAACGTGTTATGACTCTATTTTTTTCTCTCACTCACTCACTTACTCACTTATATATATATATATATGTATATATATATATCTATATAATTACCTTAATTGACTCTTCGGAGTTGGTATCCAATTGAACTAAAAAGACATTTTTTTTATTTGACAAGGCTTCAAGTCCAGTAGAAGCAGTAGGATTACGAGCACAAGCGAAAACAGTATCACCTTTAGCAGCGATTTGCTTTACAAATTCGAGACCAAGACCACGCGAAGCGCCAGTAACAATAAATGTTTGAACCATGTTGTTAAATTAATAAATAATAGTGAAAAAAAAACGAAAAAGAAAAAGAGAGAAAGATAAAAAAAAAAAGTTTATTTTATAACAGCTTGAAAAAAAATAAAGTGCTGTTTCGGAAAAAACTTTTAAGCAAGAAAAAAAGAAAAGGGGAAGGGGTAGCGGATTCAAATTGTATCAACAAACTTGTCTTTTTTTCATTGAAAAATAAGATGAAAATGAATTTAAGAGCGTCCATAGTTTAACTTTGATTATCTTTAAATATGTCAGCATAGTATTTTTTTTATCAATTATTGTTGATGAAAAAATAAACTTGCAAGTCTTTTATTTTATTATTTCTACGATAGTATTTTTTTTTTTTTTTTTTTTTTTATATTTGAATTGTTGAGTGATTAGTTAAATCAATATATACAAAACTACTGAAATACTATATGATACATTGAGCAACTCATATATTAATATATGTAAATAGTCAGTGTGTTATTATTGCATTAGGCATTATGTTCATATTATATATCTATATGTTTATACTTTATAACATATGTTAAATACAGAGGTCTATAACTAACTTCAAGAGTTTTTATACAAATAAAGATTTAACTACATAATAACATCAAATTGCTAATTATATAGCATAGATAAAGATTATTTATTGATAAACACCAATGATGATTAAACTTTTTTCTTTTCAAGAATAGAAGAGACTAGAAAAAAAAATATTATTTTATATACACAAACTGCTCTTTGATAATAAATCACTACAAAAAAAAAAGTATTTTATAATCGTTTTATCATATTTTGAAGCTACTTTAATTGTGGCAATTGCTTCGATAACTGTTTATAGATATCTTCAGTACAATTATCTAAAATCAACTCTTCAATAGATTTGTTGATGACTATTTGGCTGTTGACCGTTAGATTACTATAACCTACTAAATGCAATGTCTTCAAATTTGTACAGTATTCTAACACATCATTTAACAAATAAATCTGTTGCATATTTCGAATTTCCAAATAGTTCCTTATTTGATTACCATATCTTTTGATATATGTCTGCATAGTCTTTTCTGGCTGTTCACAAACAAAATAGAGTGTTGCAGTAATAGTGCTTTGCTTCCTTTCAAGTTTTATAATGGGCTCTTTATGATACTCATTCATATTGCAATCATCTAAATAAAAACAATCTTCAAAACTCAGTATAAACCTCATATCACAGTACTTGTTGATAAGTTGATGTAATAGGTCATCCACATTAGAGATAGCTAGAATCATGTCAAATGAATGCATCTTATCCAAATAATGAATGAACTTGGATGTCTGGCATAACTCAAAAGAACCATAAAGATACATGAACCAGTTTGTCATGTTGTCGCACCCCGTGTTAAGTGTTAAGTGAGAAAGGTGAGGAAACTTGTGCATCAAGTAATCAATCGCATTATTATCTATAATCACTGTATTTACTTTGAGAGATCTTACGTAAGGACATGATCGAACCAAGGACAAGTTGTGAGGTTTACTCTCGAAAATATTCTTTTCTGTATATGTACCAAAGGAGACAGATGAGACGGTAGGCGATAGTTCCTTCATTTTCTGTTCTAATTCTACCAAGTTCCCCGTTTGTGTCATTTGATGTAAATCAAGTCTTTTTAGAGACACAAATTGACCAAGGTTTTGCCAAATAACGGTATAGTAGCGCTCTTCTGCTAGTTTATGATAATCTAGATTTACCACAAGTTCTTCTAATGTATCCTTAAAGGCCATCACCGAATCGACAAAGGCCATCTCTTCTTCAAATCCTGATAAAGGTAATTGAACCTCCTTAAGACGTTTCCAGTGTCCTAATAACTTACGACCTCTTGCAAGGCTCATCCAGTAATATCTGTCTGGGAACCTCATTTCAACTTTTTGAACATTAGGACATAGTTCTCCTAAATTATCAAAGATACGATATATGTCCCATTCCTCAAATGACACTAAAGGATAGCCTCTTCTCTTAAATACTTGATTTGAGAATATAATTTGTTTGACAAGCAATCCAAAGCTAGGTAAGGTGTTAAGTGTGTGAAGGAAACGAAGGGCTTTAGGAAGACTAGTTAAAAAGATTTGAGAATAGAGGGTATAATGGGCAGCTCGTGACCAAGATTTACAGACAAGCTGGCAGTGATGAAGATCTATATTTGAGAAATTATAAGAAAATATAAGCTGTAAAATTTCTATTGAAAGATCGGACCATGGTGATGATCGAGTCATGATCAGAATGTTCAGGGGAAAAAAAAAAATGAAAGCTATTAAAGATTAATAAACCTTAAAAAAAAATCTGTAATTCAATTTTTTTTTTTTTTTTTTGTTGTTGTTGCTTATCAGATGTAACCAAACAAATCAAATCAAATGATATTATTTTAATCTAGACATTCAATTAAGGAGACAAATAAAATTGCTTTATTTATATTAGTGAAACTTCAAGTCACTTAAACATAGCAAATATGAAGAGAAATAAACTGTGACGATTTGCACTCAAATCATAAATTTATGGTATATAGTAATGTAGTACGTTTATAAGAGTTCTCGTACATTTTATTTTTTATTTGTCTTTGATAGAACCGTTAAACAACGATTTAATGGGTATATGATTTTTTTTTCATGATTACATTATAGCAGTATTATTATTCTGCAGTAGTAAACTCTCTTCTTTCTTTCTTCTGTCTAACAAATAGTTCTCAAACAACAATGCATTCTTTGTATTGCACTTGTACATAATATCAAAAAAATCACCTGCAACTGGTATGAGCCCTATTATAAAATCAAACGCAATATTAAACATCATTATTGACACTAAGCTATTAGGCAGATTTGCTGTCATACACATATGAACGAGTTGAAGGGCTAATAAAAAGCTAATAAAGTCACCTATAATAGGAATAAAGCCTATGAAACAAGTTGTCAATTTACCTTATTCCAATTCTTTCTTTTCTCTCTCTCTCTCCTTCTTTTTTTTTAATATTATTATTACCTATGAGCCCATCAAAACCTATTTGGAAGCAACAACAAGAAAATCCTCGATCCAGGAAATGAGCCCTTGATTTAACTCGGTTTAGTAATTTTTGCTCTTCTTTTGACAAAATTGAAGGTTGTGATTTTTTCATACGCCACCAGTGTTTATTAGTTTGTTGTTGTTCATTATGCTGTGATACTGTTGATTGTTGTAAATTATGTGTAAAAGTCTTAATTGCATGCTTAGCTAATGATTCTTTATTCATTATTTGTATGCAAAAAGAAAAAAATTAAAAAGAAAAATAAAATAAAATAAAATAAAATAAAATAAAATAAAAAATTATTAATTTGAAACACAACAGTTTATACACAATACACTTGAGCTTGAACCAAAAATCCTTTTTCAGCATTTGAAGCTACAAACGGTGGAGAAATAACGAATTCTACTATTTTTCCATCTTGTTTATTCACATTTGTCATAATGTGCTTATTAAATGCTGTTCCTTCCTCAATATTTAATATAGTCACATCTTCACATTTCAATAGTACATTTAACTCCAGTGCCTTATCCACAATCTCTTCCCATTTTTCTTTCACTTTTTTATTTACAAGATAGATTTTTTCAACATCTTTTAACACTTCCTCGATCAATTTGGCTCGCGCAATGTTTGTTTCCTGACTTGACTCTTTTACCATAAATCCTACTAGATGTTGCTTGATACGTGTTGCCCAAGCTACGTTACGCCTTTCGATCCATTTGTGGACTTTTTCAAAGGCATTGTTCAAAGGTATACCAGGATGTATCGGTGTCTTCCAGATTTTATTTACAATTTTATCCACCAACCACTTTTCTGTTTTCCATATTATTTCTTTTGATCCAAACATCTGCTCAAGTTCCTTTTTATCAATCACCTCTAACGACACACACAATTCATGAATGTCAGACAATACATCTCGAACACTAGTTTCTAATGATGAAGCATCTTTTCCATTCAGTTGAACATGAGATTGAAATCGACTTTCCATACGTTGATATTCTATCTCCTTGGCCTCTAACTGATCCACTAGGGCTTTATGAGCATGTTCGAGGCGTTCAAGTCGTAATGTCATCTCTTGTTGTTCTTCCTGAATTCGTTGCTTTTCTTGTTCAAAAATATATTGACGTTCAGGTTTTTCGAGTGTCTCATACCTATATTGGAGTTCATCCGTTTCATTTTGAATGCGTTCAACAATATCTTTGTGAATTGTGAGTGATTCACTCAGGGAGTCGATGATAAGATCCTTATCTGATTCAGATTCACCCTTGAGTTCGATGGGTTTAAAAGCATCCATTGTGTCATCATGTTCCATTGTTACTTCTAACATGATTAAAGAAAGAAAGAAAGAAAGAAAGAAAGAAAGAAAAAGAAAAACCAAAAAAAACAAACAAAAAAAAAAAGGGAAGGGTGTTATATATGCATTGTTAATAAGTAAAAAGGAGGAGAATTGAAAAAAAAAAAAAAAAAAGAGTCATAAACATAAAAATATTTAATACTATTAAACAAATGAGTAGTTCGTTGCCTTACATATCAAATAGAGCTTTTGTACTAAAGGATCATTTGCACTGTATAAGTCAAGGCTTGTTTATTGTATATAAATAGAATTTCATATATTATGGACTTTGAATTTAATTTATTAAATATTCGTTGTTCCTTTTTTTTTTTTTTTAAAAAAATCTTTATTCTATAATTATTAACAATGACAAAATGGAAATGGAGTTTATTAACTCTTTTATTCCTTTTCTTTAAATGTATATTTTGTAATGAACAAGTAGAGGGCTTTTTTAGTTCAAGTGGTCATACAAATAACTGGGCAGTACTGGTAGGTTTATATAACGGTTTTTTTTTTTTTTTTTTTTTTTTGTTATTATTGTTAATTCATTACTCTCTTTTTTTATATACGTATAGGTATGCACATCTCGTTTCTGGTTTAATTATCGTCATGTAGCAAACACATTATCTATATATCGCACAGTAAAACGACTTGGCATTCCAGATTCTAATATCATTCTCATGTTAGCTGACGACGTCTCTTGTAATCCACGTAATAAATATCCAGCAACTGTTTACAATAATGCAAACCGTTTATTGGATTTATATGGTGATAACGTAGAAGTAGACTATAGAGGATACGAAGTAACAGTAGAGAACTTTATTCGTATGCTAACAGGTAATTAAAGCATGTACAATTTTTTTTTTTTTTTTTTTTTTTTTTTTTTTTTTTTTTTTTTTGCATAAAATACTTATTCTTATTTTATGGCAGGTCGAGTATCGCCTGATACACCTCGTTCAAAAAGATTATTATCAGATGATCGATCAAACATTCTTGTATACATGACAGGCCATGGAGGTGATGAATTCCTTAAATTTCAAGATGCAGAGGAGATTAGTGCATATGATTTAGCAGATGCCTTTAAACAAATGTCTGAAAAGAAACGATACAATGAAATTCTTTTTATGATCGATACTTGTCAAGCCAACACAATGTATAGTAAAATCAACTCAACTAATATTCTAGCTACCGGAAGTAGTCGTCTAGATGAAAGTTCTTATTCTGTAAGAATATGAATGATGATAAAAGTAATTATTTTAGCTTATATATATATATTTTTTTTTATAACTAGCATCACACAGATTATGATATTGGCGTTGCCGTTATTGATAGTTTTACGTATTATAACTTGGAATTTCTTGAAAACATTGATATGACAAGTAACAAGACGTTACAAGAGTTGGTATGAAGACAGAGAGGGAAGGCTTTATAAATACAGTTTTATTAATAACTCATTCTTTGTAGTTTAATACATATGATCCTGTCAAGATTGCCTCTCATCCTGGTATTCGTTCTGACTTATTCAATCGTCCTCTTGATAAAGTCAAAGTAACTGATTTTTTTGGAAATGTTCAAAATGTAGAATTAACAAGAAGTCGATACCCTCTTATTGAAGAAGAAACAGTTATTGAAGAAGAACATAAGCATAGAATGCCTTATAGGAATCATTCAGGAGACCAGCATCTTTATCATTCATTTTTAGTTGAGAGATCCAATTTTAATAATTGGACACCATTTATTTTTGGTATATTATCAACAGTCATGATTGGATATATTGCAATGAAAACAGTTATGTAATAAAACAGTGTATTTTAAATAATTTGATATTAGTATCATTTTATTATAGACCTGGATAGATTCCTATATTCAACATACAATCTATTTTTATTTGTAATATATATACATATGCATATATATATGTACGTATATATATAAGTAAGGAAATAGAGTGTGTTGAGCATACCTCCTATCTTTATAGTTGTGAATTTTGGCAAAACGAGTATCTATTTATTAGATACATATAACACTGCTAGCAAAAAAAAATAAGTATTTGGCTTTGATACATTATTGTATTCATTTGGATGCTGATACATATTTACAGAATCAGGTTGTACAGTCTTTAATTGGTGGCAATGATGATAGCTATTATTGTTGCTTACAACTGTAGTAGATTCATTTTCACTATAAGGCACTGTCGAGATAGGTGTATGATGATTACTATGAATAGATGCCTGGTAATGATTATTATTTGTTTGAGGTAATGCAGGCATCTCTAAATAATTCTCTTCTATCTTGTCCCAATCCACTTCATCCATTATATTATTATTATTATTATTATCATTATTAATGTCATGGCTATCATTCTCATCGTAGTATTGATTTTTATTATTATTGGTAGTCGTCTTCTTCTTTTTACGTACATAAAATACAATTACTGCAGCAGCGATTATAGCCTATAAAATAAATAAGTGTTGATGAATTATATAGAATTAAGCCTTCATATATATATAAATATCCTTACCACAGCAACACAGGCGACAGCTATACCAACTGTTGCTCCTGTACTCAGTGCCTTTGATGTTGAATCACTATCATTATTTTCTTCGTCGGTAGATTTGGTACCATTTTCGATGTCATATGCGTTATTATTATTACTATTATTATCATTATCATTGCCATTATTATTATTTAATCGAAGAAGATTAAATTATTTCATACAAGTGATGGAGTATGGATCCGATATATATTCAATAGTAATATAAAATAATTTTACATGCATGTCGACTTTTAACTAGGATGACATTCGCAGGAGCAGCCAGCAATTGTTTGATATGTCTATTTTTCTTTTTACTATTCAAAATTGTCAAGTCAAGCATATTGATAATACTATCGAAGACTCTATGAGTGTCTGATAAATACAAGTCACCACCGAAGCAATTTATTTTGTTCAATAATAACCCACATTCTATATATTACAAAAGAGCAATTAAAAACTGTACAGAAGAAGGGAATACTATTCTATACGCTAAACTAGAAATTATAAAAAGCGTTAATAAAATCCCCTGAAGACTATTCGCTTGATTCATTAAAATATTCTATAAATCTTAAATAGAATAAATCTGTTGTTATTTTTTGAACAATAATTTTTTTTTAGCGCATTTTTTTTTTTATGTACACAATTTTATTCAAAGAAGCACAAAGCTAAATAGGTCGGTCATTGTATATGCAGCTATTCTACTGTCAATTTATCATTTTCTGAAAATAGCGGTTAAACTCAGTATTTTAATTATTGGATTCAAGGAAAAAAAAAATTGATTTTGTCTCATACTTTAGTTCCTGAGATAATTACATTAATTAACGCTTGTATATTATTTCTCCACTTCAAGCTTAATAACGCAGTTTAAAATATTACAAGTTCATTAAAGATGCATATTCCAGATGTAAGCTATATTTCTTTCTTTTCTGAAGGCTTAAATTTGAAAAGACACAAGTATTTTAACAATATAAATCCATAACTAACATTTATACTGAAAGCAGCTTTTCAAGGGGGAAAAAAAAAAGTGGAGAAATCTAATTCCGGAATGAACACAGCCAATTACTATCTGCTTTATGAAACGAGTCACTACCTGTAAGAAAAAAAAAAAGGTTTCAACTATAAAATCCTTTTTTTTTTTTTTAATATATACAATAATCTCAAGTCTCTCTTTCTCTCCTTCTCTTACAATGAGTAACTTTGTTAATAGCTTATTGTATGGATTTACCAACATCCTTTCTATTGGTCCTGAGATACCTAGAGACGGACAAGAAGATTGTTGTTCAAAAGGTGAAGGATGTTGTAAAGCTCAATCTACTCCCGAAAAAGAACCAACTACTTCAGAACACAACTGCTCATGTGAACAAAAAGAACCTGTTGTTATTGATCATCTTAAAATTATTTTTTCATCTCTGACTGGCACAGCAAAGTCAATGGCTACTGATCTTCAGGCTAAAATTAATAGTTCATCGCTTACAGTGAAAAAATTGGAAGTATTAGACGTTACAGAATATGATAATGATTATTTACTGCAGGAAACGGCAGTATGTATATTTATTTTATCAACTTACAATGTAGAAGGACCTTTGGATTGGTATGACATTGTTATATAAATATATGTATATTTATATGTATTATAGAATTTAAAAAAAAATATATATTCAACTTTTTTTTTCTTTTTTAGGTTTACTAATTGGCTTCATGATCTTCGTTATGACTTCCGAGTTGATCGTGATGCATTGAAGAAATTAAGATATGCAGTTTGTGGATTGGGTGATTCAGCTTATGGAGAGGAATTTATTGTAGCAGCTGCCAATATTGATAAATGGCTAGGACGCTTAGGTGCTACTCGTATTTATCCTTTAGGTGAATGTGATAAAAATGCAGATCAAAAGGGGCAATTTGAGGATTGGGCAAATGGATTTATTACTGAGCTCCAAGATCAACATACGTTGGAATTTGCACCTGCTCAAGATATTGCATTTCAATCAGAAGATGAAAATGAAGACGATAATGAAGAATCTTCAGAAACAACTCCTACTATTGATGAAGAAGGATCTGGCGATGAAATGATAGATCTTGAAGATATGGGTAAAATGGCATCTAAAATTAAAGCTGCTAAAGAACGTCGTGCTGAAGAAGAGCAAGAATTTGAAAACAGTAAAGCAAACCCAAAACGAACTATTGGCGAAACTACAGTCACTAAAACAGAGCCTCGTGCTATGGTTTCACCTATGATTCATAAAAACTTGACAAAGCAAGGCTATAAAGTGGTTGGTACCCACTCTGGTGTCAAGATCTGTCGTTGGACAAAATCTGCCTTAAGAGGTCGCGGCTTTTGTTATAAACGGGCATTTTATGGGATCCAAAGCCATCTTTGTATGGAAACTACACCTTCCTTGGCCTGTGCTAATAAATGTGTCTTTTGTTGGAGACATCATACTAATCCAGTCGGTACTACCTGGCGTTGGCAAGTGGATGACCCTCAGTTTATCTTGGATGGCGCACTTGAAAATCATTACAAGATGATCAAGCAACTCAAAGGTGTACCTGGTGTCAAAGCAGACCGTTTCCAAGAGGCCTTTCGAGTACGTCATTGTGCACTTTCGCTCGTTGGAGAACCCATCTTCTATCCTTATATCAATGAGTTTGTTAACAAGTTACATGAAAAGAACATTTCTTCCTTCTTGGTAACCAATGCTCAATTCCCAGATAAAATTAGAGATATGGTCCCCGTCACACAGCTTTATGTCAGTGTAGATGCAGCAACCAAGGATTCTCTTAAAAAGCTAGATCGTCCCCTTTTTAGAGATTTTTGGGAGCGTTTCTTGAACTGTTTAGAGCAATTATCACTTAAAGGGCAACGTACAGTCTATCGTATGACACTTGTGAAAGGATATAATACAGCTGAGATTGACGGTTATATTGAATTAATACATCGTGGAAAGCCCTCATTTATTGAAGTCAAGGGTGTCACTTATTGTGGTTATAGTGGTGCAAGTGACTTGACAATGGCTAATGTTCCATTTCATGTAGAAGTGATTGACTTTTGTCGACAGGTAGTTGCTCGTTTAGGTGGAGAGTATGAGATTGCAGCAGAGCATGCACATTCATGTTCCATCTTGATTGCACGCAAGGAATTCAAGATTAATGGAGAATGGTATACGCATATTGATTATGATAAATTCTTTGAGCTTGTAAAGAGCGGTAAGCCATTTACGAGCATGGATTATATAGCCAAGACACCAGAATGGGCTGTCTTTGGACATGAAGCAGGAGGATTTGATCCAACTGAAACACGACATTACCGAAAGAATCGAAAGATAGTTACACCACCTGTTATTCCTACTACTACTACTACTACTGATGTCGTCTTATAAAATTGAGACAACTTTATGTACAATATACATATATATGAAAATCAATAAAATAAAAATAATTTTATTTATTTATTTAATCTTTTTGAATGATTACTTCCATGATGCCATTGTAAAAGTAGGGAACTAGTAAACGTCTTTTTACAGATCTTACAGACTTTCTTACCAAGACCTATTTTCCTCTTTGGCTGCATTTCCATCTTGTGAATCAAGACCATATGCTTATTAAAGTAATATGTATTTTTGAATAATCGACTGCATGTTCTACAAGTGTTTTTGATGTTTTGCTTTAATTCATTCTTTGTCAATAATCGTCCCTTGTTGCCAATTTGGAAACGTTCTCTAGCAGGCAAATCATGACCATCGTCTACTTTGAAATTCAAAAGCTCTTGCTTCTTTCTCTTTTCATAAAATTTATTATTTCGTGAACGATCATCGTCTTGATTCTTTCTCAATCGTGTAGTGCGTGTTGATCTATCCAAGAGTGCTGGCCTAGGTATCCTCAAGGAACTTTCAAGATGGTTTGTTTTATTTTTTTCAAGTTGAATCTTTACGGATTTTTCTTTCTCAATCAAGTCATTACCAATGTATCTAAGACTATCATTTCTATAATTATAAAAACGACGCGGATAAATGTTGTTAAGAATCGATGATTGAATCGTATTTTCTCTGTTATTATTGTTGCGAATGAGCGAAAGTGCCTGTTCTTTATCGTCTTTAGGTAATGGTATATAGACGATAACCTGTTGTTTTCTCCTCATTTTCTTTGGAAATAAATAATAATAATAATAATAATAATAAAAAAATAGAACAATAATGCAATTTTATTTAAAGATGAAAAAAAAAAAAAGTCTTCAGGGTTATATACTTGAAGAAAAATAACATATAAAAGAAATCGGTTTTTATTATTATTATTATTTATTAAAACATCTTCCTCACTATTTGGTATAAGGGAGAAGGGGGTATAATCTGTTATAAATAAGATAGAAAATAAAGCGGGTATATATATGCATGTATTTTAACGTTGAACTACCATACTACTTTTAGTGTTATATGACATTGACTTTTGCTTTGATCTCATCACAATCACTTTATATTTATCAGAGATATGTGTTGTTGATTTTCTTTTAGCAGCAGAAGAAGAGAACAAAGGTGGAGCAATATCTAAGAAAGTCTCTTGTTGTTGATTCTCAAAACTACTGTTATTTAAAGAAGATTGATTTATATCATGCGTAATAGTAGTCGTAGTCGTAGTCGTAGTAGTAGTAGTAGAGGTATAATGATGGCAAGGGACTGTATGATGACCTAAAACGACTTGCCACATTAAAGTTGGTTTCCAATGTTCTAATAGATCATGACTATGTTCAATTAAAAGAGTCCAGATACGAGTCCATTTAGTGTTAGCTTCCATAAAGATACTTATGAGACGCTTTTTATTTGTAACTGAAATTGTTTCTGTTTCCAAAAGACCTGTACAGACAGGGGCCAAGACGACTGCTAATGCTTCAGGATTCATCATATTAATATTTGAATGAAGTTGTATTTTAGAGGATAATAAAATGATATAATGAATGAGATGAAAGTGTTCGATAGGTAATTGTTGTATTAAAGTAGCAAACAAGTTAATGATAGAAGAAGACGTGATTATCTTTTTAGTAGCTTCATCTATGAGTCAGTTATCAAGAGTGAGTGAGTCATGATAAATAAAGATTAAATTCTTATTTACCATAAAGTTGAATAAAGTTATCATGAAAAGACGTTGGTATAACTGGTTCAGGTAATTGTCTTAAATATCTCTTTACAACGCCTGTAATAGCATGAATATCGTTATTTTTTAAATCTAAATATTTTCCATAGGTAGGCGGTTTATCAAAATCTAATGAGAGTTTATCTATTTCAGGCGCTGCACCTGAGAGTCGAAAGATACCCTCTATTAATAAGCCTAAAGAAACCTGCATGAGTCTCTCTCTCTTTATTCAGCGTATATTATATTATATTATATCAAACTAATCCTAACCTCGCTTCATGATCTCTTCAAAGCATCTATAAACAGGTTCTGGTACGGTTAATCCATCTTTACTTGTTGAACCACAAAGACTTGCTGATTTTAGAGGTGCACCAAAAATACCTTTTGTAATAAAGGCAGAAGAATTAGATGCTAAAAGGAAAAATTAAGATTAAAAAAAATTGAATTTATTTATTTATTTACTTGCTTGTACTTACAGCCTCGTTTATTATGATAGGAACCAAATAAATGCTTTTTACTATTAAGTAAAAAGGTCAACAAACTATTTTGTTGCTTTTTATTAATTTCTGTATCATCGTATATCATAATATATTTTTATTTTATTTTATTTTTTTTATTATTTTTTATTTATTTATTTAATTATTTATTTAATTATTTATTTATTTATTTATTTATTTATTTATTTATTTATTTATTTATTTATTTTTTATTACATTAAGAGGAAAGAAAAAGAATATTGAATTAAGCTTAGTCTTGAAAAATTATTCGAAAAAAAAAAACGGGATTTTAAAAAACCTTTTCGTACATAAATCTATGACTATATGTCAATATTTATATGTCTTGACAAAAAAAAAAAAAAAAAAAAAAAAAAAAAAAAAAAAAAAAAAAAAAAAAAATTGTAGTTTTCTTTATATTCTTTTAAAACTATTATTTTACCTTTATTGTTTGTATAACACTCGGAGTTAAATTGTATGCATACATACCTTACTAAGATACGCAATATAATAAAGTTCAACTATTTTGCGAAAAAGTTAAAACTTATCTGACTATTCATACTACTAGAAAGACAATGTACACCAAACGGAAAAATTATTTCAAAAAAAAAAAAAAAAAAAAAAAATAGCACTACTTCAGCATACGTAAAATGCGCAAATTTATTAGATAGGTTTACAATCAAGACAATCTTCAAACTTCGAAGCAGAATAATTACAAACTCTTCGAAGATCACTGTACAATATTCTATTGCAAGCGTCTGCAATTCTTGAAGTCAATGTTTCTTTCAAAAGCTGCTCTCTTTTAAGTTTGCTTTTACAAGCCGACCAAAATTGTTCGATGGGGTTAAGCTCAGGCGAATAAGGGGGCAGATATACGCACTTATAGTCTTGGCTCACAATAAGGTTTTGAATGTCTTGAAGTTTTATGAATAGGAACATTGTCCATAATCAGATAATGACCTTTAAATTCCTCATGACGGTCTATTACATCCAAAACACTACTGATAAAATTGAAGTAATGCCTAGTAACTGTATCACTGTTACTGCTCACTTCTGAAGTGAATCCTCCTACTACTTTTCTTTTTTTTTTTTGTTGGAGGCAACGCTCGTGGTCTTCTTACACTGATGTTCACGACACCAGAAGGAGAAATTGCACCTAAAATGGTAGTTGTCTTTACTCTCGTTTTGGGTACTTTCACAATCGCACGATCGCCTTCTTTTGACCAAGAAAAATTTCTTCTAAGATTGATATGGAAAGCAACTTCATCAATAAACACACAGTTGCTGGTGAAGTCTATATTTGTTTCCACCCATTTTTTTTACCCACTGATAACGCTCTTCAATTTTTTTTCAGGGCTGTTTCTCTCTGTGGATTGTAAACGTGCTTGCTTGAATGTAATTTTACATTTCTCCTTTACAAATTTGTTAAAGCCGCTTTTACTGATATTGAGTTTGCCAAACCTATCAGTCAATACATTAAGTATATCGTCTAATGTAACAGAATCGGTGTTTTTGTCTGCCCATTCAATCATGAGGTCCTTATGCTCCTCAGTTAAGATTGGTAGTCTACCCACTGGTCTTCCGCTGCTCGTAGCTCTTAAAATGTACTCCTGAGGAGTTTTGTTGTTCTTGGTCATCCAGCCTTATGCTGTGCGGACATTGGTATTAAGATACATCGCAGAAGCACGAACGCTCATTCCTTTTTTCCTCGACAAGATAAAAGAGCTTCCCTTTCTCTGCATTCTTATAGTGTTTACATGCTTTTGTTCCCTTATTCGTTTGCTTTTTGTCGTTTGGTGGTATTTCAGTTTTCGTTTTTTATTTCTTTCACGAGAGGATTTCAATTGTGCATAACGGTCGTAATCAGTTACGCTTTCGACTGGATACATCTCGTTATCAACCTCCCATTGGAAACTCTGTCACTTCGTTTCCCTCAATGTCATGTCGATTTCCCAAACCCTCTTCAAAAATAATGTTTACCTTCTTAAATATTGTAAAGAAAGAGAGCTAATCTTTTTCAATTATGTACGCTATTTTTTTTTTTTTTTTTTTTTTTTTTTTTTTGAAAAAAATGCGCGAATAATTTTTCTGTTAAATGTATTCCCACAAAATTTAATTAATTTTGCAAAATAAACAAAAATTCAACTAGTAACTGTTTAATGATTAAAAATAATAAGCAAATCTGTAAAAGATATACCGTCAATTAATGTGATATGTTGTTTTTTTTTCCCAATGAGACAGACATACACTGTTTTAAAAACACTGTGGAGCTTCCTCAAAATTATGAGGATTCACCCCAAGGACAGAGCAGAAATGAGTTGCTGCATATGAGATAGATATAGAGAAAAGAAGAAGAAGAAGAAAAAAAAGCAATACCTTTCACAAGTGAAAAACAAAAAGAAAAATGGAAAAAGAGCATGCTAAGTTCATAATCAAGGGCTTTTTCCAGAAACAACTATTAGCTACAAACTCTGACTTAATATATATAGTTTATATATGAAGAGTTTGAGGGTTTAAGTCAAAGCAAGCCCATATTCTACAAGTTCAGGAAAGAAATTTATAATCTTAGTTTTATAAGTGTTCACTGTATTACTACAAAGCTTAATGGTGGAAACACTTTGATTAAAGAAAGGGGATGGGTGTTCAAATATAGGAGTTCAAATGTTGAATATCTTAAAAAAAAAAAAGAAGGGGGGGGGGGTAATAGTTCATGTCTTCGAAAGAAGATAAGCAAGAGTTGTTTCTATTTTAATAAGACATAGGTTTCATTAAGCGCATCAAAACGATTTAATTTGACTAAAGTTGTATATTTAACTGATGTTAACAAGCTATAGATTTGACCATTTTTAAAGTAACAAGGATATATAAACACATATTGTATCACTGTATACATGTTGTATATGTCAGGAACTAAGCTTTAATTTGTACTACTCTTGATTATTTTCATAGTGTTGTAACTCATCAATGATATTTGAATTTATGTATGAATGCTCTTTAGTAATAAAATGAAAGGATAGTTTGACTTGGTTTTAGTTAACTATCTTTACATAGTTAGTATTTGATGAATTACTTATAGTCTTTATTAATGACTTTTATTAAATTGACGAATGTTTATAAGAATTGTTAAAGAAGTAGTCTGCGATAGGATGTGAAACAGAAAAGTGTTAGTGAACGACCGAATAAAATATGTTATAAATAACAAAGACTTATATGTTTTGATATTATTCGATGAGGTAGATTAGAAGAGTTTTAAGAGAGTCTAGTTAGAATCTCTTGAGTAATAATTTTATAGTGATCTACTTGTTTAACTAAGAAACATCAGCTTGTGACACACATTTTCTTTTATACGTTTCTATTAGATATGTATTTTCTACACCTCAGAATAAAGAGAGCTCTATATTTGTCTGCACGATACAAAATAGTACAAAGAATATACATAATGGTATATATCTCTATTGGTTACAATTAGCATTTATTCTACTGTTCCATTTCCCTTTATTTATTCAATAAATAAATAAATTGTTTACTGAGAAAAGATAATCTGATATCACAGCTTACAGCAAATAATTTATAATTTGATAAGAGGCAGCTAATAATTATAATAACTCAAGAGATAAATGAATACTTTTTTTTTTATTTCAACCACAACTGTAGATAAAAAAAATGGTATACATATATACAAGCTACTCTCAGATATTTCTATAGTATTACTCGTTAATATCCTTTTATATACTCAAAGAATAGAGTCAATTATACTAAAGTCTATAAATAGACAAAATTTATATAAGCAGCAACAGAGAAAGGGGAGGGTAAAAAAGCTCCGTTTAAATAAATAAATAAATAAAAAAGGAGAAGCTGTAATACATTCAATATGTATGATGATCTAAACAGAGTCATATCGTTAAATGTCCACTAATAGAAAACAATAAGCCACAATAAAGCACTGTGCCTATTATAAACCTTTTGTTTATGTGAAAAAAAAAATATAAATAGGGAAAGAAAAATAGATTTTTTTTTGTTTTTCTTTTTTTCTTTTTCTTTTCCTTTGTGAAAGTGATATTCTGAGGATATTGGTCACTATAAACAATAAATCCTCAGTGATATTCTCCGGATAATGGTCACTCTAAATAATAAATCCCCCCAGTGAAGTTATTTGGATGTATTGGTCACTTAAAATATTCAAATCCCGAGAGTATCTTTCATTTGGAGTTTTCACGTCTCTCGTTAAATATGACTGTGAAAGGAAGCACATAATGATCAACCTCCACGATTGGTTGCTTCTGGAAACAGTAGTCTTTTTTTTATTATTATATAAAAGAAAGCTACTGGCTAATTGGATCATTACCCCTTTTTTATTATTAATTATAAATGAAAAAAAAAAAGCTTTTATGTAATAACGACTTGTAGAAGATGATTCAATACTAACTAAATAAGCTTTGTAGTTGTTTATGTACTGTATTGATTATCATCTTTATAAGTTGGTGTAAAGACTAGCAGAAAGAGTGCAAACAGGATTGTTAAATTAGTAATATCAATGAGAATAAAAGAAAAAACAGGTTTTGGCTGTAATATTCTAATTAAAAATAGCAATGTAGACCCATCGTGATAATAGGCATTTTGCAGTATGAAGTTGTTACTAAAACAAAACAAAAGAATCAAACCCAGTGACTGAAAGTCATATCATATTACCAACAAGGCCTTTAAAAGGCACACTGGATAATTTTACCGTTAAAAAAAAATAAAATAAAGGGATTAATTAAAAAGAGTATATCGAATTCATTTATCAAAGGTCAAGTCATATAGAAAACAAGTTTTTCTTTATAACAATAAAATTTAAACAAGTATTATATATACATCATGATATACAAGTCTAATACTTGATTTTTTTTTTTTTTTTTTTTTGCTTTAATTGACATTTTATATAATAAAGTTTAAAAAGCAAGAAGAAGGAGATGCAGAAAAGAATACTATTCATTCTCATCCTAAAGGGAATGAGATAGTCTTGCTATGAAATAGTCTATAGATCAAGTAAGTTAATTTCGGTATGCACAGAGATAAATTTCCTTCAAATTAAATACATTTTTTAATTGTCTTGGTTATAACTGATAAAAATAGATGGTAAATGTTATAAATATAGAAAAATAAAGAAGATACATGCATGTACAGTTTAAATGATTAAAAAGAAAAGCGAGGCTTTATAATAAATAATATTTTATTTTAGTAAAAAAGAAAAAATAAAAAGGCGATCTTTATTATTATATTCAGATCTATTTCTACGCAGCTCACATATGTTTACCAGTTGTCATAATTGAAAATAGAACATTATCTGTTGTATGTACATAAATAATAGAACTCTAGTGAATGAAAAACGAATATTCTCATGTATTTAATTACCACCAATGACTCCTTTGGCGCTAACTAAGAAAGGCTTTTAGTCTCTTTTTTTTGGTTTTTGGTAATATATCCTTTTTAATAAGCATTTGAGCTAACAGAATATTTATTCACTATGATTAAAGAAAGATAAATGTGTCATATATTAGTAGTTTATCATAATGTTGATAGACTAGTAAGATGAATAGTATACAAATATATATGACAGAAGCTTTATCAGACTATATGTTAATAAAGAAGTAAGTCTCTTTTTTTTTCGAAAATAGAATAGAATAAATGAAAGATTACTTTCACAATTCTACACTTTTGCTTTTAACTTTTACAAATACATATACTAATATATGAGCATGCTTCATCACTTATTGTAGCGTATTTAGAAATGATTTATAAATCCAATTCTAATATGTCAAAAAAGGAGAAGAACCAATTCGTAAATTACATGTAATTATTAAATACTACTATACAATCAATTATGCCCGAGTAAAATGATAAAAATCACCAAAAGAAAAAAAAATACTAATTATACCTGTATAAGGTACTCTTACGATATGTAAAGCTCTATTTTATACATGAAAATAAAAAATAAAATAAAATAAAATAAAATAAAATAAAATAATAACACATAAATGCAATAAATAAAGAGTAATGAAGCTCATAAAAAAAAGTAGAAATATATACATATATATATATATATATAGGTATATAGGTATATAGGTATACATGTATGTGTATATATCTCCCTTCGTATTTCCTATTTATAGACAGTGATATCTATTGTTACTACTTGGTTCATAAGATGATAATCCAACAACAGAATCCCATATATTTTTTGATACAAAACAAGAAGCATTGCTGTTATTATTATTATTATATGAACGAGTAGAAGATAATCCTTTTTTCGTTATCGAATCAATCGAAGAGCAATCAAAAGTAGACTTTATCTGATTGTCATCTTCTGGATGATGAATAAAGGTACATCGAACTCCATAAGAGCAAGTGCCATATTCATGATAAGCTCTACATGTCTTTGTCTTGTATTGATTTGAACGTAAAATAGGTCGCAATTCTTCTTGTCCGTGAGCATAACGACATCTTTTACCATATCTTGGATATGTCATGTAAATAAAAAAAATTTATATCAGTTGTATATGAAAAAAAAACATACCTACAAAATCCCATTTCATTCCAATTTCTACAATTCTCAGTTTTATAAAGTATTATGTCTTTGTAACTAATATCAGAGCACATTGTATCTATTACAGAAGAAGAAGAAGAAGAGAGAAAAGGTTTGATATAATATGACACATAAGAAAAGAAAGAAAGAAAGAAAGAAAGAAATAATAATATAATATAATACGCCAACTTGTATTTTATCATTATATTATGCAAAAAAAAAAAAAAAAAAAAAAAAAAAATGCATGTATAAACTCTCTCGATAGAAGAAGTGATATATAATTATATGTATATAAATATAGATAGATAGATATAACAAAAAAGCATTATAGTTGATCACATGATTGATCGCCTCGAATACATATAAACCAGTTATTATCGCCAATTATGCATTTTTTGTCTGTCTCTAACCGACAGGGACAATCTAAAGGATGTTTGACACAAGTTTCCGTATCTTTGCACAAATAATAATTGCATGGTATATCTATTCAATGTAATAAAAAATTAAGTTTCTTTATATAGCTCTCATTTATGTGTGTGTTTACTTACTTGACCGACGATCGCTTTTACTCAATTGAACAATGGGCGTACCAAAGGGAATAGATGAGGTCGTTGTTGCTTCTTTGATTGAATCTTTACTACCACTTCCAAATAAGATGGATTTAAAATCAAACGCATTCACATGGTAATTTAGTAAGTAAAAGAACAAAACTAAAAGTAAGTTTAATTGTTTCATCGAATGATTGTAAAGTTAAATTAAATTAAAAAAAAAAAAAAATACATTTAGCCATTTATTTTATTTTATTTATTTTATTTTATTCTTATTTTACAACAGCCAATCATTCTAATTTATTTAGTGCTTTTGCTTCTCTTCTTCTTTTTTTTATTACGGCGTGTTTTACTCATGGATGGAGCGGGCTGAATTAAAGGAGAGGTTGTGGTTATTTCTTTTTGATTTACATCACTACTACTGCCTACGTTTTCATTCTCTTCATTATCCTTTTTGTCTTGGTCTTCATTAGTTTGATTCTCATTCTTTTTTTCTTCTTCAGAGACTATCTTTGTTTGAATAGCATCTGTCTTTACAACTTGCTTTTTATTTGTTTCTTCTTCATTTAATAAACTAGTAGGTTCTTCTGTTAACGCAGGCTTAGGAGGTATCACATTGATCTTGGGTGTTATAGTTCCGCTGTTTGCAGTACCCACAGTTGTAGCACTGCCTTCATGAGGATCTTCCAGTTGCTTTTGCCACATTTCATAATAGATTCCTTTGTTCTCACCATTTAATGCTCCGTGAATTAATGACTCATGGTTTCCAGACTCCATCACTTGTCCATCTTTGATCACTAGAATCAAATCAGCATTGACAATAGTTGATAATCGATGCGCAATCACAAGTGTTGTACGACCCTTTGTCATTTCTGATAGGGCCTCTTGAATATGACGTTCGGTCGTGGTATCTAATGCACTGGTTGCCTCATCCAACAGAATAATAGCAGGATCCTTGAGAATAGTACGAGCAATGGCAACACGCTGCTTTTCACCACCACTTAAACGCAAACCACGTTCACCTACTTTTGTATCATAGCCTTCAGGGAAGGACAAGATTTTATCATGAATTTGAGCAGCCTTAGCAGCACGATAGACATCCTCATCTGAGGCATCTACACGTCCATATCGGATATTATACATGATGGTATCGTTGAATAAAACTGTGTCTTGAGGGACAACACCGATGTTTTGTCGCAACGATGTTTGTTTCACAGATGCAATGTCTTGTCCATCAATATAAACATGACCTGAAGCTGGATCATAAAATCGGAATAAGAGACGAAGGATAGTAGATTTACCACCGCCTGAGGGCCCTACTAAGGCTACCGTTTTACCCTGTGGGATTTCAAAGGAAATACTATTCAAGGCAGTTTGTCGGTTATCATAAGAAAAGGAAACATGATCAAATTTGACATGACCTTCAGTAACCACCAGTTCACCCGCATCAGGTGCATCCTTGACTGTTTCTTCAACTTCAAATAAATCAAACATCTTTTCCATATCAATAAAGTTTTGTTGAATCATACGATAATAGGTACCAAAGAAATGCAAGGGAGTGTAAAGTTGCATCATATAAACATTGAATGAGACAAAGTCACCAGGTGTGAGACGATCTTGATAGACCTCCCAGGCAAACAAGAGCGAACCTGCCAAGAGACCGGCAGTGATGACTGCATTTTGAGTCAAGTTGAGAACATTAAGTGAGACAGAGTTGATGTAGTCCGCCTTTTGGTAGGCCACGATTGCATTATCGTACCGTGTCACTTCAAATTCTTCAGCATTGTAGTATTTGACAGTTTCAAAATTCAAAAGAGAGTCAACCGCCTTCGTTCGTGCAAAGTTATCTAATTCAATCATTTTACGTCTGAATCCAGTACGCCATTCTGTCATTCGAATGGTTGTGTAGAGATAGAGGGACATTGTGACAAAGACGATAAAACCAAATGGAATTGAAAACTGAATTGAGAATACAACGACAGCAATTAAAATGTTTGCTAAAGCAGGAAACATTTGAAAGACGATTTGAGATAAGAGCTGAACAACACTGTTAGTGCCACGATCAACAACTCGTAATACTTCACCCGTTTTACGGTTAATATGATAATGCAATGACAAATTATGGAGATGAGCAAATAATTTTACAGATATTTCACGTGTTGTAAATTGACCTACAGGAATCCATAACCAATTCTGAACAGCCTGTACGAGGCCTGATCCACCCTGCAGGAATTTGAACCCGACATAGGCACACACAGCAAGCCATGCAAATGTTTCAGGTTCCCTACTGAATTGATCAACGACACGACCAATTTGCAAGGGGGTCCAAACATTGACCATCAATCCAAATAACATAAGCAAGAAACAGATGACGACAAGGTTTTGTAATTTATAATTTTTGTGGGGCCAAATAAAGGGCATGACTTTTTTTAGCTTCTTCCAAAAGTTCTGGAAGCCACCCTTCTTATCCTTTTTAGTATCAATAGCCTCCTCCTCTTGATGTGTCGTACCATAATTAGCAGTAGAATTAAGCAATGGTGAAGACTCTGTTGCATTTCTCGATTTAATATGACGCTTTGTATTTATCAATTGAATCATCGATAATACAGCAATTGATACTTCCAATATATAACGAATGCAAAAAATAGCAAATGCAAAGCGATCATACATAGTAAATACAGTACCTATTTTTTTTTAAAGGTAAAATAAGTATAAATGCCTTTTTTTTTTGATATAACAACTTTACCTGGTTTTGGTTTATAAATATTCATAAGCCATAACCAACCTATTATAGTCTCACCAAAGGCAGCTAATAAAAAGAAAAGATATTGTGACCAATACCATCTTGAAAACTTATGGGATTCATCCATTAAGCAAATTAAGGCAATAACCCATGTAAGCCAAGCTATTCCAATATAATACATGGTCATTATTGCCAAATGACTGTCAAACATAACTCTGGCTAATAATATAAAACTATCCAACAAGAAAGAGAAAGTGACAGTTGCTGCTAAATAAACAATTAATTTTGACAGAGGTGAAAGTCGTTCTTGGGGTGAAACAAGAGGACTAAAGACGTCTTTCCATGGTACATGCCTTGTTTGGTTGTATCTGAATAAACCAATAACGCTGACAAATATAAAAAGAATAGTTGGTATGAAAAATAAAGGCGTTTGCGTTGTCCATATGTTGTCATAAAATAAATGCCTTTCTTTTAATATTGACATCATAATTTATTATACACACATAGACGAATTCGTTGAATGAAGTGTATTTTTTTTTTTTTTTTATCTCGAGGGCAATAGACAAAAAAAAAAAAAAAAAAAAGAAAATATGTATATATTTGTAAACATAATTTAGAGATTAAGAAAAAAAAAAAAAAAAAAAAAACGACATCATAATAAGTCACATTAGCCAATCAAACACGCTCCCCTGTTTGTTGACAATATCTTAATATTTGTAATTTTTTTTTTCTTTTTTTCTTTTTTTTTTTTGCGAAATAGAGTATATTAAATAATGCATTCTGTTGGTTAATAATAGTTTGTGCAATATCAATAAAATAGTAGATTAGAGGGTAGACTTTGACGCGTTTAAAATATTGAATCTAAAAAAAAAAAGAAAAACAAAACATAACTTACTCTATTTTGCTTATATATGTAAATATATACATATTTTTTAGCTCGATTTTATGTTTATTGGTTACTTCTTATTGTTTAATCTATTTCATAATAATGTTAAAATAAATTAACTTGCTACTATTCAAGGTTATTAAAAGCCTTTATATAAAATGGATGCATGATTTTCATAAAAGTCTACTGAAATGGCAAAACTATATTTAAACACAGATTATTATTTTTTTTTTATATGTATATAAAAAAAAAAAAAAAAAAAAAAAAAAAAAAAAAAAAAGTCATCTCGTGTAAACATATTTTTATTTTGTAAAGAAAAGAGAAAAAAAAACACGATTGATGGGTAAAAAAGACAATATATTACCGTCACCTGTAAACGGTTTGGAATTTGATTTTGAAGGTCCTTCTGCTGATTATCTGATTGATACATCACACATTTATAACCGAACCATATATCAAGATGTACATGCCAAAAAGGAAGAATGGACCGTGATTGATAAAAGGTATGTATAATTATTTTGCATCGCATTATATATACATATATAAACTTATATTTACTTTTTAGTGAAGCAAAAGATTATTTTCCAATAAGAGAACAGGATATTCAATTAACAATAGGCATACAAGAGAAAAAGACAACTGTTGATCTACCTACATTTGGATCGATTAAACTTGATGATCATTTTGAATATAAAAGAGGATTTGTACTTAATACAGGTGGAAGTATATGGGGCTTAGGATTTGTACCTAAATCACCTCCTTCTCCTCAAGAAGACACAAAGGTACAGTATTTGGCAGTTGGAGGATACAAAGGAAATTCAGAAGAACACATAGAGATGAATCAGAGACAGCCTACGGGAGCATATAAAAACTGCATTCAAATTTGGAGAATGATATTAAGTGTGGAAGTACCTTATGAAGAACCCGTTTTAGATTTATGTTTACTGCATGATTATGGGGTTATTTTTGATCTAAGATGGTGTCCATATGGTGTCTATGAAGATAATGTAAGTATAAACAAAGAATAAAATATCGTAATACATCTATGCATATACAGTGTAATTTATTTGGTTTTATTAGGATATCTGTAAGAATGATAATGAATTACCTAAATTAGGCATACTGTCTTTTGCATGTGGCGATGGTACAATACGTACTATAATTGTTCCTCATCCCAAGGCAATTAGAAAGCACATGTGTCCAGATACAAACGATAAAGAGACTATTTATTGTAAGTTTACTTTCCTTAATTTATGTTTATACCATGACTCATGTTCTGTTATAGTACGTATCAATAAATCAAGATGTACTTTCTCTATCGCAACATCGAGAGCATTAACAATCGCTTGGGGAGGTCATGATAAATTAGCTGCTGGTCATACTCTAGGCAATTTAACAATATGGGATATGGAGTCAGCATTACAAAATTCAGAAGAAGTGAATGAGACTGCATTGAGAAATCAACATTTAATATTCAGTTGTATACCTTTAGATTCCGCAATACGTGCACTTTCTTGGAATGGACATTATTATCCTGAAAAAATAGTGATGACTGGATTTGATGGACGAGTTTCTTTGATTGATATTAATGATCCTTTTATACCATTGACTCTATTTCGAGCTAGATGTAAACTATAAATATATATAAATATGTGTATATATATATATGTGTGTGTGTGTATATAACTTACATTATTCATTTCATAAATATATACGTATATATAGCTGTGATTGCTAACTGTGCTTGGACAGGACATAGTGCAATGATGATTTACTCGGATACAGATAATATAACACAGGCAATCGGGCTTAATGTAGATGGTACAACTGCCAAGATCAGGTATGGTGAAATACCTGGGTTTTGTTGGACAACTGCTACATCCGAGCATCATGGTCAATTTGCTGTTGGATCGTCTCTTGGATGGGTTAGATCATGTAATATGTATCAAAGAAAGTTACGACAATTGGTAAGAATATATATATACACGTATATATAAGATATATTAATTGTATACATAAATAGTATGTTGCTCAAAATACTGTATATAAACTACATTATCACGAAGATAAAGATATATATCAATATATAGATGGGATAGGAAAACAAGTAAAGTTTTATTGTATATATAAATATATATATGTATTACAAGATACAAGTATATATACTAAATCATTTATATGATAGACTGTTGATGAAACTAGAAAAATGCCTAATTATCGACAGTATGGTGAGACACAGATGCAAATTCAAAGGGTAAATCAAAAAAAAAAAAGTCCATTATAAAATAAAAGTTAACCTTTATTCTACTACTATTATATACATAGATTGTTTGGAATCCAAATAAATCTACTTCGGCGTTTCTTGCTTCAGGTGGTGCAGCTGGACTGTGTCGTATTGAGTTTGAAGGAAGAGGATCTAAATGGGAATAAGAAGCGTATAACTTACTACTCGTGTACATATTATAATATTAGTCAATGATAAGATTATAGAAAAAAATTATCCTTTAAATCTTTCTATATAGAAATAAAGCAGATAAGTTTTATTTAAGGGAAATGCTTAAATACCTACAATTTTTTTTGTAGGTAAGATTATTTTTTATACCTTTTTTAGAATAAATAAAAAAAAAGACAGGTCTGTGAAATGTTCATATAGTTTATTCAAAGATTATGTTAAAGAAAAAAAAACAATATGGAGAAAATGAAGAAGTGGGCTATTTATTTGTTTCTTACAAGTTTCAGTCATCTTGGCAATAAAAATCATGTATCTTTTTCCTCCCCCCTTGATGAGCTGTGACTGCTACTAAAAATAGAATCAAGTGTTATTCCTGGTAAATGCATCAACGTGAATATTTCAGCAATATCACTTGTTCATATGCTACTAATAGTATTATTATATGCGATAGTATCCTATAATGATATGCATCATCGTTGGTATATGTATATATAATCTTCTTAAATTTTTATTATTATACTCAAATGCTCTAGTAATAACCGAGTATAGAATGAATATTATGCTATGAGATACAACATACTAGTTTTGTTATATGAATCACCTCTTGATTATGTAATAAACGATGATTTATTCCTATTAGCTTTGTTTTATAAAGACCAACTGCAACCATAATAAATGTATGTAAAGACCTCCAAATGCAGTAATCATTTTTTCCCGTAAATAAGTAGCCTTTGTCTTTCCTTTTTTTTTTCTAACACAGTATCTGTTGGCTTATCTTGACAGAAGAAAAAAAGTATTATCAAGACTGACAGTAGCTGTTGTATTTGTGAAAATATGATCAAGCTTTACATCCTTTTCATCTTCAACTAAATCCAAATAAAATATACAGAGGTTTTTTAATTATTCATATAAGCAATGTAATCATTGCCTCTCTATGACTTATTGGTTAATAGTTAGTTTACTCCCTCATCAGATGCAAGCCTCTCAGTCTACACTTCAAGTAGTTTTCATCAGAATCAGACTCAATTAGAATGAATTATTAAATTCTTAAGGTTCAACGTTTTTTTCTCTCTAATTCAATCATATAATCTATAGTGCTGTCACCATCTTCCATGATTATTCTGCTTCAGGTATCTTCTATTGAAAATATGCGTGTATTATAGAATGCTGTCTGTATTTTAGAATTCCGTCAATTGAATAATTTGTTGGTAATTCGGAACAGTATATGCTGCAGTAAGGTAATATGTACATTTAAATTGCGACTACTTTTTTAACTTTCTGGGACCCTATTTTTTTTTTCAAGCCACATTAATGATGAAGTAAGCAAATATACAGTATGCTTCATATTGCTTATCATAGTAGATTGTATCGATAACAAATATTCATCATCTTAGCTTTTCTTCATCTAATTTTTTTTTGTCATAATTTATTATATTTTTCTATGATAATTTTTTAAAAAAAAAAAAAAAGATGTATAATACACTATCCCCTTTTTTTTTAAAAAAAAAAAGCATAAAAAATCAAAGTCATTACCATTTATGTAAAAAAAACCATAGTAACTAATTTTCGCTTAGATGAAAAAAATAAAATAAAAAATAACCTATAGTAATGATATGTATGAGTCACCTTTTTGACTTGTTGAATTCTTTTTGAAACAATTATCAATGAAAATCAAAATATGAAAATTATTTGATTTGCCGTAAGCCAACCAAATTGCTGCATATACATTATCTTTTTTTTTCATATAAATACATTTAACCTTTTTTTTTTGTACATATTTAAACTATAGATCTCGACCTCTCTCTCTCTCTTTTTTTTTTTTTTTTTGAAAAATTTTCTTGTTTTAGTCTAATAAATAAAAAAAGAAAATGGCTTCAATTGTTTTAAATGAGAATACAGATAACAGGCTTCCGCAAGAAGGAAAAAAAGAAAGCATTCCTGACGTTGAAAAGATATCTCTAGGTTCAGAGCCTCATTATATTACACCTCCTGATGGTGGAAGAGGTTGGCTTATAGTTGTGTCTTGTTTCATGGTATGTAAGGAGGACTAAATAATAATAATAATAATAATGAAGAAAGAATGGATCTGATATTTCTACTACTCAATAGGGTTTATTTGCAATGTAAGCGAAAATACTTGTCATTTTTTATAGTTGATTTATATATATTTTTTTTTATAGTTTTGGTTACAATTATAGTTGGGGCGTATTTTTAAATTATTATAAATCAAATGTCTACATTGGTGAAATGAGTAAGCTGTCTTGGGTTGGTTCTATTTGTGTAGCCTTCTTTTTCATTACGGGTCCAATCAATCAGCTTCTCATCGAAAAAATGGGGTTTAAATATATGTTGGCTACTGGTACGGTTTTATGTACTGCAGCTTTAATTTTAGCTAGTTTTGCAACTGAAGTATGGCATATTTTATTGACACAAGGTGTGCTATTTGGTCTTGGTGCTTCATTTGTGTGTCTTCCTTGTATTGGTGCCCCACAACAATGGTTCTCTGAAAGAAGAGGTTTGGCCATTGGTTTAGCTATGTCTGGTTCTGGTATTGGTGGTCTTGTAGTTTCTAACATTAGTATGGCTATTATCAAATCAATTGGCTATCGTTGGGCTCTTAGAATTGATGGTATTATCGTCTTTGTTCTTCTCTCATTTGCCACTTGTTTCGTACGTCCCTTTGGTGATGTTAAAAAGACAGGTGGTGGAAGAAAGATTATTAATTGGTATTTATTTAAAAATCCTTTATTTACTACCATTTTTTTGCATGGTTTAATTACTACCTTTGGTTATATGGTATGTATTTAATCAAACGAACAAAAGAATCGGTTTTTGTATATATAACTTACTTTTTTTTTTGTTTAGACCCCTTTCTTTTTGTTACCTTCTCATGCTAATGCACTCAAATTAAGTCCTTGGGTTGGTGCTAACCTGTCTGCTATTACGTCTGCCATCAATGCAGTTGCTAGAGTCTTTACTGGCTATATGGGTGATAAAATTGGACGTTTCAATAGTTTATTCATCTGTACATTTATTTGTGGCGTACTTTGTTTAGCTATTTGGATTAATGTGCATAATGAAAGCTCACTTTGGGCATTTGCTGTCCTTTATGGTTTCTTTGGTGGTGGTTATATCGCTCTTTTCCCTACAGTACAACCACAAATTGTGGGTCTTGAACATATTGGTCCTGCTATCGGTATGCTTTACTATACCAATCTCTTTGGCTATTTGTTTGGTACACCTATTGCCACTGCCTTAATTAACCTTTCAGAACCACCCAATTATGCAAATGGTGCTATCTGGGCTGGTGTCACTATCATTATAGGTGCATTATTCGCTGGCTGGGCCCGTATCATGAAAGGTGGTTGGAAGTGGATACGTATTTAAAATCGCTTCCAAAAAAAAAAAAAAAAAAAAAAAAAAAAAAATAGAAGAAATAACAATACATTCATATCCATTACATATAGTTCTTTAATTATAATATCCCCCCCCATTTTTTTTTAAAAAAAAATTGTATTCAGTTTAATAAATATAATAGTAATAATACATTAACTAGATTTTAGAATATATGTATATATACTCTGGCACTTCCTATTGTTATCAATGTGTGTGTGTTTAGTATGTAAGGGTAAGACAATTATAGTGGAATATAATACATTATAATAACTATAGAGACAAGAAAAAAAGAAGATGTATATGAATTATTGTAGTTATTATTCATATAAAACCATCATATTACATAATAATAAACTCTTTTAACAAATATGTGTTAGCTTATATTATTGTCTAAACAAATGATATTCGATCGTTCTATTTACATACATGTTAATTTCTAAATTAGGTATAATTTCCATGCTTTTCCGTATAAATGTAACTAAGCAACAAGCTTCTTCAAGACAATCCTGCCGAAAAAAAAAGAGGGAAGTGTAGATACGTTATTTTTTATTATTATGCAAAATCAAAAAAAAAATGACTGCTACCTTTTTAATCGAGTGATAATTGTAACCTTTTTCAATATTATAAAACTTACTGATATTATATCATTTATTAGAAGGAAGAAAAAACCTCCTCTCCCTCTCTCCCCAATCGTTTCTTAGGCTTGTATATCATTAACTGATATGATATACTTTTTTTTTTTTTGTTTCTTTGTTTCTTTCTTTTAAATATAATACAAAGAGTATATTATAAGACATGATGTTATATAATTAAAGACTAAAGATCAATCATCTCAACATGTACGTGTATATAATTGAGTAGAATTTTATTGTTATAAATAAAAGCTTTTTATTATAGGATAGCATAGCTAGAATTACGTTAGAATGAATTTAATATGACGCATTTCAGGCTCTAATATCAACTAATCTATCATAAAAAAATAAACAAATAAAAGGAGTTTACTGCCGTGATTGTATATATAGATATTATCTTAAAAATATAACTTACTCGGTACCCTATATCATCTTTAAATATATATCTATATACATATATATACAGCATATACATAGTATTTATTGATGACAGATGAGATGCATTGATAAGTTGTACTAATTAGTTCTGTCATAATTAATAATTAAACTCCGATACATATACATGTGCACATATAAATCGTTAAGTTTGGAAGAGTAAAGAAAACTTTTTTCTTTTTTCTACATATTATTTTACAACAATGTCGCAAAATAAAAGCCAACATGAGGCTCTCATGTCCATTTTAGATAATGATCTTTATAAATTCACCATGCAACAAGCTGTATTCAAACATTATAAGAATGACATTCCTGTTGTGTATCAATTTACTAATCGCGAAAAAGATCTTCGTTTGAATCCTCAATCAGTTGAGTGGCTTAAACAGCAAATTAAAGGTAAACAATGAAACATAACATTAACATAAAAAAGAGTAGTAAAAGAAGAGGGAGAGAGAAAAGAAGAGGATGTCTGAATTTATTTATTTTTATATATATATATATATGAATATATTTTTGCTTATTTATCTATCTATATTTATTTATACATTTATATACATCTGTTAAAAAAGATATGCAATCCCTCAAGTTAACTGAAACTGAACGTGAATACCTTTCAACTTTGTCATCCTTAGACAAAGACTATATCGATTATCTTTCTACATTCAAATTCAAACCTGATGAACAAGTCAAGACAAGTTATAACCCAGAGACACAAGATTTTGAATTAGAAGTTGTAGGTTCATGGTTGGAAACTATTCTATATGAGGTCCCTCTTTTGGCATTAATTTCTGAAGCCTATTTCCGTTTCACAGATCGTGATTGGAACTATGAAGATCAAGTAGAACGCGCTTGTGAGAAGACAAGACAGTTGGTGGAACATGGTTGTATGTTTGCTGAATTTGGTACACGTCGACGTCGTGATTTTAAGACACACGATTTGGTTATGGGTGCTATTCATAAGACTTCTGAAGCCTATTATGAAGAATGTAAGAAAGCTGGAAAAGAACCTCAAGGTCGTTGTACGGGTACAAGTAATGTTTATTTAGCAATGAAGTATAATCTACCTCCTATTGGTACAGTTGGTAAAGTATTTTTTTTTAAGGAGCATAAGAAGAAAAATGCCATTTTTCTAACTTTTTTTTTTTTTTTTTTTTAAAAAAAAGCACATGAATTCTTTATGGCTGTATCAGCATTAGAAGGCATAAAACATGCAAATCGTAATACACTAAAGATTTGGTATGATGTCTATCAAGGTAATCTGGGCATTGCCTTGACTGATACATTCACTACCTCAGTTTTCCTTAAGGATTTTGATGCTGATCTTGCCAATAAATACGCGGGTGTTCGTCAAGATTCAGGTGATGCTGGTGAATTCATCAATACTATGGTCTCTCATTATAAATCACTTGGTATTGATCCATCCAAGAAAGTGATTGTATTTTCTGATGCTTTAAATGTTGAACGTGCTCTTAATCTTCAAGAGAAAGCTAGCAAGGCAGGAATTAAAGCTAGTTTCGGTATTGGTACTTCTTTTACAAATGATTTCTATAAAGCAAGTGATAAGGAAGTTAAGAGTAAAGCTTTAAATATTGTAATTAAACTCAAGCAATGTAATGGAAAGCGTGTAATCAAATTGAGTGATGACGCACTCAAGCATAGTGCTGACCAAGCTACTGTCACCGCTTTTGAACGTGAATTGGGTATTATACAATAACATATGTTTCTTTTTCTTTTTTTTTTTCCAGATATATACGCATACAACTAATTATATAGAAAAACAAAAAAAAGACATTACATACATGCATACAAATATATATATGGACACATCGACTAATATAAATTATTACCATTATTAAATAATACAAAACATTAAATGTATAATAAAACGCCTTTTTTTTTTTTTTACATGTATAGGATATATTTATATACTTTGAATAGTATATGCAAAATTATCTCTTTACACTAACTTGACAAATCGTATACAGTTCTTTCTAAAATGACTCTATATAGTCTTGTTAGCTAGCAGAGTAGCATGAATAATATCTCATTCATTGTTACATTCATCAAATTACATAATATTTTAAAAATGCTTATCCCTCTCTCTCTTTTTGGTCTTAAATACTATCACTCATTACATAGTTTGATATTAAAACATGATAAAATATGAGCTTGAATAAACTTATCTTTCTTATGAATAGAGAATGTCAATTATACACAAGATCTATTGTTATAAGAAGATAGATTCAAGCCTATTTTTGATTAATTAGGATAGATAGATTATCAAGAAGTAATTATATTATTATTATTTTTGATTCTATTATCTTCTCTCCTTTCCTCTTATGTAATAACGCTTATCAATAAACAAATTTTGCTTATAAATACATGCACAGCCAATACGATGGATATTGTCGCCAATTAACAAATATTTGTCGGCAGTTGAGAAATAATTGTCGCAAAAGAAATTTCAATTTGTCGTTTTTATTTTTGTCGATTATCGTTTTAGGAAAAGCGAATTGTCACATCAGATTGGCTTAAATTGTCGTAGTGTTTTCCTCTTCCTGAACTTTTTTTTTGTTTCAGTCATGGAGAGATCTTTTTATTACGAAGATAGGCCCAATAACCTGTACGACGAGAAGAGTATGAAAGTTTATGATTTAATGGAGGGTATTCTAACTGAGATAGTATGTTCCCGATGTCTTTTATATTTTTATTTTATTGGATCAAAGACGACCTGAATCCGTTATTAAGGTTATAAAAATAAATATTTAGAAATGATACGATATCTTATTTAGTTGACACATTTAGATGATTGCATGTTAATACGTTTTATGTTATTTACACGATGTTACATACATTAAGATATGATATCTTTTATTAAATAATCAGGCTTATAGCTTATCCTGTAATATGTAATTCATCTTTTCTAATATTGCTTATGCTTATATCCAGAGCTTGTTTTATAACAACTCTTCAAATTTTTCAGGGCTGTTTCTCTCTACGGATTGTAAACATGCTTGCTTGAATGTAATTTTACATTTCTCCTTTACAAATTTGTTAAAGCCGCTTTTACTGATATCGAGTTTGCCAAACCTATCAGTTAATACATTTGGCATATTGTCTAATGTAATGGAGTCGGATTTTTTCGTCTGCCCATTCAATCATGAGGTCCTTATGCTCCCTGGTTAAGATTGGTGATCTACCCACTGGTCTTCCGCTGCTCGTAGCTCTTTGAATATACTCCTGAGGAGCTTTGTTGTTCTTGGCCATCCAGCCTTATGCTGTGCGGACATTGGTATTAAGATACATCGCAGAAGCACGAACGCTCATTCCTTTTTTCCTCGACAAGATAAAAGAGCTTCTCTTTCTCTGCATTCTTATAGTGTTTACATGCTTTCGTTCCCTTATTCGTTTGCTTTTTGTCGTTTGGCGGTATTTCAGTTTTCGTTTTTTATTTCTTTCTCGAGAGGATTTCAATTGTGCATAACGGTCGTAATCAGTTGCGCTTTCGACTGGATATATCTCGTTATCAACCTCCCATTTGAAACTCTGTCACTTTGTTTCTTTCAATGTCATGTCGAATTTCCCAAACCCTCTTCAAAAATAATGTTTACCTTCTTAAATATTGTAAAGAAAGAGAGTTAATCTTTTTCAATTATGTACGCTATTTTTTTTTCTTTATTTCTTTAAGACAATCTACTCTATGTTATAAGTAAAAAAAAAAAAAAAAAAAAAAAAAAATCAATCAAGCATTGTAGAAGGGTTTAAGTTAGCGATAAATAGTGAGTATATCAACATATAAACTATGAAAAGAAGTTATCGAATATCAAGAAGTATAGTACATAATAAAAGATGGCAATAGTTTCTTATTAAATGTATGTTCACATCATGTACATTAACTCTAGTCAATTTATAGATTTTTCTTTAATTAATCCATATAATGAGACAAATTCACTGAAGGAACAATTACTCTTTATATTCTTTATGAAGTCAATGCTCATCCAAGAGCAATATGTAACTGACAAAAACCTCAAAACAATGATGACCTTCATTAATGCCTCACTAAAATACTTTATCTAACAGTATCGTTTCCCAAAAATGTATTGTTATGTTTTACAAGTGATGTCAAATGGCAATCTTTTTTGTTTTCATGATAGACTTCAAGAATACGTTTCTTGTATTAAGTGTCATTATACCATCCGTAGATACGATACTGAGGTGTAAAGGGATTGTCTTTGTGGAAAATTTTGTAATAAAAAAAATAAGATTCCTTTGAAAAGGCTGAGATATTTTAACAACATCTTTTCGATGAATCGGTCAAGCCTCCCTTCAGTCTTTATATATAACTATTCAATAATCAATACCCAAAGAAAATTTTCCTTGTTAAAAAAAAAATTACTAGTTGGAAAACGGAAGTTAGTTTGTTTCCAGATAGAATAATGAATATTTATGAAGGCAAGACTTGAAACAACTTCAAGTTATACCCTGACGATGAACAGTCTTTTGTACAGCAATCTGACTATTAATGCTCATTATGAATGTTGACTAATTTTAGTCTTATTCTGACAATTTACATTCTAGTGATGCTGAATTTATTTAATTATACACAACTTACCTCGAGAGGAAAGAAATCTTAGGGAAAATATACAATAATCTTTTTAGCATTTATACACTGTGCTGTTATAGTCTTTCACCACTTTTGTTATATACGCTTAATTATTATATTATTAGAGAAGCAACTTTATTGTAGAACACAATTTTATTATTTTTTTTTTTTTTTCATTTTTATTAATATTATAAAAAAAGATGCTTTTCTTAGTTCTCAAATCTCTTTAGTAGAAGAGACTTGATACTAACAGGATTAACCACGAGAAGGTGAAAGCATATCTAATCCCAAAAATAATATTACAACCCATACAAATTGATACGGGCTGTAATTTTTTCTTCTCCCTCTAAATTTCTACTTGAAAGATAAACGTCCAATTTCAACTAGTAGACACTTGGCAAAGTCCAACCTGGCCCAAGCCTTGCTAGAAGAAAAAGATAGGATTCCTCACCTCATAACCCAATAAAAAAATACAGTTGGATGTAAGTTTCATTGGAAGCCGGGCTAAACATTCTGACCTGTAGCGTGGCGAAGTGGAAGAAATCCAGATACATGAAGTGCACGACCTGACTATTGTTTACCTGAGAATGTCCCTTCTTTGACCCCTAGCATCTACTTTTGACTTAACAGTAAATACAAGCTGGGATTCTTCAACTAAATAAATAGATGAAAAAACCACGGTCAGAAACGTAAGCTGTGCATCCTTATCTATTTTTATTTTATAAACAGCAACTAGATAAAAATAAAAAGGAGGAAAAACCTCCAAAAAGAAAAACAGGAAAACTAAGCCTTGAGATAAGCCCTTTCAATGGTGCAGACAAAGAGTACGCTAATCTCCCTAAAAGGAACAGGTTTACAATTCCCAACCCCAAGTATCCTTTTTATTTCCCTCCCCCTTTGAAAATAAATCAAACTTGAGCAGTCAAAATTCGATAAGGTCCCATCAATTATCTAAGGTTGTAATAACCCAAGGTGAAGGCGGATATGCATGTAGTAACCAAAAGAGAGTCTAGGCCTCTCCTTTAGCCATGTTATAAACGGACAGTTCTACAAACTCAAGTAAGCCAAGCTATGTGACTTGAGCACACTTCATAACCCTGACAGTGTCTATCTATGGTTTCAAGTAAAAATAAAGAAGAATAGGAAAAATAAAAAAAAGCTAAAGAAAAGAGAAGAAGAAAAAAAAAGGAAAAAAAAAAACGAAAAATGTGCTTTTTTTTATAGTAAAATTCAGGAGAAAAAAAAATAAACAAGGAGAAGTTATTAAAGTTTAATTTTAGCGTATTTTTTTTTTTTTTTTTTTTTTTTTTTTGTTTTTAATTTACTTTGCGATAAATCTTCTCTCCTGCCTTTCTCCTTGTCTTTTTTTATTTTTCTCTTTTCTTTTTAATACTTTAGAGATAAGTTTTGTCTTTTATTTGAATGTAGTAAAGCATTACTGTCTTCTTTGAAAGTAAGCAAGAAAGTAAGAAAGTAAGAAAAAAAAAAAGAAGTTTGTTTACTTTTTTTATATGTATAAATATTCATGTGAATATATTGAGCATTCTTGTAAAGAAATTAAGCCAAAACTAGTCAAATGCAGTTACACAACAGAGCATGATGTTCATACATTTTCCAAAAGAATAAGAGTAGATAAGCTATCAATAATATAAAAAATGAGCAGTTTTATTTTTATTTTTAGACACACACACACATTCTAGACGCTTTTTTTTTTCTTACAATTTTACAAGATGTTCATTTTTAGTTTTGTTGTGGAAAGCTTTCTTTTTCAACTGTACAAGATACTCTTTGCAGTTCATGTATTTTAAATAGTTAAGCTATAAGCTTTCTTACTACTGTATTATGACAATTGAGCTCTTTTTTATGACGATCATGATAACAAGGCTCTTTAGATTTTGATCAGTTTGAAAGAAATAACGGCTTTAAAGAGAAGAAAGAGATAGAGTTTCAAAGAGTGTACAATAGATAATAAGATGAAAAAAAAAGTTGGGGCATCAATTTTGAGAATGGTATTATAGAACAAGCTCTGGATATAAGCATAAGTAATATTATAATAGATGAATTGCATAAGACAGGATAAACTATAAGCCTGAATATGAAATAAAACTCTGTACATAACATCTTGTAAATAATATAAAACTTATTGGTATCCAATTGTCTAGATGTATCAATTATAAGACATCGTATCAGTTCCAAGTATTTATCTTTATAACCTTGACAAAGGATTCAGGTCATCTTTGATCCAATAGAATAAAAATATAAAAGACATCAGGAACCTATACTCAAATCAAACAATAAATTTTTTATTTAAAACTTAATCAGATTATTATAACACCCAATAGATAATCCATACAAATCAGTCTCTTGAGTCAACAAAATGTATATTTGAATACGAACAACGATTCCTGGCTCATGTTCTTTGACAGCTATTTTTATTTCTTTAATTCAGGATTCATTAGTATAAATACAAGCAGTTGTTTAGACACAAATAATCTTTAACCTTCAATTTTTATTTTTATTTTATTTTATTTTTCTTTTATTAAGAAAAACAGTCTTAAACTATACTTCCTTTTGTTCCCTTTCTCTTTTCTATTTTCTTTCTCTTTTTATTTTTCTTTATTATATAACGTTCCATCACAATTATACTATATACAAATACGACAAACGATCACTATAGGCGAGGTATGAAAGCCAATATCAAATATTTCGTAAAACAAAGTAACGGCATATTAATGTATAATACATAAAGAAAGTATTATGCCTAAACGCATCAAAGAGACTTTCCAGATAAAAGCCAGTTAAACAGGGTATATATCTAATTGACTTATTATTTGAAACTAAACACTCAATTTATAAACAGTTTTTACATGATAACTTCAGAAATTAAATAATAAGCATTATAATATACATTTTTCATAACCTTTATATCATTAAAAAGAGAAACAATTAAGGGCTAATGAAGAGCTATAACCATATCTATAATATATATTACCTCTTATAAAAAGTATATCTAAACAAGAGTAAATTTGAACAATTATGTAGGCAATTTTGTGAGACACTGCAATACCTTTTATGTACAAAAAATTGAATAACAGCAGGCCAAATTATAATCGCCGACTGTAAACAACAGGAAATAAAGCGTATAGATGCAATTATACAAAAAGGCAGTTACATAATAAATCAAAACTTTAGCAATATATTGATCAATAAACAAGATGTCATAAATATCATAGCACATACATCTAATAAACCATTGAAAAATATTCCTATAAAGGAAAATGCGGAGTTTATAAAAATCACATTTCGCGCTCCGCCCTAAATTTAACTTAATATAGAAGGAAGAAGGAAGAAGGAAGGAAGGAAAAAAAAAGAAATAAATAAATAAAAAAATAAATAAATAAATAAAGGAAAAAAAAGGAAAGAAGATAGATAGACAGATGGATAGAGAGAGAAAGATTGAGAAAATAAAACCAGACAAGATAGAATAAGATTGCAAAGGATAGGTGAAAATAGAGGAGTAGAGTTTACTACATTGTATTATATTATATTATATTATATTATATTGTATTGTATTGTATTGTATTGTATTGTATTGTATTGTATTATAATATGTTATGATGTGATACGTTATATTATGATATGTTATATTATCTTAGAGCATATATCTATATAGTAGAATGAATAAATGAACAGTTATTATTATTAGACTAAATTACTATTAATACTGCTGCTACTGCTATTACTCATATATGTATGTATGTAATTTTTTTTTTTTTTTTTTTTTTTTTTTTTTTTTTTTTGCTTGATGACGGAAGTCCACCATCCTTTGGTCAAGGGCATTTTGGTACTTTTCTGGTGACAGAAAATATTATCACCAAGTTCAGTAAACTTTTCCACAAATTATAAGAAGTATCTATTGCTTGTGCAAATGCCAGCACATAATAAATGTATTCTAAGTATTTTAAAAAAGTAAATTCAATAATTGATTTATCTGAGCGAGTAGCTAAGATTTAAAAAAAAATAATAAAAAAAATCATAAGTAAAAATTAACCAGATTGTAAGATAATGTTTTATTGCTTCTTGAATTATTAAGTATTTATAGGAAGAGATATAAAAAATTTATCAAGTTCTTGCTACTGCTTTTCATCGTATTGTTATCCTGATTGTTATTGTTATTGCTGTCTTGTTATTCTTTATTATAAGTTTGACAGGTTAATATTAAATTTGTACAACATGTCTCTATGTAAGCCACTATCAGATGTATAGATTTGGTAATTGTAGATCATATTAATTTAAAGATAGAATAAATGAATACTTCTGATTATTGATAGAAACTGCTAGAACTTGGATGGTGGATATAATTGCGTTAGTGTAAATGTATGTTTTATAATGTAATGCTATAATATATATATGGATACGACAATAATAATACTTGTATTTATGCGGAGACAAGATATATGTGAACAATGACTTCAATAGAATGATTAAATATTATTTTTCCATCTCAAAACATTTTCGAATGTTATTGCTCTTGATACCTCGTAAACAACAAAAGCACCAGCAGTACCTTTGAAGTATACTCTAGTAATATTATCAAATCGTTCTTGTCCTGCAATATCCCATAACTGTAAACTAGTCGTTATATCAGGCTCGTTTTGGATTATTTTCAGCGTAAAGTCTACCCCAATAGTAGACTTATAGTGACCAGTGAATGTATTGTGAACAAATCGTCGTAAAATCGATGTTTTCCCTGTACTCAAATCTCCTACAACTAATATTTTAAACTGATACTCTCTCTACGAAGGAGATTGAAAAAAAAAAGAATGATTAAGAAACACATTTTCTTCGCATCCCAGCTTTTCTTCTATACTGTAATTACTATTTGATTAATAATTAACAAGAAATAAAAAAAGGGGTAAGTATGTCAAATAATTTTGTGTCTATTTATATTGCACCATTTTTTTATCTAATTGGATTAATCCTCAGTGCAAGTTAACTGAAATAAATGCCTCAGTAATGGCAACGTGGTTCTGTGCGTTACACAAACATAGTATAAAAAATGATGATCCCTACTTGTAAGATAGCCTATAAAGAAGAGCTTTTCCTTTGTTTGGAGACATATCGAAGAATATTTTAGCCAATGATATACAGAGACTGCGTAGACGTATTATAAAGCAAGTAGCCCTTTACTATCTTTAATAAATTTTGCAATAAAAGAATCAATAATAATTATACGATCTAAGTTTTATTTGAAGGTTGTCGGCTTAAAGAAATATTATGTCTGTATCTCCAATGACATACTGCTAAAAAAATCTCTCAGTTCTGCTTTAAACAAGAACGTGTAAATCTCTAAGAGCGAGCGAGATTCTAAAATTGTTTGGGAACGCTTCAAAAAAGATATTCATCAAACGCACTGGTGAGTAGTATCTCAGCATTTAAGCTCAAACAACTTTCTAAAAACTCTTGCGGTACAAAAGTAGCGCATCATTAGTTTCTGAATTGTTATGCTAAGACTACGGCAAAAATCTTTGACACTTCTGCCAAAATAGAGTTTTCTGGATTGATGCTATAAAATCTATCGTACTGCTTTATTTAAATCACTAGTTCTCTACCGCCACTAGTGTTTATTTATTCTTGACAGAAGAAATGCCCTTTTTACGATACTGTGCGATAACAATATTAATGGGTGTTGTATTATATTAACAAGTAGAAAAAAAAAACGCTGGTTTTTAATTTATATGACGTGATGCTGTATGATGAAGAAGAAATAATATTTAATAAACTAATCAATAATATAAGGTTAATAATATGAGGGGTGATATTTTTTGTGCTATGAATTTAAAATGAATAAGAACAATAAAAATTGAACATATCGTAGGTATAATGATTATAGGTATTGATTAATAATGATCGATAAGAGTGTATATAATAATAAAAAAAGCACCAGCTCATGTAGGGGAGATCTTTCTTTTTTTTGATGAGTCTTTTGACTCAGATACAAAGCTGTCCGGGAAGAAATAGTCGCTGTTTTTGAAAGGATTTAAATTTACGTGCGTACTTTCATCCTTCAATAATTGCGCCGTTTCTTTGATTATTAAAGTACAGTTATAGACCAAAGCCAAGATTGGAGGAAGGAGAGCTGGTACTTGACTAATATTTTCGGGCATCTTCAAGCGAGGAGAGGAAAACAAAATACCAACGGAACCTTTGGTGAATGTCATAACTTGAGCTGTGATAAAAGAACCTATTGCAAGGTTAGCATAAGCTGATAATGATCTCATAATAATAATTTACTGATGGTTTTGTTTTCGACTTACCATTGATAATGAATGATACAATTTTGATTTTGTTCGCTTTGATCTTGTATTGGTCAATCATCTGCTTGCAAAAGCTTCGCATCATTTTAGGACTTTTCAACTTCGATTCTTGCAATTCTTTTGTCCCATTTGCTCCATGGTCAACCAAACCAATCTCTACACAGCCTAACTCCGAAGAAAGGAACTTGAAGGTGAGATCGGAACAATCTCCGTTGATTTGACGTACTAATTGTTGATTGGTACCAAGCTCTCGTTGTGAATTTTTATTGCTATTGGAGGCACTACTTTGACAGCCACTGTAGAGAAGCTATATTAGTATTCAGAAGCTGAAAAGAAATATTTGTAAAAACTTACCTTTTTGTTGTGGTTCTGCTGATGTTTTTGGTACTTTTTAAAAATCCATACATATCATTTAGAAGATCCTCCTCAGTGACAAAAGGAGTAAAATTATCACTTTCAATAAATAAATCCAAATAGTTTAAAATGCTGTTGCGACACCAGTATTCTGCAGGCTGAGTTCTTCGGTCATAGCGCATTTCTTGAAAAGTTTGATCTATTGATTTGAAATCATTCTATACAAGCAGCTTAACTTCATGAAGTTAAAGCATTAAAATATATGCCTATTACCTTCCCTTTTAATTTCATTAAGATATTGACAAGTGATTCAGGTAAACTTTTGCTCATATCAGTAAATCCACTTTCCTTTTCAATCTCTTTAATTTCATCTGCAGTAAACATAGAATTCAACTGATCGTCAATACTAAGAATATATGAGTGGAGAGGGCTATTATTTTGTTAATTAAAAAAAGCTTCTGTTACTGCATAGATAGTTATTTACTGTTCGACTTTAAAATCTTTGGCATGTTTATAAATTGTATCTTCTACTACGGCGCCTGAACTTAAGACCCACTTGTGATTGATATTTTGATGAACACTGCTTATTAAATTTTTGTCATTTTCGCTTAATAAACGTTGATAACTTAATGAAGATGTCGATGAAGCATGAGAACTGCTTTTTGAAGTAGTTGTGTTTTTGAATAATTGAGGGGTAATTTTCTCAGTCCAAACATCCACATGTCCTTCGTCACGAATTACGTTAAGTCCTAACTTTTTAGAAACGTCTTTGAACTTTTTTTTCCAGTTTGAGCAATAAGTTGCTTTATGATCACCATTGTAACTGTCTATAATATGCGATGACATTTGTTCGACGAAGCTGCTCCACTGGACTTGTTTTGCTTCTCCCGCCAAATCAAGTAGTTGCGACGCGATTTCTAGTTGCAAACACATTATGTTAATTAAGTTCGGTGAATAAATGACATTAATGACTTACCATCATTCAGACTTTCTAAGCTCATTCTAACAAATTATATTGCTATAGCAGAAAGAAAACGGTATTTATTTGCCTTCGCATTAAATTGTCCCTCTTAGTAACAGTCACGTTATTCTTATTGAATTTCCCACCATTTTTTCCAAAAATTAAGGACCATTTTTTGCTGTTCAAAAATTTTTTGCCTTTTTTTTTTCTCTTTCCATTTAGTCTAAATTGCCTGATCCCTAGTGTACCGTTTTCACTTAAATCCACTTTCTCTAACCGTAGGGCAATAGCCTGATCCTTAGATGTATTGTGTTTTTTTTGGGTTACTCTCCTAGCCGTAGGGTAATTTAGCAACTGTCTGATCCCTAGATGTATCGTATTTCCTCTACTGGGTCTTCTTTCCTAGCCGTAGGACAGTTTAATTATGTTTGGAAAGTTAAGCGCGTAATCCCTAGTGTACCGTTTTCACTTGGATATATCTCTCTCTAGCCGTAGGGCAATAGCCTGAGACCTAGATGCACCGTATATTCCTGGGTTACTCTCCTAGCCGTAGCGCGTTAGAACAATAGCCTGATCCCTAGATGTATCGTATTTCCTCTACTGGGTTTTCTTTCTCTAGCCGTAGGGCTATCGGTCTGGGGGATAAACATAATTCTTTTTGGGAGTAGAAGCATCTTTACCTTCTCGTGGTTACTCCTGTTAGTAAAAGTGTTCAACTTTGAAGCTAAAAGAGATGCGTTAACTATAAATAAAATCAATATATTTTTTATATCCAATGTTAATTATAAATTTAGATGTTAGATGTTTGTCAATGAGTTGTTTGTTTGCTACTTTAAAGTATTGCTACTACTGATGTGTAGATGGACAAATTTCTTGAAATGAAAGGACATTATCTGATCATAGATAATGCGCCCATACAAACAGGTAAAATAATCGGTGAAATGATCAAGCATGGCTATAAGTGAATTTACTTGCCATCTTACTCTCCAGAACTCAACCCAATAGAGCACTTTTGGTCTGTTGTTAAGAGTAGTGTAAAAAGAGAGTTTATATTCAAAAAAGACACTATTCACCTCAAATAATTGCAGATGCTAGCAGCCAAGCTGCCCAGTCATCTTTTGAAGGATTTGTGCGCTATTTCACTAGACGTTTCGATGACTGTTTTGCAGGCCATCCTATTTGATAAACAATCATATATGCGACATCTTTTTTTAAAAGGCACGACACTCTTTTCTTGAATTGTGCGACACTGTTATTTTAAAAAGTGCGACATTCTTTTCTGAAAAAATACGACACTCTTTTTTTCAAAAGTGTGACACTTTAAAAAAAAATTTGCGATATCATTTTGGCAAAAGGTGTATATTCATATTTATCAAAGCTAAATTTTAGTGTTTTTTTATTTTATTTTTTTTTTGTTTTTAATTCACTTTGCGTTAAATCTTCTCTACTGCCTTTCTCCTTTTCTTTTTTTTTCTCTTTTATTTTTAACACTTTAGAGATAAGTTTTGCCTCTTATTTGAATGTAGTGAGGAAATACCGTCTTCTTTGAAAGTAAGAAAAAAGAAAAGAAGTTTGGTATTTATATTCATGAACATTCTTGTAAAGTAATTAAGCCAAAACTAGTCAAATGCAGTTACACAATAGAGCATGATGTTCATACATTCTCCAAAAGAATAAGAGTAGATAAGCTATCAATAATATAGAAAATGTCATTTTATACAGCAGTTTTATTTTTACTTTTAGACACACACACACACACACGCACAATCTAGACGCTTTTTTTTTCTTACAATATGTTCCCTTTTAGCTTTGTTGTGGAAAGCTTTCCTTTTCAATTGTACAAAATATTCTTGGCAGTTTTTGCATTTTAAATAGTTAAGCTGTAAGCTTTCTTACTACTGTATTATGGCAATTGAGCTCTTTTTTATGACGATCATGATAACAAGACTCTTTAGTTTTTGATCAGTTTGAAAGGAATAACGGCTTTAAAGAGAAGAAAGAGATAGATTTTCAAAGAGTGTACAATAGATAATAAGATGGAAAAAAAAAAAGATGTGATATCTTTTATTTCATATTCAGGCTTATAGTTTGTCCTGTATTATGTAATATTATTACTTATGCTTATTTCCAGAGCTTGTTCTATAACAGAATTATTAAATGTCTATATAAAAAACCTCTCTAAAAAATTTTAATAATACTTTTGCGACACATACGCTTTTCCCTAAAACGACAAATTGGAATTTCTTTTGCCAACGAATATTTGTTAATTGGCGACAATATCCATCGTACTGGTTGTGCAAATATAAAATCAATTTATGTAGTGCATTTAATCAGCATTAACTTTTTTTTTTTTTAATTTTTGTCCTTTTATTTTATTTTATTTTTTATTTTAATTTTATTTTAATTTTTCTTTTTCTTTACACATACGTTCATGTTTACATCTTCTGATCAATCAAAGAAAAAGTTTATAGAAAATGCCAGACTAGAAAGGGATAAACGAGAAAAAGAACGCATAGAAAAATTACAGATAGAAAAGGAAACAAAAGCGGCCTTAGTCATTCAGAAATGGTGGAGACGAGGACAAGAAAAAAATGAAGCACAAGCCCAATGTTGGCAATGGTGGAATGCAGAAATGGAAGAAAATAATAATAATAATAATAATTTATTTTCTATAATTGATTTTTATCAATTACTCGGCTTATATTGTATTTTAACTCGTAAAAAGAATGATATGCAAGTTCAACTTGAAGCTTTAAAGAAATTGGTCAAATGTTTGATAGCTAATAAATTCTCCCATCATACAACAACAACAACAACAATAGTGCCCTTTTATGCATTATTGATCGATATGAGGTATATGCATCAAGCACGAATTTATTTAGAATATATCATTATGCAATGTATTCATCAGCAATGTGATAACACAACTTCAACTGGACCTGAATTATTAACTTTTCTATTACAATTTCTTAACCCCAAGACATACCAAACTAAACAATTTGTTGATGTAGCTTATTTAATAGATATACCAGATAAAGTCTTACAGAGTATAGCGCAATCAATTCTTAAAGTAACTCTATGTCAGCGCTCTAGAGGTTCACTAAGGCCCGCACTTGTGAAATGTGTTGAACAGATCATTAAACTCGAAGATAGAAAGATACAAGATATGACCAAGATAAATGCACTTAAATTATGGCTTACTACCATGACACGATTGACATTGTACCCAATTGAACATGCTGAGCTTTCAAGTGATGCATTAGATATGGATACAGCATCTCAATTTTTGTGGACAACTACATTGGCTGTGCCATGTATTACTTCACTTATCAATACAATGATGACAGATAGATTGCGAAAATGGGCTTTAGGTGCCTGTACACCTCACTTGATGTTGAAGACGTTCAATAAAAGGAATGAGTGCAATAAAACAGAAGATATGATGGAATCATTAAGTGGTAATGGAGGCCTTTTTTTATTAGCTAATTTGATTGATCTTTGGAATAGTTCTAAAAACCCTACAAGATCAGAGGAACATATACGATTGGTTGAGTTAGTACGTTTCTTTCTAGATCATATTGAGTCCTTTTTTTCAGATAAGCAATCACCTTCATCATTTCCTCATTATCATCCTGTCTTTAAATGGTCAAGAGCAAGTTGGGGAAATACTATTTCAAGTGCTGTCTTTGATCGTATTATGAAGCAAATAGAATATATCTGGTCAAGATCCTTTATGGATCAAGTCTTTACTGACATTATCCACTTTCGTCACCCTCATTCTCGTTTTTCTCTAAACAACTCTAACAAAAATAACAGACTTTCATTTAGTAGTAAGTTAAAGGGCATCCATCAGCAATATGATTTACAAAAGTACAGTGGTGAATTAGCTTTATTCTCGATAGAGGTTGAAGCCATTTTTTCCATGTATATTCAATTAACACAACTCTTTAAGGCTCACCGAAGGGTGATCTTTTATCGTATTGCCTTTACTTCAGACTTGATGCCGCAATTATGGAAATTGATGAATCATTTTGGGCCAAAGGGGAAAATGACTATTTATTTAGATGCAGCTAAACAAAATAACATTGAAAAGGAACCTCTTATTCAAGTACTTAAAATCTTTTGTGAGGCCTGCTCTATTGTATTTTTGTAAGCATATATAAGCATCACGAGTTAAATTTAAGCTTTCTTTTATTATTATTATTATTTTCTTAAAAAAAAAAAAATTTCTTGGGTAGGACTCTGGATGATGTTGATATCTTTACGCATAAAACACCCTTTTCGCCAGAAGATTTAATTGATATAAGCGATTTTTTAAATTCATTTTATTTTACATTGATACAGCAACATACAGACATTCCAGCAGAATTACCGCCTGCAGCTGAATCATTTAAATCAGCTAGACGTCTTTTATTACAGATATATGATTTAGATCTTCATCATCCTTTTTGTCCTCCAAACCATTGGTTACTTGTATCTTCCATGACAAACGGAGTCAAATCCTTCTTTTCATCTTTATTTCAAACCATGAATAATTCAATACAGAATGATAATAATGGGGGGACACTAGCAACAACAACAACAACATCAACAATGGCACGAAAGAAAAAAATAGCATCATCTACATCCTCATCTTCATCTGCTGCTTTATTCTTAACCAATTTGAAGCAGGGGGATCCAGTTCCTCTTCGTGTCCTTCAGCTCATGCCTCATACAGTCTCATTTGATATGCGACTTCAAATATTTCGTGATTGGATTGCTCTGGATCAATCCATGGTAGTGCCCAAGATTTCTAAAAACCGTTATATCAATGTAAGACGGAATTATGTATTAGAAGATGGGTTTCATGCTCTTTCCAATTTACCGCCCTCTGCTTGGAAAGGAACGATTCGTGTCTCCTTTGTGAATGAATTAGGAGTAGAAGAAGCAGGGATTGATCAGGGCGGTCCCTTTAAAGGTATGTATCTATTGCAAAAAAAATATATATATATGTATATGTATGTATATCAATATATTAATAAATACAAAACACTCATCTATAAAAAATCTTATAGATTTTCTTACAATGCTTATTTCAGAAGCATTTGAACCTAATTATGATCTATTTTCTCTAACAAAACATAATAGTTTTTATCCTAGTGCAACCTCAGGTTTTATTGATCGTCAACATATCGAATTATTTGAATTTATTGGAAAAGTAAAATTACAAATACATATTTAACAAAAAAAAAAGTACTAAATACAAATGCATAAATATACATATTGTAAAAGGCAATTGGAAAGGCAGTTTATGAAGGAATACTGTTAGATGTGCAATTTGCTGGCTTCTTATTAGCAAGATTACTTGGTCGAAATGTATTTTTAGAAGAATTAAAAGAATTAGATGAAGAAGTTTGGCGAAACTTGACCTTTATAAAACATTATGAAGGTATAATAGTTTATAAAATATAGTGGAACCTTTTGTCCTTGTTCATTTAACATGGTTCTTTCTTTTTTTTTTTTTTAAAAAAAAAAAAAAAAAAAAAAAAAAAAAAAAAAAAAAAAGGTGATGTAGAAGACCTGTGTTTATCATTTGAAACAAATGAAGAAGTTTTAGGAAAGATCGAATCTCATGAGCTAAAATTTGTAATATTTTGATGATATGTAGTAAATACACATATATGCGTACTAATTTTATTTCATTAGAGAGGAAGAGATACTACAGTAACAAACAGTAATAAAATAGAATACATTTACCTTATGGCAGACTATAAGTTGAATCAAAGAGCAAGAGAGCAAACAAAGGCATTTATTCATGGCTTCAGAACTGTTATATCTGAAAATTGGATTCGACTATTTTCACCTCCAGAGTTACAAAGGTATTTAAAAAGAAAACAAGAAATAAATAAATAATAACATCAATTTTTTTTTTTTATAGAGTATTATCTGGAGAAGATACTGACTTTGGTAAACATAGAAAAAGTATAAAGAAGAATAAAAACAAAGAATCTAAATGCTCCCTCTCTCTCTCTTTTTTTTCTTACATAATAGATATTAACGATTTACGTAGACATACTCAATATGAAAATGGATATTTTGATCATCATCCTGTTATTCGTCTCTTTTGGCAGATTTTAGGGGAATTCTCTTCTGAGGAAAAGAGAGCGTTTCTTAAATTTACAACGGGTTGTCCTAAGCCTCCCTTAGGCGGATTTGATTACTTACAGCCACCTTTTACAGTTCGAATGGTATCTACTGATGCAGCCTCAAGCAATATGGATAGTGTAAAGCTAGTGAAATCATTTTTCAAGATGAATATTAACAAGTCTGGAAGATTACCATCTAGCTCAACATGGTAAATTATAATACACATATATCATTCCTATTCTAGTATTCATACTTAATATATCCTTATTAGTTTTAATCTTTTAAAGCTACCAGCTTATACGAAAAAGTCACTTTTAAAAGAAAAGATATGTTATGGTAATATACGCACGCTATCATTATTAGCTTTCAATTATTTACTAAAATGATTATTATTAGCTATAAATACACATACTGGGTTTGAGCTTAGTTGAAATAGATTGATAACATACATAAAGACATTCTTTCATCTAGTTTACGTATATCATCTATTATGGGTATTTAAGTGCTCTTGTGTTTCTATTTATTGCAATACAATGCTTAAAAAAAAAATTATTATTCTCTTCTTAAATTATCTAATCTTGCTTGCAAAGCTGCATCATCAGCCGATAATCCTTCTGTTTGAGCTATTCTTTCTGCGCCATTAGAATTAAACATTGCACTTTCCGATTGTTTAAGACCAGAAGGAACTTCTGCAAGCTAAAAAGGAAAAAAAAAAAGTTAATATATATGACTCTATTATCATCATCATCATCATTATTATTATTACCTCTTGGTTAAGACTAATTCCAATTTCATCTAAAACTTTATTTACAATTTCATCACTTTCTTCTTCCTCTTCATCCTCTTCAAATGCATCATCAATAGCATCACCCATCATTTCATCTTTCATGTCCATCATTTCATTTTCTTTTTCAAATTCCATCATAATTTTCTGTATTTGAGGCAAATTCATCTGTCTATTCATAGATCCCATAGCCTTTGTAGCGCCCTTCATAGCCTCTGCCATTTGCTGACTTGAGCGCAAAGTCTGCATACGAAGTCCTACAGCTTGCAGCTGTGTTTTCATTTGATAGAATTTTTGAACGTTACGTCGAGTACGTACAAGATCTTTAGCCATCACTTTACAGGCACCCATCTGATTTGCTTTAGCAGACTTCTTAATATCCATTATCAATTTCTTTTCTTGTCTTTCGAGTTTTTCTCTTTCACGATCGAGTTCACGTTGCGCCTTTGTGATGGCGCGTTGATGCTGACGAAGAAGCTCTGCTGGTGTTTTCCTCTTTCCAAATAAGAAATCCTTTTTTTTATTTATAGGAAAGAGAATTGTTAGGTTTTTTGAATGTTATTTTTTTCATTCCATCTTATGTTTCGACTAATTTAGCTTACCATTTTATAATTGCGTCTCTCTCACTCTCTCTCTTTATATATATATATAAATGTTTGTATGTGTATATTTATTTATTTTTATTAAATAAAACTGAAAAAAAAAAATGAAAAAAAATAAGGGCAAAATCACACACACACACCCAAATACTTTATATAGAAGGCGGGGCTTTAAATAGTATCATCAGTAAGTGAGTTTAATCGGCTATAATGCAATTGATTAGAACTTTTTTTTTTTCATTCATAAATAGCACCACTTAATACACAAGTCACCTTTCGTTTACTCCTAAATGTAAATGGACATTTATCATAATAAAAGAGCATGTTGATAAAGAAAAGATAAAAGGAGGGTGAAGATTCTCTAGATGAAGTTTATCAAACTCTACTAAAAATATGCTATATTTAGCAAGCACAACGTCTGTTAAAAATACCCGTTACCTTTTAGCCTTAGTTACAATTAATCATTCAATAGTAATGAAAGTGCATTAAACGAAAGAAGAATAATAATCATTATTCATGACGATTCTTCTTTGTTTTTGAAGAAGAAGAAGATAGCCTTTCCTACAAGCTGGGAATACTCTGCCATAGTAGTAACTATAAATAACATTTATCCAAATCTGTATACATAACAGGTTTTATTTTATTTATTTATTTATTTATTTTTTTCCTTCAAATAGAGAGTGCTTATGTAATCGATCTACGTGACAAATAGATACGCATTTATGCAAAGTCCTTTTTTTTTTTCTTAATTAAACGCGGAGAAAGGCATAATTGTGACTCTCCTTTTTTCTATCTAAATTTGTTACTTTTTTCTTCCTGCAAAATAAAGACATTTTAATGCCCTAGTCTAAAACAATCTTACATTAACATCATGGGTGCACAATCTTCAAAAGTAGTAAGGAAACTTCCTACAAAAGCAAAACAGGAAACATTTCAAAATGTACCTAAAGAGTCACCCTCCACACTTGGCCCTTCTATTGTTTCAGGTAAGCGGATTATTATTCAAAGAGGGAGGGAGAGTTTGTTCTTTTTTTTTTTTTTTTTTTTTTTTTTGTAAACTTTATAAACTGACAAAAAGCCTCCTTTCCAACATTAGACATCAAGACAGAATTTATTGAAAAAGATGGTCAGGATCCTCAACTACTTGAAAATTTAAAGATATTAGGATCTGTAGAAATTCAACCTACAGTTACTAAAATGAGAACAGTATGTAAATAAGGAAAGAAGAGAGAGAGAGAGAAGAGAGAGGGAGATCCTTATAAACAATCAATAATTTGCTTTTGTTATTAGACAGATACAATGTTAGGCATCATGAAACATAGAAAAGAAGCAGAAGAAAAAGAAGAAGAAGAAAATGTATCAACAGAATTGAAAGGCAATAATAGGATAGGTTCACTTTCAATTGATTTACTTTTTGAGTTATTTGAGCAAAGAAAACGATTGCTACCGGGTGAGATTGACCGACCGGAAATACGACAAGCACTGTTAAGAGAATATAAACTAGATACGGATGCTACACTATCGACCTTATTAAAGTATTATAATACAATGGCTATTATGCCTGTCCTTGAAGATGATAAAAATGAAAGACGTTTAGGTGTTTGGGTAGATAATAAAGTAGATTGGGAAAACAAAGTACGAAAGATAGAGGAGGAAAATGAAGAAATTAAAAAGGCAAAGCAGAAGGCGCTTGAGAATAATGATAATAATCAAGTTAAAAAGGCAAAGGAACAAGACAAATTATTAAAAGATCTCTTTGAGGAAGACTATTAGTGTTTCGTTTTTTTTTTATAAATTATTTATTATTAAACTCTATAATGTAGTATACAATACACATATATATGTGTATATATTAAAATTTAGCAAAGATGCCTTTTGTAATTTTCAATTTGAGAACTATCAAAATGATACCACCAACAATGTAAACAACGCCTGTAAATAGTTTGTAAGCCAAATAAGGTTGAGCATGCGCATTAGCCTCAATAGCACCAGCAATTGTAATACCAAAAATGGCTATGATATTAAATAAAAGTAAGATAGAGACGCCAGTACGATATTGTTCAGGAGTTAAAATGGCTGCTGTGATGGGTGTCACTGTATAAATAGAATGAATGAATGAATAAACTATGACATGACTACTTTACAGAATAATAAAGGAGGGAAACTTACTCATGGCAAAATAAGAACCACAGAACAAACCAAAAAGAACAGAAAAGGCAATAAGGACACCCAAATCGTTTGCAAAATTCCAAACTAATAAACTACTTAAACCTGCGCAGATAGTGAAAATGATATCTGCATTTAGTCGACCAATACGATCACCAATATATCTATTGTATACATGTGTAAGTGTTATTATAATGTATGTAGTATATACATGTGTATGTATATATATATATATATATATAAGAAAAAAAATAAAAACAGGTACATACCCAACTAAGATACGACCGATAAAGTTGGCTGCCGACATGATAGCAATTAAAATAGAACCGCTAGAAGCTGGAAGTTCTAAATAGGTAGCATAAGCGGGTACAAAGAAATAAGGAATAAAGTATCCCATTAAGGAAATGACAGATCCACATGCCCAAATAAAAAAGTTGGGGTTCTTTAAAACACTAATATCATATACATGCTTTAAGGATCGTTCTCCCTTTTTTAATTTAGCAGGATACCTGTCCTTTACAAAAATACACGCGATTAGATCACAAACAAGACAAATAAAGCCAAGGATACGGAAAGTCCAGGCGATCCCTAATTTATCGTTCAAAACATTGATGATGAATGGTAATACGAGACCGCCGATACCAGAACCGCTTGAAGCCATACCTAATGCAAGCCCTCTTTTTTTATTAAACCATAACGGAGCAGTTCCCATTGCGGTCTATTGTGAATTATACGTACAAAATTTTGTTAAATTAAAAGATATGATGGTACTTTATAATATACATACAACATAAAGAAGAGAAGCACCAGCTCCAAACATAATGCCTTGAGTTAAATAAAGATGCCAAATCTTTTTTTAAAAAAATAATAATAATAATAATTACATATATGCATGTATATATTGAGCAAACGCCATTTTTTTTTTCTTTTCTTTTTTTTTTTCCTTAATATTACCTTTGAACTTAAACTAGCCAATTCTAGGCCCAAAGTAGCCAAAATGGTACCGATGATCAAGACACTCTTGGAACCAAATTGAGAAGCAATAAGCTGAGCTACAGGGCCCATTAAATTCACAAAAATTTCTAATAAGGTGCCTACGAAACTTAACTGAAATTGTGAATCAGGCACTGTACCTCGATACACATTGAGGTCCAAATAGTCTTGCAAGATGCCTAGTATATGATAAATGGCGTAAAATTTAACTTCTATAATAATAATAAAAAGACTTTATTATTCCTTTTTGGTAAACTTACCCCTGTTAAATTAAATTTCATGATAAAAAGGAAGAAACGATTTGTTAGAACCTTTCATTAGCCCAGGTTTTTTTTTATCCTTATATAAAATGTAATAAATAGTATAGGATATAATGAAAATAACAATAATAATTATAGATGACATTATCAGTCGCTCACTTGTCTACGTTGTTGTTTTTTTCATGATCAAAGTTAAAGTGAAACATTTGATCAAGTATAAAAATTTACACAAAAGAAGAATTTTTTTTTTCCTTGTAACATATTACTTTACCAGCATGAAGCAACACCAAAACTAGTGACTTGGACCATGAATGACCCGAGAATCACGAGCCAACCATAACCGCCATCTGATATGTCATTTTCATTATCTTCGATGACGGTATGATTATTGTCGTTGACTCCATTTTCGGGATCATTATATTTTAAATCTAATATAATAATAAAAAAACAAGTAAAGTGGGGATGCAAGGTCAGATGTCGTCTAACATTATACACAATAATAATTGATCTATTTGTATGTATGTATTGATCTAGATACTTACGGTATTCATGGTCAGTCACAGGTTTTGTTGTTACTTCAGCTGAAGAAGGATGATGAGCCTCTTTCTCCGTTAAAGAGGATGAAAGACTTATATTACTATTATTATTATTATGTGTGAAAGCAGTAATAGGATCACCCATCGTAGTAACGTAATATTCAGTATTATTTTCTTTTGAGGTATTCATTATTAAAAAATAAAATGAAAAATAAAATGAAATAAAAGAAGAATAAATTTGTATATTAGAAAATGTCTTGTTTATATATGAATATATATATTTTTTATGAATAAGCAGTAATTAATAATAAGAATAAGAAGACTTCTTTTTTTCTTTCTTTCTTCCAGACTCTGTTGTTAAGTTTTTTTTTTTTCGAATTCCGTTTTTCCCTTACACTAGATCAGAGATACGTGTGTAATGTAACGCTACTTCTCATTCAAATATTTCTATTTGTAATGACTAAATAGTAACTTAGCAACAACAAATAATAGAAAATATTTCCATTTGAACTTGTTACAAGTTCACTTGTTGTATTCTTCAATTAGAATTGTCGTATATTTTAATTTGGCTTTTTGTATATACATATTTATTTATTTATTTTTTTGTGGCTTTTTGGAAGTTTCTAAAATACAAACTACCACTAGTCACAAATTAAAATTTCACTTGACACCTGGTTTTTTTTTCTGCTAGTTGATTTTTTTTTTTTTTTTTCTGTAATGTTTGACAGAAATTATATCATAACAGCGATAATATACTTGGGACTACGGTATATTCTTCATTGCATTAGTTAAATTCGGGGGAGAAAAAAAAAAGCAAAATAGAGTATGATGTTTTAATATTTGTGTGTGTGTGTGTGTGTGTGTGTGTGTGTGTGTGTGTGTGTGTATGTTTCTTTAGAGAAGTTATTTATCCTTGTTTGCTGTCAACCGTTACTTATAGGTTAAAGAAAAAAAAAATAATTTAACATTCGTAGATCTAATCTACTCAGGGTGTTATGATTATGTATCTATCTGGTTGTTGATTTGTCTGATGTATATTAATTCTCTGAAATTAAATTATAGCTAGTAGACTATAATTTATACTATTACTTTCTCATTGTTATGTGTACTTGATAATGTCAATATGATAGTTATATGCCGATATTAAATATATATATATATATATAATCATGGCTTAATAACATACACAACGTTCAATTGTAAAGACCTTTTTATTTAAATAATTGTTAAGCACGAAACAGAATGTTTACTAAAAACCCATAAATATGGCTTTGTAATAGTTGATAGTAAACTTCTGTAACACTCATTTACGATGTCTCTTCTTTAATGACTTCATCTCATTTGAGTTTACTTTGAGCAACTGACCGGAACTACTCTATAGAATTAAGTTGAAAGGAATAAGTAGGCAAATTTTAACACTTGTAGCACTTTTTTTTTTTTTTTTTTTTTTTTTTTTTTTTTTTTTGTAGAACGGATATTAAAACCTGCTTACTTGTGGATAAGTGCATTATATATGAACTGAACATATTATTCAAGACTACTCATAAAAAAAAAAGTCGATAATGGTTAGTTGCTATTCCCATTGAATGCCGTTATTATTGTTATCTAGACTACAAATGTGGCAATTTTTACCATGATATTAATAGCCACATAAACTATATAATTCCAAGGATAGTATGAGAAACTGCTTCTGTCTTTAATATTTCAACGCTACTCATTTCAATTTCGGATATCTAGTTAATAATACGTTTCAAATTAATATAGAAGTCTGATTCATTGATGAAAATACAACTTTTGAAGTAAAAAAGAAAAAAAAATTATATTGGTGTTTATTACATTTATAACTTTTTCCTTCTTTTTTTTTTGAATGGTCTTTTTCATCATTTCTTTTTACAATTATAAAAGATTGTCCCTGTCGAAAGTAAAGCCAATATCGTTTCTTATGTACATATAAATTGCTAATTTTTCATTCTTCAAGCCTTCAAAACCAGTAGCAGTTCACTTTTCAAAAACTTTGTTCGACGTTGGATGAAGAATTTTTGTCAAATAACTCAGTTACATATTCATAAAAAAAAAATTTTTTTTCCTTCGCCTCTTAGTTTAGGAATAATAATAATAAAAATCAGCCCGTTTTATATTGATTCCACCAACATTGATCAAGTTTGTACGTTGATATTTTACTTTCCCAAGAATAAAAAGCTTACGATAATTAGACATAGGGATAGAAATTATTCAATACAGAATTTATCCGTTTTAATTCGCATAATTTAAAGTGCCCTTGGATACTATAAAGAAAAGAATCTAGTTACAAGATAGAGAAGAACCATATATGTCTTCCGTTGAGGATATATCATATATATAAACTATACTCTATAGTGTCTGTTTGTTTAAATAAGTATTAGAAGGCTATAACATGAAGTTTTCTAACGGGCTTATTAATTTAGGTAGCTCGCTAAGAGAAATCTATTTAATAGAAATAATAATAGCAACTTTGTTTAGGATATAAAGATGAAGATTTATTTGGGAAACATTGAATGATATGCTTATTCCCTAGCTTATACATATATACTAACAAGTAGCCATTGTATGAGTCTATTAGATTTAATAAGATCTAGAGGCAATATCTGTTCGTATGTAGGTTGTTTCACTTTTTTTTTCAAGAAAGTAACTGAACACGTGTTTATATTCATGCAACCCTATACATTTAGACTTTAAGCTGCGTTGTTGACCTTTTAGCAGCAATCACAAATTAAGATTCCGAACATACGTAATGAATTGTAATCGATTATGTACTAAACAAAGTAGATCTAATCATTAACTTTTCTCCCATTTATACGCAAAAAAAAAGAAAGGAAGGCCATTTAGGATAAAAAGAAAAAAAAATCTTTATTATCATGTTATTTGATGCAAGCCATACTACTGCATGATAACATCGTATAGCTGTAATTTATAGCTGCAATTAATTAAACTGTTTCACAATAATAGATAAGATTAATGTGGAGAGTGATGTATAACATCATGAATTCAATATAGCAGCTATTATCACACTATTCCTCCTCCCCCCCCCCTTCTCTTGGTGTATGAACACATTTCTTCTGACTTAAAAATGGGCTAAGTTTTTGGACATTACAGAGGTGTTGAAGTTTTTTTTTTTTTCCTGATTTTAAGGTTGATAAAGTATTGCTGAATATACTCTTCAAAGAGCAGCGGCGACGTAAAAAAAAATACTTAAAATGTTAAAATTACGTAATATTTAACAAGCCAAACAAATAAATAACTCATAACATGGAATTATTAAAGAGTAAATATTCATTCAAAAAGGCGAAAATTCAATTGTATGTCTGAACTGACCTATTTTAATGTTATACTGTTTAATTTCTATAATTACAAAAAAAAAAATTCTATAAAATTACCTTTTTGGGAACTTTACGTAAAATTTGAAAGTCTTCTTTTTTATTGGCTATATGATTTGTAAAAGAGTTTTATTGTTGGCTTAAATTCATAAAAATCCTTTTTATAATGCATGCGAAACATGAATAAATTTTGCGAACCAATAACTAATTGGATTTATAGAATACACCAAAAGATGATTTTTTTACTTTCTGTTTGTTTGTTTCATGTTGGTTTTTTTTTTTCTTTTTTTTTTTTTTCTTTTTTTTTTTCACTATTCCTTTTTTCTTTTCTTTTCTCTTTCTATATTTGGTGTCGTTTGACATTTCTTTTTTTCTTTTACAAAAAGGAAAAAAAAAAAAGAAAAGAATGCAATCATTGACATTAAATGATGAAGAAAAGCTTTCAAGGAATGGAGTTAAACCGAATTTATCAGTTGATACAAACTTTACAAAGAAAAAGTCACCATGGAGTTATTTCTTTTCTTGTCCAAGAGATAAAAGAGCAGAATCCATCAATAAGACTGCTTCAAAACCGCCAATAAAACGTAATAGCTTACCATCACCACCACCACCATCCACTTTACCACATACAGCCCTTCAGCATCATAATACAGCTATAGGTTATATGCCTCATAAATCGAATAAAAAACCAATGGAAAAGACAACAACTGACAATCGTAATCATAAATCACCTGACTCGAATAGCATTCAATCAGCATTCAAGAAATTACACTTTCCACACTTTCATAGACGTACAAAATCAATGCAGTCATCTTTTGATTCAATGGATGATATCTATACACCTAGTGCTCCTGAACCTATCATACCTACCTTTGTTGAATGGTCTTCAGAGACACCTCTCTCACCTCCACCTTGGGAGCTGACAGATAAATTAAAGTCTTCTAAACGTCATTCGATGGTAGAACATAATATGATAGCGAATAGCGACTATAATAACGACACAACGAATCATGTTTTGAACCAAGAAAGTAATTATCATTCAGATTCAGAATGTGATAAATTGAATAATAATGACCTAAGTACTATCAATTCAATGAATCGTACAGCCAATGTAGCCTTGGTAGAGACAACTACAAGTACATCTTCTTTTAATAGCAATGCCACTTTATCCAGCCCTGTTGTCCAACGTCGATCCAGTTGCACAACATATGATGCTGTCTCTGTAAGCAGTATGGATACGAACATATCTTCCAAGACACTTGTTGAGAATGATATTATCTCGATTACCGAGAAACATACTAGAGATATGCCTGTTCTTAAACGATATAAGCATCCTTCAGAAAAGAAAACTCCATTAAAACCATGTCAAAAGGCCAAAGTACGAGCTGCACATCCTGAATACCTTACACATCACCACTCCTTTTCGTTTTGTGAGGATCATCTCAAGTATCTTTATATACCAAACGTATTTGATCCCGTCACAAGGGAGCCTATCTTAGAGTTTGCAACAATTAAGCCAAGGAAATATGAATTATATCGCAAGACAAGTTGGAAACGAGAGGCCAAGGCAATGATGACCTGGCATCATACATTGGAAGAAAAACTTCGAAAGTCATCACACGTGCCTATCTCAAACTTTTCCAGGGATTTGGTAAAATTTTAACAGTTGAAGCTTTTTTTTTTTTTTTTGACTAATAACAATGATTTTTTTTTTCATAAAGCCACGTGCAAAAATTGAAAAATATTTTTTGACTCGAAGATTTATTATCAAAGAGTTCTTTACAACAGAAGTTAGTTTCTGGAATCAACTTTACTATACAAAAATTGTATGTTTTATTATTATTAGTTTGTACATAATTTAAAGCTTATATCGTTTTTCTATATATAAATATAGGTTTTCTATGATGCATTTTTATATGCGTTTCAAAAGGAAAATAGACTTTTCAAAGAAGATGATATCGATCTTTTTGCTAATTTATTTGATCTCATGCAATTTTCCGCAAAACTAATTAACCACCTTCGACATCTTCAAATGGGGCCTGTCAAAGAAATGGGAATGAATCCATGTGGTAATATGGAATGTAATAATTTAAGACTGGGGAAGATATTGGTTGACATGGCAGAAGATTTTGTGGTCTTTTTACGATGCGCTTTGGATTATAAAGGTAATCGCAAGTGTTTAGATAGTCGAGAAAATACAATTGGTTATATACAATTCAAACAGGTAAGAGATAATAATAATAAAAGATGGATCTAGAGTATTATTGTATCATTAAGCTTATGTCTCTTTAACAGAGATTATTAACTCGAAAGGAGACAAGTCAGTTTACGATGCAAGACTATTTAATCATTCCTATCCAACGTGTTGCTCGTTATGGCTTATTACTTACAGGTAAATAAACGTGTTTGAAATATAATTGAGACAAAGTTTTTCTAAATTCTTCTTTATATAGATTTAATAAAGCATACCGAACCAAACCATCCAGATTATAAAAACTTACTTCGAGCACATCAAATCATTACAAGTCTTGCAATAGCAATGGATTCTGTTCAAAAGAAAAAAAAGAAGACTTAATCTAATACATAGTTTTATTTTGAGGGGAGGAGGCTTTACTTTGTACATATTTACTATAATTAATATTTAATGTTATACTTTGTAGAATACTAATACTAATAATACTAATAATAATGATAATAATATACTGATAATAATAATACTAATAAAAACAGTTATTTTATATATGTATACGCTGTAAAAAAAAAATCTATCTTATCATATTATTGCTATTCACTATCTATCATTCTTTTTTTTTATATAAGTACTTGCACCTAGTTCATGTGCCTTCATCCATTCTTTTACATCGCAAGACCAAGTCTTTTCATATTGTCCAAACCATCCTTTCTTCACTTTTTTAATCAACTTGAATCCATGCTTCAGACGTAAAATATTCGCAGCCTGACTTTCTAATTCATTCGTATTTGCCTCTACACGTTCAAGCCCATGTTCATCAGCCCAAGACATGACACGATCAATCAACAACGTCGACAGACCACAGCCCTGATAATCGGTTCGTACTGCTAAACGTTGTAATGTAGCCACCTTGGGTTCATGTGGTTCTGCAAAGACAGGAGTCGGCATTTGACCCTGAAGATCTCTCAACCAAACAGGCAAAGGCAAATGATACCTTTGACATGCTGCTGCCAACAATAACTTCCAAGCAGGTGGCTGCAAGGGGCGATTTGACAAGATACGTTCACGATAATGAGCTAAACCAACCATACCACAAGGTTTATTATCTAATGTCAATACCCAGAAATGAGAAGGTGTTTGTTCCTCCAAGGGTCTTTGAATACGAATGAGTTCTGTTGCGGGCTTTGCATTCTTATCAAATGTAACACGCTTTTTGTTTGGGTTATTATTATTATTGGATGTAGTAGTATTCGTCGTTGTTGTCGTCGTCATTGTCGTCTTAATTTGATTATCATCATCTTTAACTTCAATTTCTTGTTTTGTCCAGTTAAGATAATATATTTCGGGATCGCTAAGGTCGTTTTGTCGTGCTTGTTCGACTTTGTCTACAACTTCGAAGCGGTCTGTAATAACAAAGACGGAGGCAAAGGAAACAATAGACCATGCAAAAGTTAAAAAGAGTTTCAGAGCTATGTAGGTCCATGATGGCCAGTTAAGTCCAGCCAAGAGGATAGGAACAATAGCTAATAAATATGCATAAGCAGCAAACCAAATGACCCAAAATAGAGGTGACTTGAGTTTGTTTTTAACACCTTCTGGAACAAGTGTAAAATAAGTACTATAAAATAAATGATCAACTTGGTCATGATCACTTGCTTTGTAAGTTCGTAAAACTAAACGTGGTTTATCATCTACTTTGGCATCTGTCAATGTTGACATTTTAAAATTAGACAATATATATGTAAAGAAAAAAAAAAAAGGAAAGAAAAAGAAAGAAATAGACAGAAAAAAGGATTTCTAATAAAGTTAGCTACAGAAGTTCACGTTTTTATTATGTAATGATATTATGATGATAAATAGTTTAACTTCCGGTCCGAAAATCATTTTTTTTTTATTTTTTTTTTTTACCTATTCCACGGTTATTATAAAACAGAAGGTTTTGGGCCAATATTAGCTGTCTTGATTTGATGTACGGCTCTATCTCGCCATTGCTTAAATTGCAAAGCACTATCTTGGCCTGCTCTAAATACTATGAGAAAAAAAATAAATACATAAATAAAAAAAAAATTGCACACATGTATTTCTTACATTCTTTCTCTGTTTCATCTAATTTTTGTAGAAACTCCTGCCCTTTTGAACTATTTATGGTTCGTGAATAATTCATAGTTTCTTGAAGCCTTAATTTAAATGCCTATAAAATATAATTAATTTCCAAATAATATTCATAACATTACTTCAATACCTTTTGCAATATACCACCTAATTTATCATCTACAACTAGATCTAATAATTTAATGCCAAATAAATAAAAATAAGGACAAAGTAATCTAAAATCAACAAGGACAGGACTTGCATCTAGAGCATTTCTCACTTTTGTGCCATAAGTCTTTGGTAATTCAATCGAAATAAGGGAACTATTCATATTTGTAAGAAAAAAAAATAATGAATCAAAATGAAAGGTGTTTCTATTTATGTATTTGTATTTACTCATTGGCTGGTAACCTAATTGTACAAATAAGTTAATAACCATGAAAAAATAATAATAATAATGATCATCTTTATATCTATTTACGAATATTCTGCTAAGGGCTTAGCCATCCAATAGGGTAATTCAACTCGAGTATTACGTTTAACCTAATGACAGCACTATTAAATATATTTTGTTGACGATTCAAGCTTCAATTGTACCTCTGTATTGTTGCCATTTAAGTTGGCTTCCTTGGTATAATCATGAAGTGCAATGCATGGTATTTTCTAAAATATATATACATATATGTATAAGTATTATGTACTGGCACACACATCATATTGAAACGTTACTATTTGTTCTGCCAAGATGGAATCAATGTCATAGTACTCATCAAGCTCCATGGTTCTATCAAGGAGAAAAGACAAATTTTAACGCGTAGAAATTAATAACCGCGTTTTAATTTTTATTCATTTTTTTTTTTTTTTTTTTGGATTTGTCGCGGCGGTTATTTCTTTCTGTTGCTGGTGTATAATTGCCAAAATGTATGGATAATTATAAATATAAAAAAAGGGCGGAGGGAGGGGGGGGGAATTCAGATTTGTTGTCGTATAATCGCAGAAGTAACGCTCAACGATTTAGTCAGATGATAGTGTCGTCATCAAAAGCCGAATCACAATAACACGATTTGGTCTGCATCAGCAGCACCACCACCACCACCATTATTATTAGAGTATTGTTAAACAAATATATAAATAGTCCACAATAATAAAGAATCCTTCTTTAGATTTTAAAAGCTATCTTTATTTCTTTTATCAAATTTCCAACTAATAATAGGGATACTTTTTTTTTTTTCAAGATTCTGATTCTTCACTGACTTATTCTATCTTCTCCCTTCCCCTTTTTGTACTTTCTCCTTTAAGTTAAAAAAAAATGCCAAAATATAAACCATATCCAATACCTCTCGCAATTATTTCTCAAATCAAGTCCGTTTACAATATTGACTCTGATGAAGAAGCATGCCAACCTGCCATTATTCGAGAATTTTATGATACATTATATGCTAATCAATTAGAAGGAATAAAAGAGGTTAAAAAAGAGGATCGTGAAATCACTTTTAATGGTATCAAAGTTAATATTTCCATACTTCGTCCATCAAATACACCATTAAATGAAGTTTTACCTGTCATGTTGTTTCTGTAAGAACAATAAATATCTATATAAATCATTATTTATTTATTTTCTTGTATTTTGGCCATATAGACATGGTGGTGGCTGGATTGTGGGAAGCTATGATACTCACAGGATATTAACGAATGAGGTAAAAAAAAAAAAAAAAAATTATTTAATGTATCCATAAATAACCTTTCTTAATCATTAATACGTGTAACAATATACATTAGTTGGTCAATTTGATTCCCGCCTGTATCATTTTCGTTCATTTCTCTTATAGTCCAGAAGTAAAACATCCAGTGGCACTTGAAGAATGTTATGCAGCTCTTTGTTGGGTGCATCAACATGCTCAATCAATTTATGTGAATCCTACTCGTTTAGTTATTGCTGGTGATTCTGCAGGTGGTAATCTATGTGCTGGCTTAGCAAGTAAGACATATACCACACATACATACATCCTCCTCTTAATTTAAACTAAATATTATATAGTTTTGGCTAAAGAGCGTCAAAAGATCCATTTGATATCATATCAACTCCTTTTTTATCCTGTTTTGGATGTTGATTTTGATACTAAATCCTATATAGAAAACAAGGATAACTCAGTTTTATCAAGGGACTCCATGAAGTATGTTTGGGATGCCTATTTAACAAGTCATCAGGGTTGCTATCAGAAAGAAGTAACTGCAGTTCCCATGTCGGCCTCTCTAGATGTCTTGAAAGGTTTACCCCCAGTTCTAATGATCATTGCAGAAAAAGATGTCTTAAGAACAGAGGGTGAACTTTATTCAAAGAAATTAATGAAAGCGGGTGTAAATGTAGTTTGTACAATCTATTTAGGGACCCATCATGGATTCTTAACCTTACCTCAAATGTCAAAACCTCAATCAGAGGCAGCACTTGAACAGATTATAGGTATTCTTAGAAAACATTGGAATAGTCAGAGTAATAAGCTTTAATTAAATAAATATATAATATATAATATTTATATATGTATTACATATATGTATATAAAGAGGGATATATAAAACTCCAGCCCTCTTCTGTTTAATATTTTTTTTTTTTTTAATCGCTGTCTTCTTCTTCGATTTCTGTTTCAGATGAAGAAGAATCAGTTATTCTACTACTGGATGGTCTACTTGACTTCATACGATCAAAGACACTATTGACTACAGATGGTTGTCTTCTTGGATAGCGTAGATTCTCGCTGACAGAGACAGCGTCATCCAGGTCTTGTCTATTCTCGAAATCACGACGACCATAAAAGGAGCCAACAGGTGTCAGATCTTCACGCAAGTTTGTAGCTGTAATAGCAACAGCTGGCGATGTAATCTCATGAGGCTCCATAGGTAATTGAATAGATCCTTCTTCATGTATTGACATTGGTACTTTATCACGAAATGCAAATGGTAAAGGAATTTCTTTGATAGCATGATAATTACCAACATTATTAAGATGCTATATAATAATAATCATAAAAAAAACATATCAATAAATGTATATAATGTAATTTGTAAGAAAGAGAGAGAGAGGGGGGAATAGAGGAGGAGAAGGGGAAAGGAAAGTAGGTAGGTAGGTAGGTAGGTGTCAAATTACTAACCTCATTTTCTAAACGAAAGAAATTCCATTGAATACGACGATAAGCTTCCAATGAAGCATGAATAAAACCAACTAATTCACCCTTAAAACCCAAACTGGCAGCATTGATAGTCCATGCAAAACGTAAAATGACGTTAACTGGCGCAGCCACATAATACGTCCAACGATAAAAGACAAGCTCATTACGCAACAAGAAATGTTTACTGTTTGGCTGTAATAATCCCCAATCCATTTTAATATCCCAAATTGACGTATAAGATGAATTGATAATACAAAATAAAATCCAAACGACTTCCATAGACGCATTTGCTATTAAAAAAAAATTATTTTTTTTGTTGTTTAATATTAATAATAGTATATGTGAATATACTTACGATACATTCTTCGATAGCCAGTGGCTAAGGTAGATCCAATACTCGTTGTATATTTAATAGCATTGACCAAATGTACCTTTTCATGTGAGTCTTGATAACGACGAATGCATTGTAAAAAACGCCACCAAGGCGGTAAACAGGCCAAAAAAGGGGTATACCAAAAGATCTTCACTGGACAATTGGTGGATAAGGAGTCCCAATGCCAATGATAAGCACAGAAGAAATAAGTAATTGTCCAAAATGAATATGCAAGGCTGTTGAGTTCATCTGCAATAAAAAAGTCTCGAAATTCAATAGGAAATAAATAACTTAGAACGATACGAAATAATGAAATTATAAGCCATCGACGGGAAGAGTAATAAAGTATAGGAAAAGGACATGTCAAGATGGCCATGATCAGGACAAATAATATGAGAGGACAGAGTTCAGAAGGAATTAAAGGATCAAAGCTCTGTGAAAAATCAATGTACATGACTGCCAATAAAAGTAACAACATAAGTGAAGGAAGCTATACGAAAAAAAAATTAGTATAAATTAGTAACAAAGTAAACTATACAAGATAATACCTCTGCAAACTGATGATAATCCATATTATCTCTCGGATCAAATTCGAAAATGAATTTATAGTTAATATGGGATCGATGCCAAACAAGCGTATTTACGGCAAAACCGAGACAAAAAAGAATCGGTAAGCTAAAACAAGCATAGATTTGTAGATTATACTCTATATTAGGTATCCTTTCTCTTGTATTTGGGTCTATAACCAATTGTATTATACGTAGTAGCAAAGCTACTGTTAAACCAAGATAAAAGCCAGTTCTCCAAGCTGTAGGTGTATAATGCTATATATATAATTATTATAACTTAATCATAGTTGTATATATATATATATATATATATGTATACCTTATAATTGTATATTTACCTCTTCTTTTTCTGGAATTCTAAGTTGTGCCATACCTCTTCTACGATGTCCATCTGCAAACTCATTGATATAAAGGTTCTAATGCAATAAATCAACATAAAATATATTAGGTTAGTGATCTACCTGAGAAAAAAAAAAGCATAATCATTACCTCTGTATCTTCCATAAATACATTGATTTTATTTGATTTAATCCAATAATATTGCTTTATTTTTTGCAAATACAGAGGACTTGCTTTCCATCCAGCTGTTTTATCAAACTTTTTTAAAATCTTTTGAAAACCTGTTTCGTTTAAATCCTTTTAAAAATAAATAAATAAATTAATGATTGCTTCTACCTTTTCTTCCTCTTCTTTTTGTTTATACCTTATAAGATTTTAATAACTCCAGACTACGATAGTATTCGGTAATCGCCTTTTTAATCTACTTCTAGCCACCTGTGTAGTAAAATAAATAAATTTTTTAATATGTCATTGTTTGTAACAGTTTGTTTTTTATTCTATTATTTTTACGTTGTAGCCCATATGATGTTCGCCATTATATTCAACTGAAACCGGGAAGTTTGGAATATCTGTCGCAGTATTTGTTTCTCTTCTAAACCAATTAGCTGGATTCAACCGTCCTTCACTGTGTATAATATCATAACTTGACTATAAAATAAACCGGGTAAGTATATATGTATATATATAACTCTATCATTGTCAAATAGAATTTATTACATCTATATGTGATAATTGGTTAGCAAAATCTCTCACTAACTGAACTTGCATTTTTAGTGCTTCATATTTGGTTTCTGCCTCTTTTTCTTTTTCTACAATCATATATATAAAGATAAATAAAACTATTCTATAATAGTTCTTTCAATAATACCATTATAAAATTGACTGATTTTTTCCAAATCTTGATCCAACATAACAAAAAAGTATTGTTCAGGTTCACTTGCATACTTCAATGCTTCCTCAAATATAGAAAATGTCTGTAATGTTTGAACTATTTTTTTAAAAAAAAAAGAAAAAAAAAAAGAGAATAAATAAAACGGGAAATGATTACCTAATTTTTAGTTTTAACAATGTATTCTTTTTTTTTTTTTTTTTCTTTTACTTGGTATAGACGGCCGACTCATTCGATCTAATTCAGTATTGTCTTGATGTCTTCCGAATCGAAATGAGAGATGGTGAAATAATCCTTGTATGGGTAGATTTCTTGGTTGTAGTCCAGATGATCGATTGTCGAGAATAGATGATTGTGTTCGTGAAGGTGCTATACTGTTAGGCTTTGACATGGGTAATGCATTGCTCGGATAATCATCCATTGAATCATCCACCAAAGTACTAATAACATTTTGAAATCTGTTATGTGTTGAATTACTATGATTTAGTTTACGATACTAATAAAAAAGAAAAAAGAAAAATATTATATTGGTTATTGATATGCTTTTAATATATATGCGTAGAGTTTTTTTTTTCTTACTTTTTCAATGGCTTTTAACCTCTTTTTTAATCCTTTATAATTAATATAGGCTTTTCTCCACTCTGGAATACTATTTGATTCAAGATGTTTTGCAAATTTCATAGTGGAATAATAATAACAATAATAAAAAAAAAGTTTAAAAAATAAAAAAAAATTAATAAAATGACATTTTATTGTCACAAGTCTAAATTAACTGCTGCAGGTAACTAAGGTTACAAATATATTTTATTTTCAAACTCCATTCATATAGTAGCTGTAACATTTATTACCATGATCACAGAAATCCCTGATTATAATAATAGCCATTCTTATATAAAATGATACACATAAATGTATACCTATACCTTGTCATAAAATCTTACTAACAATAAAAAAAAAAAAACTACAAGGTTACATCATCAATCATCACAATGTGTGAGAATTTTATTTTAATAATAATAATATACACATAATACAAATACAAGAGAAGGGTATCATTAAATAAGAATATACATTAATTATCTTCACTTGTTGTCGATAATATAGAACGTATATCAAAACCTAAGTCACAAAGGAATTTCGTCATTTCTTCTTGACTTACATAAAGATCCCAATGTAAGAACCGTAAGAAAGCTAGTTCCATTCTAGTAATTTCTTTAATAGACCAAACATCACCTGTAGCATGAACAACATGTTTTGTTGATAAACAACGATCTTCACAATATTTACTTGCAACCAAGAGAGATGCAACAAAGATACGATGAGCTGCCTCTGGTTCAGCCTTATAGCCAGCTGGAAGAGCCTTTCTAAATCTTTGAACGTACATTAATGCCAAGACAAGATGAACTGGTTGAACGTCACATTTATCAGTAATTAATTGAATAAATGGAATAAGGTCAGGTAAGTGTGTATTTCTTTTCTTTATTATTCCATCATTTACATTATCAGTATTGATTTGACTTGAGTTTGGAAAGAGAATAGCATCAAAAGAAGACGAAGCAAAATCTATAACCAAAAAAAAAAGCAACGGTTTTTTAATTTTAGGGTTTCAGGGACAACAATAATGATGAACTATATATGTAATATATAAATATCTATATATTTCTATTTTACCTATGAAACCTGGAGGTATGGAATTTCTTGTGACTGTGTTGGGCAAAGCTAACATAATACAATAGATAAAGTTTAGGGTCACTTTCAAAGACTAAAAGTGCGAAAAAGAGAAAAAAAAAAAGAAAAAAAAAGAAAAAGAAGAAAAAAATTTGAAAAATTAAAACAGATAGATTATTTATAGTTTTTGAAAATAGACTAAATTTTTATCCTGAGTTATTTTTTTTTTTTTTTTTTTGATAACAGCAGATTAACACAGAAGTTTATGGCTATCAGTTGATAAAGAAAAGGAAAAAAAAAAAAAACTATAAATAATAAACTTCTGCTGAATTTTAATGGTGGCAGGTTTCTTTTGCCTTTTCTTTTTAAAATAATATTAAAATGGTAGTATTTTATTTTATTAATTTAATATTATTAGCTTTCGTTTATTATGGGTTTTCATATTTGAACTGAAACAAGTGAATAAAAAAATTTTTTTTTATCAATTTAATCTCTCATTATTATATAATAAACACATCTTTAGTAAATTCAGGGCAAAATTCTATTTTGATACACTATTTTTTCCGAAATGCAATCGTATTTTGACGAATTAAAAATCAATATTACCTGACAGTTATTACAAATGTTACTTTAATATCTATAATATCCATTAGAAGAAGTCGTACTGTTTTTTCTTTTTCTTTCTAAATGAACGACGTCGCCAATTATTCTGAAGTTATGTCACACTTTCCAAAATTAGTGACTCATGTTGAATAATTTAATGTCACACGGAACATTTTGTATAACACCTGACCTACAGCGTCTGTTTTTTTGTTTTACTCCCTTTATGTTTCAACATGATTTTTATTTTTCAAATATTATTTTAATATGCTATTCAGATAGTGTTCAAAAGTACTTATTGCTATATATAAAAAAAAAAAAAAAAAATACAAAATATGCTATAGAACATGTATATAATGGAAATGACTTTTATTTTGGAATATGCGATATCTACAGTATTTTGCATTTATATTTAAAAGAAAGTTTTTTGAATCCAACAATAACTATATGTCAATGTAAAAAATAAAATAGTTACGGGCTAGTTCGCAACAGAAATTTTAATTATGGTAACAGGATGGTAGGAGATACCTTATTATAGCTGACTATTGCTCGAGTATTTAAAAAGACAAAAAGGAAGAAAGAAAGAAAGAGATGTCAAGACTTGTTACTAATACAAGGGACGATTTTAAATGAATGCTTGAATTATATCAAGATAATAATAAAAAGAGGCTATTATAGATATTTATATCGACCATTCTCTATGACAGAGATAAATAATACAATACACTTTTGTGTATCTTCTTAAGGAGGAAGACAGCTGTGCACCTATTTTTGAATTAAAACAAAAAAGGTCAAAGAGACAAAGATGTGCGTCTTTATTATTATAGAGATTTAATGTAATAATTTGCATATTTACTTTTGCTTTTATACTGGTTTACTGAAGAGAGAGAAAAAAACATAATAATATATCATTGTTTTAGATAAATAAGATGGTTTAATAATATAAATAATAGACCGGATACATTTGAGAGCAATATATACGTATACATATATTATTTAGTTAGTATACATAAACCAAGTATATGTCCTATTTTGAATAATTTAAAGCTTTTAGAAATTTAGCCTAGTCGTGAAGTACTAACAACGCGTGCATGATCTAACAATAAATTCGTCTTTGCTCCATAATAAAGACATTCCAACTCTACTTCAAACTCAGGTATTCTCTCATGTATATCATCATCATCTTCTTCTTCTTTATCGTCTTTTAAAATATTGCCCCTTAATTGCATCTTTTGTTTTTTCATTTTATATTCTACATGGGCTACGATTTGATCAAACATAGTTTCTAATCGTGCTCTTAGTCCACCATATCGGTTCTCAACTATTTCCCATCCAAATGGTTTAAATGTCTTCATCCACATAGCTCGGTGACATCTCCACAACGCATCAACTTCTTGACGTAAAGCAGTTAGTCTTCCATGGGCTAGGGCCAAAAGGGTATGATAATCTTTGGCCTTGTAGGCAGCTACACAATGCTTTCTAAAGTGACATTTTAGTGATAACACTTTAGCAATACGTCGTGGAAATTCAAGTCGTTCATTCAATGGAAAATTAAATATGGTCTTTTCTTTAGAAGTTGCTTTGGATAGGTATTGTTCAATGCTTGCATAATGGTTTTCAAGGTCTTCATCTATATATTGTGGTGATAAGAAGCTTAAAAATGGATCTACATTATATTATTTAGTTTAGTATATATGTATATATATCAATATGTTATTACATTTATTTTCCTTTGCAAGTTACCTTCCCATAGTAACCATTTGCTCATGTTATTTGCAAAGTTAGATCTTGGCGTAATTGGTATTCTTTCAGGTATATCATCAATCTATAAATAATAAGATGAAAGCTAATTCATATTTACTTTCTCCTTTTTCTTACCTTTGAAGCTAATGTCCAATCATCAAAACTGGCACCACAAATAGCCTCTATATAATTGATATAATTAACCAAAGGTATCTAAAGATAGATTATATCTATTCTTTTCTTTTTTTTTTTTTTTTTTTTTTTTGTTTATACCAAAATTTCTTTTCAATAATTGAATATCTACTTCTTCAAATTCAGTATAGCCATGCTGTGCAAAATAAAATAAAGCAGGTAAAGAAGAGAGCCTAAATACAGAAGTTTAATATGCATATGCATGGACTATGGAAAAATAGTTATATAAACATATTTACAAATCACACTCATTGCCTTCATCTCCCCAAGTAGTAATGAATGTATTTCGAACCCCTTCATTTTTATTCTTTGAAGCTACGATACTAGCTTTAACTGCTTCATAGGTAAATGGTAATGCTGTCCAAAAGCGAGTCCAAGTCCATGCAGAAGCTATATATAATAGAATAGTAATATCAGTAACTGTGATAGTCGATATATATATATATATATATATATAATATGCTTTACTTGCTACCCATGGATCTTGACATCCCATTTGTCGATGCTGTTGAATCTTTTGTAAATATATATCAGATGTTGTATGGTAATAATCCCAAAAGATTAATTTTATATTTTGAGGTAAACTATTAACCACTAATTCCTGTGTTGCTGGGTTATTGGATTCATCATAATAACCTAACAATGAATTATTCTTTACAGCTATATTTGATAAAAACATGAATTTACTTCACTCCATTTTTTATATTTATATAGAACAAACCTAAACAAAACAGCACTACGCGCATATATATGTATATAAATGAACAAAACAGAAGTTAGCTGGTTAGTTTTTTTTATATGTATACCCAACTTTAAGTATCTCTTACTGTCCGACCATATCATTGGCTCTAAATCATTCCTTTGACATATTTCATTCACCTTTTGAAGATGTTCAAGAAATATCTGCGTTGAATCTTTACCATATCCATAAATCTGTTGATACCTTCCTTCTCCCACTCCATGAGCTTCATCCATACCGATATGAATACGTTTAGACCGAAAAGGCCGACTAATAGCTCGAATCATCTTTTCAATGAATTCATATGTCGCTTCTGACTCTGGTAATAGTACTTCCATATTATCACGTAAGTAAGCATAGTGTTGCCATTGTAATACTTGACCCATATGACCCAATGTTTGAATACAAGGTATAACCTCAATGCCGCTATATACATACAGACATATATATGTATAAGTTAGAGTTAATATAATAGCTATAGAAAGATCAATTATTTTTTCTTTTTTTTTTTCCACTTACAGATCAAATGCATAATCGTCAATTAAAGATAGTTCCTGTGCTGTAAATTTACCTCGAAGATAACCAAATAAAGGTTCACCTTCAATTTCATAAGTATCTTCTGTGTAAAGTTGTAACATGTTTAAGCCCATAAGTGCCATATTGTTCAATAAGAAATACACTGTTTTTAAACGTAAGACACCTCCTCTACTACAGTCAATCATCACACTATACGTAAAATAGTTTTATGTTTATAAACAAAATTAAAAGATAAACATTTTAATATGCTTACCCTTGAGTATCAAACTGTGCCTTTTCCATAAAATTGACTAATTCACCATGAATACCTGTTAAAACCATATAATCTCTTGCACTACCCAAAATTCTACCTAATCCTCTAAAAGCTGTATATATGTATGTATAAATGACCTTGGCGTTATATTACATAAATACTTTTTTTTTTATTATAGTACCATCAATTTTTCTGTGATATCGAATCTGAATTTCAAATTTATCTCCTGTAGCAGAGCCCATTTCCAGGTAATTGTTATAATTGCTCATAGAGCTATATTCACCTTCACGTAACGTATTATCATAAATAAATCTATTTATCAATAGTATATATGCATATACATATATGTATATACATATATATATATATATATTTAGTATATCAATATTTAGTCATAATGAGAGAGTGCATTGGAAGATACTTTTACTGAAGATGCCAACGAAATTCACTAGAGTAATCATCTCCCATATCGTTTTCACTCACCAGATTGTTATGTGGTGCGTAAGTCATTAGTTTCGAAAGACCATCTTGTATTTCTGCTGGTTGTTGTGTCAGGTCAATAATAATAAGCACTGCATTAGGTTGGGTAATATAATCACTCTGCGACATGCTGTCATCTAACTGAATATTAAAGTCGGTCATTTATATATGCAAATAATTACAGATAATAAATATACAAATATGTATATATAAAAAAAAAGAGCATAAAAAATATGTTGCTTCATATAAAATTAAACACAGAATTTTATTGGAAACATAAAAAAAAAAAGAGGGGAAGGGAAACTTTATTTTTAACTACTTTTTTTTTTTTTTTTTTTTTTTTTTTTTTTTTTTTAGAAACAACAATAAGCTTTTCCATAAATGAGGATGAGAATGGTAAAGATGGGTATTTTTACTTTCTCCAAGAACTATCTTGAATCTAGCAATTTAGAGAATTATTGCTGTTTTCTCTGGAAATATACGAAGAAAATTGCATGTTCCAGTCAGAAAAGTTAAGGAAGTCATCAAAAAAAAATATATACATATATGAATATACCTTTATCCTTTATACAGATAAAATATGCAACTATAAATCATGCAAGTGTTTTAGTATATAAACTAATTTCCTATATAATTCATGCTTCTTTATATTATACTTGCATATTGGTACTATCTGTTGTAAAGTAATACAACATAGTGTCTTGCTTTGTTTTATTTTATTTTTTTCTTTTTGCTTGCTGATATTAATTCTTTGAAAAATGTAAATATACGTCGATGCATAAAAGCAATTTCCTGTATGTAAGAGAGGATATATACAACTAGCTAGCTAGGCAGAAATAAATAAATAAATGATTAGATAAAGTTATAGGGAAATATACAGTATGACAAAACTAAGAATTCTATATTTTATTTTACATGAAACAAAATAAAGGAACAATTCTATGTTTTTTTTTTTACAAGATGTATAACGATATCTATATTTGTATATATAATAATAAAAGCCTCTCAAATATTAAAAAAGTCTAAGAAAAAAAAACTCCATGTGATGACGCAATTTAATCAACTTCTTCGATGGAAGGACCGTCAGTTTCAGCAGTGTTACCACCGGCAGGGAAACCACCAGGAGCAGCACCAGCAGGGAAACCACCGGGAGCGGCACCAGCAGCACCACCTTGTTGTTGTTGATAGAACTTCATCATGATGGGGTTAGCAACTTCTTCCAATTCCTTTTGCTTAGATTCATATTCTTCCTTGGAAGCTTCTTGAGAGTCATCGAGCCACTTGATAGCTTCATCAACAGCAGCATTCAACTTGTTCTTATCTTCTTCACCAAGGGCACCGCCAACCTTCTCATCTTGAAGGGTGTTACGGAGGTTATAAGCATAGGATTCCAAACCGTTCTTGGCTTGAATACGAGCAGCGGCGGCTTCATCTTCAGCCTTGTACTTCTCGGCTTCGTTAACCATACGTTCAATATCTTCCTTGGAAAGACGACCCTTATCGTTGGTGATGGTGATCTTGTTGGACTTACCAGTGGTCTTGTCGAGAGCAGAGACGTTCAAGATACCGTTAGCATCGACATCGAAAGTGACTTCGATTTGAGGAACACCACGAGGAGCAGGAGGAATACCGGTCAATTCGAACTTACCAAGCAAGTTGTTATCCTTGGTACGGGCACGTTCACCTTCAAAGACTTGAATGAGGACACCAGGTTGGTTATCAGCATAGGTGGAGAAGATTTCAGACTTCTTGGTGGGAACGGTAGTGTTACGCTTGATAAGAGCAGTCATGACACCACCAGCGGTTTCAATACCGAGGGAAAGAGGGGCAACATCCAAAAGAAGCAAGTCTTGGGTCTTTTCGGAGGTATCACCGGAAAGAATGGCAGCTTGAACAGCAGCACCATAAGCAACAGCTTCATCAGGGTTGATAGACTTGTTGGGTTCCTTACCATTGAAGAAGTCAGAAACCAACTTTTGAACCTTAGGGATACGGGTAGAACCACCAACAAGGACAATATCGTGGACTTGGGACTTGTCAATCTTGGAGTCACGGAGAACCTTTTCGACGGGTTCCATAGTGTTACGGAAGAGATCTTGGTTCAATTCTTCGAAACGGGCACGAGTCAAAGAAGTGTAGAAATCAACACCTTCGAAGAGGGAGTCAATTTCGATGGTGGTTTGAGCAGCAGAAGACAAGGTACGCTTAGCACGTTCACAAGCAGTACGGAGACGACGAACAGCACGAGCGTTACCAGAGATATCCTTCTTGAACTTACGCTTGAATTCTTGCATGAAGTGAGAAACGAGACGGTTATCAAAATCTTCACCACCCAAGTGAGTATCACCAGCAGTGGCCTTGACTTCGAAGATACCATCTTCAATGGTCAAGAGGGAAACATCGAAGGTACCACCACCCAAATCGAAAATAAGGACGTTACGTTCACCTTCAACCTTCTTATCCAAACCATAAGCAATGGCAGCAGCAGTAGGTTCGTTGATGATACGTTGAACATTCATACCAGCAATCAAACCAGCATCCTTAGTAGCTTGACGTTGACCTTACATAAGAGAGAGAAAAAAATAAATATAGGTTAGAAGTTTAGTTCCCAAAGAAAAAAAATTTTTTAACGTATTTTAAAGAACGCAGAAAAAAATGCACACAGAAAACCAAAAAAAAGATATAGATTTTTTCGTTTAAATGTGCGCATCCCGTTCTTAAATATTACACACATTATTATTTGTACTTACTGTCGTTGAAGTAGGCAGGAACGGTAATGACAGCGTTCTTAACGGTGGTGCCCAAATAAGCTTCAGCGGTTTCTCTCATCTTAGTGAGGACCATAGAAGAGATTTCTTCAGGAGTGAAAGTCTTGGTTTCACCCTTATATTCAACTTGAATGATAGGCTTAGAGTCCTTATCAATGACCTTGAAGGGCCAGTGCTTCATATCAGCTTGAACTTCAGCATCATTGAAACGACGACCGATCAAACGCTTAGCATCGAAAACGGTGTTGTGAGGGTTCATGGCGACTTGGTTCTTAGCAGCATCACCAATAAGACGTTCAGAATCGGTGAAACCGACATAAGAAGGTGTAGTACGGTTACCTTGGTCGTTGGCAATAATTTCAACACGATCGTTTTGCCAGACACCGACACAAGAGTAGCTAAAGAAAGAAAATAAAAAGATTAAGATTTCTGTTTTGTTTTGTTTCTATTTTTGTAATAAAACGCGTTGTTGTAAGGAAGAAAAAAACTTACGTAGTACCCAAATCAATACCAACTATAAAGAAATAATAAGTTTTTGTTAATATTTAGCTTCATATATAAAAGGAAAGCAGCGTTTTATAGACTTACCAGACTTTCCTTCAGACATTTTTTTTTGTTATCAAAAAGAGATAAAGAAAAAAAAAAAAGAAATGAAAATTTTATTTTTGCGTTTTAATTGTTCATAAATTTTTTTGTGACAAGTTTGGAATTAAAAAGAAAGTGGTGGAATTCTAGTGATATTTTTAGGACTTTTAACTGGGTCATAGAAAAAGGAATAGACTATCACATAAGTAAAAAAAAAAATGAGTAAATTGATCTAAGGGGAAAAAAGCATTAAACGCTTCAATTCTAATATTTAAATATGATATAATATCGTAGCATTAAAGTTAATAATTTATTTATTTTTTACTACTTTGGCAAACTATACTTCACATAAAGATGATCTTTTTTTAATATACTAAAATTAAGATTATAACTACACAATATAACTATATTTTTATTAAGCTTATTTCTTAATTTTTCTGAATCTTTGCAACTTCACAAATAGTACATATCTTGCCTTCATAGTCTGGTTTATATGATGCTTTACAATAACAGCATTCAGCCTTAGGAGATCCACGATAAATAGGTTGGAATGTAGCCGCACATACATCAAATGGATTATATTGATCATAATCAAATGTTATCTCGTCATTCATAGTACGATCACAAACAGCTTGAATCTTACGAGCCTATACATATATACATACATGTATATATATTTTTTTTAAAATATAATAAAATAAGCATACATCATTATAAAGTTTATATTTTATTTTACCTCTTCAGCTACTGTACGTGGTGGCGCAAGTTCAAGTAATCGACTAGCAAATTGTGACGCAGTTCTGAAATTCTTACATCTAAAAGCTTGCTTTGTAGCTTGTCGTAAAGCTAATTGCATATGAGGTGTTTGTAATTGACAATGTGCAAAGTAAGCTGCCAATTCAAGAGCTCGCTTTTGGTCTTCAGATGTTTGACCTGCAATCGAACGTCGTTCTTGCTCCATTGCTAAACCTAACAAATATTCACGACAAATATCTACTAACATTAATAATTCATTTGCATCAGTCTCATTTGTAGTAACAGTAAACAAAACAGAATGTAATAGCTGTTTAAATTGTTGAGCAGCAGCTACTAACTTTCCAGATGTGAAGAGTCTATATGCCATTTGTAATTGTGTTGTAACGATCGATTGGAAGTTATAAACGGTGACGGGTAACGCGTTACGTGGGTTAGAATTCTCAGGAGATCGGCGAAGGCCATATTGAATGCTAGGATTGCTTGCGACTCCCTCAAGAGAAATACGACTGGCTTGGTAGATAGCCATGAAATGAGATTTGAGTGGTTCAAATTGAACAATGCCCCTTTCTTTGTTAAGGATTTGCATAGCTGTTTCAAAGGAACCAGCTGCAATATGATCAGCTGCAATCTTTGAATTTTGTGACCAAATAGTTGTTTCGTTAACACCTTCATCAGGAAAGACGTATTCAGCCATTTCTTTAGCTGCTACATGTCCCATCTCAGCATCCAATTCAGCTTTAATATCATCATCATCATCCCAGCCACCTTCATTCATATCATCTTCTTCCTCTTTGTCAAATTCTGTTGTTGTTGAAATCAAAACATCGTCATTCTTGTTACCACCAAAACCGATATCATCATCTTCCCAAGCACCGCCAGCTTCCTCAATATTATCAATTTGGTCATCAAAGGTAAATGCAGGTGTACCTTGTTGTTTAACAAATGCACCTTCAAAAAAGCTTTTAGAGACCGTTAAGAGAGGCCAGTTAGGATCTTCTAAGCTCTCAATCACAGGTTTGGGAGTAGGTGGTAAACGATCCTCAACTTCAGGCAATTGTATCTCATCAGCTGTCTTTCCTGCTGCTGCCAAAATAGCCTCTGCTTCCTCCTCCAAACCATGAGTTTTAGCTGTCATATATGCTAATCCTGACTGTCCAACGTCCTGCAACAAGCGAACACGTTCCTTGATATCGCCCAAATAGATTGCATTCTGGAATCGCATCAAAGGGTCCTTCTGAAGCTGGGCAATTTCTAGCATCTTACGAAGATTGGCATGATTACCTTGCAAAAGATACAAGAAGGATAATTTATCCATCTTTTTCGTACGTTGATAGGCCATCTCAACAATTCGATAATTACCATGTCGAAGAGCTTCAGCACCCAATTTACTCCAATAGTCTGGCTTATTTACTGCCTTGGCTGTTTCTAAGGCAACTTCCAAGTTGCCACATTCAAGTGCCAGTTCAAATCGTGTTTTATCATCACGAACAAAATGCAAGGCAATTTCAGGGTAGCCCTTCTTTTGAAGATAGGCAATAATCGATTGGCCGACCAAGTTAGAAGTACGAATAATGTGAAGAACTTCTTCGTATTGCTTCTTAACAAGTGCAAGCTTGAATCGGTATTCGGTTGGGTCAATTACAATCTCACGTACTTTACCATCACGATCAAGTGCATAGAGTTTTTTGCCCTTGATGCGTGTTAAGTAAATAGGTTGATCAAGGGTACGAATAATGCCATTATCACCTTGTGAAAGAGCGTATTTAATATGATTCAAAGTACAATAAATCAAGACACCAAGCTCATCCCAAGTTGCACTCTTAATACGGATTGTTTCGTGAATTTGGCTGATTTGTTTCAAGTCCTTGGTTACAATTGTAATTGTATGTTTGGCAAGAAGGGCAATCATGGACATATCATTAGACCATGAGACATACTTGACATTCGAAACAGCTAATTCAGCTGTAACACGACGCTGTTGAATGTCAAACAAAAAGACGGAGGTAGCAGTGGCCATCAAAAGTGTACCAGGTCCTGCATAAAAAATATCGGTAACTTGTCCAGGAGTTTTGAAGGATTTAGTCTCCTTATTGGAGAGATCTCGAATTTGAATAAGTTGGTTTGTCTTGTCAAAGACAGCAAAACGATTACGTGCAATAAAAAGAGCAGCATGACCGCTGCCTTTCATAGATTCGTCTGAGGGCTCCTGAAGTGTACCGCCTAAGTTTTTAGGAAGACGATAGAGTTCATATGTACCACCTTCATATGGACTAGTTAAAAGGACAGCCCTTTCAGCTGGATTATAGGACAAGGTACGAGGAGCAACAAATTGCGAACCTAACTTGCGAACTGACATAACTTCTTGATCAGCTGTACTAGGGAAATCATGAATATGCAAAATATTATGCTTTGTATAGTAGAGTTCATTATTATGCACTTGGAAAGCAGGACGTTCACGTTCAAGCTTAAAGACAATTAAACCACTATCGTGGCCTGCAGCAAAAAGGTTAAGTTCAGGATGCGATGTCAAGACCCAGAAACGATCGTGATCTCTTCTAAAAGTTGCAACTGCTGTACGTTTTGCTAAATCCCAAACACGGATTGTTTTGTCTTCACTATCAGATAAAATAAGATCCTGACGTGGATGGAAAATAGCACTTGAGACGTTATTGTAGTGACCACGGCAACTATCTACTTCCCAAGCCTTTGTATCTATAAAAAATAAAAAAATAAAAAACGATTAATAAACTTCCAATTACTATAACACTATTTTAGTTTACCATTCATTCTCCAAAGCTTAACTTGACGATCATCACCAGCAGAAATAATTAAAGGAAGAGTAGGATGGAAAGAAGCCCAATTAACACCATGATCATGGCCTTCCAATACATATTTCACCATTACATCTGTTAATCCGAACATATCACCTCCAGCACTAGGTCGGCCCATATCATCCATTGTCATAGAAGTAGGAGCTTGTGATTTCTTGCGTAAACCTAAATTTAAGAAGAGTTAGAAAACGATTTACTCCTTTTTTTTAAATTATGTTTACCTGTAATATCCCATACACGCACAGTTTGATCCATAGAAGCAGAAACAATCAAATCTGTCTTTGGATGAAATTGAGCGCACATCACATAATGATTATGGCCTGTCAAAATAGCAATACAAGCTCTTGATTGCCAGTTCCAAATACGAATTGTTTGATCATCTGAAGCCGAAATAATCCAAGGTAATTCATGATGGAAGAATACAGTACGAACGTAGTCAAGATGACCGTTTAAAGTAAATAAACAGCGGCGAGTTTTATAATTCCAAACCTTGATTTTATAATCATCACCACCAGAGACAAATAAAGGCTGTGTAGGATGAAAAGCAATACCTCTTACAGGACCTATAAATAGTAAAATGAGTTATAAATGTTTAAATTATGCTTGTTGTAATTACCATCATGTTCTTCGAAACGCTCAAGTAAGGTACCCATTCGATAATCCCAAAGCTGAATACAGCCATTATGTAATGAAGCTAAAATCCAAGGACGTTTTGGATGAAAAGCAATGCCTTTAACACGATTGCTTTTGGACTCAAACTAATCCCAAAATACGAATGATGAGATTAAACGAAATTGTTTTTTTTTTTTTTTTTGAAAAAAAAAAGAAAAAAGAAATTACCTTGGTGAGCATCTGCATTTTTGTATGTTATAATGCTGTTTTTGTTAAAATGAGTATTTTTTTTTTATTTAAGAAAATTTGTCTATAGTTTCTTTTGTATTAAATCAACAATCTGTTTAAGAAAAAAGTTAAGTTCATCTCTTAATTTTGCGCGTTTATTAAGTATACCCAAAAATAAAAATAAAATAAAATTGGAGTATGAAAATGGCCTATTAAACAAAATTAGTAAAAAAAAAAAGAAAAAAAGTTACATGTATATATAAAAACATACTAACAAAATAAGAGAAATTACTTATAGAAATGAACTGAATCCTTTTTGTTTATAAATTGGATTGTTATAGCAAAGATAAAAGTAGGTGGTTTCCAAAATTAAATCTTATTATTCAATTACAACTACCGAAGAGCTCAAGTATAATTAGCATATTACCATTGGCCAATTAGCTTCTTGAGTGACGTGTCAGGTAGAGAATAAAAAAAAAAAAAGGCACATTCACCTTTTTTTAAGAATTATGTCGTACTTTAAAATTTTAAGATATCAAAGAAATATGAAATGAATGACATTATATTTGAAAGCAAACTTAATGGAGTGACAAATAAGTAAAATAACTCAATAGATAGTCAATATAATTAAAAAAAAAACCTTATACTTACCCGAATACATTGTATTAGTGAATCTAGCTAATAATTGAGCAGTGATATTTATTGATTTTTGAAAAGGATATAGCGCTACTATTCATCTTTTTTATTATATTGTTATCTTCTTGAATTATATGTGTATACATGTATATTCTTCAAAATAGAAGAATACTAAAAAATACTGGATACAGTACTATGTTCATTATATAAACAGACGATGGCGAATATATCGAGAGTAGCAGCCAGGTCACTTTCGTATAAACGATAAATAAATCCAAGCTTATTAGAAATGAATTCTTAAAAGTCTTGACTATTATGACATTCTTTTTTTATCAACATAAGGAGTAGATGTTACATTATAATAAAAAAAAAGGCTGAGGAATTTATAAGATAAAATACATCTCTTATGGAATTGAAATACTACTGTATTTAACAAAATAATTACTATTGTTTGTACTATTTACTTCTAGAAAGGTATTTCTGTAAGATTTCGGCACTATTCAAGAATTTGGGATATATAGAAGAAGACAAAAATAGCAAATCAAAAGAATAATAAAGTCAAGATTTCTGCTTGGTTACTACTAGACTCCTTAACATACATTTTGTATAGGCTTCAAAGTTATTTTTACATGCTAAGAGTTAACTAGTTTTTCTATTCATATCTTATTATAACTAACTTAGTATTTACTTTATATTTAAAATCAATACCTTCCATCTCAATCATCATTTCAAGAAATCATATTTCATCTCTGTGGAAAATCATTTCCGAAAAGACATAGTTATTCAAAATTAACTATACCATTTTATTATGTTTTAAGAAAAAATTACTTAATGATATGTTATGCCGTATGAATTATGTATGCTGTGGCTGATGATGGTATAACTGTCCTTCTTCTTTATCAGGTTTTATATATTTATAGCTCTCATTATTTAATCCATGATCCTCTCCTCTCTTTCTCTTGTCAAGTTGAAGATGATGGCCTGATAAAAATAGAGATAATAGTTTTATTTGCCTAATAGCATTATTCACTTCATGATATGTCTCCAATACTGAAACAAACTTCAAGTCAAAAAGTTCAAGTCTTTCAAATGGAGGATCATCTAACTGATATCTTTTCACTAGATTTTCACACAATGCTTCCAGACTGTGTTGTCCCAGATATTTAGACTTGGCTAAAATAGCTGCATAACGCTCTTCATCATGTAACGCATAATATTGTTTAAATGTAATTGGTATTTGGTTAGTCTTCTGTAAAACTACTAAATAACCAGCAAAGATAGCTAAATGGTGAGCAAGGTCCCAAAGCACTTTTGTATTAGTAAGTTCAATATGAATACGTTTAACAGAATGGGCAAATTGATCAAAAATTAGAAAATACCCCTTCCAACTGACTGAGGGTAGTTGAATCATGCGAAGAGAAAGGATACCGTAATGTCGAGTGATACGTGGTATAATAAGTTGAATGAAAATATCTGTGATTTTTCGATCATTTTTAGGGAAAAGAATATTGCTTGTCCAGATTTCTGGGCTTTCGTAAATAAAGGATCGAAGTCTTGTATGGCTATCACCTAAAGAAAGTAAATCTTGTAGGCTTAATTTCGATGTAATTTTGATAAGGATCTGATCAGGTAAAGATATGAGATCCATTACGTTAAAAACTAAAAAGAAAAAAGAAAAAAGAAAAAAACTAAAAAAAAAAAGAAAAAATAGAAATTAAAACTTTAGGTACTTTTTACGTATGACAAGCATATATCAAGAACTACGTTTAATAATATATAAAATGCAAATATATACATTTTTATATGTGTATAATGAATTACAAATTATCCAGTGTTATTATAATAATATATAAAGATGTCTATTATGTATTTATTTATTTATTTATTTCCATGTAGCAAATTCCCTTAAATTACCTAATATAATTAGTAGATATTTAATGGCTTTTTGTATTTATTTATGCATTCTAATTTTGATTACATTAAGGATATACATTCATTACCGGAATTGATCCGAGCGTAAATATATACAAAATGGAACCATAGTTGACTTCATCTTATGTACTCTTATTTTTGTCAAATATTTGGCGGTCATTGAAGTAAACTTAATACTCTTTGACCTTATAATTTACAAACTTGAGCAAACAATTCATAGAGTTGGCATGTGCTCCTTAAAAAAGAAAAAAAAATCTTAAAAAAAAAAGAAACTACACTCTCGACATTATGAGGGTACTCACCAAAACGTATCATATTGCTAATATTTTTGTTCCATTTTTGCATTAGTAGTATGCCTAGAAAATACTCCAGATATTTACTACTAGATCTACTTAATAAGTTTGTGCTTAAAAATACTCCTAGTTAGTTTACATAGGATTATAATTAAAAAGATACACTGAATAAATTGCTTAGTCAGCTTTCAATTATGTCCAATAATGAGCAGAATTAATAACAGTAGGATAGAGTATCCTACATTCGTAGTGTAATGATGTATAGAATGTGCATGAAGAGAAACAGTGTGAGGATTAGGGAATTGCATAACTTTGGGGCACTTTATATATATATATATATATATATATAAAGGGATAAGCACCACCGGAAAAGATATATCTTTAATTGAATAAAGTATGTAATTTAGCTATACCCTTTATGACACATATAGAAACTATCTTATAATTGCTAATAAGAATGGAATAGTATCGTGTTAGGGCAATAGCAATTATGATAGAAAGCTTTTATTCAAACAATTAATATTGCTTTTTGTATATTGTTGAATTAACAATATTTAGTTTATTTGTATCTTAGCTAGATTAATTTTCTGCATGGTTTATCTTATCTTGAGTAAACATGAAAATAATATCATTATATATAATCATCAACTATCAAGTATTTTATATTCCTATAAGTTCCTTTTATTTAATCATTTGTACTTAGAATAAGCATGTAGTTTTCATTTGATTTCGCTTTATAATTTTCTGTAAGTTATTGAGGTTAGTTGCGAATCCTGCATAAGTCAAACAAATTTATGACAACTGCCTTTTGCTTCTGTAAACAAATACATCTCAACATGTTTGTCATCAACGAATATAATTAGCTATCCGCATTGTCCCATAATAAGTCCTCAGTTTACCTAATGTACCACTATTACAATCTATTATCGTTGTCAACAAGCTGATGCTTAAAATTACTACCGCAAAAGCCAAATGTCCCCGTCGAATTCATGCACGATGAGATAAATACCATATCTGCTCCTGATCTATTATGTAGAATATACAGTATAGACTGGGGCCATTTAATTCGTGAACCATCTACTACGTATAAATATATTAGCTTTTGCATATATAAAGTAACTATAAAGAGCTTTTTCTTCCATGTATCCAGCATATTTTTGTGTATTTTTATTTGATCTTTTGCTAGCAAATAAACCTCCTAATTCAGCTGTAATATTGAAGTATAACAATTTAACAAATAATGTCCACATTACAATTTATAAACAACTGTCATTGTAGTCAATAGATATACATAAATATAGCAATACTATTTGAACATCAAAATAGATGCAGTCTAATTCAATATAATGCAGAAGTAAAGCTAAATACTACACATATTCTTTCATAAAAAAAAAAGTGTAAGCAATATAACTGCAAATAACAGTTTGGGTATCAACAAGCATAGTTCAATAAAACAAATATATGTTTTTTTAAGAAAAAAAAGAAAGTAACTTTGTTACATAGAGATTTGTCATGATCACATTAAAGGATATAATCATTCATTTTTATCTTTTTTTTGCTGTTGTGATTCAAAGTAAGCTTTTCTTTGTGCTTGAACACGTAAATGTTTTAAGTATTTCTTATGGTATCTTCCCTTTTTGTGCTGTTCCCATTCTTTATCTCCATTTAGTATAACTGGTTCACCTTTATCTGTCTTACAAGTCTCACAAACATGCTTATTCCAAGTTAAAATCTTTGTCTGCGTACTAATATTTAACAATGTTAACTTGAGGATTTTACAATATATGAAATAGACTTACTCTTTTATGTCTTCTGAAGGAGTTAACATTGTAGCAGCAATATCACTTAGACTTTTAGGGTCAGGTAAAGGTTGATCCAATTGAAATGCTTTTGCTATTTGAATAGCTTTCTCTTTTACATTTGTATCCCAACATGCTAAATCTAAATATTTATAATTTTAAGTTGGAATATAAACAGAATTTCAACGTGTATATGTAAATATACCTCCTGCATCAAGACAATATATGATAACATCTTTATTTTTGGAATACAGTGAAGTTGGTAATAATTTGTTTCGAATCCATTTAATTTGTGATTTAGCATATCGTCTAGTGGCTGCTTTCATTTGCTCTGTACATTCATCTTTAATTTTCTCTAATTCATTTTCATTTTTATTTCCTTCCTCTAATGCTACAAAGTATGGGTCGAATTCCTTATATCCTGTATTACCGTTCAATATATGTATAACTACCTTTTTTTTTCACCACCTCTTTTATGCTTACCTATCGCTTGCCATAATCCCCTTTGATATTGTTCTAATTCTATACCGGGCATCTTGACCTGTCCTTCTACTACTCGGCGTCTCAGATCTTTAATCTCATCAAATAAACCTGTCTCAATCATTTGATCTATTCGTGCATCCAGACGTGGATTCAATTTTTGAGGATCTGAGTAGATCCAAAACACTAATGCCTTATATCTTGATTCCATTCCTTTAAGAGTAAAGAGTTCTTTCTGTGATTTTATAATCTCGCTTTGTGGCTTTCCTGTTTGATGGAAAATCTATAAAAAAATAATGGAATTAATCACAAATAAATTTAATAAATTCGGATAACCTTTACTTTTAAACTTCGTAATATTTTTCTTCTATCGGAAGGATGCCATTTATTTGCCATGATAGGATCAACTTCAGAAAGACGCTTATAAAGCTCACTTGTTTCTAATAGATCCAATTCCATGAACTTGTTATTTACTTCAATACTATCTGAAGGTTGATCGCTGACTGTTGTATTATGCCAAAGTAATGATTGTACATAATAATGAGTACCCCCTACTACAACTGGTAATTGATTCATATTTGAAATTGAATCAATCTAATGTATGTTAGTTACGAGGCAGGAAAAAAAAATAGAACAAGTGTACTTTTTGCGAGGCATCCTTCAAGAAATTCGTTACTTGATATTCTTCATCAGGTTCCAAAAAATCCATTAAATGATGAGGAATTCCTTCTCTTTCATTCATGGGCATTTTATTTGTAATTATATCAAGACCTTTATAAACCTAAGTATAAAAGTTAGAAGAAGAAAATAATTACGCAGATGTGAGCTTTTTGATTTTACCTGTAGGGCATCAGCATTAATTACTTGGCCAGTCAATGCTTTACATAATTCAACAGCTAGCTTTGATTTACCAATGCCTGAACTACCAACAACTGCTGCTATCTTTTTTATAGCTGACATACTTTTTTTTTTTTTTTTTTTTTTTGATAAAAATAATATAAAATAACTACATGTTAAATATGCAGTTGGTATTTTTTTTTTTATTTAAACAATAAGCCACTGAGGATAGGAATTAATAGAAAAAGGGAGGGAAGGAATTGATTTAAAAGTATCTCCACAGTTTATTGAATTCTTCATCATAAGCATTAACTACAGATGGAATATTGGTAATAATAATATTTTCTCGATTCTTGTAACGAGCACTGTATAAAGTATAAATACATATAAGCTTTTTGTTTTGTTTTTCTTTTTTTTTTTTTTTATATACGCATATATAAATATTTACCCTGCAGACCAGTTAAAGCTTCCAGTAATAACCATTTTTTGGTCAATTACAGCAAATTTATTATGCATAAATTGTTCGCTATATAGTTCATATAAATATATACACAAATATTCATTAATTTTAAAAACCATATTTACCCGTCATCTTTTTTAAATGGAATACTATGTTGCTCATAAAGTCGAATTACATCTGCCCCTTTATATGCATCCATTTGGTCATTATCAGTAATAATCCTGACATCTACTCCACGCTTTTTTGCATCAATCAAGACACCTGCTGTATCATTATCTGTCAAAGAAAATACACAAACGTATAATGTCTCTTTAGCTGTGGATAAAGCCGAATGAAATAACTATAATACATGTTTAATGATCCATTCATAATAATAAAAAAGCCCCCCCATACATTTACTTACCCTATAACTTTCTTCAGAAGGGAAAAAGACAGGCATACAAAAAATATCACCATTCAAGTCATTACATGCCATATATTCTGGATAAAACTCACATTTAATTACTTGTTGTCTACGGTAAGGTCTGTTACTGGTGTAACTATTATTAGTGACATTATATGTTGTGGTCGTTGTCTTCTTCTTTTTCTTTTTCTGACGACTAACTGTTTGAAACCCATTTGAATTCATTTCACGAGATTTAACTTGAACTTCCTCTTCTTCATTGCTTTCATCATCATTATCATCTTCTTCTTCTTCATTGCTTTTATCATCATTATCATCATCATCATCTTCTTCTTCTCCACTACCAACCTTCTCATCATATCTTTCTTCTTCCAACTCTCTACGTATTCTTTCATGTTCAAGCCGTTCAGGTGCATAGATATCAATGCCCTGTTGCTCATATCGATCTTTACATGCTAACCATTCATCCTCGTTTGAAACAAATTGTGGAACACCTAGAGTAATACCAATAAAACTCTTCATTTGATGTTTCAAAAGTTCCAATACTTGCTTATCTTGATCAGTGGACATAGAGCCTGCTGCATTTTCAAATAGTGTATCGAAAAGTTCAAGGGATTTATCAAACTGGGATTCCTCATGATGTAGAAGACGATTAAGGCGAACAGCCATTTTGTCTAACAGTGAGTTGTTAGAGATAAGTGCGTCTACAGATTTCATAAATTCTACAAAAAAAATTAAGATTTTAGAACAATTCTTCTGTATTTTTTTTTTTAATGATACAAGAACTACCATTATTTACCTTGTCTAACAAGTGGAATATATTTGATGAATTATCTGAAGAAAGAAGAATATTCAAATATCTTATTTATAAAAAAGAAAAGAAACACACACACAATCCACTTCTGAAAACACGGAGTCTATCTTTAAAATGGTTATAAAAATTAAAGTTCTACAAATGTAACATTTGTAATTGCTTCTTTCAACACTAATAATGTATAATACAAAAAAAATACTCAGATAGCAAATTACAATACTTTATAGTTTTATACTGTATCTAAAATCAAATATATTTATAGCTTAATGAAGAATGTCTTCATATACATGATAGTTTATGAAATAATAATGATAATGATAAAAAGTGTAAAAAGGCTTATTACTAATTAATAATAGCAAATAGAAGTATTGAAATTACTATCATCCTTTACTACATTATATGTTTGATTATAATAAAAAATATATAATAATATATACTATTTATTTATTTGATACATATCTAACAATAAGTGGAATTTAATATACTATATAAATACTCATACATACATACATATACATATATATATAAAAGCTTCTGTACAAATTTTGAAATTAGGCAGCCACTCCAGTTGCAAGTTTAGGCAAGATACGTTGTTGAATACCACCCGTCACAGGTAAATAAGTATTTCCCATTAAATGGTAATCCACTTCACGCGCGCACATTCGCCCTTCATTAATTCCCCAAACAATCAATGACTGACCTCGACGGCAATCACCTGCAGCAAATACACCAGGTATTGAAGTAACGTATTGTCCCTTGGGTGTCTCAATGTTCGATCGACCATCCTGTTTAATTTCTAATTGCTTGATAATTGCTTCTTCAGGGCCCAAGAACCCCATAGAAAGCAATACAAGATCAGCTTCAAAGTATTGCTCTGTTCCAGGCTTTTCAGCCATCGTCCAGCGTCCTGCTTCATCCTTTGTCCATTCAACACGTATCGTCTTGATACCTTTTACATGGCCATCTTCGACAACAAATTCTTTTGAAAGAACACAATATTCACGAGGGTCTTTACCAAAATGTTCACGAACTTCAGAGTGACCATAGTCCACTTTAAAGACCATTGGGAAACGAGGCCAAGGGTTTGAGGCTGCACGTGTCTCAGGTGGCTGTGGTAATAATTCAAAATTAATCACTGATTTACATCCATGACGGACAGAGGTACCAATACAATCATTACCGGTATCACCTCCACCAATCACAATCACATGCTTGCCCTTTGCTGATAAATAATGGCCATCTTTCAAACCTGAATCAAGTAAACTCTTGGTATTGGCTTGAAGAAATTCCATAGCGAAATGAATACCATCTGCTTCACGACCTGGAATCTTGAGGTCTCGAGGCCAAGTAGCGCCTGTAGCAATAATGAGTGCGTCATTCTGAGATCGAATTTTATGAATATCCACATCAACACCAACATGAGCATTAGGAACAAATTGGATCCCCTCTGCTGCTAAAAGATCAACACGTCGCTGAACAATCTTTTTATCAAGCTTCATATTTGGAATACCATACATAAGTAAACCACCAATACGATCATTACGATCATAGACAGTAACAAGATGTCCTGCTTTATTAAGTTGATCAGCAGCTGCTAAACCTGCTGGACCAGAACCGATAATGGCTACTCTTTTACCAGTACGTTGAACTGGAGGTTTTGGAGCAAGCCAGCCTTGCTCGAAACCACGATCAATAATTGCACACTCAATACTCTTAATAGCTACTGGAGGTTCATTAATACCCAATACACAAGCACCTTCACAAGGCTAAAAAAAATAAAATAAAATAAAAATAAATAAAGAGGGAGATGACATTAGTAACAATTTTTTTTTTAGAAAAAATAAAATAAAATAAAATAAAATAAAATAAAATAAAAAAAAATAATAAAAATAAAAAAAATAAAAAAATAAAAAAAAAAAAAAAAAAAAACTTACAGCAGGACAAACACGACCAGTAAATTCAGGAAAGTTGTTAGTCATTAAAAGACGATCTAAGGCATCTTTCCAATTATCTTTATAGACAAGCTCGTTCCATTTAGGAATAATATTACCAATAGGACAACCAGTATCAGATTGACAGAAGGGGACACCACAATCCATGCAACGAGCGCCTTGCTCATGTAATTGAGAACGTGTTAAACGATGATTGATTTCCTCCCAATCCAAGGTACGCTTTTTAGCATCACGGTATCTATCTGTTCTACGCTTATACTTCATAAAGCCACGTACCTTGTCAAGTTTAGCACGACGAGCTAAAATCACTTCTTCACCTAATACGCTATCTTCCAAGTCCTCAACAATAGGTTCAACTTTCTTGTGCAAGTTCTCACATAAATTTTGTTGTTTGATTTTAGGGGACTTCTCCCTTTCCAAGAGAGCTCGGTATTCAGTAGGCATCACCATGACAAACTTGGGTAGATATTCATTAAAGTTTTTAAGAACACGATCCGCTACTTGAGATCCTGTATAATGATGATGATCCTCAATTAAATCACGAAGTTCAGCAATACGTTCAGGTTCATTCACAGTTTCTAATTCAACCATCTCTCTGTTGACATTTTCCTTAAAGTCGCTAGAGATATCTAAAACATAGGCAATACCACCGGACATACCTGCAGCAAAGTTACGACCTGTGGATCCTAAAATCACAACACGACCACCTGTCATATATTCACAACCATGATCGCCTACACCCTCACAGACAGCAGAAGCACCTGAGTTACGAACACAGAAACGTTCTGCTGCAATACCTCTAAAGAATGCACGTCCACTTGTTGCCCCGTAAAGACAGACATTACCTACAATGATATTTTCTTCCGACTTGAAAGTTGAATTCTTGGGAGGATAGATAGCGATCTCTCCACCCGACAAACCCTTGCCAACATAATCATTAGAGTCACCTTCAAGCTCAATAAAGATGCCAGGAGCCAAGAAGGCACCCAGGGATTGACCCGCTGAGCCCCTAAGTTTAATATGAATCGTTTTAGGTGGTAAACCAGCTTCACCGTGACGTTTAGAGACATGATAAGAGAGTGTTGTCCCCAAGGCGCGATCAGTATTAACGACATCTGCTTCAATCATAACAGGCTGGCTATTCGTAAGAGCAGCTTCAGACTCTTCAATAAAGTAATTGTCAAGACGAATATGCAAGTTATGTTTTTGTTTGGTAATACAGTAATTTGCTACATCAGGTCTAAGAGAGGCAGCAGGTGTAAGGATTGGAGAGAGATCAAGGTTAGCCGTCTTGAAGGTCCTTAAGGATTCGTTCACCTTGAGTCTTTCCGCATGACCTACCATCTCATTGACGGTTCGGAAACCCAACTTGGCCATGTAACCACGCATCTCCTCAGCCAGATAATAAAAGAAGTTAATCACATCCTCAGAGGTACCTTCAAATTTCTTGCGAAGCTCAGGATCTTGTGTAGCGATACCTACAGGACATGTGTTTAAATGACATTTTCTCATCATGATACATCCGAGAGCGATAAGAGGTGTAGTAGCGAAACCCCATTCTTCAGCACCTAATAAACAGGCAATCGCCACATCTCGACCTGTCTTGATTTGACCATCTGTCTGGACTATCACACGACCACGCAAATCATTCAGCACCAATGTTTGATGTGTCTCGGCAAGACCCAACTCCCAAGGTAAACCAGCATATTTAATACCTGTCCAACGAGAGGCACCGGTACCACCGTCATGACCTGAAATTAAAATATGATCTGCCTTTGCCTTTGCTACACCAGCAGCCACAATACCAACGCCGACCTCAGATACCAGTTTGACAGAGACACGCGATCTTGGATTAGCGCATTTCAAGTCATAGATTAACTGTTTAAGATCTTCAATAGAGTAAATGTCATGATGTGGAGGTGGAGAGATAAGTCCAATACCAGGTGTTGTCTTTCTAGTAGACGCAATCTCCTCTGAGACCTTGGAACCAGCCAATTCACCACCTTCACCCGGCTTTGCACCTTGTGCCATCTTAATTTGTAATTCATCTGAATCAGATAAATAGAAACTCGTGACACCAAAACGACCTGAGGCGACTTGTTTGATTGCAGAACGCATTGAGGAGCCATCCTCTAATGGTATAGAGCGTTCAGGTTTTTCACCACCTTCACCTGTATTAGACTTGCCACCTAAACGATTCATGGCGATAGCTAAAGATGAGTGAGCCTCCATCGAGATAGAACCATACGACATGGCACCTGTTACAAATCTTTTCACAATCTTATCCCAACTTTCCACCTCCTCCAGGGGTATAGGCCTTGAATTCTCATAATCAAATTCCAACAGACCCCTCAGGGTACATCTCTTGATAGCTTCATAAGCATTACGTGAATAGGCATCGTAGGAGGATTGATTCTTTTGTCGAACAGCATCTTGTAAGTTTGCAATACCGTTGGGTTCGGCAATATGAGGAGCACCGCCATCACGCCAATGGTATTCACCTGATTCTGGTAATGATACAGGCTGAACTTTATTACGAGATGGATAACCGGCCTCATGTAATGTTAGGGCATCTAAGGCAAAGATATCGAATGTAACACCCTTAATACGACTCGCTGTACCTGAAAAGCAACGTGAAATGACGGAATCATCAATCCCAAGGGCTTCAAAGATTTGTGCACCTTTATAAGAGGCCAAGGTAGAGATACCCATCTTGGACATGACTTTTTGAATACCATTATCAATCCCCTTTTTAAAGTTATAGATCAGTTGCTTGGGTGTTAAATCATTTGAGATAATAGCTCTCTCACGATGTAACTTGAGTATGGCCTCTAGAGCCAGGTAAGGACAGATAGCGTCTACACCGTAACCTAATAGAACACAAAAATGATGTACCTCTCTTGCTTCACCTGTCTCAACCATCAATGCAATACGACTTCGTTGCTTAGTACGTACCAGATAATGATGTACACCCCCTGCAGCAATTAAACTAGAGATGGCAACACGATCCTTATTAACGGCCCTATCGGAGAGGACAAGAATTTTGTAGTCATTTTGAATAGCCTCTGAGACTTCTTGACAGATACGTTCCAAGGTATTGACATAACCTTCAACACCTTCTGTCTTATCAAATGTAATATCGATCGTAGCTACCTTCCAACCATAATGCTGATCCATACGTTGAATTGCAGCCAATTCGTCCATAGATAGAATGGGAGAAGATAAAGCCAACTTGTGACATTGCTCCTCAGCTATCTCCAAGATGTTCCCCTCTGGACCCACATAACATTCAAGTGACATGACAATTTCTTCACGAATGGGGTCAATAGGTGGATTTGTGACTTGAGCAAATAATTCACGAAAGTATTCATAGATGAGACGAGGTTGTTCAGCTAAACAGGCTAGAGCGGTATCATTGCCCATCGAACCCAGGGGTTCTTTACCAGTAGAAGCTAAGGGAGCTATGATTAAATTGAATTGTTCAAGTGTGTAACCAAAGGCCTTGAGACGAGGATCTGTTTGAACCGTTGTTTCATCCAATTCATATTGTTGCTGTTGCCGTTCTTTATCATATCGATTCACAACCTCTTTCAAATGAATCGCTTGACGTTCAATCCATTCACGGAAGGGACGTTTAGCAGCTGTCTGTAACTTGAGTTGTCGATCATCTACGATTTTACCTTTTATCGTATCTACCAACAACATACGACCTGGTTTTAAACGACCCTTTTCAACAATTGTTTCAGGGTCCACAAAGACGGTACCTACTTCAGAGGCACAGATCATGATATCATCAGAAGTTAAATAGTAACGACAAGGACGAAGACCATTACGATCTAATGAGGCACCACAGTAACGACCATCCGAAAAGGTAAACAGAGCAGGACCATCCCAGGGTTCCATTAAAGAAGCAGCCCAACGATAAAAGGCCTTCATGTCAGGACTCATGGCTTCATTATTTTGCCATGCCTCTGGAATCATCATCATGACAGCCTCAGGTAATGTCAAGACACCGTTGATGACCAAGAGTTCGAGTACATTATCAAATGCAGCAGAATCAGATCCACCTTCCTCAATAATTGGATAAAGGAGATCTAATTCATTTCCAAAGGTATCTGAAGTCATCACACCTTCTCTTGATCTCATCCAATTCTTATTACCACGTACTGTATTAATTTCACCTATAACAAAAGGGAAAAAAAAAAAGAATAAATAAATGAATAAAATAAAATAAAAATTAATCAAAAAAAAAAACTTCCGCTTTCCTTATTATTTATTAATAACTTACCATTATGAGCACACCATCGCATAGGTTGTGCACGATCCCAAGAAGGAAATGTATTTGTTGAAAAACGAGAATGAACCAAGGCAAAATGAGTGGTATATTGTACATTATTTAAATCATGAAAATAGGAATATACTTGCTTAGGTGTCAACTGTCCTTTATAGACAATATTCTTATTTGAAAGTGAACAGACATAAAACCATTTCTTCATTGTGATTGTATGAGTAGCATGTTTACGCAAGACATAAAGCTGACGCTCAAAGTAAGGCTCATCAAATTCAACATCATTATTGAGGATGACAAAGGGTTGCATGATAGCTGGTTCCTTAGAACGAGCAGCAGGACCAATGATAGTTGAATCTACAGGTACTTTACGCCAACCAAGTACCTTCAAATGGAGGGCATCTGCTAACTGTTCAAATACTTTTTGACTTTCCATAATAGATGTTTGTTCTCCCTTCATAAATAAATTGCCTACTGCGTAATGACCTTCTTGAGGCAATCTAATACCTAATTCACGCGATGTTTCATTGACAAAGAACTGATGAGGAATACCTTATTGTTGTAAAAAGAAGAAAAAGGAAAGGATTTTTGTTTATTAAAAAAGAAAAGAAAAGAAAAAAAAACTTGTTTACCAAACATTTATTTACCTGTCATAACACCAGCACCATCACCATCACGAATATCAGCACCACTAGCACCACGATGAGTCATGTTGCAAAGGATATGACTGGCTTCAGATAAAATTTTATGAGAACGTTCGCCTTTTATATGAACCATAAAACCAACACCACAAGCATCTTTTTCATATTCAGGATTATATAAACCTTGAGCAGATGGAATAGATTCTGCCCAAGAAGTATTATGTGTTGTTATTGTCATTATTTTTAAGGGAGGAGTATTTAAGATTTTTAAGTGAGAAAGAAAGAAAGAAGGGAAATAAAATAAAATAAAAAAAAAAAGGGAAGATTTGTATTTAAAGTTTCATCAAACTTCTTATCATTTTTATATACTAAATGACCAATAAAATACAATACTTTTAAGAAAAGTTTTTGATCTTTAGGAAAAAAAAGGCATCACATGCAAATTTTTTTTTTGGGAAAGATAATCAAACCAGGATAAAACTTAATACGTATGTTATTTTATTAATGCGTGTGTGCACGCGTGTGTGCGTGTGTGTGTGTGTGTGTGTGTGTGGGGAACTGAAACCGATCCTTTATGTTTAAATAAAGTTTAATAAGCAGCAGGGGTTAAACCAGTATAATTATAATATGGCTTTTTTTTTTTTTTTGATAAGATAACGGGAAAAAAATAAATGTACACAAGATATTTTATTTTATAGTTTATGTAACAAATCTAACATAGATAAATCTAGCCAATGAACTGCATGGATCCAATCTCTATCATATATATTAATTTGACTTAATTTAGTTTATCTGTAATTAGTTTTTGTTTTTTTAGCATATTTTGTATGTCGGATCTTTGCATTGTAAAAACTTCCCGAATTGTACAAATCCTTTTTTTTTATATTCTTATTTTTATTTTTTTATAATTTTATTCAACATTACAAGATATACGTTGATTTTAGAGGCTTTTAATGAATGAGATACAAGTCATGAGTCTATCAGCTATGGATCCTTTTCTAATAAGAAAAAAAACATGATCTTTTAAGCCACTTTATATATCTACAACAAATGTCTTTAACAAGTATATAAAACACAATTTGCTTATGTAAATAACGTCTTTTTTTTTCTCACATGATTTGAACATAAAAGCATTCACTCATTCTCTAAGCATTGTGGATGAACTTTTTTTGTCTTTCTGAATGATCTATTCAACATGTAAGCGAACTAAAGATAGACGTTATATACAGAAAGAGAGAGAATGATAGTATTGGCGATAGACGTTATATACAGAAAGAGAGAGAATGATAGTATTGACGATAGACGTTATATACAGAGAGAGAGAATGATAGTATTGACAATTGGTGATATGCAATAAACCTTTTATCCTAAAGGACTGTTTTAATATCTTGATTCAAGCAAGTTTTTTGGTTGAATATAGAACACTCTTAAAAGTGGGATTGGCTTCTTATTTATTATATAGTAAATAGATATATAAGTTTGATATTTACAATTCGGATAAGTTCGGGAAATCACGTATATATTTTACTTGATAGCTTCTTCCTTATCTTTACACTCAATTCTCTCTCTTTTTTTTTATATATTTCCTTTTCTTTTCTTTTGTTTATGAATGAATAAACAATACAAGTTCATATATACATAGATTAATACAATACGCTCTTAGCTATATAGGATATCTGCCATTTCTATCATCAGGAAAGATTGAACTATTTTTATTGGCTATTAATGAAACCTATTTTGAATGCGTAACAGGCTTATTACAATAGAAATTATTTGTGAACCGTTACATATAATTCAATGTATTAATAAGTAATATATAAATGTATGAGTGTATGAGTGTATGTGTGTGTGTGTGTGTGTATGTATGTATGTATATATTACATAAGAAACAGAGAGAGAGAGAGAGGATTTAAATGTTATCATCATATATGATTCTAATCTTTAAGGATAAGTTGTATTCGCTGCATTTATAAAAGACTGATTTAGAGGTGATGTATAATACAGAATAGTATCTAAACAGGAAGAAGAAGAAGAAGAATAGCCATTTGTGACTATAGAAGGCTGTATTGTTACATTATCAGTCATCAAAGTAGAAGTAGTAGTGTTAGTAAATGGATGAGCCTGTTGACCCAACATAGCTTGTGTATGATCTGCTGCTAATACATTTTTTATGTGATGCTGATTACTAAAGACAACAAGAGTGGTTAAGAATTGTAAAATTTTGGAAATCACTTGTTGATGTCTTTGTTGATAGTCATACACTTTCATCCTTTCCTTCCACACCATTTGACGTTGTCCTTGTAGAGTCTTCAACTTGTTTAACATGTTTGTCTGTTGCTCTTTCAGCTTATTTAACTCTTTCTTTAAAATTCCTTTCAAATCATCATCACCACCTAATAAGGGAGTTTGTTGTGACTTTCTTTTTCGAGTTATAGAAGCAAGTAAATCAGGTTGACCACGTTTAAAAAAGGGATTTTCAAATTGCCAGAGTGAGGTACGAGGTATTTTACGGAAATTATACATATTCAGTTGTCGAATAAATGAGGAGAACGTTTTATGTTTATAAAAGTGAGGCAATATGTTTGTAGCAAATTCTTCATCATTGTAAACTAGAATAGATTTCTTTAGTTAAAAAAGGCAATACATGCATGTATATCGGTATTTACCTACAAATGAAGTCCCTTCTTTACACCATTGAATATATTGATTTGTTGAATTATCTTCTACCATACTTGTAAAATAGACAAGTAACCAAAAATAGATAGATAAATAAATAGATAAATAAATAAATAAATAAATAAATAAAAAGGGGTTTCTTACTTGTACAGCTTATATAAGAAAGCTGGAATATGACGCTGATGAGAAGACCGACGTATAAAAGTTCGTTTACTCTTTTTTAATATTAAAGTAGACAGTGAATCATCTAAAAGCAAATCCTTCATTTCTATAGAAAGCACAACAACAAAAAAAAAAAAAATAAAAAAAAAAAATAAAATAAAATAAATAATAAATAAATAAATAATAAAAATACTAGACTTTATTATGATAATTTAAAAATCGAATTTTTTCTGCAATCTACCCGATTTCTAATTTTCCTTTTATGGTAATTATAAAGGATTTAAAAATTCACGCTTCATATTAGCCTGTGTCCTTGATAAAATAACCTGCATCTTAAGAATAGACAAGGATAACCTTTGCTTTGATAACGATTCTAAAACGACGGGAAAGACTTTAGCAATGGACTTTTCAATACCAAACCAATTTTGGTTTGAATTAGAAAGCTGTTCAATAAACTCTGTTAGATTCCATATCTTGTCGTCCATCACAATAGCACAATGAGGGTCCAACGTGATGGTTTCTAAAATGGACCAGTTTGGATCCTTTGGTAATTTTATATGTTTCTCTAATAAAAATACATGGCCACCATACCATCTTACATTCACATCATCTATTTCTACTAATAATGACTCATAAAGACGTCCATCGTTTTCATATCCTATACAGTTACCTATCTTTTGGAAAGAGGCCGGTCTGACATCCTCTATAAACATAAGAATCTCATCTTCTTGTCTATTCTCACTTTTACATAATTGATCTCGTAACTTTCGAAATAAATAAAATTCGGCATCTGATAAAAGGGACTGTCGATGATGTTCATCCCGAATTTCAATATGATAACCTTGAAGGTGTCGAATCATATCCTTAAACGTCTCTGGATCACGTTCAATTGTAAAAGGTAGAGCCTCACCTGGAGATGGATGAGGTGCTAGTAATGAATGCTTAAGGGGTCCCGTAAAATAATTATGTCCATCTTTATTAAAGATATCCCAACGTAGTCTAAAGTGAGTACCACCCACATTAAGATAGATAAACTCTTTAAGATATTGTTTGAGTCTTTTAAGATCATAAAAATACGCATCATTGAGAAGATCTTGATGTTCACATTCATCACGAGCTACAATCGGATAGCCTCGAAGATGTTTCATAATAAGTGTAAATGTGTTTGGATTACGATCAACGTGAATGATGCGAGAATTAGACTTTATGAAATGCCGTGTAAAAAAGTTACTGGGTCCATCAGAGATGAGTGATTTCCAACTAATTTGAAAAGCTGTGTCGCTCACTACAATTGTAAAAATAGAATTAAGTTGTTGATGGGTCATTTTTATGTTACAAATTCCACCATGTCTAGTTTTTAAATGAAAAAAAAAATAAAAAAATAAAATAAAATGAATATTTACAAAAATTTTATTTATAAAGTTTGTGCATTTTTTCTTTTTATTATTAAAAAAAACATGAACGTTTTTGAACAAGAATTAACCAATGTAACAGAATTAAACATCAAGTAATTCAAAAATATTTTTTATAATTATAATTTAACTAGGCCAAGGCAAATAATTTTAATCGTCTCAAAAATGAAATCTTATTAAATGAAATCAAAAAGTTAAAAGTAATAAAATCAAGTTTATAATATTTCAAAGCTTTAACTTGATTAATTAGGAAAATTCTTTAAATGAAGCAATACAATTAAAATATAATCAAGTTTCAGATTTCATTTCTTTATCATCCATGGTTAATATACCTGAAACTGTAGAACAATTAGAAAAAGTGCAAGATGAAATGAATCAAAAACGAAGTCAGTTAATATTGAAGGTGACAGATTATGTCAAAACTGCTTTAGAGCTATTAGATGTAACATGGTCTATTATTGAAGAATACAAATTCAAGTCAGAAAAAGATAAAAATGAAGATTTAGATCATTATTATACAACTCTAGTCGATACATTACTTATAAGCATCAAGTAATACATGCATATATACATACATTTCACACTTTGTACTTAAACGTTATATGATAGAATTCTTCATTTAAAAGTACTACTTGATACTTATGAAGATGAAGAAATGAGAACAGCACTTGTATCACTAAAGTATTCTATTTTTTTTCTTTTTTTTTTTTTTTACAAAGCTTTATTTTAACTAATAACATATAATAGAAACATTTTAGAAAAAGAATATATGGCAGCAGAAAGAAGGTTAAAATATACGAGTCAGCGAATAGAAGAATACAATAAACTTGGACCTGAATTTGAGATATTAACAAATGCATATCATCGATTAATTTATAGAGTTCAAGCAACTAAAGATGACATTGAAAGAATAAAAAATAACTAAATTAAAATCTAACCCCTTGAATGAATTTGACAATAAGCCTTGCCTTTGACTCTTCATAATCTTGTATTAATTCGATATTACTGCAGAGACTATCATTAAAAGGAATAAGAATCTGTTATTATCTCTTTTTTTTTTCCTCTTTGAATTTACTTTTTTATTTACATTTGTAGGAACTTTTCTAGCTTCTGTCTTCGTTCTTCAATGATTTTATCGGAGAATCGATTTGTAAGGACTTTACCAGGTAAATTGGGTACCTTGATTTCATAATCATTTTCTTCCAATTTGAACTTTAATGATTCAAACTTACTATATCTTCTTCTTACTGTGGACTCTTTAAAGTGAAACATGGGCAAATTGGTTTTGCAAACAATTTCATAATCTGTGTACATATTAAATCCTTTACCTACAGTGATGATTGTATTAGGATATATATGTGTATATATTATGTATGTATGTATTTGTTTATTTATTTATTTACCATGTGTTTGAGGAGCTTTAACTTCAATTTCGATAAAAGAATCAGGAATACCTTTTCTTTCTTCGATAGTATTATTTGTATTTGTATTGAGTGTAGATACCTTCATCTTTTATTATTAAAAAAAAAAAAAAAAGAAAGGAGAAACAGAAAGAGAATGAGAGAGAGAGAGAGAAAAAAAAAGAAAACTATATATAAACAATTTATTTATTTATTTATTTATTTAGTGTTTCATAAATTGATCATAACTAGCACCAATTTCTTCTAACATATGTGAAGTTAAAACGGACCTACCATACTTTTGGAAGGCCAATCTTGAACTCGTTCTTGTAATATGACAAGCTCCATAAGTAGCATATAAAGCAATATCTTTAGTTTCAACTTCATTTGAATGTCTATTATGTTTTCCAATAAAAAAAAAAAAAGAAAATATGTTTAATCTGTTTAATTACCCTTTTGTGTGTGTGTGTGTGTGTGTACGTGTTTGACTACTTACTCCCAAACATTATTTTCGTATGCTTTACCCCATGCTAAAAATGCCGCAATAGCACCTGAGAGAATATCTCCTTGTCCTCCCATACGTTTTAGACCACCATCAATATCACATTTCAAAACTTTAATTTGATATATAAATATAAACATATAATTTGTATAATGCTCGCTCGAATATATCTAAATTACCTTCGTCACCGTTAGTAATGTAGTCGACTGTTCCCTTTTGGACTACTGTAACACCTCCTAATGCCTGACTCAGCTCTTTAGCAATTTCCTCTTTTTCTTTTTCATCTTTCATTTGTACATTCTATCATATAGAATATAAGATATGATTCATTTATGAAAAGAAAAAAAAATCATCTATATATTACCATTTTTTCGCAAAGTCGCTTAAATTCAACTACATTAGGAGTTAATACAGCTTTTTTATATCCTTTCACTGTTTCAGGATATTGTTGAACAAGATAAAGACCATCCGCATCAATCACAATCGCCATATCTTGTTCACGCGCCTTTTTAATTAGTTCTTTAGCTGTATCCTGCATGACTTCATCTCTTGATAGACCAGGTCCAACTACCAAGACATGTACTCTTGAAAATACACTTGTCACTCGTTCAACAATTTTATCAACTGTTAAGTCAGTTTCCTTTTTTTCTTTTGTTCGAAGATAAGGATGAACAATTAAGTCTATATCATGATTATTATAAATAAGTAGATGTGTGTCTTTATCTATTTATGAGTGTATGTATACCTGGTGAATAACTCTACAAGTTGTAAGGGAAATGAAAGGAAATAAATGTTATGTTTTATAATAAAGAATTTATATTGCATTTACCTTGATAACAGTGCCTGCTCCAGGTTCACAAAAGATATGGCAAAGGTCAACACCCTTTTTTTTTTTTTTTTTTTTTTTTTTTTAGAAAAAAGGATTTAGAATATATTATTTTATGTATTGTATCCTACATTTATTTATTACCACTTTCATAGAAGCTATACCACTAAAATAGGGTGCACCTGTATACCTTCAATGAATAGTGAAATAAATAAATAAATAAATAAAAACAAATAAATATGCAGGTTCAAGCTAAAAGTAAATAAATATTATACTCTTCTGAACCACCAACAACGCCTACTCTTCCTGAAATATATACATGGACGTTTCATTTTAGTACACAACAAATAAACTTATTTTTCTCGCTTTTTTCGTTTCATTTTTTTTTTGGGGGGAAATGTGAATTTACCTGCTTGGCCTTTATGTAATTTACTTGAAAGAGGAGGAACAATTTGACGTACTTTGGAAAGATCTGGAATCCTTGCTGGCATTTCGAGAATTTAATTAATTTTAAAAGAAGTTTAAGAAAAAAAAAAAAGAGTAATGTATATATACGTATCTGCATTTTTTTTTTTCGTGAATACCGCTACTTGACAAAATAATATCATAATGATAAAATAATTATTTCAGTAAGTTTTTTCTTTCTTTTTTTTTTTTTCTTTGAAATTTTTTTCAATGATAAATGAAGAAAAGGACTTGATCCAAATAAAGCAATTTGGAAATAAATACTTTATATTTAATGCTCATGGTAAAACTAGAATGTAGTTGTCCCCTCTACAATAATTTCTCTCAATTATATAAAGATTAGATGTAAAAAAATTGCGATGTGAATACCGTATTGTAGGTGCACTAAACGGCACCTTACCTTCATTTCCATCACAAAACACTTTTTTTGGATTACCACTCATATTATTACAAGAAGAAGTTGAGTTGTTGTTAAAAAAAGGTGATCCCATTGTATGGATTGTGAGTGTTATATGATTAATCTTAACCATGCTCCAATAATTCCTATCTTAGGCTGGGCAACTTTGATTACTTCATCTCGCTCTTTGCCTCCTACATCAACATCAAGTCGAGCCATCATCTTTGATCATTTTTGGTCGATGGGCTTTTATTTAACAAACGGCATCAAGTTTGGTGGCGATTTTGTATTATATAGTAATGACCCCATGTGTGTTCATAGTGATTACATTGTATCTGTTAAAGAGCCAAAGGAGATCATTTTGCCCATTGACATCATAGCGGCAGGAAGAGTGGCGACTAATGTGAAAAAGATATTTGTATTTGCTTCTGTTGTCGATGAAGATCAAGTATTTTCTTATTCCATTGAATGGGCTGGATTTTAGAAATAATACAAATGGATGATTGTATAGTGTATATTATATGAATTGTTTCACAGCAACTTGTCATCATCTTTTTTTTTTTTCAAAGAGTAAAGTAAAATAGTTTATTACGTAATATTTTGTATAATGAATAAAGTACATTATCTATAACGTTGTAAAGAAGGTATTTTTAAGAGAAAAAGGGATATTCATGTTAAAGAAGAGCATTTATATCATACAACTATAATGGCTCGACATACTTTGACAAATAAATAGGGCCATAAATATTTTAATTAATAGCCTTGAGACTGGAATATTTCTAGATTAGTCTCCTTAATTATATTTAGTGCTAATCATATATAAATTTGAGAATATAAAACTAAAGTATAATACAATGTGTATACATATTTATATATGAAATACTGACATTGGATAATTATATATGTATACGTATATATATATATTTTTTTAATTCGAAATAAAATTCAAATATGTTGAGTCTGAGAAGTATATATTAAGAAGTTACTTGACAAGGATTTCCCCACACACACACACACCAGATTGTTTCTTGCTAAAGATATCACTATTGAATCTTTAACTAACAATTTATGGACTCTATTCATTCAAAGACACAACTCAAATCATCATTTGAAGGATACTATGCCTCTGTCTCTCAAGAGGCCCATCTTCAAAACTAAAATGAAGGAAATTATGAGACCAGTTTACAGATAAGATATGATTTGGTTTATGAAGTGAAATGGCGCAGATTTGGATTATACATTATGTATATTTGTATAAATGTATGTATATACATATATATATTAGAGAGAGAGAGAGGAAACTGGGTTTCATATTAACTTGAGAAAAAAAAATTTTTTTGGGCTAGTGCTGTCATTGGAACACCTACTAAAGTAACAATCCCGGGAATCAAGTAGCTATCCCATATATTCCTGTAGTGTTATCTATGCTGCTTTGAAGAAACCATTAAAAAAAGACACACACACACACACATATGACAATTCAAATAGCCGACAATTCAATTTTTTTCTTTCTTTCTTGAAAACGAAATCAATCAGTTGTTGCACTGTAATAAAAAAAAAACAATAGGTTCAACGGCTTTCTCAATTGAATGTATGCACCCTCAAAAGTTGATCATCGATAGGTCCCCTTACACTCTGCCACTCTCCCTCCATTCTGCTATCTAGATTTCCTTTTCCTTGAGCCCATCAAAGGTTTTTGATTCCTTTATTTCTTAACCAACTTCCTCTCCCCCTCCCCCTACCAGATAATTTTGATAGACAAATGGTTTATTAGTTTTGTTCATTGGGTTTAAATTTTATTTATAAGAAAAAAACACAAACCTGATCTGTCATTGAAATTAAACTCGCAAAGACAAAAAAAAAAAAGAACTTGGTCAGTTCTGTCAAAAAAATGTTAATTCGATTTCAAAGAGCGCTAAAGATATGAGAAAACCCCGTATTATTTCCAAGGCAATAAAATAAAAAAAAATAAATAAATAAATAAAACTAGTATTCTGCTGCTTTTGACTCTGTACAAAAAAAAATACTCCTTTATAGATCAAACTTTATAGATACTAAAATATTTACGTATTATACAAGTGAAATTCATCGAAAAGGAAAGTAAAATATAAAAAATATATACAAATATATAAAAAAAAAAAGTAATTTTTAGTAGTGTTGTCTACACATCAAATATGAAACGTCATTATTATACTTAAAAAAAAATGTGTTCGTGTGTAATAAAGAAAGACAACAACAAGATATAAAACATCTTCTATAATTAGTAACAAAAGTATAATAACAATAAGACTATAAATATGATAAAGCCAAAAAGCGGTAGATTTAATTTATTAGAATTCCTTATTATGTAAGTGAACATTATTTCTTTTTTTTTTGGCTTGTTTATTATAAATCGTACAAGTTATGTTTTATGACTATATATACTTGATATATCAGGTGAATGTAAAAGTGCACTTGGCGTAGTTTCTATAATTAACTTTTTGCTTTTTTTTTTTTTTTTTTAAAAAAAAGGGCTTGTTTTATACTTTTTTTTTTTTTTTTTTTTTGGGTACTACAACGGTCTAAATGTTTACATGTAATATAAATATGTAAATTCAATGCTATCAATTTTTTTATTTTTATTACTTTTACTTTTATTTTTATCTTTATATTATGAATAAATTCATATTAATCTGTCTTGTCATGTATATTCTATCTACCTTTGTAGTAGCCATAGAGACGCCTTGGCATAAACGACCATATCAATTTAGAATGCAACTCTTTTCTAGACCAGATAACAAAGGACAAGTTCAAACTGTTCGTGCAAACAATGACGGTACTACCCATCTAATCAATTATGTAAACTAATTTACACTGCTTATTTACTAAATAATAATAATAATAATAATAGCATCTTCATTCTGCCGGAATTTGGCATCCAAAAGAGTAGGTTCATATGAATTAAATGATCCTTTAGTTAAAATTACTTTTTATCGGGTAAAGTTTAGATTAAAAGCGTATATATGTGTTTCTTTCTTTCTTTCTTTTAATATAAACTAACTAATATCCTTTATTTAGTCACTGGATTGTAAAGGAGCTCCAATAGTGACTTATCATCCACAAGAATCAATAACAAGAAAGAGTCGTGTCATGATTAAAGCAAAATCTTTTTCTATTACAAAAGTTAAACCTATTAGATTAAGATAATAACCAATTTAAGCCCTTTTGTATCATATTTGTATATATATATTTAAAACATATTTATTTATTGTATTAGCCACACTCATAACATCATAATAAAAGCCACACTTTATTACTATTATTATTATTATTGCATTACACTATCATTCATTTATTACTATATAAGAATAATAGAATGAATTATATACAAAACTATTAAAATGAAAATTTTTCTCTTTCATAAATAAATTTGATAATTGAAGGAATGTATATATATATATATATTTTTTTTTTCTTTTTGACATATTCATATATATAGTTAAGCATGACCAACTGCTGCCATTAAAGAAACTGAATGATGATAAGGTTGCTGTTGTTGCGTCTCATGCCAGTTTGGTGGTGGTGGTGAATGATGATCAGAGATAGCATATAGAAAGGCATCTAATTGAGCAGTCGCTGCTTGGACCGAGGTAAAGCCAATGGCAGATACACGACGATCGTGTCGAAGTAATTCTGCTGATGCACCCCTTATAAAATTAGAATTAGTAGGATATTGTTCCCTCAGACTTGTATCACGATCTAAACTCAAATAGAGGCTGGATCCTAATCCTTCTGCTGAGACAACGTTGAGTTGTCCACCCCAATGATTGGCCAATGATTTGGCTACCTGCCATCCATTCATCCATTCTGTATGAGGTAAAAGCCGTTGTTGTTGTTGTTGTTGTTGTGGTCGTCGTCGTCGTCGTCGTTCTCCTTGAGTTTGGGTCATGGTGGAAAGAACAGAGGCAGAGGTAGGTATACCCAATACATCACGTGGTATATCTGGTAATAGATCTCTCTCTATCAGGGGCTCACTTGTCTCTAATCGACATCCAATACTCGTAGGCCCACCAAATAAACACATGGAAAGTTTAGGTGGTGATTTATTAAAAAGCCACGAAAACCATTTAGTAGGTGATGATGATGATCCCTGTTGTTGAAATACATGAGCTTTTAATGCTAATAAGCTTGTTTCGTAAAGAATACGATGAAAGACACTAGGGATATAGACAAAGGAGGATGTATCCTTTGTATACATATTCTTTCTAATAATTTCAATCTTAGGAATTTGGCTCGTGCCTAAAGTAGTCGATACCATATCGTGTGCATCAGACACAGCTTTCTGAGCTATCTCTTCAGGACAAATAGGTTGTACATGATCGTTTTTATTGAAATTCCATGAAACATATTGATCTATTGGTAAATGTTAGCAAAAAAGTTTTTTTTTTTTTTTTTTTTTTTTTTTTTTTTTTTTTTGCCAAGAATAATTGCAAGGGGCGGGCGGGAAGGAGTAATAGTAGAGAAGGGTTCATGTTAGGGAGGGGGATGGAAAAGAAAAAAAAAATTCGGGGGGGGGAAGGAAAAGAGGAGAGGAGGTAAAAGAAGAGTGTGTTACTTACCAAGTAAAAGATAAATACCAGTGCCAATTGTATTCAAATTCTCTAAGAGTTGAATAGTATTCGTGGTAGAAGAAAAGGATGATGATAAAAGAGCATATTTAAGTCGAATAAGATTAATAGATTGACGTTGACGTAAATCAGTTAAAACATTGATAAATGCTTTAGGTGAAGTTTCTTTTAAAGAAGGATGTAATAAAGTACAAATATCGCGTAAATAATTATGCGCTACATGTCGAATAATGGGTGACTTTAATGTCTCTGGTGATAATGTAGATAATAAACGTAATATATGTGTATATCGAATAGGTAATTCATTACATAGGAAATTAGATGTTATAGCTGCAGGTTGTTCACTATCATATATATATATATATGAATAAGTCTTTACTCATTTAACATGAATATAGTATATAATCTTACTTTTTATTATCATAGTTTATGAGGTGTGAAAGCTATATGATTGTTAACATTAAAGTCTATAACTATGTGCATATATTCATAACATTATTTTACCGAAATTCGAGTTTCTTGCTTTGTCCATAAACTTGTTAAAATTCTATGTGGTAATACATTAATAATTTGTGAATAAAGCATTTATAATATAAAAAAAATAATAAGAAAAAAAAAACAAAGAAGAAGAAATGATGATCTTCATTGTTTTATATGTGTATAAATACATATATTTATATATATATATGTGTGTGTGTATGTGTTTGTAAATATGTGTTCTTTAATTTCTATATAGAATCATATAAAGAACTTACTTCCCCCCCTTTTTTTTTTCTTTTATGATTAAGCAAAGTTAAATATAAAGGTGTCCTCCTCCCCCCCCCTCCTTCCTCTCTAATTTAATTACAAAGGAACCCAATTCTTCATAAATAAGCGTATAAGATGAATATATAATAGAATTTATCTCTTTTAAAACATAGAAAGATCTACAAACAATGTAGATTGTGTTTCCTTCTTGATTTATAATAACAGTTTTTTATAAAATTCTTTTTTAATATAATAAATGTATGTATGTATGTATGTATGTATAAATGTATGCATATATACTCTTGGCATTTTCTTAGAAATCCACAAGTATATATGTGTGTATATATGTGTGTGTGTGTTGAAATAAGCGTAAAATAGATGTTTATAATGACTATGTAATTCATATAATCGAGCAATGCTTATGCGTCACCAAGAGAAATTTTAATTCATTAATTTCCTTACGTAAAGCATCTGCCTCTAATTCAAGTTTTTCATTATCATTCGATAAAAATTCAACTTGATCTTCTAAATCAGACATCCACTGTTTCTTTCTTTGACGGCATTTTAATGCAGCTGTTAAAGATAAAAATTGAGTATTATTTATTTTATTAAAGATAATGATGACCACTACCTTTTCTGTTTCTTTCAAGAAAATCCTGTCGTTTTTTAGAGTCATTTTGATTGCTTTTACTTTTCCCTTTAAGTTTATTATTTATAATGAATAAAGTGTCAACCTATGTGTATAGAAGCGTGAATAAATCAAAATTAATATCTATGTTTTTTTTTTATGAACTTACATTGTAATGTCGCATGGCTGTTCCTGATATGATTTTAATTTCAGGAGAAAAACTATGTTTACAGGAGTTTGATTTTTGATCTGTTATGAATATGTAATTTAGTCTATTATTATCATTCGTAAGAGAGAAAAAAAAAGTTATTTATCACCTTTTTTATTCATGTTTATATACAAGTATGACCGAAATAAAAGAAACTAAATAAATAAAAAAAAAAAGAAGGAAGGAAGGAAGGAGGAATAAAGCTATTATATACTTTCTGCGGCAGCGGTCATCATTCCTGTCTATTCTTAACTTTTTTTTTAGATTTTGTGTAATAATTTTAATTGGGCTTGAAAATGTATGTATGTGCTTTCTTTTATGATGCAATATTTTGAGTTCAAGTTGTTCGGATGATTTTTTTTTTTTTTTTTGTGAACAAATTATTTATTTTCAGGTACAATATATTTTTTTTTGGTTTTTCCAGGTCATCATTATTAGAAAATAGATTCTCTTGAACCGATATTCAGAAAAGAAAATAGTCTTTAGCTGAGCAACTTATTGAATGACCTGAATACATCTCCCTCCCCCCCCTGGGAATTGCTATACTGAGGCAATCTTACAAGCAGCCGCTCTCATTAACTTCAATTGGCCCTTCTCTGTCAAAGAATGTTACTTCATGTACGACTTGAACTTTTGATCAGCATTCTTTAATAAAATTTAAAAAGAGGACAAATAAGACGGTAGAATACATAAAGGCTTGTAACTGCGCTACTTTACATCTTTAGCAGCAAAAGTGCAAGTGATGAATCCAATCCATGGCAATATAGACGTCCTGTTTTTATTTTTATTTTTTTTCCTGCTGATATAATATAATTCATGAATTTTACAATATAAGCGGTAGTTGCATCCATCTTAACTTCATTTTTTTTTAAGGGGAGGGGAGGTTTATCTTGTTCCTTTCTTCTTATTGTTATATAGAAAGAATTGTTTTCCAATACTGGCTTGGTTTGAGTGGATACACTTTTACTTAAGCATTTTACAATTATGATTTTTTTTTTTTTTTTTTTGGACGGATTCACGGACTGCAGTAGAAATAATTAATTCAAACAAATAAGAAAATATATTTTCACTATTGATGTACAAATATGAAATTGACAGTTCAGATACTATGAGCAACCATACATATATAATTGTAAAACATCGATTATTTTTATGCATAACAAGTATTCATACAAGAATGACTGCAAGCTTAGAGAAAAAAGGGGGATTTAGTAGTCGCCATCGAATCATCCTTTATGAATTATCATTAACAAGTTAAAAGTCTCTTCTTTGATGTCCAGTCCTCTCTTTTCTTTTTATCGGAGTTTGAATAAAAAGACAGTGATTAAACTTGATTGTCCAATCATGATAGTCCAGGACAAAATGAATTGAGAAAGGTCTAGTCGTCCTATTTCATGACTCAATTGCGATGAGATAGAATCGATTACATCATACTCTCTATTGTCAATTATGTTACACAAAACTTAATTGTTGTTGTCCCTGAAAAAAAAAAAAAAAATATCGTATCACATTATGACGAAGTAGAAATGTGCTATCATGTTATATTTATTACGAAGGAATACAATATTAAATAAGAATAATAATAATAAAAGAAAAGAGAAAGAGACTCAAGTTTATACAAAGGAGAGGGGGAGGGAAGGGAAAGGGTTCTTTTTACTTTCTAGACTTCTCCTTCTTGTTCTTCATCATGTTGATACTCTTTCAGTCCATTTTCCTCTTTTGTCTTTATGGCCCTTACAACGTCATCATCTGTTAACGGATTTATATCTAATTGTTCCAAATTTTCTGTTAATAAATTCCATTGTTGACTGTTATTATCTTCTGTAGCACTTTCAAATTCTCCAAAGTCATCATCATCATCATCATTTTGTATTTTATTACTCGAGGCAATTCTATAACGAAGTGATGTTCTTCTTTCTAATTCTTCTGCATCAGCTAAATGATCAAAATCATCATCGTCATCATTAACATCAACAGCATTGTTGTCATCATCTATGTCTTTAGGATGTTCATTATTATGACTAGGAATACGACGAAGTGATGTAGGTTGTGAAAATTTAGAAAAATTACGTGTCCAATCTGGTGTAAAATGAGCATCCTAACGAAAAGTAATTCATAAGGTCTTTTTGTCTATTTTTATGCATGTCCTTTTTTACCTCTTCATCTTCATTATTACTGTTATATTCTTCTTCTTCTTCGTCGTCGTCGTCGTCATAAGAATGTAAATTAATTTGAATTGAATTACATTTATTGGTAAAATCATCTCTACCACTAAATAAATATAAGATTTTTGAATTCTTTAGTTTTCTTTTTTTTTTTTTTCTTTCTTTCTTTCTTCTTCTTACGCTATCCAGTGATTTGTGTCTTCTTCATTATCATCAAAATGACCTTCTTCTCCTCCTCGTTGAGCTAAAAACCTTGAATATTGACTAGCAGCTGTGTTGTTTTCTATCAAACCATTCATAGCTACATCTTCTTCATCTTCTTCCTCATCTTCTTCATCTTCACTATGTTGCAAATCATCTTCATTGTTTGGACGTAATCCACCTAATGGTAACTGATCTCTTTCTTTGGTATCTTTAAGTTCATTTTGACAATAATGATTCCATCCTTCCATATCAATATCATCTTTAATGACTTGGACAATTGTTTCAGGATACCCTTCAAATAACTTTATAATTTCATCCGAAATAAATGTTAAATGTCCCATATAACCAGCTCTCATTCCTTTTGGTTTTGCACTAAAGAAGTAGACATATTAGAAATAGGATGGCTTTCATTTTTCTCTTTCTTTCTTTTACCATGCTTCATCATTCGATTTTTGTGCAGCGATTATTTTTTCTGTTAATTGTCCATCTTTTAGAATAGAAATAGCTAAATGACGATTTAACCCAATATCCATACGTCCATTAAAGACTTGATGTAGCATATCATAGATTACGTAATGTAAAAAGTTGTTCCATGGAAAAGCAAAAAATAAATCCTATAAAGGGAATTTGCTTGTTAGTTACGTTTATTATTTTCATTTTATTTGTATATACTTTACAATACAAATTGGCATTGCTCTATTCTCTACAAATTTAGATTTAAGATAATCTCCAACTGATAAATGATCATCTTGTTGTTGTTCTTGTTGATTTGGTGTATATTGTTCATAATGTATTTCGTTCAAGTTAGACATATTGGAACAATGTAAGAGTTCTGCAAAGAGTTCACAAATCTTGAGCCGTTCAAAGCCTAAAGGTTCAAGTTCACCTAATGTTGTTTGCATAGTACCATGAACAGATCGTGGCTTTAATAAGAGGTGAGTAAAATCAGATATATGATTTGCCATGACTTTTAACATCTCTCCTAATGAAACAGTACTACGTGGTATGTTGGTTAATTGATAATCATAAAGTGCAGCTGTCATAGATGGGTCATTTTCCAAGTCACTATTATTATGACGAATCAAGTCAATAATAATAGAGACCCCATTGATGAGTGTTGAGGTAGCATTAGGGGCATTAGGATCCAACATGAAATTTGCTAATTTTTGCATTATAGCTTCACTATTTGGTTTTTTTTCAGTAAGAGTTATTTTATTTGTATCCAATAATAATACCTTTTTAGCTCCATAATTAAATCATTATTTCCAATACTTTGTGATTCAGGTAAACTGGTTTGTGACAAGCGAATAATATCGCATATACATTGTTGAGCAATAGAATGTTCCTAAACAAATATCCAAGATTTAGTGCTTTTTATCATGGTATCAGTAGTCTATCTTTGTTTTTTTTTTTTTTTTTTACTTCAGTATCAAGATAGGGGTTTAATCTATCCACTAAATTTACTAATAACCCATGCTCACTTAGCCACTAAATTAAATTATGTGGAGTCAATAATAGTATCCATTTCAAAGAAAGATATGTTTATACCTTAACAACTCCTTTTCCTTCAGGTAATTCTTCCATTCGAATCAAGGTTAACAACAAATCCATAATAGCTGAGGTTTGTAAATGAGATAAAATTTTATTTAAATTCTCAGAATCAGATTGAATGAATGTCATTAGCTGGAAAAAGAAAATAAAAAACTTATTAGTAATAATGTAAACATAAAGTCAACATTTTTTTTTTAATTACCTCACTTGGATATTTTGATAACAAAACTCCAATTGTTTTACAAAAGTAAGAGGCTTGTAAAGAGTCAAGTCCTTCAGTTGTTGAGGGTTGGTCAAGATAAGACCAAAAAGGAACTAAAAGATCTTGTTTATGTTCAATAACAATGGCTTCAATGATGGATTGAATTTCACAAGCTATAATTTCACTTGCAAGAAATGGATACCTATTTTAAAACACACACATACATACATACACACATAAGTATATAATGTGAATGGGAGAGGGGGGAAACTTTCAGGGAAATCTTACTTGAATCGTTTATTTTCCTCCAAGTCATTAGAAACAATGTAATTTAATAATGCCTTTATGATTTCAGGTTTACTCAAACTATATAAAGTAATAATAGATGTATATATGTGTGCGTGTGTGTGGGGGGAGGGTTTTTTTTTCTTTTAGTAATTTCGTATGCATAATAAAACGCGTTATTTTACAAGTTAACAAGCTTTGGATTCATTGTTTTAGCTTCTTGAAGTATATCCTCTTCCTCCAAGATATCCTCTAAAGTTACATCATCTTTGTCTAGTAAACTATCTAAAGTTGAACTATTAAATCCAAATCGCCAGAACATGATGCTGCTGCTGATGATGCTGATGAAAAAGAAGAAAGAAGAGGGAGAAAGAAAAAATAAATAAATAAATAAATAAATAAATAAAAATAAAAATAAAAATCAAAAATATGGAGTTGAATAATTCATTGTTTTATAAAAATAAATAAATCCTGCTTAAAGCCCGCCCGCTACATGGGACTTCTTTCGCTAGACGTAGGCCCTTTTTCTAGTTGTAGTACTAGTGGTGGTAATAGTAGTAGTAGTAGTAGCAGTAGTAGTAGTAGGCAGCTAAAAGGAGTTTGAATCATATAATAATCAAGCATCTATTGGCTTATTGTTGAAAAGTCAAAACAGTATCTTTTTTGAAATAGATGCTATTGTTCCTTACATAATTATCATTATATCGTTTGGTTGCAACTAGAGTCTAATTAGTTTCCATCCATCTATCATTGATTGTTTTTTAAAAAAAAAAATCAAGAGCTTTGATCCCATATAAAAGAAGAGAGAAAGAAGCTAAATTTTACATAAGGATTCAGTATATAAATCTTTCTCTTTGTTTATCATCCTATCAATCAAGTATAGCGTCTTCCTTATGTGTCAAAGGTATTTAGAAAACAGAGAAAGGAATATAGTATCCATTTGTTCAAATTCATAAGACATATATAACAAAAGATATAAGCAATTTTTTTTTTTGTCTTCATTTTAACTAGAGCATAAATATTAAGAAACAAAAAGAAAATGGTATGGAACAATAATAATAAAGAATTCAAATGAAAAGAAAAAATAGTTTTTTTATGGTGCTGTGTAAAGGTTCTTGTTTCAAGTGCTAATATATTGAAATGACTAAAAGAAATCTAATTTAACGTGAATTGTACATCATTATAATAATAGAATGTTAGACTATTCATATTTAACTTGGACTATTTGTGTCAATAAAAAAAAAAAAAAAAAAGAAAGAGTGCCCAGACTAGTGATTTGTATAGACATGCTGGTAACAAAGTCTCCTCTTCCATTTTCTTTCCTTCTCACTACATCAAATAATGGAGAGGATGAAAACACTTTTCTTTGGATCAAGGAAACGAACACATGTTGGCATAATTTATTTAGTGGTTGTATATATCTATTATCAAACAATATAAACATACATAAATCGCCATCATAGTGTAACACTGAAATCATTTACAGCTATCATCTTGTATATCGTGTATTCTGTCTGTAATATCTATATATGTATATGTATTTATATATATTTATTTATACACATGTTTACAATGGCATTTGAATTTAGAATCACGCTTATTATGTATCGCATATGCAGTGTTCTCATATACCAAGAATAATCCTAACTCAGGTATATATCATCCAGATGACAAGAACGTTATATTTATTTTTTTCGCTGCTGTAAAAAGATCCGGAATTAGAAAATTGTATGATTCAATTTGTTAATGTAGGGTGCTTATAGTAGATTAGGATTTTTTTATTTTTTTTTTTTTTTTTCGAAAAATCATATGATTGTTTCACCTTGTTTCAGTAACAGTAGATTTGACATATATAAATAAGTAAATAAATAAAAGAAAAAATTTTATTAAATTCTCTTTTTTTTTAATTTTTTTTTCTTTCTTTCTTCATCTTTTACTATTACTTTGTATTATTTGTAGACAAACAAACATCATTTTGTTTTGTATATAGTTTTTCTTTTGATCTCCCTCCTCTATTTTTAGTTTATTTTTATTGCTCATCGTATACTTTGTTAAAATAATATGACTACAAAAGCTGTTAATGAATATGATATGATTATTGTTGGTGCCGGTGTAGTTGGCTGTGCTGCTGCCAAGGCATTTGGTGAAGATGGACGTAAGGTTTTATTGCTTGAACGTGATTTATCAGAACCTGATAGAATTGTGGGTGAACTTATGCAACCTGGTGGTATGCATGCTTTAAAGAAACTTGGCATGGAAGGTAAATATAATAATAATAATAACAATAAAGAGGAATGAGTGAGTGAGTGAGTGAGTGAGTGAGGTTTTTTTTTTTAAGAAAAAAGAAAGAATAGAGATTAACGCGTAATGATTTAGATTGTGCTGAAGGTATTGATGGTATCAACTGTTATGGTTATAGTGTATATTATAAAGGAGAATTGGTTGAACTTCCTTATACTCAAGATCCTACTACTGGTAAGCAAGCTCGTGGTGTTGCCTTCCATCATGGTCGTTTCATTCAAAATCTTAGAAAGTCTGCTATGAATACAAAGAACGTTACTGTTAGGGAAATGACTGTTAATCGTCTTATCAGCTATTCTGAAACAGATAACCGTGTCATTGGTGTTGTTGCTACCCCTAAGGGTGAAGACGAGAAGGAAGAAAAGCTTTATGCTCCTCTTACATTAGTTGCAGATGGTATCTTCTCTAAATTTAGAAAGGACTTCTTTGAACGTTCTACTAATGTCATGTCACACTTTGTTGGCTTCTTACTTCATGACTTCCAATTGCCTTATGATAAGAAGGGTTTCGTTGCTGTTGCTAAGCCCTCTCCTATCTTGATGTATCAAATTGCTCCTCATGATACACGTGTCCTTGTAGATGTTCCTGGTGAATTACCTAAGGTCGGTAATGGTGATCTTAAGCGTTATATGGAAGAAGTCGTTTGTCCTGAATTACCCGCTAATATGCAAGAAAAATTCATGGAAGCTCTTCAAACTGAACGTTTACGTCCTATGCCTAGTGGTTTCTTACCCCCCTCTATTAACCAACGTGAAGGTGCGATCATCATTGGTGATGCCCTTAACGTCCGTTCCCCTCTTACAGGTGGTGGTATGACGGTGGCTCTTGAAGATGTCTTGACCGTAGCTCAACTTCTTTCTAAGCAAAATGTTCCTTCCTTTACCGATAGTCATTTGGTACTTCAAGCTATGGATACCTTCCACTGGTCCCGTAAGAAGCATTCTGCTGTCATTAACTGTCTTTCTATGTCTCTCTATAGTGTCTTTGCTGCCAAGACAGAATCAATGAAGGTCATTCAAAAGGGTTGCTTTGAATATTTCAAGTTGGGTGGTTCCTGTGTGGATGGTCCTATTAACTTGCTTGCTGGTATGAACTATTCTCCTGCTGCTCTTCTTTATCACTTTTATATGGTTGCCTTGTACTCTATTTATGTTATGTTCAGAGATGGTGGCCTTGTTGGTATTCCTCAAAATATTTTCAAAGCATTTGCTGTCTTCTATACCGCCTGTGTTACTATCATGCCTTTCCTTTGGGGTGAATTGAAAAATTAGATAACATTTGCACTCAACTTTTCCCCCCCTCCACCTTTTTTTTTTTTATTTTCTAGTAATTTTATTGTAAATCATGTATATTTTTAGTTTTTTTTTCTTTAATCAAAACATAAATAAATAAATAAATAAAAATTTGTATAATAGTAAATACGATATTTTGTTTGAATGATAATTAAAGTCTGTTTATTTTATTTTATTGCCTTTTACAATCAGAGAATAAATAACCAACTTGCCAAAAAAAAAAAGGCTAAAAGGCGGATCTACGATACTGCATAGTAGTAATTGATAATATCGGGTTATATCCTTTTTTGGTTCAAATCATTATATATTACCTAATATACTTTTTCCCTGATCCAAAAAAAAAAAAAAATTAATTAAAAATCCGCTAAAAATAAACTTTTTCTTTTTTTTTTTTTTTTTAAAAGTCAATTGTGGCACGATTTTATTTTTAATGCCAGATTTAATTCATTTATTTTTTTTATCCACAAAAAAAAAAAAAAAGATGTGAGCTGTATCATATAGTTTGAAAGAAAATCATTTACACACAAGAACAAGATATTATATACAGTTTTATTTTATTTACTTGGTTATTATTTCTATTTGCAATATAACATAAATAAATACACAGATATTAAAGGCAAAAAAAAATGATATTTTAACAGTTATATATTTCGGGATTTATGTCTAAATTATGATATGATCTTTCTTTATCAATTATGTTGATCCATCTTTTTTTTTTTTTTAATATTAAAAAAAAGAAAAAAAAAGTTTTCTGCCATAATTTCCGTTTTTAGGAAAAAGGAGAATACATTGATTTACGTTTTAAATTCAATTTTTTTGTTAGGTAGTACTAAATCCATAATTCATATTTTCCTCATGTCTATAACGCGTCTAGTTTTTTTTTTTTTTTTTTTTTTTTTTTTTTTTTTTTTTTTGGAGGAAATGGTCCGGGTTTTTTTTATGAGTGCATTTTAAGTGTTGACAAGCAATAGCTAATTATACGCTGCATGAACTCCAAGTCCAGCAGTTATGCTGCAATTTAATATATATTGACTAAAGTGTCTTCTCGCGATTAGAGTAAATATTCAACAATTAACTTTGTCAACATTTTGACTATTCTATACAGTGTAGTGATCGCGAACTTAAGATATTATAAAAAGTAAGTTTGTCACGATCAACAAAAATAAGGTAATCAAAGGTTATAATTAAAAAAAAAATATATATTTGATGGGAGATTGTGGCAGACTGTGGCCTCACAATCATACTATATTTCGAATCGGATGAATAAGTTGTAATATTCGCTGTAAAAGTGTCTTATGAGTTTTTTTTTTCCTGTCCCTCCCTCCCCCCCCCTCCCCGCAAGTATAATGCTAGCTTAGAAAGTGGATGGTTTAAGAGGTTACTTCAGTAGCATATTTACGATAGCAGATGAAATGGGCTCTAGTAACAAGAACGTGTCAATAAGAATGCAAGTAAATGGTATTGCATGATATGTGTTTTTGTGATTGTATATTATTGATATGAGCAAATTTAATGTTTCCCCACCATCAGGTGGTCATCCTAAACATCATTGAAAATAAAAAGGATGACTACATTCAATAGGGTGCATAGATAGCCAGAGAATAAAGATCCATGGATAGAGTTGGTGAACGAGACATAGTATAATGACTCATTCTGCGTATGTTCAACTGTTTGTTAAAGATTTCCACCAAGAAAATTCTTATTGATATTTTACAAATTGCTGAAATAGTCATTCTATCTTATAATGAGTTGGGGGGAAAAGTCATAACAAAATGGTGTATATGTAATAAAATGACAAGCCCTAAACTGGTTCTTTTTTTCTTAAATACTGAGATCATATAGACATATAGTTATCTGAAAATCAATTATTACGCGTACTTGCATTATTCTTAGTTTACCCCGGCTTGACTTACAAAGTTATTTTTTTTTTATATATGTATATAAATTTATATTCAGCAGAATAAGATATATATTTTTAGATGCAGGACTTTTATTAATTATTTTTCTATACAAGAGTAAATATGTGTATAGACAGAATTATAATATAAAAGTGCACTGTATATTCTATTTATCTTATTCAATTAAGCTACAAAACCTTACAACCATGATATTTATTACCTCTAATCATCCTCAGCCCCATCGAACTCTTACTGCTCAAAATTTGAATCTGAAGAGGCATATTTAATAACAATAAGGAAAAAAAAATTGGGTGGTTCTAAAGAAAAACGATGAACTATTATAATCTTACAACTTTCCCTTTCATGTTGACTTGGATTTATATATATATATATATTCCTTTTTTAAAAAAAACAAGTAATGTAAGACTATTGAAACTGACGGTAAAAAGTCATAAATTAAAGCTATAGATCAAAGAGTCTTTAAACTGAATTATGTCTAAAGTATGTCTAGATCAAGATGTGACAAAGTTGTGATACTTGGCTTAATAAAGAGAAATAATAGAAATAGAGAGAGGTAAAATGCGTAAGACTTATTACTACTTTTATTAAAACTAAAGCAAAAAAAAAAAAAATGATATTAGTTAAAACTAATTGAGGTAAAAAAAGAAAATTGTATATATGATAATGTTTGTCATTTATACTTTTTTTTATATGATTGTCTTATTAACGACTTATACGTCCCAAGTTGTATATTTACTCTATATTAGTTCGTACACTGGGATTATCTATTATTAGGTAATCAGTCCAATGTATGCTATACATACACAAATAGTCATAATAATGGATACATGCTTATTACAAACTCATCTTGATTTTGTTATATACGATAATATATTTTATGTATGTATCGATAATTATTTATATTTAATCTAACAGCCAGCTGAATTATAATTATTAATGGTACCTTAAATTTGGGTTCAGAGAATTGTTTATTAGTGCTGTATATGAATATTTTAATTTAACTTTAACTTTTAACTTTATTTTTGTACATGGCAAAAGCAACATTATGAGATGATTATGCTTATTTTATTATTATATTACGTGCAAACTTGACATTTTATCCTTTTTTTTTGGAATAAAATTCATATTTAATGGCCTGTAACGGTACCTTCGGAGGTAGACTTCTTTGGTTTAAATGACGCTTTTTTTTTTTTGGAATTGCGAATATCACTTTTTATCCTTTTTTGATGAGTGCTCTTAAGGATTCCGAAGCTCCACATTAACATGATATATTTTTGCTGAAATTGCACCCGAAACTGCACGTGATACTGCTCTCACTACAACCATGTTTGGTGTGTCCTTAATAGACATATCCTCCTGTAGGTCTGATATTGATATCGAAGCCTGATTCACCAATGAAAAATACAGTTTTCAAGGTAATATTCATATCTGTTTCACTTCACTTTCAATCCCCCGTGGATCATTCCTAGGAGCTTGGGTAGTGAGTGGTTTTTTTTTTCTTTTCTCTTTTTCCTTTTTTTCTTTCCAAAGATGTTCCAATCTTTGTCCTCTTTAAGTTTCTCAGATTTTAGCAGCATTAAACAATTTTATCCTGCTGTAATAGTAGAAAATAAAAAATAAAAAAGTAGCTTTTGATTATAGGAGTAGTTTTTATAATGTTTACTTTTTTTTTCTTCTTCTTTGACAATCATTTCCTTCATTTCAGTTAGCTAGCATCTAAACTTTCGTCAGTTGACTTTGGCTCTGAATTTTGCTGCTTTTCTCAGTTAAAACCTAAGGCAGGTGTTAACGTTTCTAAATGGAAAGGGAGTTTATTTCTTCTTTCTATTTATTCATTCTACTGCATCATTAACAATTTCCCCCCCCCTCTCTCTCTCTCTGCCCACACTCATAAAAAAGAAGATAAAAGAAAAAAAAAGGCATGTTATCCATTTAACTTTGTTAAAAAAAGAATAATATCTGCCCTTTGAGACCAAAAAAAAACCTCCCTTTGGAAAAATCAAAACTGCCCTTTGAGACCAAAAAAAAAAACCTTCCTTTGGAAAAATCAAAACTGCCCTTTCAGATTTTTTTTTTTTTTTTTTTCAAAATTGATTAAAAAGTGGCAAGTGTATTTCAGAAACCGGTACTTTGTGTTACATTATTAACATTATGTAGAAGTCACTTGCTGGAAATTAAATAGTATTGAAAAACAGGATGGAAAATCATAATATTATTTTAGAATAATTTTTTCCTTTTAAAAAAAGAAAAGGAAAAGGTAAATGTAAGCTTTTTTTTTATAAATATATGTGTGTATGTATATGTTAAAGCAAATCGTACGTTTTTTTTTATCTACTTTATGTCACGCACGTGCGTACGTACATACGTACATACATACATACATACATACGTGCGCTAATATTTATATGAATATTATAATTATTATTACATTTTTTCTATTATGTGTTTTTTTTATGATAATGATAATGATGATGATGATGGGTGTTGTTTAGTAGCTTGCATGAGTTCTTCAATGGCCTCTATAGTTTTTGGCACAAGTGTCAGATTTTCATATCCGTTTTGTGTAATTACAATCGTATCCTCAATTCGGACCCCACCTACTTCTCGGTACTTGGCCAACACATTGAGATCAAAATAATTTTGATACCCCGGAAATTCTGTCCAGATGGATAACATCGTATCATTAAAATAAAGACCCGGTTCAACTGTCAGAACCATGTTGGCCTCGAGGGGTCGATTTTTGAGAAACTCCTTTTCTTCGTCTTCATCTGTAGAATCATCTTTTCTATATTAAGACTAGTTATTAAATATTATGTTTGTTTGTTTTTATTTTATTTTTTGTTAATAACACTATTTTACCCTCCTACATCATGAACATCTAAACCAACCGAATGCCCGAGTCCTGTATATTTAGGGAGGTGGGAAAAGAAGAGGAGTGCAGGATGTTTAGTAAATAGATTCAATTTTTTATTTATTTATTTATTCATTTTAATTTACCATGGTAATAAAATGCACTAGGCACACGTCTTTGAATCAATTCCTCTTCTTCTCCTACTAAAATCCCAATTTTGATCAACTCATGACACAACACACTGATAGCTAATCTTTCCATATCTGTCCAAAATACGCCTGGTTTCAATTCTACTAAAATGCTCTATCATAAAAGTAAATTAATTAATTAACTGTATACAATTCGTTTCGTTCATTTTTTTTTATTTTTTTTTTTTAGTTATATACCTCCTGCATCTTTAGAACAATTTCATAAATAATGCGAGCTTCCTTGGAGAAAAGACCATTTGCGGGGAAGGTACGAGTGATATCGCTGCCATAACAGCACTTTTCACCACCGGCATCAACCAAGACGAGTTGATTTTGACGAATGATATGATTGTTTTTAGAATAATGCAAGGTAGCTATGCGGGGGCCCGAGGCAATGATGGGCAGATAAGCCTGACGATAGACCTCATGTTGATGAGCAGCACAGGCCCATTGAAAGACGGCTGCCAGATAGGCCTCCCGCATCTCTGGACGACATTGTTGAATCACCCTAATATGGGCTTCCGATGATGCTCTCATGACGTCCCTCAACATGTTCACCTCCCAGGGGAACTTGATAAGACGTGCTTCATTTAATGCAAGTGATAATGATTGATAATCTATGATGCAATCTTCAGTCACCCTCATCCATGCAAGTGTCTGAATCGTGTTATCGAACAAGTAAAGTCGTGTGGGTTGTAGATTACTAAATAAAAGGGGGAGGTCAGGTTCCGTTATGATCTTATCTACGTCGTAACGTTTCAATAAGTCTTGGCTGTCATGGCTGGGTCCTTTCCAAAAGATATCAGTTTGTGCTATGTTGGGTGCAATAAGATAGAGTTGTTCTGATTCTAAATGAAAAATAAGTTGAAAGCCAGGTTCATCTACGCCTAATAAATAAATATGAAAGTCAGTTAAAAAAGAAAAGGTACACTATATTCATATTAAAAAAAAAAACTTGCCTGTTAAGTAAAAAAAATTACTTTCTTGTCGAAACTCCAAGTCAATATCAGTGTTGTCTCTTGTCATTTCAGTGTTCCCTTTCATGTAAATGACGGATGATGAATCAAGATGGGCTTGATCAAGTAATAATTTTTTAACTTTAAGACAATGTTGTTTTGTAGGAATGAAGTGTTCATTAATGTAATGATGTTGTTTTGGTATAATATTAACTGGATGAGGTGCCATAATATAGAATTATAAAGGGGGAAAAAAAAAGAGAGAGAGAGATAGAATGTGAATGCGCTTTTATTTTATTTTATTTTTTTTTAGAGAGTAAGATCTGGTGATGGAATACAATATATAAGCACGGACAATTTCCTTTGTCCCACAGTAACAAATAGCGGCTTCTTTCTCTATCTCCTCAAAGATCAATTAGCAATTTTTTTAAAGGAAAAAAAAATATGTATATACTTTGTAAATCTTAATAACTAGCCCTTTCTCTCTGTCCTTTTTTTTTTTTTTTTTTTTTTTTTTTTTTGCATAACGATGATAGAGTTAATGCGTAATGAGATTTTCGCCCTCTCCCATATTTTCGAGTCATTCTTCCGCCCCCATCTTAAGCCCTATTTTATTATTATTATTCAAATATCTTTGAAAAAGTTACAGAATGTTTGTCTGTCAGATTAGTAAGAATACTATTTCTTCGATTATGTATATTTGTTTGTGTGATATTAGTCTATAATCTCTAACTTTTTATTTATTTCATTGGGGCGGAGGAGCGGGGAGAAAAAAAAAGTATTTTTGACAAGGTTATAGTTAAAATTTTATAATAGAATATAAATAAAGAGATTTGAATGTACATGCTTTAGATACTACAAAGCCTAGAAAAGTCACATTTTATCAATGTACATATTTCACATGGTAAAGATAAATAAAAGTAACTAATCTAATCTAATATAAAATAAAATAATGATGATTCTCCAAGCTCTTCTTGATGATAGTTATTATTAATTTCTTCAGTTATAAAGCCAAATCATAAGTTCTTCCAAGACGTTAAATAGGTATCAAATACTAAATAAAGATATGGCGTCCATTGTCACATGCTGGTAGTCGATTAACTCAAATTACAAGGCTTATTTATATATATTTTTGAGCATTTTAATGATGTATTACAAAAAATAAATAAATAAATAAACACATAGACTTATATATCAAAGTACGATCATATGAAATTAGTAAGAAAAATGTTACCTTTACATTTAATACGTATTTTTTTTTATTATTAATGTAAAAGTGTAAAAGTTGAAAATAGATTCATATCAAAGTCAAATAAATACATTATGTTCTTATACATTTGTTAGTATATGGACTTTCTTATCAGAGTCGGTTAACAAGAATAATCCCAGGTAATATTGCATCTCTTTATATACAACTTACTTAATCTCGTATAATGCCTATTATCTTAAACCCAAACAAGTCTTTTGTAATTCATAACTGACAGAGATGGTCTCTCCCTTCTCCCCCTCCCTTTTTTTTTTCTCGATTTAAATCGTTTGCTAAAAAAAAAAAAAAAAAAAAAAAAAAAAAAAAAAAAAAAACTTGGTTTAGCGTATTATATACAATTAAAAAAAATAGTTCATGATTATTATTTTTAAGGAAGGGCTATGATATTAAAATATGAGAAGAGTTACACTATAAATTAATGGTAAAGAAAGCAAATACTATAAAAGGTAGTTTATGTGCTAATTAAACTCGAATTTTATTTCCTACAAAAAAAAAAAAAAAAGTATTGCAAGTTTAATGAATATGACAATTATGATGATAGATAATAAATGATTTGTATGAAAATAGTTAGTTTAAAGATATATTAGTAGACCTTCTTAGCCTTTTATTCATGTATAGTAATCTTATATCATCAATATATTGATTTAACAAGTTTACAATAGTTTTCTATTTATGTGTTTGTTATCATTGTATTCATAGTATTGTAGAGTTAAAATACTCGTAAAATGTGTTATACTACTCAGTAGAGAACTTGTTACAATGTCAAAAAAATTCATTCAAATTACCATTCTTCTAGAATAAATATACATGTATTAACTTATGAAGTATAGTCGTATTTTTCTTTTAAAGTAGTAATGCGAAACAATGTTTTTTTTCTTTGTTGGCTTAATATAATTTAGATCTAGTAGAGATTTACTACAATGATTTAAAGTAGTCTTCTATTTTGTATGTAAACGAATTTTTTTATTGTTATAAGGTATGTTTTTTTTCCTGAAATAGTATCAAAGTCCTGAATTCATTGCTCGGTTTCAAAGTAGGTAAAATTATCTATTTTTATCATTTAGCAATAAATATGAATATTTATATATTTATTTATTTAAACGCGTAAAGGTTAATATTAATACTTTAAATACAACAAAGACGTTTTAAACATGTATTAAATGCATATAAACATGGTCTTTTTGCTTTATTCCTTTTTGCATTACAAACTTTTTTTTTGTAATGCATAATAGAATATTAATCATCATTATACTAGATACAATAAGTAGCGGTTATTCAAAAACAATTCCCAGCATATTTTCTCGCCTACATCCAATCAACAACCAACACAAATAAAAACTGAGTTTAAGCTTATAACCTATTTAATACTTTATTTTAGTAATTTTTTTTTTTTAATTATTATTTCTTTTTCATTGTGTTTGTTCTTGCAAAATAATAATAATAACAAAAAAAAATGGTTAAGAAAACTTTCTTGTTCACAGCCATTGCTGCTACTTTTGCTGCCCTTACTCATTCTGTGTTGGCTGATAGTGATGTTCTTTCCTTGACTGAAAAGACTTTTGATCAAGAAGTTCTTAATCAAGACTTGATGTTGGTTGAATTCTTTGCTCCCTGGTGTGGCCACTGCAAAGCACTTGGTAAATTGTCAATTTGAAATCATGTTTGTTCATTGTTAACATTTCTTTTCTTTTTTTTTCTTCTTTTTATAGCTCCTGAATATGAAATCGCTGCTACTAAACTCAAAGATAAAATGAAGGTTGCTAAGGTCGACTGTACAGAAAACCAAGACCTTTGTATCAAGTATGGTGTCCGTGGATATCCTACTCTTAAAGTATTTAGAAATGGTGAAACATCTGATTATAAAGGATCTCGTAAGGCTGACGGTATTGTCAGCTACATGATTAAGTAAGATGATATGCAATTTTTTTTAATATATGAATATGGATACTCATGTGTATTTTTTTTTTTTTTTTTTTTTTTTTTTAGGCAAGCTGCTCCTGCTGTTACACCCTTAGATTCATCTAACTTTACTGAATTCCAATCTTCTGATCGTGTTGTTATTGTTGGTTATGGTACTGATGAAGCTACACAACAGGCTTTATCTACTGTTGCTGAAAAACTTCGTGAAGATTTCTTATTTGGTCTCGTTACTGATCCCACTTTGGCTGCTGAACACAAGGCTGCCTTCCCTAGTATTGTCCTCTATAAACAATTTGATGAAGGCCGTAGTGATTTAGTGAGCACCGACGCTGCTGCTATTGAAAAATTTGTTATGACCGAATCTGTACCCCTTTTGGACAATATTGATGGTTCCAATTTTGCATACTATGTCAATGCTAATTTACCTTTAGCCTTTGTCTTCCATGATAGTACTGAACAACAAGATGAATTACGTCCTGTTATTCAACCACTTGCACAAAAATATAAGGGTCGTATCAACTTTGTCTTTATTGACGCCAATAAGTTTGGTGCTCACGCTAATAACTTGGCTCTCAAGCAAGGTGAATGGCCTGCATTTGCTATTCAACATTTAGATAATGGTGCCAAATATCCCTTTGATCAATCTAAGGCTTTAACATCTGAAGATTTGCCTGCCTTCCTTGAAGAATATACTGCTGGAAAACTCCAACCTACACTTAAATCAGCTGAAGCCCCCGTCGATAATAATGGACCTGTCAAGGTTGTGGTTGCTAAAGAGTTTAATGATATTGTGTTAGATAAGTCTATGAATGTGTTTTTGGAAGTATATGCACCATGGTGTGGACATTGTAAGAGATTAGCACCTATTTGGGAAGAATTGGGTGAATTAGCTTCTGGACATGAATCACTTATGATTGCTAAGATGGATGGTACTGAAAATGATATCCCTGAAGAAGGTGGATTTGAAGTTACTGGTTTCCCCACTTTGAAGTTATTCAAGGCAGAGACAAATGAGATGGTCGACTATAATGGTGATCGTAGTCTTGAGGATTTAGTTAAATTTTTGAACGAACAAACCGGCTTAAAAATTAATATCGAAAGTGAGAAGAAGGATAAGGAGGAGGAAGAGAGTCCTGTTAACCAACATGATGAATTGTAAAAAAAAGAAAAAAGAAATCATCTAGTAAATTAATGTATACACGTATATTGAATTATAATGCTATCATTTTCATATAATAAATATGAAATATAAGACTTAATGTAACAAATGTAGTTTGTCCAAGTAAATGATACTATTTTATAGCAGATCAGCGTGAAGGGATTTGTAAAAGGATTAATACACACTCCCATTCATATCATTTGTCACTTTTAACTTATTATTCAGCCTTATCGTCTTTTAAGTAATAGAATAACGCATAACATCCATTGTTGTATTGCCTAAAATATGAATTACTGTATTTCGAATTTACAAGCAAAATTATAAAGGACTTCTGGTCAAGTACAAGTTTGCAGTATTCATCGAAATAGGATATTTAAATTAACATTTCTCTTTTTATAAAACAGTGTTTCAAATATTACTTTTTATAGATATTCATTTATTTATTTATTTTTCCTTTTACCTAAAATGATATATATCTTATTCATTTATAGAACATTTAAGTATTCATCATACTAAATGTAAAATAATCGTCTACCTTGCTTCTATTTTTAGTGCACTATCTTTGTTTTATTGGTCTATGCGTCATCATCATCTATAGCATTACTGCTAAAACTATCATCACTTGCATGGAATTGAACCATTCTTCTAGCTTAATGAATCGTATCTTTGTCTTTAGGTTCATTCTAACTGATTACCCTTGGGAGTTACACCAGGTAGTTTTTTTTTTTTTTATGAAGCAATGAGGCTCGATAATGAAACCTAAATACAATAATCTGGAGCCAGCTTCCCTCAATTTAAATTGGGTCCCCTTATTGCTTTTATAAATAATCAAATTAAGCATATCGTGAGTTATTTTAATTATTTGGAAGAATTTCAATTAATAGATACTCATCACGCCAGAGATAGCAAAACGTGTCATTCTTATTCATTATCTATATAAAAGAACTAGCCGAGCAACAATCATTTTTTACTTTGTAAAAGACATTGTTTTATCCATCAAACCAACCAGCGTCCTCATCACTCAATTCTATGTGTATATTATTCTAATAGATTTGTTCACTCTTCTAGTCCTATTTTTTTAAAGAATATAGACACCATTTAGATTACTGTTGGGATACCAACAAACACGTTATCCTTGACTCATTTAATTACCTTAAGCCTTATTTACTTTTTTTTTTTTTTTTCTCTCATCCCTTGCTAGGATTTTCATAGTTGAGTATATCAATAAAGCACTTTAAAATTATGAATTCAGATGTGTCAATTCCTGTCTGCTCTTACATTTATTTTACTAGAGATTATATCTAGACTATATTGTTATTTTTTTTTAATATGCTGCTACTGCTACTGCCGCTATGGTATTATAAACTTGAAGACACTCAACATGTTTTTTTTTTACTTGAACCCATCAATAGAAGACTACTTATGTTCACATCCTTCCAAAAGAAATAATACATCATTCATTTATAACTTTTTCCTCTTTATAACTCAGGATTATTGACTTATCTATCCTTATTTCCACGTTTTATCTCTTGAAGCAATACTGAATACTTTTCTTTTTTTGTTCTCCTCCCCGCCATACACTCATTAGCACAATACATATCATACACTCATTAGCACAATATATATTATACACTCATAACAGTTATTAATAATAATAATTATAATAATAATAATAATTGTATTAATGTATTTTTGCATATATTAAATACATATTTATTTATTTTTATTTTTATTTTTATTTTTTCTTTCTTTCTTCTTTTTTTCTTTTTTTTGTTTTTTCTTTTTAAACAAATGCCAATTCATAATAAAAGAAAAAGACAAAATTGGGAAAAAGAATTCTATAAAAACGGGTATCCAACAGAAGTCATTGTCATTTCTTCTGAATCACCACAACCACCTGCAAGTAGTGGTACAACAACCAGCACTTCTTCTTCTTCAGCAACAAATCATGATATATTAAAGACACTTGTATTAGAACCAGATCCAAAGCGACAAAAATGGAACTATAATAATGACCAAAGTAAGATAGCTTCACCCCTCCTGATATCTTTTATCATCATTTATCTAACTCTATAATGATAGGCATTTTAGCATATCATTTATTTCCTAGTAATAATAAAAGTTTTACAATAAATAGCAAAAATAGGACATTTATATCGAATACTAATGAACCACGTTTGACAACAAAAGAGGTAAATTACAAAGCTTAATGAGGGAGATGGGGTTATAATGTGAAAGCTAATTGAGTTATTTCTAGTCTCCTTTTGATGATAAGGATGGCCACTACATTGTTAGACCTAATGACTTGTTAACTGACCAATGTAAGAATTCTTTTTATATACATATACATTTACTAATTAAAAACCTCACTAGATAAAATAATGAGATTATTAGGTCAAGGTACATTTGGTAAAGTAGTTGAATGCTTTGACCGTGTACGTAGAACGTTCTGTGCCATAAAAATAATTCGTGCTATACCTAAATATCGTGACGCTAGTAAAACTGAAATCAAAGTCCTTAATACGCTCAAAAAACATGATCCACTCAATTTGAAGTAAGTAGATGGATATTTTGAACCATCAATTATTTATTTATTTATTTATAAATTAGTCAATGTATTCATTTAATTGAGTGGTTTGATTATCGTAATCACATTTGTATGGTCTTTGAACTATTGGGTGTTTCCTTATTTGATCACTTAAAATCAAATCATTTCAAACCCTTAACCCCACATAATATTCAACATCTCGCTAAACAACTTCTTAACAGTGTTGCTTTCTTACACAACGATCTCAAACTTATCCACACAGATCTCAAACCAGAAAATATCTTGCTTGTCAATCCCGCTAATCTAGAAATTCGTCTCATTGATTTTGGATCTGCAACGTTTGAACATGATTATCATTCAAATATTGTCTCTACACGACATTATAGAGCCCCCGAAATCATCTTGGAAAGAGGATGGTCTTATCCTTGTGATTTATGGTCTGTAGGTTGTATACTGGTTGAATTATTTATTGGGGAAGCACTCTTTCAAACTCACGATAATGAGGAACATTTAGTGATGATGGACATCATCTTGGGTCCTCTTCCAAAACATATGCAAACTGTACGTCGATCTACAAGACAATACAAAAATATAAAACCACTTGAAAAACTGATACCACCCACTTCTAAAGAAACGAGTTATTTATTAGATCTTTTAAGGAAATTCTTTGTCTATGAACCAAGTCAACGTATTTCTGCTCGAGAAGCATTAAAGCATCCCTTTTTCTATATTTAATACATTCACTAGATACCACCTTCTCTATATATAAATATATAATAGTAATAATAATAATAAAGAAATCCAGCTTTTTTTTTTTTTTTTTTTTTTTTTCTACGTTCAATATGGTCTCTATATACATATACATATCCATATCCATATGCATTTATATTACACACACATACATATTTAAATAACAACTTCTTCCATCCATTCCTTCAAGATGGGTACACTGTGTATCATTTCTGTAATTTCATTTTCTTGTACATTCAATTGTATCTTCCTCATTCGTTCCTCTCTATGTTTCCCTAAACTAATAATACTTAATGTCTCTAATAGTGTCACTAAATCGTTTAATTCTGTTCTCGATACAGCTGTCATTGAAGTCCCTGTCAACATGCCACTGTACTGATCACGAAATTGTCCTAACGTTAATGCCTTCCCGGACTGACGTCGTTGTAGGACCAATAAGGCACCCAAGACGACCTTTTGTTGTAAATTAAGTTGCTTTAATTTTTGCTGTGTTGAGGTACCAAAGACACCATTCAAGACCTTCATGACATGAGCTACTGTCACTTTCGGTAAGGGCATCTGTTGTGCATCCTTTAAGGTTTGTCTCCTTTTGTATTCCAATTCAGCGAGTTCAGTGGCTTGACGACAGACATCTAAAGCTGTACGTAAGTCACCCATTGAGGCAGCTACCTTACGTGCACATAATTCAATCGCAGTCGGTTGTATCAATCTCTCAGGTTCCTCCTCTAATCGTCCTTGAATGATCTCTGTGATTTCGTCTACTCGATAGGGGTTAAAATTCAATAGATCAGGTTCACAGTTCTTGGCTCTCAGTCGTGGCAAGATACGATCTGTCAAGTCAAGTGCGTTTGCAATACCGATCAACACTAAACGTGATGTGGGTATAGAGGCCCATTCAAACAACTTGTAGAGCACATCTTGATCTCTAGTGATGAGCGAATCAATTTCATCTAATATAACGACATTCAATGCATTCCTTTTTGAATTCAACATGATCTCTTCAGCTCTTTTCACAATATCAGAGGATGTCTCCTTATTATGACTAGTGGGTAATGCATCTACTAGAGCATGATAAATTTGTTTAGGTTCCTTCATTGACATGCAATTGATAACCACCCTATGAACTTGATGTGATTGTCTCTTGACCTCTTCTTCCATCGTTCGCATCACCTCTGTTAATAAAGCCGTTTTACCTGTGCCTGGCATACCTGAAATATAAAGACAGCCAGGTAAATTACTCAACACATGCTTTTCCCAAAAGTCAACCAGAATCTGACGTTCGTTCGTTCGACCTACTAATCGTGAAGGGACAGTTGTACGACGAAATAATGTTTTCACTTTTTGAAAGATCGTTTCTTCAGACTTTGTACTGGGTGATGCTATAAGACTTGATTATTAGCCACTTTTTATTTTTATTTTTATTTTTATTTTTTTTACATTGTTTATTTTTTAATGTAGAAGAAGGTTGTATGGCTGCTTTCTTTTGTGCTGACAGTTGGTTTTCTAATTCATCATTACTATTTTTACGTTTAATTCCTGAACAAGTTTTTTTTTTTTTTTTTTTTTTTTTTTTTTTTTTTTTTTTTTTCATTAGATTTATTATTATATTTGTTGATGGTTTGGATTTTTTTACCTATTTGTGTTACTGATTCTGATGTCGTCTTTTTTATAGAAGTAGATGATCGATCACTTTTTGATCGACTCTCCGATATCATTTTGTTAATAATAATAATAATAAGAGGTAAATAATTTTTTTTTTCTTGGTCTAAAAAAATAAATAAATAAAGCGCGTTCTAGCGCGTCACGGTTTCTTGATTAAGGAGCTACAAACTCAACTCGTTACTTTGTATTACATACATACACACATTCTGCACTAACTACTCGTATTCATCACCAAAGTAGTAAAAAAAAAAAATCATTTAAAGCGAATAATAGTTGAAGGCTATGTATTTTATTTTTAGTAATAAACTTTCCTTTATTACATATCCAACCAATTAATAAATGTTAAAGATTTAATGTAATATAAAAGAAACTGCACATATCTTTCTCTTCTTTACCAGCTTAAGGAATAGATACGTATACAGCTTGAAAAAAAAAACTATAACTATTCACATTATTTGAAAGAATTAACCAAAAAAGATACACGTCGAGAATCTGATACAGAATAATCAACTTTTCCCAAAAAGAAGATGATCATAATCATAAAGTCTTCTTTAGTACCTTTTTCTTCTTTTAATTCAAGATCCGTTCCAATAATAAAGATTTACGTTTTTTCTAATAACTTTATAAACATGTATATAAAAAAAAAAAAAAAAAAAAAGTTGGGGAAGGGAGGGAAACGCATCAAGTGCAAAAAAAAAAAGTAATATTAGTGTAGATAATAGTATCATTTTGTCTCCTATAGACTAGCTCGAATTTAATAGATAAGTCTGATGACAAGTCTTATGACTTTTACACTTTCTCTTTTAATATATAATAATAACTCTTTATAGAGCCTTTTTTTTTTTTTTGTTGGGTATAAGTTTTTGTCATACTAGTCAGTAGGATTAACAACTGCACGTGAAAATAATAGTAATAATAATGCTTATTTAAACTTTTTTTTTTTGGTTTTTTGGTTTTTTAGTTTTTGTTTTCTGTTAAATAAAAAAATAAATAAAAAATGTCAACTGTCAATTCTCAATTAAACAAAGGAAGCCTATAAGGTAATAATAAGCTTATGTGTACTTTGAATGTTTCTTAAGCTTTGAAATAAATAATAATGATGATGATGATAGAGTCTGGGTCGATGGTTGCTTTGATATGATGCACTATGGACATGCAAATGCACTTCGTCAAGCTAAATCGATGGGGGATATTCTTGTTGTAGGTGTTCATTCAGATCAGTCTATTGAGATCAATAAGGGGCCCACGGTCATGAACGAAGAGGAACGTTATGCAGCAGTGGAAGCTTGTAAATGGGTAGATGAGGTAGTCAGGGATGCACCTTATAACACAACTGTGGAATGTTTAAAGCAACATCATATTGATTTTTGTGTACATGGTGATGATGTGACGACGATGGCAGATGGTACGGATTGTTATCAAGCTGTCAAGGATGCTGGTTTATATAAGGAATGTAAACGTACTGTGGGTGTTTCGACAACTGAATTAGTAGGTCGTATGTTGCTCTTATCAAAAGAGCATCATCATAAACAACAACGACACGTAGTTGGTAATCGTGAGGAAGCTGTCAAGTCCTTTATTAGTCATTCATCATCGACAACAAATAATAGTAGAGTATCTCATTTTTTACCTACTTCAAAACGTATTGTTCAATTCGCGGACGGTCGTGAACCAAAGCCTACAGATCGTGTAGTCTATGTAGATGGTACCTTTGATCTCTTTCATGTAGGTCATATTGAATTCTTAAAGAGAGCCAAGACACTAGGGGATTTTTTGGTAGTGGGTATACATGATGATCAAACGGTCAATGCTATCAAGGGTTCAAATTACCCTTTGATGAACTTGCATGAACGTGCTCTAAGTGTGTTGGCATGTCGTTATGTAGATGAAGTCATCTTGGGTGCACCTTATAGTGTGACGGAAGATGTGCTAAGTAAAGAATATCGTGTGAGTCTAGTTGTGCATGGAAATACTCCCACTGATCCAGATCTAGATGGCAAAGATCCTTACCAAGTAAGTCCTCTTTATAAAAGGACTATATAGCTTTTCTCTCTTTTCTGACTTTTTTTTTTTTTTTTTTTTTTTTGTAGTTGCCAAAAGAACGCAATATGTATATAGAAATCGATAATCCTAATCATACCATTACAACACAAGGCATCATTAATCGAATTGTTGAAAATAGAGTCATGTAAGTTTATTATTATCATCTGTAATACATTTATTTAAATAAATATATATGATTCATGTATAGCTTTGAAGAGAGACAAAAGAGAAAGAATCATAAAGCTATTCTAGAAAAGGAAATTCAAGAGAAAACTTTTCAACATATTATAGTTGCCTAAATCATAATAAACTTTACATTTCATTCTATTATTCTCAGCCGTTGTCGTCGTCGTCGTCGTCTAAAGGGTGTGTGTGTGTGTGTGTGTGTGTATATGGAAGGAGGCGAGAGGGGAAAGAAAATATAGAAATCCTTAAAAAAAAAAATTCTTACTCTCCCAAAACTGGGTCCTTTACAATAGTACGATTAAAGAAGAATTTTATTTAAAAAATTAAAAAAAATGACCAATGAGCACATAGCATTTATATATGCTGTTTTGTCCCGATCAGATCACTATGGAAAGAAAAAACCCTTTTGGGATAAAAGGGAAAATGTTAAAGTGTATGTATAAGTGATGATAATTAACTATCAGAAAATCATTGTTGTATTGAAAAAAGATGATGGTCAGAGGGTTCGGGGATTTGGGAGTGAAGCTGGATAGTCCATCTCCAAGCAGAATTGCACATACGGAAGGCCAGCGTATGAGCCAGGCATCAAATGATTTTCTCACTTTCCTTAGTAAGGAATGTTGATGGTAATAGGAGATTCAAGAGATAAGAGAGTGGATCTTCAATAGATTTGGGGCATCTGAAGGCAGTTATGCATATGCAAACAAGAAAAACTATGTGAGCGTGTGAAGAGTTCATTTGGATGGAAGGGGCAGGCTTGGGGTTTATTCATCAGTGAATTAAAAAGATGTGAAGCGTTCGATATCAAAAAAATATGCTGAAAAAGACTTCTACATACAAGTTTTTTTTTTTTTTTTTTTTTTTTTTTTTTTTTTTTCGTCACTTGTGCAACATACGAAGAAGTTACCACCTACAAAATCAACTAAAATCACAGAGTTTAGAAATTTGATTAAGAAATACTTGAACGAATAGTGTAGATTATGTGGCTATACCCCCTCTTAGAATTGAAATATTCTCAACAAAATTGCTGCATACGAGTGTGCAAAGATAGATACTGCCTACAAAAACGGCATCATGCTGTAATTTGGCAATAAGCTTAGGATGTTCGTAAATTTACTGACACAGCAAAAAGACAGAACAGCGGCAAGAAGAAAAATATTGAAAAAGCGAAAAGTGGCTGAAGAAGAGATTAACATTAAAAACGAGATAACACAACCTTGCACTCAATTGAAGTTATCAGTTGCTTCAGGAAATATCCAAAGTTTACCTGTGGATCAGTTAACCGAAGAAGCGATCGCGCATATACAAGATTTTTTTTTTTTTTTTGCATTTACAGTTCACAATATAAATTCAAGAACAACAACATTTATTATGACTGCAAAGCGAGTCCTATTACTCACTTAAAAGCATATTATAAATTAGCTGATTTGTGTGAATGTTTAGGTTCCAAATCATTCGCATGCTTCCCATGAAGGCGAACTCATATACCATGTTATGTCACCATTAATTCTATAATATTAAATAACACTATTTTGGAAGATTCCCCAAAGATCAAAACTAGATAAAAACCTTATTTGGGGGGAAAAGTCGTCAACATTTCCTGCAAGGCTCTAAAAGATCAAGGTGATGCAAAGTCACTCAAGTTTCGTGGAATGATCCATACAGATGGTGTTGGGGTCTCGATATTGAAACAAAACAAGGAAACCAGCAAAGGAGGCACAAGAAATACCAGTAAAAGTTTGCAAACAGACAAAAACGAGTTTCAATATATCGATAAGTTGAACAACAAAGAGCTTCAACGTACCACCATCAAATGCATATTTATAGATCCTGGTAGAAGGGATGTGTTATTTTGCATGGGCGAGAAACGCGAATCAAGACACGATAGCTTCATATATCGGTACACCATCAATCAAAGGGCTAAGGAGACAAAGTCAAGGAAATTTAGGAAATTTCGTCAGTAAAACAAGCCCAAGACAGTCAGTGATTTGGAAATAGTTTTTGACTACGCATTCCACTTCGACAGTTGATCCCCAGAAGTACTCTAGATATTTAGAAGCAAGATGAGATGCAAGCAATCTCCTTTCAAACTATTATCGAAGTGATTATCCTGGATCACTTCCTTTCAGGAAAATAAAGCTTTCCTCTAATATCAATAGGAAACAATCAGACGCCCGTCTGGCAAAGACGTTAAAGCAAAAATTCGGTGATGACTGTGTACTTGTTCTTGGCAACTGGTTCGCCAGTAATACAAAATATCACGAACCTATCAGAGGTGTTGGTATGAGGAGGATGTTGAAGAAAGAAGGGTTACAAGTATACTTGTTAGACGAATACAAGACATCGTTGTTCTTCCCCGAATGTAAAAATGGGAAGTTGAGAAAATTATCTCATGTCAAGAACCCTCGACTGCATATGCGAGGCAAGTATCCAGTAGTCGAGTACCACGGCCTGTTACGGTAAACATCAGTTTTATTTTATTTTTTTTTATTTTTTTAAAAAAAAGACAATTTCTTATATTTTCTTTCGCTAGATGTACAAATCAAAAATGTTTAGTGCCTTCTCGACTCTGGAACAGAGACTTGGCTACCGTTTTGAATTTTAGAGATATTGTGTTAAGCCACAGGCAAGCCCTTGGTCGCTCCTCTAGATTCAAAAGGGAAACATCAAAACGTGCTTCAACAAGCACCACCACTTCCACTTCCAAAAAAGTCCGCTCTATGCCTCCCGACGACGGTTCTCCTGAGGGAGGAAATACTGATAGAGTAAAAGTATGATGCAGGTAACTTACATACATACACTTGATTGTCCGAAAACTGTTGTTTTTTTTCTTTTTATCTAATTTCCATTTTTGTTTCGTTCAAAAAAAAAAAAAAAAAAAAAAAAAAAAAAAAAAAAAAACTAACATCGTCTGAATTTGAAATAAAATATACCCTCCCGCTTGCCGCCCCAATCTGATTATTGATCCGATACTCTGGTTACCCATGACACACAGTGAGCGTAATCGAACTATTCGATGGCGTCTTGGTTGGCTACCCGAAGGAATACCTAAAGCCTGCCTCTATCATCCTTATGTACACTTTGGTCGGTCACATGCCACTAAATGCTTGCACATACACACCCGTTTATTCTTGCCACGATCAATTGCAGATCCCCTTTCCTTTCTTTTAAATCATCTTCCTCAGCAGAAGTACCGAAATTCTCAAGATGTTTCTGCCTGGCTTTATCGCTGGCCAGTTGTGTGCACCATTCTACAGGAAATGGATTACTTAATACACGACGAATTACCACCTCCACTTCTTGACCTAGACAGGAAATGACTCAACTGGTTGTCCCTTTCAACTTGTTAGCAATATTCCCCTCCTTTCTTTATCATCTTCTCTTCTTCCTTTCCTTTGCCTTTTTACCTCTTGTCCCGTAAGAGGGTTTTTAGATACTTTTTTTTTTCCACACAATTTGAACTGACCTGGGCAATCTAATATAACAAAGGTATTATGTGCTTATAGGTCATTTTATAAATTTTAATTTATAAAAATAATAAAAATGTTTAATCGTAATATAGTAATGGTTAGCGTGCCTGTTTCTGTTCTATTGTTTGTGTTACTTTGTAAGGATCTACAATAATAAGCTAGGATAAAAACAAATGTATGACTAAATTTATTACCGTAAATTATTGTATGATAAAATAAAAAAAAAATATATATTATTTTATTCCTCATTTCTCTCTTTGTTTCTATTAGACTTTTTACTCATCCCATTCCTTTATTTATAAAAAATAAAAAATGTTGAAATCTTTAGTCTTGATTTGGTTATCGTTTTCATTTGCATGGGCAAGTTCTATTAGTTTAACTTCTCCAAAACCAAATGATGTATGGGAAGCTGGATCTACTGTACAAATCAAATGGTACTATAATACACTTTAAAACGTCTTTTATTATCATTCGTTTTTTTTTTGTTTTTATTTATTAAAACCTGAAACTTTGCTTAACAGGAATGTCAATGATGAAGATACAAAACCTATTCGTCTTCAATACGCTTCTGGTCCTTCAAAGGCTCTTGTCATTAATGGTCTTATTGCTGATAATGTCGATGCTTCCTTGGGTCATTATTCATGGAAGATTCCCAAAAGTCTTAAACCAAAGAAATAGTAAGCATGTAATGTAGTCTATGTTTATGTTCATATTTGTATTTACTTTCTTTTTTTTTTTTTTAAGTGTAATTGAAGCAGGGCCAAGTGCGAATGATATTTCGTTTGCAGGCTATATTCATATTAAGAACAAGTATTTTAAATCAACTACAACTAAACATAAAAAGACGACACAGAAGAAGAAGAGTACAAAGAAGACCACCACCACTACCACCACCACCACCACTCGTCAAAAGAAATCAATTACAAAAAAGTCAGCTAAAAAGTCAACTCCTGCCAAAAAGACCACCAAGAAGAAAAATGTAGATAAGAAAAAGTCCCCTTCTTCTTCTGCTATCTGTATCGGGTATCCTGCACATGATGAGCGTATCCAAAACAATTCTGGAAAATATGTCCGCTGTCATTCTCTTCCTAAACAAAAAGTCCATACTATCAAAAAGAAGAAGACGACTACAACAAAAAAGGGCAAAGAATCACACTAATTCTAAAATAGTATGATAATATCCCATGTCTTTCTGACCTATCCAGGCATTGATTTAATAGTGAATAATAGCATTATTGTTACTATCCATATACGTGAATAAAATCACCTTTTGTGTGTGTGTGTGTATTATCTTTGCTTTTGAACCCTTTTTGTCCTTTTGTATACATGAGACATGATCAATATATATATTATGATTATAGCAATGAGGGTCTCTTCTATTTCAAGCAAGGAAGTAAGATGGTCTATTTAAAGATATCACCTTAAAAATAAGGGACACATCTCTTTTTGTTTTGAGAGCAGGAGAAATAACCTATTTATCAGAGCATTTACAGATCATGTATATCATTTAGTTTCCTAGCTTTTTTTCTGAGAGGATCAAACATTATGCTTTTTTTTTTTAATAATAATAATAATAATAATAAAAATAAACATAGCATTTTGATGATTTCATCAAGGAGTGGAATTTATCGCAACATTTTTTTTTAGAAAGCAATAATGTAGACTATACTAATAAAAGGCGGAAGTTATATTCATCGTCAATCTATAATTACATAGAACCAACATTAGCTTTCGATTCTAAATAAACATGATGGCTGGTAAGCTCATGCGTGTATTTGGATTACGCATAATTCAAAACAAGAAGAAGCTCTTATAACTACCTATAAGAACACTACATCATTTATCCCTTAAAAAAAAAAAAAGGCTGTTGAAAATGACAATTGAAATGAATGATTAAAGTTCGCTACAATGTGTAATTTGTCACTACATTATTTATTGATTTTTGAAATAAAATAATTCTTTCATTCCTCCTTTTTTTTTTGTCACATCTATTTCAATAAACTGCTAACATTCAAGGAAATCAGCTGTCATGAGAGTTTCTAATACAAGTTCTGGATCAACTTTAAATTCAGGAATTTCCGTAGTTGAACCTTCATAATTCCATTTATAATAAAGATATTGACAAACGATATCCAATATAACAGCCCTATTTCAATTTAAATGAGTATCTATTATTATCATTAGTAGTAGTAGTAGAGATTAGGTTTATCCTACTTTATGTCTCGAAAAGTAATTTCATTATCGACTGATTCTCTAAATTGGACTTGAAGAGCATTGTTACTTTATCATCCCATTTTCTTTTTCTTTTCCCTCCCCCCCCTCTCCTTTCATCGATTATTGTTATAATACCTGGACCACAAAGCATATTTTTGATAGTGCCAGAACGTATAGCAGCTTCGCGATGAATAATGAATTCAAAGCCATCACCACTAATAAGCTTTACATATTCTGATTCTTCTTCACTCGACATTTCCAAATAAAAAAACAAAAAAAAAAAAGTAAAAAAAAAAAAAAAAAAAAGTGTTATCTATAGAGAGAAAGAAAAAAAAAAAATAGAGAGAGGAAAGAGAAATTTATTAAATTAAATAGTTTTATGCAGTCTTTTTATAGTCAAGACTAATTCCCTTTTCTTTTAATGACTTTTCAGCTTCTTTTTTCGCCCAAGTGACAACGCTAAAAGGAAAAAAAAATATTTTTATATGAATACACATACACACACATTTATATATATATAACATAACCATGTATTTTACCTGGTATCAGGTTTGTAATATAAAGCGACGGCTATCAACAGAAATCCACCGCCCATGCCGACATAATAAATATCTTCCCAATCTTCTTTAACACGAACCTATAGAAAAAAGCACATCTTTTGTAAGTAATCATCGTTTTTTTTTAATCAAAAGATGGTAAAATTTCAATTTTATGCATTGGATGAATAGAAAAAAAAAAAAAAAGAAAAAAAGAGAGTGTATAATTTTTTTTTTTTTTGTGATAATGTGCTGTATAAAGAGTGGAAGAATAATTGAAATTTCTTTTTTTTTTATTTATTGGCATTACTTTTTCGTTGAAAAGATATCCTCCAGGTTCATTATAAGAAGGTGTACCATGTCCACCACGACGTAACATGGGTCGAGCTGTAGCAAGTCGAGATGAACGACTAAGGATTTTTGTAATCATCATGTATTTGTAAGATTATAAAAAAAAAGAGCAAGATCTGTAAATTGTCCCCCACATAATTGGAAACACACCACTCATGCCACTTGTTCGGAGACATCCCCCCCCTCCTTCGCTTTATTTAAGATACTGAAAATGATGTCATATTATAGATGTATATATTTTTATTATCCGCCATAAAATTGTGGGGGGGGGGAGAGAACAAGAACAAAAATTATAAAAAGAAAGGGGGAGGAGCAACAGCCTTCATGACTATTAGGGAACAACCAATGCAGGTCTATTCATCAAACTGACCAATAAGATAACATCTTTTGACAGTCCATCATGAATAAAGAAAACATAGAATACATAAATGTATATAAAGAGGCAATCATCGTAAAGCATTTATTTCTTCTTTAAAACACACAATGTACTCTGATATCACACATAAGAGCCAAATTCAAAATTCGAAAGAAGAAGAAACGATTTCCTTTGAATGGAAAAATGGACGTCGACTTGCGAATGATCAAGATGTAGCCTATATTTTGCCCAGTGATCAAACTGAAGTGGATCGATTAAAGCTAAACCATGAATTATGGAAGTAAGTGATGATTATATAAAAGGAATTTTTTTTTGTATTGTTTTGTATTCATTTATTATTATTATCGTAGACTTGTTATTGAAGGGTAAAATGAAAGTAGAAGCTTTTTTATATACATCATTTATTTATTTATTTTTCATTTAGTTTATTTAAATCGCCTATTCATGAAAAGCTAGTGCAAGGTATTCGTGTTCTAGATATTGGTTGTGGCCCTGGCTGGTGGAGTTTGGTAAAGGATAGATATAAATACATACATTACATTACACAATGTTAAAAGACTTGTTGTGTTTCTGAAAATAGGATATGGCACGTCTTTACCCTAACTCTGAATTCATCGGTATAGATATGGCAGATGTCTTTATCAATCAAGACCTTCCCTCAAATGTCACATTCAAGATATTGAATGCAGGCACAACTGGCTTGAGTCAATTTGAAGATGATTCCTTTGACTTTGTCTTTCAACGTTTCTTGGTTATGGGATTCCCCTTGGATCAATATCTATGGTCAATTCAAGAAATGAAGCGTATTTTAAAACCAGGCGGATCTATTGAAATATTAGAACTTGTGAATGAATACAAGAATGGAGGACCTGCGTTTAAGAATATGAATACATGGAGTAAGTAAAAAAAAATAAATAAATATGATTTTCAATCCTTAACCAGGCAAATAATATTTTTATTAAAAAAAAAAAAAAAAAAAAAAAAAAAAAAAAGTTGACAAGGCGTTATCATCTAGAAATATGGATTCATTTATTGCTGATAAAATTGCAAGATTCCTAAAAGAGGCAGGTTATAAAGATATCAAGGAAATAGATTATGATGTACCTATTGGCACATGGGGTGGACTTAATGGTGAAATATATTTAGCTATTCAGAAATTAGCTTTACCTGCTGTTAAAGTGATGGTCACTGAACTAGTTCCTTTTGTTACAAATGAAATCTATGAAGATAATTTAAAATTAGCATTTGAAGAAGTGGAAACAGGACATATCTCAACTCGATTTAGACTTATCTATGCATTTAAATAAAAAATATATATGAGGGAAGTTTTATTTTAATTTTACTTTTTATTTGTAATTGAAACAAAGCAGTCATAGTGTCAAGCCCTATAACAGCCTTTTATTTTATTTTATTGTATTTTATTTTATTTTATTTTTTAGTCAGATATATTTTATTTTATTTTCTAAACAAAGTAAAAATACGTGTATAATATTATTTATCATTCAAATCGCGATATTTTCTTTCTTTGTAGAAAGATTTTAAATCCCTAAAGTTTAACCTAAATTGATCTGAAAATAACAACCTGAAGATTGTCTGATTTTAAAGTAGTAGTACATATTTTAGTAGCATCTATTATTCACAACAACAACAACAGCAAGACTTTATATATTAAAAAGTGATTTTATTTAAATGTATTAAATAAAGGCAAGACTCAAAAGAAAAGAGTCTTCATTTTCACTACTCTTGTCCATCTTTCTTTCTATATTCTACAACAGCACATAATCTTGAGTAAATTAAAATTAAAAAAGAAAGGGGAGTTTTTAATTTTTATGTTAAAAAAAAACTGTCATATTTTAAATGAATAAATTTTATTTGTTTTATCTATTCATCTTTTTTTTGTTTTGTTTTGTTTTGTTTTCTAACTTGTTAATATAGAATGACTTATGGGCAACCATTAAGAAGGTATGCGCTGGGTGATAAACGATTATATCTTTCAAAATTAAACGTTTGTTTATTTCTTTTAGTAATAAAAAAATTACACAAATTGTTCCAAGTGAATTTGAACATTGGATAGAAACAAATGGTGGAGAACAGAATTTAAGTGCGTTAATTAATACAAATGTAATAAGGAGAAGAGGACGAAGGAAGAGGAAATCTTTATTATCGACAATGTCTTATTCTTCATTTTTTACAGAAGAGGAGGAATCAACGAATCAAAAAAAGAACGAATTAAAAAAGACAACGACAGCGGCAACGATAGCGGTAACGACAGCAACAACGACAGCGGCAACGACAGCGGCAACGACAACTACTACAGCAGCGACAACGACAACTACTACAGCAGCGACAACGACAACTACTACAGCAGCAGAAAAGCCTTCATTAAAAAAGTCTTCTTCTTCTTCTTGGTTAACTGGACTATTTCATAAAAAATCATTATCTAAAAAATCATCTACAGAATCACTTCTACCTGAGGAACCAACATTGATACCCACTTTACCTAAAAGATATCCTTTACCAATAGAAAGAATGATTTGTGAATTGTCTTTTATGAAATTATCAGATTATAAACGACCATTAAGAGAACAAGTTTTAATTTCAAATATCTTAATTTCCTATACAGCAAGAATGCAATACCAACAACAACAACAACACTACTACTACATGACTGCTAATACTGAATTTCAATCATACAAGTCAACTGCAGCACCATTATATACTTATTATTATTCTAATAATAACAATAATAATAATCCACCTTATATACCACCAAGATCTATTTCATATAACCATGTCGCTGTCAAGAACTGAAAAGAAAAAAAAATTCTTTAATAAAACAATGGTTTCAGACATGTAATTTTCTAAAAATAATTTTTATTTGTTTAAATTTAGAAAATACCAGATTTTACATAGTAATTAAAATACGCGTATATATACAAAGTTGCATAGTAAGCGCATAGATGTGACACTATAAAGCATAATTGTTGTTGTTATACAACACTATTTTTTTTTTTAAAAAGCCAATCACAAGTAATTTTCACTGTTGTAATAAGCAGTATTTAAGAATTCTTTTTATAGATTTGTATACAAATATCTATTTTTCAGCTATTACTACAACACTATCGTCATGATGCTTTCTAATCTATAGAATTGCTTTCCCTTCCTCCTCCTTTTAAGCTTTTATTGAGGAATATGGATTGAATTCACACTTAATTTATGCATGACTATATATAAAAGGGTTCTTGATTTAAATGATGTTTTCATTTGCTTGCTTGCTTCTTCTTCTTCTAATATGGTTTGCACTATTTTCTAATAATGGGTCTTATATATGTATCATTACTTATTACTCCTTTGACGTGTGATAGTCTACTATGGAGTTAGATAATTCCACCACTTGAACAGTTTTTATTTACTTGAAGAAATATTAAATTTAATCAGATCTTTTTTAAATAGTTTGAAATATTACGTATAGTTTGATAAAATTGGCTTTATTATACTATTATTATCAAGACATAATATAAATAGCAATCTTTATTGATATGTTCCAGTTGTGGATTATACGAGTCGTCGCTATATAAAAGAGCTTTATTATGAAGAAGGGTTGACTCAAAAAAAAAAAAAAAAAAAAAAAAATAGCTATTCTTCTATTTTAGAAAATTTCCTTTTTATTCATTTTGTTGCATAAAATGGTGTGCATCTAGTGGTATGTATTACATTCCCGCCAAAATAAATAATAATAATAATAATGTGGTTCCAAGTCATTAGATTTACCTTTTCTTATTGTTATTTCAAAAAATTTTAATTTCCTTTTTTTTTTATTATTCTTCTTTGTAATGGGTAATTCAATTTCTAAAAAAAAGAGTAAAAAAAATAAACGTGCAGCTTCTAGTAGTGCAAAAGATGTCACACCACAACGACTTTCAGTACCACGTTTAGATCTTCCTTCGAATGATAATGAATATAGTGTGAATACAGCTCAATCTCTTAATTCTATTCTCATTACATCTTCTCATCATCCCCGTAATCAACAACAACAACAACAACAAATTTCGAATTCGGCTTTATCACAACTGAATCCAGATTATCCTATCAGCAAGTCTACTAACGAAAATGAGAATGAAGATACAGTTGCTTCACGTGATGCTTATATGGGCAAAGTAGCTAATCCACAGCAACATAAACTTTTAGCACAATCTGATTTTTGGCCACCACTTCAAAAACCATCATTAGATGTAGATGATAATAATCAGCTTACTGTGAGTTCTATGAATCAACTCACAGTGAGCTCAATGACCAGTATAACACCCATATCTGTTCTTAATCAAATTGATGATTATATTCGACGTTTATTAGACGCAGGCTATCTTTCAAAGGTACCCAAACAACTTTGTTTAAAAAATTCAGAAGTTACTGCTATTTGTCGTGCTGCTATGGAAATCTTTTTAAGCCAACCTGTAAGTGATAAATATAAATATATATATATATATACATATGTAAAGAATAGTACTCATGTTGATATGACTCTACATGATATATATATATATATATACATTTATATATTTATATACATATATATAGTCTTTGTTAGAATTATCAGCACCTGTCAAGATTGTGGGAGATACACATGGTCAATATACAGATTTATTACGATTATTTGAAATGGGTGGATTCCCACCTGCTTCCAATTACTTGTTTTTAGGTGATTATGTGGATCGTGGAAAACAAAGCCTTGAAACATTTCTATTATTATTGTGTTATAAAATTAAATATCCTGAGAATTTTTTTATATTACGAGGAAACCATGAATCAGCTAATGTAACAAAAGGTAATTTTAAGAAGAAAAAGAAATGGCAACTCATTAACTTTATATCCATGATTAGTATATGGCTTTTATGATGAATGTAAACGTCGTTTGAGTCCTAAAATGTGGAGAACATTTGTCGATGTCTTTAATACATTACCTATAGCAGGTCTTGTAGCTGGAAAAATCTTTTGTGTTCATGGAGGTCTTTCACCTTCACTTCATAGTATGGATGATATCCGTAACATTCAACGACCTACTGATGTGCCCGACTATGGTCTTCTCAATGATCTTTTATGGTCGGATCCTGCTGATATTACTGTCGATTGGGAAGATAATGAACGTGGTGTCTCTTACTGTTTCGGTAAAAAAGTGATTAATGAATTTCTAAGTAAGTTTGATTTGGATTTAGTTTGTAGAGCACACATGGTAGTTGAAGATGGCTATCAATTCTTTAATGAAAGAACACTGGTGACTGTCTTTAGCGCTCCTAATTACTGTGGTGAATTTGATAATTTTGGTGCCATCATGAGCGTCAATGAAGAACTATTATGTAGTTTTGAATTATTAACACCATCCGATCATCCTCTTGCTAAAAAGTAATATTCCCGTATTATTCTTTTCACTAAAAAATTTGTAATCATTAATAAATTAAGCAATACTTGGTTAAAACAAAAAAGAAGTTTATTTTACGCCCCATATATGAATAATGATATTCCTTTCAATTTGATTGGTTCAATTTGTATAAAATAGTAGCAGTCGTTAGTGGATATATCACACCCCTAAAAAAAAAAAAAAAAAAAGTGTTGCATTTATGGAAATCAAAGATAAAAAAGAAAAGAAGGGGGATTATATTTCTTATATCAATTTCCATTGTTTATCACTATTCCTAAAATAAGCGTTTATACAGTTATTGTATCTTATGGGAAATGCTACCATGACCGTAAAAGTTATATCTTGTGTTATTGCGGGGGATTAGGTCTATACACACGTATATATGCAGTACTATACCATACTATACCATACTATACTATACCATGCTATACTATACCATGCTATACTGCCTGAGAGGATATATAGCGTATGATTATAATCTAACGTGTAATTGATTGTCTATGCTCTATCATCACATCAAGAATAAAATATTATATTTATATGTATCTACTTTACAATGTCTATTATTGAGTAATATCATAACGTACAGTTAAATACATTAAGCTTTATTGAATAAATCTCTTTACTTTTATAACACATGCTATTCTTTTGTCTTATTATATCTTTATCAGTATATTATCATAGCTGTTAAATCAGTTGTATTATACAATAATAATATGTCTTCTTTTATATATAAATGCATATATAATGCTAATAATTCGTTTTAATTTTAATATGTATAACTTTAACTCTTAATAAACATATTAAACGGTTTTGAAGTATTTTATCTTGTTCTATTCTTTTCCTTTCCTTTTTAAAAACTCATCTATACCACTGTACTTATTACTTTTGTCTATCTATTGATTATTTCTTTTTTAATTCGTGTTTTGTAGCCTCTACCACTCGTAAGAATTTCTTGGTGTATTTGATTATAGATGTACCGATCAAGACTGCCGCAAAACTATTTGTACTGCTTCAAGATTTGAATATCATCTTTACAACAGAGACCTTGCTATCTATTTGAATATGATTGATATAGTCCGTATCCTTCAAATAACTAGACTTAAAGTAGATGTTACCATTATATTTTATCTTTTCTTACATATTTCATCCAAAATAAAAATTCACTTTGTATCAAAAATTTATTTCAAGTTTCCCCAAAATTAATTATGCCAAAAAAAAATCAACCATACCAATTAATACATTCATACATTTCAACATTTTCCCTTTTATCCCAAAAGGGGTTTTCTTTCCTTTTTTTTTTCATAGCGATCTGACCAGGGCAAAACAACATATATAAATGCTATGTGCTCATTGGTCATTTTTTTTTTAATTTTTTAAATAAAATTCTTCTTTAATCGTATACATGTATATATACTAACGTCCATTTTTTTTTTCTTTTCCAAAGATTCTTTATGCAAGTACGTAAATTTATTTTTCGTTTTTTATATTATTTTTTTCAATAAATGCGCCATCACTTTTTCCATAAATGCGACGACATTTTTTCAATAAACACGACATAAGAAAAAACACGTCAACACAAAATTTTTCAGTGCAACATCATTTTGAGAAAAAGGTGTATAATCACTTTAACCCCTTTTTTTTTTTTAAAAAAAAAAGGTGTGTGTGTAAACAACTATAATAATAATAAAGACAAGTCTTTTATTATCTCCTTTCTTTTATATTTATATATAATATGCATTGTTCTTGTCCTTCTTGTTATTTATTAATGACAGATAATAAAGAAGTCTTTTTATTGAATATGAAACAAGAAGAAGAATCAATTGAAACTCATCATCATGGTATCACTTATTTATCCTTTTCTAATATGGATTATCTTAATCAAGATGTATGGTCTATACAAGAAACAATCTCTTATTTTTCATCACCTTTTATTATCATTGATGACTCTTCTTCTGAGGAGTCCTTCCCCTTATTATCAGATGATGACTTACCGCAACAGCAGCAGCAACAACAGCAACAACAACAACAAGAAGAAAGCTCTTTTAGTGTAACAACAACAAGGAAAAAATTATATGCAACTACTATAACTGAACAACGTCCATTTTCATGTACTTTCTGTCATCGTTCTTTTACACGTAAACATGATTTACAAAGACATATTCGTGTTCATACAGGTGATAAACCTTATGATTGTCCTTGCTGCCAAAAGGCCTTTTCACGCACAGATGCTCTTAAACGCCATTTACGTCTAGATGATCAATGTAGGTATAGTCATCAAGTACAAACTATGAAAGCTATGGGAAAAAGAAGATATCGAAATTTATAAGTAGTAAAGAGAATGGACAAATTTGTATATGTATACATATCTTCTTTCCTTTTTTTTTTCTTATTCTTCTTCTTCTTCTTCGTTATCTCTCTCTCTCTCCTTCCTTTATTATGCTTATGTAATTATATGCCCCTTTCTCTCTCCCTCCTCTCGCCTCATCTTTTTTTTTTTCCCTCTAAGCAAATTATACTAATAGAACTCAATATTTATTAATAAAATTTTCTAAAAATTAACGCCATATCCAAAAGCAGATTTGATAGCCTTCCAGTAGTAACCATTCCAATTCTTCATTGTTAATTCTTCTTCACCAATAGGAATACCAGTTTGATTGATCTTTAATAAAACAGATTCACTTCCTTGTACAAACTCAAGTGTAACCTTTGAATAATGACCTTGAGGCCATGATCGAAGTCTCCAATTTTTTACAATCTTTTTATCAGGCTCGAGTTCAAGAATTTCACCTGTCACATTACCGTTAAAGAGCTCAAACTTGGCTCCTACTTTGGGTTCAAGCTTGACATGTCCACGTGACCAAATAGAAGCACGTTGAGCATCTGTCAAAGTCAAGTAGAGTTCATGAGCCGATGTCTGAAATTCTTCTTGATCATTGATAGAGGTTGTGTTAAGCACCTTGGCTGTTGTAGCTGGAGTAGATGTAGTGTGAGCAGTCGTGTTGGCATTGGCCTTGACCGTAGGACTGGCCATACGAGGAGGTGTAGGAACTCCCATTTGTGAAGACTCGATATAAACGTCATCACAGTTCTCCTTAATCATAGCAGGACTAAAAGCTTCAAACTTTTGTTTGATTAAAGGAACCAAACCTTTACGAATGACTTCCTTCATCACTTGCTTTTCATTGCTTTCATCAAAAATAGAAATATTAAACTACATATAAAAACGTTAAAAGCAAAATTCTTGTGCGTGCGTGTGTGTTTTTCCTCCCTTATATATAGCTTATTTATATTATATTACTTACAACAAAATCATCAGCATCAGTATCATGGGCAATTTCAGGAATTTCAATAGAGCCAGTAACTTCGGTATCATCAGCAAGAGTACCTATTTTTTTATTTTTTTGGGATAAAGTTAACTAACTTGCTGTTGCAGTTCTCTTTTTTTTTTTATAACACTAATCGCCTCTTACCTTTCCAATTCAATCTTAAAGCAACATCGTAGATGGTAATAATCTTTCCCTTTCTTTGATTCAAGTCAACATCACCAGAACAGTCAACCATTTTGGAAATGGAAGCCTTGTTACCATCCTTTTCAGCTTCAAGTCCAACTAATTGTTCAGTAAACCATTTTTGTGCCCATTTCAAACAGTTTTTGTTGACCCTTTTTTTTTTATGTTTTATTACAATTGATTTTTTTTTTTATCTTTTTCGTATTTTGGTTCAAACTACTTACCAGTGCCTAATATAAAAAAAAATAATAAAAATATGTTAGCCGAAGTTTTCTTATTATTATTTTTTTCGTCTTATGTATCATTTACCAGTTGTTGACGTTCTTCCAGTTAGACATTGTCACTTTTATTTGATAAAGAAATTCAAAGAAAAAAAAATCGTTTTGGAAATTTATGGAATTTGTTGTAGTAAAATGACTGATTTTACAAGTCACAACAAATGGATCGCTTGGCTGCATTTAAAAAAAAAAAGAAATAAAGCTTTCTCGAAGTTTTATCATCATGATAATAGTACATCATTCAATATTAAACTGTTACTTTAAATGAATAACTGACTGCTAGTCAGGAAGTATAATTATACACAGAATGAACTTTTCTTTTTTTTAAAGAAGAAGAATACTGGTTTAAATACTGATATTATCAAAATATGCTCAAATAAAAGAGACTCAATATAAATCACACACAAACACACACACACTCTCTCTCTCTAAGTTATGTCCTTCCCAATTAGGAAATAAAGATGAAGAGGAGCAAAGCTTTTGAGTCCTTTGTTTTTAATATACTGTTTTCAAGAATAACAACAGATTTATGCATATAGAAGTGTACAAGCGGTTTGATTGGATAAAACTCCTCCGTGGAGATTTAATAAACTCATATTAACTTACTACTATCACATTGTTTTCTTTCTTGTTCTCTCTTTTTTTTTTCACACCACTATGACAAAAGTACTTTTTCAAATAATATTATTCACACTTGTAGTTTTATTATTTCTTGTATCAAGTAATGATGAAATTATAATAAATGTACATCAATCTATTGAAAAAGCTGCTAAATTGTGTAGAAGAGTTTTATCAGATTCTGGTAAATAAGTCAGTTCATTTGAATTTACTTTTTTCTTTTTTTTTTTTTTTTTTTTTTTTTTTTTTGTTATTTACTTTACCTTTTAAAAGGCCGAGGACATTTGTTGACTTTAATGGACAAATCTATATCCGAGGAACTCGATGGATATCCATTTGGTATTATGGAATACTATAGTGATAAATGTACGCCTCATGGTAACCTATTACTTTATCTGTCTGATTTGCAGGTAGTGTACATTGTAATAATACATGACTATTCTTATCTCTTATAGAGTGAGTCATTATATATATATATATATATAGTTGAGTACAAGGAATATGCATTATCAAATGAATAAAGTAGCATTTACTATTACTGCCTTAAAAGATTATAATGAACCTTATCCAACAACACCTATTCAACAGCCTAGATTTACATTATTTGGAAATATAACTAGAGTTCCCAAGTCCAAGGTATATAAATACACATATTTATATATTATGTAAAACTCCTCTCCTTGCCACATGTGATGTTGAGTCTATTTAATATTTATAGACTCAATCGGCTATGTCATGTTTCGCAAGCACCCATCCTGAAGCTAAATTATGGTAAGAAATAATACAAACAAGCACAAGTAGTAGTATAGTATACATAATTTTTCTTTTCTTTTTCTTTTTTTTTTCTTTTTGTAAAGGTATTCATTTTCTGATTTCCATTTTTATGAATTCCATGTACAAAAGATATATTATGTAGGTGGGTTTGGTGGATTAAATTATATTGGCTGGATACCTCTGGATCTGTATCAGAACTCATAGAGCATATACTTATATTATTAAAAGACGTGTAAAAAAACCAAAAAAAAATACGAGTCTTACTCTATTCTTCGTAATTAGTTTATATGAATTAATTTTATTATGTGTATTTTTTTTTTTTTTTCAAACTGATTAAAAATAAAAATAAAAAAAAAGCTCTTTCAGATTAGAAATTTAAGACCAATATGTATAAATACAAATGCATATATGTGTATATATTTATTTATAAAACGACGCAACATGTATTTGTTAAAAATAGTAAAAGTATGTATAAGTTTATATAGATAAAAAGACAAGTGTACACAATAGAAAAAAAAATCTTCTTTTTTTTTTTTCCCTTATGATATAAAAAATAAATATCCTTTTCTTTTGTTTTGTTTTCTTTTTTTAAACATCTTCTTTAACAATCTTAGCTACTAAATCACCAGAACTTAATGAGTCACCTTCTTGGACAGCAACACGTTCTACTTTACCAGCAACAGGAGAAGTAACGACAGTCTCCATCTTCATTGCTGATAATACGGCAATGGGATCACCAGCCTTTACATGAGCTCCTTCTTTAGCTCTTACCTCAACAACTACACCAGACATGGGAGCCCCAATGTCTCCTGGATTGGATGCATTTGCCTTTTCTCTTGATACAACCTCAACAGCCGAGTTTCGATCCACGATACCAACCACACGTGCTTCACCATTTAATTCGAAATAGACATCTCGCTTACCATTATTGTTCAAGGGACCAACGGCCAACAACTTGATAATCAATGTCTTACCTTCCTCGATCTCTACATGGAATTCTTCGTTAATCTCTGGTTTGCATAAAAAGTAGCGTGTAGGTAAAACGGAGAGATCACCATATTGATTGACCATATCACGGTATTCAGCAAAGACCTTGGGATAGAGTGCTGCAGAGATAACATCGTAATCACGAATACTGCTACCATATTTTTCAGTCAATTCTTGTTTGAGCTTAGCCATATCAAGTGGCGGGAGGGTGGCACCAGGTCTACCATCGATACGAGGTAAGTCACGAATGATATGAGATCTTAAGGGCTCGGGGAAGCCACCTACGGGTTGACCCAGATAACCTTGGAAGAATTCCACAACCGAGGTTGGGAAAGATAGAGTAGAGGCCCTCTCCTCTACATCTTTGCCTGATAGACTATTTGAGACCATAAATTGAGCTAAATCACCCACGACCTTGGAGGAAGGAGTGACCTTGACGACGTCACCACATAACTTATTGGCCTCTGTGTAAGCCCTTTTGATTGCATTCCATTGTGTACCCAATCCTAACTGTTGTGCTTGGAACATCAAGTTCGTGTATTGTCCACCGGGCATCTCATGGTCATAGACACCAGAATCTGTCGATCTCACATTGGCCTCAAAGCAAGAGTACAATAAACGGGCTTGTTCCCAATAAGAGTTGATGGCATGTACATTTTCCATACGGATTCCAGTTCCAAGGTTGGTCTGTTCAAAGCCGGCCACAATGGCCCCCATAGCAGGTTGAGAGGTCATACCGGACATGGCATCGACAGCGACATCGACAATATCTGCACCTGCCTCAGCTGCGGCCATCATGGACGCTACACCTGTACCGGCTGTATCATGGGTATGAACATGAATGGGTAACTCGGGGAATCTCTTACGTAGGACACTCACTAATAATGTGGCGGCCTTAGGCTTTAACAATCCTGCCATGTCCTTAATACCCAAGATATGAATACCCTCATTGACTAACTGTTGTGCTAAATCAAGATAATATTTCAAATTGTACTTGCGCTTATTAGGATCTGATACATCCCCTGTGTAACAAATCGTGGCCTCAACCACACCTCCTGCTTTCTTGACGGCATCAATACCCAATTTCATGTTCTCAACATAATTAAGTGAATCAAAGATACGGAAGATATCCATACCACACTTGACCGCCTTGTCACAGAATTCATAGACGACATTATCTGGATATGAGGTATAACCGACTGCATTAGCTCCTCTTAAGAGCATCTGGAAGGGAATATTAGGTACTAATTTACGAAGCGCTGCGAGACGATCCCAGGGGTCTTCGTGTAAGAATCGCATGGCAACATCAAAGGTAGCACCGCCCCAGCACTCGAGTGAGAAAGCATTAGCAAATGCATGTGCTGTGGTAGGAGCAATACGAAGAAGATCTATATATATATATGTATATGTATATGATTTAGATTAATTCCTTTTTTTTTTCTTTTTCCTTTTTTTTTTTTCTTTTTAACTTACCAATAGTTCTAACACGAGTAGCTAAAAGACTCTGATGTGCATCTCTCCAAGTTGTATCAGTAACCAGAACACCGGGATAAGCACGTACAGCTTTAGCAAATGCCTCGGGGCCTTGTTCCACCAAAATCTTGCGCCACCCTTCAGTAGGTAGGACAGAGACATCGAGTACCTTATTATCAGCAGAACCTCTTTCATACAATACAGGAACTTGGATCTCGGTCTTAAAACTAGGTTCCCCAACCTGACCCTTAATTTGGGAACCATTCACAACCACATCACCTAAATAACCCAACATACGTTGTGCACGATTCTGGAATTGAACCAATCTAAACAAATCGGGTGTATCATCAATAAAGGTCGTCCAACAGTTACCATTCATAAAGGTATCGTGGGTCAAGAGACGTTGCAAGAAGGGGATATTGGTCTTGACACCACGAATACGGAATTCAACGAGAGCACGGACGATCTTACGACGAGCGACTTCATAGGTAGAGCCTGAACAGGTCACTTTGACTAAAAGGGAATCATAAAAGGGTGTGATGATAGCACCTGCATAGCCAGCACCGCCATCGAGACGAACACCATTACCACCCGAGGAACGATAGACTTCAATCTTACCTGTATCAGGTTGGAATCCCTTCTCGGGGTCTTCGGTCGTGACACGACATTGAATGGCAAAACCACGTTGACGAATACGTTGTTGAGTGAGACCCAACTGGGGCAGGAGAGCACCAGCGGCGATCTGTATTTGTGCGGCAACGATATCGATACCCGTGATTTCTTCTGTGATTGTATGTTCAACTTGAATACGAGGGTTAATTTCAATGAAATAGTGTCGGTTTTGATTATCTACCAAGAATTCGGCTGTACCCGCATTCTTATACTTGACGGCCCTTGCAATCTTGATAGCATCATTCAAAATCGCTTCACGCACTTTTGAATCCAAGTTTTTAGCAGGTGCAATCTCAACTACCTTTTGATGACGACGTTGAACAGAGCAATCACGTTCAAAGAGATGAACTACATTACCAGCTCGATCAGCCAACAATTGGACTTCAATATGACGAGGTTTATCCAAGAATCGTTCAATAAAGACCGTACCATCTCCAAAGGCAGAGAGTGCCTCTGACTTGGCTCTTTGAAAGGCATCTTCAAGTGAAGCTTCATCACGAACTACACGCATACCTCGACCACCACCACCCATAGCAGCTTTAATGATGATTGGGAATCCATGTTCCTTGATAAATTCTCTGGCTTGTTTAAATTCACTAACAGGACCTGGTGTACCTGGAACAACAGGAACTTGACATTGCATAGCTATATATTTTTTACACCACAAAAAAAAAAAAAAATGTTATTATTATTTTCTCGGTCTTACACAAAACTTTAAAAAAAAAATGGATCATTATATTTACCAATATCTCTTGCTTTAGTTTTATCACCCAAACTTTCAATCACATTAGGTGTAGGACCAATAAAGGTAATTCCAGCAGCTTCTACTTTGCGTGCAAATTCAGCATTTTCGGATAAAAAGCCGTAACCTGGATGAATCATGGATACACCACGTTCTTTTGCAATTCGAACAATTTCATCTTGAGCTAAATAAGCACCTACAGGAGTGAACTGACCTATTTCACCAATTTGATATGATTCATCAGCCTATACAAACAAATATATATGTCAGCCTTTGTTTTTGTTTATGCGTGGTCTAATATTTATATATATTTATAAACCTTATAACGATGCATGGATAGTCTGTCTTCATGAGAAAAGATAGCAACAGATCTCATTGAAAGTTCATGAGCTGTACGAAACACTCTTAAAGCAATTTCCTATATTTCCCCCCCCCCAACCCAAGTGATAATAATAAAGGTTATTTTTTTTTTCAAAAAAAAAAAGGACTATATTAATGTATCATATTCTTTTGATATCTTACGCCACGGTTTACAACCATCAACTTGCGAAGGTTGCCCATCACTTCACTATTTCTACGAATAGTTTCCACAGAATGTTCTCGAGTAGGGGACATTTATTATTAATAAAACACAACAAAAGAAGAGAGAGAAAGAAAAAAGAAAAATGACATTTTTTTTTTTTACTTTTATTACAATGGTAGTAAACTTTAAATCATCGCTTAATTATTTTTCTCAGGGAAACAATTCTGGGGGACAGCAATTGCGGGGAGAAAAAACAAAAAAAAAATAGTACTTCTGATTTCATGTGTCATCATAACACGTCGTACAAATTTTTTTTCCGGGGGAAGAAGAAGATATATTTTTAATAAAAGTGAATCGTCTATTCATATAACCGTAGTGATGTAGTACATGCTGCTTTAAAACTTCAAAACAATGATGACACAATTGTATAGCCAACTAACGGATAAAACTCGTTACTAAGCAAACATTATCCAGTACGTAGTTTTCAAGTAACTATTTGATTATTAAACAAAGCAGTTACTGAAAACAAGTCACTCCCTTTTCTTCACTCTTTTTTTTTTTATTCAAATAGTTGAAATTGAGATGAATTTGCATTATTATATAGATGAATTGATTTTATTTCTAGAAAAGCCTTCCTTTTTTTTTTTTCTTTTTTTTTTAGACAGTCGAACGATTGACGAATTATTTCAAACTAATCCCTCTTTGCAAGCATCTATTCCAATAAGTTTCTATATCCAATCTTGAAAGTTAACAACAGCTGTAACTTGATTGAGGCAAGCTTTAACAGTGCGAGACGTAAGCTGATCTTCCTAGTATTTTTAAATCAAGTTGAAGAATGATGAGTATGACACAGCATGAAGAAGAGATTTGAATCTGTACTTGCAGAATAGCGTCTATTACAAAGTGAGAAAAGTCAATTTTACAATTGTCCATTACAATACATGTGGATTGTATATTGCTACTTTTCCTCAAGATATCTATTATTAATTCCATAAACTTAATGAGAATGTAGTCTTTTTTGGAAGCTTAATCATACTTTAAGAAAAGAAAAAAATAGAGTACTTGAAGCTGCTGTATATTATTAAAAGCTCAATATCATTAGAAAAGAGTTTCATTGTAAAAGCCATAGAATATACTTCTTTAAGCTTTTCATTATTCAAGGCATTGAACTTTTTAGTGGACGGTTTTACTAAGTTTTGTTTTAGCATAACAATTAGATTTTAAGGTACAGAATAATAGATAATAATTGTTTTCGGCCTTAAGATGATCATCCACACTAAAATGGAATAATACTGTGTCATAACTACGCCCTTTTTTTTTTTTCCTGCAAAATTATTTATTAAAGGTTCCAGTAACTAATTCCGTTGTTTTAACCTCATCCTTTCTATTATATAGGTGAAGTTGAATTGAATGATAATTACCGATCCATTTGACTTACTTGGAGGCTATTAAAGTAAAGCACTTGGACAAAACTAGAAGAATGATACATCGTCTAGTCATTTCTTAAACTCAAACTTTTCATTTAATGACGATTTAACTTTCCTATTAAAACTGATTAAATGAAAGTATATTGCTTTTTATCATCATATAAATAGCCAATTATATTAGATTGAAAATATAAAATATCTATGAATGAATATAACAATGTCCTTTTTTTTTTCTTTTTATTCTTATTTAAGCTCGACGAATAAAAGTTCTTCCACTATAATAATGAAAGAATTGATTTAGTCATTTCACTTTTTTGTTGTTGTCCTTCTTTTAATAGATTCACTTACCTAGCAGTCTTCTTTTCTGCATTAAGAACTTCTGGTTTAGCTCTATTCAATACTTTTAAGAAATCACGAACACGGGCTCTCATACGTGTATGCATATATGCCTTTGAACATTTAATATGGTAGTGAAGATAATCACGGAATGTTTGAATACGACTGATTGTTTCTTCACGTACATCTCCCTTAGCAAAGTGGTTAGGAAAGAGAACTAAATATTAAACATGAGTTAGTTAGTTCAAGTATAATTAATACATAGATATCAATAAGACTCACCAAAAGTGACATAACTAACATCTTCACTATCTCTCAAATTCAAATGACGAAGTTCCATAGGTGGTTCACGAATTGAATACAAAACCTGAGGTGCATTTTGTAAAACAGGAACACGACGTCTAGCATCCACAAATTCCTGTAAAAAGACTTTACCAAAAATCTTGTCTGTTTCATCTTTAAAGGTAGTACTAAAAATAACTGTTATACGATCAACGTTTGACTTGACATAAATAGCTTCCTCCTCACGGTATTGAATGGTCATCAATTGTGAATTGCATTGTGGGTTTTCTTGCTTTTCAAATTCTTCTTGCTCTTCAAACGCTCTTTCAAAGGGTGCAGCCAAAAGATTTCTTTTTAAAAGAGATATCTTTTTAATAAGTTCGTCCTTGGCCTCTATTAAGAAAATCATAATCATAGTTTAGTTGCTCTGTCTTTTTTTTTTTTTTCATCACGAAATAATATAAAGTATTTCATCATAAATATGTATACATGTATATATATTTACCATCTTCTTGGGGTGCTTTTTCTAAATCAATTGATAAAGTAACATCATAGCCTTGTTCAGGTGTGCTGACAAGCCAATCCCCATACTCGCGTTTTAAAACATCTTCAGCACCATACTCAAACAATTGACGAGTACATGCCCATCTTAACGATATTTGAATAACTGTTTTAGATTCAGGAGTCGAGATGTGGTAAGAGACGCCATCAAAGTCTGCAACTGTCATGTCGATGGGCTCGAATTTTTGTCTATGAATTATAAAAAAAAATTAATTAATTAATATAAGGAACAAGCTAACCTTTTTCGATTCTTTTACTCTTTTATTCTCGACTCTAAAGTATTCTTGATAATAACGTTATGATAGTCTAATAAAATCATGTTAATGTATAAAGTATACAGATAAAAATGTATTTTTGGAAGAATATAAAAAGCATTAAAAATGGAAATAAGAAATGAGACGGAGAATGAAATATAGATAAATTCTCTACTACGTCACTTCAGAGATTTTTTTTTTTTCTTATGCTGCTACTGGTGATTTCAATAGGTGTGCTGTTGCTAACTTTTTCCTTTTTTTTTTTTTTTTTTGAAAATTTTGTGCCTTAATAAAAATTTCGCACAACAAATAAAACCAATTTCACATGCTGATATTTATAATATCTGTATAAAAAAGAAATTAGCCAAATCCTTTTTTTTTTCTCTCACTATTTTTTTTTTTTTCGTTTACCATTATTATTATCATATACATATACATATATATCATATAACAAAATGGCAACAAGAGGTACAATAAGTTTTGATTATGTATTATATATATATAAAGACTAATATTTAAAGTTTATTTTATGCTAATAAAGAGCTATTGAAAAAGCCATTCAATAAAAAACTTATAGCTTGCTTATCTCCCTTTATTCTTCAATGGCTCCTTCGAACACGAGGTGGATTTCATTATCGTCAAGCTATTGGTGTATTGCTGATAGGCATTGCTGCTACCTATGGTGCTGTTGCATCGATTATTTTGACAGCCATAGGCCGTACTGATTTAATCAATTGGTCTGTTGCACGTTTCAATGCTTTCTTAAACAGGACCTTCCTTGGGATAACAGCTACTATAAAGGGTAAAGAGAATTTAGCAAAGCCTGGACAACAAGTGGTCTATGTATGTAATCATCAATCGATTATGGATATTATGTATCTAGGCGTTGTATTTCCTAAATGTACATCAATGGTAGCCAAGAAAAGTCTAAAGTATTATCCATTTCTGGGTTGGTTTAGTAAAGTATTCATAGATGTAAATATAATAATTGTTATCTATAGACTCTTTCCTTTTCTTTTCTTTGAAGAAAAAAAAACAAACAAACTAACTCTTTTTAAATATTAGTGATATTAAGTAGGACAGTTTTTTTAGATAGGGCTAACCGTGATAACGCTATTCAACAAGCTAAACAAGCAGCTAATGACATTCTTCATAAACAAATAAGCGTCTGGATCTTCCCTGAAGGTACACGAAATCCATCAACAACGCTTTTACCGTTCAAAAAGGGAGCGTTCTATATGGCGACACAGGCTAAAGTACCCATTATCCCTGTAGTTATTGATCATTATAGTCACATTTATGACTCAAAGAAAAAAGTATTTAAACATGGTGATATTACAATTCAAAGTAAGTATTATTCTTTCCCATCCAATCTCATTAAAATAATAATAATATTATTATTATGAAGAATAGTAGTATTCATCATTTGTTTTTCATCCTAGTTTTGCCTCCTGTAGAAACAAAAGATATACCCGAGAATTCAGAAGCAATTGAAAGACTGGCAAATGAAGTTAGAGATCAAATGTCAAAAGTATTAATGAAATAAATAAATATAAATGTTTATTATTATTATTAATTATTAAAGTCGAGTTGAGGGTATAGCAGAAAATATAATAGTGATAATAATAGCAATAAGCGTACTAAATATTAAAAGCCAGATGGCTCTCATGCGTAAAATGTATTTCACTTGAGGTTGAGAGATTTTATTAAAATGAAAGGTCGTCGTCTCACTATAAAGAAAGAAAAAAAAATATTACCTTATTAGCACATATATATATTAAATACGCACGCGTGTGTGTGTGTGTGTGTGTGTGTATCTTACCTAATATTAAATAAAAGGGCTAGAATGGGATCTAATCTTGATAAAAACACAAAACATTGATAACATCCTATCCAAAATGGTAATAGGCACTTGTAAAAAAAAAAAAAAAAAAAAAAAAAAAAAAAAAAAAAAAAAACTCGTTAACACCTCTTTCAGACGAAAACCCTCTTCCCTCACTCACTCCCTTCCCCCCCTTCTCCTCCATTTTATACATATATATATGTCTCTGCTTACCCAGAATCGCTTTCCCCATTGAGGTATATCCAAAAAGATGAAACTAAAGGCAGTAGAGAAGGCTACTGACAAAGATACGAGACCGATCAACAGTCGATACAGTTGTTGTCTTTCAGTAACATTCCCCCATACCTTAAGACGTATGAATGTTGGATACGCCCAACGTTCCATATATAAAAACGATGCCAACTTACATTCGGTAAACAGCACTGGGTCATGACGTACAGTTCCATCCATATTTAAATAGCTGTCGATGACACGCTGGCGTAATGATGCAGGTAAAATGTTTTCTAGAGATTTAGGCGCACCTGGTATGAGGTAAGTCTGTACGATGGATTCTGTAGAAGCAGAGAGATCGTGGCGGTCGATGTAGGAGTTGACCATCGTATGACTATCTGGAGCTGTGACTGATGAAGGTGAAATTGAAGGTGTATAATGATGTGATGAGAAAGAGGTTACTGGTTTAGAGATATCAATGTATTTGGAGATAGGACCCTCTATGGTGCTTGATAAAGAGGGCGTTCCTCCCTTTTTCAGTGCCTGCACTGAATGCTCAAGACGATCATAAAGATTTATTTCATCATGATGGTTACTCTCACTAGTAATAGTAGTATTAGTAGCATCTCCATTTTTGAGAATGGATTTAGCATATCGACGCCAGAGGATTTCATGATGTGTTACATCTAGATAAAAGTCAAGGAGGTGATCTATATGCAACTTGTCACGCATAACTATATAAAAGTTATAAAGACAGACAGGGGGAAGTGTTCTACGGGATAAGATATCTTCAAGAGTTGGAAGATTTGATAATATGGACTCATTACTCATTATTGTGATAGTTAACTGTAAAGAAAAGAAAAAAAAAAAAGAAGAGAGAAAGAGAAAGAAAGAGAGAATGACAATACTAATAATAAATATTAAATGAATTTTTTTTTTCTTTTTTGAAACAAATTTTTATATTAATTATAATATATGAAATTGGTTTTATTTATATATAAGTAGTAATGCAATTGCCTGTAAATTTTTTTTTTTTTGCTGCAATTGTTGCTATTATACAATATAATCTTGATATTACAGTAGTCATGGTAACTTTCTATTTTTATTCCTTTAAGAAAAAAAAATCACCTTTTTTTTTTTGTTATCATAATAAATAATTGACAGAAGAATGAACCCAATCGAAAATAATGAAGTTAATTAAAATCTACTAGTATTGATTGGATAATAATCTCCGTTTAGATTTTGGACCGTCGAAAGTAGAATGATCTACAATAATAAAACGTGATTTTTCTTCCCCGCTTATTATACTTGTCCTTTTTTTTTTTTTTTTTTTTTGTCCAGTCACTAGTAATAATGTCACTTGCACGGTTCTTCAAGTTCATAACCTATATCCGTATTCTGCTTTATATTCTTGCTTTTATTCTTGGCTTGTATCTCATACAAGTGTTCACAACACAAAATCCGCCCGTAGAAACATTCCAACCATCTACGTTACCTTGGTATAAATATCCTCATGCCTCTATTAGTCATCTGCAATCCAGTCGACATAATACAGTACATTTATCTCAACTTGAGCGTGAGCGATTAAGTCAAAGAATGGTTCAAAGGGCACAACAAGTAGTACGTCAAGAATTTATGCCCACAGGGATCAGAGGCTCCATCTATAAAGATGATTTAAAGGGTAGTGCAGCCTTTCGTGAATTAGTGGATTGTTGGACGAATGGCAGTTGGGTTCAGGGACAACCTTCTTTTACAATGTCCCATTTCCAAGATCCCTTATATGGGTATTGTGATCGTAAGCATAAAAAGATGCATCCGACTGAACCACGTCCTGCCACCCAATACAAGTGGCAATCATCGTGCCCCATGGCATTAGTCAATGTATCACGATGGTGTGAGGTATTGAATGGACACCATCTATTACTCGTAGGTGATTTAGTCCAATATCAATTACATGAAGTATTTTTAGATACCCTTAGAGAGGGACCAGCGATTTGTTTTGGTGAGCTTAATTGTAAGGATCATACATTGTGCAATGGTGATACACGTTTGCGTTATTTAAGAAATGATGTCTTGTCAGTACGTCGCAAAATGAATTATAATGATGGACAGCCAATAGCGAATGTCATTGAATGGCCATTTACATCTTCTTCATTGATGCGTAGATACCCTACCGTTATATTGAATCGAGCACCTGTACTTGAAACAGATGAAGATTTTATGAAGGGGTTGATACGTACATTAAAGACAATGAGAAAACAAAATCCAGACGCCTTGATTATTTATAGATCGACTGGCATTGGACATCCATTTTGCGATGAAGCCACAGAACCGTTAACTGAGATGTTAAATGATAACGAACTAAAGGAATTGCCATTTGGATGGAGTGAAGTCCAACGACGTAATGCAATCGCTCGTGTGATTATTGAGGGTGCTGGTGGGTTATTTGTTGATTTGGCAAAGGTAACGGATGTAAGACCTGATGGACATGTCGGAGGTCAAGATTGTTTAAGGTACTGCATACCTGGCCCGCTCGATGGCTGGGCTCAAATTCTCTATCAGGTCTTTTTAGGTTTAGAAGGAAAGCACGTGTAAAAAAAAAAGGGATAGTTACATATGTGAAACTGATGAACAAGACTTTTATTGTTATTTCTCTTTTTTTTTTTCTTTTAAAAAAAAACAAACAGATATTATATGTATAAAAAAGTCAAAAAAAAAAAAAAGTAATATTAAGTAACAATAGATATGTAGAAAGTAAAAAAAAAAATGCAATAGCTTAAATTTTCTTGGACTTTTGTTGATTAAGTTGCTTACGTGCTGCTGCTTTTTTAGCTTGATAAGTGATACGATAAAAATTAATAAAGAGAACTAAATAGGATGATAAGAGAGCACAACCAAAGAGAGCTGAAGTTTCAGTACCAGCACAATTTCCCTTATTAGGCAAGTGGGGCCAGTAAGTATAAGTAAAATAAGTATAAGTGCAGAAATAAATAATAACAAGATCAATAATAAATTGAACAATTTGAAGAGTTGTCAAATAACGTTTCCACCAAATCTTGGCACCAGCTGCAGTGCGACAATAATAATAGTACATTAAGACATGAACGGTCAAATTAAGTGTAATAGGTACCCAAGACTATTTTTAAAAAGAAAAAAAAAAAAAAGATTTAAATAAATTATCATAAAAGAAAATTGTTTCAAATTATAACTTACCACTGAAGTTTTGCCATTTAATTGAGTAAAACAAAGAACCATAGTCAAAGAATGATGATAATAATGAAGGAATTCTGTTTATATACATATATAAAAAGAAGAAAGAAATAAAGCTTTAATATAAACCAATTTCCTCTTCACCTTCACTCTCTAAACAAACAACTTACCCAACTTTTTCTTCTTCAATACCAAAAAGACAGTATCAATCAATTCCCAATATTTTACGAGATAATTAAGATAATAAAGCAATTCAAGAGGCTGAGTCCAAGTTTCATGAGCACAAATAGCTGCCAAAAAACCTTGACGATACATGATAGGAAAGATCTGCTCGATCATCAAAGCCAATAAGGCACCTGAAGCAAAGGTTAAAAGAGCGTTATGGATCATGAAGGGTATCTTTAACTTGAAAGCAGGCAAGTTTGTCATCAAGAAGCGACCACCAAAAATGACGATGAAATAAGTAATACAAGTGATGACAACTAAGCATCAGATGGAAAAAAAAAAAAAAAAAAAAAAAAAAAAAGAAATTAAAGATGATGAAATGTTGTTAATGACAACAGCAACTTACCTTCATTAGTAGTAGAAAGAGGAGTTATAGAAGGAATGTATCTAAAATTAGATGCAGGTTCACCTACAATTCGTTCATACACCTTTTCAAAAATTGGATATAATGGAAAGCCAAAAGGCGTTTCAGGTGTGAATTGAAGATGCTCCATTTTCTTTCTTTTTTTTTTTTTAAAAAAGAAGATGAATAAAAAAGGGAAAAAAAAGATTAAGAAAGCACAGTTGTCAGATTTTAAATATAAAATTTTTTTTGAAAGCGACATTTTAAACCCAGAATTTTATTTTTGGTTGTACCATTCCCGTTTGAACGTTGGTCATTTTGTATTATCTTATTTTCTGTGAATCACTCCGAAGAAAAACATAACCATTAAGATACAGGACAACATTTATTCTTTATCTTATTATGAGTGTGTACATAGGAGGTGTATGTATACAAATATGTATATAATAAAAAAAGGGGTAAAAAAAAAAAAAAAAAAAGAGGAGTAAAACAATTTGAAACATTAAAGTTACTCTTCATGGTAAAGTTGACTTTCAAGGTATTCATTCCAAGATATTAACCCACTATAAATAAATATTTTCAGCCTTTTTTTTTGGTTTCACTTTTTATATAGATCTTACTCTCCATTTTTATCATCTTCCAACATAACATGGTCAACCATTTCTGTCACTTCTTCTAAGGAAGGAATTGGCTCATTGCTATCAAAGTCTGTAAAAGCACTTCTTAATTCATGTCCATCTAAATATCCATCCCCATTTACATCATGAATAACAAACAAGTAATAAATCATATCATCGTTACTAATTGGTGTCGTTGAGGAATTATTCAACATTGATTGAATATGTTCCTCAATATGACTTTTTTTAAAAAAAAAAAAAGTTGAATTAACTTTATTACTAAGAGAGAAAGAGAGAGTCTTACTGCTTATTATTTTTTTCATCCCCATAGTTTGAATGATGAGTATATTGATGTGTGCCAGGACCAGCATAAATCATTGTTATATAAAAAAACAACAAGATAATCAAAGAAGTCTGTATCATTTTATTTTATTTTTTTTTAAGGAAAACAAAGAGAAAGAGAAAGAATTATATATAAAACTTTATTTATCAAATATTGTTTTCTTTTTTTTTTTACCCCTGGATTTTTGGTAGATCATTTTTTGACACGAATAATATGTCTACTCATGACTGTAGCAACAAGGGCCATTAAACCACCAAATGCTAATACAATCCCCACGTTACCTGAGGTAGCTATATAAAAGATGATAAATGCAATGATAGCTACAGCAAATTGAGGAAAGACAATGTACATATTATGAACACCCAAGATCATGCCTGCGTCAAATTCATTATTGCGTTCTTCAATATCATTGCTTTTCTTTTGTCTTTGTTCATCTTCAAAACTGACATATTCACCAACGAGTGAAAATGGAATCCATAAGACAATAGCCCAGGGTATACCCATGATACCTACCATAATGGTGGCCATAGTAACAGACTTAATGAACCAAGCTGATAATAAACAGGCGGCAATAATGAGTTGGGAGGCTGTATAGAGATTGAGTAACGTAAATAGACGATTATGGGCTACAAGAGATGGAAGGAGAACACCTGCAACGACAGATACGATAGAATTGCAAAGAAAGGCAAATGAGCCAGCTCGTGTGCCCTCTGCCCAATCGCCTGATGGATGAGATGCAAAATAAAGATCTGAAACCCATTGTGTACTAAAATAAATAAATAAATGAAAGAAAGAAAGAAAGAAAGAAAGAAAAAATTAAGGATAGAATGGATATATGTTTTTTTTAAAGAATAACTCACCTATAGAAAAGGAATGGAAACCATCCCATCCAAGCAAAAAATTGTGTATTACAAAGTGATTGTATAGGCTTTGGTAAAAATCTAAAAGCTCTCCAAATATATTGAAGTGTACTATACCATTTCCTGACAAAAAAATACACATATTAATATAATATACATACATACAAAAATAAAGTAAAAAAAAAAAAAAAAAAAAAAAAAAAAAAAAACAGAATTTACTGATCATCATGTTGCTGTTCATTTAATTCTTCACTATAAGGTGTCTCCTTAACACTAAGGCAAGTGATAGCCAATGCAGAAATAAAGACGACGATGGCAACGATGCAAAAACATTTGATTTGTGAATCACCCAGCCATGGTGTGTAGGTTACAAGATCAACAAAGCCAACGAAATAACCAATCACCATTGCTGAATTACTCATACGAGCACTCCAAGCATTTGCATATTCTTGTTGCCATAATGGAGGTATATCTAAAATGAGAGCACGGCAAATAGCCTGAACAGCATTTAAAGTAAAGTCTAAAAAATAAAAAGATGAAACTGCAACGATAATAGCAAATAAATGGCTCTAAAGGAAAAGAAGAAGAAAAAAAAACACACACACACACACAGCTAAATATTTAATATTAAATAGCGTTCATTGTCATTATTTACCATCTCTTCAATGTTAGTAGTATATAAATTTCGAGCTGCCCAATTGCCAAGTTCTTTTGCATAAGCAACACCAATCATAGATAAGCAGGTTAATACCCCTGCTACGACAATAAAGGGTCTTCTTTTACCAAAGCGGGAAGTACATTTATCGCTAAAAGCTCCAATTAACTATACGAAAAAATAAAATAAATAAAAAGTTTTTCTTTTGTGTGTAAAAATAAAAATAAAAATGACATATTAGTTACTGGCTGCACAATGAGACCTGAAAGTGGGCCTGCTAACCATACTAATGCTGTTAATTCTTTTGATAAATCGAGGGATAACAAATAAGGTGTACCATAGGATAGCTCAACAGTCCCTGAAATAAATAGTAAATTTAGAATATTTACATATATGTGCTAATTTTATGCCGCTTTTTATTTATTTATTTTTACATGTAAATTGTACACCAGCCATACAAATAGTTAAACCCAAAATCTCTAATAAATGAAGTCCCTCTCGATTGACTTCTTCTCCTTCACTATTGCCACTTAGAGTAATATTACCAATACTATTATAAGTAGAAGGGTCAAATGAGGACCTTCTTCTTCGAGGTTTTGGTCTTGAAATAGGTGGTTTTGCCTGTTGCAATAAAGGTGAATATTCTGTCGTCATTATTTTATTATTTCTTCTTGACGGAAAAAAAAAAATGATAATAGTAAAAGAAAATAGAAAAAGAGACTAAATATCACCATGACTCCTTTTATTTTTATTTTTTTAAAAAAAAAAAAAAAAAAAAAAAAAAAAAAAAAAAAAAGATCATTTTTAATTATCATATGATTGTATATGAGCATTTATATTAGGGAGATTTACATAAATGAGAACCAGTCATCAAGTTAGTTATCATCTGCCCTTACTACCCTACCATCATCCCCCTCTCCTTCCCCTCCTTCCCCACACACGCTCCTTCTCCTCAAAGGAGGTTTTTTTTTTTTTCCATTCCGAAGCATAATATGTCATTGTATTTTATTTATATCGTATACATCGGGAAATTTACTTACAAAATTTCCAAATCAAGTATTTCATCGTCAAAGCATAATTATAATATGCAAATAACGCGAGTTTAACACATGCTATTGAAACGCATTTTGCAAAAGGAGTTAAAAAAAAAGGGAGATCTGAATACTAAAAGGGGTAATTATGATGATTATTATTATTATAATATAGCATACTTTATTAAGCAGAAATTTCATTTGAAGCATTGTGTGCAACTTCACGTCTCTTGATAGTAGTTGCTAATACTTGTGATCGGAATGAAAGACCCTTTGTGCGTTCAATCACTTGTTGATAAACAGATGTAACAGGTGTATTCATAATAACAGTATTCTAATAAAGTAAAATTTAGTTTCACTGCATCATAGTTTACCTTCTTTTGGTTTACTTACTTCCTCAAAATCAATCTTTGCATCAACACGTGTATCTCTAATCAAGTTAACAATCCACTTTTCACCTTCTTCCTGACTCAAATTTAATCTCTGTGACATTTCCTTAATATCAATCTTTTGGTGAATACGGCAGTAAGTCTCTGAAATAAATTGTCTAGCTGATTCCATAAAGTCTTCATGAGAGGCAGCCAAGAAAAAGTCATGACTTAAAACACTCTCACATTCCTTAAGTTTCTTTTGAGCACCTTCAAAATCAAAGTTGACAAAGAGAGCTTCAACAAATTCAGTGACAGGGTCTCTATATTCATATGCTTCTTGCTCAATGATCTTGACGAGTTCTTTCATTTGATGCTTTCTACGTTTGTTAGTGACAACAGCGGTGGTCAAATAGCGGAGAATCCAAGGACATGAGGTTTGAATGGTATTGATGTATTGAGGGGTAAGGAACATATCGACAATTCCATCACGTCCTTTGGGATGATTAAAGAAAACAAAGAGGGACCAGTGAAGGAGCCAAGTACGTTGTTGAAGTTGTTGGAGAGGTGAAGTAAAATTCTAAGTAAAAAAAAAAAAAAGTTTACATCTATTTATTTTAACATATTCAAAAATAAATTACCTTTTGATCAATAGCTTCTCTAAGTTTCTGCATTTCTTCCAAAGCAGCATCCCAGTTACCTGTCAAAATTTCGGCTGCCATTTTACCCCAAGTAGCGGCAAGAGAACGTTCACTATCAGTTGCCTATCAAAGAAAAAAAAAAAGAGTTAACAAAAAAAAAAAAAACACTCCCACACATCTATTTGTAATAATTTACCAAAACACGATAATGATAAAGGTAATCAGCAGCTGCTCCATAATCACCACAATTATATTGAAATTGACCAAATTCATATAGAATGTTAATAGATTCTTCAGTGAACTAATAAAAAAAAAAGATGAGAAAAAAAAATAATTACAATCAACATTATTCATCATTACCTGATAGTTGTCTTTCAAATATTGTAAATTTTGAGTTTTATCTTGACGAAGGGCAGCAATGACTTCAGGCTTTTCAAGGACATTCATAACTTTTTGTGCTTTTGTTCTTAATTCTTCCATTTGAGATAAAACCTTTTCTCTTTTCTCAGTAAATTCTATAATAAAAGATAATTAGCAAATACGTGCCAAAAAAAAAAGGCAATTATGTGTTCTATACCTTTAGGGGCTACATCAGTCTTTTCAAGTTTCTTATAAAGATCTAAAACAAAATCGACCATGTTTGAGTTTTTAAACAAATCATACTTGGCTTGAAGTAAATCTTCAGAAGCATAAACCTATTATAAATATTGAGTTTCGTGTTATAAAGAAGAATCAATCATAGTCTTACCTCTTTTAATTCTAAGAATTCGAGAAGAGGGAAAACAAGATGACGATCCAAGAATGGGATCATTCTTAATGTCAAATCATGTTTGGCAGCCATTTTCTTTTTTTTTTTTTCTTTTTAAAAAAAAACAACAATTGTGTAAAAAAGTAAACGGAACAAAAAATTTTAAAAAGGAAGGCTTTTTAATAAAAGGGCAGTCACTAGCAAATTTCTGAAGTAATCGTAATAATAGTAATCTGAAAAAGCAACGTGTATTACATAATAGATCGTTTTATTTTATATACAAATAATAAGAAAGGAGGAAAGGGAAAAAAAATTATTCTAATGATGTTTTTTTTATATTATCTAAAGGATGTAACTGATCATCTGTGAAAACTAATTCTTCGTTATGATGGCTAGAAGTCTCCTCATTGTTGTTTGCCCAATCTTGCCAGATCGTTCGTTGGTCTGGCATCCAAGACATGATCTCTTGTTCAGTTCGAGTGACTGATGCCGTATTTTTCATCGGACCGCTTTCTTTTCTTAGCTGTGCTACTTCACCTAGAGCCAGACTATGACGCTTTGTATGTGTTCGATATGGTATATAATCTTGATGAATATCAATACGTTCGAGTCGTTGAGAGACGGGTTCCCTAACTCTGAAAGGGTAAGGTAGCTGAAGATTTTCGAGAACTTGAGCGTCTGGATAATCTAGATAGTTTCGAATGGGAGTAGGTGTGGCTATATAATAATGATATCCAGACTTTTTATGATGACTGATAACAGTGGGTCGTTCAGTGAAAGGGAAAGTAAATGCGGAAAAGTCTCGTATACTGTGATGTATACTATGATTAGAAGAAGGCGTACTATGATATGATTGTTGATCAACATCAAGGTGACCAAAGTTCTGTTGTAAGAGTTCTTCAGTTTCTTTTTCAGCTGGGTCATCAACGACTAATGATTGTAATTGCTTATCAATATTAGGACGAACATGGTTTGGTAGAGAAGAACTAGAACGTTGTAAATTACTACTGTTAATAGATATAGAAGAACTTGTATTAGGATTATTGTGATATTGAACTGGATTTGGTTGTGGCCTTTTCATGTTAGCCGTTTTCTCCAGATGTAAAAAAAACAAAAAAAAAAAAAATAAAACAAAAAAAAAGGATGAAACAAAACTGTCATTTATTGTAATTATTCCGACAAATAAATACTGATAATGTATAAAAGGCTATTACATAATAAATCAAATACGTTAGTTGAAAAAGGTGTAACATGGAGAAGATTGTGTGCATAAAGAAGATCATGTATTAAATACTCTTCTAGACACTCATGGAAGTTTATATTAGTTCTAATATTTAAGTATAAATGTAAAATTCTTTCTTCACAGTTCAAACAGCATAATTTCTTTTTGTATATGATAGATCACTTATTAGCCAATTAAATTAATTAGAATCTTCAGTAGTTGAATCATTGTAAAAAAAAAAAAAGAACATAAAGGAACACCTTCGTTGACTTTATAAGAATTCTTTTTCCTTTCTTTAGCTCTTTTTCAAAAAAGAAAAAAGAAAATACTAGATACATTATGTCAAAAGGAAAAATCATCATTAAAACTATAAAATTTATAGCAAAAACTATTCCAACTTTTTCTAATTTCTTTATACAGGAGTTTAAAAAAAGTCTTGTCAAGTCATTTCAGGGACGACGACGACAACAACAACAACAACACAATGAAATATGACATAATATGTATGATTGTGACAAGTGTTATCTTAATAAAGCTAGTTTATTTTACAATTGAATTTATAAAAGTTATTAGTATTGACAACATTTTATAACCATACAAGTTTATCATATTTTTATTGACGTTTGTTACGAATGCTAGTATTGAAGCTTAAATTGTTTTTTTTGAAAGGAACACATTTTCTTTTTGCTATTCTACTTTTCTGTCTATGACTTGACTTATTTTTTCATAATGTTTGTATATGTCTTTTACACATATATTGTTTATTTATGCTTTATCCAGTTATTTTTGGTTTTTGTCTTTTTAAATGATAGTAATTATAAATGGAATAATATATTAGTTTAAGACAAATAATAATATTTTATTTTATACGGGAAATAGGCTTTCGATACAGTGATTAAATTACACTTATTACTACTGTTTAGGACTTGTTGAATACTTTAGTTCTTTTAATGTCATCCCAGATCAACAAGGGCAATTGTCTTCTTTATGTTGTTAGCAGCGTGATATTAACGCTGCTAAAATGGACTACATGTCTTACACACAAGTACACTTTGGCTGCTTCAATGCGTTAATGTTAGATTGGCTACAATTTTTTTTTGACGTGTTTATACTAAATCCAAAGAATTACTAGTACATTGTCGCTTTTGTAGCGCACGTCACAAGGTATTGGTTACCCAGTATCTATTATCCTTCTATTTAATGAGAGGTACTTTGCAGCTTTTTTTTTTTTTTTTGAATCTCTCCAGTCGTCATCTTCTATTATATCGATGCTAATATGATATGATCCATAAACGCCAAAGATTTCTGACTATCTCTTGGCAATTATGTTTTGTCTATTTCTGTTACCTCTCACCTTATTTTATCTTCTTCTCTTCTTTTTCGCTTGTTAAATACTTCTTTCTTCCATTAACCGTATAGTCAACTACCATAACTGAAGCTCTTTAGCGATCTTGATACAAGTTGGAATTTTATTGTGCAAAGTAGAAGCCTATAAAAAGAGAATAATCTGTTTATGTGGAGTGAGAGAGAGAAAAAAAAGTTAACTAGCATATACATTATTATTATAATAGTTAGCTTCAGTAGACATTTTTACAAGTTGGTAAGTCTGTTTCAATAGTCACAAAATCATCCATATTCTTAAAAAAAAAAATCTTTGTATTTCATATATCTTAAAATGGCCTGGGTAATCCAATATATCATAGATAGTATGAACTTGATTTTTGACTAGTACGCACATTAAAGACATGTAAATTTTGAATAGCGACAAAAAAAAAAAAAAAAAAAAAAAAAAAAAAAAAAAACTGACATCAGTGTTGTGTGTATCTATCTCTTTAATAGAATACGAGATATGTCAACCGAAACAGATCAAGAAACAAACAATGTGACTTTAATAGAAACTTCATCAACAGAAGAAAGGACAAATTTAGAATCTACAATAATCAATAATGAGGAAAAAGTAGAAACAACAGAGGATTTCGCCACTGCTTATGGAGTTTCCGTCTTTATACCCGATTTTTCTTATCCATTTTCTCTAATCAGTTCAACACATGATCGTTATAACGATACTATAAGCAACTGTCTCAAAAATGATTTTGAAATTATTCAACAAAAGCCCTCATTTCCTCAGTCTAATGACAATAATTTCTTTCGAAACATTAAATGGTAAATGAACAAAAAAAAAAAAAAAAAAAAAAAAAAAAAAAAAAAAAAAAAAAAAAAAAAGACATGTATTGATCTATTTTAATTTACGAAAAAAATAAAGGTCGCCTGATGGATCTTGTCTTTTGAGTAATTCAGCAGATAATGTGATTCGTTTATTTCAAATGTAAGTTTCGCAATGTGAATTCTTGTGTGGTTATTAAACCATCTTTTTATTAGACCGTCCAATGCGTATGAGGACTCTGAAGATGCGGATAAAGTACTACCTATGATACCTAACATAGGAATTCGTGAAGGTGAATCTATTTATGACTTTGCCTGGTATCCATCCATGAATATGCAAGGTAATATGTGTATACCGAAAAAAAAAAAAAGAAAGGGGGAGGAAGATGAATAAATAATAATATCTACTTTTACATTATTATAGATCCATCGACTTGCTGCTTTATCACATCTGTACGCGATCATCCCGTTCAACTTTGGGATCTCTATTCAGGCACAGTTAGAGCTTCTTATCGGGCTATTGATCACTGCGAACGGTTTGTTGGTCCTAATGCACTTGCCTTCAATCTTGATGGGTCAAAGTAAGTTTGAATATTCCTTTCCAATTTAACAGCTAAATTTTTTTTTTTTTATAGAATTTATTGTGGTTATGAAAACATGATTGAAATCTTTGACGTGCAAACTTCTGAAAGTGTTCTAAAGCGTTCAACTGTCCCAACTCGTAAATTAAGGAAACGTGGCCAAAATGGTGTCATTTCTTGTCTTGACTTTTGTCCTACAGGTGATGGCATCTATGCAGCTGGGTCCTATAGTAGATCCATTGGTCTATATGACGAAGTTAACAATGAACTATGTCTCAAACTTATTCTCGACAACAAGCAAGGAAGTGGTGTCACTCAGGTAAAGTTTTCTCCAGATGGACTTTACTTGTTTTCAGCATCACGACAATCCAACACGATCTTATGCTGGGATATTCGAAACACAGCTAATACTTTATTCGAATTGCCCTGCCGTAGTAAGACAAATCAAAGGATTCAATTTGATTTAACTGGGATGGGGAAATATCTTGTGACAGGCGATATGGATGGTAATGCGTTAGTCTATGATGTTACAAAGGCAGAGGATGACATGGAACGTCTTGTATCGACAACACGACTACACGATGATTTAGTTTCTTCTACAGCTTTAAACCCTGTTTATCCTGTAATGGCTACATGTTCAGGACAGCGTAAATTCAGACTGCCTGTTGATGATGATGATGATGATGACGATGATAATGAAGTAGTGATAGATAATACTATTAAAATTTGGAGAATGAAGGGACAATACGAATGGTATTCATATGATACAAATATAGAGACTGAATACCAACAAGACATAGTTGCATAAATTATACCTATTATATATGTATATATATGAATATAAATATAAATATATACACATATACATATAAATATATATTGTACATATATGAAAATTCATATTTTTATTGCAAGTAATAAATATCACTACTACTAGACTAATTCATATGTTTGATCAAACAAAGTACTAATACTTTCACCAAAATGGATACGTCGAATAGCTTCAGCAAATAACACAGCGACTGGCAAAATAGAAAATTTCTTGCATTGTCTAAGATGATCATCCTGAGGCACTGAATCACTTACGATAACGTGGTCCAAATAACTTTTTTCTATCCTTTCAACTGCATCACCCGATAAAATGGCATGTGTAATTAAAGCATAAATCGTTGTTGCTCCATTCTCATGTAATAGTTTTGCAGCCTTTGTGATAGTAAAAGAGGTATCGGCGATATCATCGATGAGAATACAAACTTTATTGCGTACATCGCCTACCAACATCAAATCATCCCCTCTTTTAGCTCGCATACGTTCCTTATGAATGAGAGCAAAGTCCATATGTAGTTTGGAAGCAATAGAGGTTGCACGTTTAGCACCACCTGCGTCTGGGGAAACAATGACTGCAGTTTTATAATTAGGTATATTACGATAAATATATTTACCCATAGAAGGCAAAGAGGATAGATTATCAACAGGACAATCAAAATAACCTTGAAACTATATATGTATATACAGTAAGCGATGTATATTTATAATTATCTTTTTTTTTTTTTTACCTGAGGATCATGTAAATCCATTGTAATAATATGGTCAGCGCCTGCACAACTTAATAGATCAGCAATTAAAGTACCAGAACGAACAACCCATTGTTTATATCCATCATTCTGTTGGGTGGAATTCAGCTGTGGTTGCATATTATTATTTCCGCCCACTTTAATCTTTTGACCTTCTATTTCCTCAGCTAGTCGAGAAAATATTGTATTTGGTATAGCATTTTCATGTGGGAAGATACCGTTAGGGGTTGCTGGAGTTGTCTTGGGGGATGAAGGTACTGTCATGGGGGGTGGACGAATGAGCGGAGCTCCTGATCTCTTAAATGGTGCATCGGGTTGTCTTGAATATGGGAAAAAGGGTAAGACTGCTGTTACCTTTCTAGCTGATGCTGTCTTGCAAGCCTGAATCATGATGCAAAGTTCAAAAAAGTGATCATTGACATGACCACATCCTGATTGGACAATATAAACGTCTTGTTCGCGTACAGACTCATAAAGCTCTACTCGAGTTTCATTGTTGCTAAATTTCGAAAGCTTTGAACGACCAGGCTCTATACCGAGGCGATCACAGATCTGTTGAACAAGTTTTGGATGGGATGAGCCACTGAGTACAACAGGCCCTCTCATGCTTGACAATAAGAAAAGAAGAAAAAAATAGTTATAAAAAAAAAAAAAAAAAGAGGATAAAAAAAAACCCAAAAAAAACAATGTGGAACAAATCATTTTTAAGTTTTTTTTTTTTAAGTTTTCTCATTAAACTTGGTATAAAATAAAATAAAATAAAATACGGTATTAATAAGCCCATACACATGTCTTCCATATTCTTTTATTTCTCCTTTCACACCCACTGTCAAATAAAATACATACATGTTATACATGTTCTATGATCAGATATTTTATATTATGTAATCTGAGCATAATGATGTGTTATCTATTCTCCGCATTTATCTATCGCCACTAATACCACAGTACACCCATGTGCTGCTGAATGCATTGTCCTTTTCTTTTCTTTCTGTTTTTTTTTTTTTTTTTATTCAATCTATAAATGACCTCCAATTTACGACAATTGTTGAAGACAAATTCACAAATAACTCTAGCATTACTTAAGCCTGATATATGCGCTAATCCCGCCTTAGTGCCGAAAATTCGACAAGCCATTTTGACAAAAAATCTCAACATTGTTCAAGAGCGTTCAGTAATTTGGAGCCTGTCTGATGCTCAGCGATTTTATGCAGAGCATCAGCACAAGTTTTTTTATGAAAGATTGTGTGGTTATATGACAAGTGGGCCTTTTATAGCTATGATTTTAGCTTCACCGACAGCTATTCGAGATTGGCGAGCTCTCATTGGGCCCACTCATCCTGTGAGGTAAAATGAACATTTTTTTTGTTAATGTTGCAAGCTAATCTCTTTTTTTTTTTTTGTTTTTTTAATATTAGGGCAAGAATTCACCAACCAGATACGCTTAGAGCACTTTATGGATTAACCGATACAAGAAATTCATTTCACGGTTCAGGTATGTATATATGTATATATATAAATACTTTATTAATAGTATAATAATGTATAATTATAGATTCTGACAAATCAGCAGAAAAAGAGATTCAATTCTTTTTCCCAGAAGCATTCTAATTTTTATCAATCTATATACATATATAAAAAAAGAGAGAGAGAGAGAAAGGGGAGAGTTAATGATTTAATTCTTTTCGTATATTTAAATATAATACGTATTTACGGGCAAAAACAATTTAAATTCTGCTGGTAATTCGTCTTCACTATAGACTCTATCTGTAAAATAAATACGTCGTATTCTGCAATTAGCATGAACTGTAACACGACTCGTTTCACTATAATTTGTGCCATAACCCTTTTTGACATAATCTGACATGTTAAAGATGATTTGATTCCAACCTGGATCAAGACGCATAGGCATTGTTGTGATGTAAGGCTTCACTCGTGTAGTCATTTGATAGTTAGAGGCGCGAAATCGTCGTGTTTCATTTTTATCGTCAAGTACTTCAACCTCAAATGAAAAGTATTTGTCGAGATTTTTAATGATAAAAATAAGATAAGGAAGTTTGATGCCTAATGTGAGGGTAGGGTTGCGTGGACAGCTAATGAAGGTGTTGGAAAGGTTTGATGAGGTAAGTTCAATGACGGTGGAACTGATGAGATCGTCAGCTACTCGTTCAATATGGGCTGATTCGTTGTTAGATGAGTCTTCTGTAGGTAAATGACAAGACCAAAGCTGTAAAGGTTCATTGCTATTTTTATACATATATACATATATAATGTCATTAATAAAACAATTTTGATATTATCATTTTTTTCTTTTTACCCTAAACTATATAAAATGGAAAGAAAGCCAGACTTTATTTAGGAATAGCATTAGCATTATAGAAAACATAGAATTACATAATGAAACTTACTTGAAATGTATTTCTGAACATTTTGAAATAAAAGCATAAAATATTTTTTTTTTTAATCAGATAAAACAATAGTCAAAATGATTAAGCGGGGTCAAATACAGATTTATTTATCATTATTTTCCCTTTTTTTTTTGCAATTCAGTACATATTATGTTTGCTATTAAAAGGTCTTTTACTCCTTCAGTTGTTAGTCGCACATTTACTGCACGATATTTTATGTCATCACCTACTTCTTTAACACCAGTAACACCTACTAATAAACGTGAATTAACTCAAGAAGAAAAAGACATTATTCATCCCATGATTCGTGTTGACCAGTCCGGCGAAGTAGGTGCCTATTACATTTACAAGGGTCAAATTGCTGTATTAGGACAGAATCCTAAACTTCGCCCTTTATTGGAAATGATGTGGGACCAAGAACGTGTTCACTTGGAGCTTTTTAGTGATCTTGTAGGTCAACACAGAGTACGACCCAGTCTTTTGAGGCCTGTTTGGGAAATAGCAGGATTTGTTGTAGGGGCGGGAACCGCCCTGATGGGTAAAGAAGCAGCTATGGCATGCACAGAAGCGGTTGAGACAGTTATTGGTGACCATTATAACGACCAACTGCGAAAGCTTCATGAACTCCAGAACCCTAATGATCAATTAAATTATTTATCCAAAGTAGGTATTGAAATATGAAAAGAGTCAGTTGAGCGACTAATTCTATATATATATGCATATGTAAAAAACAAAAAAAAAAAAATAGACAATTGCAAAATGTAGGGATGATGAATTAGAACATCATGATATTGCAGTGGAGCATGACGCTCGACAAGCCCCTTTACATAGTCTTTTGAGTGCTGTTATTAAACAGGGATGTAAGACGGCTATTTGGGTTGCTGAACGTGTCTAAATCAAAAATTGATCATGAGCTTGTAATAAATTATGTTTGCAAAAGCTAGCTTTTAAATAATAAGTGAATGCATATAAAATTATTGAAAGAGTATTATATTGAAAGAAGAATTTTAAATAAAATTGCATGTATAGTATAAAGTGTAACGTCATTTACTTGTTGGAATAGTAAATCGATATTTTCTTTTTTTCACCACCTGTTTCACTTTATCAGTTTCTTTTTTTTTTTTTTTTCAATCAAGCTTTAAGAATTTTCGTCTATTCTAATTATTTCCTTTTTTTTTCACTTTTAAGAATAAAAGAATAAGCTACTCATACTCTGCTTTCAAATATCTCTTGCTAATCCAATACATACACAAGTTCTCAAAACTTTAATACGTATATTTATTTAAAGGCAGGAAGCAAAAAAGCCTCAGGTATAAAATCAGTCATACTTCCCAACACTAAAGTTGCACCATGATCATGATCACCAGTCAAAGCCTTAATGTTCTCATCTGGAATCCAAATAACCTACATAAAAGAGAAACAAAAAAAAACCCCCCACAAGGTTAACAAGTTTACGTGTAAAAAAAAATTCGATTAACATTTACATTCATCTTTGCATTCAGAGCAGCACAGACACCATTTACAGCATCTTCAAACACTAAACAATTCTCTGCAGGAGGATTACCTAATCTTTTTTGAGCGGCCAAGAACAAATCAGGTGAAGGTTTAGCATTCTTAATTTCTGGGTCATCGCCACAAATAACAACGTCGAACAAATCAAAAATTTCCTTATTAAGTGATGTTTTAAGATCAAATTTTGCCCGTGTTGAAGAAGTGGCAACAGCGATGGGAATTTTGTGAGCATGTAAATGGCGAATCAATCTTTCTACTCCGGGAAGAAGTTTAGCATGAGGGAAAAGGTCTTGTTGGATGAGGGCAGTTTCTTCCAAGTATTTAGTAGGAGTCATAGGTAATTTGTAAGTTTCAACAACTATGGCTGCTGACTGCAAGTTTATATTTGTTAGTTATAAGGGAAGGAGGAAAAAAGAGAGCTTACAATCTTTTTTTTTTTTTTTTACGTACTTCATCGCCTGATCTTCCCATTAATTGACTTTTAACATCCCAAGTGAATTTAAGTCCATTAGTGTATTTGTCCAAGATTTGTTGAGTAACTTCTGTATAAACACGTTCTGTGTCTAATAAAAGACCATCCTAATATAGTAACAGTATAAATAACTAAAGAAAATTAAATAGAAAGAAGAAGAAAAAAAATATACCATGTCAAAAATGCAATGAGTAATGCGAGTTGCCATTTTTTTATAGGTACAAAATTCAGGTTAAAAAAAAGGGGGAGAAGAAACAATCGAATATAACTCCTAACATTGAGATTTGAGTTATAATTGCGGCTTAGCCAACTCTGTTCCGATTTTTTAAAAAAAAAAAATACAACTAGTGCTAATATGGCTTTAATAGATAGCCACGAAGAAGAATTACTATTATTCTTATTATACTACCTGAAATGACAAAAAGAGTGTTTTCCTATCATACACTATAGTTCAATGAAAACCTTTAAATAAGAAAAACAAAGAAAAAGATGCATTGTTAAAAAATAATAAAACTAAGTTTTTTTCATGAATATGTTTGTTATTAACATTTTTTTTATGATTACCCTCCAAATGGCTTATTCATCAAACTATTTCTATCAGTGTGTAATCTAACTAGTCGTGGATAGTAAATTAATTTGTAACTATGGATACAAATATGTTTCTTCCAATATTACTTGTCTTCTTGATTTTTTATTGACAGCACGTGTTGACAATCACTTGTATTTGAAGTCTGACAGTTGTATTATAGAATATAGAGTAGGTACTAGCCTTAGCTATAATTACTTTATATTACTTAATTTGTATTAATGTAAGAGTCGTATATTGTGACTTACAGGTAAGAGTAAGACTATAGACCGAGAAAGAAATAAAAAGATATAAAGAATTTAGTGTTAGCGTTATAAGTATTTTTTTTTTAAAAAAAAAAAAAAAAAAAAAAAAAAAAAAAAAAAAAAAAAAAAAAAAAAGTTAATAATTCTACAATAATATAATAGTTTTATGATACAGTCTGATTATAGACAATGGATATAAGTGTAATTTGATGTAAATTCAATTTGCTACAACTTTTTTTTTTCTTTTATTAACAGATTTCAAAATAGCAGGACGTTTTTTTTTCATACGAAATAAAAATTAATATTTGGATGACTGGTAAATATCATCAGCTCGACTTTTAGGTTCAAAAAAAAAGTCCAAAGGGCACATCGAGAAGAAGACTATCTAAATCCTTATGATACGCAACAACAGGAAAAAAACTATAATCCAGAAATGTGTCTAGTCATTTGATTATTATAAAATTAGTGTTTCCTATTAACTATGAGCATAGGACGTGATATTTACGTTGAAATAAAAAATTTAAGATAAACAGAGGTAAAATGTGTAAGATTTGCCAACATTTTTGTTAATACAAAAAATTATCATATCAATTAAAGTTAACTGAGAAAAAATATCTATATAAAATGTCTGCTATTTATACTTTTCTATAAGATTGTTATATTAATATTGTATCTGTAAGATTTGTATTATGTTATTACCCTTTATACTGTACTTTAGTTCATATTGTTGTTTAAAAGAGGAAAAAAAAACAGAAAATAAAGATAGAAAATAAAAAGCAAAAGAGTCTGTGAAAACTTCGTCTAATTTTTTATTCAAAAATTCAGTTATTCCAAAAAATATACAAAATGGGTCCTTATTCATATCTTCTGGAAACAAGTAAAACTTCTTAGATCAATATTATTATAGAACCATAGACATACATGATAGATAGTGGTAGATATCGTTTGACCTTGATAATGAAGAATCAGATTACTAAATTAATTCCAGTTGTCAAATGTGTTTCAAAAGCTATATATCTGATTCAAGTACTGATTTACAAATAGTAACTAAAACTGTCATGGTTGTAAGATTTATAACTTAATTCAATAAGATAAATAGTCATAATAGAATATATATAGTGCACTTGTATGATAATTCTGTCTATAGACATATTAAGAATTTATTTACCCTTGTTTAAAAAAATAATTAATAAGTCCTACATCTAAAAATATACTTTCTTCTATTATTGTTCTGCTGAATATAAATTTATAAAAATAACTTTATACAAGTTAAACTGGGGTAAACTAAGAATAATACAAATACGCGTAATAATTGATTCCACTCAGAATACACATATTAGTTATATACAAAAGGCATGGATATAGATCTATAATAACTCTTAGTAATCATTCTATAATTATATCATCACCTACAATTTGTTATGTTTTTATCTTTTTATTACTCATCATTCTTATCCACAAAATATATAAATACTCTTACATTATTAACTCTTATTTTGTATACTTGAATTATAATTGATTTAATTCATTTCTTAATAAAACTTATTGATAAGTCTCAACGTACTCCTTCTGTCTGTCTTATTGGTTATTTCTTTTATTTTAATTATTTAATTCACCTAAACCACAACAATTAGAATTGTTATAGCTGGAATATTCATTGTGAATTAATATTAACGCGTTGCTTACCCTAGACTCTAGACCCCAGACCCTGGAAATAATGATATATTATATCTTATATTCTATTTTCTATTTTTAGTAACAGCGACAGCTCAGGGAAAATAAAGATAAAAATAAATCTTATTACAAGTAGAATTATTCGGAGACAATATTTGTGCATAAAGGCTTTATAATAGCAGTATTTACTTATCTAAATCACACTTCTATTAATATCACTTACCTTGCAAAAAACATATAAATAGCCCTCGTCATTTTTCCATATTATTTTCTTCTTGTACAATTTTTGTATTATTTTTCTTTAATAAACTATACAAAGTTTTCACAGACTTGTCTTTTCTTTTTTCTCTTTCCTTATCTTTGTACTCAAAACAGTAGTAAGTGATGCTAAGAGCGGTTATACATAGTACTGAAAAATTTTGATGTACAGGGTGTTTCGAAATTATTCACGCACTCTTTGAAAAAAATTTCAAGCAGTTGAAAAAATAAAAATCAAGCACTAACCAAAAGAAATTTCAAGCACTAACTAAAAAAAATTTCACGCATTGACTAAAAAAAAATTCGAGCATTAGCTAAAAAAAAATTCAAAGCACTAAATGATTAAAAAATCGTGCACAACGTTATTACGTTTACTTCATTTTTTTCTTACGAATTCTTAGTTATTATCAGATTTGATGGCCACAATTTATTTTGACGATGGTAATGGGAAGTTAACCGATGAAAATGGCGACGAAGTTATCGAATACCAGATGGAGGTTGACAATGAGGAGTACCCCTTGACCTCAATAACCACTTTCACTTCTTACTTGGATCTCAAACCGCCCGAAAAAACAAAAAAAGCGAACAAAGGCGAAGAGACAAGTTCCGAATTGGGAGCGAAGCCTGAGAAGAAGACGGAGAGAACATACCGAAAACATAAGAAAGAAGATGTGGAGAAGTTTTATTTTCTTGTATTTGAGAAGACTATGTCGATTCGTGGAGCTGCCAGAGAGTTAAACATACCCCCAGGTACTGCTCAAACATGGTATACGAAAGGACAAAAAAGTATAGAGAGTGGAGAAGACCTATACTTGAGAAAGCCAGGTAGTGGAAGACCCGTTGGAAGACCTTTGACAATAAACTCAGAACAAAAGGAATATCTCATAAATCTTATTGACCAAAAGTCAGGTATTGTTCTAGATGAGATGATGGAGGGACTTACTAGTCAGTTTACCGACTTGAACATATCGAGATCTTCCCTTTATAAATATGTCACCACTCACGGTGGTTTGTCAGTGAAGAGAGCTCTTTTCCGACCTGCAGAGCGCAACGCTGATGCAAAGATAGAGGCTAGGTTTCAATGGGTTACTGAGCTTCTAAAAACTGATATAGATTACATGATCAATTGTGTCTTCATCGACGAATCGGGCTTCAACATAAACATGAAGCGCAGTATGGCATGGGCACCTGTGGGAGAGACTCCAATAGTGGAAATCCCAAAAACCAAGGCAGCATCTCATACTATCATAGGAGCAATATCGCCCTTGGGTGTAATTAACATCCAATTGAAGGTCCCTAAAGTCGTTGCTGCCTCGAATTCAAAGAAGAGAAAAGGGCCAGGTGGAGCTATAAAAAAAAAGGAAAAAGAGAAGGGGAAAGGTGGGACGGTAACTGGACACTATTTCAACTTTGTAGCAGAGACTATACAAATAATGAATCAATACGAAGAGTTCAGAGGCCATTATTTGATAAAGGATAACTGTCCCATTCACAACCACGTCGATATCAGAAAGTATATTGAGTCTCATGGCTATGGATGTGTTTACCTTCCACCTTACTCGCCTGAACTTAATCTCATTGAGCAATTTTGGTCAGTATGCAAAAGTAAAGTAAAGAGAGAAGCACTTTTAAAGGAGGAGACATTATCTTCCAAAATTAGGGAAGCTTGCAATAATGTGCTCACCAGTGACTTGCAAGGCTTTTGTAGATATTCAGTAGGGAAGTTTGATGATTGCTTAAACAGAAAGCCCATTTAATAAAGCTTAATGTACTTGATTTTTAATCATTTAGTGCTTGAATTTAGTGCTTGAATTTTTTTTTAGCTAATGCTCGAATTTTTTTTAGTCAATGCGTGAATTTTTTTTAGTTAGTGCTTGATTTTTATTTTTTCAACTGCTTGAAATTTTTTTCAAAGAGTGCGTGAATAATTTCGAAACACCCTATACCCCGAAATGTGGTTCGCATATACATTACTATTTTAACCTTCCGGCTTAAATATTTTTCAACCAATCATAATTCTTAAAATTTATTTCAATAAAACTAGACAATTTTCTCTTTTAAATACATTTTGTTCTGTGTTATTTGCTTTATTTGTTCTTTAATTATAAGTGTTTTTGTCATTTTTGTCAAAATATCCGGACCATTTTTCCACCTACTGTAAATGGTGAACAGATAAAAGATCTTCACAAGCGGCAACATATGCTCTGAGTTGAGTAGTGTCTCTAGGCATACTTATGGTGCAAATTTCAATCATTACATAAAGTCCAGAATCAAGCAAACAGGTATAATAGACTGTCACTGTCAAACCTACAAAAGCAAGTTTAATTAGAAGTCCAAAAACCAGCTTTAGCAACAACTTACCAACAGTATGAACACCAATCAATCCTTCATAGAAATTGTTGTCAATGGATTGTTTAGAAAATCGACCAATTCTAATTAAGTCCAAAAGAGTCGCGTATATATCGTCTTTTGTATCTTCTCCCTTTACTTCACCCACGGTAACAGGGCCATTCCAAACAACATTGTTCAATATTCTTCCTACAAAGTCTGGTCTTTGAGTTGAACTGTTTATCTGAATATCACACCTGTAAATATCATTCATTGGTCAGTTCTTCGTATATTCAAATTCTTTTAAGTAATAGCGTACCATGAAAATTGCTTTCTTGAATCAGGATCTTCAATGATAGGATGAAAAACAGAATCAACGTAAGTTCCACAATGTTCTTTCTTGGATTTTTCTAGTAAATTCAGTTATTGGTATTCTTTCCGTACTAATGGAAAAAAATGCGTCAATACATAAGTAAAACGCGTATTACTTTTATGCTATACTTACAGGTTTCTCAGACCAATCAAAATGGCATCAACAGCAGTATCAATGTTTTCTCAAGTTAATAATACAGTGACTCACAAAACTGTTCACGTTTTCCAAAATTTTACAGATATGCAAAAATTAACATTCAAAGTTAACACAGTAGATTCACATATAATATATCATTCGAAAGCTTCACATCTGCTTAGTTTATATATAATCATATTATTTTAACTGGATAACTACGGAGTCTAAAATCTGGCTTTCAAATTAACATGTCCGTGTGAACAGTTTTGTGGCCGTGTATTAAAAAATTAAAAAGTCGTTACCACAACTTGGTAATTGCCCCATATCGGGCTTATACTCAGCCATAGTTCAGCTTCTTGTTCAGACTTAATTTTATATCATTTTTACTCTATATTACTAGGTTTTAACTTACATATAAAGGTACGTTTATTGAATATGGCTGGAATTACTGCGGATCAACGTGATAGTGTTATTTCTCTCTTGAAATCTGGGGCCAGCACCCGAGAAGTAGCTAAAAGGGTTGGAATTAGTCTTGGTGCAGTATCCAAAATTGGAAAACAAAATTGCAATAACAGAGATAAGAATAAAGGCGGAAGGCGCAGTATCTTGTCTGCAGCAGATAAAAGGCATTGTGTGCATTTAGTAACCAAAGGGCGTTTAGAAAATGCGGTTCAAGTCCAAAAACAACTGAAAATGGATTATAGTATTGATGTCAGTGTTGAGACTATTCGTCGAGCCCTAAAAGAAGCTGGTTTGGGATCTTTCGAAAAGGAAAAGAAGCCTGCCCTAAGCGATACAAATGCAAAAAAGAGACTTGAATGGTGTCTTGCACATCGCAATTGGACTATAGACGATTGGAAGCGTGTAGTATGGTCTGATGAAACAAAAATAAACAGATTTAATTCTGATGGACGTGTTTGGGCATGGATACGAGACGGTGAGACGCTTCAGCCGCAGCATGTCAAGCAAACACGAAAGCATGGTGGAGGCGGTCTAATGTTTTGGAGTGCCATTACCTACGCAGGTGTAGGTTGGATTTGCAAGATCGAAGGAACAATGGACCGTTATGTCTATAAAAGCATTTTGGAGGAAGATTTGTCATATACTATTCAGCATACATGTGAACAATTGAACCTCAGACGTGACCAAATCATTTTCCAACAAGATAATGACTCAAAGCATACGTCAACTGTAGTCCTAGAATACCTCAATAGACAGGATTATCAGCTTATGGATTGGCCTGCACAGTCTCCTGACTTGAATCCAATCGAAAACATGTGGCGTTTATTAAAGGTTCGTCTAAATGAATATGATACGCCTCCAAAAGGCATGAATGAGCTATATGAACGGGTAGTACATATATGGTATAAGGTAATCACTATAGAAGAATGCCGAAAGGTTATTGAAAGTATGCCACGTCGTATAGAAGAGTGTATCGAGGCGAAAGGTTACTGGACGAAGTACTGAACCCTCAATTTCTTCATAATTAGCAGTTTCGTTAGGGCCTCACAAAACTGTTCACGCTGTATACTGTAATTTGAAAGCCGGTTCAATAATAATTAATAAATTTTTTCTATTAAACTTTTCTATACATAAAATGTCCGAGTCTTAAGCTCTCTAAAAATATAAGTTTTATATACTGTTGATATATAACATAACTAATAAATGTCACTAATTATGTAAAATTTGCAAATTCGTGAACAGTTTTGTGAGTCACTGTATTTTGTTTTTCCTCCTTTAGCTTTTATGACTGCTTCAATACGGTCTGGCATACTATCAATGTATTTAAGACACATCTCTTTCGTTACTTTTTTGTACCAAATATTGGCTACACGTTTCCATAATTCATGCATACTTTTAGGGGGTTCTTCAAAACTATATAATTCGCGTTTTAAAAAATACCAGAAATTTTCTATAGGATTCAAATCTGGTGAATATGCTGGCCAATTAAGTACTTCAACATGATGATCTTGAAGCCATTTGGTAGTCATTTTAGATGTATGCTTTGAATCATTATCATGTTGAAAAACAACATCCTCAACTTTAAGCCCATAATCTTTTAGTGTTTCGAGGAAATCGCCTTCAAGGATTTCACAATATAACTTGGAATCCATACCACCATCAATTTTAGTGATAAAGCCGGGTCCTTGACTAGTAATACAACTCCAAAGAAATAGACTTCCTCCGCCATGCTTGTATTTATAGTTCAGATTATGGTCCCGCAGAGGCTCTCCTTTTTTGACCCAGGTCCATATCTTGCCATCGGACCCTAAACGATTCACTTTTGTTTCATCACTAAATACAACCCTTCTCCAGTCATGTACAGTCCAATTACGATACGTTTTTGCAAACTGAAGTCGTTCTTTTTTTCGCTCAGATGTCAATGGCACAGATGACGGTTTGACATCAGATTCGAAATTTCCATCTTTCAAGAGATTACGAATAGTTTGCGCACTTACTTTCTTACCTTCTCCTTGAAGTCTCCTAGCTGCTTGTGCTGCTGTAGTAAACTGACCAGTTGCAAACTTTCGTAATATTAATCTACCCTCATTAGTGCTGAATGTTCCATTACGACCATGATGGGCATTTCGAGTAATGCCGATTTCTTTTGAAATGCGACTAATCGTTGCAACTGAGACACCTGTACGCTTACTAATGTCACTATATTGACCGCCATCACGAAGAAGACATTCAATGTTTTGCTTAATTTCAACAGAAATGGGCTTTATGTTTTTTTTATAGATTGCAATTCTTAATTGGAAAAAAATGAATAGATGAACAAACAATAAAATACCTACAGGGTCCCTCATGCTCATAGTACTTACTTTCTCAATAGCAGTCACATATACATAAAATCAGTAAATTTATGCGAAAAAAATAGAAAACTCAAAAAATGGTTTCAATGGGGTGATCATTTTTCAAAACCAGTAAGTTGACCGTATATCACGTGACTATGAAGAGATTTCTACCAAAAATGGAAATATATGCACACTATTACTGTGTTCAATTTTTAGCCGTTTCAGTTTAATGATGTGAAGAAAAAAGAAAAAAACTGAATTTTTAGAGAACATTGAAACCATTTTTTGAGTTAGTGTATGAACTTCATGAGTAATTGTGTTTTTGTTGATGAAGCCGCATTTCACATTAACATAAAACGTTCTTTTGTATGATCTAAAAAAGGATCTCGTGCCGTTGTTCGTGTGCCCAAGACAAGGGCAAAAATGACAACAGTTTTTGGTGTTTTATCCACCCTGGGTGTTGTCAACGAGAGAGTAAAACGACCCAAATTAACGGCTTCTCAATAGAAAAGGAAAACTGTGGTTAATGGGCCATCCTTGACTAAGAAAAAGGGAAAAGGTGGTACCGTAACAGGCCATTACCTTAACTTCATTGCTGGCACCTTGGACGTTATGGATAAATATGATGAATTAAAGGGTTATTACATCGTAATGGATAATACCCCTATTCATACCAACAAAGACATCCAACTCTATATTGAGGGTTGAGGTTATGGATGTATTTGTCTTCCACCCTACTCATCGGAGCTTAATCCTATTGAGCAATTTTGGACTGTATGTAAGAGTAAGCTAAAGAGAGAGACATTTTTAGACGAAGAAACATTAACCTCGCGAATCCAAGATGCTTGTAACGAAGTACTTATCAGTGACCTTCAAGGTTTCTGTACGTATTCTATCTCAAAATTTAGTAATTGTTTAGACTATAAGCCCATTTAAAAGAAATAAATAATTTGGTGCACTTGATCCACCAACATTTGAACCCATTTTAAAATAATTTATGAGCCTAATTTTTTTCTGACTTTGGTCCTATTGATTAAGAAGAAAAAATAATATAAAAGAAAAATATAAGAAACAATAAAAGTCTGTGAAAACTTTGTTTAATTCTTTTATTTCAAAAAAGCTGTCCTTTTAAAATTATACAAAATGGATCCTTATTTATATCTTCTGGAAACGGGTAAAACTTCTTGATTTAATATTATAAAACCATAGACATATCCAATAGATAATTATGAATCTTGTTTAACCTTGATAATGAAGAACCTGACTGATCAATTAATCTCAGCTGTCAGTTATGTTTCAAATGCTAATCTGATTCAAATAATTAGTTACCAATGGTATCTCAAATTAAACTAAATAATTTTTTTAGAACTTCAGAATGATCTCGAATTGATACAATATTGTTTCTTTATTGAAACATATATCTCTATCATCTTCTAATCAACTCCTCAAGTTTCTATTCTATAACTCTTTAGAGATTGTTTATAATTGTGCATAACCATACTGAAGATAGTGCTTCTTATAGGTAATTAATTTTCAATATTAAGTATTTTATATATTGATTAGCAACTATTCTTCTTTCATGTTTAAGACATCTATTACATAACATCTCTGTAATTTTATAGTTTCATTCTAACACAGGTGTGTCTCATATACTAAAGTAGATTAGTATCGTGTACATGAAGTGCACCACTAATATATGATAACATCATCCCACTTTGATAATGATTGAATATCTATACTATATTTTGTAATACATCATCATATATACAACAGGTCCATTTTTTTTCACTTTTTTCGCCCAATAATTTTGGGAAATAGTGTACATCATTCTTTTAAACTTTAATTTCTGTTTAAATTATAAATTATATTTCCACATTAAATTATATATAAGTATGTAGAGAACTCTTCAGTGGTTATAGTGATACAAGAATTGTGTATGTAGCTTGTTCTAACGGCGAGTAATGTATCACTAAAGGAAAAAAATGCAGAACATTGGGCCAGTTTCGTGGGTCACTATAACACTACTTATGCTTATATCCAGAGCTTATTCTATAACAGCTTCAACAGGAGGGCATTAACTATATGCATACGTGGGCACCTAATAGTCCAGACTTGAGCTCTATTGAGCACATCGGCAATCAGTTAAAATCAAGATTAGGTCAATACCCTACCCACACAAAAAAACGTTAAATAACTGTGCCAAAAAGTTGACATAGAACTAAAGCTGTCATTAAGACTAAAGAAGGATATACAAATTACTAAATTCATTTATTTCATATTGTAGTTTTACCAAAAAAAACAAAGTAATATTTTTATTTAGCCAATTAAACATTTAGAATTAACCAATTTTGTAAATTATACTAAACGTTGACACCCAGACATAGTGTATAAAGTAGAAAAAAAAAGTTAAGCAAGTTCCCGCAGCTACTGCAGAATAGAAAAAAATTGCCCCCACGCTGGATTGAACAACGGACCTTTTGTTTACAAGACAAACGCTCTACCACTGAGCTATAAGGGCAATTGTTGTTGACAAGGTGAGTAATAACTCCCAAATTACACTTCTAAAGTTACCAGTCACACTGGAAGCAAGAGGTGTTTCCAGGATATTTACACAGATGTTTAAGCATTAATTTTTTTTCACTGTTTTTGGTGAAATTTGGTTTTTTGGTTTTTTTGATATAAAACTGCCAAATAAAAATTATATTCATATTAGTATAGTTATTTTATAAACATATATACAAAAAAAAACGAAAAGTGTACTGCAAAAACTCATTGTTTTATTAATTTTTATATTTTGTCAATTTTAGCTGTAAAATATATTTTTTTATTGAGAGATTTTAATAAAAATTATTGGCTAAATAAAAAAATTAAAAAAAAATTGCTGTATTTTAAAGTACTTTGTCATTTTTTTTGAAAAAATTAAGTATTTTTAGAGCTTATTCTATGAAAAATATCGGTATTTTAAATGTAGATGTCTTTTTTCAAAGTAAGCAAGCTGTTGTAGGTTTTAAACACATAAAAATAAAATAAAAAGTCAAAGTAAAAAAAAGGTTATAACAAAAAGGTATAAAAAAAAGGTATAAAAAAAAAGGTATAAAAAAAATATAAAAAAAAGTGGTCCAAAAAAAAGAGTAGAAAAAAGAAAATAGAAAAATAAAAAGGTAGAAAAAAAATAAAGTAAAAATAAACACATATTCATTTTTTTTGAATAATATGATTAATAGATGTTGTCTCTTTATATTATATTCAATAGAATAAAGTATATAAAAATTATTTATATTTGTGTAATTATTTCATCTTTTTTGTATTCAGCAAACAAAATAATAATAATGAGTTTAATGAGTAATGAGCAGATTCCAAGGTTAATGTTAATGTCAACACATTTCAACTCTAATTTTATTTCAATTTCAAAAAAAAAATAAATAAATTATAAAAATACATAGTAATCTGTTTTGAAAATAATCAAGTGAACATCGTATTGTTGCAATAATAAATAAAAAACGATTTAAATGATGAACATGCAAATGTGCTTTGTATTTTTTTTATTTAAAAAAGAAACATAAAATTTAAATTGTTATTGAAACTCAACTATGTCAAATAACACGAGCCACTGTGATTTTTTTTTTTTAGTTCTTTAGATTTATTACTGTCTTTATTAAAGCGTTTATAGGAATCACTATAATTAGTCAACATGCAACCATCAATAACCAAAAATATAGATGCTAATGTACCAAATGTATAATACGCATGCATTCACCTATCGCTATAAAGTTCAATCATGTATATAATGTCAACATTATTACCCATTTAAATTAACACATTATATTAATTAGAAAAAAAAATAAAAAAAAGTTTAACATCATTCAGAACAATTATAACAGCTTTTTATATTATTTACATTTATTTCTCAATGCGTAATGAGCCATGAGTAATTGTGTGTTTACGATGTCAATCGTGAATAAAAGTAATTTACATTTACCAAGCCGATTAACATGATAATATTCGCTTTTTTTTTCTATATAGTATATGATTATTGGACTATGATAATACTGATAACTTAATACAACGAGATTGCAGCTTGTAGAGAAAAAAAAGGCAACAATACATATTAGTTTGTGTTATAATAATGAAATACAAATGTATTTTTTTTTGATTTACAAGTTTACTTCTCCAAATAGAATAGGACGCTTTCTCTTCAATAACGTTACATTTCCAAGCTCATCAGACATGTACTCCTCCTTTAAGAAGATTTGACATGTCTTGTACGGCAATTGTAGCCTTTGAGAGATTGCCTCACCATGTACAGCAAATACTGTCCTTCTTTTTTCAACTTTCTAGAGTTATTGTTATATTGTTGCTTAGTGAGTTAGTACTTTGTAATTAAAAATATGTACTATAAGTATAATTTAATTCCAGTTTCATTTTCCTCTTGTAATGACACTTGATATCACCACCACTACGTGTCTCAGTAAGTTTTATATAATTCAGTTAACTTTCGACGAAAAAATTTTATTCTTTTCTTTTTTTTTCTTTCCTTTTCTTTCTTTCCTTTTCTTTTATCTTTTCTTTTATCTTTTCTTTTATCTTTTCTCAATTATTTTCTTTACAACATTAATGCTAATCAATGATAGCTATTAGGTAAGTATATCCTTTTAATTGTCATTCATTAATATAATATCATTTGATAAAAGACAATAATCTTATACTGACGCGTTATTTTTATTTTCAAAAAAAAAAAATAGGAAAAATGCAACTTGTATTTATCAAAGAAGGTAAGTATTCTATGTAATACGAAGTTGATATCGATCGATTCATTTAACTCTTCGACTGAATAATATTAATAGGAAACGTTGCAATAATATATAAGTTGTAATAATAGATAAGTTGTTATAATATATAAGGTAAGCTATTCTTTTTTGTATAAATCTTATTTCAATTTATATCTTATGCTGTTATATGTTTACTATTTAGTAAGTGCCACTCTTTTTACTTTTATCCCTTCTTTGTGCCTAAGGATAAACGATATGTTCAAATACTTTTTGGTATGTATTATTTTTCTATCTTATTATTAATTCTAACTTTTATTAATTTGTATAAATAGTATTACTTTCTCTAGTTAATTCTGGCATACATTGGCAGTTACTAATCGCTTTTCTTTTGGGTCCTTTAAAAGGTAAACACTTTAGAGTAGAGTATAATTTCTTCTATAGGATTACAATAGCTAATATTTACTTTATTTTTAATTATTGATATATAGATAAAGATTCTTGTAACTACTGCACATGTTATTACAAAAGGTTCTACTGGCTAATACAAGTGTTTGTGCTAATGAAGACGTATCAAAGGTAAGTATTTCTTCTATTATATACAATACTTTATTTCGACTATACAAAGAAATGCAATGAATACAATATTATATAAATATATTTTCTATATTATTATTGTATTATTGTATTATTGTATTATTGTATTATTGTATTATTGTATTATTGTATTATTATATTATTATTATTATTATTATTATTATTATTATTATTATTATTATTATTATTATTATTATTATTATTATTTTTATAAATAAAAATCGCGTTTTTTGTAAACAAATATATATAAATAAGATTCTATATATGGCATGTAAAGGCCTACAAAATAAATAATATATAATATTTTAAACCAATAAAGCAAAAGGATATGTAATATAAAAGCCACAAAAAGATGTGTATATGGTCCAATTAAATGTAAACATAAAATTGAGAATCATTCATAATAAGGCCAATAGTAAAGGATGCTGTCGTTAAAGAAGTAGCAAATGAAAAGGGTTATATAATTCTAAAATGAAGGTCAGTTCGTGTTTTTTTCAGAGCTTTCACAGATGTAATACAGTACCTTTAAACATCTGTTTCAAGCTGTGATTCAAGGATACCCTTTAAACGTCCGTTTAAAGGTAACCTGGAATCACTATTTGAAACATCTGTTTACAGGTCGAATTCAAGGATAATACACACCAAATTGCTTCCAGTGTCACGTGACTTGTAGTTATTTCCGGGTGTTTTCTTATAATTATGATAAATATTTTATTTTTCTTAAATCTTTAATAAAGAGAGCTTTTTTTTGATAATAAATTAATTGCGTGCATTGAGTACTACAATTACAGCTGAGGCAATTGAAAAAGAATATTAATAAACATTGTCAAGAGAAGAACTTGGATAAAGAAGATATTGTCAAGATTGTCGTTTCGTTTGGTTATTTGAGTTTGAGTCTTATTTAGTTTTTATATTTAAGTTTAGTTTATCAGTATTTATTTTATTATTTGACACCTAAGCACCGCAGACGTATCATTGTTGACAAGTGGTATAGAAATATAAATTTGCACACAAAAATTTAGTCCACCGGAAAAACTTTTAATAACCGGGACCTACTACGATACAGGTTATATGCAAAATTTTGGTAAAATTTTAAAGTTTATAATTTTATCAATTTTTACTATAGAATGTTCAAATAAAAAATATAATATACATTATATATTGAATTATTTTGAATATATGTAAAAAAAAAATACATGTTTACTGCAAATATTAATATTTTTTATTTTGGTTGTGAGCAATATCACTTGTAAAAATTATAAATTTTGGAGCTTTAGCCAATCAGACTAACGGAAATTGAAATTTGAAGGTTTAATCTGAATTTGAAAAGCACTTTGCAATTTCTTTGTTTATTTTTTTTTAAAGCTGACAGCTAAAATTGGCGGCTATTTAATCCAGCAAGAAAATATTTACTAAAATGTAAATATTCTTATTTTACTGACGTCAGTTAAAAAAAACGATAAGATTTTAAAATCTTCTTTTTTTAATATACAAATATACAAAACAGCAAAAATTAAAAAAAACATATATATAGATTATTAACTGAAATGGAGAACAATTAAAGTATTTAGTTGGACAACTAATAAACAAAATATATGATTATTTTATTTATGCTGATGTGAACATTGATGTTAATTAATTAAAATAACACATGTGAAAAAATAAATCTAATGTAACTGTTAATTAGGGAAATCTAGTTATTCTTTTTTCAATTATTATAATTGTATTTATGTAATGTTACGTCAACATGATTACAACACATGTAAAAAAAAGAGAAAAAGAGAATTAAGATCAAATTCATAAAAAAATCAGTGATTACTCATTTTAAATAAAAAATGACAAAGATTTTTTTTTATTTTATTTAATTTCATTCATCTCATTTTTAAAAATTTTAAAAAACCTAATCTCAATTTCAGTCTTTTAATCAGAAGAACACGGATTTCTAGAGAAGTAATGAATTCCAGTCCACATTAGCGATATTAATTGTATCAATAGTGAGAATCTGTTCTCTAATTACTGCAATGTTGAATTATTTTAACAAAATTAACATTACCATTGATCTCCATCAACTCATCATTAAAAAAAAAGAATACAAAATATACTATCATAATGGTTTCCAGTTTATTTTTTAAATCTATGATATATATCGACATTTTTTTATTTTATTCAGTAAAAAAAATAAAGAAACAAGACAAAGTCAAAGGTATTAAAATATATTTATTCATATTCATATTAGTCTTTGTATTAATTTTTTTTAATTTTTTATTATTGTTCATATTGCAATGCGTCAGTTTTATACAGTAAGTGAAAAAACTGGTGCATAAAACGTAAAATTGTTGTATCTCGTGTTTCCCTTAAGATAGAAAGTTGATCTAAAATGCAATTGAAAGAGTATAAAACACTAGACAGGATAGTGACGATTGTGTAACGTTACATTACGTCATGGTGATTTTTTATAATAAACTCATTTTTTGACACTCTAAAAAATACGTCATATTTACAAATTATGACTATATTATCATAGTTACGTATAGTTACGTCATTATTTATGGATCACACCACGGAGGCACTGCTTCACTTTAATGAGATATATAAATAAGCAGGGTTCACCTATTTCATTTTGCCTTATTTTCTATATCTTTTTATCTATCACTACTATTCATAAAATGCCTTTTACACATAGTCGAGAAACTCACAACTCAGTTAAAGCACTTATTCTTGATGGAGTGTCTACTGCTGATATTGTTCAACGCACTGGGGTATCAAAATGGACAGTTAATAGGTTGAAAAAGAAGCTTAACCCTAGCTATAAACGACCCTCTGGTGGTAGAACCTCTAATTTAAGCACGACAATAGCAGTTACATTGCGTTTTAAAGTTAGGTGTGGTTCTTTACCCACAGCCAGAGCTGCCCACCAATGGCTGAAGCACAATCATATAAATATCAGTTATCGTCGAACAATTCAAATTTTATATCAGCTTGGCCTTTATGCAACATTAAAAAAATCGAAACCTTTTCTCAGATACGAGCATATGAAGAAACGACTTTATTGGGCTAAGAAATATAAAGAATGGACAGTTGAAGACTGGAAGAAAGTTATATTCTCAGATGAAACAAAGATAAATCTATGGGGGTCAGATGGGGTTCAATATACTTGGAAGCAAAGGGGTCATCCTACTCGTCCTCATCACTATAAGCAAACTTTAAAGCATGGTGGCGGCTCTTTATTGATGTGGGGCTGTATGACAGCCGAAGGACCAGGTTATGCATGTAAAATAGAAGATAAAACTCTTGATTCCGAAGGATACACGTATATCCTAGGGACTACATACATGGATACATTAGAGTACTATGGGTGGAGTAAAGAAGATGTTATCCTTCAACAAGATGGTGACACAAAGCACACATCAAAATTCACTAGAAAATGGCTTGAAACAAAAGGTATAAACTATATGCATGTATGGTCACCTAATAGTCCGGATTTAAATCCCATAGAGCACCTTTGGCATCACTTAAAGATAAGATTGGCAGAATATCCAACACACCCAAAGAACATCAATGAATTATGGAATAGAATCGACAAAGAATGGAATAAGTTCCAGAAAGAAGATATGTTGCCTTACTACGAGAGTATGCCATCAAGAGTTCAGGCCGTTATTAAAGCTAAAGGAGGATACACAAAATATTAACTAAGTTTACCTTCTCCTTGTTTCTATGTTGATTACGTAATAAAGCTTCTAATGTATATTTTGTCCAATTAAAATTGACCAATCTTATTTAAATTTCACAAACATATATGAGCTCTTTATAGCTAATATTTAGCCTATTTTCATATATGTACTATGCATTCTCATAGAGATATAGTCAAAAAATTAAAAAAATTATTTTTATGCACCAGTTTTTTCACCTAGTGTAACACCAACTGGAAAGTGGTGTAAGTAAACTGATATCAACAGGGACATCGACGACTTCATCAATTCTGGGTGTAATCTTTCCCTTCTTGGGTTGACACTGTCTATCAAGCTCATTATAAAATTGAGTCATCTAAAGAAAATTATAAGTATATTATTTTTCAAATTACAATATTTTTTATTAATATTATTGATTAGATTACCTTGTCTGTTCTCCAAGAAGGGATCTTTCTTCTTCTCAATACGACTACACCACCAATCGTCAAGCCATCTTCTTCATCAGACATATACTCTTTACTCAAAAGAGTGTCCCACTCCTTCTTTGACACCATATAATGACGTGCAACTCTTCTTTTCATTTCTCCTTGAACTTCTCTTCTACGTTCAAGTTTCTATTATTAATTGCAAAAAAAAAGGTATGTAAGTTTTACTGGCATTAGCATATTAATTGATACTTACCAAAATCTTTCTTTGTTCTAATTTCTTCTTATGCTTTTTCAAATTTATTTCTTCTTCACTTAACGTATTTTTTTCTAGATGTTTTTTTTCAAATACTCAAAATGTTTTCTAATATGGTGGGTAACCATTTGCTTGTCTACTTCCAAATTCTGATTACCCGTTATTTCTTTTTCTGAATTTATTATCTCTTGTAAAATATCATTATAAATGATATTATTAACTCCTTTCATCAAAGAAGTCTTAAAGTCCCAGCTAAAGCCTTTGGTAGCCACATAATTTCCATAGTAACTACGAATTTTGCCCTAATTAAAGAGATAATAATTTATATAGGTATATATTTTTGATCTTTGATATCTGTAGGTAAAATATTATTAATGTTTTTTTTATCTTACAGAAATATGAGCATTTCTTTCGAAATGTCTCTTGTAAGGAGAAGATGCCTCAGCTTGTGAAGCAGCCAAAGCAGTCTTCAACTCTTCAATTTGACGATTCATATCGTCCATTCTTGCGACAATAGAAGCAATACTGGGATTACTATTGCCTCTTATGGTTAGATTAACTTGTGAAGAAGGCAACACTTCAGGAATCATTCGGTTGTTCTTAACAGGAGCAGACATTATTCAAATAAATTAATAATATGATATGATATAAATCGAAATACTGAGTCAGGAAGAGATCAAACATTCAGGCTTAAGTATAGTTTCGGTAAATCAATGTTAGTTTCTTTTTTTGTTTCAATATTCAATTTTTTTATTATGATTTTACTAGTAAAGTATTTAATTTTTTTTTCACATTTTATTACGCGTTTTTCTTTTTTGTTTATTTATTTTTTATTTATTTTTTATTTGTTTTTTAAGGTAAGTACTATTATTATTAATATTCATCACTAATGTTTTTCTTGTAGTTTATAGTTTACGACTTTCTTTAAAAGGTATCAATATTCAATGCTTTCCTTAGTGTTGTTATATCTTTGAATATGGTAAAGTTAAAGATGTTCTTTTATCTGGTAATCTTTTTATTTATTTACATACATATTTAGAAAACTCAAAGTAGAAGTTGTATTCCTTTTTATTATCTCTTTCGTTGCTCTTGGATATTATTCAGCTAATATTTACTTTTTAAGATACTGCTTTAATCTACTATAACTTTCGTTACAATATATTGTATTGATATTAACAAAAAAAATTTTTTTTCCTCTCAAGTAGAATCAAAGAGTTGACTAGCATCTATCACTAGTTCTTTTTTATATTTGAATGAAAAATGTATAAGCTTTCTTCCTTTACACTTTTTAACTCTTTTATTAATTATTCAACTATTATACTCTATAGATTACTGTCTCTGTTCAAGTGCTATTCCTAATCAATTGCTTTGGTAATTATAAAATACTATGATGGCCCCTGCAATATATCCTTGAAAAAGAATTTTAAACTACAAGTGATCAAGCGTGTCTGAAAACTAAAGAAGAAAAATATCAAGGTAGGTTGTATATAACTAGATATAATACTGAATGTATTGTATTCAATATGTATAGTGCATTCAGTATTGTATTCTATTATTTTCTTTTATGATATGTCATATTTTATTATACAATCCAAAATATATAAATAAATAAAAGCCACATTTTTCTATAAACAGTATTTTTATAATAATGTTCAATGAAAAAGGCAATATAAAGGCCTAGTAAATGTAAACAATTAAGGAAAAATGTATAATTCAAAATGATAAATAAGTAAATGTATTAAACAATAGATTAAAAGGCAATAAAGCTCCTATAATTCTATTAATAAAGTCCAATGGAATGTACATCTGCTATAGAAATGCTTCATGTTTTTGAAAGAAAGCGTTAAATCATGTTGTCGTATGAAATCCCTATTATATGCAAAATAGGTATCGATTTTGTTCAAAATCTATATTATAACCGAGATTATAATCGGGATTTCCCGCTTTTGTTCATAAATGGAACTCCCAGTTATTATATAGATTTTGTTTAAAACTAATATAATGTTAGGGATTTTCCACAAGCAACGTCTTGCAGTGCTCACTGCAAATAAAGTCTACTTTTACAATCGAAAATTGAAAACTGAAAGTTTTAAAGAATTTTTATATCAAATGAAAGAGAAAAATTTGCTCATTCTGAATATGTTAATATTTTTTTATTTGGTTAAGAATTGATAGAGATATTAGCATTTAAAGATTTGGTTAATGGTTAAAAAATATAACAAATTTTTGGGTATAGTCTTTTTTACTAGAAAATAAATTTAGAATCCTGTTGTTTTTTCTTCAAATTTTATTGGGCAAAAATATTATTTTTTTGTTTTTTTGAACAAGTTATCAAATATAAGCGTGTGTTAGCTGTGTTATATTCTGAATTCAAAAGAAGTTGAAAAAAAATAATTGTAGCAATAATTCATTAAAGATGAATGTTTAAAATGTAAAGTCAAAGTGTCATGAGCTGACTTATAATGCCATGTTTTATGATTAAACATGCGGATCATAATTTTATTTAAGAAATTCTATCCTAACTCTCTCTTGATCCGCTCCATCTAATAATATTAAAATCACTAACACTTCATTGTCAACAAAATACCTTATTCGGTCGTAACTAACACTTTTCTGATTCACATCTTATCCTCAGACCTCTTTAACAATTCTTATAAATACCCCATCAATTTAAATTCATAAATAAAATAATTGACTTTAGAACTATTGTTCGCTCTCGTTGACTCTTTTTGTCTTAATATTATTTTTTATTTTCTAATATTTTTTACTTTCTAATATTTTTTATTTGATATTTTAAAAGAAATATCACACATATGATATTTTTTTACACAAGTATTCACTTACCGAAATAACACTTCTATTAATATCACTTATTCTGCAAAAACATATAAATTACCCTTGTCATTTTTTCATATTATTTTTTCCGGGTACAATTTTTGTATTATTTTCCTTTTAATAGACTATACAGAGTTTCCAAAGACTTGTCTTTCCTGTTTTTTTCCTTTCCTTATCTTTTGCATTCAAAATGATATTCATCTGTAGCGACAGTTGAAGTTTGCGATAAGTTGTGAGCTGTAATTTCAGCATCTGCTATTAAATGAATGGTGGATCGCAAACGTTTGAACTTCCAAGACTCCATACTTAATTTCTCTGTTGAAATAGCAACAGTAAATGTGGGATCGCTATTGACAATTGTAATTGGTTCCAGGTCAGCAACACATAATAATTTAGTTGCTAATGTATAGTTGTCAAAGGAGACTTTAAGGCCATATATTGAACGCGCTGCTTGCTCTGTTGTTATATGCATTTTAAACGGAAAATTAAGAAATAAGTTTACCACAAAAACAACTAAAAAAAAGGTACTTTTTACCGCGGAAGAAGTGATATAAAAAACACAGAAAGTCACCAAAAATTGCTTTAAATTACTTAAAAGTAACTTTTAATACACTTAAAAATCACTTTGAAGTACTTTGAATTACTTTAAAATCACTCTAATCACTTTATATTATTTTATATATAAGTAGCTGCTTTTATTAATGCTTTCATTATCAAGTATAATGAATAATTGCAAATGCATAATGTTTCCTTTGATAATGGCGATATCAAGGTCGAAATTACCATTTTATTGAACGAATATGAGTCGAGCTTTGAAGTTTTGCATGAAGTACAAAGCTTTCGGAATTAGCAGTTGTGTTATAAAAATTGTCAATAAAGGCCATAGCACCTTTATAAAGCTTACTTTCTCTAACTTGGACATCTATTACACTAACATGCTCTATGATCTTCTGGTAACATACTGGTATTTCTTAAAGTAATATTGCAAATAATATCGTAATAGCCAAAGTCCAAACGATAAATAACATTCTATATTCATTTGTTTAAACTTGTAAAACTAACTGGTTCGAGAAGACAACATAGTATTTGCATTAACAAAAAAACTGAATAGTACTAAAAGCTTTATAACAAACCTGCTACGAGTCTTTAATGTCGTAAGAAAAGCTAGCCCAAAGGGTTAACTGACTGATTGGCAACTAAAAAAAAAGATGGGTGTAATAATCAAGTAAAAATAAGAGCAACTTTTGTTAACAAAATCATTCTTTTGATTTAGCGTTTGAGTTTTAGTAATATGAGAGATTAAAAAAGAAAAGAAAAGAGCATATTTACTTACTAAAAAAATTATAGGCGTCGCTTTTTTTCTCTGTTGGTCTTTTTTTTTCGCAACTTGTTCAAATAACAAGACTGAACCAGGTAATCCAATTTCGTTCACAACAGCCTACATCCTGAAGACCATTTCTTTCAGCAAAAGCTGTAGCTTCACCAAGAAGTGCAGTCCTATGCTGGCTAGGCTGGCTAGAAAGGGAGGTCCAAGCTACAAAAGTATCAATTTCATCAATCGTCGCGTTGACAAGATTGTTTGTTTCTTGCCTTAAATCTTCGTAAATTTTATTTGCGTCAGATTCTTCTTCTACAACTTCAGCAATGGCATTCACAATTACAGCTTTCCTTACATCTTTTGGTTTTGCGATCAAATTATTGGGGGCTGTAGCAAAAGTAGCGGGGACAACAGTAGTTTTATTGGCGATAGGGGGAGTATTCAAAGAAGCGGGAATATGATTCATTATACGGCGAATAGTTGCGATATGAGTACTAATCTCTTCGAGTCTATTACTAATAGGTTCAATATTTTAGGTCTCGGCAAGTGTGTCGACTATACCGCCAATTCACTTCTCTTCGTGTATGAGTTCTGTGGCCCATTTTGGTGGTGCTTGCAGTGCCATATGTCTGAAAAAGTTGAAAAAAAAGAACAAAAGTATATGGAACTAATTTAAAATACGTTAACTAATCTAAATATTCGTTTACGTAATAGATTAACTTTTGTAACTACTGATATTATTATTATATATTGTTGTAACAATGAAATTAACCTCGCTTTTCTCTTCTAAACTTACTATATTTATAATAGAATGAACTGCACAATATGCTTTAAATCTACGGGGAAAAGAAAGCTTGTAGCCAGACGAGAATTTACAGGATACTTGGCTGCACATCGATATGAAGAGTTTAAGAGAAAGCTGAGGCAGATACCAGAAATTCCAGAGAATAATGCTGTGGAGCGCACATCTTCAAGTGGTAAGAAAAAAGCACTTCAAATAGATATGCTAGCTATGATAGCTAATGATGTATTTAAACAGTAGTTATAGCTTCCAGAACTATCCAGGACCTAGCCTTTCGACAAGAACCGTTGGCAAACATGGTTATTGACGATGATATTGAGATGGAATATTTTCAAGAAGAAGCAGGCAGGGATAGTGGCTAAGAAGAAGAAATAGTTCTGGTAGAAGAAGGAAAGGAAGAAAAAGAAGGCTTTTCCGAAGCAGAGGACAACGAGGAAGAGATAGCTGAGGCGCTTGTTGATGATATCGGATATCCTACCAACGTTTAATATGAGGGGGATACATATATAGATGATGATGAAACCACAGCTACAATTGAAGCTGAAGAGCCTTTTGATGAAGCTGAAAGCTGGGCTAAGCAAGATTTGTTACGAATTGGTACATCAGAAATGACTGGTGAACCTATTCATTTAGACATTGAAGACTCTGGTAGGGTTGCAGGACATACTAAGAGTGAGAAACGAATCAAAGAGCTATATATTTTGATGCAAAATTACCAAGTGCAAAAGTCCGCCAAAGATGCAATCATTAAATGGATCAACAAAATCTATCTTCCTAATCAGTCAAAAGATGAATCACTAAAGTCTGTTTAGCTTTCTGAAAAGCTTCTTAGTGAATCAATTGCTTTGAATGAGAGGCGTTATGACATGTGTGGGAACGGACGCGCGATACTTTAAAGAGATTAACAGCTAAGATGTTTTTTTTGTCTTGAGGCAAGATATGAACTATCTGAAGATGGATCTAGCAAGTCTCGAAACACGTTATCTCAGCTAAGTATGCCGATTTTGTATCATCGTACTTTGTAAATGCAAATGGTATGGATAAAATTTTATAATGAGCAAGAAGAGATGTAGCCGTTGAAACAGAAAAGTTTAATAATTACTACAACGGCCCAGCCCAGCATACAAATACAATGTTGTATAGGTAAAGAATATTAAGAAGATAAAATAAATCATGAAACGCAGGCACAAGTAAGAGTAAATTTTATTAGAAAGAAAATTATATGCAAAAAAAAACTAACTACTCTTCTTGTACAAACTATCTGGCTATTTATACTTCTCTTGGTAGTTCTCGATGATATTCATAGATGCTATTTCATTAGTGTTGTGTTAAATATTAACTTCTTTATGATTTTATCAACAGTCATGATACAGATCATGATCTAGTACTATAATTCACAAATCACTAATTCAATAAAGATTTCATTTGGAGGTTTTACATTTAATAATTACATAATTTATGCTTAACATGGTGATAAAATTGTTTATACACCATTACTGTGTAATAAATATTCAACATTTATGTTTTACTATATTTTTATGTTGTTATGTTCAAATATAACAACAGTTTGTTACATTTCAATCTTATTATTACTCATCACCCTTATTCACAAAAAATATAAATACTCCTACATTATTTACAGTCATTTTAAATAACTTACAACTCATAATTTTACAACTTAAGTCTTTATTTTAGTAAATAAACTATCAACAAGCCTTAACGTACTTCTTATCTTTTGGATTTTATTTTCTAGTTACCTCCAGCCCACAATATTCCCTGTCACTCAAAATGATAAAAATATATTACTAGAAAGGAGAGATAGAATTTTGGAGTGATAACATCTTCAAGATTTCAGTTACCTTAAAAATTGCGTCTTTATTGGTGAAGCTAGATTCAACTTAAGTATCCAAAAGACATTTGGCCGTTCCCTAAAAGGTACTTCTGCCAAAGTTAGAGTAAATATCAAACGGAGTTTCCCCCCCCACTAATTTACGAGCCGTGTGTTAGAAAGAAATAATTAGTTTGACAATTAAATGACCAACACCAGTTGTGTCAAAGAAGAAAATAAAGCTTTCTTAAAGTACTGAGAAAAAGGCGAATGATCGTATAGGTGCTTATACCTCACATAATAGTCTATTTCTTGATGCTGCGATGGATATTTTGGATGCTTGTATGATGAAATGCTGATATTTGGTGATGGAGAACGTTGCAATCCAAAAGAAGGACACGGGAAAAAAGTCAATACATCCAGTACAATATAATACATAAATGTGTTGTAAAGCCCAGTTTGGTGTTTGCAAAGATCAGACCATTACAAAAGATACGCTGGTACCGAGAATTATAGACATTGCTAAGAATATTACGATGGAGGTCGGTCACGAATAAATCGTCTATGCTGTAATTTTCTTTGATCGATATTTAGCTATGGAAGCGATCCTTTAACTGACTTTTTATAACAGAGTGTTATGACACAATGCTATATTATTTTAGAAAACCAATGCTGTTATCCTTCTGTGCTTTTTCCTTTTAACTTCTGTCAATAATAATAGTTTCAACTGAGCAACGTTTAGCCATATTTCTTAATAACTATTGAATCCAAATAAAAATAGTGTACAACTTACAGTAAATGTCATGCCATGATAATAGTAACACCGTAAATTTATTTGGAGATTTTATTAAAGCATATACTTAACTCTGAAGATTATTTATCATTAACAGTTTATTATTATACTGAAGAATAAATTATTTCTACTAAACCCGTCAATATGTGGAAAAGGTAGTTTATCACTTTAGTCGTGGAAAGTACTAATATACATAGTGTCATTTAATTTAGCGTTAGCTTTATTAGAGTTTCATTGTAATATATACGAAAGAGAAGGTCACGTAACACGAATGTAGCGAATATGCGCAATTATTTTTGCAAAAAATTATATAAATATTTCTATATTCTTTGTAGAACTGCTGTAGACAGTTTAATAAATTCTATACTACAGATTTAAGAGATATAAGTAAAATGTATTTTAACTACATCGCTATATAATATTAGAAATTTTAATGCACAAAATTAGGCATAGGTTGCTCCTTGGGCATAGGTATATTGACAGCACTTTTATCGATTTTGTGTATTCAAAGTCCGCTTAATGCTATGCAACCAAAAGCAGGTTCTTTAAGAATGTATGAGCAAGCTCACGAAATAAAATATACATGAAAAGCTTAGTACAACAATATGAAAACTAACTTACTATGGATAAAGGGTAGTACCACTCTATTTCGACATCCATATTAGAATAAATCTTACGTTGTTTGATTAGCTAGTCTGAAAATAAATAATCCTTCTTTAAATTCTGTGTGTACAATGAATAAGGAAATGCTTCCATCGCTTACACATTTGTGGATATCGTCAATCTTATACAGTGACTTACGAACATGTTCATATAATTAGTTCTAGCCTGTAATTCAGTTTATTGCAATAAAATAATGATTCATAATTAAAACTATATTCTTAGTCCAATATATAAATAAATGCATCCATTTTTGTCAAAAAAAGAATACAGCTTCTTATCATTATTGTGGGCTAAATAAGGATTATATTGAATTATTATCAATTCTTAATTTTTTGTCTATAAATTTATTTTCTGATAAAATCTGCGTGGATAGCAACTTTTTTATATGTATATCCACGGTCATTTTTTTAGCTTTCGCTTGTTATAAATGACATTCAATTACAGTGACTCACAAAACTGTTCACGAATTTGCAAATTTTACATAATTAGTGACATTTATTAGTTATGTTATATATCAACAGTATATAAAACTTATATTTTTAGAGAGCTTAAGACTCGGACATTTTATGTATAGAAAAGTTTAATAGAAAAAATTTATTAATTATTATTGAACCGGCTTTCAAATTACAGTATACAGCGTGAACAGTTTTGTGAGGCCCTAACGAAACTGCTAATTATGAAGAAATTGAGGGTTCAGTACTTCGTCCAGTAACCTTTCGCCTCGATACACTCTTCTATACGACGTGGCATACTTTCAATAACCTTTCGGCATTCTTCTATAGTGATTACCTTATACCATATATGTACTACCCGTTCATATAGCTCATTCATGCCTTTTGGAGGCGTATCATATTCATTTAGACGAACCTTTAATAAACGCCACATGTTTTCGATTGGATTCAAGTCAGGAGACTGTGCAGGCCAATCCATAAGCTGATAATCCTGTCTATTGAGGTATTCTAGGACTACAGTTGACGTATGCTTTGAGTCATTATCTTGTTGGAAAATGATTTGGTCACGTCTGAGGTTCAATTGTTCACATGTATGCTGAATAGTATATGACAAATCTTCCTCCAAAATGCTTTTATAGACATAACGGTCCATTGTTCCTTCGATCTTGCAAATCCAACCTACACCTGCGTAGGTAATGGCACTCCAAAACATTAGACCGCCTCCACCATGCTTTCGTGTTTGCTTGACATGCTGCGGCTGAAGCGTCTCACCGTCTCGTATCCATGCCCAAACACGTCCATCAGAATTAAATCTGTTTATTTTTGTTTCATCAGACCATACTACACGCTTCCAATCGTCTATAGTCCAATTGCGATGTGCAAGACACCATTCAAGTCTCTTTTTTGCATTTGTATCGCTTAGGGCAGGCTTCTTTTCCTTTTCGAAAGATCCCAAACCAGCTTCTTTTAGGGCTCGACGAATAGTCTCAACACTGACATCAATACTATAATCCATTTTCAGTTGTTTTTGGACTTGAACCGCATTTTCTAAACGCCCTTTGGTTACTAAATGCACACAATGCCTTTTATCTGCTGCAGACAAGATACTGCGCCTTCCGCCTTTATTCTTATCTCTGTTATTGCAATTTTGTTTTCCAATTTTGGATACTGCACCAAGACTAATTCCAACCCTTTTAGCTACTTCTCGGGTGCTGGCCCCAGATTTCAAGAGAGAAATAACACTATCACGTTGATCCGCAGTAATTCCAGCCATATTCAATAAACGTACCTTTATATGTAAGTTAAAACCTAGTAATATAGAGTAAAAATGATATAAAATTAAGTCTGAACAAGAAGCTGAACTATGGCTGAGTATAAGCCCGATATGGGGCAATTACCAAGTTGTGGTAACGACTTTTTAATTTTTTAATACACGGCCACAAAACTGTTCACACGGACATGTTAATTTGAAAGCCAGATTTTAGACTCCGTAGTTATCCAGTTAAAATAGTATGATTATATATAAACTAAGCAGATGTGAAGCTTTCGAATGATATATTATATGTGAATCTACTGTGTTAACTTTGAATGTTAATTTTTGCATATCTGTAAAATTTTGGAAAACGTGAACAGTTTTGTGAGTCACTGTATAACCTAATAGATATAGCGGAAAGTAATATTTAGAGAAAAAGAATAAAGTATAGCTATTCATTCTGTACTCTACAAATGTTTCCTTCTTACGGTATTGCGATATTTCTGTAAGACATTAAATAAAAAATATCAGAAAATAAATATAGTAGAAGATAAATGAGATCAACCGTTCCAAACTATAGTTCAAAAATTAATAACTGAATAAAATACAGTGAAGATCAAAACTGTTTAAATGCTTCCATCGATTAACTCTATAAGCAAGAAAACACCATAATTATATAGAAGAATATAACATGTTATGTATTATTTTGAAGGATAAATTAATAACATTCTAATTTATGCATTTATTAATGGATATACAATTTCTATTGGATTAATATTAATGTTAAAAAGCGCTGAAACGATTTGAACTGTTTTGTATCCGCCTTCTAGTTTTCAATGAGAGCATAATATTGGTTTATTAGCAGTCCTTTACATTTATACGTTTATGTAAACTATCTATTACTATTAAATTTTTACACTTCCCTATAATGATTACACTGTATCTAATATATACAATGCGCTCGTATAACTCAATCACACCTTTGGACAGTGTATTATACCCATTAATTCTAATTTTCAATAGTCTCTGAATACAGATTAAGCAGAAAATGGTGCGATAAATGATAAAAACATCTACAACTACAGAATAAATAAAGCAAAATACACAAGAAAAACAGAATTTTGAAGAGAAGATAGTGCAGTCATGTTCCATGAGAGAATAATCGTTTTAATATGCTAGATTTACTTT